TGAGAGCAATTTTTTGAGCTTCAGTGAGCTGCTGGAGCACGTCTTCGACTTCGAATCTTCGAGACATTTGTGTAGTTTAGGGTATGAAAATACTTTATAAACCTTGAATTTTTTTAGCTTCGGGCAACATTAATCAGGCGCGATAACGCTGTTATCAATATGATAAGCCATTGCAAAAGGCACCTAAAAAAATAGAGAAAAATGTCTGCATTTTATATTGATTGTAGACGGCTTGGTGATGCCACTATTTCTGTGACTCTAGCATGTTTTGAGCTTTCAAGTCTACCTTTTACATAAATGTATCAGAAACACATTTGAAGGGAGAACTTGGCATCTACGCATCGATAATTATGGACAAACGCTAGTTTTCCCAAAGACGTCTTCTGCGCACCTTCTCTCTTTGCAATTTGGATCCATAATCTCATCTATCTGTAGCACGGGTTTCAATGAGTCCTGCTTCTTTTAGATTTTTGATGGTTGCACAGTTTGCGTTAGGCGGATTAACAGCCCCAAAAAGCAAATAAAGTTGCTCCCAAAAGGCTAACAAAGAGCCTTTCAGCATTTACTTCATTTCACTGGTGGTTCTAAGGGAAACTTTTATACTTTATTCTCTATTCCAACTCATGTGCCAATCTTGTTAACAGATTCTGGCTTTCCGCTGCCGTAGAAATACTCCTCCAGATTAGCAACGCACTTCCTCTCAAAAGCCTTGAAACTATCGATGGAGGTCACCCCCACGTGCGGAAGCAATGTCACTTTGTAGTTTTCTATAAGTTTTGGGTGGATTTTCGGCTCGAACTCGTGAACATCAAAACCTGCTCCTACCAGCTGGCCCCGTTCAAGAGCATCGATGACAGCTGCCTCCTCAACAATCGGTCCCCTGGCTATATTGACCAGTCGAACGCGATCCTTCATGTGTTTGAATCGTTCTGCATTTATCAGATGGTGCGTGGCAGGTGTGTGTGGACAAGCAACAAACACGCAGTCGGTAACGGCGAGCATGTCGTTCAGATCTCCAAAGTATTTCAGATCCTCTAATTTCCCCTCATACTCTGGTTTCGGGGTTCTGTTGTGGTATGCCACTCTCATTCCCAACGCCTTGCACGCTACTGCCACACGGAACCCGATGTTACCGAGTCCAATTATTCCTAATGTCTTTCCAGACGGATTTTCACCCCACAGAGCCAGCGGTGCAGACTCATAGTATCTGTTGGTCCGAACACAGTGCTCCGCATATGTAAGGTAGCGAAAAGATTGAAGAACAAGGGCAACACCGACATCTGCAGTTGCAATGGTACAGCAGTCAGGAGAATTGCAAAAAAGCACACCCCTTTTTGTCAAGTAGTCGACGTCTACAATGTCGTAGCCATGCCCGGACTGGACTATTATCTTCACCGTGTCGGGCAACGCCTTCACTGGCTCCCCTCTGAATAGATAATGGTGCACGTACGGCTGGCCTTTCAGCCAGGAAGAGCGACAGATGGCCTCTATACCGGCAAACTTTCCGTTTGGCTTCTGCAACTCGGCAATGTACTCCTCCTCCGATTTGCAGTCGTACGTGATGACCTCAAATTTCTGGTTCAGAGTCTTCCAGGCAGTCTCGTCGTGAATATTCTGGACAGAGGGTATGTACAGCACTTTCGGCTTGTGGTCAGTCATGATTGATTTCAGTTCTGATGGTTTTTTTTTTATATATCGCCGATCGGGCAACTTGTAGGAGCGGATCTTATCTTAAACTAGACAGCGCGAATTTAGTATTCAGGCACATTTAATATCCACATGGCAAGGCCCAGATGCCGGAACACCAGCGACCTACTCTGGAAGAAAAACCGGAGCTTGGCCATGTTCGATTCAACAGCTTTAGCTTGGCTAGGAGGACACAGTCGCGATAAGAGGAGGAAAAAGTTGGCGATGGTTGCAAAGTTGAACCTCGACCAAGAGTACCAAAAAGACTCAAAATGGTGCGGCCTGAGTCTCCCGAGGATTTCCAGAACCTCTACAGTAAGCTCCAGACATTCCTGCTCGACCTTAGTTCTGGAAACTTGGTCCTCTCCGGCCTCAGTTTCCATCAAACGGAGAAGAGTGCTGTAGATTAGCACCTTGGCCGTCAGAGCTGCAACAACCAGTGCTGCCGCACTTCGGCCGCCAGATAAAATTTGGTCCAAATTGAAAATATCTGAATTTTCGTTCCTCAGTGTCTCAATGCGCTGGATAAAACCCTTAGCTCTGTCATGAGCTGAACTCAGCAGAGAACTGTTCAGCTCTCCTAAATCATCAATCACCATGGTCACACTCACTACAAGACTAAAGATACGCACTTCGCATTCGTGCTGCTCCTGTGATCCCCATGAATCCGGGTAGAACGCAAAATCAGAGCCGTCAACCATCGATACGTTCCATGCGTCTCTGGATATTAAACTTGCCCGCCCAAGAGATAAACTAAACCATTTTTCCTGGACAAATAGTGTCCACCATAGCCGTCGTCGGACTCTTTTCTCCCAGTCAGGGATGTTCCAATGACGACACTCTACATTAATCCCCATAGACTGGCATATGGTGAATGCAACGCTCAGCAAAGATAATTCCTGAGTCCCGTCAAGCTCAACATTTTCGAGTGCCAGTTTTTGGGACAATAGCAAGCACGATTGAAGGGTTCCGTAGCAGGGGTTTGATGTCTCAGACAGTATTGTCGCCCGAGTAGCAGAGACCAAAGAGTCCACTGTCGGACACTCCATCAGGCTCAACTCTGGATGTCTGTGCCACCAATCAACGGTGACAGCAAGCAGACTGCCAAAAAGCGCAGAAGGAAAGACCTTTGGGTCCTGCTTGGCAAAGGTATTAAAGCGGCCGCGCGAAAAAACGGGGAAGTATGAGTTCACGTGTTTGAGAAAGAGCACCATGAGTTTGGGAATGTGCGGGCTGAAAAGCTGCTGTATAAGCGAGTTAATACCAGGCACGTCGTAGTTTGTTGGTTTGCGCAAGAAGAGCACATACTCTGCGGCTCTAGCTTGGGCCACTTTGCGGATATGGCACTCTTTTGGTTCTGCACTTTCTAGATTTTTGGATAGATGCTGGATAACGGGACCAATGTAGCCAGATTTATATAGATACACGTTCTGGTACTTTTTGAAAGCATCAATAGAGGAGTGTTCCTCGTCGTCTCCAGTAGTCACGGGAGAGGTTATAGCAACATTGCTATACTGGTTTGAACCAACGATCAGCCCAAAAAGCTCGTTCCAGATCTCTGCGTCTGAAATTAAGTGATCTGCATGAACAACGTTCCTCCTCTCAAGAGTTTTAGGATCAAATGTTGTTTTCACGACGTCATCTGTGTATGTCAAGTCGGCAACTGAATCATTGTACGCTATCTTCGCAGCAGGATTTATCTCAATTTGATGGTTTTTAGCCTGCTTGTGCCGATTCACAGGCGGTGCCTTATCTGTGAACTCACACCGGAGGTTGAATTTAGCGCACAGCTGGCACGGCGGCTCTCCCTCGATGACACAACCGGATTTTCGTTTTCGACACCTGTCGCATGGCCGCACTCTTCTCGATCTGTAGGGCCGTTGAACAGGAGGCATGGTTGTTTGTGAGCTGCCCGAGCATGAATAGTTTTTTTTTTCCACATTGCCCGCGCTTGGTGGTTTGCAAGTTGCCCGAACTCGAATCGTTTATTTTTTTCGCATTGCCCGCGCATGCATATGAGATATATATATGATAAGAGAATGGAGATCTCACAATCATGACTAGATTGCTAAAGGTGGCTGCTGCCCAGGTTGGCAGAATCGACATTGACACTCCCTATGAGGATGTGGTTCAGCGCATGATAGCACTTCTGGACGAGGCGCACGAAAAAGGCGTCAAGCTCGTCAACTTCCCAGAACTCACCTTCACCACCTTCTTTCCTCGGTATATTATTCCGTTCGGCCCAGAGCTCGACAAATGGTACCAAAAAGGCGACATTACCAAGTTCGAGCCTTTCAAGCCGTTTTTTGAGAAAGCAAAAGAGTATGGCATTGCTGTTTGTGTTGGGTATGCAGAGCTGACGGACGAAGATGAACATTACAACACGTCCGTTTTTGTCGACCAGGCAGGAAATAACCTAAACAAGTATCGGAAAATGTTCTTGCCCGGCGACAAAGAGCCGCTTGAGAATGTTCCATGGCAGCATCTCGAGAAGAGATACTTTCTCGAAGGCAACCTGAACTGGAAAGCATTCAGATGGCCGGGAACGGGAACCGGCCATGGAGGACCCATTATCGGGCAGCTGATCTGCAACGACAGGAGATGGCCTGAGTCATGGAAAATTCTGGGGCTTCAGGGAGCGGAAATAGTTTGTATTGGCTACAACACTCCCGTTTCCAATGTCGCAGAACCGGGCAAGGCGTCCCAGATGGTCAATTCCGACTCGTCTGAGGCAATGGCTACTTTGCACAACGAGCTGTGTTTACAGTACAATTCTTACCACAACTGCTGCTACTCTTTGTGTTCTGCCCGGACAGGCGCCGATGACGGCAAGTATTCCATGATTGCAGGATCGACCATAGTTGATCCCCAGGGCGTGATTATTGCCAAGTCCAAGACCACAGGTGACGAGCTTGTCTGGGCCGAGATTGATCTCGACAGCTGCTACCCGCCAAGAAACAGGGCTTTCAACTTTGCCCGCCATAGACGCCCGGAGGAGTACAAATTGATCGTCGAGCAGAAGGGGGTCAAGGAGCCTGCTCCACTGGAGGATGAAATGTAGCTGGAGATACATTAGCTATTTAAGGCGATCGGTAACCGGTCTGGGACGGTTTTTATGGTTACAGGTGCTGACAATCAACAGCAGGCTGGGAGTGTATCCTGGTTGTCTGGTACTCAATATGAAAAGCCATATCTAGTTGTAATTTTGATCGACGGGTCCTATCTTGGACAGGTGGTAGTCAAAACCTGTTTTTGTGGCACTTAAGCTGGCCAAAGGTAGCTGCTACCGTTTCAGAAGATTTACTCCTTGTAGGATTATTTTAGCAACCAGCCAGACAACTATACGGAGTTGAGCCCAGAGCATGCGCGAGTTGTGAGTCCAGCAGTTAAGTGTGGTACTCTGCCGATGGTTGATTACACCATATACTTTTTTTAGTTCGAGCACCACTCATCCAAAAATAAACAATTCAGACGATTATCCGGCTGGCTCACCAAGTGCTTTCTAAACAGCTAGACTTCGGCTATAAGACACAATCTCTGTCCACCAGAAGTGAAATGTGCTGATTTCTGCAGGACAGCCAACTTCGGGTCCCAGAACAAGCCAAGCTGGATATCTGTCTGTGCTTCCCTACAAAGAAGAGCCCAGTCGAGACGGCTTTTGAGTGCAAGACGGAAGCCAACGGGCGAGCAGTAGCCAAAGACGTAGATTCAGGGGTCCAAAGATTTTTGTTGTTTCACGTCGCATGGCTCATTAGTTCCGTGTCTGTTCCTGACTGTGGCAAGGCGTTCTACAGACAGTCGCATCTGAAGGTCCATTCGTGGTCCCAGTCCGCCATAAAGCCGCTGAGTTTGGCAGACAGCTGAAGCGTCTGAGCCGTCATAAGACGGTAAGCTTCTCCGTTGTCACCAGTTGGGGACTAGCTTTGAACAGGCCCATAAGTTGCGCAACGATCATTTCAAGGTTGCAAATGAGCGATAGCATAAACTAGTATAATGGCTACAACGCACAGTATTAAGCTTTTGTCAATGCCACCAGGACACGTCGCACATGAGCAAACAGTGCGCAGATTATGCAGAAGCTATCTTAAATTAACCGAATACCGTTCACGCGCAGACGTGATCAGACCTGGTTCTCGTGGGCAACATCCTGCTCCTCCTCCTCGATGTTATGTGTGAGCGACACCATCTTGTTCTCCGGACCGACCAGGGTGATCAAAAACACGTATGCGAACACAGCTCCGACGAAAATGACCATCACGGTAGCGTAGTCAAACACCTCCGAAGGGTCCTGGCCGTCGATCGGGAAATGCTCGCCCATGGTGGTCTCGATGGTCGACGAGGCCGACGACGCAAGGTTACCGAGCTGATAAGCGACACCGACAACAAACGAACGGAAGTCTGGCGGAGCAAGCTCCGACAGATGGATTGGAATGACACCCCAGGCGCCTTGGACGCAAAACTGCAGGAAAAAGGCCCCGGCGTTGATTCCAGTGCCTTTGATGAACGCCCACGGGTACAACAGCGCGGCACCGCAGACGCAGCAGATGAGGATCGAGAGACGTCTGCCGATGAAGTTGGAGAAGTGGCCGACGACAATACCGCCCACAAAAGCGCCGATGTTGGCCACGCAGTTCGTCACAGTGGACCGGTCGTCAGAATAGTTGTACAGCTTCGTCAGCATCGTAGGATACAGGTCCTGGGAGCCGTGGGACATGAAGTTGAAGCCGGCCATGAGCAGCACAAGATAGATGATCATGGCCCAGTAGTTCTTGAGAGCGCCGGCGGCCTTTTGCGAGAACGTTGGCTGCGGAATGCCACAATCTCTGTTGTACTGCTCGATTTCTCTCTGGCGCACAAACGCCTTGGTGTCTGGGAGCGAGAATCTGAAAGCGAACAGACACACCGAAACCGCGCCACCCAGCAGAAACAGCGACTTCCAGCCCATGTCGACGTTGTCTGCGAGCACTCTGGTGAACACCACGGCCAGAAGATAGCCGAACGTGTAGCCCTGCTGCAACAGTCCGGAAATAAAGCCTCGGGCCTCGGATGGACAGTCATCGAGCGCGGTGGCAGCGGCGTTTCCGTAGATTCCACCCAGCATGATGCCAAAGATGGCTCTCACGCCAAGAAACTGCTGGTAGGTGCTGACTCCGTAGGTGCCGAACTGGATGGCGGCCATGAGCAGGATGTTGACACAGAGCGGGTATTTTCTGCCGTATCTGTCGCCGAGGTAGCCGAACACAATCCCCCCCACGGATCTCAGCATGAGCACGAGCGTGATCCCCCACGTAATCTGTTTCACGGTCTTGTCAAAGTATGTGGCAAGTTTAGCAGCGTTCAAGGAAACACAGAAAAAGTCGTACGCGTCCCAGGTCCAGGCCAAAAAAGCAGACAAAAACATAACCCACTGTCTAGCAGGGATGAGTTTGAGACCCGGCAGCGGGTTCAAGAGGTGTTTGTTGGCCTTCATCATCGCCTTCGATGGGACAAGGTCGGTGAACCTTGTCTTGGCATAGTTGGCAATGGATTTTGCCGAGAGGTCGATACGCTTCACCTCGTCGTCCACACCCATTCCCTTGTAGTTATCTTCCTTTACAGAGAGCGATTCCAGATCACTCATTATGAAATAAAAGTTGCCAAACTATTTTGCGAAACACCGGCTCTATATCTGCCCAGATGGCCAAGAAGGTATGACAAGTTGCCTGCTTGGGTTGCAGATTTTTAATAAGACGTCTCCACAGCCTGCTGCATGGCGAGGTCCGTTTTTGGCTCCGGAATTGTTTCTCGGCGATTGTAAAAAAAATTTGCTTATTGTGATTCCCCAGCAAGGGTATGTCTCGGAGTCGCGGCGGACACAAAAGTGTGACCAACGGTGAAAAATTTGTCCGTCTGCGTACAGCGGCGCCTGGAGGCGGGGGCTACCCGTCTTGGGTAGTGGCTTGCCCAAAGATTTGTAATGGTGTACGATCCGTCCAGTAGGAGATCCCACAATTCCAATGTCGTGGGCCTGAAGAGCTTCAGAGGAAACTCAACTTCACCAAAGGAGAACTCTTTATTTGCGCCCGCCCAGACGTCCCCCTATGCAGCACATCTCCTGATGCACGCGCGGTTAGCTACATGTAGCGCGCGATACGACTTAGTGGGGAGATCCGTCCACATATTACCCATTCTGCCTCCGTTACCCCGCATTTTCCCGAGTCCTCGCAAGATTTTCCTTGAAATGTAAGGGACACGGCGGGCCAAAGACCCCCGCCGGAAAAAGATGCCTGCCATCTGTGGAGCTTGGCGAAGGTATCGCTCTACATTTTTTCCAGGCTCCGAGCTTTGAAAGGTCTTCCACAAGTGTTGCTCTAAGGCACACCCTTACACCGCCATTCCCCCCAAGATGCCTCTTATCGCTTTTTTTATCTTGGCAAGCTAAATATATTTCCATGGCCCCCGCACAATCTCTCCTACTCAACACGGGACGCAGAATCCCCACCGTGGGGCTCGGGGTATACAAGACTCCTGCTGAACAGTGTGTTTCACTTGTCCATGAGGCATTGAACCTCGGGTACCGCCACATCGACTCCGCCGCCCTCTATTACAACGAGGAAGAAGTTTGCGAAGGCATATCCAACTGGCTTGCTGAGGACCCGTCGCGCAAACGTGAGGAAGTCTTCTACACCACCAAGATTGGAGATGCGTTTCACGGCTACGATAAGACGAAAAATGCCATCAAGGTGTCGCTGGAAAAGGCAAAAAAGATTCAGTATATTGATCTAATTCTGATCCACTCGCCACAGTCGGACGGCGAGAGAAGACACGGGACTTGGAAGGCGCTGGAGGAGGCGTACGAGGCAGGCACGGTGAAGAACATCGGCGTCTCTAACTATGGCATCAAGCATTTGAAGGAGCTTTTGGCGTACCCGGACCTCAAGGTGAAGCCCGCCATCAATCAGTTTGAGCTGCATCCCTGGCTGCAGCGGCCGGAATTGGTCGGGTTCTGCCGCCAGCACGATATTGCCGTTGAGGCGTACTCGCCGCTAGCCAGAGGCCACAAAGTCGCCGACCCTGTGGTGGTGAAAATTGCCGACAAGTACAACAAAACGGCTGCCCAGATCCTCATCAGATGGTCTCTTGAGCAAGGGTTCATCACCCTGCCAAAAACCGCCAACAAGGCCCGGCTGGCCCCGAACCTCGACGTGTTCAGCTTTGATCTGGCCCCAGAAGACCTCGAGACTCTCAATGGCCTCGAGGAGAACTATATCAGCGGCTGGGACCCAACAACGTATCCGCTGGACTCTGAAAAATCCTAGGCCAACGGAGACGCTATTCTGTTGATCTCCGATACTATATGGCTGCAGTTTTGTATGGTAGTTTCGTCTAAAACCCCATTGGCCAGTAATATCTCCAGATAGTCTCGCATAGCAATTAGTTCTGGGCCGACGAGTTGGCGAAGCAGGCTGTGATCGCATTGCACCGCCGTCCTCAGCCCGGCAAGCACCGCCTCCAACACAATCTCCTCGTACTGCACTACCAGCTGTTTCATGTGCTCCGCTAAAATTAAAACCAGCTCCCGTACCATGTCCAGCACCTGGATCGAGGACGGAATTGCGCAGTCGAGTATCAGCGCGAGTGTCCTCAGAAAATGCGAATTAAGGATCGACGAATAGTGGCCAATCACAAATCCAGAGCCTGTTTTCGAGTTCACGTACTGCCAGGTCGAAACCAGCAGGAAATACATTTTTGGCAGCTCGTTGTTGATGAACCTCGTGTCTTTGGTTTTGGTCGGCTTTTTCTTGGTCAGTCGCGACGAGATGCGCGTGACCGTCCCCGTCAGTTTCAGCGTATCCATCTGCTCGGTGATACTTTTGAGCTCCGGTTTCTGCTGCTCTTCATACTGAATAAACTGTTTGTGTATATTTTCTGGTAGCCGCTGCGGTCCCAGGCCAGGCACCTTTTCTTTACCGGCCACAAACTCGTCATTGAGGCCTGCCTTCTCTCTGGCACTCAGACTCAAACAGCTCAGGATCAAAACCCGTCTGTTGAGCGAAATGTCACCAGAAAAAAAACTCTTGATTAGGAACGCCGTCGCCTGCTCAAAATCCCCAACGCATATGGCTATGCAGCATGAGAGTCGCCACGACTCAAAGTCGGCGAGTTTATACGAGTTTGGAAGGCCCAATACCAAGTCCAACAGCGCCTCGCTATAGAAATGGAGCTCCTGGCTGTTTGCTTTCGTACGAACCAGCGGAGCAAGCACTTTGTACAGAATTTCGTGTTTTTCGTATGCAAGCTGGTCTTTCTGGGAGTCTGCCTGTAAATACGATATCACCTCCTTGAGGTAGACAGGCGTCGGAACAGTGCGTTTGCGCGGAACCGTCTCGTCGTCCGAATCCTCTGGGTCAGAGTCGATGACGACGGGAGCTGGCTTAAGAATTTTCGTCTCTGTGTATTGTCTTTCTATGGTTTGTTCTTTGCTTCTGATGATGGAAAATGCTTCCTCAAGTGTGCAGTCGGGAATGCGTTTAGTGATTTTGCTCATAAAATTCTCTCTCTCCCGATTGTGCTCCTCAATGTCAAACATTGGCTTTTTATTCATTCGTTCGTATATTAGATCGCCCACAACCATCCCGAAAAACCTCACCTTCGGCGAGTTCGACTCCAAATGGTTGCTGATGGCATCGAGAAACTCGCCTTGCGTCGATATCTCCTTTATCTGTGCATCGTTGAGCCTCAGCAGCAACAAAAGCAAAAGCCGAGTCAAACGCTCGTGTTCGCCAAATGACGTCTGCTGGATGTACGATTTCAACGAGAACAGCGAAATAAACCTGTGAACAAGTGGTTCATCCACCTGCAAACAACCAACAACAATCTTCTGCAGTTCCAGAGGCGAGTTCACCACAAACGAGACTGCTGTGGGCCCATCGTGGATATCGAGCTCGGCAATTAATTTATTGTAGCCAGCAACGTTACTGTCGTGAATAGCAGACTCTATAAGTCCTAAAAGCTGCTTTAAGAATACCATGTCATTTTTCTCATTAAACTTGGCCACCAAACGAGCGTAAACGGTCTTCTCAAAAGGATCCACAGAGTGCATCCTCAAACAACCGTTCACAAACCTCCAGTCAGCAACGCCTGAAGAAAGTGCCAGCGAAAGGAGACACTGCGGGTATTTATCTGCTGCTTCCCTCAATTCGTCACTGCGTATCTCTATGGCGGCCCTATTCAGCTCCTCATATACCCGTACAGTCAGCAAAGACCGTAATTCTGACAGCTCGCTATGCTGGACGTTTGTCAAAATCTGTTTGAACCTGGGCGCACTGACGGTATCTGCCAGTGCCTGCGCAACATTCTCGTCCAATTTCCGTTTGCACTGCAACACCAATTGGCCCAGACCAACTCTGCAACATAGAAGATCGCAGATCACCCATCGCACTTCCTCGTCTGCTAGCTTGTATACGCTGAGCGTATGATTGATCAGCGTTGATGCTATTTGCAGGCGTTCGGCATCTTTTTGGTACGCACCTAGGTAGCCGAGCAGCTCCAGAATATTTGCAGGGCCTTTCTTTAGCTGCTCCAAGTAGACTTTTAGCTCCATGGTTTTTTTTTCCTAATTACTTTGATTTTACCGATTTTATTTTTATTTGATTTTTTTTTTTTATGAACCCTCTGGTGCCCTTTGACCACACCTACATCCTCTACGACGAGTCGAACATTTTCAGCCTTGCGGTGGCGCTGTTCTCTCTCCTACCCATTCTGATCCTGGTGTTTCTCTTCTCCTGGTTTGTTGTGACTCGCGAAATCGAATGCTGTCTCATTGCACTGGGACAAGTGATCAACGATGTCATCAGCTGCATGCTGAAGAAGCTGGTGAAGTTGGAGAGACCGACGAAAGGGCAAATCTTCAAGAAAGAAGGCGGGCTCGTCTATGGGATGCCATCATCGCACGCACAGTTCATGGCATTCTTCGTCACGTACATGTCGCTGCGGATGTTCCTGCAGTGGCCAACCCCGGTGGAAAGGTCAACGAAAATAGGGCTGTCTGTGCTTCTTGTCGCAGCTCAGGTCCTTGTGTGCTACTCGAGACTCTACTTTGAGTACCATGACCTTGCTCAGATATGGGTGGGCACGCTTCTGGGCCAGGTTCTCGGGAGCTTGTGCTTTCTGGTTGTAGCGCTGCTACGGGATCTTGGAGTGGTCAATAGGGCGCTCGACTTGCAAATATGCCAATTTCTATTCATGAAAGACTCATTCTACTCCAAAAATGCCTACCGAACGCTGCGCGACGAGTGGCTTGAATGGAGGAAACAACGCTAGCTCTGCCCCTTCGTAATTTTCGGGGGAGCAGGAACAGTTCCGTGTGTGGTCTTGCCTTCGCCATCAATGAGTTTAGACTTGGCTGTTTCCTCCTCGAAATAGCTCTGAAGATCGCTTTTTGGTGCAACGTACTTGGACGCTTTCTTTCTTCTCGCAACCGGATCGGCAGGCGTGTCTGCAAACGAGGGAGCACGAACTGCAGGCTGCAACACGTTATCTGATTGCGCGGGCACATCTGGCGCCCCAGGCTGTGCACTGAACATCACACCCCCGGGGGTCAGATCCACATCGGAGTCGTCGTCGTCCTTGTGGTATTTCCCCACCACCTCGGGTATTTTGTGGAGCAAGCCATATCCGATATCGCATCCCAAAAGCCCGCGGCCGCCCCACGTCTCGTTTGGATACACCGTCACCGGCCTCACGGCGTCGTAGTCGTGGTTGTAAACGTATAGCACGACAGAGCACGGCGTTGCGCCGGACGTAGCGCTCTGCTGCCATTTATTGTATACTGACTGGATTACTCTGCCCAGCAGATCTTCACCCCCTGTAGCCAGCAGCCCGCCCTCACAGTTGAGTATGTACTCGTCCGGCATGATCCCCGCGTGGTACGCCGGCGAGTTCGGATGCACGCGCATCACGTGCCACACGTACCCGGCCGTGCTCAGGGGTGTCAGTTGCAACGTAATTTGGAGTCGTTTGAATGCCGAGTTCTGCACCACGTTCCCGTCCTGTGGGGAGGGCGATATGCTGATGTCATCTAGCTGCTCGTTTTTATCCGCCGTGAACTCATGATTAGGAATTGTGACGTCCCTTTCCACTGCTCCTTTTGCGCTCCACACACGCAACACGAGATCGGACTTATTCGTGTTCACCTCGTACGCCAAGAACTCTAGCAGTCGCGTATAGTCAGAGGATTGTTCCTGGCGTGCGTACGGATTGGAATCATGCGACTGGCTGCTCTGCAAAAAGGACACCACTGGGTACCCGTTGATGGCCATGATGAAATCGAACCAGGATTCAAACCCATATTTTTCACCTAGCGAGTTTTTGTCAACAGCCAACACACGCAGGCCCACAGAATTTTCGGTACTGGTGTCTGACCCGGCACTGAGATAATTGGTTGCCTGGGTCTCCAGAGTGGACACTATTTTTTTAGCGAATCCAAACATGTGGCAAATAAAAATAAAAAATTTAAAAAAATACATATAAAAAAAAAATATTTTTTAATTAGTTACTCATAATTTGGAGATTGACCGCACTAAGGCCAGCCCAATTCCGGCGCCACTTTTCCTGCCTAACAGACATGTCCGCTACTCTCGAAACAAAAATTTTGCCGGTGAAGCCAGAGTCCATATCCTTCGACACTACAGGAACAACCTTGACCATCACTGATCCAGAAACAAAGCAAAATTTAGAATATGCAGCAGACATTCTTCGGAACACACACCACGCCGTTGGGTTTCCTTCCGAGACGGTCTACGGACTGGGGGCCTCGAGTCTGAGCTCCCAATCTGTCAAGTCCATATACGCTGCCAAAAACAGGCCAGCAGACAACCCTCTAATCTCGCACGTTTCGTCGATCGACCAGCTGAAACGGAAACTTATGGTCCCGGGACAGGAGATTCCTGAGATATACGCACCTTTAATTGAAAAATTCTGGCCTGGTCCACTCACAATCCTGTTGCCAATGCCTGAAAACGTCCAAGACTCTCCTATATCACAGCTCGTCACGTCTGGACAGCCCACGTTCGCCGTGAGGATGCCGCAAAATCCGGTTGCGCGTGCTCTAATTTATATTGCCGACCTTCCACTTGCTGCACCGTCCGCCAATGCGTCGACAAGACCTTCTCCGACAACGGCCGCACACGTCTACCATGATCTCAAAGGCCGCATTCCGCTTATTTTGGACGGCGGACCGTCCGATGTTGGGCTTGAAAGTACGGTTGTCGATGGTCTGTGTGACCCGCCAATGCTTCTCAGACCCGGCGGAATCTCGCTGGAGCAAATAAAACAGGCAGGCGGTCCCCGGTGGCAGAATATTGTGGTTGCAAAAAAAACAGCAGGAAAATTAGAGCCCGTGCGGACCCCGGGAATGAAATACCGCCACTATTCGCCGACGGCAAGGGTGGTCTTGTTCAATAACTGCGGGGATGGAAAGGAAAAAGTCAAAGCATATCTGGAACAGAACAATCTGCGAAATAAAAAGGTTGCTCTACTCAAGACCCGTCACTTTGCCCCGGCATGTGATATCAGCCCTCTTATTTCCTACGACGGGACACTTGGAACTTCAGGCAACGAAATCCAGCGGAATTTGTTTTCTGCTTTAAGAGCCCTGGACGCCGAGGAATGCGATTACATACTGATTGAAGGCGTGGACGAGACTGCCGAAGGTCTTGCGATCATGAATAGACTAAGTAAAGCAGCCAGCGAGACCATAAATGGATGAACTTTTATTAAACACACATATTTTCACAAACCCATTACAACTCATCATGAGTACTGTCCTTAGTGTCGGACTCTGGTTTATCAGCTCCGTCGCTCGTTGCGTCTCTGATGGCCAAACCGTCAACACCAAAGGTACCCTTTTCCTGAATGAAAGAAGCCAGAGACTCGAGAGTTCTTTGACCCTCGTAACTGACCGGACCAGAACCGTCAGCTGGATAAAGTAAAATGGTAGGATATCCGGTGATCTCGACGCCCGAAACGTCGTTAGCTGTGTGGTCAATCTTGGCGATCACGACCTTGGCACTTGCAGCGGTGTCGTTCTTGTAGATAGCAGCCAGCTCTTCATACGTTGGGGCAAGTCTCTTGCAGTGACCGCACCATGGAGCATAGTACTCGACCAGAACGTCCTTCTTTTGGTTGACGATCTTGTCGTGCTCGTAGCCGACCAAGTGGTAGACAGCCTCCTCTTGAGTCTCTGGAATAGGCTCGCTCTTGACAATTGGCTCCAGCTTGCCCTTCTTGAAGTTTTCGACAAATTTAGGAATCTCAGAGAATTCCAGATCCTTATCTTGGGAGATGCCGTACTTTAGGTCTTTTTGCAGATCGTGAATGACAAACAGTGGGAACTTTTCTTGCATGTTGAGGTTTTTAGCGTGCATTCCGTATTTCTTGGCCTCGAGTCCGGCGAAATTGATCTCGCCTCTATATTTCTTGGCCAACTTGGTGATTTCGTCTGCGACAGCAGCCTTCTGAGCCTCCTCCTCGTAGAAGAAGTATGCTAAAGGAAGCTTGGACTCCATGTAAGCCTGGAACGTGGCACCTGTGACCTCGCCAAAAAGAGGCTTGGTCTCAACACTGATGAAGCTCTGCAATCCCTCCTCATCTATAGTCTTGTTGGAGAGAACCGATGCATCCTCAGTCTTTTCGCCTGGTCTGAAAACAATGTAGGTTGGAGTGGATTTTTCCTTGACGTATTTCTCGACATACTCAGGGTTGGAGGTTGACACGAACCTGAAGTTGTCTCTGAGACGGTTGGCCAACAAATGGAACGTCTCGTTGCCGGAAGACTTCGAGTCAGGTGGCAGAACTTGCAAGATCATTGGTTCGCTCAGATCGGCAAGAGCGTCCAGGAGATCGGCCGTATCCTCAAGCAAAGACACCGGAGGCAGGGCTTGTTTGATCATGTAGCTGACAATTGCGTCTTGTTCTCTCTGGCCCTGGTAGTCAGATGGCGAGTTGTTGCCTCTGAACACCTTGAGAGTTGGATATCCACGAATACCATAGTCCGCACAAAGATCTCTCTCTCGTGTGCAATCAATCTGGGCAAGCTTAATGTCTTTCTCGACAAGCTTGTCGGCAGCGGCGCTAAACTCAGGTCCAAGACGCTTGCAGTGGCCACACCATGGCGCAAAGAACTCAGCCAAAACGAGCGGGTTCTCCTTGATAAACGACTCAAAGCTTTCGGCTGTCAGCTTCACAACAGCGGAATCTGGAGACGCAATGGCTGCTTCTTCCGCGTCACCTTTGACCACAGCCATCATGGCCAAAACAGAGGTCAGGATCGAGACATTAAACAACTTCATAACGACTCCGAAAAATAATTTGATTTAATTGTCTCTATACGTGTCGAAAATATTTGTTGCGTGGCAAAACAAGACACGTGAGGGTAAGTACTATGGGGAAGGCAAAAAATAAAAAAAAAAAAAACCCGTCCGTCAAACTTAGTAATCCCGCTCCACATTACCCGGCCGGAGTCTATCTTTATGGGGATTATTTAGTGAGCCTCAAGATAAGATTCGTACCGGGTTCTTTGTCTCAAGTCGCCGCTATGTCCCGGAAAACAAAAGGTTCAATTGCAGCAAAGTCTGCCAGTCTATCGGGAAATAACCACACAGGGATTCATTCGCTTCTCTCTGCTGCCATACCGGGTTTAGCCCCTGAAATGAGCTCGATCAAGAACGATCAGCTATTGCTACTGATCATGCAGTATTTAACAGATTTGGGAGGCCCGTTCAAGGACATCGCTGACCACATAAGCCAGACTACAGGCCTCCAAGTCACAGACAGCCAACTTAGAGAGTTCAGCGATTTTTTACGTGACGCCAAAGTAGACCTTGAGGGTGCAAGTTCTTTAGAATTGATAAACAACCATATAGCCCAGCTCGTGGGGGATGACTTGCAATTAGCAAGAATACAACGAGACGTCCGTGTGCTGATCAAAAAGACCTTGTTTTTAGAAAGTCTGATACTCCTTAGAAATAACAACCGAGCATTGCGAACTCTCAGAACCCTCACAGCAGACTTTCCTGACGATGAAAAGGTGGAAAGCTTGAGCAAGAATTTGAGCTCTTTGCTTGTCAGTTTTGGAGACCAGGTCGAGCTTGTTGACTCCAGCACTGAGGCTTTACTCGAGGAGCTAGGATGGCAAATTGGAGGAGACTTTCGTGCTTCGAGAGAGAGCCTTGTCAACCAGGTACTAGCGCTGCTCCCCTCGGATAAGGTTGTACCACCGAATAGACTAGCACAGCTGCTGCAACAGGCCTTGGCCTACCAGCAGCTAAACGACCCTTACTACATTCCTACGACCACCTCGTCCCATCCTCTGACCTTACTAAGAGACGCAAATACATACATGAAGGACAAGTTCCCCAAAAATCTGAAGATGCGCCTTGAGCACCATGAAAACGAGTGCTGGTTCGTTAAATACTCCAACACGGGGAAATATTTGGCCAGTGCTTCGGTTGATAAAACAATTGCTGTTTACGATACCCAAACTTACCGATTGCACAAGCACCTCATTGGTCACGACAATACGATCATCTACCTGTCGTGGTCTCGCGATGACTCCAAGCTCATCACCTCTTCTTTCGACCAGACCGTCAAGGTGTGGGATCTTGAATCGGGTAGCTGCATTGCCACCATCTCCGACCAGGATCTATTCAACTCAAATGTCCGGATCCGGTCAGTAGAGTTTTTCAAAAACAGTGACCAGTTTATCATCGGCTCACCAGACAAAAAGCTGTGCATCTTCAACTTGGACAAGGAGCTGGTATATGATTTCAAGATCTCGCACCGAATAGAAGATCTGGCTCTGGTCAACGACGAGAAGTTGCTTGTTGTGACGCACTCGTGCCAACTGATGATTTACGACATCACTTCCTCCAGCTACGAGCTTTCTAGTATCATCAATATTGAAAAACAATTGACCTCCATAACCGTTTCGCCTGACGATCCCGACCACTGTCTGATAAACGTGAAGGCAGACGAGTTACAACTTTGGAACATTTCCAAGACGTCCAGACCGTACCTCGTGAACAAATACTACGGACTCCAACAGTCGGACTACATAATTAGGGGCTGCGTTACAGATAGGAACCTTGTTCTTAGTGGTAGCGAGGACGGCCTGATTTACATTTGGAACAAAAAATTTGGAAATCTCATAGAGTGTTTGAAAGGGCACAAGTCTCTCATCAACTGCATAGACTGGAAGCCAACCGACAGTGACGACTACGAATGGGCCAGCTGTGGCGACGACGGGGTTGTGAACATCTGGGGCATTTAAGAGTCTATCCATCCTGTTCGTGTTCCAAGACGGTGGCTTCGTTGATCCCACGATCAACGTCGATTCCGTACCAAAAGACAGGGACGGCAGCGATCAGAAACACAAAGAGCAACCAGAAACATTTGCGAATATCGTGTGTTTTGTCAATGATGAGGCCCACCAAAAATGGTCCAACAATAGAAGAGCCTTTATCTGTGATGCTAAACAGCGCGAAAAACACAGACTCCTGACCCGGTGGAATCAGCATCGAGTAGAGACTTCTTGAGATCGTGGCCACGCCTCCGAGAGAGAAGCCGTACCAGATAGCCAGTACGTACATCTCCACGGCGTGGTGGAGACCCAATGACCGAATAAAAAAGCCCAAAATCCCGTATAGCGGGATTAAGGATGCCCATACGATAATCAGAATCATGGTCTGTTTGAGTCCGAGCTTGAAGTATGGTTGGATTACGTTTGGAAGCAGCACGGACCCAGCAATGGCGGATATCATTGTGAGGACGCCGATTTGAGACAGCTGCACCGTTGTCATTTGCAGATCTGACTTGGCAAACAAAATGGCCGTGGAGTTGATTGTCGTGAGCGAGTCGGAGATGATGAACCAGCCCAAAAGAAACGCCATGATGTCTTTTAGTTGCGACGCCGCTCTGGCAGCAGAGAAAAGGGTTTTGTAGCCATGCAAAATATACGCTCCCACCACGAGCATTTTATATCTTACGATATTAACGGAGTAACCTGGCTTCGATGGGTCCGGAGGCTCAATCGAGACGTGCAATTCCTTGGAAAGCCGTGGTTTCAGCAAGAACTGTATGGGCAGCTGGAAAACAAACCACCACAGTCCTACCAAACCAATAACTAGCTTCAGAGGGTAGATGAGCGAGTCTATATTTGGATTATTTCTCACATGGAGAATAACAAGCATTGTGATGATCTGCATCAGAAGAGCGGAAATATAGCCGGAGGCAGCGCAGATTCCGCTGATTTTGGACGATATTTCACCCATTCTTGCCAATTTTAAGGATTTCGATAGGTGTATCTGTCGAACCGACGGATGATTATTCACCAAGAGCGACAGAAACGAGTTTCCGCAAACATTGACTCCTCCAAACGCGCTGTTGGCCAATATCGCCAGCATCGACGCCATATAGTAGTTCCTATCGTCCACCAACCAATAACACATGGTGATCAGGCCCCCAGTGACTCCGAACCCGACAAGCATCGATTTTCTGTGGGACCCTCGATCAGCAGCTCCAGACATGGAAATCACAAGAATTGTCTGGATAAGGACCGACATTGAAAATGTATAAAGCGCGTAGGAGGAGGTGTCGATGTAAAAGCGGCCACCAAACATGGGAAGTACGCAAGAGTCGTTCTGCGAAGCGTATGTTAGTGTGCTGTTGGGGAAGTCTCCGTCTTTGGGAGGCGAGGGAATCGGAATTGTAGGGTCATGGGGCTGGTTGCAGGGTGTAATCTTGTCAATAAGTTTCACACCATTGTCTCTTGCAATTTGCTCAAGCAGCAATGGAACGTATGTGCCCACGACGCTGACGATAAACGGCTCGGCAGCCCAAGAGTAGAGACACCACCCAAATACCTCCGCACCGGTGGTAAACGGTTGGTTAATATTTTCGGGCAGAACGAGAGACGGCTCGTCGTCGGACGAAGAGTCAAGCAAAGGTTCGGTCATATCAAGACGGCAAAGGCATCCAGTGCGCTTTCGAATGCTAGTATTTAATATTTAATATTCAAATATGTATACATCTGTCAATCGTAGCCGCGGGTATTGTTCAATTCAATAAAGTGGCAAAGAAAATAAAAAACCTAAAATTCAACATGGACAGACTGCAATCGTTATTAGGTTCCAGAATGGGCGGCCTCGGAGGTGCCCAGCAGGGTGATCAGCCGGCAATTGACAACGCCGAGACTGTGTATATCTCGTCGCTTGCTCTCCTCAAGATGCTGAAGCACGGCCGTGCTGGTGTGCCGATGGAGGTGATGGGCTTAATGCTCGGCGATTTCATTGATGACTTCACCATCCACGTGGTTGACGTGTTTGCCATGCCACAGTCTGGTACAGGTGTGTCTGTGGAGGCTGTGGACGATGTTTTCCAGACTAAGATGATGGACATGCTTAAACAGACCGGCAGAGATCAGATGGTGGTGGGATGGTACCACTCACATCCTGGTTTTGGGTGCTGGCTCTCGTCCGTCGATGTCAACACACAGCAATCTTTCGAACAATTGAATCCTCGTTCTGTGGCGGTGGTGATAGATCCTATCCAATCGGTGAAGGGCAAGGTGGTGATAGATGCATTCAGATCGATCTCGTCGCAGACTTTGATGCTTGGACAGGAGCCTAGACAGACCACGTCGAATGTGGGTCTGCTCAACAAGCCAACCATTCAAGCATTGATACACGGTCTCAACAGAAATTACTACTCGCTAAACATTGATTACAGAAAGACTTCCAAAGAAACAGACATGCTTTTGAATCTGCACAAGAAGGAGTGGACTGCAGGACTGAAGCTCCATGACTATAACGAGAAACAATGTAACAATCTCGAGGCCTCAAAGAAGATGGTCAAGATCGCGAAACAATACGTCGAAAGGGTGGTGGAGGAGAAAGAGCTGACCGAGGAGCAGCTCAAGACCCGTTACGTGGGTAAGCAGGATCCTAAGAAGCATCTGGGCGAAACGGCAGAGACGCTCATTGAGGAAAATACCGTCTCCATCATTACAGGAAACGTTAATAGATTAGCTATCTAATGCATTCTGTCTATGCTATCTTTTGCCAAAATTGCAAGTACGTCTGGTTGAGGAATAGGAGGTCTTTTTCGATCGGCTTGACCTTGAGGTCGTCGATCTCAAGCCACTCGTTGCGCACCTCATCTAGAACGTGTATTTTGTAGTGAGCCTGGTCCTCTCTCTCCAGGCTGTAATTTTCGTTCTGGCCGCTGCTATACACCACGTTGGCTATGAGCTTATACACATGGGTGTCAACTTTCAGTTGCGACGGGTTGAATTTCACCACCGTTGGATTGATGTTGGATCCGTTCACGCCTGCGATTTTCTGGGTATCGTCCTTTCTTTTAATGTAGAAAGTCAGGAACTGGGGCGCTTTGGCTATTTTGTACTTTTTCGCCGCCAACAGGTCTTCAAGTGCCACCTGGGGAATCTCGAGCTTGGCACCATCTTTAAACAAAGTCACCGACGGCAGTGTCAAGGTGAGCATCCAGAATTTTGACTTTCCAGATGGAAGTTCCACCTTCCCCTGAAAAATCGACGAGATCATATTATTTTGAAGTTCTGAAACCAGTTCTTTGTGCATGTTGTTGAGTAGCCACATGAGAAAGTCCTTGGGCTCGCTTTCGTGATGAAGTGAAAATCTCTTATTAGTCGAGGAGGATACGAATTGCATTAGTTCATGGGCAGAAAGATGAGATTTGAACAGGTTTGGAGAATACATCTTTCGCACCAAAAGAGAAAGCTTGCCCACCAGCTTGGTCTTGTGGAGTTTTTCAGGATACAGTAGTAGATAGTCTCTCAATGGAGGAACGTGTGCCAGGGCCTGCAAAATTACATTCGAGTAGTCGTTTGCGCCAAAATTGCTCAGTCCAATGAACCCGGGACGGTACTCCCGGCCAGCAAGATCGCGCTTCAGTGAAGTGTCTTGATATATGTCTTTTAGGTCCTTGTATGTCGGGTTGATCTGCTGTCGAATATCGTTCAAAGAAGAGGCGGTCTGCTCGTCCAATTGGTAGTTCTCCGGCAGGATATGGAACGAGAGAGTGTCGAAATTGACAAAAACGTGGTGGTCGTCGTTTATCGAGTGCAGAAAGCATTCTGAGTCCATTGACCGGCCTCTGAAGTATTTGTTGCACACCAGACAGCCGTAGATATTGGTGCTAGACAGCGAGACACAACAAACCTTTTCATAATCGAAATCGAGGACTTTCCTGTTGATTGTGTCCAAATACAGCGACTTGTCTCGAGTCGAGATTTTCTTTCTCTCCGTGTCGGCCTCTAAACTATCCTCTATTTTTCGCTTTGTCATTTAAATTAGACGAGAAATTAAAAATAATTTTAATCTTTAATTTATTTCTTATCATGTACCCTGCGAAAGCCCACGCCAGGAAAGTGAAAGACCACTTTTTGACCAAAAAACCCAATGCCAATGCCGCGTTCTTCATCGCAGGTGCCTCGCTGAAGCTGTATCCTTACTGCGACCAGACGTCTCCTTTGAGACAAAACAGATACTTCCACTACCTTACGGGTGTGAACCAAATCAGTGGTTGTTTTGTTCTGTACAACCTTTCGACCGACAGATTGACCCTTTTTCTGCCCGATGTCGACGTTGACGACATAATGTGGAGCGGCCTGCCTCTGTTTCCCGAAGAGGCAATCAAGAAGTTCGATGTGGATGAGGTCCTCTACGCAGCCGTAGTGGACACAGTGTTGCAAGAGCTCCTGGCCAACGGAATCGAAATCTTCACTACTGACACGGAAGAGTATTCAAGCCAGAAGTTTGCGAAATACGTCACTGCCGGAGACAAGGACTTCTTCTATGCACTAGACGAGGCCCGGTTGATCAAAGACTCATTCGAGCTCGAGCTCATGCGCAAGGCTGCTAAAATTACCGACAACTCGCACCTTGCAGTCATGTCGGCCCTGCCTATAGAGAACAACGAGGGCCATATCCACGCGGAGTTTGTCTACCATGCGATTCGTCAAGGCTCCAAGTTCCAGGCTTACGATCCTATTTGCTGCTCTGGTCCATCGTGTGGCACATTGCACTACGTGAAAAACGACCAGTCTCTTGCTGGAAAGGAGAGCGTTTTGATCGATGCCGGAGCCGAGTGGGAGTGTTATGCGTCCGACGTGACCAGATGCTTCCCGCTCAGCGGAGTGTGGACCAAAGAGCATCTGGAGATCTACAAGGCTGTGCTGGAGATGCAGAACGAGTGCATGAAGAGAATCAGGCCTGGCACACACTGGGACGACTTACAGCTGCTGGCGCACAAAGTGCTGATCAGAAACTTCCTCAAGCTCGGCCTGTTCAGGGGAGACGAGGAGGACATTTTCCAGTCTGGCGTGTCTGCCAGCTTCTTCCCTCATGGACTTGGCCACCTTCTGGGCATGGACACCCATGACGTGGGCGGGAACCCAAACTACAATGACCCGAATCCAATGCTGCGGTATCTGCGGCTGCGCAGAAAGCTGGAGCCGGGCATGGTGGTGACGAACGAGCCGGGGATCTACTTTTCTCCGTTCCTTATGGAGCCTGCGCTGAAAAACCCAAACACCAGCAAATATATTTGCAAGGAAGCAGTGGACAAGTACATGTACATTGGGGGAGTGCGCATTGAGGATGACGTGGTGGTGACTGCGAACGGCCATGAAGTGCTCACGAAAATCACGAGCGACCCGCACGAGATCGCCCAAATCATCCAGAAGGGGCTGGCCAAGGGTCGTTCCGGCTTCCATGTTGTAGTTTAATACAGCTAGCTATACACCGCATCTAAACACGTTAGATCGCTGGTGGCGGAGCTGGATGGTCTCCTTGCGCTCGAGAATGTTCAGAGCCTTTTCCAGCGCCGCCAGCGAGTAGCTGCCCTTCTCAACAAACTGTCTTCTGAGCGTCGCGTACGACGTGGACCAGCCAAGCGGCAGTCTGCGCTTGATCTCGCTCTCGATCTTGTGGATCTCCGACGTTATCTGCGCGTTGTCGGAGTTTCCTTCGTGGACGGCGTCCATCGTGGACGCGTTGAACAGCCGAATCGCCTCCTCGACGTGTCTCTCTGTAGCGACAGGCGACAGTTCTAGCTTGGCCAGCGCCTCGGTGATCCGGATAATGGCCTCGAGCTGCCGGATGGTGATTGGGATAGACGACCGCTCGGTCGAGTGCGACTCCTTGTTTTTCACCTCTTTCCGGATTCCAACAAAGTGTGACGACAGCATCTCGCTCGCCTCATACGACAACCGTGGCGCGCACTTGACCTTGCAGTACTGGATGTACCGCTTCATCTTCTCCAGCGGGATCTCGCCCTCGACCTGCGTCTCGGCAGACCCGCCGTTCGTGTGGATATTCATCACGTGATGCGCAATGGCCTCGTCGCGCTGCTGGTTGTGCTCGTCCTTGACGATGAAAATCATGTCGAAACGCGACAAGATTGTAGTTTGAAAGTCAATGTTCTCGCCCGGCGACTTCATGTCGTCGTAGCGGCCAAATATCGGGTTCGCTGCCGCCAACACCGACGTCCTCGAGTTCAGCACCGTTGTGATGCCCGCCTTGGCAATCGAGATCGTCTGCTGCTCCATGGCCTCGTGGATCGCCACACGGTCCTCATCGCGCATTTTGTCGAACTCGTCAATGCACACCACACCCCCGTCCGCAAGCACCATCGCTCCTCCTTCCAGATAAAAGTCTCTCGTTGTTGGGTCTCGCTGCACCGACGCCGTCAGACCAGCCGCAGACGATCCTTTACCAGATGTATATAGCGAGATCGGCGACACTTTCTCCACAAACTTGAGAAGCTGCGACTTGGCCGTGCCGGGATCTCCCAGCAGCAGCACATTGATGTCTCCTCTGAGACGCATGCCGTCCGGCAGTATCTTCTTCGAACCGCCCATCAATAAACACACAATGGCCTTTTTTATGTCGGCGTTGCCGTAAATCGATGGCGCAATCGAGTTAGAAAACCGCTCATACAGGTTTGGCGACCGAGCCAGCGACAGAAACTCTTCCTCCTCCTCCTCAGAGAAAACAGAGCTCAGACCTCCCGTCTGTGCGTCGCGGTCCGTCTGGATGCCCAAAACGTTCATGTACGGGTTTCTGATGGCGACGTTGTTGGCAGAAGGCCCGTTTCGGACCTTGGCTTGGTAGATCGAGTAGATTCCAACCACGTCGCACCGCGTGCCTGGAATGACCCTGTTACACAAGTTTCTGTCGACGCTCAACAAAATGTGTCTGGGCATCTCTCCGATCGGCACCATGTCAGTGGTTTCCTGAAGCTTGAGCACCTGCTGGTCAATGAACACGGATTTGTCGTGGACAATGATGTATGGGTCGGGAGGACACTGATTTTTTTCTCCGTTAGGCTGCTGAGCGCTTTGACACGATTTGGGCGTCTGGATGGCGCCAAAAGATGAGCCAACCTTCATTTTCATCGTGTGTCTGCACGAGCGGCACATCAGAGTAACATCGGTGGCCTTGGAGTGGAGGGTGGACGCGGAAATCACGATTCCCGAGATCTTGACGATTTTCGAGATATGTTCAGAGTCCAAGTTTCTGATCGAGAGCCTGTTGTCGTTGGAAAGCAGAATCAGCTGGCAGGTGGGGAAACTGGCGGGCGTTTCCTCGTGGGAAATGAAAATGATTCTTCTCGCAATCTCGGTGATGGCCCTTTCGAACAAGGGGACCATTTCTGACGGGTCGTCCATCAGTTTCTTATTGAGTTCATCATTATAGCTAATCAGATGCTCGTTGTGCACCGTGAGCTGGTATTGTTTAACAAGGATATTTTCTCTGAGCTGATCTCTGTAGATGAATTGATTGTCGACTCTAAACTCGAGAATGAACCGTTTAAATGCTTTGATGACCTCGCTGAACTGGTCTTCGCTGGCTGCTTCTCCAGGAAGCACTGAGGTAGTGTAAATATCTGCTCGTTCAAAAGACATGAGAAGAAACAAGGGGGTAGATTTTTTTCTTACACGTCCGTAACAAATTAATTATCCCTTTTCAGAAGTGTAATTACGCGTAACAACCGTAAACCGGCTGGCGATGAATATCTGAATTTTTTTTTAATTTAAATTTTTTGCAAATGTAGAGATGTATTGATAAAATTTTAAACAGTTTTATTTATTGTTTATTGCTTGTTGTTTGTTTGAAACGCAATAAAAATGGCGCAAGATAAGCAAACATCGGGCACAGAGCCGTCGACGGAGCCGAAGTCGCCGGTAATCGATCCTCAGATCACCAAGGAGCTCGACCACGAACACATAGACCAGCAACAGCTGGAGCTGCTCACCTCTCAGCTTCCTGGGTTTCGATTTGATAACATCGAGCAGCTCAATGACGAGGAGCTGAATATTCATTTCCAGAAAATTATCGGCGACCAAGAAGAGCACAAGGATGACAAAGACGGCAGCAAGCCGGAGGATGTAAACAGCGAGAAGGAATCACAACAACCAGAGGACGAAACACAGCTCAAATCGCATTCTGAGGCCGGAGCTGATAATAAAGAGAACAAGCCGGAGGACCGTAACTTGGACCCTACTTTGTCAATGTTGTCTGGGGAGACGACGACTTTCAAAGGCCTGTCCATTCCTAATAACTCGGAGCTGGTGCGAGAGACCACAGAGTCTCCAGCTTTGCGTGCATACCGCGAGCTGGTTCAGAGCCAGCAAACCCAGACTGGCCTGGTTGACGTTGTCCATGCTCAGCTAGCAGCTCTTCCGTTGACGTTCACCGCCCCATCGAATCTCTCTTTCAACATCCAGCTACTGATTAACACGTTGCCTGTGTTGGACAACTTGGCGACACAGATATTACGAATCATCTCCCAAGGGCCTTACCAAAAGATCATGGAACTGGTTTCCAATCGCGAGTCTTTTGCAGGCATTGCGTTTGGAAATCTAATCGAGCTTTTTGAGACCACAAAGCGGGTGTATAATTCCGAGGAAAGTCCGTTCTTCACGGTGGAAAATGTCACTTTTGGCCTGTGGAAGTACGGTGAGGCTGCGCCCGAGTTTTTCCGCGGCAAGGAAGACACAATAGAGGGTACGTTGCGCAAGGTGAATCTCGCGACTTTCCTTCTTGCGACGCTGGGACTGATTGACCTGGGGTTTTTCTTTCTGAACGAGGCGTTTCTCGACGTGTTCTGTCCGCCGCAGAACTTGGATCCGACGCGATCGCTGTCCAACCTCAAACAGGACAACACCCTGCAGTCCACCCTGTTAAGCTCGTCGTACCCCTTCGCACAGAGCAGCAGGGCCCCGAACAATCAGACCAAGTTTCTCAAATCGCATGCTATTTTATTCTTAGAGCTAAAAACACAGGCTTTCATTTCTGCCATCGAGTTGGGCGATCGTTCTAAGGAGGAAATCCTCAAGGATCTGTTCCCGGATAATCTGGATGAAATCTTGTTGAAACGCAAGCAACCTGACTTCGATACCTCGAAACATACCATTGTGCGCAACTCGACGCTTTTCACGCCGGCAGAGCTGGACTTTCTGGCCAGATGCGACTCCAGAAGGGATAATCTCATGAACATGAAGGCGGACGATTCGCTCATGGAAAAGTACGAGTGGATAAAGTTCTTGAACGATCTCCTGGACTATGTGTCCAAAAACGTGGGTTTTTTGATTTGGGGGCCAAAGGGAAAGATCACAAAGGAGCTTACGAGATTGCGGCTCAACACAGACTCTGCCGGGAAAAAACGACAGTTCGAGGGTGACAACAAAGAGCCAGGCGAGAGCACGTCTGAACCCGAGCAAAAGACCAAAAAAGCCAGAAGCTACCGACAAAACAGACCAACAACGTTCAGAAGAGTCTGGAGCCAAGAAGAAGAAGAAGCACTGAGGAACGGGCTGAAGCTCAAGGGAACGCAATGGACGGCCATTTTAGAGCTTTACGGGCCTGGCGGGTCTATCAGCGAGGCTTTAAAGAACAGAACGACGTTGCAACTCAAGGACAAGGCCAGAAACTGGAAGATGTACTATTTGAAGAACGGACTGGAGCTTCCTGATTATTTGGTGAAGGTCACAGGAGAGCCAGACAGAAACTACTCGCACGACTCGAACAGGGCAGCTACGAAGGTGGAAAGACCAAAGGCCGGAACTCGGCACGCAAACATTCAGACAACCGCTACTAAAACTACGCAGACAGAAGAAGCTGGAGCGAAAAAGCACGAGGAAGGAGGCGACCCCAGCTACGAGGACATCATCAACAACTTATTTGGGGCGAACGCCGAGCGTGCGAAGGGCAACCAAAAGGGCTCGTCGACGTCGCGCACTGACAACCCTGAGGATGCCACGAATGAACTCAAGGACCTGGTGGCCCAGGCGTTCGAGTCGTGATTTTTCTAGAAGCCTCTGGTTATGTAACCCGGACACCACATGTACTATTAGGTGAAAAAAATATCAAAAAAAATATTAAGCACTTATAATAAGATAGCATTGATTAATCTATGAACAGCGTCTTAAAAGTCAGATTGTTGCCTCGTCGGCTGATCTGGAACGTCGAGTCGCGCTATGTGAGACATACCAGGCCTCTCGCTTTCCGCGGAATAAGAAGCGCGTGCAGAGAATTCCATAGTAGCAGGCCCACCCAGCTGGAAGATCCGTACAAGACGTTGGGAGTTAGCCAGAGTGCCTCTCCCTCTGAAATCAAAAAGGCATACTATAAGCTTGCAAAGAAATACCATCCAGATGTCAATAAGGAGGAAGGAGCGGAAAAGAAGTTCCACCAGTTGCAAGAGGCATACGACATATTAAGCGATCCACAGAAAAAACAGCAATACGACCAATTTGGAGCCGCCGCGTTCGATCCAAATGCCGGCGGTGGATCCACCGGTTTTGGCGGAGCGCACGGGGGCAACCCATTCGCTGGTTTCCAGGGCGGGTTCCAAGGTGGCAATCCATTTGAAGGGTTTGGATTCAATTTCGAGGACCTGTTTGGAGGCATGGGCGGCGGCAGACAACGTGGGGTTCAGCATTTCCAGGGAGAGGATGTGGAGGTGTTGAAGACAATTTCGTTCCGCGAGGCCATTTTCGGAACCCGTACCACGATCGATTACAGAGCGGTGTGTCAGTGTGACGCATGTTCCGGCTCAGGCCTGAAGCGGAACCGTAAAAAGAGCACGTGCAGGAGCTGTGACGGAACGGGATCGCAGGTGTACCAATTGCAAGCTGGCTTCCAGATGGCGTCCACGTGCAAGGCCTGTGGAGGCAGCGGAGTATTTATCAATCCCTCGGACGCATGTTCGAGCTGTCACGGCGAGGGAGTTGTGGATCAGCACAGACAGACAGAGGTGAACCTGCCGAAGGGTATCAAGGACGGGTCGAGGATCCGTGTGAGCGGCGCCGGCAACGCTCCTCATACTACAACGTCGAAGGGCACTGTTCTGAGCAACGGTGACCTGATCATCAGAATCAAGGTGGCTCCAGACCCGGAGTTTGTGAGAGACGGCATAAATGTGATTTATAACTGCAAAATCGCCATGACGACGGCAGCCCTGGGAGGAACCGTGGAAATACCAACTCTCGAGGGCCAGAAGGTGAAGATCAAGATTCCTGCGGGATCGGAGCACGGAAAGGTAATCACGATTCCAGAGAGGGGTGTTCCGTACGCGGGCAACAGAAGAGGCGACCTCCGGGTGGTGCTGAACGTTGCTCCGTTGAGGCCGCAGAATGCTACGCAGACGGCGTTGTTGGAGGCTCTTGCGGACGCATTTGGCGATAACACGGCAAATAGAATGGATCCTAGCTGGAAGCCGCTGGAGAACGTTAACAAGGAGTCCTCGGCAGATGCCAACTGCGAGCATCCGTCGAACCTGAGACGGATCGAGTCCTTCCTAAGCAATGCGTTCAAGAAGATTCTGAACAAAGACGATAAATAATGACTAACGTGTACATACTGCAAGCAACTCCCCGTAGACGTTCTGGCCAGAGGACAATAGGATTGTTCACTCCGCAGCCAAGCCCCTACATTCTCAAACACGTCTCTGCGACACGCTTCTGCTGCACCGCCTGGTTATATTTAGTAGTTTCCATATATGGAAGGAGGTAAAGAAATCACCGCATCTTATAATTTTACGAATTTCCGCGAGTTTCACCTCTTGCTGCCTCCATGTTTCCTCCCTCGCTCCTGGAGGTGATCCAAGAGTCCTTTGAGGACGTTCCACTGGATGAGACCTTGTCGCGGTCCACCACGGCACGCTCTTTGCCCCGAAAGCGAGCCGTTCAGGGCCCCAGCACCGCAGAGAGCAGCTCGCAAGACGGCTTGGTGATTACGCCGTCCCAGCGGCTGCGATTGAGCCAAAAGAAGCGAGCCATGGCCGCCGAGATGATGAAGCGGTCGTCTGTGCTCGATACCTCCGACTTTCTGTCGGATGATGAGCTTCCCGACGACCTTATAGTGTATAACGTGCCGTACACGCGGCCGCTCCGGTCACTGTCGCAACACGAGCAGGCGTACCGGCCATCACCGCTGCGGCCGCTGCGCAAATACGGCTCTGTGTCGAGTTTTTCGAGCTTTGGCTCGCCCAAGACGCGCGCGTCCTCGATCTTCAGTGCTTCTTCCGATTTATCGGAGCTGAGTCTGCTGGAGGACGACTCAAAGTTTAGTGACGACGCGTGTATGCTCACTCTGAGCGAAGACCCGCTCGTGAACGAGTCGCTCGAGCGCATCGCGATGCTCAACAGCTACAAGCATCTTTCTGCGCCAACCACGTCCAAGGAGAAGCTAAACTACCTGACGGTGACGAGACAGACCAACCTGCCGCCTAAAGACCCGCGTGAGGCTTCTAAGCACACCAGAGACTACCAGCAGCTGCTGCAGACGCAGATTGACCAGGAACAGAAAAAAATGGCGGAGAGGAAGCGACAGCTCGAGCAGCAGGCCAAGCAGACGGAAAAAGACCGTGCCGCGTGGCGCGCCGTGTTGCGCAACTACGACAGCCTCGTGTGCTTGGCAGAGACACGGGAGCTGTGGTGGCGCGGCGTGCCGGCAGACTTGCGCGTCAACGTGTGGATTAGACAGATGGGCCGGACGGAGCTGACCGACTGCGAGATTGTGCGCTATCTGAACGACGCAGATGATATTATCAACAAGGCGTGCGATTTCAAGGTGCAACGGCCCGACCCGAAGGAATTTGCCTTGCAGAACAACAAAAACATCCAGCTGATTAAGAGCGTCGAGAAGTACTCCGACCTGATCCAGCAGGCTTTTCCCAACCTTCTAATATTCCAATTCGGACAGGCGTTCGACTCGATTCTCAAGGTGATGCTTGCGTTCAACTTGCACCAGCGCGAGTCGGGCAACCGGCAGTTCCAGCAGATCCAGCTCACAAACCTGGTAAATCTTATCTGCGTGCTCTACTACAACTTGCGCGACGAAAAACTGACTCTGCGCATGTTTGTGAATTTGGTGTCGAAAAAACTCATTTTCCATCTTCTGGTGGACACAAACAACGAGTACTTAGAGGACATTGCGGGCCAGTTCGACAAGTTCCTTGCGAAAACAAGCCCTGCCATCCACGCGCATTTCAAAGCGGTCGGCTTGCAACCGCTCACCGTCATCGCCAACACTGTGCCCAGTCTCTTCTCCAAATGTCTCAATATGGACGTGTGCAGCCGGCTTGTCGACATATACATCTTCGAGGGCGACACGTTCCCGCTGCGCGTGCTGCTCGCGCTGATCCGCAAAATTCAATATAAATTATTGGGCTCCAAAGAAGAGATTTGCAACGTGCTGGGCCACGAGTGTCTGGCGCATCTAAACAGATCCGAAAAATATGCATACAGGTATTTGGACGTCGGCGACGCTAGAGAGTTCATCGCGGATGTCCGCACGGTGCTGCGCCGCCAAAGCGTACCACAATGATACCTTCCTATATTATGTAATATACGTACATATTCTACAAACGTCACTGGCAGCTTTGCACTTTTTCAAGCAGGTTCTTGCCGTCTTCGGCCGTCTTGACGCGCGCGATATACGTCTCGAGCTTGCCGTCGGGCAAAAACGTTGGGATCCGCATCGAGTTGCCCTTTCCAATCAGCTCGTACTTGACGTCCTTCAAAATAGCCACGTTCAGCAGCACGTTCATGCTGCCCTCGGACCGCACCAGAATCCGCGACTTGCCCGTGTCTGTGTTCTTTAGCACCTTGAGCTCGCCCAGCCCGATCGACTTGTACGGATCCGCCTTGTCAGCCGCGTCAAACCTGAGCACCTTGGATTTTTTCGTGTACAAAACCGTCTCGTTTTCCTCGCCGGTTTTCGTGTCCACCTTCTGTGTCAGCTTGACAACGGCAAAGTCACCCTTGACGTCTTCGTTCTGCACCTCGTCGTCGTCGTTGGCAGCTTCGTCCTTGGATTCTTCTGGTTTCGGCGCAGAAAAGTTGAAGTTGAACGTAGAGCTAGCAGGAGCAGTGTCCTGCGACTTGGATGCAAAATTGAACGGATTGGACACGGCAGGCGTTTGTGCGGGCTGCGACGAGAAGTTGAACCCATTCGAAGGGGCGGAGAATGAGAAAGCAGGCTTGGCCGGCTCGGAGAAGGCAGAAGAGCCAAACGAAAATGTTGGTTTTTGATCCGGTTTTTGGTCCGGTTTTTGGTGCGGCTTCTGCTCTTCTTTGGTCTCCTTTGGCATGCTGAACGAGAATGCTGGTGTTGCTGCTGGTGCCGCTGCTGGTGTCTTTGAACTTTCCTGCTTTTCCTGTTTTTCAGCTGGCTCTGGCTGGCTGCCAAACGAGAACGCCGGAGCAGCTGTCTGACCAAACGAAAACTTAGGAGTCTCTTTGGTCTGCGTCTGGCCAAAAGTAAACGCTGGCTTATCCTCCTTTTTATCCTTCTCCTCTTTCGTCGGCAGCTTGAACACATCATCTTTGATCTGTGTGCCTCCAGGAAGTTGGAACTTTGGGCCTTCTATCTTGACGTCATCATCCGAATCCGAGTCCGGAGGCGGAGCCTGGCCGAACTTGAATCCGTAGTTCTTTGATTTAGGCAGCGTGTCAAGCTTGAACGCTGGTCCTTTTATTTCCACCGGCTTTTCCTCCTCTTCCTCGGCTTCCGCAGGCTTGTTATCACCAAAACTGAACTGCGGGTTCTTCACCTCGCCGACCTTCACGTCCACTTTCGGCACCTCTGCCTTTTTCACTGCAATTTTATTATTCACCACCTTGTCGTAATACTCATTGTACTTGGACAAAATGGGACGCAAGTCTGCAATAGGGTTCTTCTGAATAGCGTTGTTGACGGCCTCCAAAAACAGAGCATTCAAGGATTTAAACTGTGTAGGCTGGTCGTTGATAACCTCCTCGGTGGGCTTTGAGAATGCAACCGTATTGGCTGGTTTACTAGATTGTTCCGTGGCGGAGGCCCCGAGGAAACCAAAAGCTCCGCCAACTTTGGGCTCCGGCTTAGAGCCGTTCACAGCCTTGAGCCGCGGCTTCAACTTGGCAATAGGCCGCGAGGCCATCACGTCCGCAGAAGCACGCTTGGCTCCCTCGAACACTTCCTCGTCGCTGTCGTAGTCTTCGGCAAGAGCTGCGTCTGCCGTGAGCTGAGATTTGCTTCTTTTAGCCATGGTGATTCCACAAAACACGAAGCAGTTGACCTGTACACAAACACGAGGCTCTAGCGCGTTTTAAGTAGGGTATTAGTTTCAACTGCGAAACAAGTTTGGAGCACACCGGCTGGCTGGTGTAGGGAGGTGGGGCGATCCGGCTGGAAATCTGGACTCGGCAAAAGTGTCACCTGACTTGCACGCGGGCTGGAGAATTCTGCTTATCTAAGCCAGGTTAAAATTTTCAAAACCGTCTAAATTATTTCGATAGCCAACATATAACACAAGGTAGGTGGATTATCGACATTCGCCGCTAACACGCTAGATGCCTCCAAAAGTTCAACAATCCAAGGCAGCCAAGGCCGCAGCCGCTCTTGCTGGTGGTAAGAAGTCCAAGAAGAAGTGGTCCAAGGGAAAGGTTAAGGACAAGGCCCAGCACGTTGTTGTGCTGGACCAGGAGAAGTACGACAGAATCATGAAGGAGGTGCCAACTTACAGATTTGTGTCTGTTTCTATCTTGGTCGACAGATTGAAGGTCGGTGGTTCCGTCGCCAGAGTTGCTCTTAAGCAGCTTGAGGAGGAGGGTGTGATCAAACCTGTGCTCAAGCATTCCAAGCAATACATCTACACTCGTGCTACGGCCGAGTAGACAGACTAGTATAGTATAATACATGATGCAGAAGTGTTGTAGTACGGTCACAGAGATCTCCAACTCAGGGCGACTTCATCTGGCGTCCTCTTGGACGCGCTTAGCTGCTGACCTGCGGCTGTCCCATTGCCAAATACTACTCTCTCACGGCTTCAAATAATTCACATAAATGCCGATGCGAAAAATTTTACCTCAAAAATATACTGTAAGTACTGATGATGATTGTTCCCCAGAACACTTCGTTGGCGAATAATCTCCGATTCAATGAGCCGTGAAAACATGCATCACCATCTGAAACAGTACTGACCTCCAGGTTTGGTTGACGTGTTTAGGAGAACACCTCAATGAGACAGCCACAGGCATTCTATGATGAATACTACTTCAGTTCTGCTTCTGAACAAGTCTGAAGACAACACAGTTTACCAAAGCTCAAGTTTCTGACGAGTGTCTTGCGTCTCATTGTATGTAGTTACATGTAGTTACACGGCCAAGTATTGGGACTCGAACTTGCTCTGTTTCTCGCTCAGGAATTTCTTCACCTCGTCCCAGGCCTCCAAAATTGTCGGGTTTTTCTGCTTCGACATCAACGTGTCCAGCTTGCTGATCACCGAGTAAACAAAGAATCTGTTGTCTTCGCTGTGAAGCAGTCTGAGCCAGTAGAACATGGCGTAGCTGACGAGGCCAAAGCCGGAGTTTCCTTTCATGCACAACGTGTCGAAGGTGAGCAGCACAAATAGGAACAGTTCGTTGTAGATGATGGTTTTCTTGAAAACCGGCTCCAATCTGAGCAATGGCTTGATCTTGAAATGGTTGGAAAGCTGCAGCGTAGCAATCAAAAGATACGGTAGCAGCTTGAAGAAAGACGACCATCCCAAGAACCAGTGCACCGACAGAACCAGATACTGGAAATTTTCTGTTGTCATGAGAGTGAAATAAGACGGAAGCGATTTCCTATTAAAATGAGACGCAATGGCCACGCTGTAGCTGATCCAGACACCTACCCACGCAAGTCTGTAGCCGACAAAGGCCACCCACGACTTGTGCGATTTGCGGACGACATAGTAGCAGAGGTAGATGAACCCGAAAAGCAACGTGCTGACATGTCCAGCGAGCCACGCATATTTCAGAATTGGCTGTGGCTGGGCAGCCTTTCTGCGTAGCTTCCTATTCTTCTTGCTCGAGAGTGGCATCTGAGGCTTGGCCGTGCCGTTAGGCAGCGATTGAGAAGACATGGTGTTAGCAATAACAACTGAAATTTGAGGCAGGTACAATTTCGGTCTGGGGTGTAGTTGTGCTTCGCCAGGAATAGGGTGCTCTGCAGCTTTCTTTAGACCGAAACCCAATAAATGAGGGCTCGCCGATGTTGATGGAGTGTATGCGGAGCACAATAGTACACGGGGGACGGTGGATGATCAGACAGACTAGTGCTATTTTTAGGATCAATTCGGCTACTGCATTGACGACTTCGTGGTTGCATCTGGCAAAGTTACTATAACAGCTCTGATGGAGAGTTGCTGCAATGGGCGCTGACAAATCACCGTGACATTGCACTGACGACAGCCATACGCTAGCGCTCCAGAACACGGCAGTTTTCGGCCCTGCAAAAATCCTCCTGCAAGTCAGAGCTACGTACCTGGCCACTTCCAAAATCGTCCCAATTACACGGAATTGGCCTCACAAGGACCGCCGTAAAATGCTCTAAGAAATTCCAACACCGACCACTGCCCCCCCCACATATCTAATTTTTGAGCAAATATTTATTTCACCATGGTGGTTCGTGGGAGACGAAATGTCGGCCCAATGGTTTCAGATAGTATTATAAATAGTGGTGTTTGGTGCGATTTAACATTGATAAGTCTATTCCTGATAGTTTTTTAAATGTCACAGTACCACGTGATTGTGATTGGCGGATCAGCATCAGGCTTGCAAGCCTGTTTGACGTTTGGCAGGGCCTACTTAAACGTCCTGTGCATTGATTCTGGTTACCCTTGCAACAGGTACGCCAAAGAGTCGCACAATTTTCTTACGCACGACGGATCGTCGCCGGCCCAGATCATAGCCAAAGCCAAAGAACAGCTGCAGAAGTATCCTACCATCAAGTTGATGGAGGGAACCGTGCGGAACGTGTGCAAGGATGTTTCTAAGGAGGCCGTTAAACACCCATTTCGAGTCGAGGTAGACTCTCCTAAAAATGGCACATCCAACTCGTTTATGGCTTCACGCGTCTTGTTTGCCTCTGGACTAAACGACAACGTTGACAAGATACCAATTGAGAACATTGAAAAATTCTGGGGAAACTACGTTATCCACTGTCCTTTCTGCCATGGAACCGAGTTCAGGAACGGCAAGACGGGAATCTACTATACGAATGCATTACATCTTAAATTCATGCTGCCAACCCTGCACAACTGGAGTCAAGATATCGCTGTGATCTGTCCCGACGATGTTTATGGCTCCTTGGAAGCAGATTTTGTTTCGGCTATGCAGCAGAAAAGTATCTCTTTACACAAGGGCAGAGTTGTCAAGTTAGAGCCACGAAGCAGTGAGGATGGACGACTGGGCAGGGCAATTCTTGACGACGGCACCGCAATCGAGCTCGATGTGCTCTACACGATTCCACCTTCAACCATCAACAATAAGGAGATTATTACCAAGCTGGGCGTTGAATTGGACGAGATGGGACTTATTAAAGTCTCTCCCCAGCAGAAGACGAACGTGGAGGGCGTTTTTGCAATCGGTGACAACACTACCCGCATGAGAGCACTGGCCTTTGTAGTTGGCCAGGGTATGCTTGCAGCATCCTCCATTTGTCATGAAATCCTACACGAGCGCTGGAACGCGTAAGTTAGTGGTCCCTTTAAGATATCGGAGTGAGATTTTTCAGTGTCTAGTCTAACTTTAATTTTTCTTGTTATTTGATTGTCGTTCATCGAGTTGAAGAGATTTTAAGGAAATGAAAATGTCCCTCCATATAAAATGATCCTTCCAGCATCCAAAGCGTAGACGAAGCTATCAGCCCTGTGGACTGATTTGTAAGAGAAATGGCACCCCCTTGTCCTATATCTCGCACCTATAGTGCCCCCTCGTAGCACCCCCACCTTGTGCCCCACAGTTACCTTTTGGACCGGAATACATTTCCAATATGCAGAGTCAAATTAATTTAATTAATTTTTATTTTTCTACCATGTCCAACGACACCTATGCCACCCCGCTGTCGTCGCGGTACGCGTCCAAGGAGATGTCGCAGATCTTCTCTCTGCGGAACAGGTTCTCCACGTGGAGAAAGCTGTGGTACAACTTGGCAATTGCCGAGAAATCGCTGGGGCTTTCTGTCGTCACCGATGAAGCTATCGAGCAGATGTCCAAGCACCTCGAAATCACGGACGAGGAAATCGAGGCCGCCAAAAAGGAGGAGGCCATTGTCAGACACGACGTGATGGCCCACGTCCACGTTTTCGGCGAAACCTGTCCTGCTGCTGCCGGAATCATCCATTTGGGAGCCACCTCGTGCTACGTTACAGATAACGCGGATCTGATTTTTCTCAGGGACGCGTACGACGTTTTGATCCCCAAACTTGTGAATGTTATCAACAGACTGGCCAAATTTGCTCTGGACCACAAAGACCTGCCAGTGCTTGGCTGGACTCATTTCCAGCCCGCCCAGCTGACGACTGTCGGGAAAAGAGCAACTCTGTGGCTCCAAGAGCTGCTCTGGGACCTCAGAAACATGCAGCGTGCCAGAAATGACATCGGACTGCGCGGAGTCAAGGGAACTACCGGTACCCAGGCCTCTTTCCTGTCTCTTTTCCACGGAGACCATGACAAGGTCGAGGCCTTGGACGAAAAGGTGGTGGAGCTACTAGGATTCGAGTACGCGTACCCTTGCACGGGGCAGACCTACTCACGTAAAATCGACATCGACGCCCTGCACCCACTATCGTCTTTGGGCGCCTCGTGTCACAAGATGGCCACCGATATAAGATTGCTGGCCAACCTAAAAGAAATGGAAGAGCCGTTTGAAAAAAGCCAGATCGGGTCGTCTGCCATGGCCTACAAAAGGAACCCGATGAGGTGCGAGCGTGTGTGTTCGCTGTCGCGTCACTTGGGTTCGTTGTACCAGGACGCATTCCAGACGGCGTCCGTGCAGTGGTTTGAGAGAACGCTGGACGACTCTGCCATCAGAAGAATCTCAATTCCAGAGGCTTTTCTGACGGCAGACATTTTGCTTTCGACGCTGCTGAATATTACTTCCGGCCTCGTGGTGTACCCGAAAGTGATTGAGCGCCGTATTAAGGCAGAACTGCCCTTCATGGCGACCGAGAACATCATCATGGCGATGGTGGAGCAGGGTGCTTCGCGGCAGGAGTGCCACGAGGAGATCCGCGTGCTCTCGCACCAGGCATCGGCAGTGGTCAAGCAGGAAGGCGGCGACAACGACTTGATTGAGAGAATTAAGAGCACAGACTACTTCAAGCCTATTTGGTCGCAATTGGACAAATTACTCGACCCGTCCACTTTTGTTGGTCGTGCCCCACAACAAACTGAAAAATTCGTAAACGTCACTGTTGCAAACGCACTGGAACCATACCGGTCGCTTATCAACGAGGAGCACGTTCAATTGGCCGTCTAGAATAGAGTTGGACACAAAGGTGACTGCTGCAAAGGGTGGGAGTCATCGCATTTCTATTGTTTTAGGTGCAAGAAACAATACGGAGTTCACTCCGTGCTCAATTTGCTGCTCTGTAAATTTTTTTTACTCATGACTAAAAAAAAAATCGCTGCCCCCTCGTCATTGGCGGCACGTCATGTGCTCCCATTTACTAGTGCAGACATTTTTATTAGCATCAAATTCCCTTTTTTCCTAATCATCTTTTATCATCTTTTATAATAACTTCGATGGCCCAGGTCGAGGATTATTCGTCGCTGCACAGATTGCGGAAAAATTCCGAGATTCTGTCCAATGCAAACAAGATCCTGGTGGCCAATAGAGGCGAGATTCCCATTAGAATCTTCAGATCTGCCCACGAGCTCTCCATGCAGACAGTTGCTATCTACTCCCACGAGGACCGACTGTCGATGCACAGATTGAAGGCCGACGAGGCCTACGTCATAGGAGCTAGGGGCCAGTACTCCCCTGTTCAGGCGTACTTGCAGATTGACGAGATTATCAACATCGCCCTTGAACACAACGTCTCCATGATTCATCCCGGTTACGGCTTTTTGTCTGAAAACTCAGAATTTGCCCGGAAAGTTGAGGACAGTGGCATGATTTGGATTGGCCCGCCCCACAACGTCATTGACGCTGTTGGAGACAAGGTCAGTGCCAGAAACCTGGCCGGCAAGTGCAACGTTCCCGTGGTCCCTGGAACAGACGGCCCAATTGACAGCGTTGAGCAGGCCCAGGAGTTTGTGGATAAGTATGGCTATCCAGTGATTATCAAGGCCGCTTTTGGTGGAGGTGGACGTGGTATGAGAGTGGTTCGCGAGGGCGAGAGCATTGCTGACGCTTTCCAAAGAGCCACCTCCGAAGCCAAGACCGCTTTTGGAAACGGTACCTGTTTCATTGAGCGGTTTTTGGACAAGCCAAAGCACATTGAGGTGCAATTGCTGGCCGACAACTACGGCAACGTTATCCACCTTTTTGAAAGAGACTGTTCCGTGCAGAGAAGACACCAGAAGGTGGTTGAGATTGCCCCAGCCAAGACGCTTCCTGTCGAGGTCAGAGACGCCATTCTGACTGACGCAGTGAAACTGGCTAAGGCTGCCAACTACAGAAACGCTGGTACTGCAGAGTTCCTTGTTGACAACCAAAACAGACATTATTTCATCGAAATCAACCCTAGAATCCAGGTCGAGCACACCATCACTGAGGAGGTCACCGGAGTCGACATTGTTGCTGCTCAGATTCAGATCGCTGCCGGTGCTTCATTGCAGCAACTGGGTCTGTTGCAGGACAAAATTACCACCAGGGGATTTGCCATTCAGTGCAGAATTACCACCGAAGACCCTGCCAAGAACTTCCAGCCAGACACAGGAAAAATCGAGGTGTACAGATCTTCGGGTGGAAATGGTGTGAGACTGGACGGTGGTAATGGATTTGCAGGCGCCATCATTTCTCCCCACTACGATTCCATGTTGGTCAAGTGCTCCACGTCTGGCTCAAACTACGAGATTGCCAGAAGAAAGATGATCAGGGCTTTGGTTGAGTTCAGAATTAGAGGTGTCAAGACCAACATTCCTTTCCTGCTGGCTCTTCTGACCCATCCAACGTTCGTTTCTGGCGACTGCTGGACGACATTCATCGACGACACTCCTTCGTTGTTCGAGATGGTGCAATCCAAGAACAGAGCTCAGAAGTTGCTCTCGTACCTTGCCGATCTCTGTGTCAACGGATCGTCGATCAAGGGCCAGATTGGTCTGCCAAAGCTGACCAGAGATGCTGACATCCCGGTGATCCACGACATTAACGGCTGGGATATCGATATCAAGAACACTCCTCCTCCAGAATCCTTTAGACAATACCTTTTGGACTACGGTCCTGAGCAATTTGCCAACCAAATTAGGGCTTTCGATGGTTGCTTGATCATGGACACTACCTGGAGAGACGCTCACCAGTCGCTTCTGGCAACCAGAGTTAGAACCATAGACTTGTTGAACATTGCTCCGGCTACGGCCCATGCCTTTAGATACGCCTTCGCCCTGGAATGTTGGGGAGGTGCCACTTTCGACGTTGCTATGCGTTTCTTGCACGAGGATCCGTGGGACAGACTCAGAAAGCTGAGAAAAGCCGTGCCAAACATCCCATTCCAGATGCTTCTGAGAGGAGCGAATGGTGTGGCGTACTCGTCGCTGCCTGACAACGCCATAGACCACTTTGTGAAGCAGGCTAAGGACGCCGGAGTGGACATTTTCAGAGTCTTTGATGCTCTGAACGATTTGGAGCAACTGAAGGTCGGCGTCGACGCCGTCAAGAAGGCCGGAGGTGTGGTCGAAGCCACTGTTTGCTACTCTGGAGACATGCTCAAGCCAGGCAAGAAATACAATCTCAAGTACTACCTGGAGACCGTCGACAAGATTATGGAGATGGGCACCCATTTGCTTGGTATCAAGGACATGGCCGGTACTTTGAAGCCGGCCGCGGCAAAGCTGCTGATCAGCAGTATCAGAAAGAAGTATCCTTCTGTTCCTATCCACGTCCACACCCACGACTCGGCCGGTACCGGTGTGATTACCTATGTTGCTTGTGCTCTTGCTGGTGCGGACGTTGTTGATTGTGCTGTCAACTCGATGTCGGGCCTGACATCTCAGCCTTCCATGAGCGCGTTCATTGCTGCCTTGGACAACGAGATCAACACCGGCATTACCGAGCAGAATGCCAGGGAGATTGATGCTTATTGGTCCGAGATGAGACTGCTGTACTCGTGCTTCGAGGCTGACCTCAAGGGTCCAGACCCAGAAGTGTACAACCACGAGATTCCAGGAGGCCAATTGACAAACCTGTTGTTCCAGGCCCAGCAGGTTGGTCTGGGCGAGAAGTGGCTTGAAACCAAGAAAGCCTACGAGGAGGCCAACATGCTTTTGGGCGATATCGTCAAGGTCACTCCAACTTCCAAGGTTGTTGGTGATCTGGCCCAGTTCATGGTCTCCAACAAGCTTTCTCCAAAGGATGTGGAGAGGCTGGCTTCGGAGCTGGACTTCCCAGACTCCGTGCTGGACTTCTTTGAGGGTTTGATGGGTACGCCATACGGCGGGTTCCCGGAGCCTTTGAGAACGAATATTCTTGCCGGAAAGAGAAGAAAGCTGACTCGCAGGCCGGGATTGGAGCTCGAGCCATTCGACCTCAAGAAGATCAAAGAGGAGCTCCAGTCGAGGTTCGGCAACTCCATTACCGAGTGCGACGTGGCCTCGTACAACATGTATCCAAAAGTGTTTGAGTCGTTCAAGAAGATCCAGGAGAAGTACGGCGACCTTTCTGTGCTGCCTACGAGATTCTTCCTTGCTCCTCCAAAGCTGAACGAAGAGATCTCTGTGGAAATCGAGCAGGGTAAAACCTTTGTCATCAAGGTGATGGCCATTGGAGACCTGTCGCCGCAAACCGGCACCAGAGAGGTGTATTTCGAGTTCAACGGTGAAATGAGAAAGGTCACTGTCGAGGACAAGCTCGCCGCTGTGGAGACAGTCACGCGTCCTAAGGCCGACGCACACAACCCGAACGAGGTGGGGGCTCCTATGGCCGGTGTGGTTATCGAGGTGCGTGTCCATCCTGGAGTCGAGGTCAAGAAGGGTGACCCATTGTGTGTTCTGAGTGCGATGAAGATGGAGATGGTTATCAGCTCGCCTGTTTCTGGAAGAGTTGGCGAGGTGATTGTGCACGAGAACGACAGCGTCGACGCTGGCGACCTGATCTGCAAGATTACGAAATAATAGTAACAAAGCTTTAAACGTTTATATTATACAGCATTATTTGCGTCTCGCTCTGCGCTTTTCGTCGCTCTTCTTCTCCTCGACGAGCTGTTCGTACCGCGCGGCCAGCTCCTCGTACTCAGCCATTTTGTCCTGCACTTTTTCGTCCTCGTGGCTGGCTCCCTGCCACACGTTGTGCGGGTCTGCCAGCAACTCCGCAGTGTGCTTGTTTTGCGACAGGATCTTGCTCCAGATGTGTATGAGCTCGTTGGCCTTGATGGTGCTCTCTTTGATTCGCTTGATGTAGTTTGTGGACTCCTGGATAGAGATGCGGCTCTGATCGATGGCGCCGTTGATCTTTTGCAGTTTCTCCAGCTCTGCGCGAATAGCCGTCTCGCGGTCCTTTTCGTGAGACCGCGGCGGCGACGTGATCACCTCCTCCAGACTGTTGAGTGCTGGTGTTATTTCTTGCGACATTACGCGTACAAAAAAGTTTTTTTATGTCGTTAGGGTTCGATTTGAAGGTGGTGTTGCTGTCCGAGGACGGCGACAAAAACGAGGACGGAAGCATCAACGCTACAGATATGCAGGAGTACGTGCTCAAGGGCATTGACACGATGGAGAAAATGAACGAGTGGTTCGACAGGTTCGACGAGCAGGTCGCGTACCCGAACGAGGGAAATATCAAGTACGATGTTGGCTCGGACGGAGTGGTGGTGGTGATTGTGAAGACACACGAGGTGCGCAGCCAGGTGGAGGATTATATCGGGCAAACAAATAACACAGATAGAAGTAATGTGTAGGTAATTATTAGTATTTATTTGGCACTATTTACGCATTTTTTTCTTTCATGAGTGAATCGCCCGACGTCTTGCCCATCTTTTCCAACTCGCTGAAACGGCACGACGATTCGAACTCCACCTCTCCGCGCGTCCATGGGGACACGCACGCGGCGGCGGCCGACAGACTTCTCCCCTACGAGAACGCGCGGCAAAAGTCCAGCACAACACAGAAGAACCTACCTCGCCAGGATCGGCCGCGGTTTTTCCTCCTGGTGCTGCTATACCTCATCCAGGGCGTGCCCATAGGGCTGGCGTTTGGGTCTGTGCCATTTCTGCTCAAATCAGCGCAATTGAACTACACTCAGGTTGGCTTTTTCTCGCTGGCGTCGTACCCGTACTCGCTGAAACTGCTATGGTCGCCCATTGTCGACTCGTGCTACCTGAAAAGACTTGGCCGAAGACGCTCCTGGATCATCCCTGTCCAGACGATTTCCGGACTCACGCTGCTGTTCCTGGGAACGGTGATCGACTCTCTCATGCGCAACGTGCAGAAAAACCTCTACACCCTCACATACACCTTTTTCTTCCTCATCCTGCTCTGTGCGACACAGGACATCGCCGTTGACGGCTGGGCCCTCACGATCCTGTCCAAGGACGCATTGAGCTATGCATCCACGGCACAGACAATCGGTCTCAACACCGGCTATTTTCTCAGTTTTACCGTTTTCCTCGCGTTCAACTCTGCAGACTTTGCCAACTCGTATCTCAGGAAAACGCCGAGCTCAGACAGCTTCTTGACGCTCGGCCAGTACATGTGGTTCTGGGGGTGGATGTACCTGACTGTGACGCTGGTAATACTGATTCTCGTGCCGGAGGACCCACTCTCACGCAGGAAACAGGCCTCTTCTAAAGATATAGAGCTCGAGGAGCTGCTTAGAGACGAACAGTCGGGGGTCAACGCGGTGCAGGCGCATACCGCACACAACGAGGGGCCGCGCCAGACCACGCTGTTAGGCGTCTACCACAAGATGTGGAACGTCGTCAAGCTGAAAAACGTCAAGCTTTTCATCTTGGTGCATCTCGTGTCGAAAATCGCTTTCCAGGCCAATGAGGGGGCCACGAACCTGAAGTTGCTGGACAAGGGCTTTTCGCGCGAGGACCTGGCCATTACCGTGCTGATTGACTTTCCGTTGGAGATCGTCTTTGGCTACTACTCTGCCCGGTGGTCTACGGGAGACGAGCCTCTGAAACCGTGGATGTACGCGTATCTGGGCCGCATAGCCGCAGCTGCGCTGGGACAAGTGCTGGTCTGGTGCTTCCCAAAAGACGGCCACGTGACTACAGCGTATTTCCTGTTTGTGATTTTCCAGCACCTGTTGAGCTCCTTCATGTCGACGATCCAGTTTGTGTCGATCTGTGCTTTCCACACGCAAATAGCTGACCCGCTGATTGGCGGCACGTACATGACTACGCTGAACACGCTGTCAAACTTGGGCGGGCAGTGGCCCAAGATCATTGTGCTCAGTCTGATCGACAGGCTCACCACAGCCAGATGCATGCCCGCCACGCCGATGGCTACAAACCCGTTCGAGGAGGCCCCCTTTTTCAACTGCTACAGCTCGTCAGCCAAGAGCGACTGTGTGGGGCATGGTGGAGTGTGCAACACCATTGCAGATGGCTACTACAACACTAATCTGCTGTGCATACTTATTGGATTGGTACTGTACTATGGATGGATCAGAAAAACAGTAGTCCATCTTCAGGGTCTTCCGATCAGCGCATGGCGAGTGGGCAAATCCACGCTGCCTATTTGAAGAATTGGATCGACGCATAGATGCTCAGGTAACTGAAGATGAGGCCTGCTATGTTTTCTAGCAGCGTGTGGAAATGGACAGAGGTGACGAAAATCATCCAGAACCAGAGCCACAGCAGAAGCGAGATAAACACCAAGGGATAGTCCTTGAGCAAGCGGCGGAGGCTTGCAGTATCTCTAGTGCGCCAGAACGCTCGCCATTCATTTTTGAAATTGCGTATCTCGGTGGCCAGGTCGTCAAGCGTGTAGAACCGGGCACACTCGAGAATCAGAAACATAGAGCTCAGGGACAAAATGAACATGTGTCCAGACGGATCGTGGCCGCCGGTCCACCTACCCTTGATGGCACGGCACTGCGATGATGTCAGAGAGCTAGAATAATACAGGTCAAGGTTGGAGGCGTCCATCAGTTTGAACTTTAGCGGGTCAGTGGCACGAGATTGCGGGATGTTATCGCACGAGCCGCCGGTGAGAACAAAGATCTTATCCATGATAGGCAGGCCAAAAAACCATTGTGTGTAGAAGTACCAGCACAGAGTCACACATGCAAACTGTTTCAAAGAATCCGCCAGCGAGTCTGCACTAAAATAGCGCGACGTGCTGGGCACTCTGAGCAGCAGCAGAAGGTACACGACAGACGTCCAGAGCCATCCCTTTTTAACGAAAAGGACGTTGAAGATGTTTTTTTTCGAGGTGAAGTAATTGTGCGTCGTTTCCTGAGGCGAAGCAAGCCAGACCAATTGGCCAACAAGAATCACTATCGGGTACAGCAAAGCGATTAGGACCTGAAACTTGGTCAATTTTGTTGCGTTGGCCACAACGCCCATCTTGGCGTCCAACATTTGCAGATGTCGTGCGACAGGGTGGTTTTGGCGGACGGGCTGGGACATAAAAGGGCGAAATAATAAAAAAATTAAATTAAAAAATAAAATAATCCAAATTAGTATAACAAAATCCATTTTCATATGGCGGAGGTTGCCGACGAGGACCTACCCACCAGATGGGAGATCGAGCTGGAGGTAAGTGCCAATTGTTGTTTGCTAACGTGTCAGTTTGTGCAGTCGCTCGCTAATATGCAGTATCTCACGTACTTAGCCCAGACGGGGTTCCTGGAGGACGAGAAGTTTCTTAACTACCTCGAGTACCTGGAATACTGGCGACGTCCCGAGTATGCGAAACAGCTGGTCTACCCCAACTGTCTGCATGTGCTCACCATGCTGAAAAGCCCGCAGTTCCGCAAGGACATCGCCAAAGCAGAGCTGAGCTCTGTGCTGTACAACGACATGGTCGAGAGGTGGAAGGAACCGTTGCGAGAACCTGTTAAGGGCGCCAAGGAGGATCCTGGTACTAGTGGCCAGGAGCAGCCGCAGTCCTCGCCACAGATCAAGATCGAAGACACCCCCGACGTAGCCCCGGTCTCACCCGTACACAGGCTAAAATAATTATATTCCAGCATAATCTTTACCATGAAGAGCGAGTACTGGAACAGTTTGGCGGGCGGCGTGGTGATCGGGCTTGCGTGCACCGCGTATTTGTTTTTGCTGGGCCGTGTTGCTGGCATTAGTGGCATGGTCGGTCGCGTTGTGTCCGGGAAAAACATATGGCCGGACGCTGCGTTTCTTGCCGGACTGGCTGCTGGCCCTGTTGTTTGGAGCTATGCCACCGGGAACTGGCCCGAGCTGTCGCTTAACACGCCGTGGTACGTACTGCTACCGGCAGGGTTTTTTGTTGGTTATGGCACGCGGCTGGGCAGCGGTTGCACGAGCGGCCACGGGGTGATGGGTCTCGCGCGGATGTCTCCGCGGTCGCTGGTGGCGGTGGGGTGTTTCCTGAGTGGGGGCATAGCTACTGCCACCTTGGCACATAAGTACCTATGACGACGGCCCTGAGTGTCCTTTCGATTGCATATCTGTGATTCTATGGCGCTCGCGCCTCGTGCAAAAGCTATTGCGCGATATTTTTCTCTATGCTCACCTCTAAATTATGTCGACTTGCTACATTCCAGTGTAAATTATTTTGCATGTTGCTCAGAAACATCGCAGCGTTCGGGTGCGGCCTGGCGTTCAGCATAGGCCTGATTCTTGGCGGGATGGCCAATCCGGCCACTGTGCGCTCGTTTCTGGACCTCGCCGGCGACTGGAACCCGTCCCTGGTGTTTGTGCTGGGGGGAGCAGTGACTGTTGCGTCTGCTGGGGTGGCGCTGCAAAAACGACTAGCCCGGCCTGTTCTGGAGCCCTCGTTCCAGCTGCCCACCGCACGCCAGATCGATGCCCCCCTGATGGCCGGCAGCTGTCTCTTTGGCGTCGGCTGGGGTCTGAGTGGGTTCTGTCCCGGCCCGGCAGTGCTGTCGATATTTGTCGGGCATTGGCGGAGCCTAGTATTCGTTGCAGGACTACTACTTGGTACAGCTACGTACGGCGCGAGGATGGGAAAAGTAAACACGGGCAAGGACAATTGACGTTGTGCCAAGGTGTTTGGCAGACTGCTACGACAGGTTATTATATTTTTATTTTCTCAAATATCATATTTTTCGCCACCTCAGTAGAGAGCTCCTCCTGAATGAGTCAATTTATCGAATTAAACCTGTCCAAAGACCCGATATACGACCACTGCTTTTCGCAGGATCGCAAGAGCGTCGCCATCACTCGCCAGAACAATGTCGAGATATACGACCTGTCGGCTGCCGGCAAGCCCAAGCTGCTCACGGTTCTCCAGCACCACGACAAAACAGTCACCGCGGTGGACATCAGCAAGGACGGCAAGATTGTCACCTGTTCGCAGGATAGAAACGCGCTTGTCTGGGAGCCCACGGCGGGCGGTGAGTACAAGCCGACGCTGGTTTTGCTGCGTATCAACAGAGCGGCCACCTCTGTGAAATGGAGCCCCTGCGGGTCCAAGTTTGCGGTCGGCTCGTCCGCACGGGTGATTGCCGTGTGCTATTTTGAGGTGGAGAACGATTGGTGGATCTCGAAACACATTAAGAGACCGCTCAAGTCGACGGTGTTGTCGCTCGACTGGCACGAGAACAGCGTGCTGCTGGCGTGCGGTTCGACCGACGGCCACGTGCGTGTCTTTTCGACGTACATCAAGGGTGTCGACACCAAGCCGCCTGCCACCGTGTGGGGTGAGCGACTGCCGTTCCAGACACTGTGCCTGGACTACAACGTGGGCTCGTGGGTGCACGACGTCAAGTTCGACCCCAGCTACTCGTTTGTCGCGGCCGTCGGCAACGACTCGGCCGTGTACTTTGTGTATCCTGGGCCGGGCGAGCAGGAGGTTGCCGGCGTTGTCAAGGCCAGAACATCGTACCTGCCGTTCAGAACTTTGATTTTTGCGTCGCCAACCAAGGTTGTTGCCGCAGGCCACAACTGCTACCCGATCGTGTTTGAAGGAGACAGCAACGGCTGGCAGCAGACGTACGCGATAGACGACCCGGCCACCAAGACGAAAAGCAGCCACGAGAGCCAGTCGGCGCTGAACCTGTTCAGACAGCTGGACCTCAAAGGCTCGAGCGACGCCAACAGCGGCGAGCTGCTGACTGTGCACCAGAACACAATCAACGTGCTCAGACCCTTCCAAGCGGACAGCCGCGGCGTGCTACGGTTCAGTTCGTGCGGCAACGACGGCAAAATCGTGATTTTCGACGTATAAAATTACATAGACAGTAAGCTAGATCGTGTCGTCCGGGATGGATGTAGTAGTGAGCTCGTTATTTTGCGCAAGATCACCAGAGTTGTTCACCACCACCTGGTACACGCTGGACTTGAAGAGCGTGGAGATCACCGAAATCTTAGTCTCGAGCTCACGCAGCTCTTCCAAAAGACTGTCCTTAGTGAGCGCGCCGCGCGACAGACCGTCTGAGGTGGAGTCGACCTCCTTATTGAGCGTGACGATGTCGTTTTTCAGCTGCAGTAGATTGAGTGCGAGGTTCTGGTACTGTTTCAGCGTGTCGATCTCAAGTGGAGACAACTCCGAGGAGTACGTGTCGTAGTCCATGGACAAAAGCTCCTGGGACGCGTTGTTGGGCATCCTACTGTGTTGAATAACTATTTTATTTATTTTAGATATTTTGGCCTGGTTTTTCGCTTACATAAGATATAAATAAATACTCATTTCACCTCTTCGAGCTCCCTGTCGGCGACTTTGTCGTCTGCGTACTCGACGTTCTCGGTCTGCTGCTTCATCACAATGTCGATGTCGCCTGCGTGCGCGTTGCCATGACCCGTAGGGTTGAAGTGGATCCGGTTGACCTCGGAGTGGTCTGGAACCAGCTGTGCTCCACGTCTGCCGATCAGGTACCATGGCAGGGCAAACAGCTCCTCCATACTCTCGAGCGATCTGCCCGTGACCTCTGGAAGCAAGAACCAGGCGAAAACGATGCCGAGCAGACACACGCCGGCGAAGAAGTAGAACGCTCCATAGTTGGTCATAGCCAGCAACATCGAAGGCACAGCCTTGGAGTTGCCGTACTGGTTAGCAAAGTGGAACGCCATCACGACGGCAGTTCCGAGCGATCTCACGCGCAATGGCAGCACTTCCGAGTTGAACAGGTACTGCACAGAATTCCAGCCCATGGTCCAGCCGATTCCGTTGAAGTAGATCGAGGCGAGCGCGCCCTTGCCCGCACGCACCTGCGACGGATTGAGCTCCACGTCCTCCTCGGCAGCCTGGGGCACGATCGTCATGTAGATGGCGAAATAGAGCGACGAGATCAACTGGATGGTAATTCCGGCGTAGAGCGATTTCTTTCTGCCGATGAAGTCGATGAGGAAGAAGGCACTGAGGTAGGCCGACGTGAACTTGATCACACCCAGCACGGCCGTCATCATCATCCTGTCGGTTTGCTTCGACTTGCCGACCATGGCAAACAGCTCTGGGGCGTAGATGGTGATGGCGTTGGCTCCACTCCACTGGCCCAAAATCTGGATCAAGAGGCACAGCACCATTCTGATGCGAATGCTCTTCACCGTCACGAGTGACCTGATGTTTGTCCACAGCGACGTGCCACGAATCGCTTCCCTCTCGACCTGCAGCTGTTCGTTGATGTCGGCGATTTCCGACAGGATGTACGGATGGTCTGGCTCGAGGTGTCTGAGCTTGCTGAAATTAATGAGGGCCTGCTCCATGTTGCCCTTTTTGATGAGCCATCTGGGTGACTCGATGCAGAAGAACATTGACAGAATGAGGATGGAGCCGGCAAGAACGATTTTTATCGAGGTTGGGTATATCCACTGGTTGCGGCCGGTTTGGTGCAGCGCAGTGCCGTAGTTGGCGAAATACGCCATCATGATACCGAAATACACCGCTCCCGCGAAAATGTTGTTGCACGTTCCTCTAATGGCTTTTGGCGCACACTCCGATATGTAGCAGGGTCCACAGACAACGGTGGTGCCGATACAGAAACCCTCAATCAGACGGCCAGCATACAGCTGGCCAATCGAGTGGCTCGTGATCTGGATGATGGCGGCGATCGCCCACACCAGGCAGCCCACTTGCAATGTTCTGATTCTTCCCAGCGCCTCGGCAGCATAGATAGACACAAGAGAGCCACCGATGGAGCCCAGTTGGACCATAGACGTAATGTTGGACTTGAGATTGGCCAGTTGAGAGGCAGTCTTGCTAGGGTCCTTGAGCCCAAACTCCTTAATGAAAGAGGTCTGGGCAACTGTTCCTGAAATACAACCTTCGTCGTAACCCCTGGCGCAGCCAAGAATTCCAAACACAAAGATAGAGAGATACAGGGTTCTGTTGTATATTTGTGGAGGGGCGTCGTCCTTGTTGAGATGAAGTCCGGAGGACCACCAGTGCTTTGAGTCGTTGACGGCCTCGATTTTCGAGTTTGCGTCGGAGTGGATTCAGACATAGGAAAGCAGCTGTGAAGCTGGGGAAGCCAGCAGTGGTATATTTATACGTGTTCTGTCTCCTCTTGAATGACCAAGCTCTCCTGCTACCCCACTGAAAAATACGTATTCTTTTCGCCGCAACAAGGGAACACAAACAATAGATATGCAGCGTCCACGCAAGATCCGACAAAGATGGATAATTTTTCGTACATCCCCGCATGACCGTATTGCTTAGTGCAAAGACGCCCCTCATTGCTGGCTAATCAGGTTACTCTAGATTGCGATTTAGGGTTCTTTACCCCACACCAAGCGTTGTGATTTTTCCGTCGATAGAAAAGAGGGTCCTGAAGGGTCTTGGGAATCTAGCTTGCTTGCCAAGGGAAAGGCCGTGATCTGGGCAGAATTTCCATTCTGTAATTTTCTTGGTCATGCATGTAACTCTAAGACTGCGATCTCTAATATGACACTATTCAGCTGCTACTCATGTGACCTGAAAAAAAAACTACACCTTAGTACGTCCACAGACGTCCCTTGTTCTTGGGAAACCCCCGGTGACGTATCTCTTCTCCGCCTTTAGCGATTGCCGGGGAAAAACGGAACCTCAGGGTCGCCTCCGTGTCACGTGACCTGGACTGAACTCTATCATGTCTTGCAGCACGAAAAAATTCGCCAAACCAGGGCTCCAAACCAGCCGGCTCCCCGAGAGGTGCACGTGCCTGCGATCACGTGCCACTTCACACCCACGGCACCTCCGTGGACGGATCTGTTGAATTGTATCCGATAAAAAAAAGTCAGACTCATGTTTGATGATTTATCGTTACAAAAGGACGACCGCGAGTCGTTGAATGCGTCTGCGCCAGTTCTGGAGGCAGAAGGCGTCCAGAGATATCTCCAGATGGCCAATTTCAAGCTGCATCGGTGTTTCGACCGCCATAACGAGTCGTTCAAAGATTTATGGAAGCTCGATGAAATCCCGGACAAAAACAATTTCTTCTACCACCACTTCCCGAAAGTGGCCACCAACCACGACAACGAGCACCATGTGTCTAACTTTGGCATTTTTTTGAGCCACTTCTATTTAGGAAGGTGGCTTCCTGACACCATACAAAAATTGTTATTTCCTATCGAGCCTGTGGAGCAGAAGCTGAGCGCCAAGAATATGCCCACTATTGCCGAGTGCCGTCTTTGTGAGCGCCTGCAAGGACTATCTGTGTGGACGAGGACGGGCGAATGGTTCTGTGTGGACCGCAAGACCCAGCTCCACTCGTCTGACGAGCTGGGCGAGCGGTTTTTCACCACGTACGGCGAGTATTGTCGGTGGCGCAAAACGTACAGCCAGCGGCTGCGGGAGCTGGAGCAGCAGGCGTACGAGTCTGAAGACTTCGAGGCGCTCGAAAAAGAGCTTGTGCGCTTGGAAAAGCTGTGTTTTAGCGCGAAAATCGACACAGATACTATTCTTTCCATCAAAAGAGGCTAGTGCATATTAATATTATCATTCCTCGTCGTCACTGACCTGGATAGGTTGTTTCAAAGGGTTTGCTTTCAAATGATAGTGCTGTTTGCGTCTCTCCTCAAACAGTCTGTGTTTTTCCTCTGGCGACAACTCCTTGTTCTCGTCGCCCGACTCAGGCTCCGACCCGGGCTTCTCCTCAGGCTGTTGCACCACCTCGATCCTATTTTCGTTGTAAACTGGCGCTTCGTCGTCGACGCCCTCACCAAGGTCGAGTGCCTCCATCTCGTCCTCTTCGTTGTCCGAGCGGTAGTAGTCGTTGTTTGGGTCGAACCCCCCCTCGTACGGAGTCTTTGGCTCGTCTATCTTCATGGTTGCGCTTTTCTCCAGCTCGTTGATCAAAATGTTTTTCTCGTCCCACTTGAGGTGGTCCATGTTGCCTGTGTGGTGCAGACGCTCTTTCTGCTCCTGAATCTTGGACCGAATCAGGTCGCCATTCGAGGAGGAGTCTCTAAACAGCTTGGAATTGAGACGGGTGTTTTCGATGACTTTTTTGCGATCGAACTCCATGGCCTCTGGGCTGAGCTTTCCGGGCTCGTCGGCGCGATAATCTGCGTCATGGGGTGCGTTTTTCAGGATTCCTCGTGGCATGGCAGTATCGCAACGAATGGAAAAAGAGGTGTTTCTGGGGTAGAGATGTGTATCTGGTTGCGCGTGCACGGATGCTAGGCGATGACTAATCAATGAGAAAAAAACCACGCCCATAATCCGGATGAGGTAATTGGCGGCTCCTATTTTTTACCGAGCCGTTTGTTCCCTGAGAATTCTGGCCGGATTTAATGCAGGTTTAATGATTAAAAAAGTTCGGGAAGCTTCTACACCTGTCAAACTGCCAAAGGGAGAGCCGATGAGCGCCGATACCTGGCCTCAGACACACGTTTTCGCGGCAGGATGAAACGGACCTATCTCAGCAGGGCGAGTTGCCCCCACATGGCAACTTCTGCCACCTCCAGGGCCCACAATTGGCATTTCTCTGTAGTTCCCTTCCTTGCCCGTTTAGCGTAGCATCTGGGTGGTACACTACCTTGGAAATTGAGAGGGCTCGGGAAGGTTGCCGGTGCTAGAATAGCTTCCGAGAGCGCTTCGAAGCTCTGTCCGGGTCTATAGACAGAAGGAACTTGATGCTAGCTACCACTTGCTTTACAGACCCAGGTTTCCCCTTTTCAGCTACGTTCCGAACAGCATTTTTTAAATCCGATTTTTTTGATGGGCTTCGGGCTACGACTAGATGGTGGGCCGATTTTGGTATGTATGTACCCATGCAATTTAAAGCTCTTGTTTTCCTATTCTTTCTCTCAACTCCACTCTTCCCATGAACACCTATTGGATTAAACTGTTTGTGGCCGTCGCGGCCTGTCACGGCGTCAGGGCCATGAACATGGAAGCTCACAGCCACGCAACCTCCACGCTTTCTGCCCCCCTTGACCTCAGCACCGTGGTGCCTGTCGCTCACGAGGTTCATCACATGCACGGTGTGCCTATCCTCGAGACAGAGCTCACTCCAGCAGAGAGATTGTTCTGGGAGGCCTACAATACCACGTCTTACTTCACCGTGGAGACCCCCTACAAGTCGCAATTGTATGTCCATCTCGGCCTCGTCTACGCTGCTTTTGTCCTGGTGTACCCAATTGTGCTTGTTCTGCGCAACGTTAACTCGAAGTGGTTCCTGCCATCGTTGACTGTGCACTCTGTCATGGTGATCGCCTCGCTCTTCAGCTACTCGCTCTTCATCAGCAACGCCCCAGACTTGTATCCGAACAACGCCTACTCCAAAATGAGCACTGGCCTGTTCTTCCTTGTGATTGTGCACCTGTTCAGCTCGTTCGTTTACACAGCTAAAAAGTGGCTGGAGGGCCCTTCGCCAGCCACGCACGCGCCATTGCCAGGTAAAGACATCCAGATGAGCGAGCTCAACGGCTTTTCGTCGCCCTCGAGCACGCTGTACGACTCAGACGACCGTCTGCACCGTCTGAGTGCCGACTCGCTCGATCTCGAGGACCAGGGCTCGTCCACGCCAACTAGCCACCACTCGGGAGCCGCATCACCGCAGAAGCCCGAATTTTGGCTCTCAAGATTGTTCCAGCTGGCACCTGTCGCTAAACTGGTGTCCATCTTCGGACTGGCCTCGACCTTTAATTTCCACGTCCTTAATTACGGTATGCTGTGCTACTTTTTAATTTACGCCCCAACGGGCATCGCTGTGCTCAGCTGCATCGGCATGGGCAATCACGTGTTCAACCTGCTGGCACACTTCATCAAAGGCGGTGTATTCTTCACTCTTGGAATTATCTCACTCACGAGATACTGCGGCGGCTGGTCCAAGCTCGGCTGGGCTTGGAACAGGTCGTATATCCTGCCTTTTGAGAAGCCTACGTCATTCTGGTACAAGCTCCAGCCCAAAAACGGCATGATCACCATGGAAATGGTGGAGAGCTCGCTAATCCTGTTTTACGGTTCTACAAACGTCTTTCTGGAGCACCTTGCTGCTCCGGGCGGCCCATGGACCGCGAAGGACCTCCAGCACGTGTCGATCGCTTTTCTGTACATCGGGGCGGGCTTGTGCGGTGTGGTTTCGGAGCTAAAACTCGCCGACTGGCGTCTTGACAAGTTCTACTCCCAGGTCGGCCCAGACTTCGAGGTCCAGGGATACCGTCCTGCTCACGTGACCCCAGGATTCAGTCCTAATCCGTTCCCAGCCTTCACGATTTTCTGGACCGGGCTGCTGATGTCGCAGCACCAGCAGGCCTCTGAGCTGTCTACAAGTGTCCATGTGCAATGGGGTTCACTTTTGACGTACGGCTCTGTGGTTCGGTTGGTGACCTTCCTGCTAATGATCTTCTTCCCAAAGAGCCAGTCGTTCCAGCCAACCAAACCGTTCACAGAGCTCCTCACGTCTTTCTGTCTGCTCTGTGGAGGTCTTGTCTTTATGGAAAGCACGGATCCCGTCATCATGGCGCTCGAATACAGAGGCTTGACCCCGATGTTCACGATGAACGTGAGCGTGGGCGTGATTTCGCTGCTGATGGCCTGGATCATGTGTGTGTTCTCCATCAGAGACCGGCTCAAAGCTGGCTCGCACTAATGTTGCTACGATAATGAGGCAAATGTATTCAATGTATTCAATACATTTTGACAAAACCTAAGCAGGTTAATTGATAATTTCTCTCTATTACAGTCTTCTGTCACATTTTTCATGTATTTCACTACTTTCATATTCTGCCAACTACTCAGATGGAGAGTTCCACCCTATCTTCTAGCTCCACCACGTCTTGCTATCTCCGGAGCCTTGAACGGCACTCTGAGCGTGGCAATCTTGTAGTTGCTGGATGCCGTCTTAGGCAGGCCAAAGGCCTCACATTGCGCAGCCGTTGCGTTCTTGATGACGCATCCGAGCGAACGGAACAGCGATGTCAGTCTTGACGGCTTGAGCGACAATTCCTGTGCAAGAGGAGAAACCTCCACCTGGTAATCATCCAGCTTCAAAATCAGCGCCAACAAATAGCACAGTATCTTATCCTCGCACTTGGGATCGATCAAGTAGTTCCTATTATTTTTTTTCAAAATGCTAAAGTTTTTCAGCACATAGTCCACAAGCACCACGGGCGGCCGGTTGAGAGACTCGATCAGCTGGTCCTTGGCGTGGACGCGACGGTTGGCGTACAGTCCCATCAAAAGCGAGACATAATACAGCATCTGCAGCTTGAGTTTGCGGTCGGGGGTGTCTTTGGTGATGGAGGAAAGCTTTCTTAGCAGGTAGCGCGAGTTGGAGTACGGTAGCAGATCCAGCTTGTCCTTGGCCTGGATGCTGTCGTTCTGCAGACTGTCAACTCTGATGCTGGCAAGCTCTGTCTTGGAGATGATGTTTTCGAGCGGATAGATGTCGTCTACTGAGGTTGCGTTGACGTCGAACTGCGGAGTGACTCTGTGCTCGTTGAGATCGTCGAGCATCTCGCTCTTGGACGGAAGCATGGACGTGTTGACCTTGATCGAGTCGATGATGTCTGATTGCTCGGTTTCGAGCTTCGACGCATCGATCTTGTTTTTCTCGAGGTCCAGAATGGCCTTCTTGGCCTTCTTCGTACCAAAGGCCTCACCCAGAGCGTTTCTTTGCACATTTCGCTGCACATCCAGCTGTCTGATATTTGGAATCGACAGCTTTCTCTTTGACGTGACGCGCGTCGACAACAATGGCGCTCTCAGAAGCTCAACTGTTTTCTTTTGCGGATCGAATACTCCCACGTAGTATTTCAGGTCGTCCCCTATGCTTTCTCCCTTATACTCCAGATTCTCAGACTCTCCGTGGACCAGGTAGCCATCCTTGTGTTTGTATAGGTCGAAGGACACGTTCTCTGGGATCTCAACGCCATTCAGGCACGAGCTTACCACGACAGAATCGGTTCCATCGGCAACCGTCTTGACGTCCAACTCGACAAAAGAATCCATGCTAAAATTTAAAAAAAAAAAATAATGGAATAAATTGACCTGAATTAAATTTTTCAGTGCACAGCCTGGACATCATGGAGTCTCACTACACTGTTCTGGGGGTGGACACAACAGCATCTGTGGCACAGATCAAGGAAGCATACCGTCGCAAACTGCTTTCCTTGCATCCAGACAAGACGGGAACACAGACACACGGCAATGAAATATCCAGAATCGCAGACGCTTATCGAGTGCTGGTCGATCCTATAAAACGACAGGAATACGACACCACGAGGCAGGAAGAGCTCTCTAGGCTTGGTATCGCGACCGGCGACGGCCTTGACACAGTTTCGCTAGACGATTTCAAAATAATAGACACGGAACACGAGTTACGATGGACCAAGAGCTGTCCACGGTGCACGTATCCCGGCGGCTTCGAACTCAACGAGGCCGATCTTGACAAGGGGACCGTTCTGGAAAACGGTCAGTACGAACTAATTATACAATGCTCTAGCTGCAGTTTGTGGCTAGTGGTGAAGTACGCAGAAGAAACAGACTGTTAATACATATTATACACCGTTCTGCTCGGCGCGGACTATGGCCAGCATAGCCTTGCCGATGCAGTCTAAATCGGTCAGCAAGGCCACATGGCCGAGCATGGAGTTGAACTTGCCGACCAGCGGATAGCCTCTGTTTTCTGGAAACACCCATTTCTGGTTGGTGACTCCGTCTCCTGGACCGTAGAAGAAATGGTAGTAATTTCCCATTTTTATGTCCTCGATGCCGTCGACAAGCGAGTACCGAACAGACGGCACAGCGTTACCGTAAACAACGGCCATGGGTGGGTACTTGCGCGACTCGTCGTACTCGAGACTATCAAGAAACTCGGAAGTGCGTTTAAGCGTGCGACACAAATATTCGTAGGCCTCGTCAAAAGAGATCGCAAACCGCGACTGCTGCTTGACGTGTGGCGGCACAGGCTTGCCCGCCTCCTGGGCCAGCCGAATAGAGCTCACGATGGGGCTCAAATTGTACTCGATCCAGTTTTGCGGGTCGAAAAAATCAATGTTGTATAGCTCGCCCGTGTTCTTGTCCTTGAACAGCTCGCCGTTGCGCGGGATGAATACAAACGAGGAGCGCATCATGAAGTTGACCTCGGACGTGAGCAGATCTTTGCAGAGCAGAATATGGTCTGCAAACCGCAGCGGCCCCATTATGTTGGAGCAGGGGGCAGGAGTGCCGACATAGATTATGCCTCGCACCAGCGACGGATCTTTCTGCATCGCCGAGTGTGACACAAGACCGCCCATGGAGTGCGCAATAAGGAGTGCCGGCTTGCCGGTCCGTTTTTTGATGTCTTTCAGCAAAGCGTGCAGCTTTTCGGCCGGAATGTCGAGCGACAGCCGCCAGTCGTAGCCGAAGTTGTGCACACGAATTTTCGGATTCGCTTCCAGCGTAGACATGAGTTTCTTGCAGATATCGACGGGCCCGATGTGCGAGAGAATTCCGTCAGCATATATTTTCTCTTCCGTGTGCAGCTCGTCCTCGTCTTTTGGGCCCAACAGGAGGTCTATTTTCTTTATATTCAAGCCTGCCTTAAGCACAGGAATCCATGCGCGCCTCTTGGTCAGGGAGTCTCGCAGTATGCTGCCCCGGTAGCCACCCAAGATGATGATGTCGCCTTCGAATTCCTGGAAAATGCGCATATAGTCGGGGAGTTCGTGATTTGGTGGCAGCTTGACTGTGGGCTTGAGGGATTTGAATAACGCGTCGATCTTGTTGTCTTGCAGCTTAGTGACGTCCTCGAACAAAACAGCCTCCTCGACGGTGGAAATTGACTCCTGTCGGGCCAGCTTTTGACGGATCTCGATACGCTGCAGCTCCTTGTCGTCCGGCTCAAATATTGTTCGCGTGGGGCTTAGAACCGACCGGATCGAGGGAAGACGGCTCAGTTTGTGGGGCCCGTTCGCGCCAAAGGGCAGAGAGAAGGAGAACACTTTGCGTGTCGGGCTCGCTTCCTCCACCGTAGTCTCGCGGCTACCTTCAGCGGGATTGATTTGCTCTGCAGGCTCTCCTCCGATGATGGATGACTCGACGTCACTATGGGCCCGCGAAAACCGCTTCATGCGAGGGGCGCTCGGCTCCTCGGCTACCAGTGACTTAGGCTCGTGGCCAAGGTCGTACTCATCGTCATCGTAGTCGCCTGCAATCTCGGAATTGGTGCTTGTGGAATCCTCGTCCTCGGTCTTCGGGGTGGGGGCACTCGGTAACGTGGGGGACAAAATTGCATCGACCGATCTCTTCCACTTGTCTGAGATTGATTCCGAAATCAATTCCACGGAGCGCGTGGTGGCGCCAATCGCCTTGCACGCAGACACTGAGAGCGGGCTTTCATCCACGGCCTTTGTGACGCCCTTTCTGAAGATCCGGATGGGCGACGAGGCGCGTCGCGCAACCTGGGTCATTGCAAAGGCTTTAGGCCGAGGGCTGGCAGAGCTTTCGCGACTGGGCAGCGCAGCATCCTCTGTTTGCTCATCAGAGAGCTCGGAATGCGTGGGGGCCGGCGGCGAGCTGTTGGAACGTGATTTGTGGCCACCAAAAAGTCTCATTGCTGTTCAATGCAAAAGCAAGTAGATACAAGAATAATAATTTACCAGCCGAAATTTTTTTATCTCGAATTATTTCCAACACATGCCCATCTTCAGAAGAAGTTGGGCATTTATTGGAAAATCCGCACAAACTTGAGTTTCCTTGGAGCTCCACGTGCCAGGGGAATGTGTCTCTGTGCAAAGATCAACCAGAATGAAGAGAGATCCCGCACACAGCACGCTAGTGCATGTACACTGTTTGCAGGGTTTCCCGGGGTGATTCTCATCTCGGCCATTCTGACATCGTAAACAAAGTACCTTTACAAACACTAAAAAACATATAGATTACCTTTTCAGGAGTTGGACGGCGTGCTGTTGCCAAACAGCCCCAGAGGCGGGTTGGCAATTGTCGCATCGCCCGTGCTGATGATCTTGCTCTGCAGCGACAAAATGTACTCCTTGAGCCGGATGTTTTCCTGGCGCAGACTCTCCAGCTCCTGTTGGCAGTCTCTGTGCTGCTCAAGCTTTTTCTCGAGCTCCTCGATGTGGTCCTTTCTGCGCTGTCTAAACGCCTTCTGTGCGGCCCTGTTCTGGGCAGCCCGTTTCGACTGGTTTAGTGGCTTGCCATGGTAGGAAGGACGGCCGTTCTCGTCCTGGCCCGGCGAGCCCGACTCAGGAGAGCCGGCATGCACAGGCGGCGACGCAGACGTTGGAGGAGGTGGAAGCCCGCTGTTGGCGCCAGACTTGGTGCTGCCAGGCTGGTATTGCGCATGGTACTGGGGCTGTGCCTGTTTTTGGCCGGCGTCGGGGGCTGGACCTCTATTGTTGACGGCAATTGCGGCGGCTGCAGCCGCCACCTCGTCCTCGAATTGGCCGTCGGATGGCTGCGTCTTGATGATTTTTTGGAACGAAGGGTCGATACTGCCCAGGTTGTTGGCGTTGTCGGTCATGGCTGGAGGTTAGTGTCCTGGGGCCCGGTATTACGTGATCGTTGCATAATCTCCACCACACTTGTCCGTGCGCTGCAAACTTTGTCAGCCAACACAAACAAACGGGGCGAACAACGGATCTCTGGTATGCGAAATACTTACGTCTTGCTGGGGTGTACACACGCTAGCGATTCTCTGCGGAAGGATGGGGGGTTTGTGTCGCTCCGTCTTCCGTCTTACCTAAACAAAAAAATAAGAGCACAAGCTTGACTCGTGTTGCTGATGTAATTTATTAATGTTCTTTTATTTTTTCCTCTTTGTGGCCCAACCCCCCTTCAGCAACGTAACAGGTGCACGGGTGCGCGGAATCCTCTTGGGTATGACTCTGGAGAAAATAATTGAACAGTATTTAATTTTGTGATGGACTACGATCCGGCTCTCCAGCAGCTGAATGTGGAAGCTGACGACCCCAGTCCGCTGAGGTCGAAGTTCAAGTCTGAGTCTGTGAGTAGCTCGTTCAAACACCTCCCCTCTGCGCAGTCAATCGCATCACCCACGACAAACTACTCGGCTCGTGCCTCTTCCTCGGAAAGCGGCTCCTCCATGGACATTGTGGGCAGCGCAAAAGCCAATGGGCTTGAAAAATCGTTTCATGGGCTCAGTTTGACCACACAGTCCGCCACCGCATCCAGCATCTGGTCCACAAACACGAGTCCTGCCGGCTCGAACGTTTGGAATAGATCCGTGTCTCAGCGACAGTCGCCCAAGACGATCCCGCACGAGGCTCGCACACTATCCGAGGGCGCGAAAAAAGACCATCGAAGCGACGACTACGCCACCTCTCCGCTGCAATATGGACACTGCATCCCGGAAGATTCTAATAATAACCTGTGGAACGACCTCAGCAATGAAATATCCACCGCCGTCAACTCGCCAGAATTGCTTGGCATCAATCCACCCGATACACGCCACTTATCGCTTAATGGCTCTTCACAACAATGGGATCCTCTCTCGCAGTCCACAGGGTCATTGGTCTCTCAAGGTTTCTGGAGCAGTACAGGCTCACTCGACGACACGCCCTTGTCACACCGCATGTCACGGTTTTTCCCCAATCCTTCAATGGAGTCCCGCAAAGACTCGAATGGAGCCGTTTCTGGGGAACGGAGATCGCATTCCACTGGGTTTCCTGCCTCGCCACTTACACTTAGCCTGTTTGCTCCCGAGAACGCAAAACCGTCGGGCGGGGCCCTGTACGGCCCAGCCTCGAGCATGGCCACCCCGCTGGGCGGCACAACACCCCTGATTGCTAACAGTAACCCTCGCTACGTCGACCCGCTATTCGACGGGTTTTCGCTGGGGACCCTCCAGACCTCATCAAACGATATGAAAAAGCTAAAAAAACTCAGAAAAGACGAACCGGCAACCGAGTTGGCGGTCCGGAGACTAGACGAGGACTCTCTGATCTCGCCGATCTCCGATGAAGTGTCGCTGCCTCCACGGTTTCCAAAACAAACATTCAACAGACAAGACTCACATTCGAAAATCATCAAATATATCAAGACAATCATCACCAGGCAACCAACACAGTACATGGTCTATGTTGCCTCGCTTCCCTTCGACACGCCACATTCGCAATGTCTTGCACTAATTCACCAGGCCTTCAAGGACTATGGCGAAATTACGCATCTGGTCAAAGACACAAATGCCAAGTCGTCCAAGAACCAGCCCGAAAACGACCTATTTATCAGATTTAAAATTGTGGCCAAGCTCTTCAACGAGCAAAAGCTGCCGTACAAATCGCACAGATTCTCAAACGAGTCCACGGGCAGGGACTCCAAGATGCTGCTATTTTTTGACTGTCCAAGCTCGTCACCACAGGGAGACCTTGGCTCGTGTAGCAGCACCGCGAAGAGACAGGAGATTTCAACATATCCAGAAGGATTCTCGTCGACGTTCCACCGTCGGGGAGTCAACAACTTTATGTTTGTGCGTGAGCTACAAAGCAAAATGATTACCAGCAAGGGCCGCGGGCCTCGCAGCTTCCAGGAGACTGCTGAGTTCCGTGTTTCTCTTCCTATCGAGGAGCTCGACCTTAAGATGGGCGAGCCGGACGCAGACCGATACGACGACGACTACAAGAGACCCAAGCGGTCATATGTGGTTAACATTGATCTGCGCGAGCTTGAAAACAAGCCCGCTCCGAAGGAGGGCAGGAAATATTCGCGGTCAGGTCGGTCGCGAGAAAAAAGTGCCACTTAAATTATATAATAGTGTGCTTTAATCGTTTGAAAAATAGTTAAATTAATTATTTATTTCATGGACTTAGCCCGAATATTCAGGGGGAATTTCTCCGTGTTCCAGCTGGAGCCGGGGAGTTTCAATCTGAGCGACGGCACTGTGGTTGACAACACGTATCCATCGATTCTCTTCACCAACGCAGCCGACTGGAACGCTATGAACAAGTATTTGTCGTCGTACCAAGCAACCATCATGTCCGCCGTTCTGCCGCTGACTAGAGACGACTTTCACGACTCGGTGATTGTCATCAGCTTTGTGCTGTGTACGCTAACCGTGGGGTTCTGGCTTTTGTTTCTGATTCAGTCAATAGCCACAGAAAAACGCCCTTTGCATTTGCAGCTGACAACTACGCTTCTTGCCGTCTTTTCAACGGTCGTCCTTGTGCGCTTTACCACTTTGATGAGGGAGGAATTTGAAGGCTGTTTCCAGGACCGCTCACTCGTGATCGACCGGCTGTTCAACAAGCTCTACTACACGGTACCGGTGTGCATTTTGCGAGCGTTTACATACGTATCCTGGCACTGGCTGTGCGATCGCCTGGTGTCTGAATTCAGAACACGAGCCGCCAGGAGCGGCAACAAAATGTTCCGGTGTCTGGTGGCCGCCAACGTTGTGAACGCGCTGTTCATGGTGCTGGTGGTGGTTTTCACCTCGCTGCATTACTTTCTTACGACAAAGAACAACTACCACATCCGCTACTGGGTCAATGTGACGATTTTGGTGTTCACATCGCTTGTGTGCGTGTACATTTGGGTGTTGGTGATGATGTTTTGGATGCTCCGCGTGGACAGACGGTTCAAGTTTGAGAATTTGGGGCTTTTGGTCACCACCTTTGTGTGCTACTGGTTCAACACGGGGATGCAGCTCATGGAGTCTGTACTGGTAGTGCGCGATCCAAAATGGATGGTCCAGGTGAACTTATTTTTCGAGATTTTGTCCATCCATCTGCTAGTGGATTTCATAAGCGGGCTGGAAAAATACAACCACAAGACCGAGTCGCATAACATTGTGGGGAGAGAGACGATTGCTATAGAGCGCAAAGTTAGCGACATGGAGAGGCGAATGCACGGCTCTGGCATTGCGTTGGAACTGGACGGCGATAGTGACACGATTTCCAATTCGAGCGATAGTGGAGCCGAGCAATCCAGATAGTGGGCGATAAGCCGGAAAAGAAAAAAAAACCCGTCGCGATTCACGGCTCTGTTAAAATTAGCGCGCACCGCCACAGCGAAAAAATTCCAGAGATAGCGCGGCGGCCACAATTGTTATCTTATCTGGGAGAGTGCCGATGAGAAATTCCGAAATGAGTATGTTTTACGGGCGAGCAAAAGTTGTTTGTTTGTTTGTTTCATTTGTGTTTGTTTCAGCAAGCTACCAGCCATGATGGAGTCTGGTTTTCGCCATTATTCGCGCTATGACCCGTTCAGTACCAGCATCAAGGACCTAGAGCAGATATTCAACTTCAGAATCCAGCTCTTTGACACCCGTAAATCGTTCGGGAATGAACTCGACTCCGACCTCAACGTGTGGCTCAAAAAAGCTCATTCCGCGGGCAAAATCAAGGAAAAGTCTCCGCCAGCTACCGAGTCCTCCAAACGACGGAGACTCGATACAGTCTCGTCCACGTGCACATTTCTGGACGACTTCGAGCTCTTCCGATACAGAGACGAAATCCAGGAATTACGGGAAGAAGTGATTTCCGTGCATTATCAACAGTACATCGGGCTCCAAACAAAGCCTGCCTCGCACAAAAACCATCACGAAGGTATGACGAAAGCATAGATGATGATTTATCTTTATGTAATCTACTGAAATCTCGATTCATCAGAGTCATTAAATCAGTATATTGTTTGCGTTCACCGAGCCGAAGCCCTCTTACAGTGTGAATATCTTCCTCATCATAGAATCGAGAATGGTGCGTGGTTAGACATAGGTTCGGTAAACCGGTCTCCAGCCACGCTGTCCGTCAGATATCTGCGACCTTTCAGCAGTTCCCTCACAGCCGGCGCCCCGAATTTGTACACGAGGAGCGCTTTTACATAAATGTGACTGTGAGGTACTGGTATGTCCGCCCGGTCGGTTAATCATCACAGGACGGTGAAAATCATTATGAGTAAATGACAGACCACTCGTAGCTCATACAAGGCTGAAACTTAACGAGATGCGATTGTCAACAGTGGCGTTCGGCCTTCAGGCGGAACAATTGGTCAATGCAAATAATCACGGCTGTCGAATGGTCCTCCATTTTCTCATAAAAATTTTCACAACAAAACATTGTAGGGTTATATTTTTCTTAAATGCTCTGGTGGTGCGAGGTGTGGCAACAGTTACTCGGGTCCTGTCTTCTCCTTTGCCCCCTCGGTCGCTTCCTTCCCGTCCAGTCCGTTTACTCGGTCAAAGATCTGCTGCAAGTTGAATTTGCACAGTTTGTCGTAATCGTCGAAATTGACCACGCTCATGCCTATGTTATTTTTGAAGCAGAAAATGTTTATCATCTTGTCCGGCGCGCGGTAGTTGAGTCGATGGCCGGGCAAAAGCTCAGCGACAATCGAAGCAAACGTGTCTCTGTCAATAATGCTAAAATTGCGCTTGACCAAGTTCATAGAGTAGGACTCCTGGTTGTCAAAATGGCCCCGAAACACTTTTTCGGCCGATTTGCGAAACTCCGTTTCTGTCGCATTGCACGAGACATCGATCGGCGTCAATTTCTGCAAAAACCGTGTGTTTTTCGCCCCGGACTCAAACAGCTCTCTGCACACTCGTGTCACAAAGTTAGAGGGCACAATCGGCCTTCTGGTCTTGATGAAGATCAAGGAGTCACAATTGATGCTTAATTCCTTGACAATTTCTTTATTCTTGGCATCTTGATTTTGCTTGTTCATCTCGTAAATTTCTCGCTTAATTGCGTCTTCCACAGACTCTTCCTCCTTCACATTCTCCTCAGTAGCTTCTTCCTCCACGGGGAAATACTCCTTCCATCTATCGTTGAGCAGCTGCTTAAGCTCTTTGGCTGCAGCTCCCTCTTTATGCCTGTTGCACGAGGCATAGATGCCGACCTGACCCGGCTCGACCAGAACGCCGCTTTTGAATCGCTTTGCCTGGCCTCCTCCACTATGATTTCTTTTCCCCATACACTGAAAAATATTATTTTTTTATCGACAAATATATTTATTTGTATTTTATTTATCTAGCTTTTTTGCCTGCTGCTCAAGCTGTCTTTCGTGCTCACTTTTCCACCCCTTGCGCCGCTGTCTTTCCTCGTACGCCTCTCTGTTTTTCAGAACACGGCTTGCAATGTCCTCGGTCGAGATATTGTCGTACTTGTGGCTGCCCAGGTTCTCGTATAGGCCAAGCTCTTTCATCTCGGAGTAGGGGTCTGCATCCTCCGAGGTGGGACCGTGGAACACCTTCACCACAGGCACAGGGAACTCAAGAATGTAATTTTTGGTTGGCTTGTAAGGAGCACCCAGAACAATTCCGTCTATGTACTTGCTCTGGAGCACACACAGCGATCTTTCAAATAAATTCATGATCGGATAGTTGATGCCCTTGTGCTTATTGACGTCCTCGTCGTCGTTGACTCCAACAAGAACAACCGCACTGTCGGCTACTGCTCGCTCTTTGAGCTTTTTCAAAGCAACAATATGTCCTGGATTGAAGAGATCAAAGCCACCGTCGATGTAGTATATTCTGGACGACTTGAATCTTTCTGCGCTGGGCTTCACCAGCTCCTTGACCTCGCCGGTGTCCTTGGTATACGCGAAGACCGCCACACCGGGGTTCCTGCCGTCCTCACACGTGGCATAATCTTGATAGCGCTTTATCGCATCGGGCTGAAATAGAGGATGCGATGGCTGTCCAGCAGCGTAATCTTGCCAGTCCTTGGCCAGAATGACCGGTAGATGGTGGTTTTTCGAGTAGAGCAGCATCCGGCCAACCAAGTCTGTGGTAGAGATGTTGGGTGTGCGTTTCACAACAATGAACCGGCCCAGCTCCTTGACAACTTTGTAGCAATCCTCCCCATTGGCATCGGTGGTAATATCGTCGCCATGGACCACGTACTTGCAGCCGTAATGGTCCATAACGGAAGGATCAGTCACATAGGGAGCTCCCGGAACGGATTTGGTGGCCCACCGACAGCCATCCACTGCGGCAAGACGTTCATCCAGCGTCATCACCACTGGTCCTTTATTTTCCAAAATATCCTCGTCTGAATGGACACCCACGTAAAGTTCAGTGCCGTGTTGGCGAGCTTGCAGCATTGCCCCTGCATGGCCTAAAGTTAGTCAGAAGAGTTCTCCACGTACCATGATGGGCAAAATCAAAGCATCCGTCTATCCAGATGCGGGTCTCCACGAGAGAGTTCGACATTTGTTAAATAAATAAATTGAGGCTGTGTTTTTTTTTTTAAGTTCACGTAGCAAAATTAAATCAGGTACCCGTGTGGTTCCAACGGGACAAAATTGCACTATTGTGAAGAGGACACTGACAATCTCCAAAGACGTTCTCTGATGTCAGCCATAGAGAACACTCTTCAGTCAATCCAAAACCAGTTGGAGTCCATTCCGTTCTACGACGATCTGGTAGACAAGTGGAACGACCTGGCCGGAGACAAAATTAAGACCAAAGATCCGTTTGTCGAGACATTGCCGGATGGCTCGACGCGCAAACTTAAACTCCCCGATAACGCTACGAAAGACCAGAAAAAGGCATGGAAACGAATACAAAGAAGAGCATGGATCGACGACAAGTGTTTCCTCGGATGCTATCCAATTGACTGTGGAATAGGTTTGGGGCCCATTGTGGTGATGATTCCTGGAATCGGTCCGCTATTAATGTACGCAATTCACGCCCGGCTGATCCACATGGCCAGCCATGCCTTTGATATTGATCCCGCAACGTATTCCAAAATGCAGGCCAATATTCTCTTTGATCTGCTCATCTCATTGCCGCCTCTGATTGGTTCTTTCTTTGCATGGATGAACGGCTGTTCCACACGAAACGCGGCCATAGTTCACACACGAGTTCGAAAACTACTAGCTATTCAAGAGCGACATCAACAGCAGTACCAGCCCCAGCACCGTTCTGACCATCTGCAACGGCCTGTGCCAGCGGCCACTTCAGCCTCTAACCCGCCACCACTGCCACCGAAATCAGCTACCATACGAGATCCACAAGCGGGGCGGTGACGCGAAGATAAACCTGCTACCAAGCCTGGATTTTTCCAGAAAAAAGTTCGCGTAAACACGACCCCATGCGAGAAAATTCAAATTTTTTAAATTTTGTCTAGGATTCTCCGAATATTAGATTTTTCCTATTAAAGGGCAAATTTTCCACTGACATCACTAGAAGTGCCGTATACAGCACCAAGAGTCTAGTCGAGAGCCGCAATCTATAGATTTGCCACAGATCAAAGGAGTCAGACATGGTCAAAGATACTAAGCTATACGATATTTTGGGTGTCTCCCCTGACGCCACCGACGCCCAGCTGAAAAAAGCTTATCGGTTGGGAGCCTTGAAGCACCACCCAGACAAAAACCCTTCTCCAGAGGCGGCCGAGAAGTTCAAAGAGATTTCCGCAGCCTATGAGATTCTTAGCGATCCGGAAAAAAGGGATTTATACGATCAGTATGGTGAAGAAGGTCTCAGCGGAGGAGGAGCAGGAGGCATGAACGGAGCAGACATTTTCTCGCAGTTCTTTGGCGGGTTTGGTGGGTTTGGCCAGCGTGGTCCTACCGGCCCTCAGAGAGGAAAGGACATCAAGCACACCATTTCTTGCACTTTGGAGGAACTGTACAAGGGTAAGACTACAAAGCTGGCTTTGAACAAAACCGTGCTATGTTCCAGCTGTAAGGGTAAGGGCGGTAAGGACGTGAAAAAGTGTTCCTCTTGTGACGGTACCGGTATGAAGTTTGTCACCAGACAAATGGGTCCTATGATCCAGAGATTCCAAACTACCTGTGACGTTTGTCACGGTGAGGGAGACATCATTTCGCCAAAGGACAGATGCCAGACCTGTAAAGGTAAGAAGGTCAGCAACGAAAGAAAAATCTTGGAGGTTCACATCGACCCAGGTATGCAAGCTGGCCAGAGAGTTGTGTTCTCTGGCGAGGGAGACCAACTTCCAGACATCATTCCTGGAGACGTGATTTTCGTGATTGACGAAAAGAAACATGATACCTTCAGAAGACAGGGCCACGACCTGTTTTACGACGCCAAGATCGATCTTCTGACTGCTTTGGCCGGAGGTGCCTTTGCCATCAAGCATTTGAGTGGAGAGTACCTCAAGATTGATATTATCCCTGGCGAAGTGATTTCCCCAGGCTCGGTGAAGGTCATCGAGGAGAAGGGCATGCCTATTCCAAGACATGGAGGCTACGGAAACCTGTTTGTGAACTTTGAGGTCATTTTCCCACCTAAGGGCTTCGCTACCGAGGAGCAGCTTGCAGCACTGGAGAAGATTTTGCCACCAAGACCAGCACTCAACATTCCAAAGAACGCCGTTGTCGACGATTCCTGTGTTCTGACAGACGTGGATCCTATCAAGCACGGCCAGCGTAGGAACAGAAGCTATGACGAGGATAACGACGAAGATGAGGATGGCCAGCCTGGTGTCCAATGTGCACAGCAGTGAGTAATACTATCAGATCGCTTTTTTGGAGTAATCTTTATTTGGAAACCAAAAAATAAACGTCGATCGACGCGTCGGTGATGTAATCGCTATTTAAAGATCTGCGAAAAATCAACAAAGGAGAATTATTTGGTCTTTTCCGAATTTGGTAGCTGAATCTTACCTCGTTCCACTCTGAAATTCGTAAAAAATTGCCAGGAACCAGGGCGTGCAACCTAGTTGCATCGCACAACTTCCATCTGAGCTCATGACCTGCGCACTCTCGTATACTTTCCTGCCCAGGCACACCCAGAATGCTTACAAACACTAAATTATTACAGGTTACATTTGTTCTTTTGATATGCATAGATTACATACATGCATCTTGTATTGTGGCATATCCCAGCAGGGAATTTTCTAAAGAAAAAAAGCTGGAAAAATCCCTGTTGCCTACTATTAATACCTTCTTCTTCTCTTCGACGACCCATGGCTGTTCCTCCTCCAGGATACGACACTGTGCTCCTTCGCGAACACCTTTACCAAGATCTCAAGAACAAGTATCTTGTGATCCCTCCGGAAGCCCATGAAGCCGGCTTTAGGCCGGTTCATGAAATTGGACTGGGGCTATTTAATTACTACCTCGTTGACCAGCACAGCATTCAAGGCAGGGGAATCCATGGTATTTGGGAGGTTGTACTCGATTTTCTCCTGTTAACACTAGTGGGAGCCTGTTGCTTTGGCATCTATAAAGTGATCTCCTCCTGGAAGAAGAGGGCTTTGAAGCCTGTGCTGCTCAAAAAACAGCACAAGGAGGACCTCGAGATGGGTATTTCCAATGATGTCAAGCTCAAGTATGCACCGGATCTGCCATCGCTTGTGCACAGTCCCTCCACACCAGTCTATTCCGAATCGTCTCCATCGAGCGTGCACACCACTCCTATCACAAACCTCATGAAGTTCGATGTCCCAGACAAACACGACAACTCAGAGCTCCATCACAGCTTGCTCATGAGCAGTCTCAAGATCCAGTAATTGCATCCACTAGCATCAGCATACTTGCATTGTTTTTCTACAGGCAACTAATACCAAGCCCACTTTCCATTGGCGACCCACGCTGGCCGGGTGGAGGAATGCAGCATGCACAGAGCCGAGAGCGAGTCATTTTTGTGTCCCACGCTTCCTCCCAGCTCCTTCACCAGCTCCAGGGCTGCCCCGTTATATTCTCCCGCATGATACACCAACTCGTCGTGCCATATCTTGATTTTCTTCACCGCAGAGCATTCCGCCATGCAGCACTCAAGCAACTTGCGTGTCTGGTCCAGCGTCTCGGCATCGAGCATGATCAGTGTCACCTGGTCCTGGCCAAACTCGTAATACCACAGTGCAAAAGCGCTCCCTATATATATGCCAAATCTATTGCCGTTGAATTCTCTTTTCTGGAGCTTTGCCAGATGGATCGATCGGTTCTGGAACCACTCCAGGTTCTCCACAGAGGGTTTCACAGCTACCGATCCAGGCGATGCCTGGACCATTCTGCGAACTTTGGCGTCATACTGGTCGATGAATTTCGGCAGGTTCTCCTCCGTCACGTACAAGTATGGAATTGCGGTTTTTCTACCTGTCTCCAGTAGAGCCAGAGGAACGTGGTAGCTTTGGAATCCAAACCGCGAATAGTACTCGCCCACCTCGCTGTATAGGAACGAAAAGTCATACTTTCCTTGAAATAGGTCTTTCATCTTTTCCACCAGCTGCTCCATCATTTTCGTGGCATACCCCTTTTTTCTGTGCTGTTCCAGAGTGTAGACGGATCCAACGGCCGCACATTTGCCCTCGTGCAGCGATTTATCAAAATAGTACGAGTCTCGCACCACAAACTCGCAGGCACACACAATATCCTCAAACTTGTCGCTCGGAAGCGTTGTATCCCTAAAAACCCAGTAATACGTCCCGTTGACCACGGTGTCGTCCCTCCAAAGATCGCAAAACCGGTGGGTGTAATTCAGCCGCTCCCGCTCGATGTACTCCTCCATGCCCAGCGTGCCTCCCCAGGCCCGATGGTTGTGGCTGAGAACGTAACGCAAAACCTCAAAGTCGGTTATTCTCTCCAGGAGCAGCATGGAAAAAATAAAGTGAAATAAAATAAATAAATCAGAATTTCCTCATGAGACCCACAATTCGCCGCCTGGTCCGTCCCCGCAGACCCGCCAGAGATACACGGCCCTTGCTGCCGCCGCTAACTCTGTACCGGGCGATTTTGCGCTCACACCGCAAACTGCCGCCGGACGCACGACACCTGGGCGACAACTATGTCCGGGCCGAGTTCAGAGCACACGCCAACGTGGAGGACCCGCTGCAGATCGTGGGCTTTCTCACGGCATGGCAGGACTATCTCCAGGCCGTCACAAAGAACACAGAAGACGACTGGCGCAAGTACAAGCTCACCTCCGAGGCCCTCAGCAAGATGAGCGACGAGCAGGTGGTGCAACTGTACGAACTGATGCAGGAGGCCCGCAACGTCCACGCCGAGGAGGAATAAATTAAATAGTGCTACATAATACTGCGCAGTCAGCACAGACAGAACTCCCACCCAAAGTCCTCGACCACGTCGCACCAGTCTACGTAGCAGGGCTCGCCGCGCTGCAGCAGCTCGTCCTCGATTTCCCAACACCTCTGCACCACGAGCCAGCAGTTCTGGACGTTCTTCACCTCGAACGAGCGCACGAGTCGCTCGTACTTGGCCGTTATGTCTGCGCGGGAGGCTTCGTCGCAGTGCACCACGCCGGCAATCATGAGCGTGAGACACAAAATCGACTGCATACGCGTGCCGATCACAATATCCAGCAGCTTGCCCGCGTGCTCGCGCAGAGCCACCATCTCGTGGTCGCGGAAGTCGGTTTTTTTGACCACCATGCGCAGATACAGGCGCATTGTAATCTGGTGCAGCTCGAACCACGTCAGATGCAGCGTCAGCAGGTCGCGGTTGTCGCTGATCTCCTCCAGCTGTTTGAACGAGGGCTTGGACTCTAGAATGCGGGACTCGAGCTCTTCAAATGAAGCCCGACAGAAATCGTCCCTTTCCCGGTTGAGTACAAGAGTCTTCTTGATTGCGGACTCATCTCCTGATGATTCCAGCACGCGGATCCGCATCTCCAGATCCTTGAGCTCCTTCCGTTTGTCATTGATCTCCCCATAGATGAGGAACAGCTCGGCCGCAGAGCCCTGGAACGGGTCGAGACCGTACTCATCTGTCTCTAGGATTTTGTGCCCGTGGAAGATATCTTTGTACGTATTCATATCCTCATGCGTGCCGGACAACACTGTTCTGGTGGCATTCACGTCGTGGAAAAAGTAATTCGAGATAATCCATTTTCCCTCGTTTGCGTGTTTGGTGTCCTCAAAGAACTTGCGCAGCCCGCCGTACTCCGAAAAAGCGTCGCGCAGCTGGAGAAAAATGTGGTACCAGAACTTGATGTCGCCAGTTGAGATCTCGGCGCCGACAAGCACCAGGAAACACGTTGCGAGCGCCATAAAGTCATTGAGTGTCGGCTGGGCAGCAATCTGCCGTCTGCGGGTCTGCACGAGGGCCAGCGATCTGGCAAAGTACTCGCGGGCCTCCTCGTTCTGGGAGCCGAGCAGAAACATACCTCCCCACGCAACAATGCCGTTGAGCACCGCCGAGTCCTGTGTCGCGAGTTTCAGGATGTAGCTAAAGAAGAAATTGGACTCCTGAGAGTGGCAGATGGTGATTTCCTTTGTGATAAACGATATGTAGTGGTCCAGGAACAAGCGGCCCGTTTCGTCCAGCGACTGTGTCAGAACATTGGAGGGCACAGTTATGGATGGCGAAAGTTTACTTGTGAACAGCTGGAAAACCGTCGGCTTGAGGAATTTTCTGGTGTCTTTCCGATGCAGTAGCTTGACGAGCTCAGAGTCGGGCAGGTTCTGGTTCTCCACGATCTGCGACTCGTCCATCGGCGCAAACTCCTCCTCGCTGGTGTCGAGCAGCGCAAGGGTCTCTCCCTGGCTGTTCTTGAGATCGCGGAGCATGTTGTCCAGCAGGTCATCGGGGTCGAACAAGGGCGGACTTTTGGGTTTCTTTATAGTCTGTTTCTCTGCTGTCTTTGCCTTTTTGTTGTCTCTCCTGATACACGGCGTGTTTCTGCGGGCACACAAGCCACACACTGGATACGCCTCGTCGCACTTTTTCTTCTTTTTGCGACAACTCACACACCCGTTTTTGGACCGCGAGCTCATGCCCACAAACGATCTGCTGCTGATTAAGGGCACGGAGCGGGGGCCGTTGGCAGGGCCGGATGCGGAGCCGGAGAAAACAGACTCCGCGTTGGGAAGCGCTGATCTCAGGCTTTTCTTGTCCACGGCAGACAGAGTGTGGTCAAAAGTACAGAACATGGTGCCAGACAAGATAGTAACAATCTAAATATTATATGCACTGCCGAACGGGGAAGGAGAGCGGCAAATTCCATTTTGGGAACTTTGAAGCCAGAACACTAAAACTCAAGAGCGTCGGTCTCCACGCCGTCGAAGTAGCTAGTGAAAGTCACCACAACGCCATAGATCAGCAGGCCGCCGCAGATGGTGAACTCCATGGCGAAATGTGTCAAGATGTGGCAGTGGTACAAAATCAGCGGGAACGCTATCCCGGTGACCAGCAAGAAGCTCGACAGAAAGCGGCCAAAGTCCACCACGTCGTTCGTGGCGTTCAATTCGGTGTCGTCCAGATACGAGTCGAATTCGGAGGCGTAGTACTTTGTGATCAAAATCGGAATGTGTGCCACGGCAAACACGAAAGCGTCCAAAATAGGGAACCAATTGCCGTACAGCGCGCCGGCTAGCACCACCAGCAGAAACCCAACGGCCAGGACAGACGACAGCCCAATAATCTTGGTGAGAGGGTTGAGCTTTATCGGCATAGAAGAGAGTGTTGAAATAAAAGGCGATTACATCCGTGCACCGGGGCAGAGTGAAAAAAAATAAGTGGCAAAACATAGATTCAACCTTGCACAATGGTAAGTATTGCCAATTCGCTCTTGTGGCTAACTTTTGCAGTTCCGCAATAACTACGACAACGACGCGACGACGTTCTCGCCCACCGGGCGGATCTTCCAGATAGAATACGCTCTGGAAGCCATTAAGCAGGGCTCTGCAGCCGTGGGGATCGCGTCCAAGAACCATGTGGTTCTGGTGGCCCTGAAGCGAAACGCAGAGGAATTGGGCTCGTACCAAAAGAAAATCATCAAAGTTGACAATCACATGGGCATAGCATTGGCCGGTCTGGCGCCCGACGCGCGTGTGCTCTCGAACTTCCTGAGACAACAGGCCATGTCGTCGAAAATGGTTTTCAACCGGCCACTGAACGTGGCCAAGGCGGTGTACTCGATCGCAGACAAGGCACAGGACAACACACAATCTGCCGGCGGCCGTCCATACGGTGTGGGGCTGCTGGTGGCCGGAATCGACGAGAACGGGGCCCATCTGTACGAGTTCCAGCCATCGGGAAACGTGCTGGAATACGTCGGGGCTGCGATTGGCGCAAGATCCCAAGCCGCCAGAACGTTTCTGGAAAGGAAGTACGAGGAGTTTGCAGACGCCACCAAGGAACAACTGATAGAGTATGCGCTGACGGCCCTCAGAGACACGCTGTCGCAGGACAAGGAGCTGAACTCGCTGAACACCACGGTTGCCGTCGTCGGCAAATCCGAACAGTTCACGATCTATGACGACGACGACGTTCAGCAGTGGCTCGACCGTCTGGATAGCCTCTCCAACGCTAGAAATAGAGACGAACCACAGGAGGAGCAGCAGGAACAAGAACAACCCGAGCAGCCAGCAGAACAAACTGAGCCAACTGAGCAGTCCGACAGAATGGATACAGACGAGTAGACACCTAATTAAACTCTATTGTCATGCCACTATACACCACCTCCTCACAGTCCTCGTGTTCGACACCGTTCTCGTGGACCAGCACGGCAAAATCTAGATACGTGTCTCCAAGAACCACCATCGGCGCATGCCACGTGCCGACTCCGTAAGTAACCGACTGGTCGCCTTTGAAAATGAATGCCTCAGTGTTTTCGTAGTCCGGCAAACCGTCCTTGTCGGGTGCCACAATCACCAGGTACGCGTGAGTGACGTCACGTGACCTCCCCATTGGGACAAACGTCTGCGTAGTGTACGGGTGTCGCTCGAGCACCTTGGCCGTGTACTTTGTGACACCGTCCGCGTGTGCAAGCAGGTGTGTGGGCGGCGACGAGCGGAAGATGTTCCAATTTGCGGTGCCCGGTCTGTTGCTGGGTGCGGCCGCGTAGTTGTTGACGACGGGGGCCATTTTCATGAGCTTGATGGCTGTGCCCTGATTTGCCGAGCTCTGCGGGGCACTGGCGAGCTGCAGGTCGCAGGCCAGCAGGCCGCCATATTTTTCAAATGCCTCGACCGTTACGGGCTTTGCCCTGACAACAACATCCTTATTGCTGACCGTTTGTATGACCACCATGGAGGACGAATAAAATCGGGGATTTCCTATCAGTTCAGCGAATTTCCAAAAATGTGCGCGCGAGGTGATTTTCATGTGTGCTTATGTCAGCCGCGTGATGGAAGGTCACTGCTGGCGTGATTTTGCGGGATGGGGCAGGGTATATAAGGACGGGTTGCGGACTTGACTTTGATCATAGAATACAATGGCCAAGAAACAAAGACAAACACAACACAGCGAACCAATACATTTAGATCATCTGGAAGCTGCTCCTAAGGTGCGGACGTCGCACGAGATGAATTTTGACTCGCTCGAGGAGTTTGAAAACTACATCATGGACGAAAGTTATGACAACGAGTTCGATAACTTGAACGTGCATCTGAAGTACTTGCCACCGTTCATCATGTCTGAGATCCACTCGAACGAGGAGAACATCAAGCCTAACATGAACTCTCTCAACAAGAAATTCAGGAGACAGCTGCAGCATCACCTGCAGAAGCACCTGATACCGGAAATCAAGAAAATGAGCGGTATTGACTACAACTTCAGCAAGGCTGGCGAGGGCCAGGAATTCAACCAGTACGGCACGTCGTCGGTGTACAAGTGGCACTTTGTTGACGACTCCGACCATGGATTCCGCGAGGACGAGTACAAGCAGCGGCAACACTGGCGCGCGTTACTCGACGTGGAAGCCAACTCCGAAGACCCCACCGTGCGGGTCGACTTTAGATGTATAATGAATTAATGAACGTCTATGAATTATGACCAGACGTGGTCGTAGTGGACAATGAGGTCCTCGCACACAAACGTCATGAGGCCGAAGTACTTGTTATTTTCTGGGCGACACCCTTCGATGAATAACCCGCCCATAACTTTGGCAAGGTTCGATGCCGGCATCCTATTATGCCGGTTATACTCGTCAACCATTTTCAAGTGCTTCACGAACCGCGCCAGCAACGTCCTGTTTGGCGCCGGCAGCGTATCGAAAATCAGCTTGTACTGCTCAAAACGTTCCTCCGACTGGGCTAGCTGCTTTATCTTGTCGAATTCGGGAATAATGGTGTCCAAAATCAACGGTTCCGGCAGCTCTCTGAAAAACATCTTTATAACTCCCGTCAAGTTATGAACGTCGAACACGAGCTGGTCCTCCATGTTGAGATCGCCATGGAGATTTATCACGTCGCGGATCTCGTTCAGCACGCTCACCGACGCAGATTTGCGATACAGTCCTGTTTCTTCTAGACCTCGGAACTCAATCTCGCTCATCATTTTCTCGATTATTGCCGGTATCTGCCGGCCCTCGCGCTCGCACACGTAGTCCAAAGGCACCCCAAACACAAAGTTATGGTGCGTGTACTTGTTTACCGTGCGCGACCAGTACCAGTGTTTGCGCGCAAAGTTGATCTGATACAGCCAATCGTCCTTCTCGGCCTCTGACACTGCCTGGAAAACCAGCTCCTGCGTAGCACTGCTCAGCTTGAACGAGCAGGGGGCCTGATAGACGGGGAAAATTGTGTAGTCGCGCAAGTTGACCAAAATCACGGGACGCTGCTTGGCGTCTACAAAGTCATCCGCCACACCAAGGTCGTCGACACCCACAACGCGCTCGCCATGGCCCATGCTGATGCTAAACGCACGGTTTTTGAGCAGCCCGCCGAGCTTGAACATGGAGCTACCACTGCTGCCGGCTGGCCGCATCGGGATGCTGCGCGAGACGCGCACACTCTCGCGCCTGTAGTCTCGGTAGGGTTCCTGGGGGGCAGTCCACTTCTGCAGTTGCCGAACTAGCAGCCGTCTGCGTGCCGTCTCAATCAATAGCAGCTGTCGCTGCTGCTGCAGATGGTGCCCAAAGACACTGCTGCCCGCCTCGGGCAACTCGCGCGGCGCAGGTTGAGCACAACTACACGAGAAGAGGAACGCAAACGGCGTGTTCTGGGGCAGGTCTGTGGTGGGCGGCACGAGGTCCAGAATGTTGGAGACACAGTTGTATGCAAACCTGCGCTTGTCGAAGTTGATGAGGTTGGTGTTTTCCACCGCCTTGTTCGGAATGAAGCACGCAATCTCCAGCATTCGCTCCGCAAGCCAACCGGGACAGGGCAGCACCTTAACCGTCGTGGTTTGCGGAATCAGTTGCTCTAAGGAGTCGAGCGAGTCGGTCTTGGCGAGCTTGCGCCAACAATCGGCATAGCGACGGGACTCGGGCAAGAGAATTACATCTGTGAGACAGCTTTCTAACATTCCCGGCACGCGTAGAGTCTCACCCGAGCGGGTCTTGCCGAGCATCAGCGCTGCCACACGCATTCTGTCAATTCGTTCCGGCTCGACAAGGTTCCGGTCCAGGATCTGTGCCGCAAAATACGTTTTGAGCCGGAAATAGAACTCAAACAGGCTTCGCACGGGGGCAGGAAATTTATTCACCACGTACTCGCCGCCGGCGTCCTTCATTGTGGCGAGCCAGTTGTAGATGTTTGCGACAACAAGCTCTGTGTCGGGCACGTCCGCCGGCTGCGCGTCGTACTGCGACAGGCTGAGCGGGCCGGTACACGCGTGTGTCTCTAGAATCTCGAACGCAGCGATCCAGTCGTCGAGCGTCGATAGTCCGTACAGCGCGCCTATCGTCGCGTCGAGGTCGAGCACGAATTTTTCGATGGTTGCAATGTCCTTTGAGCGCGGCAGCAGCCTGTCAGCGGGCACAATTGTCAACTCTGTGGTGAATGTCGGCACCCGACGGTTCAGCACTGGCCGGTACGATTTCCGCACGTACGATTTCCGCATACTTTTGTACGTCGCCGTTAGCGAGTCGTAAAGTTGACGCACCTGCTGCAAGGACTCTTGGTCCGATGACTCCTCGGCCTCTAGCCACAGCAGCACCTTATTCCACTGGACAATCGTCTCGTTGTCGATGTGGCGCAGCAGCGAGTCAAAAATGGTTTTGTTTTCCAGATTGTCTGTAAAATGGTGGTAGCAGTTTTCGACAAGAATTTGCAGCGTTTCGAGAACACCCAGTTGGATCTGCCCCACGTAGATCCAGTTGGTGTCTGCATACTTCCCTGAAAACGATGCATCCCAGTCGGGCTCGCTTCCCTCTGCGATCGAGCGCGCCGCCGCTTTCGCCCCAATAAATCTTTTTTTCAGCCCCTGCAGCAGCGTTGTGGTGGAACAGAACCCACGGTACACGGCGAAAAACGTCATCGTAAATACACCGTTGTTCATCTTGAGCTCCACGCAGTCGGCAGGCGCGTTCCCAACAAAGCGTTTGATGTCTTCTTCGGCGATTCGCGCCCCAAATGTGGAATACGTCAAAACCAGCAGGTCCAGCAGCCGGTCCAGCGTCGCCGCTTTGGTCAGAATTTCTGCACTCACCTTCTCGGTCTCCTTCTCGCGGCCCTCCACGTATGCCTGATACGTGTTGAAATACTCGTCCAGGCTGAAACTATTGGACGAGTAGCTGCTGTAACGCTTCACGCTTGCACTCTCGCCAAGCAGCGCACTGGACGGCCGCGACTTTTTCTGGATTCCCCGTGTGTCGTTCGTCTTGAACACAATACTGTCGTCGTCGACGTGGAAGTCGTGCGAGTCGACGTTGAAGACGTCGCGCACCGTCTTGACGAACTGGTTGCGGCTGATTTTCTTGAGCTCGTCGTTGTCTGTCGCGGCAAGCGTGCTGCTCAGCGCAGGCTGTGCAGTGTCCCCGCCGCCGATCGCGCCCAGCAGCGAGCTGCGGTCAAAGATGCGGTCTCTCTCGAGCGTCTCGGGGAACATCAGGGCTGCGTAGGAGCCCAGAAATAACGGGCTGCGCGAAGTGTCGTGCAGCCGGTGAAACTGGCCCGCGTGCGCCGGCTCCACGCGCAACGACTGCTCCATCAGCGCGGACAACGAGAGTGGCAGCCCGCGCACGTGACACTGCAGTACTTTGGAAAGCCGTCCAGCAACGACTGCGTCCAGCGACCCTACATGAGCGTGCTTTTTCGATAAGCCAGGCTCGTTGTGCACGCCAGCCAGAAACTGCTCCCACTTGGCAAACGAAGCGCGCACGCGCGAAACATGGCGCTGGTGGTCGCGCAACGTGCATGAGGCCTTTTTCACGAGCAGATCGCCAAAATACGGCACCACATTCTCGCGGGCGTACATGCGGCCGATGCCCTGCGGCGCCAGAACGTGGTATGAGGCACGGTGGCTTGCAGAGCTCACGATCGAGCGCCGGTCCAGCTCGAACACTACTGGCGCCCAGTTAGAGCTCACTAGCTGGACGTACTCGGGCAAGACGTGGTCCCAGGTGCGGGCGAGCCGCAGCACGGGCATCGAGCACACGACGGTGGCGATTGCCAGCCACCCAACCATATCGCCCATGCTACTCAACGTCGAACCCAGCTGGATCCATTTCCCGAGCAGTTGCGCGCGTTGCGTGGGGGTAGTCACGTGCGCGTCATCAAACAGGTGGTAGCACAGCAATCGTGCGAGGTAGTGCAGGTTGTCTGGAAGTGTGAAGATGAGCGGGTTGGCGCGCCAGTGCGCGTGGTTATCCATCGCCGTCTCGTAAAGCAGTGACGGGTCGTTGTCAGGCGCCCACGCAGCCGCGTAGCGCTGGTGCATCGCATTGATCTCAGCAGCCAGCACGTCCAGCCTGGTTTCCAAGAACACAGTCGCATCTAGATCGCTCAATTGTCCCGTCCCCAGCGGCAGCAGCTTCTGCAGCTGCTGCTGTTGCTGGTGAATCGCAATTTTCAGGCTATCGCAGTCCCTGTACCTGTCCACGCACACCAGCAGGTTCCAAATGCCCTTGAGCACCTCTTCGTCGAGCAGCAGTCCCGGAAAGCTTTCGCGGATCATGTCCACCACCAGGTACAGTCTGCTGGCCCAAACAACCATCCTGTTGTTGTGGTCCATCAAGTATTTGTTGGAGCTGTTTTTTTCTGTCTGTTCCATCAGCTCGCTGTATTTATGGAAATACTGCAAAGCAGTGGCCACGTTTTCCACCAGCGGCAGAATTTGCACCAGCTGTTTGCTCACCTTGCTATTGGGATTGAATATCACAGCGTGGCATAGAGCCTCCACAGTGCCGTCGACGATCTCGCCCGTCTCGTCCTCAAGCTTTAAATCTGGATGCGGGTACCTGACCGACGCGTAGTCCAACTTGACATTGAGCGACGACAGCGACGTGGCAATACTTAGCTGCGACCCGGCAAAGTCGCTGGGCAGGTTAATCTGCGGCATGGCTTTGTGAGACCGGCTGCGCTCCTCGGAAAACGCTTGATCCTCGTCCACTCCTGACACCACACTGCGCTGGGGAGCGACGTCGGCGGCCGCGCGCGCGCTGCTCTTTTTCTCCAGATCAAAGCATTTCACGTCTCTCAGCTCGGCCGGCGGCCGGTAAACCAGCAGTGTCGAGCCTTTCACCTCTGCTCGACACAGGCGCACGTCGTCGGCGTCGTCGGCGTCGCTGAGCTTGTTGAGCCAGCCCACCTTGAGCACCTCGCTGTCCCAGCTGGGATCGACGAGATTCTGCACGCCACTCGGTGCCAGCGACGCTGTCGACCGTTTGGCCGACAGGCCCTTGAGCAGGTTGCGCTTGGTAGCCTCCAGCGAGGCCGTCCTTGGTGCGGATCTGCTGTTAAGATCCAGCGTGGAATCGGACCGGTCGTCGTCGCGACGCGGCTCGTGTGCATCCGTGAGCGTGGGCGAGCCGTTTGAGCTGACCGATGGAGGCGAAATCACGCTGTGGCGCTTATCTTTCCGCGACAGAAGCTTCTTCATCGGTAACGGATCAAGTATGTGCTGGAAAATTATCTTTCAAAATACAGATTAGGTAAGATGTGAAAATAAAAAAAATTAAATGGCCTTTTTGGCTAGCTGCAGCACCGCGTCCTTTGACTTGGCTCCGCCAATAAAGCCCGCCGCGTGCACGAAGATGCAGCCCGGAACGCCCGTGAGCTCGCTCAGGGCGTCATCCCGCACGCCGCGCCACGGCTCGGGCAGCTTCTTGCGCGAGTCAAACGACGACGCACTCACGGGCACACAGGCAATCCTCCAGGCACCGGACGTGTCTGCGAACAGAACATACTGAATTTGGCCCTCGATGCCCAGCTCCTTCTCCACATTGTACAGATGCTCTTTCCACGGCACAAAACGGTCCATAATAATGATTTTGCCGCTAGGATCGGCCTCGAATCTGCTACCAATGGCTTTTTCCACGTACTGCTTCGCCGGCATAAACGACTTGCCCATGTACTCCAGGTAGTTCATGAACGCAAAGCCCATGATCTCACTGGCCTTCTCGAAAGCTTTGTCGTAATCTGCGTCGGTGGGGTCTGTGACCCAGGACGGATTTAGATTGGCCACGACAGAGGATAGCTGGAAGTTTCTGTCCTTAAACAGCGGCTTCAGTTCGTCCTGGTTCTCGTATTTGTTGATTCCGTTGTCGTTGGCGTCCACAGCCTCGATGAAGTCTCTGTACACCCGTTCGTACAGAAAGTCTATGTCCTTTTCCTGGTCGAGCTCCAAATTTTCTCTAATTATCTGTTTTCCAAAATGCTTGTAAACTAGGCCGGCGGAGGACAGCTTTGTTTTAAAGCCAGGAGCAAACACATCGTTAAATTCCCGCTGGTGGTGGTCAAAGTACTTTTTGCCGTCGTACTGGCCGCTCACATCGACTACAATATCACTGGCGTCCCAGTCCTCTTGTTTTCTCGATCGCACAAGCTCGCAATCTTTAAACTGTTTCAAAGTGCGCAACATATACACGGCGAGCGACTCGTCAGCATGGAACGTTCCTGAGTGGGTGCAAATCTTCATTGGGCTCAGCTTCTGTTTTTTGGACATGAGCCAATAGTAGGACAAAAATTTGTAAAAAATGGCTAAAAAATTAAAATTAAAATAAATAATTTCAGATATTTCTTTATTTTAATCATGCTCAACATGTTCAAATTCAACATGTCACGCTCGCAGTTCGAGCTGGCAAAGGTACGTCGATTGTTACCCTTGCACTAACGCCAGTTCACGTTCTATCTACTCACGCCAATCTCCATCATGTACTACGTGGGTATCGACACAGACAAGAAGTTCAATGTTCCCGGCTTCTGGCCGGATCCGGACACTCTCAACAAGATTCCGAAGGAACCTTACGAAATCCAGGCCGAGCTTGCACGCATGAATGCCGCCAAGGCAGAAAAGAGACGCCGTCTAGAACAAAAGGCCTCAGAGCTGGGCATCAGCGAGGAAAGTTAAATGTGTATAAATATTGCCTGTAATTAATTTATTTATTTTTCGCTAATTATTTTCCTTCTTGCCTTGCTCTAAAATGGCCGACAGGACATTATACCAGCGCCTCTCTGAGTCGTCGCACCCCGTCGCATTGCTCTTTTTCCTATTTTTCAGACTGGCGCCGCTCTTGGTCTACCTCTTGGGCGTCCTCTTCACCTCCAATTACATACTCAACTTCATCATCACCATGCTTCTGCTGGCCGCAGACTTCTGGAACGTCAAAAACATATCTGGCCGGCTGATGGTGGGTCTCCGGTGGTGGAACGAGGCCAACGATCTTGGCCAGTCCATCTGGGTGTTTGAGACAGCCGATCCAAACAGATACATCAACCCCATCGACTCCAAGGTGTTCTGGCTCTTCCTCTATTCGTGTCCTGTTCTCTGGCTGGTTCTGGGAATCGTGGCAATGCTCAAGCTCCAGTTTCTTTCGCTGACACTTGTCGGCCTGGCCATTGTGCTCACCTCTATCAACGCGCTCGCTTATACTAAGTGCGATAAGTTCGGAAAGGCCAACAGCATCGCCAGCAACGTGGCCGGCTCTGTTGCAAGCGGCTTCTTTGGAAACGTGGGCGGACTCGTGGCCGGCGTCTTTAGAAGATAGCTCTTCCAACTATCAAGCTCTAGATACTCTATGTACGGAATAAACGTTTACGTCCGCTAAAGCTCAGGAAGCTCGGTGACCTCCACCGTGATGAAGTTGCGGCCGCTCTTTTCCTTGAAAATGCGCAGGTTGCCGTTCTGGATCAGGTTCAGCAGATCCGCCTTCAGCCACTCCGGCGCAGAGCTGCCCTGCTTCAGCATCTCGTCCATGTTGGGCTCGTTCTCCACCACCAGGATCCGTGTCTCTATCACATTCCGCACCATCCGGCCAAACTTGTCCCGCGCAACCAGCACCTCCTGCTGTTCCTTATCCTTCAGCGGCGTGCTCGTCGCCTCAAACTCCTTGTTCTCACACACGAGCTCTGCGGTGCCCGGCTGGAGCCCGGCTGCAAACTCCAGGTTCTCTCTTCTGTGTGCCCGGCTCATTGTCTTGCGTCTCCACCACCGGTCCAAGTCGGCGCGCAGCCGGCGCAGAGTCGTTGTTTTCGTGTTCACAGAGCTTGCCGCGTCGTCCTGCTCCGCCATGTCCTTGAAAAACGGCGTGCTCGTCGCCTCGTCGAAGATCGTTGCCGTTGGCAGCTCCTTGTCCTGCCGGTAGCAGCTATGGTCGAATGACCGCAGCTCCGACCCCAGCGAGAAGTCTCTCCTCCCGCGTCCCGACACAGACACGCTTCTGTCCTTTGCGGGTCTTCTGACCATCGACCGGCCGCGCTCGAGGTTCGAGGCGTCGTTGTAGTCGTCGATGATTTCGTTGTAAATGTCCGCGCTCTGGTTGAGGAAATTGTAGCTCTTGACAGACTTGATCGACCGCGCGCTCTTGGGAGCCTCGTCTCTTTTTTGCGAGAATTTGTCAAACAGCTGTGTCAGGAACAGCGACACGCTCTTTCGCCGGTGCCGGACGCTCTTGCTGCTCTCGAGATGGGCCGAGAGCTCTCGTTTCGACGCCGGCCGCGACGATTCGGCCACCGGCTGTGTCGGCTGCACCGTCGTCCGCATAGGCACGCGCTCCATGAACGGGAACGACTGCACAGCAAACGACGAGGCGCGCGTGTTTTTCGTCGCGGGCACGAACGGCGTCTCTGGCTTCGGGGCCTCAAACAGGCCCGAAAACCGCGGAGGCGCCAGCTCGTACCTGAGGCTTGGGACCCGCGTGGCGGTCCCGAGCCGCGACGTCACGTTGTGCTTTGTCGGGGTGATAGACTGCTCGGTGAACGAGTCATCATTGTTTGTAAAGAAGTTGTCGTTTTTGCGCTCCGCCACGCTGAAATAGTTCTCCATCGGGTCGTTCAGCGAAAGCGACTTGAAAGTGTCGCTTTTCGAGAAAAAAACAGCGTTATCTGCTGCCGGCTCGTCAGTTAGCCGTCTGTGCCTCATGGAGCGCGGTCTAAACAGTCCCTGGTCGTTCAGGTCGTCTCCAGGCGTCTTGAGGGTAAGAACAGCTTCGAAATCCATCGTAAACTTAAACCTGCGTTCCGCCCGCGATAATATATAATTCTGCCCCCAACTCTCTTAGCGCCCAATGTGTCGCCGAATATATGCAACGTGGTTTATCTTCTCTGCCACCGTAGCTGCAGAGCCTTTCCAACGGTGCCCCAGAAACTGCTCTTCTGTCGCCAGCCGCCCGTCGCGGCACACCAGCGTTTCCGTCGGCACTCGGTCCAACTCGAAAACCGTGCCCTGCGCGCGCAAGCTCATGTACCGGCCAGTGAGCTCCATCGACTCCGCAGCTATCAGCCGCGCTACCAGCTCATGCACCAGTCGGTCCATCTGGACGTTGCCGCAAATCTGCACCAACGCTTCGCGCAGCCCTGTGATTTCGACGCCGCGTGGGATCCGCGAGATCACAGGAAGCGGGTCGATCAGGTCGCCTGCAGCCACCACAAGCGTCTGAATGAACGCCGGCCGGTCCATCGAGTAATCCAGCAGAAAGTCCCACAGCTCCCTGTCGTCGCTTTCGCTCACAAACAAAATCGCCTTTTCTGGGTCGCGCAGCTCGTCCACAATCAGCTTGAGCGCTTTCCTGTTCTCGCCCACCTTGCTCAACAAGTACACCAGCTCAGAGACGCATTTTTTCTCCTCGCAAACGGAAATCGCTTTTTCCACCGAGTAGTTGTAATGGCGGCTCAGAAACTGCTGCAGGTGGTCTCTGTTGAACGACGCGTACAGCTTCACCATTTCGTCCTCAAAGTCCTTCACGAGCAGCTTGTCGTTCGCCGCCAGCGCGTCCAGATACAGGAAACTCACGTAGTCGAGTCCTGCCGCGTCCAGCGCGTCGACTATCTGCCGCGGCAGGATCTCGTGGCTGTTTTTCACGAGAATCGCAACCGCCGTGGCCAGGTTTTCTGCCGTCAGTGGCCTTCCGGCCGCGCTCAGCGTCACAATGGCCGGTAACTGGTTAATATTCGACAGCAGCAGATGGTGTTCGTCCAGAAACTGCATAGTATCCGGATCTTTGAGCCAAATCAAGTGGTCGATGCATTTTTCCATCTCGTCCAGCTCAATGCTCAGATCCACAATCAACCGCCGCACAGAAGCCTCCTGCTCGCCTATCTCCTCAAGTTCTTCAGCCAAACGGTCGCGCAGCGTCTCTGCGTCGAAAATGCTGTGATCCCATTTCTCAACGAGCGACAACACTTTCGAGAACTCTTGCCGCTCCACGAGCTGCTCCAAAATCGAATTATAGTGCCTCGAAGACACCAGATGGTCCCCAACAGGAACACATGGAACGCGGTCCACAAGCAGATCTGTGTGGCCTGCGTCTGAAAACCGCGCAATCCATTTATTCCAGCAACATGCAACCCGTTGAACGTATTCTGGCTCCTCGTCCCCAGCAAGAGCTAGCATCTCGTCCAAAAACTCGCCGGCCTGTTGCCATCTCTCCTCAGCAACAAGCTTCTCCATGTGACGCTCTGCAATGTCCAGCCGCTGATCTCTGGCCAGCCATAGCTCACTGATCTTCCATGCCTCCAGGTACTCTCCACGCGCAGTGTACCACGTCAGCTGGTCGTGAAGTCCGTACGGCTGTACAACAATGCAGTCGTCGGCAGAAACCAGAAACCATTGCGACTCGTGCTGGTACAGATGGTAGTCGTTAAGACCAAGGTTTGTGCGTCTGTTCATGGCCACCTGATCCACAGAAATCTCTTCAAACGTGATCTGGTGAACAAGTTTCAGCTCCGGAGGCTCGTTGTTTGGCACATAGTTCAAAATCAGAAGATCATCGTTGAAGACAGAAATGCCCGCGATCAGCGTGTCCTCAAGGATAACATGGTGCTCCAAGGTCACCTTCTTGTCGGCCGACCGGAAACTTGACGCAGCGGAGGATATTATGCTAGAGCCCGAGTTAGAGACTGAGATCTTGAACGACCACACATGGTTGACCCAGCCGATCAGAAACCGCTCGGTATCGGTCTGGTGGAAGCGCGGCCAAAACATTTCCGGCCTGGGAAAGCTCTTGGGCAACGTTTCGTGGAAAATGACCGTCTTGGTGGGAATCTGGGCTACCGTGATGCCAGAGTCGTTTGTCCAAATGACAAGGTCGTTGATCGTTTGTATCATTGTGATTGCCCCGCTGCCGCCGTCAACAATAGTGTCCTGTCTTTGTCCCAGCCAATTGCGTGACGAGAACACTACATTGCCGCTGGTCCCCCCAGAAATAAATAGCTTGCTTGTCTTATAGTTCTTATCCAGAGCCACGGCGTGTATAGGCCGCTTAAAGTCGTAGGCTATGATATCCTTGTCATCTGCAACCGACCCAATCACCACTGTGCCGTCGATCGACCCAGCAGCAAAATACTCACCTTCGCTGTGCAGCGACAAGATGGAGCTTCTCTGGATCTTCATGGTGCGCAGCGGAGTGAAGTCTGGTCGGGTCAGGTGGACAAAACCAGAGTGGGTTGCAAATATGAATACCTTTTCGTGGAAGTAGCAGCAGCTAACCGCGTCTTTGGTGAAGAAGCGGGCGGGCAATTTGTTCAGACGGGAGTATTTGAGCTTAGGAGGCTCTAGGGATTCTGTGCTTGCAGCTTCAGAGGGGTCCTTAAGATCAATTGAGCCGTTTTCGGTGCCACCTTCAACTTCCTGGTGGTCTTCCGTGGACTCTATGCTGCCGATATCCGCAGACGTGTCCACTATCTCGTCGTTGAAAGAGGATCCCATATATTGTGTATAATTATTTTATCTAATTTATTTTATTTTATTTTATTTTTATCTAATTTTCTTTTATTTTATTTTACTTTATTTCATGGCCCGTGCAGTGAAAGGGACGCTTGTGCAATGGTAAGTGACGCCTTTTGTTTCCTAACAACAGCGACCCGTCGATAAAAGCGCTCATCGTCAAGATCGACTCGGACTCGCGGGACATTGTTATCGAAGAATTGGATGATACCCACCTGCTGGTCGACCCATCGAAAATCGCCTACATTAAACAGGAGCTCAACAAGATCCTTTCAAAAAACGCGTACAACCCTTTCGAGGAAGATGGACAATGAGCGTCATCATGCTATAAGTACATTATCTTAGCGAATTGAGGTTCAGGTTGCTGACGTCGCCGTTTTCGCTCATCAGCTGTTCGTCGTCAGAATACACGTCTAGGTCGAGTTCCGGGTCTTCCAACGAGATCATCTCGCTGACCTGGTCTGCCCACAGGGAAATGACCACGTCGACGTCCACGAGATGCTCGATATCCTGAGATTTCTCTTTTTCTGCTCTCGAATAAAACTGCTCGTATGCTTTCATCACGGTCTCCTGAATCCCGTCCAGCAGAAAGCTCAAAATCTTCTCGTCGTTCAGGTACATCAAGATGCGTGGTTTAAGACGGGGCAGCTCGTTTTTAAGCGTCCGCATGAACTTGTCCATTACGTTGTGCAAAGACTGCTGCGGATAGAGCTCTAACGGTTTGGTGAACGTCTTGGCCGACTCGTCGATAAACTGGTGCACTGCATTTCTGAGTGCCATTTGAATCTCATACCGACAGTCCACGTAGTCGTTCACCACCCGTGGAACCGATCCCAGCAACAAGTTCATAAACCGGTTCTGCTCGGGGTTTACAGCATTCGCGGCCGAGAAATTCGTGTCGATAGTCTCTTTGGTGTTGTCGCCGCGTATGAATCTATTGAACATCTTCTTGATCCCGCTGAAATCCAAATTTGTCTCGCGGCGCGCATGTTCTATCTCAAATGTGGAAATATACTCTCGCAGAAACATGAGGTTTTTAATCTCGTACAGTTTGGACTCAACACCAGGAACGTTACCGAAATTCGTGTGCAGCGACAATATTGATAGATGGACAACCGCATTGGCAAGGTCGTCGAACACGCTTGGGTTCAGCAGCTGGTAGATCTTCATCAACAACTGGACAACATTGACAATCGGTGGATACACAAATTCGAGGTTTTGGGGCGCCAGCGCATTGTTTTCCAGCGAGAAAACGCTGTCGCCACGCAGCTCCCCGTCTGGCTGCGGTAACGGCTTCTCGGCAATAGGGTCGGCACCACTGACTTTGCGGCGATGCCCGATTGTCAATTCTCTGCCTGTTTTTTTATAGCTCACAATATATTGGTCCACGTAGACCTGCACCCTGAACACGAGTCTTGTCTGTGCGTCTTCCAGAATTGGCCGGAAAAGCTCGCCAAGCTGAATCTTCTCCTGCAACGGTGCGTCGTGATGGTACATGTCCGACTCGTCTGCCTGTTCGCTCGTGTCAAACTCCTCCACGTCGTAATAGCTTTGTAGAATGGAAATGAGCTCGCAGAGCTCTGAAATGCTCTTTTCCCGTATAATTTTGTTTCTCAGCAGATAGTACAGTGGATCCAGCAGCTCCTCAAACCATTTAGACAGTGACAGCAGGTTGGTAGAGTTATCCACTTCGGAGTTACATTTCTGCGGAGCCAGGAAGAAAAGTCTTTTGAATATGTCGTACTCGCGCTCCATTAGCTTGATAAAGTACGATATGTTGCTCTGTGCCAGCTGAATGCAATCCTTGGAGGTATCCTGTGAGGTAATGTGCTGTTGGACAATGGAACCGAGCAGATTAGATCGGGATCTAAAGTATTGGTTGTAGCAGTCATTCAGGAGCCCCAGGTATTCCTGGTCCTGCGTTTCGACTGCCCTTACGTACAGCTCCTCAAATAGTCCGGTATACTTGGCGGCGTCCTCCTCAAACTGGATATACACAAACGCGTCCACCATGACCGAGACGCTGGAAGATGCCATGCCCTGTTCTTTCTTTTTTTCTGTGATTTTCTGTTGCAGTTCCGCTTCGAGATCGCGGATCGCCGTAGCGATGTAGTTTTTCACCAGCGTAAGAGCTCGAATCATGCATTGCTTGAATCTATGCTTGTAAATGCCAATTTCCTTGAAAGTAGAGTGTTTGGGGTCGTGCACAAAAATGAGACACCGGTCCAGCTCCTGGAGAATATCGCGGCGGAAACTGTCTTTGGCGACGATCGACCCGCTGCTGCTGGTGTTGAGGGTCTGCACAATCGGATCGAGCGATTCAAAGAGCGTCAGGTTGCTGGAGATGTCCTCGTGCAGTCTGCCGAGCTGTTCGATTTCCGCTATCAGCTGCGTCGATTTCTTCTGGAAGTCCACTGTTTGCAACGTGACCTGGTCGCCAATCACCAGCAGCTTGTTCAGGTCCTGGATTATCGCGTTTGTTTCCTTTAAAAACCGCTTGTTTTCCTCGTAGTTGTAGCGCAGATAATTTTGGAACTCCAACACCTCCTGGCTCGTGGCTTTGTCTATCTCCCATTGGTCGTCGATGTTCACTATACAGCCGTTCGCGTAGTCCTGTGTGTACTGGGTCCACAGGGCCTCTTTCTCTGCACCGGAAAAGGGATACATCACCGGTTTTGTCACCTGAGCGGTCACCACCGGGTCGAGCTCGCCCAACGACTTGCTTCTGGCCCTAGGCTTCAATTCTTCCAGAACGACCGAGTCGACCGTCGCCGTACCGGCCGACGTAGTCGACGTGATCGAGCCCGCTCGCGATCTGCGTCCCTTGCTGTCGGAAACACTGGACCCCCGTCTTCTCATAACGTGTAAAAAATAATAAATAAAAAATGCTATTTTCCACTATGTACTATTTCGGGAAGATACATGTAATGACAATGTTTGACCAAATAATACCACGTGAAACTGACCTGCAGCCCATCTTCAAGCTCAATTGAATGGTCTGTCTCGGCAGAACAGATGGTGTGTGCCATGATCTGGCGGATCATCGGGGCTGTGATGCTCACCGAGAACTTCTCCTGCACCTTGCTGACCATCGACCTCGACGTCAGCACAAACCGCCCCAGGCGAGTGTGATAGAACTGCACCATATTGCGGCAGAATTCCTCGACGGTCTCGGAGTCGTCTTTCAGCTCCTGGACAACTATCTTCATTTGACGCATGACGTGGTTGATCAGGTTCGAAAAGTACTCATGGACGTATTTCAGGCTATTGGTCTCTATGTTTGACGACTTGGTGAGTTTGAGCAGCTTTGCGTGGCACAGAGACTTCCGCGCGGCATGGAAAAACAGCTTGAACGAGTGCTGGTCCAGGTCGCTGTTAAGTGGCCCTGAGTCCTGCTCTGCTCTGGTCCTGAGAATCTCCTGGTACACGGAGACGGCCACCGATCTGTCTGCCATCAGCCGATCCAGACTGAACTTGCTGTCGGCAGTTTGCATACAGAACCTGAGAATCTCTTTTTCCACGGCGTTGTGGTCGTCGTCAAAACGACCGAGCAGAGATATGGAAACCCGTGTTCCCACGAACGCGGGCGGTGGAAGCAGGAGCTGCGTGCTGGCGCTAGCCTGTTCGTCCGTCTGCGGTGTTTTTGGCTCTTTTTTTCGTCTTTTCTTCACAGCCTGCTCCTCCTCTACCTCCTCCCCCTGCTCCACATTACTCGACGCGTCGCTCTCCTCGATCTCTGTAGCTGTTGCGTAGCCAGACCCTTCCGAATCATGCTCTGAAGAGTTTGAGGCTTGGCCATTAGCCACATCTGCTTCAGCACGCTCGTTCTCCAAAATACGCTGCCTTCCATGCGCGTTTTCGCGCTTTGGTTGCGGCTCAAGCCTCTCGTCCTCCTCCTTGGCAGCTCGCCGCTCCTCGAGCCACTCTCTTAATATCTTTTCACCATTCTTTTTCGCCTCGTCAACATCACCACGAAACTCCCACGGATCCTCCAAAACTTCGGCCTTCATACTCAGTGCCCTATCCCACCAGTCCATCTCCACCCCCATGTCACGCTTGTCCCCCACCACGTCGAGCGAGTCGGCGCAGATCTCGACCTGGTCGTTGTACACATTAGCCACTCCTCGGACTTGTACCAGCAGATTGCTATTCTTCTCAAACCCGTTCAGCCGTTGGTGGTACAGCCGGCTCTGTATCTTGATTGTGAGGGCGTCTTCGGCCGTCCCGTCTGAAATCTCCAGAAACATGAAAAACTTGTCCTGGGACATCTCGTGCCACCGCTCGCCTACCACCTTCCCCTGAACAAGAATCTTCTGCACAGGATGGTTTCCCAACATCAGTATGTTCTGGCTCGCTGGAGCGTAGCCCTCGTTCTTGTAGACCCGTCTGCAATCGCGCAATTTCAATACGTCGCATATCAGCATCGGAAACGGTGACTTTGTAATGGCGGGAGCCGTGTAGAAGAGCACTGGCGAGTAGTATTTCACGCCCTTGCTGACAAACAAAGTCCCGTCGTTGTGCTGTTCGTGCAACGACTTGCCGTCAAAACTCGCCGCCAGCGCGGGTCGAGACTTGCGCGGTAAACGAAAGGCCTCCATTTTTGGAAAAATAAATATCAGTCTCTTGTGGATCCCAAAATAAATTATTTAATTTTCTCCCATGCCTCCAATCACCTGCCATATTTTGGACACCACGCTGGGCCAGCCAGCGGCCAACGTTGAGTGCGACATACGCGTTCTGAAGGACACTTTCGAGCATTTTGCGACGGCCCGCACGAACTCGGACGGCCGAGTTGCTGAATGGGTGCCGAAAGCCTCAGACGGCAAGTTGCTCAAAAGCGTCGGCTTTGAAAACAACCAGTGGACTGGTCTGGCTTCCGGAGTGTACCAGATACGCTTTCACACGAAAAACTACTTTCTGGAGCGCGACGGAAAGACATTCTTCCCCTTCATCGATATCACGTTCGAGGTGCCAAACCCGCCAGACAACCACTACCATGTGCCTTTGTTGCTCAGCAACTACGGCTACTCCACCTACAGGGGGTCCTAAATGAAAGAACATTGGTCAAATATATTATGCAGTTCGGAAATAATGCGTATACTCTCTAGACTGTTCGTGAACGGCCATCTCATGTAATTTGTAATGATTCAGCTCTGCCCGGATCTCCCTGATCTGCGCAGGGTTTCTTGCCAGTTGCGAGTAGGTGTGCTTGAGGCCTCTATTAAATCGCACGTAATGATCGGCAGAAAACGTCTCATTAAGGTAGATCTTGTCGGAGAAAGACACGCGCTGAGGACTCGCCGACCGTGAGCTCAGTGCAGACCTCGCCACGGCACACGACTTTGCTGGCTCCTTGATGCTGTTGGTGGTCACCACTTCGAACTCGCCGTTGCCGAAAGTGCGCCGCTTTGCGCTGTCGCAATGCTCTGTCGCGTCGAACGTTGCCTGCGAGTCGAGCGTGTTCTTCCTGCTCAGCGACTTCTGTTTCTCCAGAGACTTCATCCTCAGCGACTCGCGCTTGATGAGCTTGTCCTGGCCCAGATCGTCAAAAAACGACGTTTCTCCAATCCCGATGATCGACGAGATGTAGTCCAGCTCCGAGTCCAGGTCGCCGCCGTCTAGGGGCCGGTCGTCGCCCGCTATGAAGCTGCTGCTGTCGTCGCTCAGCCCTGTCGACAGCGACAGACACTCAAACGAGATATCGTTGCTCACGTTATTTTTAGACGCGTGCGGCTCGACTCCTTTGCTGAGCTTCTTATCCTTGCGGAGCAGCTTGCTGAACATCCTCTTCAGCCCTTTCTTGTCGTCCGTCTCCTCCTCCTCGCTGCACGTGATGGACGACGCCGGCGTGCTGTGGTCCACCGACGACGACGGCGAGGCTGAAGACGCACTCGATCCCGTGGGCTGATTGGATATTTGAGGCATTTGCCGCGTCTCAGGGGCCGGGTGGTGCTCCTGGACAGTGGCCGGAGGAGGTAGAGACGGCGGCTGCCGCTGCGTGACCTGCATGCTGGCCATGTTGGGTAGGGAATTGTGTTTGGCTGACTTGGGCCGTGGTTGCATCCGTGGCCTGAAAACCTCGCCGTTCGGAAAGTAGTACATTGAGCGGCCAGCAGAGACCGGAGGATAAGATATGCGTGTGGAGAGCTGGGGCTGTGGTCTGGGGTCCGGCCAGCGCATTTTCTGGGCCCGTGGCTTGCGAACGAAACGATCCTCGATCACCAGTAACGAGTCGGTGCTCAGCTCGCGCGGCGTGGTCATGGACCGAACGCTGCGCATAGAGCTTGTCGAAGAGACCGACTCTCGCCGCCGTAGACCAACGCCTTGCTCCATAGGACGGCTCGGCATGGTGGTGAGTGGATTGTAGTAATTTCGGCAGACTTGTGACTCCTCTCAAATTCCAGCAGACAATTTTAGAAATATTTTTTCGCAGCCATTGAAACCGCAAAGCCACACGCTGCGCTCGGTTATTGTTGAAAGGTTTCTAGAGCCATCACGAATCAAATCTGCCAGAATATTTTGGCAAGCCATACGGCAAAAACCGACACCAGCGCCAGCGTGCCGGCCTCCACCACACGGCTGTCCCCCACATCGCCAACAGGCAGCATAGCCTCCAGGTAGTTCGGGCCCTGGCTGCCGATATGGAACATCTGCCAGTGTGTGCGCTCCAATATTCGGTTCTCGTGCATGAAGCTGCCTCGGATTAAGGAATCTGTCTCGGGATCGGAATCACAGTCCCAATACAGATCTCCGGCACCCAACCCGGTCGGTTTCACCCGGCGCAATGGCTCGCCGTATCTCAGATGTAGAGGTATCTCGAACTCCCGCACGTCTGGGTCTAACTCCACACGCAGCGAACACCCTTCCGAAACTTTGTAGCTTGGCAATTCCAGGTTGCTGTGGCCGAAAACCGACACGTTCCTGAAAATGTCATCGAACCACGCCAATTGGTACCTGTCGACGATATACGTGGACGGAATGTCTAGATCGAAAATCAGTCGACACGTCGATTTTGGAGCCTCATTCTTGCCTGAAACACTCACCTTGTACTTTGGATGCAGCCCTGTAGGCTCTACAAAAGCGTGTTCAGCAGAAACGCCAGGTAGCTGGGTGTGGAACGAGTTCACATACAGCGATGTCGGCACAAACTTGGAGTTGCCGCGAACACGCGCTCCGCTGATGCTCAGGTCGTAGTCGCCTGGCAGAGAGTCGAGATAGAACACGCCGATCTCCCGCTTGTCTCTGGCAAACTCCAGTCGGTGGTCAACTAAGGGCCAGTAAAATAGAAACCGAAGCTTGTCTCCGTCGAGAATAAGCTCCATAGATGTTGCTTGTTGCAGTTCCGCCGAAGTGATCGGAAAAGCTTCCCCAACTAGCGTATTCCACATCCTCAAGGCAGATACCTCCAGATCCGGCTCTTCAAACAGATACGCCCGGTACCACTCCTCAAAGAAATATGGTGCAGTGTTCTGGTTCACACGGATCAGCCTCAGAACCATATCAACAGCCAGTTGCGACATCTTCTCGTACTGGGCCATGTTACGGGCAGTTTGCGGAGCAACGTCAATACGCACCCCTGCCGGTTGGCTCTCGTGGTCGCTGAATATCGTAAACTGTGGCTTTTCGTTGCGTTTTCTGCCCAGCTGGACATTGAGCAGTTGCAACTTAGCCAGAATGTCGCGGTACTCTGGTTTCAGCAGGGAGACGTCTATCTCGATGCGGTCTTCCCTGGCAAGAGGCGACGTTTTCGACGCTGGAACAACGATGGTGTCTTTGGCCCGCAGCGCGTCAAAAACTGCTTTCTCGTTGCTGTACACGAACAGCGTGGTGCGGTGATTCATTTCACTAATTATTTTATTTTATTTTATCGCATTTATTTAATGCCGATCCGTATTTTTCAATATTAGTCCCACACTATTTTTTACCCTTCTTCTTCCGCTTCTTCTCAATTCTCTTCAATGCACGCATCTCATTCTTCATCACGCCGTCAACCATCTTGTACTTGCCCTTGACGCCCTTCGGACGGCCAGACAGGCCCTTGTAGCTGCCTCTGGCAACCACCACCGTGACCTTTGGCTTGGTCTTTTTCTTCTTGCCCAGCTTCGACGCAAGAGCCTGGATCTCCTTGGCCTTGTCGAGCTCGCTCTTCGAATCGTCCTCGGCAATCAAATCGCTCTTCTTTTTGATCTTCTCCAGCCGCTTGATGGCCCTCAGCTTCTTTCTGCCAACAGCCTCCATCACCTTCTTGATCGGCCTGGCATTCAGCTGCTTCATCTTCTCCCTCAGGGCCATCGCGGCCTCCTTTGTGATTGGTCTGTTGATCTTGCTGTGTTTCTCTTCATCTTCCAAGAACCATTCTGGCAGTCCTTCCTTTTCGCGGAACGAGTACTTGTTGAATCCGTCGTCGATCAGGTCCTTTTTCGATTTCTGGCCCAAAGCAAGCTGCTGCGCAAGCGTCATTGCTTCCACAGTCGCCAAGTCGACCTCCTGTTTGTGCGGCAAACTGTCGCCGGACCCGGAAACCAGCTCAAAGTCGGGCTCTGTCTCACTCTCAGACTCAGACTCCAGCTCGGAAGCTTCACTCTCGCTCTCGCTTTCAGACTCAGACTCAGACTCAGACTCAGACCGCTTTGAAGCCGGTTGCTCAGAAACTGCCTGCTTTTCAGACTCCTGCTGCGGCTTGTCGCTATCTGGGATCACCTCCTCGACACCTTCGAAAATAGAGTCGCCAAAGAAATTGCTGGCCGTCTTGCTCAGCCCGCCCTTCTTTTTCTTCTCGATGGTGGCTATCAGCTTGTTGATCGCCTCGTCATCGTCGCTGTCGATGTCGCTTTCGCTCTCGCTTTCCTCCACGGCCTCGTCAGAATCGACCTCGCTCTGCCTGTCTTCGATTCCTTCCCATTCCTCGTCGTCGCCGCCTCGTGCAGCCTTAGCCCTTAGTTTCGCATCCCGCTCCATCTTCGTCTCTTTGTATTGCTGATACATCGAATTCAGCTGGTCTTCAAGGTTGTCCAGCTCGTCTCCAGACTCAACAGCTTGGTGCTCGTCCACAACAATGTCGTTGTCGCGGATCAGATCCTCGCCCGTGAACACCATGCTCTTCTTGCCGCGGGCCAGCTCGTTCAGCTGTCCAGTCTTCTCCGCCAGCTTCAGGTTGAACAGACTCTCTGAGCCGATCTGGCCTGCGTCGATACCGATCTGCATGTCTGTCAACATGTTCATCTGCATTCTCTGGATCTCCTGCTGCCGGGCCTCATTTTTGCGTCTTTTCTCTCTCTTTTGCTTGAGACGGATCTTCTCCTTCATGTCCTCGATCTCTTGGTCGATTTTCTGCTCCTCGGTCAACTCCTCGACCTCTATCTGTTTTTCCTCCTTCTCGTCGTCCAAGTCCAGCACCACACGAGCATGTTTCCGCCATTTGATCAGCATACGGAAATCCTTCTTGCCCAGCACTTTGAGGTCCTTGCAGCACTCCAAAAACTCCGGAGTGGTGTCCTTCATCCGGCGCAGAAGCTTCCACTCGTCGCTACTCTCGTCAATCTCGAATTTGCTCACACTTCCTAAAGTGTTGATCACGTCCTCTTCCTGTCGCACCCAGTCTAAAAGAGCCATTGGATGGAAAAGAGTGTAGTCGCCCTCTTCGTAACCATCTCTCTTTCTCTTCTTGACCTCTGGGTTGAAGACCTTGGCCTCGTTATTGGCAGGTCCCTCTGGAAGCTCCTCGAACACCTCCTTGGGATCCAGCAGCCGAGGATCCAGTTTCTTGGGCGCCTTGAAGCCTTTGCAAACAACGAAAATCTCCGCGGAAACGTTACGAGACGCAGGCGGTTTCGTGGCCTCGACTTTGTCAAAAAGCTGGCGGAAAACCCAAACCAGATTGTTGTAGTCTCTCGAACGGAAAACCTTGGTGACAAACGTTCCGCCCGGTGCTAAGTGCTCAACAGCAAGTCTCAACGCCTGCAGCGTCAAATGCGATTGGGTATATGCGTCCTGCACCCAATTCAAACCCACGTTGGGCGCACCGTCGTGCAAAACTGTGTCTGCTTTCCACGTCTTCAGATGGCCCCGGAGCTTGGACTTGCAGTCTTCTGTGGTAATGTCGCTTTGAAACGTGATACAGTTCGGAATTGGCTTGATGGGCACAATATCCACTCCCACAATGAGCGAGTTCACTGGACAAAGCTGCGCTGCAACCTGACACCAGGATCCTGGTGCCGCACAAAGATCTATCACGACTCTGGATTTTTCTAAGAAATGGCCGTACTTCTGGTTGATTTGAAGAATCTTGAAGGACGAACGCGCACGATACCCTTTTTCCTTTGCCAGGTGGTAGTATCTATCTAACCGACCTTTGGCATTCTTCTTCTGAGTTCCAGCCATGTTTAATCGAGATAAATGATTTTTTCCCCCCTAAAATTTTTTATAAATTTTTTTTTTGGTCGATCGACCTTAACATTTAATCTATCGTCTCTATTTTCCGTATGTCGGATAATAAGTACACCCCACTGATAGTGGATCTTTTCACGCCCAAGGTGCCTCTTCAATACCTGCCCCCAGCAGATGTTCCGATAGAGAAACGGCGAACGCCCAAAGTGGACGGAATAGCGCAGTTCCTGTCCTTTTTGCAAAAACATGTCGAAGAATACAAAGACTACAAGAACGAGTTTGTCAGCCGAGAGGCCAAGGCAAAATTGAAGTCGAAGCAAAACGAAGAGGCACTCCAACGAGCACTACTAAAATGGAACCCGGAAACAGACGCCAACATTGCTGGAGATCCGTACAAAACCATCTTCGTTGGAAGACTAGATTACACAGTTAATGAAATAGAGTTGCGCGAAAAATTCGCACAGTTTGGCGAAATCGATCAGATCCGTGTCGTGAGAGACACCAATACTGGGAAAAGTCGAGGTTACGCTTTCATCCTGTACAAATCAGAGTCCGATGCCAAGCTAGCGTTTCAGAAAGGTAATAGAATGGTGATAAAAAATCGTGCAGTGATTGCAGACATTGAAAGAGGCCGCGTGGTGAAAAACTGGAAACCCAGAAGACTAGGAGGTGGACTAGGGGGCCGCCAGATAGCACCGAAGCACAAACACATAGAGCAACAGGAACCTGGTCCCAAGATGCTGTATCCGCCTCCGGCGTCTTATGGGCGTGGAACCTATGGCTACCGAGGCCGTGGCGGGAGGGCTCCGAGACCGTACGGTCACAGGCCCAACAGAACGCCCTACAACCGACCACCGAGGTACTGATAAAGTGTCTGGTGTACGGGTGTGGGTTTTGAATGCATCGTGCGCAATCTTTTTAGAAAAAGTTGTTTACTTAAGGAAAAGTAAAATAAAATATTTTGGAACGAGTCGCCATCAACAAGTTTGTTATTGATTTCGGCAAGCCCATTTTGTTATAACCTGCCAGGACATTCAAAATGGCACTCTTATCTCCTAAAAGCCGGCTTTTGTTTGTCATTGGTGTACTACTATATGTTATCACCCATATAACTGTCAAGTGTCCCCTTACGCAGACTTATCCATTGGACACTTCACAATCCAATGATGTCCTCTGTCTTTACACCCACAAGTACTACAAGTTTGTGGGGCCATACTGCAGTCCAGTCATTGAAGTTGCGGATGCGAAGGTTTTCACTCCACTGAATAATCTCTACGTCAAGTCACCACTGAAGCCAATTGTGCAATCTGGCTACGAACAAAGTGCGAAAGTCTACACAAAATTTGCAAGGCCACATGTTGACAAGTACAGTGGCGTCGTTAAGACGAAAGTGGACGAGTTTTCTGGTAAGGTGACGGCCAAGACTCAGGAGGTGACAGGACTTGCCTTGCTTTATGTCAGAGTGAAAGTTGCGGAAGTGGGAGAGTACGTTAGGGCTAAATCGATCGAGCTGACGACAAAGGCCAAGGTGGTAATCCTGACAAAGATTATTCCACGGACTCTCTCCGTTTTTCATCGGGTTAAAACAAACCTTTACATCCAAGGAACCAAATTAAGGCTGGCATTGTATCTCAGATATAACCTATATGTGAAACCACAATTGGTGAAGCTTTACTATAAGCTACGAATGAACAAGCTGGAGCCGCATGTGGAGGCATTTAGGAACTCCTGGTTTTATCTGAATACCAAAAGATTGGTTGTTCTATTGGTGGACGCAGTGGGATACTTTTACAGCAAGACCTATGAGTATCTTGATGCTTTCCAAAGGGAGTCGAAGATCAGAAAGACCACGGAGGAGTATTGGCGGACGGAGCACAAAAAGCAGTTTTTAAAGGATGAATTCAACAAGCTACTGAATGCCAAGTTCAAGATGCCAACCTACGAGGACGTGGAGTTTTTTAAGAAGTTGTCGAAACAGGCTGTGGAGACCGACAAGACAGACGACGTCTCCGAAACTCTCACCGAGGCCGAGCCCACACTCACCAAGTACAACAAGATGTTAAAGGGCGTAACACAGGATGCGTTGAACGATTTCGAGTCGCAGGTGGCCCAGGTCGACGAGAATGCCTACGACAAGATTTACAACCAGTTGAGACCTAAATTGCGGGAGTTGGGCGAGCTCGTCAACCGTAACTACGATGAGGCACACGTGATGATTCACGATATCAACCATAACACAGACAAGTATGTTACTCGCCAGGACATGCGTGATCTTCTCAAGCGTCTGTCGGAGTCTCTGACGGAAAAGGGTGTGGAGATCACCGAGGATTTCAAGAAATATGAGCAAGAGTTTTCCGATGAGGTGCTGCGTGTGAGAACGTCCATCTTGGAAACCCTTGAAGAGTTCAGCGAGTCTACGCTCAACGCCTACTCCACAGAGATTGTGAAGAACGGAGACGACTGGAAAGAGTGGAAGAACTACAAAGAACTGAAGAAGGAGCTGATTCAGACCAGAGACCTGCTTCTGAGCTCCACTCCAAAGCTGGAACGCGTGACTAAACTGCTGAACGAGCTGAACAGAACGCTGGGCGCCTTGGTGAACGACGGCGAGTCGTACTTGGCCATTTTGCGTGCCAAGGCCAACATCGAGTTCCAGGCCCGCGAGAAGGCCGAGAGAGAAGCCGAGCAAGAGAGCACGAGCACAATCATGTTGTACGACACCGTTGTTCTTGATGAGAAGAACCAGCCGGTGAGCACTATCCACGCAAAACCTCCAGTCTCGAGCGAGGAGGCCAAGACGTTGATAATATGAGGGGGTGAGAAACCTGGTGTTTATATGTGTATGTAATGGAACGACTAGTAATTTTATTAGGAAAAATCTATATCTCTGATGCCGTCCTTGTCGATCACTTTCACGTAGAGCCCTTTGAATTCGATAGGCATTCTCTTGACGAGCTCTTCGTGGCACAATTTGAGCAATTTCAGGCCTTCGTCGAGGGCCATATCCGGTCTGTAGTGGTGGTCGAGCAGCGACATGGTGTAGAAGGCCGCATATCCGTGGGCACAGTACGGCAGATCCACCCGAGTGCCCAAATAATCGATCAACGACAAAAATGGCTCGGAGCCCTTGTGGAGTCCTCCCAACAAAACCTGCACCTGGTAGGGCGTTCTTGATCTGATCGAGGTGGCCAATTGCTGTCTGAGAAAGGACGCAATCGCCTTGGAATTCAGTTCTGTGTTTTCTCTCATTGTGAACAGCTGGATGTTGGCCTGGATGTAGTCTGCGAACTGCGTCGTGTCTCCCGACTCTCCGGTGAATGCCAGCAGATTGTACTGGTTGAGCACTCTTGTCTTGTCGTCTGTGTCTTTGAGGACCGAGATGCCTCTTGTAAACGCTTTTGATGTGGCGACAATGACCGAGTCTTTGACTCTGATGCCCAAAATGATATCCATGGTGGCGAAAAAGAGAAAATAGTAGGGGAAAATATATGCATATATTTTCACAGCCGTGAATTTGGCTGGTTTTATGTAATCAGGCCCCGTCTGCTGGCGTAGCTGGCGTAGCTGGCTGCGTGGTCTCCATGTGGGGGCATTAGTGGTCCTGGATTGGCATTGGTATTCTGGGCGGCTAGTGGTAGCTCCTCTCCCGCTAGTAATATATCTGACCCTCAAGGACCGACGTGATTTATTAAATTCCCCCAATTTTAATTTTAGTTAGTCCGCTTCGCCATGAAGAGGAATAGCAAGGGCCTTTCGATGGCCACTTTATATGTTATTTCGCTTGTCATCAACAACTCGCCGCCAGGACTCTGGAAGGTGCTGACGCTGGTGATCGATGTGGTATTTTTCTGGGTCAAACGGCTCATCAGGCTCGTGAGAGACTCGCCAATCCGAGACCTAAAGCGGTCTTTGCAAACGTGCACAGATTTCCACGAATGGGAGATGATCACATCGGAAATCGACCGGCTCAACGGCTACGACGTCTGGCGACAGAACTTCATCTCGAAAAAGTACGACTACAGACTGATAAACGAGCGTCTGCACGACCTGCGGCTTGCAAGAATCTACAAAGACCCGCTCAAGGTGATGGGGATTTTGCGATCTAGTGTGCTGAGGAACTTTGGCGGAATCTCAAACAAACAACTTTACAACAAGTCGTACATTGGCACCAAAGTCTTGATTGAAGACTACATTGAAGAGGTGCTGAAATGCTTCCAGTTTATAGACGAGTGGCAGTTGCGCGACCAGACCATGGAGCAGAGCTATTTCAACCAGATGAAACTGGACTTTTTCCACGACTCGCGACAGACTATTGGAGTCACAGCACTGATTCTACAAGGCGGCTCTCTGTTTGGGCTCTGTCATCTGGGAGTTATCAGGGCACTGTACTTCAAAAATCTGTTGCCCAGAATAATTGCTGGTTCTGCAATCGGCGCCCTGGTTGGCGCGTTGATATGCTGTCTGGACGACACCGAAATTGAGGACAATCTTAATGATCTGGTCAAACTGCTACCCGAGGACGAAGTTGACGGGAACAGCCACCATGTGATTGGCTCTGTTATCAAACGCGGATACAGCCAAGACATGCTATTGTTTATCAAGTACGTGGAGTTGAAGGTCGGAGACCTGACTTTCGAAGAGGCGTATTTGAAGACTAATAGAATCCTCAACATTCTTATCCATCCGACAGAGAGCTGCGTGCCGTCGCTTCTAAATTATGTTTCTACGCCCAACGTCACAATCAAGAGCGCAATTTACTGTTCCATTGGAAACGGCGTTCTGGACGAAGGCGTCCAGCTCAAGTATAAGTCCGCAAACAACGAAATCAAGACACTCACCATCTTAGAACGACACTGTGAATACTTGTCGCCACATTACACCAGCTCGATCAATACGAAATCGTTCAAGCCAATTTCGCCCTACACCAGACTCACAGAACTGTTTAATGTCAACCATTTTGTTGTTTCTCTTGCCAGACCGTATCTTGCGCCGCTCATTGGCAATGACCTCAAACACTCTCCAACGTCCTGGCAATTGACCAACCATTTCAAAAATCTGGTGAGTCTGGAGCTCAGACATAGAGTGGAGGCTCTGGAGAAATTTGGCATGCTCCTGGGCTTCCTCAGATGGTTGGCCGTGGACGAGAAAACACCCAGGTTTGAAAACAGCGAGATCACCATCGTCCCGGAGCTCAGAACGCTCATCAAAGATTTCAGCCGAGTCTTCGACATCAACCAGTACCAGAAGAATATTCCCTATTGGATCCAGGTCGGAGAGCGGTCTGTTTGGCCTCTATATCCGTTATTGGAGACTCGCTGCGCAATTGAGTTTGCTCTCGACGATTATTATAACATATACAGAAGCAAATAGGTTATCTATAGAAAAGCTTCACGTTCCCTTCCTTATTGATCAAATAGAGGTATTCTCGTTCGACAATTTTTTTAGGCGAGCCGATCAGGCCTCTGCCAATTGTCAGCTCTCCGGTCACGTCTTCGGCCCTTCCGGTGCGCAACGGACGCAGAAAGAAGATCAGAGACGACCTGTGTGCAAGTTTCGTTAAAAAAGTAGCGTGGATAGTGGCCAGGTCGTTTGGAGAATCGGAATATTCCATCAGACTCTCGTCGTTCGAGCTTATCAGGAATAAATTGCATTTCGTATTTAGTTTCCGCAATTGTGCGAGCAGCTTGTCCACTGTGATGTCTGTGAGGAACAGCAAAAATTCAGGATTCTCGATGAACACGTTTGGCCTACCCAGCTTGCTCTGTCGGTCCACCTCAAGCATGATCTTGGTATACCAGTCTTGGTAGCTGTTGAAGAGGTCAACGTATTTGAAGCCAGCCAGATCGCCCTTCAGCCGTGCCATTTGTTTGCGGTATGTTGTTTCATCGGTACTTAGCGACGCGAATACGACTGGGGCGGTGGAGCGGTCGGAAACCGGCGTCTTGTTGACGTAGCAGGTGCCAAAAAGCGAGTTTTCCACAAGCGCTACGTTGAGCCATGTGGGCCGTGTAGAGGCCTTATAGAGTACCAATGTGCAGTAGGTGTAGCCCGGGTCTGATTTTGGCAGAACGGAGCGGTCTTCAAACACAACAAGGTCCTGTTGTTGGAGGTCGGAAGACGATGTCATGGTTAGGGAGCACGGAAAACATTTTTTTTTTTTTCCAATTTTTTCAACTTTTAATTCCATACTAAAGCATGTCGCTTCCTGCTGTTCCTGCCAGCTTCTCTGGCGATTTCAAAGCTCACGCCAACTACAGCCCTGCTGTCAAGCGTCCTGTTGAGCCTGTTGGCAAGTATTTCCTAGCCCACGCCACCAGAACTCTGAGAGGCCACACCTGGTCCGAGTACGAGAAACTCGAGGCCTCCAAGAACGTCAAGTCCGTGGAAGAGTCGAACGACGACGACGAGTTTGACGAGGAACAGAGCGAAGATCTCCTGGAGCATGACCCAAGAGACTGGAAGACCGCCGATCTTTACGCAGTGATGGGTCTGTCAAAACTCAGATACAGAGCTACCGAGGACCAGATTAGAAGGGCCCACCGTAAGCAAGTGCTCAAGCACCATCCAGACAAAAAGGGAGCTGCTGGTGGACTAGACCAGGACGGATTTTTCAAAATTATCCAGAAAGCTTACGAGACTCTGCTGGATCCTATCAAAAGAAGACAGTACGACTCTGTTGACTTCAATGCCGACGTCGAGCCTCCATCGCCAAAGGGAAAATACGACTTCTTTGAGGCATGGACGCCTGTGTTTGAGTCGGAGGCCAGATTCTCCAACAAGCAGCCTGTTCCTTCTCTCGGAACGATGGAGTCCAGCAAGGAGGAAGTGGAGGCGTTCTACAAGTTCTGGGCCAACTTTGACTCCTGGAGAAGCTTCGAGTTCCTGGACGAGGACGTTCCAGACGACACTGCCAACAGAGATCACAAGCGTTACATTGAGAAGAAGAACAACAACGCTAGAAAGAAGAGAAAGGTTGAGGACAACAAGAGATTGGCCGATCTCGTGAAGAGAGCCAACTCTGAGGACCCAAGAATTAAAAAGTTCAAGGAGGAGGAAAAAGCTGAAAAGGCCAGAAAGAAGTGGGAGAGAGAAGCTGGCGCTAGAAAGGCTGCTGAGGAAGCCCGCATGAAGGCCGAGGCCGAGGCCAAGGCCAAGGCAGAAGCAGAGGCCAATGCCAAGCTCGAAAAAGAGAATGCAAAGAAGGCCAAGGAGGCGGCTAAGAGCGCTAAGAAAAAGAACAAGCGTGCCATCAGAGCTGCTGCCAAGGACAGCGGGTACTTTGGGGCCGAGGATAAAGCCACTCTCATCGACGCAGACATCGAGACTTTGTTAGAGGCTCTGAGCGACGTTTCTCTGGCCGATGTTGCACGCAAGTTGAACGGTGCCGACGCTTCTGCCGCCAAGTCTGTCTTGGACGCTGCAGCTAAGGAGACCGGCAAATCCTACAACTTCTTCGGTTAAACTCTAAGTATTATTGCGTAATTACAGAGGCGTTCTAGCTCCAAAACCAGTTTTTCTTTGGAACCTGCTGATCTAGCAGTGTCTGGATTTCCTTTTCGTATTCTCGTGTCTTGTGCTCCATCGCGATGATGTGCTCTTCTCCCTCCAAATACGTCCATGCGTACTGGAGCAGCAGATACACGCCGGACCCCAGAAGCAGAAACGAGGTGATGGGCCGTTTGTAGTCGCCCAACGTGGGACGAAGGGCCTGCTCCTGCTCCTGTATGAGCTTTTGGTACCTGGCCTGCTCAAGCTGCTTCTGTCGTTCTAGTTTCTGTGAGATGGCGTCGATCTTTTGTTGGATCAGATCGGCCTTGGACGGTTCGAGAAACGGGTCGCTGGGCTGGTAGAGCGACGACTGTATGTTGTTGATTGCCTCGAGTTCAGAAGGCGAAAGAGGGCTTTCTTCGGCGTCTGTGGGCTGCTCTACCTGGCTTTCCGCCGGCGACACACGCGGGGTCTTGTTGCGCAGCGCTCTCAAAGCACTAAAATACCGGATTCGAGGTTGGAACATGAATGAAAATAAAATTATTATGCTTTTATTACATTTTCGCTATTTTTTCACGTCATCCATCTATCATAATATACAATCACAGCCGAATACATTTGGCTACCACTCGCTTTCTCCCGTCGCCTTTTGGAAGGCGTAGTCGCGTCCGTCGATGTTAGCGATCCCGTCCTTCAAGTTGCATTTCCACTTATTCTTCACACGCTGCACCCTATCGTACAAACATAGCATGATGTTATACTCCTGGTCCTCGTTATCGCCTGCCGAGTTGATCTCGTCGTCGTCGGGGTCGTCCAGATCCGAGTTGATCTCGTCCGAGTCCACCCCCAGATCGGACTCCAGCTCGTCGCCGTCCTCGCCCAGATCTCCCTGTCCATCCGTCTGCGTCCGACGGAGGTTTCTGGCAAGCTCCTCGGCCTGTTTTCCCTCCACGGTAAACGTCACCGTTCCGTCCGACTGCCCTATTCTGCCTCCGCCGGGAAGCGCGATGTTCATCCCTCCCAGGTCGTCCTCCTGCTTCATCGAGTTCGTCGGCAGCGCAAGATCCGACTGCGGTAGATGGAGCCCCTGGATGTGTAGCCCTGAGCTTGCGTCGCTGCCGGTAGGGTTGAACTGCTCCTGGTACGTCTGGGAGCTGATGTGATCGTCACCCAGCCCCAGCAAATTACTGCTCTCGTCGTACTGTTGTCTTTTCAGGTCCCAGCTGAAAGACGCAACCCCGGTCTTGGACAATTTGTCTCTCCATATCCGTTTGAGGTCCATCAACGTTTGCTCGTCGATGCCCCCGTCCTCAAAGTCCTGTCGAGATTCGGCAATCACATCTTCAATGATACGCTCGTATAGCTCAGACTGATGTTAGAATCCAGAGCAAGATGATACTTACACATTCCTTGTTGGACATGGTGATGTACAATTTAAATCCTTAAAGGCAAGAAATATTTGTAATGTTGATTCTCCTGGCCGGGTAAGGTTTTTCTCGATTACATGCCACCCCTTGGATATTTTTTTGTACGCGTTTTTTTGTTTATACTTTGATATGGCAAAGCTCAGCGAAAATAGCCCTAGCGGAGCCAAGACCGCTATTAAGCGGATTGAACACGGTCTTACGTACAAGCATGAAATCAGAAAGCCCAGCTTCAGACGGCGGTCGCTGTCTCCCCAGAAAACGCAGTCCCTTGCAGTTTCCCCTGCCAGGGTGCCTTTGACCTGTATTAAAGAGCCCCTAAACACCAAATTGGTTCCAATTGCGCTCGGAAAACACGATCTGACGAAGGCCCTGAGCACGGCAGAGAAGGAAAACGACGACAACAACACCAACGACACCCAGAAGATTGAGATGCTCGACGTGGAATCGGACGCGGTCGAGGTGCAGTCTTCGCCGGTGGGGTCTCATCAAAATCGAATGAATTCCAAACGACACATGGACACTCCGGTACTTGTCTCGGATGCGAAGAAGATGCATCTGGGGGACGAATCGTTCCAGACTCCGCTGAGACCGGACTCCAAGAAGCGCGTGACCCCTCACAGAGAACACCACAGTCGGCTTATGAACGATTCGGATATCGATCTGCACAACGCCTCCACTGAGAATCCCGTGCTCGATCCCCAGAACAGCCCACTTGCTAATGTGAGCCACGGACAGCTGCTCGAGGACAAGATAGATGGCGAGACAGAGGTGATCAAGGGACTCAAGCACAGGGGTACACAGATCAACGACATTTCTGCGATTGCGGCAGACTCGTCCCTGGACCACCGCGAAGATACTTCGGACTCAGAAGGTGAGCAGGACGAGAGAATGTCGCCTGTCAAGCTTTCACAGAAAATCTCTGCCCTGGACGTCTTCAGCGCCATGATTGATCAGGAAGACGAAATTGAGGATTTCGATCTTGCTGGCGGCGACGAAGCGGAAGAAAAGCCAGTGTTTACAAATTCCCAGCTGGAAGAGGTTAAGTCATCGATGCAAAGTAGCATTGACGCGTTGAAAGTGCAAGTGCAAGTCCAGTCAGAGAAGCTTGTTTCTGCAGAAACGGCATTGGCCTCTGTTTCTGCGCAATTAGAGGCCGAGTCCGGAGAGAAAAAACATCTGCTGAACGAAAAGACCGAGCTTATTGTTGAGCTTCAATCATACAAACAGTCAATCCAATTGTCCAATTCCAAAATAAGCCAGTTGGAATCCAGAGTCAAATTCTACGAGTCCAAGCTTGAGAAGCTGAAAACAATCTACAGTCAACTGATGGGAACAGCTAAAAACTTCGAGTCTGAGCTCACAGACAAGACCGTACGCATCACCGATCTAGAAATATCCGTCACCAGTCTGAAGGAGGAAAAAACCGTGTTATCCAACGAAAAAATTGAGCTTTTGTCGGCGCTGGAGCTTAGATCGAACGAGATCGAGCAACTGACTAAAGAGAAAGAGTCGCTTGAGAACCAACTAAAGAACGTGTCAAGCAGTTCCGAATCTGCCCTGAGGAAGACGGAGGATCTTGTCAGGGAGCTAGATTCGAAAACAAAGGATGCGGCGGAGCTGCGTGAGAAGCTTGACGAGCAAGCGGTCAAGATCGAGGGTCTTGAACTCGACCTCAGCCAAGCCACCGAGAAACTCAACGCATACCAGGACGAACTGAGGTCTGGGGTGGATAAAATCATTGCGCTGGAGAACGAACTGAGTGCCGTGCGTTCGGAGCTCGAGTCTCTGCAGGAGAAGGAGACTCTTCTGGTAGATGAAAACACGAGTCTGAAGGAGGTCATGGGACACCGTCGCGACGAGATCAAGCGTCTTAAGGCCGAGAAGGAGGAGCTGAGCCAGCAATTGAGCAGCCGCAAGGACCAGAACACTGAAGAGCTGCTGGAAAAGCTGCGGGAAGAAATGTCTGCGCTGCGGGGCAGCACGGAGGCCCAGATCAATGAGCTGAGCGCCAATCTGGATGCCAAGAACGAAAAGCTGGTGGAAGCCAAGACCGAGGCCTCGACCATGAAACAGAAAGTGGCCACGCTAGAGAGTCAGCTCGCGGATGCCAACGCAAAGATACAGGAGCACGACAAGAACCTCGAACAGCAGCTGGAGAAGCTGGCTCAGGATCTATATTTGCAGTATTCTGCCAAACATGAGCAAAAGGTTGCAATTCTGAAGAAGGGCTACGAGATGAAATGGATGAACAAGCTCAAGAAGCTGAACAAAGAGAACGAGCAGCTGCGCAGCGAGGTGGAGAGCTTCAAGAGACGGCTGGAGGTCGAGAACAACGAAAAGAAGCAGCTGGTCAAGCTCTGGGAGGAGTATGTGTCCTTGGAGAGCAACGATAAGGCGAACGCGTTGCCGGATTTCATTAAAAAAGCTGAGGATTGATTTGAATATCTATTAATATTATTAGTACGACGGCGGACTGACGTATGACGCGTAAGCTTTTTTTTTCTAATTTCTGCAGGTAAAACTGTAATCCTACCAATTTACCAAATAGGACTCTAGTATTTACTCCAAGGGTATTGTGTGCGGTAAAATATTCTCTACCAAAACAGCCCCTGCGATCTCACCATAGCATAGAATACATGGCTGAGAACTTGGCGAGTCCTGCGAGCTCCAAATCTCATTCTTTCGTTATGGATTCTCTGGAACAAATAGCTTCTGGCGGGGACAAGCTGGAGAGCCAGGACAGCTTGGACTCGGGTTCACGCGACGGAGAGTTCTACAAGACGCTACAGGAGGAAAACAGCCGTCTGCACAGCAAGATTGACCAACTGGAGAGCGATAAAATGACACTGAATGACGAGCTGCTGGAGTTACGACGACTAGTGGCCTCGCAGAAGGCCCGTATTGTCCATTTGGAAACCCTGACACGGGACGCTGGCGACAAACGTGATAGCGCGATCAACCCGTGGGACTCACCTGTGAAGCAACAGGAGGTCCTGGACAAGGTGATCAATCCGCTCGACGAGGCTGACATCGACGTTCCCGAGCGCAGCGAGCGTCGCGTCACGATGCGCGACCCGCCTGTGCGCAGCACTGCCGCTGAAGAGCTTCTCAAGGACATGACGCTGGGCTCTTCTCCGCGCAAAGGCTCTCCCAGAAGACAGAAGCCGGCGGTGTCGGAGATGCAGACGCCTCTCGTGGACGAGTTTGTTTTCAGCAACAGCGGCAGCTGCAGCAGCAACTCTTTAAAACGGCCTGCATATGAGCTGTTGGGCACTCCGAAAAGAGAAGAAAAGGAGGAGGAATTGGGACACAAGGTGGAACCGAAGACGAAACCAGTGGCGCCAATGGCGGAAAAACCACTGCTGAAGCACGAAACAAGGCCCGAACTAAGGCCAGAGACAAAGTCTGAGCCAATTGCGCCGCCGCAGGTTGCTCAGACGCCGGACCGAAACGCATTGGCCGGCATTCTGTCGCCTGCTCGGAACCAATTCTCCCCAATGAAAGATTTCTCCCCGTTGAAAGATTTTGCTTCCATCTCCACGGTTTCACCGCTGCGGTCGCTCAACCTGTCGCCGGACCGCCGGACCATTTTGAAAACCCCGTCGCCAAAAAGAGCACCGAACCTCACTTTCTCTCATCAGCAGCAGCCGTCCGATTCTTCTCAGTACGATTATATTTCTTCCTCGTTCGACTCCACAGTGATCACCGTGGAGTCTTGTGTTGACCCAGAGGCCGTTCTAGAAAAACGAGAGGACTTCCTGGTGTCGTTCATGGTGAACTCCAACGAAAGACCAGGCGAGCTTGTCCCGTTGTACCTCGTTCGCCAGCCATACTCCAAACTCCTGACTCTGGACCACGATCTCCGCTACTTTGGCCTTACCCATCTGCCGATGCTACCAGACCGGTCGGCGTTCCTCAAGATCGACCCTCTTGTCTGGGACACCCAGAAATCCATCGTCAAAATGTACGTTTCGGAGCTGTGCCGTGTGATGCGCACCCAGCGCGGGTCCAACGTGTGGAAGTTGTTCCGGGGATTTTTCACGCCCGACGAAGCACACGACATGTCCAAACGCGAGGCCACCGTGGTGGAAGTCGGCTCCAAGAACCTCAAGAAGGTGTTCCGTCTTGCCACTTTGAGTCTCGACTCCATCGAGCACTATTTGAGCATCACCGACTTTGCTACCAAATCTGCAGACACGCTGCACGTGAACGATGTGTTGGTGTCGCGCGAAAACCAAATCCTCACGCTTTCGCGCAAAAAACGCAAGTCTCTGCGTTCCGTGAAGCATCACGTGCTCTACTGCGAGTCCGTGCCAGACGCAGAGGACTGGTGCCGCGCCATTGCCGAGTACCAGTCGTACGAGGGCGACCAGCTCTCCGTCGCGTCGTCGCCGTCTAAACTAACAGCCGCGGACTACGCGACCTCCGTGGCGTCCACGCCAACACAGCACGAGCCAGCGCAACCGTCGCCGGCAGTTTCTGAAAATAAATGGTTCAACCTCAAACGCTCGCGCGAGTCCACCATCCCGACCGCTAACTTCTCGTCCGACGTGCTCGAGTTCAAAGCCATGCCCTACTCCGGAACCATGGTCTCGCTCGGAGCCGTACAGACCCCGTCGTTGCCACCAGCCGACGCCTCGTTCCAGAAATTTGAGCCGGTCTCCAAGTACTTTGGCTCCACGTTGCAGGAGTCCTTTGACAGGTCTCCAGATTTCAAAATATACGGGAAACCGGTGCCTTCTGTCGTCTACCGTTCGCTGTCGTATCTCGAGGAAAAAAATGCGGTGTACAGCGAGGGGATTTTCCGACTGAACGGAATGATGTCAGAAGTCAACAAGATCCAGGAGATCTTCAACGAGAAGAACGACTGCGACTTCTCAACGCTGTCGACGCCGCCTGATGTGCACTCAATTGCAACCCTTTTCAAAAGATACCTGCGAACACTGAAAGTGACGGTGATCCCGGAGGAAGAGGCCAAGGAGCTTATGTCACTCACACTGGCCGCAGACCACGGGGCTTCCGTGCCAAAGGTGAAGGAGACACTGCAAAAATTGCCAACTTTGAACTTTGACGTCCTATACGTACTGTTCAGATACTTCCAGCAGGTGCTCAAACACAAAGAGCTCAACAAGATGAGTATTGGCGCGCTGAGCGTGTTGATGGCTCCCAATCTCACTCCCTTTGACGGCGCCAAGGAGATTTGCTCGGAACTGCTGACCAATTACAAGTACTACTTCGAGGACGGCGAAATGGTGGTGCGCTAGTGCTACCATATCTGAGGTTACGTAATATGCACTATTTCATAGATAATAATATCCAAGTCAGCAAAATATCATATATTAATTTAATTTAATTTACATGGACTCAAAGGTCGTTGGAATTTTGGGCGGCGGCCAGCTCGGCCGCATGATGGTCGAGGCAGCCAGCCGGCTGAATATCAAGACAGTGATTCTTGAGAACGGTGCAGATTCACCGGCCAAGCAGATCAATTCCAGTACAGAACACATCGACGGCTCCTTCAACGATGAGGCGGCCATCCGCAAGCTCGCGGAAAAATGCAACGTGCTGACCGTCGAGATTGAGCACGTTGATGTTGAGGCCTTGAAGAAAGTGCAGGAGCAGACTTCCGTCAAGATTTATCCATCTCCTGAGACCATTGCTCTTATCAAGGACAAATACTTGCAAAAAGAGCATCTGATCAGAAACCAGATCGCGGTTGCCGAGTCCACTGCTGTTGAAAGCACTTCAGGAGCCTTGCAATCTGTGGGACAGAAGTATGGATACCCGTACATGCTCAAGTCCAGAACGATGGCTTATGACGGTAGGGGTAACTTTGTTGTTGAGGACGATTCCAAGATCCCAGAGGCTTTGGAGGCCTTGAAGGACAGACCGTTATATGCTGAAAAATGGGCTCCTTTCACCAAGGAGCTAGCAGTGATGGTGGTTCGGGGTCTTGGCGGAGACGTCCATGCCTACCCAACCGTAGAGACTATTCACAAAAACAATATCTGCCACACAGTGTTTGCACCTGCGCGTGTCAATGACACCATACAGAAGCGCGCGCAACTCCTGGCAGAGAAGGCTGTGTCTGCATTTTCGGGAGCAGGAATTTTTGGTGTCGAAATGTTCCTGCTTCCAAATGACGAGTTGTTGATCAACGAAATTGCCCCTAGACCGCACAACTCTGGACATTACACTATCGACGCGTGCGTGACGAGCCAGTTTGAGGCCCACATCCGTGCCGTTTGCAGTCTGCCGCTACCAAAGAACTTTACTTCTCTATCCACACCATCTACCCATGCTATCATGCTAAACGTGTTGGGTAGCTCTAACCCAGAAGAATGGTTGCAAAAGTGCAAGAGAGCGCTTGAAACCCCACACGCGTCGGTTTACCTGTACGGAAAATCCAACAGACCGGGCCGGAAACTGGGTCACATCAACATTGTCTCCCAGTCCATGGACGACTGCATCCGTCGTCTAGAGTACATAGACGGCCAATCCGACACACTGAAAGAGCCTAAAGACAACATACATGTTGCAGGAACTAGCAGCAAACCGCTCGTCGGCGTGATAATGGGCTCAGACTCGGATCTGCCTGTGATGTCCGTTGGTTGCAATATTTTAAAGGCTTTTGGTGTTCCTTTCGAGGTTACCATTGTGTCTGCCCACAGAACGCCTCAGAGAATGGTCAAGTACGCTGCCGAAGCCCCAGAGAGGGGAATACGGTGCATCATCGCTGGTGCTGGGGGAGCTGCCCATCTACCAGGAATGGTTGCTGCCATGACTCCATTGCCGGTCATTGGTGTTCCCGTCAAGGGATCGACTCTCGACGGAGTCGACTCGCTGTATTCGATAGTTCAGATGCCAAGAGGAGTGCCTGTGGCCACTGTTGCCATCAACAATGCCACCAACGCTGCGCTTCTGGCCGTGCGTATTCTTGGCTCGTCCGACCCCGTGTATTTCAGCAAGATGGCTAAATACATGAGCGAGATGGAGAATGAGGTTCTTGAAAAAGCTGAACGACTGGGCTCTGTTGGCTATGAGGAATACCTTAACAAATAGATAGAGGTTAAATTAATTCAATTACTAGCATTTATTTTTTGAAAATAAAAAATCAAAAAAAATTTCCTTTTCATGTTCGCCAGTCACGTTCGATATTTTTCCACATCTCTGCGATTGCGCGCCATCAAAGTGCCTGACAACGCGCCTACGCTGGAAGAAAACTCTGCTTGGCTCAAAAAACTGGCTAGGTTCTCGATTACTCCAAAACCTTCACGCCCCACAGAATTGCCTAAATCAACTTACGAGATACGACAAGTTTCGGAGCTCGAGTCCGAAACAAACCCAGACTTCATCAAACTCAGGCTCCCCGGTGGGAAACACGTCAATGTGGTGAAAAAAGCAGATCCGCATAGCCAGCCAGGAACCTCATTTTTTACGCTTTCGGTGCCCGCATCCGACTATTTCGTGGCATCGTCGCCGTTTTCGAGACTGCCGTCCAGTAAACGTCCCAAGGCCGACTCTTCGCAGTCCTTTGCAGATCTGAAGGTCGTAAAGGTGAGGTCGGGAAAGGGTGGAAATGGAGCGGTTTCGTTTTTCCGAGACACGGGCATTGCCGTGGGCCCACCTGACGGTGGAGATGGTGGAGATGGTGGCAATATCTATGTGTCTGCCGTTGAGGGCCTGAGTTCACTTCACAGCATCAAGGCCAAATATGTTGCAGGAGACGGTGGAAACGGCCAAAGTGGTCAACTGGATGGGAAACGGGGAGAAGACGTGTATATACAAGTTCCTGTTGGGACAACCATGATGTGGTGTGCAGACCCCAAAGAAATCCGTTCATTAAGAGATTCAGAGAACGATCAGGTGTTCCATGTAAAGGCAAGCGCCGGTTCGAGACGCGATAGAGTTCCCAGAAATATCCAGTTTTTCAGAGACAGCTATGAGCCGGGGAAGGGATGGATATTCAAAGAAAAAGACGAACAGTATCACATGGAACGCGACTTTTTCGTAGACCTCAATGAACGTGTCAAATTATATGACGAAGACCAAAGATATCATGAGCTCATGGATGACGTGTTTCCCATCCAAGGCATTGATTTTGCAGAGCCAACCAAAGAGCCGATTCTCGTTCTAAAAGGGGGTCGGGGAGGAATGGGAAACATGCATTTTTTGACTTCCAACGTTCGCAACCCGCGGTTTGCGAAAATGGGGCGCTCAGGCTTGGAGCAGAATTTCATCTTTGAGCTCAAACTATTGGCAGATCTTGGACTGGTCGGACTGCCAAATGCGGGAAAGTCCACGCTATTGCGCGCCATTTCTAACGCTCGGCCACGTGTGGGTCACTGGGAGTTCACCACACTGCAACCTACAATTGGAACGATACAGCTGCGAATTGATCAGCCGTCTTTCACAGTGGCCGATATTCCTGGAGTGGTCAAGGGTGCCAGCGAGAATAGAGGCATGGGTCTGACTTTCTTGCGACACGTGGAGAGATCGGGCGGCTTAGTTTTCGTGATATCTCTGGGTAGCGAGAATCCTGTGGAAGATTTGAAAGTCCTGCTTCAGGAAATGGGACCTCAACGAATGGAAGCTAAAAACGTGCTAATCGTCGCCACAAAAGCGGATCTGGACGGAGCAGAACGCCAGTTCTTGAAGCTCAAAGAGTTTGTGGAGCAACGCCGTTGGAAAATTGTTCCGTGCTGTGCAATGCGCAAAGAAAATATCGAGAGTGTCTTGGAAATGATGGCAGAGTGCTCTGGAAAAGTGGAACCTTAGTAAATCTCCATCTTGAAAGACAGCGCCAGCTCCTCATATAGACGTAATAACGACGGAGAATCTATCTCACCGTAGTACTTTAGTGCATCCATCATGTCGCTCATTTTGGAGTAGTATTTCTCTTCGTAACTCTTGAGTCCGGCTATCAAGCGTCTCATTCGGGTTTCATTCTTTTCGGGATCGAATGTAGTTCCCGGCGACAGCTTTGATTGGTTTTCTGTGAAGAGGTCTTTGTCCATCAAAATCAGCGTTTTTCTTAAAGCCATCACGAAATTATGATACAGAACAATGATTGCAAATAGCTGATTCACTATTTGTGCGAGCCTGATCTTGGTCAGCATGGATTCAGACAAAATGGTGCTAAGGAAGGATTTGATTGACGAAAACACCGTTTCCAGTTCCACACTCGGGTCGGTCTTCAAACTCTCCAGCACAGTCTCCACTTTCTTCCAATTCGCGTGCATCACGTCGTAGTTCAGGTAGAACAGGCACAAGTTCACAAACGTCCGCATCTTGGCATGGACAACCCTGGCCTTCTTGATCCACCGGCGCAATCTCTCATCACGGAACTGCCATTTCCAGAATCTTTGGTGTGTGATTTCCCGCCACGAGATCTCTAAGCACTTTTCCACAAACTTGAGGTAACAGAGATTACGAAAAATGAATTGGTACTCCACCATTTGCGACTTGGTGATAATCAGATTTAGCGGAAAAGGCACTTCGAGGTCGAGACAGAAGCTGAACACAGCGTATTGATCAAGCTTGGTGTTTGTCAAAACGCTAGTCTTTGCGTTGTTTTCGTTGGCTTCGAGCGTGGAGTTGAGAAGATTCTTGAGAGAGTTCAAGTCAGATGAAGCAAACACCTTTTCGGAGTTGGTGGTCTTAGCGCTCAAGATCATCACCAGTTCGTCCAGTAGTGTATATTTGGTGAGTGACAGGGTCGCAAGGTTGAAAATCAGGCGTCGGCTCTTGGCACTTGCATGATCTTGTATCACGTCGTCTTTATGATAGCTTGAAAGATACAGCTTGCTAAGCGTGTTGATGGAAGCGTGTTCTTTGGACTTGCGCAGCTCAGAAAGACTGTCAGTCATGAAGTCATCGAAATTGCTGTTATTTGTGAGCAGGAAGTACTTGTTCAAGCTCTCCAAGAATTCCCGGATGTGGTATCCATTGAACAGCAAGTCGATTATCAGCTTGTTAGCTCTTGCGTACGCTTCATCTAGCCGGATGAAGAGATCGTTGTCCTGTAAAGTCTTGATATGCTGAATAGACCCCAATCTGTCGACGTCAACGCCGCACTCCTTTAGCACATTCAAATACTTGCCTGTGAGGATGACCTTTTTCTGTACACTGGGAGGATAAAATTGCTTGAGCAGTCCCTCGCTTCGAATAGTGAATTTATCAGCCCAGTAGTCCTCACTTACACGAGAGCCTTCGAGATTTTGGTGTATTAGAAACTCGTCATAGGGGTCCTCGATGGTGCCCGTTTCCAGCCACCAATTGAACATGGAAACATAGCCAACAGACACCTTGTTGAATAAGTCCACCATGAACTGGTAAGATGCGGCATCTCCCTTGTGTTTGTCAATTCCCGACTGAATGAAGCTCAAAACCAAACCACCCTTCACGACTTTGCTGTTGGTGGTGTCCGACGTGACTCCGTCCAAAGTTCCGGTGTAATGATCGTCCTTGAGAGATTTGAGCATGCTTTCAAACCGCATCTTGTTCATGTTGGACGAATCTTTGCGTTTCTCATTCTCCTGAACAATCTTCATTACCAGCTCGTACAAATGGGTCAACTGGAGGGTCGTATTGACGGTCAGATCTTGCTCCAGCAGTGTAACCGAGTAGTTTGCGTTGTGGTGGAACTCGTGCTCTATCTGGACCAGGATCGACTCATATACACGCAGAACCTCTCTGATCTCAAAGCATAAAGCCTGGACAACGGTCCCATGCTCTAGATCGTCGTACTGCTCCACAAACGTCACCAAACTCACGTAGTATTTCCCCAAACGGCTAATTCTCTTGGCGATATCCTTGAGTCCTAAATCGAGGTGCTTGTTGATTGAAAAATCCGGGCCAATCAGACGCTGCAGAGTGCTGTCATCGATGCTAAAAGAGTTCGCATACCGTATATAAAATCCTTCAAGCCCGATCAAAACAAACAAGAGGTCCTGGAAAACAGCAGCTTCCTGATCGCGAAAACTCTGCATCTGGTCCACTGGAAACCGTTTGGGCTTAGGGAGGCCGCCAGGATTCGCAAACGTTGGCGGATACCTCAGACAGCGGCCCACCAGGCGCTCAGTAGTTGAGAGTTTGAGCGTGTCAAAAGACATAATAATAAACAAAAGATAGTGCACGCGAATATTTTATTGTGCGTTTACGTAATACCAAGTCTAGGAGTTGCAGCTGGTAGCATGACGGACGGACCACATTAAAGATGGAAGTGTGCGCCCAGCAGGAGAAAACAACATCTATGCGTTGTTAGAGAATTTATCCGTCGTGCCGGCAAATCTTGAGTTCTTGCTGACGTCTCAAACACTCCGTCGCTGCCAAACCGGACGCTGCGCTTTTTGCTACTGCCCCACGATGCACCGCCTGATAAAAAAATTTCACAAGAAATTATTTTATCACAATATTCAATGGTGAAGAGAAAGAGAGCCGCCATTCTACCAACCAACATCGCGTTGCTCCAGAACCTTGTCAAACGGGACCCTGGCTCGTACTATGAAGAGTTTTTGCAGCAGTATGCGCATTACGAATCCATGCGAGACATTTTTCTCCTGTCTCCTTCGTCCCACGACGGAGAGGAGTTTGCAGAGCTGATCGGGTTCATGTCTGCCGTGTGTTCGTGCTATCCGAAGGAGACAGAGCATTTTCCAGATGATCTGAAGACCATATTGACCAATAACCATCGCGATCTGACGCCGGATCTACGGGAGAAGATTATTCAGTGTCTGGTGATGTTACGTAACAAGGACGTTATTAGTCCCGAGTATCTGATCCAGACCATTTTCCCGCTTTTGACCGCGTACGGGCCAAACATCGAGGGCAACAACGGGCTGCATGCCAAGCAGCTCAGACACCAAATATACAGCTCTCTTGTGTCGCTGCTGAAATCCTGCAACACTGGAGTCAAGAACCAGAAACTCAACAGGTCGACTCAGGCGTTGCTGTTCAACTTGCTGGAGCAGAAGGATGGTAATGGATTGTGGGCGACGAAGTTGACCCGAGAACTGTGGCGAAGAGGCGTGTGGGACGACTCGCGTACCGTCGAGATCATGACACAGGCGTCGCTGCACCCTGACACCAAGGTTGTCATATCGGGTATCCGTTTCTTTCTGGGCGCAGACAAGGAACGGGAGGAGATGCTGGAGGCGGAATCCGACGATGAGGAGCTGGATCCAAACGCCATTCGTCACCAAATGCAGGTGAATAAGAAGTCATCGAAGAGAGGAAAGAAGCTGGAACAGGCTCTAAAGCAAATCAAGAAGAAGTCGTCTAAGGGCAACACCACGTACTTGAATTTCTCTGCCATCCATCTCTTGAGAGACCCACAGCAATTTGCAGAGGACCTATACGAGCAGCACCTGGCCAGCAAGAATTCGAACAAATTTGATCTCGACCAGAAAATCGCCATCATGAACCTGGTATCGCGTCTTGTTGGTACTCACAAGCTCACCGTGTTGGGGATATATTCCTTCTTTTTGAAATACCTGACTCCTAAACAGCGCAATGTGACTCAGATCATGGCTGCGTCCGCACAAGCCTCCCACGATCTTGTTCCTCCAGAGACCATTAACATGGTGGTGCGGAAGATTGCCGAGGAGTTCGTTTCTGAGGGTGTTGCTTCCGAGGTTGCAGCAGCAGGAATCAACACTATCCGCGAGATTTTGGCCAGAAACCCTGCTGGGATCGACGAAACGCTGCTGCAGGACCTGACCGAGTACAAATCGTCCAAGGCGAAGAACGTTGTCCAGGCTGCGCGGTCGCTGATCTCTCTTTACAGAGAGGTGGCTCCGGAAATGCTTTCGAAAAAAGACAGAGGCAAGTCTGCCACGATGGAAATTATCCACGATGGGGGCAAGGGTCTGCCGCAGTTCGGTGTGGAGACCAATATTGTGCAGGGTATTCCTGGACTGGAGCTTCTGGCCAAGTGGAAGATGGAACAGGGCACCTTGGGCAAGGAGAGCGCCGAGGACTGGACGCTTCCTGAGTCTGAGGAGGAGGATCTTGCGGACGACATCGAGGGTGACTGGGTGGACGTGAAGGACGACGAGGAGATTGAGATTTCCGACGACGAAGAGGAGAAGCTCGAGCGCAAGGGCATCAAGAAGAAGTATTTGAAGTACATGAAGAAGAGCAAGAAGAAGGTGCAGGACGATGATTCGGATCTGGAACTGTCGGACACTGAGGGTGAGAAGCCTATCAAAAAACAAAAGCTCGAAGACAGCGATGAACGCCAGAAAGCTATTCAGCAGACTCTGACGCAGGTGTTGACTCCTGCTGACTTTGCCAAGCTGAAAGAGCTGAACCAGGTGGCTGGCGTGGAGAAGATCATGGGCGACAAGTACAAGAACGAGGACACGGTGGACCACTCGACGCTGGTCGGACGCGTCAAATACAAGCAGACAAAGGAGGAGCGGTTGGAGCAGGTGAAGGAGGGCCGCGAGGACAGAGACAAGTACGGTTCTCGAAAGGGCAAGAGAGATGCTCCGCACTCCACCACCAACAGAGAAAAGCAGAGGAAGAAGAACTTTGTGATGATGATCCACAAGAAGGCTGTGCAGGGCAAGCAGAAGCTGAGTTTACGGGACAGGCAAAAGGTTCTGCGTGCGCATATTGAGAGACAGAAAAAGAAGAAATAGTGTAGACTCGCCATATAAAATAAAATGCTATGGAAAAAAAGTGCTGGTTGCTAGTGAAATTACTCTATTATAGTACTTATTTTCCGCTCTATTTCCGCCGCTTCGTCTTCCCCTCCCGCTCCTTTCTGCGCTTTCTTCTTTCACCAAAGCCTTCGCGTTCCATGTCCATGCGGGCCTCGATCTTGGCCTTCGACACCGCCTTGAGACTCTGCTTGATCACCTTATTGTCGTTGAGTGACAGCTCCTCCATCTTGACCCCTACACGGTCCTCGATCGCCAGGATCCGGCTCAGGTCATTGGGCGTGACCATCGAGATCGCGTCACCCTTGCGGCCCGCACGCGCCGTTCTTCCGACTCGGTGGACGTAGTCGTCCGGGTCGCGAGGAATATCAAAATTGATAACCAGCTCCACACTGGGGATATCCAGACCTCTGGAAGCCAGATCGGTCGCCACCAGCACACGCGCAGCGCCGGCGCGAAACCTGTGCAGCGAGTTCGTTCTTTCTGATTGGGGCATTTCGGAGTGCAGCGACGTGGTGGTGACCTCCAAATGGCGGAGCAGACGGCGCAGAATCTCTGCTGTTTCGGAACGGTTCACAAACACAATAGCCGTGCTTTCTTTGTAGTCTTCGTTGGTCAGTATGTTATGCAGCATGCTCTCCTTCACCACCACGGGTGCCAGAACATACAGAAGTCGAAGGGTGCTTGGGATCTTGACGGTGTCGACATTGTCCAGCTCGTGCAGAAACACGGGCTGTTTCCCTGGAGCAACTGGTCTGTCCGTCAGAGCACGCACCGAATCTGTCACTGTGGCGGTGAACAGTAGCGTCTGACGTTTATTCGAGTTTGGAAGCGCCTCGAAACACGTCTGCAGATGGTCTGTGAACGAGTCGGTGAGCAGCCGATCTGCCTCGTCCAGAACCAGATATTTCACACGTTTCAAACCGCGACATTCGTCCTCGTTCTCCATGATAATGTGCGCCAGCCGTCCAGGAGTGGCGATGATAAAATGCGGATTTTCCTTGATCATGGCAACCTGATCTGTCATGGACTCTCCTCCAATAATTAATCGCACTTTTAAATTAACAGTAGCTCCCAGGGCAGCAAACTGGTCTGCAATTTGCATAGCCAGCTCTCTCGTCGGTGTGAGAACCACGCCAAAAATTCCACTCGGGTCTTGCGACCATTTGGCCAGCATAGGTGCTCCAAACGCTATGGTTTTACCTGAACCAGTCTTGGCTCCTCCAATGCAGTCGCGACCCTTGAGGATCTCGGGGATGCATGCAGCCTGAATATTCGTGGGCCTGGTGATTTTCATGGCCTGCAGACTTTCCACGAGCCATCTCGGTAATCCCAGAGCTGCGAAATCAGACATTAAGGATACTGAGTATTTTTCAAATATTTTTTTTATATGCCAATTATTCTTTTTTTGTGCTTAAATTTCACCATTATTTTTCCGTATCTTTTTCCAACTGATCTTGTGTTTTCATGATTGACCAGTTTCTAATTTTCAGACCAACGGGCCAAGTCGAGTTCAACTACCAGCCCGGGAAGAACCTCTCCAATGTCGTGAACGCATTTATCGACGATATTCTCGTGTCAGAGCGCAACTTGAAGACTTTCCAGCAGGCAGAGAAGGACGACGCGCAGGAGGTCCAGGACGAGGAGGGAGTCACCGTGGGCAGTTATCATATCGACAAGTACAGTGTTGAGTATTTATCTGTCAACCAACAACACACAAAGCTGGTTTTTGTGATGATCCATGTTTCTGTGCTGACTCTCAAGTCACCGTTTGAATTCCTTCGAAAAATTAAAACGTTGTATTTGAACTCCGACCATGACAAATTTGAGCAGTTTTTCAGGTTAACTCTTGAAACACTGGAGCAGAAGAAAGAAGAGATCAAGGATGCGCCACAGTCTGAGCTCAAGGAAGACAAGAAGAAATTGAAGGGGACCAAAAAGTCAAGAAAATGGAACCCTGACGGAACATTCTACGAGGAAAACGACGAAACCTCGGATCTAGACTTTTCTACAGACTCGTCAGTCCCAAATAACGGATCTGCGAATCTCAATCAGCTGGTCGGTGACAAAGCTCATTTTGGATCCAAAACCAAGACAGGCGAGTTCTTGGTGAGCGATCTGTCGCAAGAAATGGACAAGATCTTGTCCATCACACCAAAAGCAAAGACAACAGATTCTACGTCCCAGCCGTTTGGTTTCCTTAGGAACATCATTGGAGGAAAAAAGATTACGAAGGAGGATATCAAGAAGGTCAAATCAGCATTATCCACTCATCTAATCAAGAAAAACGTGGCTCCAGACGTGGCCAACTCTCTCATCTCGGAAATCGAAAAAGAACTTGTTGGCTCCACTACAGCAAACTTCACCTCTGTGCAGGACACCGCCAAGAAGAGCCTGGAGAAGCAGCTGATCAAGCTGCTCACACCGAATAATTCCATAGACCTGCTGAAGGAAATTCAGGCCAAGACCAGCAACAATCTCCCCTACGTGATTTCGGTGGTGGGAGTCAACGGTGTTGGAAAATCCACCAATCTGTCAAAACTTGCGTACTGGCTATTGCAGAACAACTACCGTGTGCTAATTACGGCGTGCGATACCTTCAGATCCGGTGCTGTGGAGCAACTGCGCACCCACGTCAATAACTTGACGAAACTATCTCCTGACCAGAAACAGATCGAGCTGTTTGAGGGTGGATACGGAGGAGCAGACCTGGTTGCCAAGATCGCCACGGGAGCCATCAAATACGCCAAGCAGAACAACTTCGACATCGTCTTGCTCGACACCGCCGGAAGAAGACACAACGACACACAGCTGATGGCTCCGCTGGCGTCGTTTGCCAAGGCTGCAAACCCAGACAAAATCATCATGGTCGGCGAGGCCCTTGTGGGTACTGACTCCGTTCTGCAGGCCCAGAATTTCAACAAGGCCTTTGGGCCCAATAGACACCTCGACTTCTTCATTGTTTCCAAATGTGACACTGTCGGCGACCTGATTGGGTCCATGGTCAACTTGGTCTATGCGACGGGCATTCCTATTTTGTTTGTTGGAAATGGCCAAACGTACACCGATCTGCGCACCTTGAGCGTTGACTGGGCAGTCAGCATGCTTATGTCCTAATCGAATTCTCCCTCGCTGTCAGATATGTCGAAATTGAGTTCTGCCTCCTCAGCCTGCTGGTGGACTTGTGTGAGCCCCGTCAGCTGCTCCAGATACTTGGGATTTTCCAGTGCCTGCTTCACAAACTCCCAGCCACGTGATTTGAATTCCTGCACCACGGAGACGGAGCAAGCAGAGCAGTATCTGAAATTCTTGGCGCTCAGCTTGAGCATCTCGAAATTATGCAAGAATCCGCGCAACTGGTGCGGCAGCGATCCCAAAACGGTGCATGAGTCCTGAGCTGAGTGGGGTGCATACTGTCTGTCCGGATGCTGCAAAACGGAAACCATCAGCTCCACAGCCAATGACGCTGCCATCAGGGCGACTCCCGGCCGAGTCACCGTACACATTTGATCCAGTGTTCTGTCTGTGGTAGAGTCAGACGGAGCATACACGTCGTTGCAGAAATAACAGCCCAGTCGCGACTCCTGTTGCTCCTCTGGAAGTTTTTCAGGATTGATACACCCGTGTCGCATCACTAAATAGCTCTCGAATCCCAAAGCTGCGTTAATCACTAGCTTGTTGTTGACGTTTCCCATGACTGTCGGCAGCCATCTGGTTTCGCGCGAGTCCATCAAGAGGAATATCACGTCGTGATTTTGCACAAGCTCCCCCAACCTGTCGAAATCCAGTTTTTGTTTTGTCTCGTCAGTAATAGGATGTCCTGCCATAGGCACCTCCAATGTGAAACCCTGGGCATCTACTAAGGGAAAGATGCGCTTCATGTTTTCTGCCGCGGTTTCGGCCTTGGGACTGCCTCCGTCTAAGCAGTCAATAAAATTGAACAGCGGCTGTCGAACAGGATTGCTGAAAGACACCTTCCCGTTATCAACAAACGTAATCTTGCGTACTCCCCATGCCAACAGCGCGCGGCCGACGTATGACCCCAGAGTCCCCGATCCAAGTAGCAGACACTTGGTGGCCTTGATTCGGTCCAGATCGAGCGTAGGGACGATACGCCATTTCATGAGTTTGAGATTGAGGTCAATAGCTTGGTCTGCCAGCTGCGAAGGATCGATCAAGGCACCCAGATCGGCCAGTTTCGGGCCCAGTTTCCCCTGTGACGTGCGCTCCCAGCCTGATATCTTCGGACTGTCGACCGCAGATTGCAGTTTCAGAGCTATTTGGCGCGAAGAAGACTGGTTGTCGCGATGCACGTCCACCACCACGTCGCGGTAGCCATATATGGCAAGCATGGTCAGAAAATTGCGCAACACATAAGAATAAGCGTCTGGCACAGCAGAGGTGTCGACAAATGCAACATGCAAGGGCGAGTGTGTGGGAACGGCGTTCAATTGGGCGAGGGGAACAGGTTTGCCGTCTCTGATGAGCGAAAATTGCGAGTCTGGCGCATCTCCACCAAGGGGACCCTCAGACGTGATGTGCCATTCGGAGTGCAGGGTGGGGAAGGCGAACCAGTAGTAAAATTTGTACTTCTTGAGGTCTGCAAACGAGAAGACGGCAAAGTGGGCTAACAAGCTCGGATCCTGTAGCGCGGCTTTATTTTTGATAGAGTCGATTATCTTGCCCCCAGCCCGTGTGAGAAACTCCAGCTTGCTCTGCGATTTGAACTCCTCTAGCGTGTTGACGTTGGTGATTTCCCCGCTGACAATAAATGCAGAGCGCGCCGGCAGTTGGGACTCGAGTTCCTGGCCAGAGGCAAAACTGATATCGTTTAGATTAATCGCTGGAGCCTGTCCGGGGGCTAGCCGTTTGTAGTTGTAGTATCCGTGTATTGGGCGGGAGGATTGGTCCAGTTTCAAGACATCGAGCTTCAATTGCGAGAGTTTGACGAAAAAGGACGAGTCGACAAATGATTGGGTATTTATATATTTGGGTTCCATAAGAGATAGAAAATTAATAATCGTTCAAATATATTTTTAAAATAATTTGTATTTCATCATGTTTTCAAGACAATTTAAAACAACCCTCCCACGCCAGGGAATCCGGGCATTTTCCGTCTCGAGGGCCGCAAGACAGGTGGTTGAGGTCAGCTCGTTGTCCGAGTTCAAGGAGAAGGTGCTCTCGCAGAAGGCTGCATTTGTCGACTTCTACGCCTCCTGGTGCGCTCCATGTAAAACCATCTCCCCAGTGGTGGAGAAGCTGTCCGAGACCCACAAAGACGTCAAGTTCTTTAAAGTGGACGTGGACAACGCTCAGGACGTTGCGATGGAGTACGGAATCAGCGCAATGCCGACGTTCATCACCTTCAAAGACGGCGTGAAGGAAGGCCAGTTTGTGGGTGCCAGTCCTCAGGCCATCCAGCAGCTCGTGGTGGCTGCCAAACAGTGAGAGAATAAACTTGATAAGCTAGTATATATATTAACCAAGGTTCATCTCGTCCAGTTCATCTAACAACTCGTCAATGTCGATCTGAGGAGCGTCGTCCTCCTCCTCCATGTCGTCCTCCTCGACAGGCTTGTTCTCGGCCCTGTACAGGTTGACCGTCTTTCTGAGCTCCTGGTCCTCCTCCAGCTCCTGCAAGAACAGCTCGTAGTCTCTTTCGGCCTTCTCTGCCTCCTGTCTGGCCTGCCTTGAATCGACAATCTCGTCGGCAACAAGGTCCTTATGCTCATTGGCCATTCGCTTGAGCTTCCAGTTTCTGCGCTTCATACGCTTGTTCGAGCGCACGTAATGCTTCTTCACCAGCACCACGTCCGGAATCGTGTCGGTGTTGAGCTCGTCGAACAGCTCGTTGTTGAAGTTCGAGTTGGTGAGAAAGTAGCCCAGAGCAGAGTCTCCAGGGTGCAGGATTCCGCCCAAATGCGACCGCACATAGTACTCCTGGTCGTTCGAGCCCATGTCGCTGGCGCGGGCCACTGTGATGTCGGCCAGAAGCCATCTCCCGTTGCGCTGGCCCGTCGGCTCCACGTCGAGTACAATGAACTCCACCATCTGGGTAACATCTGCTAGAGCCACAAACGGCGTGCGCCAGAACACCTGTGCCAACAGGTCGCCGGTCTGCAGCGAGACAGGATCGATAAATTGCACCATGTTGCTCACCTTGGAGCACAGCACCAGCCGGGAGATGTCTCCCATAGACTTGGCCAGCTTCTTGGGCAGCACCACCAGGTCGTCCTTGCAGATGGGCACGATCTCGACGGAAAACGTGAATTTGTACTGCGAAGTGCCGGAATGAATGTCCTGACTGATCAGCTCCTCACTTTTCTTCGACTTGATCGGCACCACGCTATTGAGAAAATCGATCATCTTGGCGGCATGGTTCCGCTGCGAGTAGTAGAAGTCCAGTCCGTCCTTCGACTCCTTGATAGATATCGTGTCCATGTGCGCGTTATGTTTCAGAATCAGCTGCTCGAGGTACAAAAAAGTTCTTTTGTGCTGCACTTTCTGTCTGATCTGGACGGCAGCACGCCAGGTGTTGGCGGTGTACGACTTGGCACAGTCGGGACACTGCATAGCCACAACAACGTACTCCACCTCGAAACTCTGCTGGATGATCGTGTTCGTGAGCGCCTCGCCCTGGACGGTGAGTTTGATGCGGATTCTCCTGGAATGCGGCTCTGTCCAGATAAACGAGGCATCTATGAGTCTCACCTTGTTCAGACCTTTCAGTCTGCGCAGGCAGATAGCCAGCAGTTCTCTGCTCTCGAGCTCGGCTCGCATCCACTGCTGGGGCGGCTGCAAAAACCGCTCGCAGTTACGGCAAAAGGAGATGTTTGCCTCTCTAGGGATTCCTGCCGTGATGTCCACGTTCAACTTGATACAGTCGTAACACATGACAAGTCCAGTGGACCCGTCCATCGGCACACCACAGTTGCAGCACAGAACGGTGGCCTGCGGCTGCACAGCCTGGGGGGTGAGCTGGGTATAATTAGACATGAAAAGTTTAGTAAAAAAAACCTTAAAAAATTTATTTGTAATTTGAAATAAATTGTAGCACAGCCCTGACAAAAAATTTACATCTATCCACCTATGACCAACCTGCTGTCGTTACATGTCAAGAACCGCACGTCCGAAATCCGCGACATTCTCATGGCCGAGCGCACGACGCTCAGCTGGATCAAGTTTTGCTCCGTGCTGTCTTTGTCCGCGATGGCGGTGTGTTTCCGCACAGACGACTCGTTCGGCCGCGCCATGGGCCTCATCTTTGCCTGTCTCAGCCTCTTCACCCTCGTGCTCGCCCTCTTCAACTACCTGCGCTCGATCTATAGCTACAGGGCCCAGAAAACAGAAGTCACTAGCTCCGGCCTCACAGACACCTACCTCTCGCTGGTGATACTGGCGCTGCTGGGCATCAATATAGGCTTAATGGCCAAAGGAAGCGAAACAACGCTTGCTATATGAGCGCCAGAAAAATGAGCCCCAGCGCAAAAGGAGGTTTCATAGCCGTAACGCGGGCCGCTGCGCCTGTGGTGCCGCTATCTGCGGCCGACGACACCGCAGTCGACGACGCAACAGTGAAGCTGTTGCTCATGGCTGCATAGAATCCGCTAAAATCTGAATAACCCGTATAGTACGTGCTGTAGGCCTTCCAGACGTCCGACGCAACAGACTTGGCGTCGAAGCCGCTGCCGGTCGCCGCAAAGGTCAGAAACGTTACGTCCGGCGCCACGCTGTCCGTGTACACGAGCTCCTGGGTCGAGTGGTCCTTCGTGATGATGCTTACGTAAGCGCTCGGGTCCTGGACTTTGCAGTTGGAGTTGGTGTTGGTGTGGATGAAGGCGGCCTCCATGGAAAGACGGCTCGCGAAGGGCACTTTGGTGAACACGTACGAGTATGCTGCGTACGCGGAGCTGAGCTGGTCCGCTTTCAGCACGTTTTTGTCCTCGTACGCAACAAACATCTGCACGAGCTCGTCGTCTTCGTTATCGATCACAAAGCGTTCCCACTGCGCCACGTTGTACTGCATGTCGTCGTTGATGGCGAGGAGCATTTCCTGTCGTGAAAAAGCTGCTGCGAGGCCTGCGAGGCCGGCAACCGTGCTAGCTAGCAAGCGGTGCATAATAGGAGAAATAAATTATTTTAGAGAAATTGAAGCCACACCTGGTAGCCAGATCTGGCAGCCAGATCGACAGCAAGACTGCGGCCAGCGCGCGGTACCAAGCACAAACACACTAATGCTACAAGCAGCGGGGTGCACAGAGACTCTCCAGGTCTCCCGGCACAATAGGTGTGTTTAGTAGTGCCAGGAGCGAGGTAGAGGAAATGTATATTTTTTTACCTATTATTATTGTTATGCTTTCTAACATCAAGGTTTATGTACGGTGCCGGGCACGCAACGAGCGCGAGGTGGCCGAGAACGCGGGGGTTGTGGTGTCTGTGCCGTCGCGAGAGCAGATTGCTGTGTGTTCGGGCACGCACCAGCGCACGTACGCGTTTGACCGCGTATTTGGCGCAGAGAGCGACCAGGAATCGATTTTCGAGACGGTGGCGGAGCCGATGCTCGCGCAGATCTTGGCGGGCTACAATTGCACTGTGTTTGCGTACGGGCAGACCGGCACGGGCAAGACGCACACGATGGTGGGCGATCTGGGCGTGCACCACAACAGGCTGTCCACAGACGCGGGGATCATCCCGCGCTCTGTGCACAAGCTATTCGAGCGCCTCAAGAGCGTTCCGGACTACTCCGTGAAGGTGTCGTTTATAGAGCTCTACAACGAGAATATCCGGGACCTGCTGGGCGACGAGTCGCGCCCGCTCAAGATATTCGACGACGTGGGCAAAAAGGGAGTTCTGGTGCAGGGGATCCACGAGATGTACATCCGGACGGCGGCGGAAGGGCTGCGGCTGGCAGCGCAGGGGTCTGAGCGGCGCAAAGTGGCGAGCACGCGGTGCAACGACCTCTCGTCGCGGTCGCACACGGTGTTTTCCATCACGGTGCACATGCGCACGCAGGACTCGTACAAGATGGGCGGCGAGGAGTTTGTCAAGGTGGGCAAGCTGAACCTGGTGGATCTGGGTGGGTCCGAGAACATCTCGCGGTCCGGCGCGACCAACCAGCGCGCCAAGGAGGCCGGCATGATCAACCAGTCGCTGCTGACGCTAGGGCGTGTGATCAACGCGCTCGTGGCCAACTCGCCGCACATCCCGTACCGCGAGTCGAAGCTGACGCGGCTGTTACAGGACTCACTAGGCGGACGCACCTGCACGAGCATCATCGCGACGCTGTCGCCGGCGAAAACGTCGCTCGAGGAGACGCTGAGCACGCTGGAGTACGCACACACGGCAAAAAGCATCCGCAACAAGCCGCAAGTCAACGAGGTCGTCAACAAGAAAACGCTCATCAGTGAGTACATGGACGAGATCGAGCGGCTCACCAGAGACCTGAACGCCGCGCGCACGCAGAACGGCGTGTACCTGGACGAGGCCAGCTACGAGCAGCTGTGCCGCGAAAGCGAGAGTCGCCGGATCCGCGTGGAGGAGCTCGAGGCGCGCGTGGGCGGCCAGCAGGACCGGTTCGAGCGCGCCCGCGAGCGCATAGATGCGCTGGAGAAGCAGCTGGAGCAGGAGCATGCCGCGAAACAGCTTGTCGAGGATCGATTAGTCCAGGCGGTAGCAGAGACAAAGCAGCTGCAAAGCCTGCTCAGAGCTTACACAAAGACCAGTGTCGACGCAGCTGCGTTCGAGGATGAGCTGCGCACGCTCCAGAGCCATCGCGGCGGTCTCGTGAACTGGCTGGACTCCAACCAGCACCGCTGGAAGCATACACGGGGGCACGTGACCGCCTTTGCGCAGCAGCTGGACGGGTCGCTTGCGGACGCTGCTGCTGCGACCTCGGACGAGCTGGGAGCATTGTGGGACGCCATAAGAGGTGATCTGGCTGCCGTGGCAGCAGACATGTCGCGGGTGAGCTCGTCGTCGGTGGCGCAGCTGCGAGCACGGTGCGTGGAGTCACGTGATGATTTTGAGGCGCGGTTGGGTGTTCTGGACGGCGGTGTGCACGAGCGACTGGGAGCCGTTGCGCGCGACGTCACGGCGGCATTCCAACTGTTTCTGGAGCGGCTGGGTGCGGACCGGGAGCTGGTAGCATCTCTCAAGGAGGAGTTGCGCGAGAGAGACGGTCAGGTTATGAGTATGCAAGCGGAGCTGAAAAAGTATGTGGAGAACGCGTTGGCGCAGCATCGGACGGTACTGGATCAGGAAAACGAGGAGCTGGTGAGGCTGGTGAGGCAAACTGTCGAGCAGCAGGCCGGCAGACACAGGGCATCGCTGGACAGCGTGGCAGAGCACGTGACTGGCGTGTTTGAGGCAATGGAGCAGGCGCGCCGCAATCGGCCGGACGTTTTGGCAGAAGTGGACACGAAGTTGGCCGACGCGGAGACTTGTGTTGCTGCTCAGCGCGATACAGTGCAGCAGCGGCTGGACGGCTGGCACGTCACCGAGTGGGAGAAGACATTGGCGCGGTTCCGAGACGAGTTTACTGCATGGGACGACGAGCGGCTGGAGCAGGTCGACGAAGTCTCGCGCAAGCTATGCGAGAACCTGGGACGTTTAGAAGCGTGTGTGCGCGAGCTGGAAACGAGATTTGGCTCGACAGTTGATTTGCGCGTGCGCGGGCTGCACGAACTACGGACGCAGTGTAACGGTGCTTTACGGGACCTGAATGCGGAACTGGAGGAGGGCGTTGTGGGCTGTGAGGTTCTGGATGGCCAGTCGAAGATGCAGGAGACAAAGATCTTTGAGGCGATTACGCGGTGCGGCCAGCTGAGCAGTGCGGTGGCTGCTGTGCACGACGATCTGGCTGCCAAGCTGGTGCAACTTGAGGAGGCCATTGGCGGCGAAAAGACGCCGTTGAAACGCTCCTGGAACGACGATAAGGAGAACGTGCTGCCAGCGCGCAAGGAGCGGGTGCTGGGGGTGAAAGACGGCAACGCAAGGAGTGTCGTATAGCAGCATGAGTTGCTAGCGCGCACCCCTGCACTGGCTCGTTTATATCGTATTTTTGAAAAACCGAAGCGCACGACCTGCATATATATTTTAGCATTTGTGTATCTCAAAAAGTTAAACACGCCTGATGAGTTCCAAGTAAGTAGTAAATGACATCAAGCTAACCAGCCAGGGTCTTTGCCGACACTGCCGTTCACATTGCCGCTAAAGAGACGTTTTTTCAAACGTACCAGGAAGTCCGCAAAGTCCAGGGCCTGAACTCTCTGGAGCAGCTCTGGGCCGCGTATTACACATATCTGGGAAACGACATCTTTGCCACCGGACTACTGTTTTTCTGTTTGCACGAGCTGATGTATTTTGGCCGCTCGCTGCCCTGGTTCATAATAGATCGCATCCCGTACTTCAGAAAGTACAAGATCCAGGACGCCAAGCTGCCTTCCAACAAAGAGCAATGGGAGTGTCTCAAGTCTGTTCTAATTTCGCATTTCATGGTGGAGGCGTTTCCTATCTGGTTTTTCCATCCCGTGTGTGAAAAGATCGGAATCAGCTACGAGGTGCCATTCCCTTCGCTCAAGACCATGTTCTTGCAGGTGTCCATTTTCTTCCTGCTCGAGGACGCTTGGCATTATTGGTTCCACAGAGGACTGCACTACGGCTCGTTCTACAAGTACATTCACAAGCAGCACCACCGGTACGCTGCTCCGTTCGGTCTTGCCGCAGAGTATGCCCACCCGATCGAGGTGATGCTGCTTGGGTTTGGCACCGTGGGCATCCCGATCGTGTGGTGCTACTTTACAAGAAACCTCCACTTGTTCACGATCTGTATCTGGATCACGCTCCGACTGTACCAGGCTGTGGACGCCCACTCTGGATACGAGTTCCCGTGGTCGCTGCACCACTTTTTGCCGATCTGGGCTGGGGCAGACCACCATGACGAGCACCATCACCACTTCATCGGCAACTACGCCTCGTCGTTCCGGATGTGGGACTTTTTCTTGGATACCGAGGCCGGCAACACGGCGAAGCTGAACCGCGAGAGAAAGGCAAAGCTGAGGGGCGAGAAGAAGGCCAAGCTGAAGGAGTAAGCTATCTGCCCGTGTTTAACATTGGCAGCACATATTGGAAAATCACAGATGGAAAAAAAACGATGAAAAATTCAAGGTGAAAAATAAAGAGATAGAAAATAGAGTATTCTCTTCGCCTGAGCATTGTAAGTATCTCGCTGATGATAAACTCACAGACCTGTACCGACGTTTGAGGAGGAAACATATTGCCTTTACTGAGGGATGCTAACCTTTAGATCGTGTTTTATAGTAATAAAAGCTAATTGAGAAGCATAGTAAAAATGGACAAAGGGTGAAAGGACATCCGGAAGCCTCGAGTATTGAGAAGGCTTGAATCCTCGCCAGCCATTGCCAAGATGCAGTTTGACTTTTTGCCCTACTAATTGATTTTCTTTGACTAAATTCAATTATTTATCATACTGATCGCTTATTTCTTAGCAGTCAATCTTCTGAGGTAGAAGGCCAACTCCTCACCCTCCAAAATGTAACCGTCACATCTTCCAGATTGGCCTGGTCTGGACGAAATGCAAGCGTACAGCTTACCAGATCCGAACTGCGAAGAAACAGCAGGCTCGATCTTGGCGTCACCAGCACGGGCAGCAAGCTTTCTCTGCAACTTGTTGCTCTTCTTGACTTCTTCCTCAGCAGCCTTGGTCTTCTTTCCAAGGGTAACACCGTAATGTTGCTCGAAATATTGCTTGAAAGGAGTAGCGTCGATTTGGACGATGGCAGACTTGGTCAATGTGTTGGTTCTCACCAATTCGTTATTGGATGGGTGGTACACCACACCGGAAACTCTGGTCTTTCTAGAAATTCCCTCAGAGGCCCACGAGAAGTTACCAGTCTCGATTCTCAAAGCTCTGTACTTGACATTTCCACCTCTGGTTCTGACGGCGTGGATTCTCTTGGTACCGATCTTGGTGTTAGCACCTTGTCTTCCCAACTCAAACTTTCTCTTCTTTCTGAACTGGGCTCTTTTAGCACCGGTAGCAGCTCTCTTGTGACGAGAATCCCTGGAAATACCCATGTTGATAATTGAAAAATAAAAAAATGGATGAGAATTTTTAAGTATCGAACACCAGCTAACAAGCCAGCCCGGTACGACGTCACGTGGCCAGGTGTCTCTAAATTTTTTTCCCCCTACACCGCCTAGTTTGAAATATTTTTCTGCTTTACATAATCATGTCCGAAACTATTACAGTCTACGACCAGATCGAAATAGAGGACTTCGTGTTCGACCCTACGCAGAGGATCTTCACATACCCCTGTCCCTGCGGTGACCGTTTTCAGATCGGTCTCGACGACATGCTCGATGGGGAGGACATCGCTGTGTGTCCGTCCTGTTCGCTCATGGTCAAGATCATCTTTGACGAGGAGGACCTGGCCGAATACGTCGACAGCTAGTCTCCCAAATCATCTTGATGTACCTCCGGCCATCTTGATCACCACACCAAGTACCACTGCCAACAGCACATATATGCCCCATCCGTTTTCCCCGTGACCGCTTTGTTCGCTGTGGGCTTTGATCTGTCTCGCCCTGATCTGGTCCTCTGGGTCCAGAACTGCCGGTTTTTCCTGCTCCGTCGTTGCAGGCTCCGGCTCCTTGTATGTACGATTTTCTTGGGCCAGGTCTGCAAAGATCTCAACAAAACGCGGGTCGCCCAGATTGTATTCTCTCGATTTTAATGCCAATTGTCGCCTAGTTCGCTCCGACGTCACCACGCTTCCTGTAGTCTGCTCCTCGCTGGTCATGAACGACAGCAGCCCGGTTACTATTGTAGCCACCGACCACGACGGGTTCCACGTATCCTCGTGGAAATCGCTCATGCTGAGACAGATCCGGGTGTTCACTTGAAACCTGCCGGACGGCGTCAGCATTTTGATTGCTGGCGGGCGGAAGGGATAGTCCGGAGGGAAAATCACTAAGCCATGATACTGCCCATTTTCGTAGGGAGTGCCCGGAGGCCCTGTTATCACGTAGTGCCATTCCAGGATGTTCTCCTCGCTTGGTCTGCACAGAATGTATGGGGGCGGATTTTCCCGGATCTGCTTATATTCTTTTGTCAACCGCTTGTATGCCTGTTTGGATGCCATAAAGTGGGAAATTATTTAATTAAAATAAATTTAATAAATGTCGCTTCAAAAGCCCCCAAACTCGATCAAGATTATCGCGGGCAACTCGCATCCACAGTTCGCAGAGCAAATAGCAGGCTACCTGAACTTGCAAATAGCAGACATCCACGTGATCGATTTTGCGAACCAGGAAAGCGCGGTGCTGGTAAAGGAAAGTATCCGGGATGAAGACGTGTACATCATCCAGACCGGATGTGGAGGACCGGAGAAACTGAACGATCATTTGATGGAACTTCTCTTCATGATCCACGCCTGTAAGGCGGCATCTGCACGGAGAATCACTGCAGTGGTTCCGAATTTTCCCTACGCGAGACAAGACAGGAAAGACAAAAGCAGAGTGGCCATTTCGGCGAAGCTTGTTGCAAACCTGCTGGTGACTGCTGGCTGTCATCATGTTATTACGATGGACTTGCATGCGTCGCAGATCCAAGGTTTTTTCAACATCCCTGTGGACAATCTATATGCGGAACCCGAGGTGCTTAAGTACGTCAAACTGAAGCTCGGGACATCAGACTTAATAATGGTGTCGCCCGATGCCGGTGGGGCAAAGAGAGTTGCGTCATTGGCTGACAAGTTGGACACGCCGTTTGCATTAATTCACAAGGAGCGGGCTAAGGCCAACGAGGTGAGCCGCATGGTGCTGGTGGGAGACGTAAAGGGCAAAGTGTGTGTGCTGGTCGACGACATGGCTGATACATGCGGTACATTGTGTAAGGCGTCAGATCTGCTACTCGAAAGGGGGGCCAGATCTGTGATTGCCATAGTGACACACGGCATCTTTAGTGGTCAGGCCCTTGCGAGAATCAACCAAGGGTCGCTGGCGAAGATCGTTTGCACGAACTCAATGCCGCTGTCCAACGTGGCAGAAGCATCCGGGAAGCTGGAAATCATTGACATAAGCCCGACATTGGCCGAGGCCATCAGACGTCTTCACAATGGAGAGTCTGTGTCCTACTTGTTTAATAACCCTGTTTAATACACTGTCATGTGACCTGACGCACTCGATACATGTACTCGTAGATGTGGGAAAATAAAGTTTTTCGGTACTACGTATTCACCGTCGAATCCAATCACAAGGGGATATCTTTTCGCGTTTTCTGACTATCGAATAATCACGAACAAGAGAAAACAACTTCGAGCGGCTTTTCTAGGCAGTAAACGCAAAATACGTGCAGGCGCGCTATTCCTTTGCAGTTGCCGAAGTGCATCCTTGCTGATGATCCTTTTGTGGTAGGCAGTGCATTAAACACGATATGCACTCGAAACAAACTGCGGGCCTGAATAGGAGGAGCCTTCAGTTTAAAAGGGGCCATGGCACCTGACGGTAGCTGCCGTGCGAGCAATGCTGGTAGTTGGCCAATAGAGTTCCCGCCCCTTTCCCTCACAACTGCTCTTGCCGCACAGCCGCCAAATTTGACACATCGACCGATCACGTACACGAGAATGCCATCATGTACGTGCAATACATAGCACCCAAATCTCGGTCTTCGCTCTCTAGCCCGTAATAGTAGCCGCTCCAAAACATAACAATCGGACGCATGTTTGACATCCGATTTTGGCAGTGTTTTCCTATTGATCTGCTTGTATCTGCCCCCTCCCCCAATAGCCTGAATGTACCATCGGTTCCTTTGTCTGGTCTTTGATACAGTCGTGCCTTCCACCAATAATGAACTGCCTTGTTCATCGACAAGACCCCCGTGTATTCAATTATTTCGATATGCACATGCACCTATGTTGCATAAACAATGCATCATTTAATAAATTGTTGAAACTGATTGAAAATTTGACAAGGTTTAGCAATGTATAGGACCCATATTGACCGCTCTTGACGAACGAATAAAAATTCACGGAAGTCGGAGTGAACATTAAATATTAGAGACTCAGCCATCTAGGTCATCTCCTAGAATCGTCTTCTGCATACGAAGACGTTGATTAAACCTGCTGTTTTGGTTTTCATGCACTAGTCGCTCATGCCTTTGTAGAGAATCTTTCCTTCTGAACTTCTTACCGCATCCTTCTCTCGGACACACATTCGGCTTCTTTTTCTTCGGATCGACCTCACTCTCGTTGTTTTTGGGCTTCGACAGAGTCCGGACGTCAGGTTCGATGCCCTCTTGGAACTTAAGTCGTAGCAAATTCTCCAGTGTCTCTGAGTGTTGCGACAAACAATGACGTCTAAGCTCAGGTTTCCTAGGAAGCCCTATAATTCTGTACGGACAGTCTTTCACAGGACACTTGTTGGATCTCACAAGCTTGTACTTTTCCAAATGAAGGATAAAGCTCTCCACGGTGTTGAACTGCTCGGTGCAGTGGCTGCACTTGTACGAGCTCCCCTTTTTCGGAACCGAGTTCAGCAGCTCCCACAATGAGGAGTCTTTTTGCAACTGTTCAACCTGCGACAGTGCGGACTCCTCAGAGTCCAGCAACACATTTTTGGGTAGAGAACGTCTTTGGTCCCGCGCTTTGAAAGTAGTTTGCGTGTCTTCGAATGAAAGCGATTTAGAGCGTTTCAACAAGGAACTGGAGCGGTCTTCCAACTGGAACTGCGGAGCCGGCCACCCGAACCCCATGATGGCGGGCTGTTGGTATTGATGGGGCTGTGCATGCGGAGCTTCTGTCTCATCCTTCTTGATGTCGAAGATTAGATCGGCAGCGCTGCTTGGCTTGTCGCTGAAGGACGAGTCGGGTGTAAATTGTTGTCTTGGATAGTTAGGGGATTGGTACGAGTAGTGGGCCTGTGCCTGTGCTAGCGGGTTTGCATTGAACTGCTGAAAATGACCTATTTGAAAGGGGGCAATTGAAGAGTATGATGAATATTGCGTCTGTTGCGGGAAGCCATTAGCATATGGGACGAAGTAGCCAGCCTGGTCTAGGAAGTTTGGCTCTTGCTGCTGCTGATAATGGTGCACTGAAAAGTTATGCTGATCATATGGTGATTGCCAAGTGGGAATCTGTTTTTCATCAGACATTAGCATTGTCCCACGTCTACGAAAGCGCACTTTCAGAATGCAATTTAAAGGTCAGGAGCGTAAAGTGTAATGACGGGAAAATGCAGTGATGCATGGATGCCTATCAGGAGGCAACTAAAGAGTAAGTATTCAACAAGGAAGTTCGATAAAGAGGGAAGAAATGATCGCTTATAAATAGGGTACGGGAAATGCACGAAAAAAAAGCCAATCTATGCGCGTTCAGAACTGTAATTTATTCCTACATGCACACATTGGATGCGATACATCGTTCTCTGGTGCAGCCGCCGCAAGACGGCGGCTTATCTTCGTATGCGCTCCTACCACACTGATCCCACTGCTATGCAAACTGATTTTTATTCGCAACATCCATGCTACATCTGGTTATGCAAGGCAATGCAGCCGCAGCGGCAATCTTCACACACAAAGAGTATGCCACGAGTACATGATCCTCAATTGTCTGGCGACTTGAGAATTCCAAGCACTTCAGTCGAATGTCCTTCTTTTGCGTTCACTGTTCATGTTAGCGCTGCGTTTCGCAAGGTCTGCCCAGCAGCTAGCTTTTGCCAAGTCTTTCTCGCATCCAATTCCCAGCTCATAAAATCGCTGCAACAAAAGCATCGCCTTCACCATTCCACACCCAGCTGCACGTAGAGCCCATGCAAATGCCTCATCGTAGTCCTGCTTCAAATTGTCGCTACCGACAAAATACCACGAACATAATCCCATCATGCCGTCCACATCCCCACTGCTCGCTGCCATGTTATAAAAGTGTATCGATAAGTCGGCGTTCGGCTCCACAAGCTTGCCCACCTCGTACAACTTGCCAAGCAACGAGGCTGACTTTGCGTGTCCTAGGGACGCCGCATGGAAAAACAGCTTGATGGCATACTTGGTGTCTTGGATCACAATGTCTCTGAATCCATTGAGAAAGATCATACCCAGCTCATACGGCGCGCCACAGGACAGCTCGGAAGCTACCTCGGTAGCTCGCTTCAACCAGCTGATTCCCTGTCTCTTTGTGATTATGTCATCAGGAAGCCCCATCAGGCCTTTGAAACAGTAGATTCCGTACTCCATCATGGCGACCGGGTGATTGTTCAATGCGGCGATCTCGAGAAACTTGACAACTTTCCGGGAATCTGGGGAGCAGCCCCAACCTTTACGGTAGCACACCGCAGTTCTATACGCCCCCTCTGCATGTCGGGCCTTTCCGGCTGCTTCGAAGTAGCTGAGGGCTTTTGAATCGTCGGACTTGCCAAACATTCCCACTGCATAAGAGTCGCCCAGAAAGTACTGTGCGTCAACGCACCCACCGCGCGAGCTTCGCTTCAACAGATCGTGGGCTTCCAGTAGATACTCTTTTCGCTTTTTCGTTTCCGCGGCATCGTCGGGCTTCATTGTGAGCCCGTTGCGCACCAGAATTTGGGCATACGAAAACTGAACTTCGGGGTCTCGTATCTTCTTTGCGTTGCGCCCGTACAGTTCCAGCACTTTGTCGGTCGACACCAGCGAGACCGAGCAGGGCCCCAGCGTGTGCTGCAAAAAATCATGCGAGTCTGTGGCATTGGAAAGATGCATTATGGGTGACATGATGTGGTTCTGCGTAAATATCTCGGCTTTGGGGGTAAAGCTTAGATGGCTGGGTATTGACCTTTCTGAGAATGTTTCCGAGTCCTCTTTTCTCAGACCCAGAGGCGATTCAGGGTTTGAAGGGCTTCTCACCGGTTTGGCTGGCGTTTTGGGTACTGTTTTCTGCGGCGCCTCTGGCTCGCTCGACACAGACAGTGAGGCAAACATATCGTGACTTTGCGTGTGGCTGTCGAGCTCGGCAGACGGCGGTAAGGGCCCCGAGCCTGAGCACGACGCCAGCGTCTGCTGCGCACTGACAAACGAGTTTTGCAGGCTTTCCTTGGAGCTGCTGGCCGTGTAGCCAGGGCTGGAGTGCGGGTATGAGGGGGGCTGCATGGGTAACGGAGATGTGTGCGTGGAGGTGTTTTTGTGGCAGACATCGGGGCTGTTTGTCTGCTCATTGCTCATCGCGAAATAGTTACCGCTAAGAAAAAAGGGTAAAAAGAGGAGCGATTTTTTGGGCCTTATATAGGCAGACGACCAGTCCGGGATCAGAAGCAGATGAAAAGCCGACTGCAGGTCCCCTGGAGGTCCATCACATGTCGATGGAGATTCGATGACAGCCAGATCAAATCCTGGTTCACGTGATGAGCTGAGGGCTGGGTATCCGCGTTATTAAATAGAGTTTCCATGTAAGACAAAGCCGTGCAAACTTTGGCGGGGGGCAGAAGAGTTGAGCCATCCACAGCTCCTCTGGTCTGTGTCTGAGGCAATCTGTCGTGTTTGTTTATTTTTATCGGTGTGCCCCCCCCACCCACCCTACCAACAGATATGCCCCACGCTTATACAACACCCCACACCTCGAATTTTCTTTCCATTTTCACCATGTTCAGGAAGTGGAAGGCAGACAAGTCCAAGCGGGACACGGCGCCGCCGCCGAGCGAGAACGACTCGGAATCCTTGAAGGCCGACTACACCCATGTGGAGAGCGCGCCGGCGCCCGAAGACCCGCTCGATCCCGCGCTCGAGTATGCTGTTGTGGATCCTGCTCAGCCCAACATGCCCTACGGCGACGGCTCGGACAAGGTGTTTGGCATGGAGAACTTTGGGTACACCTGCTACATTGCGTCGATCTTGCAGACGCTATATTACACCACCTCGTTCCGCCACCAAATTTTGGCCTTCCCGGAACGCGATGCAGCACACCCACGCAAGCGGAAACTACGAGTCCACGGCCACAAACCGCACGCGTTTCTTTCCTCGCTCGCCCCCACGCCGTCCACAAACGGCTCGGCCGCCGCCTCGACGCCGGGATCTAGTGGATCGACAACTCCGCAAAACTCCAAGGTGCGCAGTTTGTTCAAGCCCGGCCCGCCCCAGTCTGCTCCGTCCACCGCGGGAAACACCGACAGAGACCCCAAAACCGACCTCAACAACCCAGAGCTACAGAATCTGCTTGTGGCAAAATACCCCGAGTACGCCAATCTCGACATCCACTATTCCTTGAACCAGCAGAGAAATATCACCCTCGTGGGCGTCACAGAAAATCAGGCAGCCACCAGCGAGCAGCGCAAGCGACAGGCGCTGGTCCGCGGGCCGATCATAAATCTGGACCACTCGTACGCAGACCAGTACGGCATGTCGGAAACGATATTCACCGCCTTGAAGGACGTTTTCGAGTGTATCACCGAAAATGTGTCGAAAGTGGGGATTGTGTCTGCGCAGCAGCTCGTCGAGGTGGTGAAGAAAGAGAACGAGATGTTCCGCAGCTCCATGCACCAGGATGCCCACGAATTCCTGAATTTCCTCCTCAACAACGTGATCGAGGCTCTAGACAATTACTGCAACGCGACCGGAGCGGAAACAGATATCCATCGTCTTTTCGAGGGCCTGCTAACGAGCGAGACGAAATGTCTGTCGTGCGAGACGGTTTCCACTCGCGACGAGCTCTTCCTCGACCTTTCGATCGACCTGCAACCAAACACTTCCATAACGCACTGCCTAAAAATGTTCTCGCAGAGCGAGATGCTCACAGAGTCCAACAAGTTCTACTGCGAGTCGTGCCACTCGCTACAGGAGGCAGCCAAGACCATAAAGCTCAAGAAGCTGCCCAAGATCCTGGCATTGCACCTCAAACGGTTCAAGTACGCCGAGGAGCTGGGCAGAAACGTCAAGCTCTTCTACCGCGTCGAGTACACCAAAACGCTGCGCATCTTCAACACGACAGAGGGCTCCGCATACGCCGACAAGATGTACGAGCTGTATGCTGTCGTGGTGCACATCGGCGGGGGCCCGTCGCACGGACACTACGTGGCGATCGTGAAGACGGACCGCTTTGGCTGGCTTCTTTTCGACGACGAGACGGTCGAATGCGTGGACGAGAACTTTGTGTACCGTTTCTTTGGCGACGGGCCGGGCCTTGCAACGGCGTATCTGCTGTTCTACCGCGAGGTGGAAAATGAGGACGAATTTATCGACAGTCTGCTGTACAACGGCCTGGCTACCTCCGAAAACGAGGAGCTCGACACCAGCGCGTACCACAGGGTGTCTGTGCCGGAGGTGGCGCCCGAAAGCGAGGCGAATGGAGATGTGGCGCCAGAGAAGGAGAAGCCTGACAAACAGGAGAGGAAGAAACGTGTATTTGGGTTCAAGCTGGGCAAGGGCTGAGCGACGCGTCGCCGACGGTGACTCGCGACGAAATGTTTTATTGCGATCAAAAATAATCTCCAGACAATGACAAGTGCGCTCTTGCTGGCCGTGCTAGCCACGCTTTTTTGCCGCGCCCATGCCGGCTTCGAGGAAGGCGCCGACGAAGACACGTCGTATCTGGCTGCTGTGGCGCAGAACGTGAACAAGACGTTAATTTTCCACTGGCTAATATCGGTATTGTTGCTCGTTGTTGTTCCGTCGGTTGGCGCTGTTTTTGTGCTCGCGGGCCGTCTCGCCACAGGCGTCTCGATCCAGGCGTTGTGTGCCGTGTACGCCGCGGTTGAGGCCCTGATCCTGCGGTTTCCGGACCCCAGCGGCGAGGAGAACGTGACAAGCCGCGGAACAGCGTGGTTTCTGGCCTTCTTCTACTGTGTCACGCTTCTCTTGGGCAGCGTGGCCACGGGCTCGCCGCTCCTGGCGGACAAAATCGGCTTTGTCGGCCCCAAAATCGCCAACGTCGTCTACAAAGTGTTTTCTGTGCTGCTGGTGCTGTGCGGGTTCCTGAAAAGCGGCATGGCCGTCGTGTCTGCGCTCGGGTTCTGCTATGGCCTGCACACGGGGCAGTGCAACGCGCACGGGATCATGGGCACCGCCTTCATCGGCTACGGGTTCCTGCTCAGCATGGTGCTCGTGGTGCCGTGGCTGCGCCACGGCGACGGCCAGAAACACTCGCAGGAGTTCTACGACTCCCTCATGATCACCGTCTGGGGAATCATCAACACGTTCACGGAACACAGGCCCTGGGAGCCCTGGTCCCACGGAGACTACCAGCACACCAGCATGGGCATCATCTTCTGGGCGTGCGGAATGCTCGGAATCTGGCTGTCCCGCAATAATCGCCGCAACCCGATGCCTGCGCTCACTCTCATGTTCACCGCGTACGCCATGTCGCAGCACGCCCAGCATATGCAAATCTCCACCAAAGTGCACGCTTTCTTTGGCTGGGTCCTGATGCTGGGCGGGTTTGCGCGCATCTGGGAGATCACGTTCCTGCTCCAGGACCGGCGGTGCCACCCGTCCGGCAAAATCATCTCTTTTCAGTATCTGCCTCCATTTTCGCTGGTGTTGGCGGGAATAACCTTTATGGGCGCCAACGAGGAGCAGCTGAAGCTCGTGGTGGACATGGGCGCTGACCACTCGTCGTATGTGCTGATACTTGCCAGCGCCGCGTGTCTGGTAGAGCTGTGGTTCCTGGGCCTTTTGGAGCTGTACTTGCGACTCGTTGGCTACACCATCTACGACCAAAACCACTACGACGCGATCCCGCCACCGCCGACAGACGAGTTTGAGCTGCATGACTTCAATGATCTTGAGTCCAACCGCGAGACTCCAAGCGAGCAGTAATTTGGACCATTACATTTCACTTGTATCTGGTTGGATGGCCAGCTGCCAAAAAATACGTGCACGTCCTAGATAGGCAAAAATAAGAAATAAAGCTAAAAAAAAAAGTATTTGTATGAGTGCCATCTTATCTGCAGATGATCTGAACGACTTCATCACGCCTGGAGTGGCGTGTGTGAAGCCGGCGGAGTCGTCGAACACCAGGAACGCAGACGGCCGCGGCCCGGTGGATATCCAGATCGACGCACAGGGCAACGCCCTCGAGGTTGAAATCGACGGATCCAGCTCGCGGCTCCAGGAGGCACAGATATCGCTGGCTGACTGTCTGGCGTGCTCTGGCTGCATCACCTCGGCCGAAGAGGTGCTTGTTGCGCAGCACTCCCACAAGGAACTGATCAACGCGCTCAAGCAAGACCGGCACAACAAAAAGTTTGTCATGAGCATTAGTCATCAGTCGAGAGCCTCTTTGGCAGCGGCACTGAAGCTGACGATCGAGCAGGTCGACAAGATGCTGATCCATCTATTTGTGAACCACCTGGGATTTGTCAGCGTGGTAGGCACGGGGCTGGGCCGTGTGATAGCAACCGACACACTGACGCACGAGATAGTCGAGAGCAAGCAGAATGGCTCGCAGGGGCCTGTGCTCACCTCCATCTGTCCCGGCTGGGTGCTCTATGCCGAGAAGACTCATCCACACATCTTGCCGAAACTTAGCACGGTCAAGTCGCCGCAGCAGATCACCGGCTGCATTTTCAAGAGACTGGTAGGCCGACAATATGGTTGTTCGCTGGACCAGGTGTACCATCTGTCGATCATGCCGTGCTTTGACAAGAAGCTGGAGGCCGCGCGGCCGGAGCACGAGACGCCTGGGGAGGCGCCTGACGTAGACTGTGTGATCACACCGAGAGAGCTCATTCAGCTACTGCAGGACGAGAACATTAACATAGACAAGATTATCAAGGAGGTTGAGCACGACGCGACCCCGATCTCGCACATCTATGAGCAGTATGCGCCCCGGGACTGGCCCGATGCGGAGGCGGCATGGCTCAACTGCGAAGGCTCGTCGTCAGGAGGGTATGCGCTCCAGTATTTATTGCACTTGCAAAAAAAGCACGAAAACACAGAGATCAGGACGATAAACGGCAGAAACCCGGACATTTACGAGCTGCGGCTTGTGAGCGGGTCCGAGGTGCTAGCCACGGCGGGCGTGGTGAACGGATTCAAGAACATCCAAAATTTGGTGCGCAAGCTCAAAAATGGTAGCACCAGAATGGGCGGTAGACTGGCGGCGAGACGACGCGCGCGCATGGCCCAGGACGCGGGCGAGAAGCAGGAAACAGGCCCGGAGGTGCACAAGTGCGACCTTGTCGAGGTGATGGCGTGTCCCGGGGGGTGCATCAACGGCGGCGGACAGATCAGCGGGCCGGCAGAGGTTGCATCCAAAGACTGGGTCGAGCAGGTCCGACACCTCTACACCAGCATTTCGGTGGCCGGAGTTCTCACCAGTAGGGTGCGAAACTGGCTTGACTCATTTGAGGAGGAGTTTGGGCTGAGCGACGAGCGCACGACGCGGACCCGTTTCAAGGCGGTGGAGAAACCAACAGACACGACGTCTATCGCTCTTGGGTCTCGCTGGTAGACGCAGAATTTGTAATCGCGGAGTAGCCGGTTGGAGATACCGCTTTTCTGCGCCACAAGTCCGAGTATCCCCGAGGCGGCGTGGCCTCAGGACTACTCTGTTCCGGAGTACACATGTGGCGGTGCAGGCCCAATTTTTTTCATAGATTAGTTACCAACGCCGTGGCGGTGCACAGTTCGAGAGGACCGCTTGCTTATTTAAAAAACCTACGAAAAGTCGTTTGTGGCGAATAGTATACTGACTTGTGATTTTCCGTCATGTCTTCTACAGTCGAGTTTAAAGAGGACACAGTGATTGTTGTTTTCGGCGCTTCTGGCGACCTCGCCAAGAAAAAAACGTTTCCGGCCCTGTTTGGACTGTTCAGGGAAGGATTCCTATCCAGTAGCACCCGGATCATTGGCTATGCCCGGTCGAAGCTCACTGAAGAGGAATTGAGGACGAGAATCAAGCCTTATTTCAAGACTCCGACCGAAAAGTCCAAGGCCCAAGTGGACGAGTTTCTCAAGATGGTGACCTATATCTCCGGGCCATACGACACTCCGGAGGGCTACCAGAAGCTGAACTCGACGATTGAGGAATATGACGCTGCCAGCAAGGTCAAGGAGTCGCACAGACTGTTTTACCTGGCCTTGCCTCCATCAGTGTTCACCACGGTGGCCGCCAACTTGAAGCGGTATGTCCATCCTGGAGACAAAGGTATTGCAAGGATCATCATCGAGAAACCGTTCGGCCACGATCTGGCCTCTGCGCAGGCGTTGCAGAAGGAGCTGGCCCCACTCTGGAGCGAGGACGAGCTGTACAGAATCGACCACTACTTGGGGAAAGAGATGGTGAAGAACCTTGTTCCGTTCCGGTTCGCCAACAACTTTTTGTCGGCCTGCTGGAACAACAACTTCATCAAGTCGATCCAGATCTCCTTCAAGGAGCCGTTCGGAACCGAGGGAAGAGGTGGATATTTTGATTCCATCGGTATCATTAGAGATGTGATGCAGAACCACCTGTTCCAGGTGCTGACGCTGTTGATGATGGAGAGACCGGTCTCGTTCGACGCAGAGGCCGTTAGAGACGAGAAAGTCCGGCTGCTCAAATCGATCAAGCCGTTCGACAAGGACAACGTTCTGGTTGGCCAGTACACGCGGTCCGAGGACGGCTCGAAGCCGGGCTACTTGGACGACGAGACCGTCAAGCCTGGCAGCAAGTGTGTCACATTTGCCTGTCTGACGCTCCAGGTGGAGAACGAGAGGTGGCAGGGTGTTCCTGTGATTTTGAGGGCCGGAAAGGCGCTAAACGAGGGCAAGGTGGAGATCAGAATCCAGTTCAGAGAAAACTCCAACGGCATGTTCAAGGACATCAACAGAAACGAGCTGGTCATCCGCATTCAGCCGGACGAGGCCATGTACATGAAAATGAACACCAAGGTGCCGGGAATTAGCAACAGCATTGCCGTTACCGAGCTCGACCTGTCGTACAAGAGCAGATACTCCAACTTCTACATTCCAGAGGCCTACGAGTCGCTCATCAGAGACTGTCTGCGCGGCGATCACTCCAACTTTGTCAGGGACGACGAGCTCGACATCAGTTGGAGCCTGTTCACGCCGCTGCTCAACTACCTTGAAGGCCCAGATGCTCCAACCCCACAGCCATATGCGTACGGCTCCAGAGGCCCAGCCGGCCTGACAGACTACCTCAAGAGGAACGGCTACGTTTTCCAGAACCGTAACATCTACCAGTGGCCAGTCACCACCCCGGACGTTTTGGAACAGAGCAAAATCTAATTAGGTAAGCTAACGTAATTCCGATGACATCAAAATATTTATTTATCTGGGACGGCATCGATAGTGCCGTTTTTATTTTCCCATTTATTTAAATCTGTTTATTATTTTAAATGTTTTAATTGTTTAGTTTACAACCATGTCTGAAATATCCCTCAATTCAATTGCTAAATGGACGGAGTCGTTTGAGAAAGACCCTGTCAGCAAGCTCGCAGCGTCTGTGTTCCAGCACGGCAACATCGAGGAGCTGCTTATCAACAGATCCCGCGAGATTGCGGACATTCACGTTTTCAACACCAAGATCCAGCAGGAGGGCGCACCGGTGACCGACCAGAAGGCTTCTGGCCGCTGCTGGCTATTTGCCTCCACCAACATGTTGCGTCTCAAGCTCATGTCCAAGTTCAATTTGAAGGAATGCCAGCTCTCTCCGTCGTACCTGTTTTTCTACGATAAGCTCGAAAAGGCCAACTATTTCCTTGACCAGATCTGCGACACGTACAAAGAGGACGTGAGTTCGCGTTTGGTTCAATTCTTCCTCACTGACCCAATCATTGACGGCGGCCAGTTCACCATGATGACCCAGATCGTCGACAAGTACGGAATTGTTCCGAACGCCGTCTATCCCGACACCTACAACACCACCGCATCCCGCGTGATGAACAAGCTTTTGCTGGCCAAGCTGCGCGAGTACGCCCAGGTTTTGCGGGAAAAGCTTGCTGCAGGCAAGTCCGTGGAGGACGACAAGGCAAAGATGATCGCCGAGGTTTACAGGCTGCAGTGTATCTTTTTGGGCGTGCCTCCGGCTCCCGACAAGGAATTTACGTGGGACTTCTACGACAAGGACGGCAAGTTCCAGACGATCACGACGACGCCCAAGGCATTTGTGAAGGATGTGATTGAGTTCGACACGCCAGAGTACATTTCTCTGCTGAACGATCCTAGAAACCCGTACAACAGAATGATCAAGATCGACAGGCTCAACAACGTCGTCGGCACAAAACCGGTCACTTATCTGAACGTGGAAATCGACGTGCTTGCGGACGCCGTTGTCCAGCGTATCAAGAACAACAAGGCCGTTTTCTTCGGCACCGACACACCAAAGTTCATGGACAACAGCAGAGGAATCATGGACATCGATCTTTGGGATTACAAGCTGATCGGCTATGACCACCGTGCCGTCGACAAGGCCTCGCGTGTCCTCTACAACCAGTCGCTCATGACCCATGCGATGCTGATCACAGCCGTCCACCTGGACGACAACGGCAAACCCGTGCGTTACAGAGTGGAAAACAGCTGGTCCAACAAAAAGGGCAACGAAGGGTACTATGTGATGACGCACGATTACTTCAAGGAGTACGTGTACCAGGTGGTTGTGGAGAAGAGCGAGGTGCCAGAGCTACTCAAGCTTCTTGACACCGACCCAATTGTTCTTCCGCCATACGACCCTATGGGAGCTCTGGCCAAGATGTAAAGAGAATATCAATATTATTAAAATTATTTTAATTATTACACTTTTTAGCATTTTTTTTAGAATTATTTTTCCGCTGTGCTGTTTTTACCAAACATGTTTATTCCGCCGCGAGATTACCGGCAGAAGCACTACTTTTTGTTGGAGATCTCGGCCGACAAGGTAGCAGGGCTGATCCAGAAACTGCCTGAGCTGAACTACGAGCATCCCTCGCGCGCCGTGGACAAGTACCATGTTTTTTCTGTACACAAGGACAAAGAGGCTGAACCAGGGCTGTTGTCCCTAGAACAGCTGAAAACGCTCCACCGCGAGCCAGAGCGACTGCATAAACGCGAGAACGGTCTCAGCAACGTGCTGGCAGACGCAGGAGTGCGATCTGTCCACATGCTGCCGCCCAAAAGGCTCGTGCACAGAGCACCGGTACCGGCTGTCGATTCGTCCATGGAGCCCATAGAGACCGCAAAGAAGGACTTCCGCATCGACGACCCCATCTTCCCCGAGCAGTGGCACATTCTGAACGCCAACTTCCCGGGCCACGACGTCAACGTGGTTCCTGTATGGAAGCGCAATATTACCGGATCGAACGTGGTCACCGCGTTGGTCGACGATGGCCTGGACTACGAAAGTCCCGATCTTGCGAGCAACTTCTGCAGAGAGGGGTCCTACGACTACAATGACAACAGCCCGCTGCCCAAGCCGCGTCTATCGGACGACTACCACGGCACACGGTGCGCGGCAGAGATAGCAGCCGCCAAGGGCAACGGGTACTGCGGCGTTGGCGTGGCGTACGACTCCAAGGTGTCTGGAATCCGCATACTGTCGGGCGAGATTACGTCTGAGGACGAGGCAATTGCCATGATCCACGGTCTCGACGTGAACGACATCTATTCGTGTTCGTGGGGCCCGCCCGACGACGGGCAGTCGATGGACATGCCGGAAAAAGTCGTCCGCGAGGCCATGATAAAGGGCATCCAGCAAGGCAGAAAGGAGAAAGGCGCGCTGTACGTGTTTGCGAGCGGGAACGGCGGCTACCACAACGATAACTGCAATTTCGATGGATACACAAACAGCATATATTCCATCACAGTGACCTCGATAGACCACAAGGGACTGCATCCGCCGTACGCCGAGTCGTGCACCGCCGTGATGGTGTCTACGTACTCCTCCGGCTCGGGCGAGCACATCCATACGACCGACGTCAACAACCAGTGCACGGCTGCGCACGGCGGCACGTCTGCTGCTGCTCCATTGGCAGCAGGAATTTATGCGCTTGTTTTACAGGCCAATCCAGACCTCACGTGGCGTGACGTGCAGGCGCTGACGGTGAAGGAGGCAACGGAAGTCAACTCGAACGACCCGAGCTGGCAGGACTCGTACATTGAGGGTCGTCGCTACTCGCCGGTCTTTGGCTGGGGGAAGCTGGACGCAGACCGCATGGTGCAGGCGGCGCAGAACTGGACCCTTCTCAAGCCGCAGGCGTGGTACTACTCGCCCGTACAGCATGCGAACAAAAAAGTCGACAACGTTGGCTCTGTCACAACCACGTTCGAGGTGACGGGCGACGACCTGGTGGCTGCCAATTTGGAGCGGATCGAGCACGTGACCGTCACGGTGAACATCGCGGCGGAGCGACGCGGCGACGTGGAGGTGACACTTGTGTCGCCGAACGGGATCAGGTCGGACCTGGGCCAGAGCAGAAAGCGCGACCGCAACAGTGACGGGTTCCGCAACTGGACCTTCTCGTCAGTCGCGCACTGGGGGGAGCCTGGCCCGGGTAACTGGACTTTGGAGGTGCGCAACACAAACGAGCGCAACAAGCTCACGTTCGAAAACTGGCAGCTGCGATTTTTCGGCGAGTCTCTCGATCCAAAAAAGGCCAAACGATTCAGCTTGGACGAGGATTACAGTGCGACTCAGGGCGACCACAAGGACACAACCGCCATTGCCGCATCCACGACCCTGTCGATCGCCCCTACCGTGGCCAGCACCGTTGCCTCTACAGACCAAGCCACGCCGTCGGCTGAGACCGGAGATGGCGTGTATCGGGCGTCCGACACACACTACGAGGAGTACTTTGTGTTCTTCCTTGCTCTGGGCTTCATCATTTGCATCTGGATGCTTAAGAGCCGCAAAAAGCCAGGCCGGGCCCGCAGACGGGACGAGTACGAGTTCGACATCATCCAGCCAGAGGACGACTTTGACTCCGAGTACGCGCAGTCGCAGCGCTCGGCGTCGATCGGCGAGTCGTCCAATGCGTCGGTTAGCAGAATGGCCGCCATGGCGCGCAACTCGCTCGACACATCCAAGCTGCAGGCCAGTTCAGGGAAAACAGCCACCACATCCAGGAATCCGAAATCCGATTCTGACTATCTACGACAGGAAGAACAGGAAAGAGAGCGGTTATACAACACATTCAACGGCCTCGAAGAGGACGATGATATGGAGGGCGAGGGTATGTACCGTATCACGTCTCACGACTCTGCATAATGTAAATAAAATAGAAAAGTCAGATTTAATTTTATTTAGATTTTTTTTTTATGGCTGTGTTGTGTGAAAGAAGTGTGGAGTAATCTTTATGTCTTCTAGAACAACAAAACGTCCACACCCACCAAAGCGGTCTCTATGGCAGCGTTATCAAGCGCTGCCGTTCAAATGGAAAGTCTATCTGGGCGTGTCGACGTTTGTCACCGCTTTTATAGCCGATTCTATCGGGACCCGTATCATGGAGTCCAACATGATCGAGTACGAGGCCCAGAGACGTGTCGACCTCGAGCTTAGCCGACATTCCGCTGACCAGCCTCAAACCGCCGTTTCAGGGAAGAAATGAACTCAAGGAACTTGGCAGGGTTGCTGTCGATTCCCCTAGAGTAAACAAACTCCGATGCCAGACGAGTGGCAAAGATGGCCCGCAGATACGCAGTAGGCACTCTCTTGAGGATGGTCTGGATGCCGATCTGCTTGAGCAGCAAATGAGGGAGAGCGTCGGTAAGGACATCGTTTCTGAACTTCTCGTCGTCGTCCCACAATTCCTTGGAAGAGGCCAGCTCGTCGGCCAACTTGTTAATAGCCATGGAAAGCTCGTCGCTGAGGATGCTGAAAGGCTTGCCTGTCTGCTCCTTCAGCGACCACAAAAGTTCGAATTCATTGCGTGCGTTGCGAACCACGATCTGCTGAACCTCCTTCACGTACTGCATGTAGAACTCCGGAACTTTATTGGTGGCAGAGTCCACACACATGTGTTTGAGGAACCCTTCGTCATCAAACGAGAGGGCGGCCAAAACCTCCAGCGAGCTAGAAGTCACTCCACCCTTGTTGGTCGAGGCGTCCTTAAACACAATAGCACCAGCTTTTTCCAGCATCAGCTTCGCTGGCTGCGTAATGAACAGGTTCGCTCCTTCAACAATGAACGGAATGATACTCTTGCCGGTCTTTTCGTCGATCAGACTGTGTACATTGTTGGCATCCAGGGAGTTCGGACGGCCTCCGCACGGAACAAACAGCTTGATGAAGTTGTTTGGAAAGTTCTCCTTCAACGTCAAATGGAAGTTGTTCCGGAAAGTCAACCCGCTGGCAACAACACGGCCGTCTGGAAGCTTGACATCAGTGTCATCGACCAAAACCAAATAGCCCTTAGGTCCAAGCTTGGATTTGTCAAAGTGCTGGTTGCCCTTGCGCTCGTGAGCCAATCTCAACAGCTCCTGCTTGTCCAGTCCGTCCTCGTCCACGACCACTCCAAAGCCGTCAACAATAGCAACGTACTTTTCTTCTCTGGACAGCTTGATTTCGTTCGAGCCTAAATCTCCGTCTCCACCGGCTATCTGCACCTTGGTGATTTTTCCCAAGTCGGTGATACCCAGCTTTTCGTAGATCTTCTCTGTGTACGCTCTGACACTAAGAGACGTCATCCCATACTTGTCGTGAGGAATGCCACCGAGAGTAGGCGACTTTCCGGTGAAGAAAGCCTTCCAAGGGAAGCCGTACTTGGCACCTCTCTTGCGAGCGTGCAGAGTAGCCCAGTCCACGAACCCTGCAGTGTATTCGTCTGGCCCCATATACAGCATCTCTGGCTTGTTGTAGAGGTCGACAATGGTTTCCTTACGAGGATCCTTGATCAAAAGGTCCAACAGGGAGTCAATGTACTTGGTGAAGCACTCCTTCGGACGTTCTTGGGCAGCGCCAGGGTTCAGCAGAATCACACCCTTAGACCCACCTTCTGGGATATCCTTGTTTTTGCGCTGCTGAGTGCTTGCGAGGTTGTAGTTTTCGTCAAACAGTGTTCTCATGTTCGTGAAGTAATTGTCCTTGGACCGGGACTTGACGATACGGATACCTCCACGAGCAACGTCTCTGAACCTGATGTGGAAACCTCTGAAATCAGAACCAACAACGAAAAACATTCCAAAAGGCGTCTGTGGATACTCCGTCTTTGGCAGGAACGATGGATCCAGTCTGAAAGAGAGCGCGATCTTGGACGTGACAAAGAAATTGGTCTTGAGAACGCTCTTGTTGAACGAGTACAATGCCCGCAGGACAAGCTTGTGGCCCTCGTTGGCTGAGGCCGACCTGTTGAGCGCCTTCTCAAAGTCCTCGTCGTTCTCGATCGGACTCACTTTCTCCACTCTCTGGTAGGAGAGAGTGGACTGTAACGAGGTCGAGGTGTAGTGGTGGTCAACAAAATGTCTGTACAGCTGGCTGATCAGGTCCTTGTTGTTTTCAAAACACTCGGCAATGTACGACTGGGTGTACGTCTCGGAAGTGAGTCTCTTTTTAATCTTGTCGATAATTTCAGCATGCTGTGGCGAGACAGAGTGCGAGAGCAGCTCTCTAAGGGCATTGAACTCTGGCCCCAGCCTGTTGAGGAAATGGGTCACGAAGATGACACCGCAATGAGCGTATATAGACTCCTGGATGGACATCTCACCGCTGGCAAACTTGCTGTAGAACATGTTGTTCGGAATGCAGTACAACAAGGAGGCCTCCTTGGCCATCTGGTAGATGGTAGCATCGGGACTCAGGCCATCCGTGTAGTCGATGTACATGGAGATGATGGAATAGCCATTGGCGAAGTTCTCCACATACTTGCGTCTGAGGTTCACATTGTAGTACTTGGCCAATGTGCTGAGCGCCGAGCTGTACCGAGGCGAACTGTTGCGGCGGAACCCAATGATAATCCTTTGTTCACCCGTGGCAGCCACAGTAAAGTGCTTAATCACGGGACCCTCGGTGGCTGCCAATTCGTTCAAAACTTCTGAATATAGCAATTTAGTGTGGGGAGTGGCAGTTTTCAAAAAGGTGGAGTCTCCGACGAGCTCAATGTCGCTGCTAGCGGACACCCCCTGCGTGTGGAACTTGCATTTGTAAACAAACTGGCATTTCACCACGTCACCAGTCGGCAATCTGGAATTGAAGGACTCCAAGCGGTAGGGGGTTTCCTCCACGGCACGATCTAGGTATTTGTCGTCGATTTCCTGCTCAAAATCGTCCCAGCCTGCGGCATCAAAGTAGACGGCGTGATCGTCGGTCTCACGGCGATGATGCAGGAACGGGCGATCCGTGAGTCCTCTCGCAAACGCATCCACCTTTGCTGAATAAAGGGCAAGTATATGCGAGACGATGACAGAGACGGACTCTGAAGCAAAATATGTGTCGTCAATGCCAAGCGACTCGTAAAAATACCTTGTTTCAGACTCGATTAGGTTCTCGGGGATGAATCCTGTAGAGTCTAGCTCGTCCATCACCTGGACCATCTGCTCCTCCTTTCCAGAGAAGACCGCAGATTTGTAGCCGGGGCCCTGCAAATCTGCTTTTTCCACGTTCTGGAAAGAGGTTGCGCTGAAATTGTTGTGGATGGTTAGTCCACCTAGCTTCTGTTCAAGAGTCATGGTTATAAATTAGCGCAGTGGGAACACCTGCCAATTTATACGCTCTATATAGCCATATGCACTCGCACAAATATTTACAAAAACCTTTTATTTCGGGATTGGAGAGGCGCCATCTGCACTAATGGCGCTTTTTCCACAATAGCACACTAGCAATTAATTTATTCCTTGGTGCCCGGAATAGGGCCCTCTAGGTCCTTCGGGTTCACCTCGAACGTTCTACTTACGCTGACCGTCTGGTTAGACGTCGAAATCGGCAGCTGGTAGCTCAGCACTCCGCGAATGATCAGATCAAAGGGGTTTTTCGAAATGTTGAGCCATTTCTCGGCCGGCTCGAGAATTTTAATTTCGCCAGAGTCGTCAAATGAACAGGGATTTTTGATTTTTATTTCCGTCGTGCTCCAATCGAGCTGCCGGTTGAAAAAACCGCCCTGAAAATGCAGCGGCACGTCCAGGCTGGTCACGGTGCCCAGCAAGATGGTCGAGACCGGCCGCGGCGTCCTCTTCTTGTCGGCCTCTTCGGCGTCCACGTACTGCGACCGCGCAAAGACGTCGATGTTGGCGTCCTGTATCGTGATCGACAGGAACCCAGGGTTGAAGCTCTCCACCTCCATGTTGAACACAAGCTCCTCCTGAGAAATGAGCACGTCGGAAATGGCGTCGATCTGCGTATGCTGCAATTCTTTCGTTGTGGCCAAAATAAAGCCGCTCATGAACCCCACACTCAGCAGCACCAATATCAATCCTATTGTGTAGCAGAAGCTCTTGATCTGGCGAATGCGCACCTCGCGCGCGCCCGTGAAGTCGTGCGGCGAAAAATACAAGTTTTTCGGCTTGCGTTTCAGTTTGTTGCCTCCCAGCTTGTTGTTGCGGGACTCCAAGAACGGCTGCTGCAAATAAACGCCGTTCTGGAAGTTGCTCAAGTATCCGTCTGAGCTGATGCTGCCATAGTTGTTGTTGTTGTATGCGTGCTCGCTCAACGACGCGTCGTCGTCCGAGTCGGAATAGATATCCGGCTCGTTCACCTGCTGCGCTGAATAAGTCTCTTCCAAATCGTCGATCTCGTAATTCATGCCCGAATATCGTCTCGGGATCACGCCTTTCGAGTCGAAAACTCGCGACGTGATCTGCCGCAGCTGGTTCCTGTCCTCCGCCGGCGGCACCGGCGACTTTGACTGCGCACGGTCCTGCTCTTCTGCGCGGTCCTGGCTCGTTGTGGAGTTGAAGTTGTGTTCCGACCGGTTGCTGCACGTCTCGCTCGGCGCATCCTCCTGCCGCACAACAGTCGCGGCCCCCGCCAGCGCTTCTCTATCGCGCACACCGTCGCTGATCGTCTGCTGCGCCGTCAGCGTCTCGTCGTTCGCCGTCTCCGGCTCGCCTGGCCGCTCGTTCGTCGAGGTGTCGTAGACAAACGTCTCCTCTGAGTCCGAGCTGTTTTTGTCGTCCACCTTGATCGCGTCGTGTAATTTTGCAGCGAAAAACTCGGCTCTCGAAGACGCCTTGCTCTGTATCGTCGACGTCGATGAAACCGTGTTGGCGTTGCGCAAATTCATCAAACTCGACGCCGCGCCAGCCTTTTTGGGCCGCAGCCCCTCCTCCATCACCGGCCCGTCGATAACAGACCGCTTCGACTTGAGGTGTGTCAAAAATGAGTCTGACGCGCCATTCCCTGTAGTCGCACTTGCCGTCTTCGAAATGTCTGCCGAGCTCACCTGGCGCGACACCCCTGCCGACGCGGAGCTGCCCATCGTCCCATTGGCCACCACGCTCGATCCGGATCCGGACCCCGTCGTCGCAGAGGAGGTCCCTGAACCAACGGTGTTGACTATATTCGAGACAGGCAATATGTGCACGAGATTCGGGTTCTGCGCCTGCTCCTGCACAACAGCAACCATCGACGACTTGGTATTCTTGTTCTTCGCATCCTGCTTCGCCGCCAGACCTTTGTTCTCGGGAGTAAAGTTGCGTCGCCCATCGGTGTCAGACCCTCCAGACCCGACTCGCTGGGCGTTTGTGAACGCCGGTTTGGACGGCACCTCTGTTTGCTTGGGCCGCGACATGGTGTCAGTGGTATCAACAATGCAGCAGTTTTAGATGCTGGGTTGTAACATGCACGCCTAGTGTTTGCGCCTTAAAAGATCTTTTTCGCCTGGGTATTTGCGAGGAGAATTTCGGCTTACGTAACCCGACACTGCCCGCTCGTATGCGGCACGCCGTGCTAAGCTCTAATGGGACGTGTCCACCACCTGGAAACTCAGAGCGCCCCCCATGCAGATCCAGCGTGCCAGACAGGAAAAAAGAGATGATGCATGTGAGGGTGCGAAAGTTTTGGAGTGTATCAAAGAGTAACGCAGGACGACTGCCAAGTGCCAGCGGGCGCAATAAAGCAAGCAATTGGAGTGGCAGATGCAGTGGCGTGAGGTCACCTGGCAAATTGAAACAAGAAATTACCAGATGGAGCTTTCGGGAACCCCTGAGAACAGCAGATTGGTGCTCTCCTGCTCTCCAGAAAGTTCCTGCGGTGCCCAGAAATTTCGATGGCGTGGCGGCGGCTTACGTAACCGTGGCTCTGCGGCTCGTGATGACAGGGTATAAATCTGACCTGGTGGTGGCACCTTGGCAAACCAGAGTTTTTTAGTTTGAGTACGAGTCAATCACAAAGCGCGAACAAGATGTCTTACTACAACGATCCATTCTACAGCTTCTTTGAGAACATCAACCAGGAGGTGGCACAGCTGAACAGTCTGTTCAGCGATCCATTCTTCAGATCATCGGTTGCCTCCACGGCTCCAGGCAACAGAAGACTGGACAACAAAAAGAGCGGAAACGAGGGAAAGGAGGTGGCCAGACCATCGAACCAGACCTCAGGCCCATGGGACCTGTTCAGGCCATCCGCTTTCTTCGACGACAGCTTTGCTCCACCAGTTGATATCCACGACAACGACGACTCATACGACGTGACTGTTGCCATTCCAGGAGCCCCTAAGGACAAGGTCACCATTGACTACAACAAGAAGACGAATGAGCTGATTGTCAAGGGTGAAATTCCAGAGCGCGAGACAACCAAGACTAAGGCTAACAACACTTACACCGAAAGAACCGTTGGTAAATTCTCACGGGTTTTGAAGTTGCCAGTGAAGGTCGATGGTGATAAGATCCAAGCCAAGTTTGAGAACGGTCTGTTGAACCTGACCGTTCCAAAGAGTGGCGAGGAAGAGGAGGGACTGCAGAGAATTGAGATCTCGAGCAGTGAGTCGTACGACAAGAAGTCCGCATAAGCGGGTCTCAATTCCAATGGGATGAGTAGCTTGAAGTTGTTGGGTTTTCATCCCAAGTTATGATTATGGATATGATATGATATGCCGAATTTATAGTTCTCAATCAAACAATTAAACATCAACCACAAGAAATGTAATTGTACACTTTGTTTCTCCTTACGTAAATATTTTTGCCTTTGCCTCATCATTTTACAATTGCCCATGTCCACTCGTAAGAAAACCATCCTCAAGGTTATTATTTTGGGCGACTCTGGCGTTGGAAAAACGTCTTTGATGCAACAGTTCATCAATGGCAAGTTCTCGCAGCAGTACAAGGCCACCATCGGGGCCGACTTCCTGCCCAAGGACCTTGTCATTGACGATAAACAAGTGACAATGCAGATTTGGGATACGGCTGGCCAAGAGCGGTTCCAGTCTTTGGGAGTCGCATTCTACCGGGGATCGGACTGCTGTGTTCTGGTGTACGACGTGACCAACACCAAGTCGTTTGAGAACCTACAAAGCTGGAAGGACGAGTTTCTTATCCAGGCCAACATCAAAGACCCTGACAACTTTCCGTTTGTGGTGATTGGCAACAAGATCGACGTGGAGGAGAACAAGAGACTTGTTTCGTCCAAGAAAGCGCAGTCGCTATGTGCCAGCATGGGAAACCTGCCATACTTCGAAACAAGCGCAAAGGAGGCTGTCAACGTGGAGCAGGCGTTCGACGTGGTGGCCAGAAACGCGCTGCAGCAGGAAGAGAGCCTAGAGTTCAGTGACGACTATACAGACGCAGTGAACATCCACGTCGACGGAGATAGCTATGGGTCATGCGGCTGTTAGGAGCGCACGTCCTTGGCGAAGTTGTATTCCAACTGAGTTGGACTACCATTGCAACTTCGATCGCGCCCTTCTTCTTCGTGCTAATTGTCCCCCACCGCCATTTGTACTTTCAAATCTCTCCGACCATAATTGTATTTACATAAGCACCGGCTTTAATTTTTTTTCTTGTCTTTATGCCTTCGCCATCCGAGAGACCAAAGGGCGTCAACCTCAACATCACTCTGGTTTGTCCAGAGTGTAAGGTGTATCCCCCAGAGATTGTTGAAAGACACAGCGAGGGAGACATCGTTTGTGCTCTTTGCGGCCTGGTGTTGAGTTCTCGAATAATAGACACTCGTTCTGAATGGAGAACGTTTGCCAACGACGACCAGAACGGAGACGATCCATCGCGTGTGGGAGAGGCCACGAACGGAGCGCTTGATTCAGATCAACTGTCTACGGTCATAAGTGCTGGAGTTGACGGCAACCGTGCAGCCAAGGAGTTGAACCGGATCCAGAACCGTAGTGTCGTTGATAGAAAGGACTACGCATTGCAGTCTGCGTATTCCAAGATCTCGCAGCTCTGTGATGGATATCAACTGCCGCGTGTTGTGCAGGACGGCGCCAAAGAGGTGTACAAGCTGGTGCATGACGACAAGATGTTGAGGGGAAAGAGCCAGGAAGCCATAATGGCCGCGTCGATTTTCTTTGGATGTCGTAAGGCAGACGTGCCTAGAACGTACAACGAGATCTGGGCGCTGACAAACGTGCCGAAAAAGGATATCGGGAAGGTGTTCAAGATCATCAAGCAAATTATCCAGAGGAAAGACGCAGAACAGGATGGACTCATCACTCGCCGCAACAACAATATCTCCACCACACAGACCAATCCAGAGGATCTTGTGGGCCGCTTCTGCTCGCACTTGGGTCTCTCGCCGCAGATCACCACCTCTGCACAGCACATTGCACGCACGCTCAAGGAGCTGGGTGTGCTGGAGGGACGGTCGCCCACCACGATCGCCGCCACGGTTATCTATTTTTCGACGGCTATCTTCAAGCAACAGATCCCTCTGTCGCGGATCAGCGAGAAGACCGGTGTTTCTGAGGGCACCATCAAGTCGTCGTACGTGCACATGTCTGCCGCCCGTGACAAGCTGGTCGACCAGTCCTGGATCGACTCGGGCAAGGTCGACATGTCTGCGCTCAGCTGAAATCAGAGCTCTCTTTATACGGGCTATATACAACGATATATACACTAATCCTTCTTTCCTTTCTTCTGGTACTCCTCCACCAGCTTTTTCTGCAGCTGTGGCGGACAAGGCTGGTACTCCTTGAACTCCATCGTGAACTCTCCCTTTCCTTGAGTCAGAGCACGCAGCTGCGAAGCAATACCAAACAGATTGTTCAGCGAGCACAGACTCGTGATGGTGAACTCCTCTGCCGTGTTTTCGGTGTCCTGGATCACGCCGCCAAGCTTGTTGATCAGCCCAATGACAGCGCCCTGGAACTCGGCTGGTGAGGTCATCACCACGTTCATGATCGGCTCCAGAACGACCGGCTGCGCGTTCAGGAACGCCTGTTTGAACGCAAACTGCGTGGCCGTCTTAAAAGACAGTTCCGACGAGTCCACCACGTGTGTCTGACCATCGTTGATCAGCATGTGCACACCCAGAACGCGCGAGCCGGTAAGCGGACCCTTTTCCAAACTCTCCTCGAATCCCTTGCTACAGGCCAGGAGATATTTTTCCGGAATTTTTCCACCCACAATTTTCGTCTGGAAATTATTTTTGAACCGAATATCCTCCTCTGGAGACGCGCCAATGTACTCTGGGTCGCATAGGGACGTGGCCTTGAACTCACCCATCACCTTGGCGTACTGACCAGCACCTCCAGACTGTTTTTTGTGCGTGTACTCGAACGGAGTGCTGCTGAGGACGGTCTCTCTGTATGAAACTCTAGGACGACCGACCGTGCACTCGACGTTGTACTCACGGCGCATTCTCTCGACGTAAATCTCCAGGTGCAGCTCTCCCATTCCGCTGATAATGGTCTCTTTCGAGTCTTTGTCGTAGTGCACACGGAACGTAGGGTCTTCTTTTTGGAACCGGTTCACAGCCTTGGAGAAATTGACCGCATCTTTGGTCTTAGGGTGGATCGACAGCGACACCACAGCGTCCGGAACGTACATCGACGACATCGAGTAGTTGACCTGGCCGTCTGTGAACGTGTCTCCGGAGGCGCAGTCGATTCCGAACGTGGCGCAGATCTCACCGGCCCCCACTTCGTCCACGTCTTCCATGTCGTTCGAGTGCATTCTCACGAGTCGGGCAATTTTCACTCTCTTGCCCGTCTTGACGTGTGTGATCATCATTCCCTTTTTCAGTCGGCCCTGATACACACGCAGGTACGTCAGCTGGCCATACTTGCCTTCCTCCAGCTTGAAGGCGAGCACAACGGCCGGCTGGTTCGAGGCGGCAATTAGATTGACTGGAGCCTCGTTATTGGCAATATCCAGGGCCGTGTTCAAAACTTCAGACGGATTAGGCAGGTAGTCCACAACCGCGTCGAGAACCGGCTGCACACCTTTGTTGGCCAACGCAGACCCCATCAGCACCGGCGTGAACTTTCTAGCAATGGTAGCACGGCGAATAGCAGCCTTGATCAAGTCTGCGCTTGGCTCCTCCTCGTTCAGAAACACCTCTGCCAGCTCGTCATCCACGTCTGCCAGCATCTCGATCAGAACAGCTCTTTTTTCCTCAACAAGGTCAACAAGATCGGCAGGCACCTCTTTCTCGATCCTCAACTTTTCTCCCTGCGAGCCTTCGAAATAAATCGATTGGCGGTCAATGATGTTCACCACCCCGGAAAGCTCTTTTTCTGCTCCAATAGGCACCTGCACGGCAGCAGCGGCGATCTTCAGCTTCTTGTTGATCTGTTCAATGGCTCTCCACGGATTGGCGCCCATTCTGTCCATCTTGTTGATGAAGGTGATTCTGGGAACATTATATCTCTTCATCTGTCTATCAACCGTCACCGTCTGAGACTGAACACCAGAAACCGCACAAACAACAAGCACAGCACCGTCCAGCACTCTCAGTGCACGCTCGACCTCAATAGTGAAATCAATGTGGCCTGGAGTGTCGATAAGATTAAAATGGTAGTGCTCGTCGTCTTTGTCCCAAGAACAGTACGTGGCAGCAGACTGAATAGTGATTCCCTTTTCTCTCTCCAGATCCATATGGTCCATCTTGGCACCGACACCGTCCTTTCCACGGACATCGTGGATCGCCTTGATACGGCCGGTGTAGAACAACACACGCTCGGTGAACGTGGTTTTTCCGGAATCGATGTGGGCAGAAATACCTATATTTCTCATCTTCGACAGTCTTTTCACGTCGGCCTCGGAGAGCTTCGAAGACAAGTCGTCGAGCACAGCCTTTTCCTCCTCGTAGCCACGCACAGCAGCAGATCTATGAAACGGCCGCACGGGCGCCGCGCTCCGCAGAACGCGCGGTGCAGCAGCAAATCTGGCGAGTCTAAACATGAGCTGAAAATAATTCAGTGAAAATTCGGAATAATGAATAAAATGGAAAACCACAAGGGGTCGTGCGAAGAACTAAAAGTGTGGAAACTCCCAAGTCCAATGAACGTGCTACAAAGTTACAACTGGAAGTCACAATACACTCTCTAGCATATGTACATTCACCTATAGAAGAAAGAACAAGAGAGAGCCAAAAACAAGCCCGAATGGACTCGAGGCTGCAACTTGTCCTGCCATACCCCGGGAGCTGGAAGAAGAAGTGGATGTAGCAGAGCTGGTACTGCTGCTGCTTGACGAAGAAGTGGTGGTGGCAGCCTTGGAAGTAGTACTCTCAGACAATGTAGCAAAGTGTGCTGAGGAGGCAGACGAGAGCCAGGAACTAGTGTCCACAGTGATCTCGCTGGAGTAGTAGTTGTCATCGGTAGCATTGAAGCAGTCCAGAGCATACTCGGTAACCTCAAAGACACTCTTCTCAACAAACTCGACATCGGCACAGGCGTAGTGCGTCACGTTCGACTCATCTTCCAGAGCCATGTACTCCAGCTGGATGGTAGCATGGTCTCCGCTATTGATGTTGGAAGGAATGTCTGGCAGGTAGTAGCATGTGTGTCCGATGTCGATCTGACTGGTCAAGTTATGAGTGGCCCATGTATCAAAGTCATCATTCGACGTTGGATTGTCGCTGTAGGAAATCTTGAGGTTGACAGACCATGCCTGGTGAGACTTTGCAACCAAGGCCACGAAACCATCGTCCAGGGGGAACTCCGATCTATTGGAAGGAGTAGCGTAGGACCCGCATGGGGCAATTGTCTCCGCCTCTTCCGACCATTCTCTATCAGTTGGGTAGAGCATTGCAATTTCACCCATGGTGTTTGCGTAAGCGGATCCATGCTCTAAAGCAAGAGCCTCGGCAAATGCAATAGGATTTGCACGTCCAAAAGCAACCTTGCAAAGTAGCGGGAGAAGCAAAAATTGTTTCATTTTCGTCAATCGTATGCAAGATAGCCCACATTTTATGACGACCAGATCCTTTTATAGCCGCTTTCGAATATATCGGATTCACCGCTCCAAAAAAAAATTTGGAGAGCCCAATCTTGGCATACTCAAGTTAGCGTGTAAACGTACACCAAAATGCCATAAAGGTAGTGGAAAAAGCTGAATATAAGCGTATTCAGAACCAGGCCACTTATATTTAGCAGCGAAGTAAAGGTTTCTCCTCCGCTATTGTTCCAGCTGGAGCCATCGGACAACGGGGCCAAATCTGGTAGTCCTGAAGCTGCAACCAACGTGTTTGTGCTGCTTATCCCGCTCAGCTCGATTTCTCCATTTGTGACACTCCGGAAGACCTGGTTGATGGCTTGCTGAATTAGGAAATCAATAACGTAGTACACGAGATAGTGGACGAGACAATAAATTATTATAAGCCCAAACGCGAAACGGCTTTTACCCAATAGATCCTGGTTCTGGAAATCTGCGTTGTTGTCACTCTGCTGCTCCAGATCAGATGACCCGGTAATCAAATCGGGCTTTCTTGGTTGGTCGAATTTTATCGCGCAATTGGAGTGCGAATTGAAATCCTGCACAACAACATCCTTGTGGTTCACCAAAGGGCCGTTTTCAGCATTTTTTTTTGATCCATACCCGCATACCAGGTAGAGCACCCAATAAAGAATAAGATGCAATACCAAGACGGCAATGAACGAAACAGCAATGAGCGCAAAATTGACCATTTTTAACTGGACCAGCGCGATGAAGTCCCGAATAGTGCTTTGTATCTTATTGTAAAGCTCGATCTTATTTTCAATGGTTGCCGAGTCGACCTCAGCGGACGAGGACGCAAAAAGAGGGATATGGGTACCGTTAAAGCCAAACAGGAACAGGTAATTCGCTATTAAACGCAAATTCGTACTGTTCTCGTCGCTATGACGATTGGCCTTGAAGAACTGGCCTATGTTTCTCCACAAAGCATGAAACTCAATTTCCTCGAATTTCGAGTCGCTCAAATATGTGTTAACCAGATATGTCTTTTCGCTGCGAATGAGCCCTTGCACACGGCACTTGAATTTCATGAAACTGTATTCACAATTGAGCGATAGCGAACCATTCTCGATAAATGTGGGCCCCACATAGACGAGGTCCAACTTGGGAAATGGAGGATATAGATATAATTCTTTAGCAGCAGTATCCAAATCGCCACTCGTTTGCTCTATGGTGTTCAAGACCTTTGAAAGCTTAATAGAAGAGAGCGAATGCTGTTCCAGGTCAGAGTATTTCTTCAGAAAATGATAGGTGCTCATGTCCACTTTAAACTCTGTGAGCCTGAACTTATTGCTGAATAAGTATAACTCCTGCAAATAATCAGTGTAGATCAACAGCGATGCAAAGAAGCTAAAGAGGATGGTTAGCAAAACTCTCTTGAACACAAAATGGTTGCCTATCATGGTGTAAATTCAAATCGATGTTTTTCTTGCATAGCGCTGGAACTGCTTAAATTATTTCCCATTCATTGAAAAGAGAGATACCGGTTGCGGAAACTCCCACAACCGCTCCCTTACTGCCAAACTGCCCCACGCACACCTGCTTGAATTGCTCGTCCAGTTCCATCTGAGAAGAAACGCTGCACTCATCGTCGCTCCATTGATAGAATAACAACTGGGAGCCACTATTTTTCGGGCTCACGACAAACAACAAGCCGGGGTCATCAAGGGAAAACCCTAGTTGAGCCTTATCCGAGAGCTCTTCAATAACGCGCTCGTCAAAGGAGAGATCTTTATACCAAATGCAAGAGAGAGCCGTTTTTTCTCGTGAGAGAACATACTCGGGTGTCACGATGACATTATCGAAAGTTTTTGCGTTCCACGCCTTCGTTTTCGTGAGCTTGCTCTTGAATTGCTGTTTTGTGTTGCGCAAAATCAACGACTTGTTGGAGAGAATTGCCAGATCATAATCGTGCAGGTTTGTGAATTTGGCTGCCAGAAACTTAATGTCGGAATTGCGGTCAATGGCATAAATCGGCTCAAAACATTCATCTTGGCGCTCTAGCTTGAGTATTTCAACCTTGTCATCAAAAACGGCGACGAGTCGGTCCTCCCTAAAATCGATAAAATGTATAGGTTCGTCCCACTCGTACGTGGCCAGCGGTATTGAGATTTCTTTGGTTTCCAGCTTAAACGCAAGAACGTTTTTGACGCTCAAAACAATCAGCACCCCTTTATGATAAAGGACGTCTTCCACCTTTGTGGAGCCCACCAAAACAGTGTGTTTCAAATCAACACCATTTTTGGAGTTGGACCAAACGTTGATGCATTTCTTATCCGGTAGATACGCAAATAAAAATCCATCCACCAAGAAACATTTGCCAATGGTTTCGTTTATGACCGTGGTTTTGGATGGCTTAGCAACTGCCTGTGCAGGAACTTTGTGATTATCGTCATTGTGTGGCTTGTTGTTGGCCTCTAACGAAATAGCCATATCTAGGTAATCAGCAGCAGCACTGTCCTCAGAAGATAATGTGCTGGCCTTCTGTGATGGCGTCGAGCGTGCGTTAAGGTTAGAGTAGAATTCATATGTCTCGTCTTTAGAAAAATGCAATGGGTCTGAAAGCTCGACCGTGGGACTTTTCAGCATATAAAGAATCTCATTTGTTGCCGTCTTTAGGAATTGTCTTGCCTTCACAAGTCTTGTGACATCGATATTGTCCACAGTGAGCAGGCGATCAACATTTGATTCATCCGTCGAAGGCTCCTTGGTCTGCGTGTGTTCCTTTTCCAATTCCTCCACACGAGCTTTCAACTTTTCATTCTGGAGCTTGAGCGTATTTCTTTCGCTCTCGAGCTCCACAATACGAAGTTTCAAAGCTGACCTTTCTAAATCAGACATCATCCTGTTGCGCTCCACTGTGGTAAACTGCGACTGCAAATACTGCATCACTCCGGGCAAAGTGTAATGCGACACTCCAGGTGCTTGTCCAAAGGCATCACCGATGCCATTGCTGGTGTTACCGTTGGCTCTTGAGCCTGCAAAATGACTTTGCTCCATCAAATCTATATTGTTATTATATATCGTTTGCCTATGTATATACAAGAAAATTTAAAACTACACGTCTGCTTATGTCATACTAGGCAACAAATTTGGCAGCTTCCTGGAAGCTCTCCGCGTTGTCCTCGAGCTTAAAAATGGGGCGATGGCGGTCGCTCCATTGTAACTTTTCCAGCATTTTCGATGTGAGGTCTGATTCCTCTAGGGCGAGCTTTTCAGGGTTGAAATTGGTGTAGCCGTACTCTTTGGCTCTCGCTCTCAGTTTTGCAACCTCTTTAGGAAGCATGATTGTTCGTGAGAACGAGGTCTTGCTCTCAATATAAAATCTACGCGCTAGCACAGACCAGTTCTTGCTGTTGGGGCGGTCTATCATAGCTGTAGCCAATATTTCGTATACCTTGTGCACCTTGCCTTTGAGAAAATGGTTGTCGAAATGGTTGATCATGGCTATGGCGTTGTAAAGCTGATTTTCCCTGACAAAGTAGTTTACAAAATGGACCAGCATCGACGGCGTAAGCTCTGGAATATCAGCTTCAAGTCTTTCCATAGCAAAATCCCAAGCTTGCGAAGGCCCGTATTCATCCAATGCAATTCGAACAAATTCTGCAACCAGTTTCGGGTCGTCTTTGAATGAGTGTTCGTTTGCAACCATTTCCGCCATGAGCTCGTCAAAGTTCTTCTTCTCAATGTCGTGCTTGTACGCCATCACTGCAGGGAGAATGGGACGCAATGAACACCCATTCTTCACCATATAGTCGTATATTGGCTTCCGATGCGTGCGAAGACACTCAAAAAGAATATAGCAGGTGCTCAGATCTGGGATCTGCTTGTAAAAACGCATTTGTTTAAGGTACATATTGATAAGCGCAAACTTTCGTTCATGACGGCTAGTTCTCATGGGGCCCAGCACAAAGTTGAAAGATTCTGTAGTCGGATACAGTTTCCTCTGATTCATCAGACGCATGGTTTCCTTGACGTTGCTGAAATCGTGAGTCGTTGCAAAAAACTTGAGGATCATGTTGTACGTGTGCAGGCTCTCCAGCACATTGGACTCGACGATTTTCTCAAACGCTCTTTTCACATAAACGGGGTTTTGATCAAACTTTCTGGTCTTCACGCGGTTCAAGGTTCGCACATAGTCATCCAAAGTAGTCTCGTTCAAAACATCCGGAACATTTGGAATTTCCACAAGGTCTTGGGGTTGGTTAAGCTGTTTCCAGGACGAGATGTCAGGAGACAGCTTGTGGTCTGCAGGAATTAGTTTCCGGAACTGTCGTATCACCTCTGACTCGGAATTAGCACTACGGTCCTCTTCGGAGTAGAACTCTGATTTTCTGCTCACTGTTTTCAGCTGCGACTGGAGATCGGATAGACGATTGCGTCGCAGCGAGCCGGTGCTGAAGAGTCTGAATAAAATCATAGATCAAAAAAAAAATATATATAATTTTTCCCTCTATCACGCGTAACGATATCATGACAGTGGCGGCTAAGGAGGACAATATACGGCTGATTGTCGTTCCAACCAACATACAGACCCCGTTGAAGACGATCAAACCTTACAAGGGTTTGCAGCTGGTGGTCAACAATGGCACAGTGTACGAGCTCAACAAGACGAATTTCAGAGATCCGCACAATGCAACACAAAAACTAACCAAGAAGCAACAGCCACTTAAAACCATTTTTCTAGCCGCTTTGGACGCGTCTGTGGATTGTCTCATGGTGGGAAATAATTGCGAGCTCTGGATAGCTACCAAATACAACCCCCTGTATCTGCTGCTGGATTTTTTCACGGACGCGTTGAATCGCGAACATGTGCGCATGGTAAGCTTCCAGGATCTTTTGGAACAATTCGAACGCTCTGAGACGCTTCAAGAGCTGTTGGAGAACGGTGTAGACTTGCAAAAGCCGCTGCTTCAAATATGTGAGAGCGTTGACGAAAATGGCGAGACCTTCTACAAGCCCTCGATGCAGAAAATCATTGGTTATCTCAGCTCCAAGGTGGACCGTTTGGCACAGAATTTGCCGTCTGCGCTAGTTGCTTCTGCAAAGAAAAAGCTTTCCTTGCCCGGCTTCGAGCCAACAGAGGAGGTGCTGCAGGTGAGCAAAAAGCAGCTGGCAATTGAGCTAATCAGCTCCTACGTGGACGCAAAGTACCTGGATGACCTGAAAAAGCTGTATTCGACGGAGATCCTGGACTCCTACATGGTGGAATACCGGAGAAAAGAACAATTGACCGCGCTGGCCGAGGAAAACATTAATACACTCAACGTGATGAACGCGGCAAACCCCAAGAAACGCAAGGTTGAGAAAAAAGTGGTGCGCAAAGAGGTGAAAAAAGTCGCTGTCGGCAAAGGAGCACTCGACGGCTTCTTCAAGAAAAAGGGCTAGTAGCTGTTTGTCACTACCGTATGTACATTAATTGTTCTTTGAGTCATCTTTCTCCTTCTCCTGTGCTGGTGGCTGTGGCTCGCTCAACACTTTTTGGGCCAATTCAGCGTCGTTTAATTGGTTGTAGATGTTCATACCGCTGGCAATCAGCTTAGGCAGGTTGTCTAGACTGGCAGGCAAAATAACCGTGTTCGTCTCCTTTGCCAGCTTTCCGAACGCCTCGACGTATTTTTCAGCAATGTTGAGCGACACGGCCTCCCTTCCATGAGGACTGTTTGCAATGGCGTCAGCAACCAGTCGGATAGACTCAGCGGTGGCCTTTGCCTTAAGTAGCATGGCATCGGACTCACCCTTGGCCCAGTTGATCTTCTTGCTTTTTTCGGCTTCGGACTTCAGGATCTCTGTCTGTTTGTGGGCCTCGCTGATATTGATCTCACTGAGCTTCAGACCCTCGGATTCCAAGATGTTGGCACGCTTCTGTCTTTCCTTCTCCACCACCTGGTTCATCGAGTTGATAACATTCACAGGAGGCCGAATATCTCTGATCTCGTATCTTAACACCTCGATACCCCAATCCTTGGCGGCCTCGTTGATGGAGGTGGTGATGTTGACGTTCAGCATGGTTCTTTCGCGCAGAACAAGGTCAAGCGCCATCTGGCCGATTTCCGAACGCATTGTGGTCTGGGCCAGCTGGATGATTGCGTAGTGTGCATCCTCGACTCCGTAGGATGCCTTGTAAGCATCTACCACCTTGTAGTACAAAACTCCATCCATTTCCAGAGTCACATTGTCAGCAGTGATAGCGTTCTGAGAGGGCACCTCAATGGCAACCTCTTTCAGCGACTGCACATACTGAATTTTGTCAATGAACGGTAGCAAGATCGCAAGACCTGGTTTTAGTATTCTGTTGAACTTTCCCATTCTCTCGACAATCCATGCCGTTTGTTGAGGAACGAACCGAATGATAGTGTTGGAAGGAAGGGTCGAGCGGTTGAAGAAGTTCAAGTTCCCCGTTGAGTACCGGCTTACCGAGACGAGCGGCCTGAACAGCTTGGCACTTTTAATTGGGCTGATTTGTTTCAATGGCGAAATCATGTTGGACGGCAACAAGTGAAAGAAATAATGGAAAAAAAAAAGTTTATACAATATTTTCAAAATAATATGGTCAGGGACTACGACATCTCCAACAACGAAAAACAGTTCGTGCTGGCAGCCTTGGAACAGAACATCCGACTGGATGGCCGCAAGCTGCTCCAGATGAGAGATGTCCAGATCTCTGTCTCCCGTGATGAGTATGGGTATGCTGAGGTGAGCCTGGGGAAGACCAAAGTTGCCTGTCGGGTCACGGCAGAAATCACCAAACCGTACGAGGATCGTCCGTTTGATGGGATTTTTCAAATTAGCACAGACATATCGCCCATTTGCTCGCCGTTCTTTGAGAGCGGGCTAACCACAGGAAGTAAACAATCGAACGACGAGATATTAATATCCAGACTTATTGAGAAGGCTGTGCGACGTTCCGGAGCGCTTGATCTTGAAAGTCTCTGCATAATTGCTGGTTCCAAGTGCTGGGCTGTCCGTGCGGACTTGCAATTTCTGAATTACGACGGGAATTTCATTGATATCTCGTCTATCGCTGTGATGGTAGCATTGCTACATTTCCGTAAACCTGACATGGAGATCGATGGAAACAACGTTATTCTATTTGACGAGGACCAGAGAAATCCAGTTCCGCTTTCAATACTGCACATTCCGCTGTGTTTCACGTTCCAGTTCTACAACCCAAACGACAATGAGGAGAATATAAAAGGAAACCTGAACAACGAGTTGATCTTGTTGGATGCAAACCTGATAGAGGAACGACTCAGCCTGGGCTCCATGACGCTCACTATCAACAAGAACAAGGAACTTTGTCAGATGGTGAAATGCGGAGGCCTCAACATCGATGCCAGCATGATTATGAACTGCTGTCAGCATGCCAGTAATTTGGTGGACGGTCTTACAAGAAAAATCAACGACGTGATAAGCAAAGATAACGAGCTTCGCAAGAACCCTGTTGAGAAAGAACTACAGGTGGTCAACAAAAGAGAAACTTAAATAATGTGCAAATCTACTTATTCTGCTCTTCTCTCCCATTCAATCTCAGCTGGCTCTTCAGGAAGAGTCACCATAGAAGAGTAATCAACTTTAGGAAGCTTGCTGGTCCACCTGAATGTTTGAATGAAGGTGACCAGAATTGTTCCCAGCTGAGTGTATGCAAATTGCTCACCAATACACCTATGTCTTCCACCTCCAAATGGCAGATATGGCGAGGAAACGCCCTTTGAAATGGTGCCGAATCCGTAGTCCACTGTGTCTGAATCGGACGATCCAGCGTTTTGAGACACATCCCATCTGTGGGGCTCGAACGTGTTGGCATTGGGGAAGTATTTTTCGTTTGTCATGGCGAAGCCTGGAGAAACAAGCACGTAATGGCCCTTTGGAACAATCATCTTGGTGTCTGGCACTTGCAATGGGTTCAGCACTTTTCTGAAAATCGAGTGCAAAGGCATGTGCAATCTCAGTGTCTCCTTGATGGTGTTGTTGACCAAAGTAAGGTGCTGCAGGTCCTCGTAGGTGACCTCTTTTCTGTCGCCAAGAACGGACTTGATCTCATTGTACAGCTCTTCCTGCAAATCTGGTCTCTCACCAAGATGGAGTAGGAACCACGACGAGGTGGAGGCAGAAGTGTGCTGACCTCCCATCAAAACGCCAATCAGCAGGTTAGCAATTTCTCTTTCAGTCATGGTCGTGCCGTCCTTGTATGTAGAGTTTTTCATCAAGGCGTCAACTAAATCTCTGTCTTGGATATCATTCTCCTGCTTCCGTTTGTTAATCAGTTTCATGTATGTGCTCGAAATAATGTTGTGTGCTTCGTCTCTTCTCTTGTATGAAGGGAGCGGCAAATTAGGGAACACAAAGTTGATCGGCGTGAATCCTTTGTCAAGGTCGGAGTACAGCTTAGCAAAACCAGTGTTGAGCATGTTTCTCATTTCTTCACCAAGCAAGGTTCTCGAGGCCGTGAAGATGGTGATTTCCGGCTGAGACTTCAGGACGTTAACTTTGCCCTTTTTGCCCCTAAACTGGCTCTCAGAATTCACGTAGTTAAGAACCTCTTCTCTGATTAGTGGGACGTACTTGATGAACGAATCCTTGGTCAAGGCCACTTTGGCGAATTTTTTTTGCTCCATCAGCTTCCAGTTTGGGCAGTCGTAAATCACCCCTTTTCCAAACACAGGCGTAGTCAGATGGGTGTACGCCTCTTCTGCAGAAACGTCATTCAGTTTGGCGTTCAAAATGAACTCGTGGCCCTTCGGACCAAGATACACAGTCATGACCTTTCCCAACAACAAGAAGGAGAAACAGTCACCGTATTTCTGCTGACACTGGGCAAAAAACTCATACGGTTGCATACCGTACGGGATGGCAGATCCCAGCCAAGGGATCCAGTAAAAAACGAGAGGCACTCTATCGTTTCTCAGGGAATATAATAATTGCCAAACAATAGAGTAGAGGAAAGGCAGAGCAACCACAATCATGATCTTCTGAGCCGTGCTCAGCGCCAAAATAACGTCAAACACGTACATTCCGGCGCTCTGAACTTCCTGAATCAAAGCAGCGGTTCCAGACATGGCCTAAAACGAACGATGTCACCAAATTTATATATCTTTTTTTCGTGATTTGAATAAAATGGTGTGTTTTCTTAAACGAAAAATACGATCGTCGCGTCGATCGTCCGCAATTCTGACCAATACTTTTGAACGTGGTGTCATCAAACGCGCCTCGTTCGATATCGTAAGTTCAGGTGATGCACCCCCTACCCACACTTGCAGCATATCTACAAAGCCTCGGTTGCGTAATCTTCTTGACTGACGTTTATTCGTCTATATACAGTTATTTTTTAAGCACTGGGATCTCGTCTTCGGGGCACTTCACAGCCTGCGTGAGTTCCACCAGCTCTTTCATAATATCATCAGAGTGTTTATTCTTGCAGTCGATCTTCTTTTCGCGACCATCCGCGTAAACCACCTTCAAAACACTAGGACACTTCAGTTGCTCTTCTTTTGTTGGGCAGTCGACTCTCGTGACCTCAATATTCACATCGGGGTTGTGGAAACAGATCGTCCGAAGATTCCACTTCCAGAACTGCTTCGCTCCCATGTGACCGTAGGCGTTGTGACTTTTAAAGATCAGATGTAATTTTGACACCTGGGGAAACTTGTATGCGGAATCCTTGTAGTTTGCAATCAAGTTTAGGTTTTCCCTTTGTCTCGCAAGACGGGACGTCGGGAGATCTTTCAGAAACAAAGCCCGCGAGGCCTTTGGAAGCTGGCTTGCTCTCGTCATGAAGAAGAATATACTAAAAGTTTTTTTCTCTCGAAATTCTACATCCTTACACAGAACACTGGTTGTCGATATATACAGTACTAAACGTTGCGCTCCTTACACCACTTTTGGAGCCAAGGTCACAAGTTTGTTAAAGTTCTTACGTCTAAGCTCTCTAGCAACCACTCCATTCACTCTTGTTCCGATCGGCTCGTCCTTCTGGTTGATCAGAACACAAGCGTTGTCGTCGAATCTTATCACACTTCCGTCAGGTCTGAGGGTGGGCGACTTGGTGCGCACAATCACCGCGCGACAGATGTCGCCTCTCTTCACTCTGTTACTGGCACTTGCGCCTGTGAGATGCTGGTTGAGAGACTTTGCGTTCTGGACAACGACAACGACCTTGTCGCCGATATTGGCGTGGTTGGTTGGCTTCTTGCCAAGTACCTTGATGCACTCAACAAGCTCTGCGCCAGAATTGTCCACAACCCGCAGCATAGTTTTGAGGAAGATCATGATGAGAAGATGTATTTGGTCCAACACTTTTTCGATATATTTTTTCAGGCTGCCATCTTTGCACCACGCCGACGTCTAGCTCAAATTACGTAAATTCAGATTCGCAGACGCGTAACCTGTTGACGGCAAAATAATCATTCAATAGTTTGCACCTTAATTATGGAGTCAATCAGAGTGGACGCCAGCATCATCTCGCAATTCACGAAAAAGACCGTTCGTGTCATCGGCAAACTCATCGACAAGTCCACGGGCGCCGGTACTGCGATCGTCCAGTGCAACGGCTCTATCCAGCTGAAATTCCAAAACCAGCAGGCCCTGCTCGAGTCGCTCACGCTGAACAACTGGTACGAGTGTATAGGAATAGTGGACTCAGACAACAGCGTAAAGGTGATCCAGATTATTGACTTTGGCGACCAAATCAGCGAGCCTGCCGTGACGAAGCTGGTGGAAATGAGCCACAAGGTGCCGGAGCTATTCTACACCAGTCTGAGCTAACTGAATTTACACGTGGTTAATATCGCTAAATGTATTTGTGTCTTAATCGTCCCATCTCCGTTTCTTCATCTTTCTGTAGGAACTGTCCAACGTCGCGCTCTGTAACCGTTTGCTTGGGGCGTACCAGCCGACCTCGCTCGGGAATGGGGCAGGCGTGGCGTAGTTCGTGAGAGAACTCATAGTGTACGACCAGCCGGCGGTGATAGTCGAGTAAACAACAGGAGTTCCTGAGATGGTGGAGTAGTACGTCACAGAGGAGGCAGGGAACCTTCTGGACCACGTGGTGGCCGTCACTTTGCTCCCAGGCTGAGTCTGCATTGGAGCGTATCTCGTTTTCCCCGTCTGTTTCGTGTATGGAATGGTGAACCAGGCAGAGTTGATGGACTGCTGCACACTAATCTGCTGAGCTTCAGGAGGATCGCCGGTACCCGAGGTCTTCAAAGTACCAGTCATACCTTCCAGCTTGAATCTGTCCGTGTAGTGAATCGTGTAAGATTGAGAGCCGTAGTCTGCGTAAATTTGAACGTAGTAGTATCCGTCTGCGCCAACGCTAGCCTCCACGGACGCCTGGTACGTATTGTCGTCGAGGTCGCTTAATGTGATGGATGATGCCAGGCTGGCTCTTTGCTCGATATCGTCGTTCGGACCGGTCATGAGCAGCAGAGTGAATGAAAGAGCGTCCTTGATGTTAGGCGATTCGCCGTCATCTTTGAAGGTAACGTTAAACTTCACGGTGGAGCCGTCAACCGTGAAAGTGTCGCCCTCACTTGGCGAGACTGGCTCCACATCTGCGAACACGCCAGTCCACAAAAAGACCAGCGAATAAAACCAATATATCGTCCGCATGGTGTATCGTTTTTTTCTATTTATAACAGAAACTAGTGAACCTTTTTTTCACATTCCAGGTGCTTTTGACTTTTCTGCAATATTATTACAAACACCCGTACACCACGTAGGCTCCGCCTTGATTATTCTGCTCCTTGGAGCTGGCCGATGAAGTCGCCGACCTGGTCGCCCTTGCGCATCAGCGCCTCGCCGATGAGGAATCCAAAGACACCGTGCTTTTTGTAGCTCGACACGTCCTGCGGCGACGAAATACCGCTCAGCGCCAAAAGGAGAGTGTTTGGTCCGTTATTTGGAAGCAGCTCGTTCAATTTCACTGTGGTGGAGAGATCCACGCTGAAGTCGTGCAGGTTCCTGTTGTTCACTCCAATGACCTTGGATCCCACCGCAACGGCCACTTGCATTTCCTCCACGTTATTGACCTCCACCAAAGGCTCCATTCCGAGGCTTCTGGAGTACGCAATCAGCTCTTTGAGCAGCTCGAGCTCCAGCATCTTGACAATCAGCAGAACCGTGTCTGCTCCCGCCAGTCGGGCCTCTAGAATTTGGTACTTGTTGAAGATAAACTCCTTCCGCAAAATACACGGTCTATTGGCCACAGAGTCAATGGCTTTTCTGGCCACCTCCAGGTCCTGGATATTTCCTTTAAACCAGGTTGGCTCGGTCAAAACAGAAATTGTGGCAACTCCAGCCTTGGCGTAGGTGAGGGCCTGTTTGGCAGCGTTAGCGGCTCCGTCGATGACGCCTTTAGAAGGCGACGCTCTCTTGATTTCGCTGAGAATTGCAACCTTGCCGGCGCTGATGTTCTGCTCCAATCTGTCGTAAAAATTGATTAGCGGCGGTGCCAGTCCCATGGACAAGTACAGTTCTAGATCAGCAAATCTGCGCCCCGGTCTGTTCATCTCAAACTCGTAGTCTTTTCGTCTCTGCGCGTATATTTTCTCCAATATGCTTTCCTTTCTCTGAGGCGCGCCGTTGGCATTTTCCTCCCAGTAACCACCGGAAACGTTGAGGATGTTCTGGATCATCAGATGGCCCTCCTCAGTCAGAATGCTCTCTGGATGAAACTGGACGCCCTCGATGGTGTACTTCTTGTGTCTCACACCCATAATGATCCCGTTATCTGTGCGAGCAGTGATCTCTAGACAGTCCGGAAGCGACTTGAGCGTTCCGGCCAGCGAGTGGTATCTGGTGACAGCAACATCTTGCGGAACGTTTTTGAACATTCCCTTGTTGTCGTGCTTAACAGTGGACGTTTTTCCATGGACAATCTCGCCCGCGTACTCGACGTCTCCGCCAAACTCCTCGAAGATACACTGCTGGCCCATACAGACGCCAAAGACAGGAATCTTGCCTTTAAAATGGCTGATCACGTCGCGAGATATTCCGGAGTCTGTTCTTGGATGGCCAGGACCAGGGGATATCACCACAACGTCCGGCTTGAGCTGCTCAATCTCCGGAATGGTGATCTGATCGTTCCTGAAAACCTCGACATTGGCTCCCTCCTGACACAGGTACTCGTACAGGTTCCAGGTAAACGAGTCGTAGTTGTCGATCATGACAACGTTCTTAGAAGCGGCCGGCATTTTGAAGGTGACTAATAGCCTAAGAAAATATTTAATTTAATTTTCATTAAATTTTCCTATACTCGCTATTTCAGCTTTTCATCTCATCACTTCATAAACGATATAAACCAGAAAAAGAACTATTTTCAAACACGCTTCTCAAAAGCGGTATGTCCTTCCACGTCTCCTTAGAATCTGGCAAGTCCGGTCTCCTCGTAAGTTCCGAGTCTGAAGTTTGGAATCGTCATGTCCAGGTCGGAGCCTGAGTAGCCAAGATCTTCAGCAACAAGAGTGGCAGCCTTCTCACCGATGGTCAATGCAGTAGAGTAGGTGTTGCATCCAACGTTGTCGGGACAAACAGAAAGGTCCGCAACCTTGAGGTTCTGGACTCCGTAAACGTTCAGTCTGGCGTCCAAGACACCTCCCTTAGGAGCAATCTTACTACCCTCTCTTGGGGCCATCGAGCAGGTACCCAGACAGTGCCAAGTGGTCTCGGTGTGTTCCTTAATGTAGTTGACGATGGCCTCGTCGTCCTCCTCGGTGTACTCGATGTCGGAGTGCAGTTGGACTTGGTTGGAGGTCACGTGGAAATCGTTCTTAGGCGTTGGCTTGTCGATAGGAACGGTCCACGAGCCGTGGTACAGGTTGGCAGTGAGGTGCTTAGGACCGGCATATGCACTGCATGTCTCGAGGTCCAGGTCTCTGGCTCTGGCTGGCGAGTCAACCTTGAACAATGGGTGGTGCGAGGTGACCTCTCCTGCAAAGCTCTCCATTCTTCTGGCCGTCTCTCTGGACTTCTTGTATGCCCAGACCATAGGCCACAGGTCTCTTTCGTCATTGAGGAAGCCGGGATCGAAGTCAGGAGCGTCGTATGGGTTTGCCGAGGTGATTCTAACAAATCCTCTGGAGAATGGATACTCCAGGAAGTGGAACATGGTCATGAACTTGCCGTTAGGAATCTTGGTGTGGTCTCCAAAGAAGCCGGAGATGACAGAGTAGTGCATCAGAGGCTTGTCTGGCTTGTTCTCGAAGTACTCTGCGTAGCCGCGTCTGAAGTCCTCGTCCGCGGTAGCCAGCTCCTCTTCGGTAGGTCTGATCTTGACTCCGGCTTCAATACCGTTGGTGGTCAATGGACCGTCCTTGTTGGAGTACCACTGGTCGAAAGCGGCCTTCTGGGCAACTGGGTCACCCCTGACAAAGTCGTCGAACGTAGGAACGTCAGGCTTGACGTAGTATGGAGTGAAGAAACAGTAGTGGTCCTGGAAATTCTCACCCACACCTGGCAGGTCGACGATTGGCTTGACCCCCACGGATCTCAAGTGGTGAGCTGCACCAATACCAGATCTCTGGAGCACCAGAGGAGACGAGATGGTTCCGCAGGAGATCACAATCTGCTTTCTGGCTCTGAAGGTTCTGGACACAGGCTTCTTAGGGTTCAGAGGCTTCATTGGCACTGTTCTCACGGCCACAGCCTTGCCGTCCTCGATGATCACCTTGTCACACTTGGTGGAGGTGATGAGGAACAGGCTCTGCTTGTTTCTCATAGTTGGGTGGACGTAGGCGTGCGCAGAATCCGATCTTCTGCCCAGGTCTCTGTTAATCCACTTCAGCCAGTGCTCTGCACCATGCGATGTCTTGAAGTCCTCCAGGTCGTCCACAACAGGAATTCCCTGCGACTCTGCTGCTCTCAGGAAGTCCTGGCACGTAGGATACGTGTAGTTTCCAAAGGAAACCTTGATTGGGCCGTCAAAGCCGTGCAGATCTCTGTTGTTGCAAGGACGCTGGTAAGTTTCGATTTTTTTGATCAGAGGTAGCAACTCGTCGGTGCTCCATCCCTCGGACTCCCAGTCGTCGTAGTCGGAAGCAGAGGCTCTGGTGTACATCAGAAAGTTGATCGACGAGCCGCCTCCAAGGATGTTGGCGCAAGGAACGATCGCTCTTCTGCCGTTCAGAGCCTTCGATGGTCTGGACGAGTAGAAGGTGGCCGTCTTGGAGTCGAGTCTCATGTTTCTAGGATACACTCCGGGAAGGTAGACCCAAGGGTTGTTGATGTTGTTCTCACCACCCTCGATCAGGGCAACTGTGAGGTTTTGGTCGTCGAGGTTTGCGAGTCTGCCCGCAATGCAGCAGCCGGTGGAACCTCCACCAACAACAATGATATCGAATTCGTCAGGAATGGCCATTTTGTTTTTGTACTTTAGATTGATGTCACCACCGTGCACTGGCAGCAGTATTTATAGATGGACCGTGTGGGGACGGTTGGGTACACTTAGCGGCAGCGCTGACCCCATCTGTGATCAAGTAGGGCAAAAACTGGGGATGTCGGAGTCACTGCACGGTAGCATAAGAATTTACTTTCTGGCCGGTTCACCCGCATTTGCACTGTGGAGAAACAGCCTGTCCGACACCCCACCAGTTGCCACATCGGCCCTCTGCTGCTCTGGTGATTTTCTGGTAGCAGGCACAGACAGCAGTGGGTAGCGCCGTCCGGTTAGGCAAGGTCACGTTGTAGGCTACGCCAGCAAACAGAGCCTCACATGACACCATCCAGCTGCGTCCTCGAAGCGAAAAGTTCGGTTGCGGCTGCAGAACCCCCTCAGTTGCCAGATTCACAAGTTTTACGCGACGGCTAAAGCGAGTGGGTTTTAAAAACTTGCGGTGCAAGGATGCATGCGGCAACAATTAATTGGTGCATCCAGCACAGCAAGCCCAGTCTCGAGATGTCCAGTCGCTACAGAGTGGAGTACGCACTCAAGGAACACCGTCGAGATGGCCTCATAGAATGGATCAAGGGCCTGCTGGCCACGCCGTTCGTCCTGTACGCGGTGAAGAGCAACGGCATCTCTGCAGTGGACGACCTCATGGTAAACTCTGAGGCAAAACGCCGCTACGCGGAAATCTTCCACGACCTTGAACTCCTCATCGACGACAACATTGAAATGACCAAAGCCGGCACCCCCGAATTGTCTCGGCTCGTGCAGCTGGTTCCGAGCGTTGGCAACTTCTTCACGAGACTGCCTCTGGAAAAGGCCTTCTACATCGAGGACGAGCGCCGCGCCATCAGCAAACGCCGGCTTGTGGCCCCCTCGTTCAACGACGTCCGGCTCATTCTCAACACGGCCCAGCTGTTGGAGATGTCGCGGTTCTTCCATTCCAAAACCATCCGAGATCGCAAGCTGCAGCTCATTACATTCGATGGTGACATCACACTGTACGACGACGGCAAAAATTTCGATGCCGAGTCGCCCATCCTGCCCCACCTCATCAAACTAATGGCCAAGGACCTCTATGTGGGTATCGTCACCGCGGCCGGCTACAGCGACGCGAACAAGTACTACGAGCGCCTCAAGGGCCTCATCGACGCCGTCCAGACGTCCCCGCTGCTCACAGGCCACCAGAAAGAGAACCTGTTCATTATGGGCGGCGAGGCAAACTACCTCTTCCGGTACAGTAACGAGGAGCAGAAATTACGCTTCTACTCCAAAGACAGATGGCTGCTCGAGAACATGCTGAATTGGTCCGAGGAGGACATTCATCTGACACTGGACTTTGCGCAGGACGTTCTAAACGACCTCGTTCACAAACTGGGCTCGCCAGCCACCGTGGTCCGCAAGGAGCGTGCCGTCGGCCTGGTTCCATTACCGGGCCACAAGCTGATCCGCGAGCAGCTCGAGGAGATCGTTCTCCGCGTCGACAAGCGTCTCAAACAGTTTCCTCCCGCCAGGAAGATCCGCTGGTGCGCTTTCAACGGCGGCTCAGACATCTGGGTCGACATTGGCGATAAAGCGTACGGTGTGAGGGTGCTCCAAAAATTTATCAGTTCCAACGATAAGATCAACATCAAGGCCGAGAACACGCTGCACGTCGGCGACCAGTTCAACTCGCTCGGTTCGAACGACTACGCAAGCCGCACAGCAGCAACCACATGCTGGGTGTCTAGTCCGGACGAGACGAAGAACCTGCTCATAGACTTGGTTAAGTACATCGACGACTGGGCCACTTACTGATTACGTCAGCACACGTCATGGTGGTAAATTGATAGAGATAAAAAAAAAGCTCACTTTAATTAATTCCGGTTTTACAGTGGAGAAAGTTGAGTAAAACTATTTGGTCCTGCATATTGCTATGGTTAACAGTCTGTGATTGAGATTGTTGATTTTTGCTTTTCAGGCTTCCCGTAACTGAAACTCTCATCACTGATTTTGCTATCGACAACAAACCATGTTCGGCGTACTGTTTGCTGCGATCGGCGTCTGGGTCTCCTACTTGTATCCCTTGGCGGAATCGTTCAAACTGTTGACCAACGTGGACCAGTCACGACAGTCCATTGTTTTGCCGCCTCAGAGCCAGTTCCAAAGATGGTTTGTGTATTGGCTTGTTCTCGCTGTTTGCACGCTGGTTATCTCCAACAAGCTAGTGCGCACTGTGCTTAGTTTCGTTCCCTTCAGCTCGCTGGTTACCCTGTATCTGCGGATCTGGCTGGTTTTTCCGCTGGTTTCCGTGGACTCTTCGGGCACCAGCGTCACAGGCTCGTATATTCTCTACCACCACTATCTCAAGAACTGGCTGGTTGTGCTGAACCATTATGTTGGCGACCTCAAGACCACCGATGTGGCCACCTACGGCGCCGGCTTCTACAACAGGATCATTGACCAATACGTGCCCAATTACCAGTTCCTCAAGCTTAATGTGGCGTCCAAACAGGATAAGTCTACCGTCGAGGTGGTGAACGAGCTGTGGCAGTCGTCTGGCTGGAGAGATTCATCCACCGGCCAGACTGTGATGGACTACTATCCTCAGCTACTGTTCTCATCGCTGATTTCGCCGATCAAGAGTATGGTGTTGAATGAGCACAAAGACGTGCGGGATGAGTACGACGTGGTCAATAAAGACGAGTTACACAGCGCTAACGCAAGCACCACGAGTCTGCCGCGGCTCCAGAATCGCAGCTCGTCGGGATCGCTGCGCAAGGTGACTCCGTCGGGCACGGACGCCCAAAATAGACGCGCGTCGTGGGGATTTGGCTGGAAATCCAGAAACAGCTCTGCTACTTTTGCGAATGAATAGTTACGACTCTGATTTCAAGCTTTTTATTATGTTGGATTTATATGTACAGGATTATAGCTGGATATGTTGGGAAATGAATTCTTCTGTTCTGAGCCGTTTGTCCTGGTGCATGGCCTTGTCTTTGAGATTTCTCATCTGTCTCTCGACGATTTTCGGGACAAAGTTCATCGGCTGCGGATGTCTGTCTATGATTCCCTCGAATGCCTTCGAAGGTTTCAGCTTGTCCGATCCGACAGCCTCTAGCTTGTCCTCTCTGTATGCGTCTCTCTGCTCGATGAATTCTGCCTGGTTTTTGAAGAACTCTGTCTCTTCCGGCCACACAAATGGGTCGATCATATCCACGGTCATTTTCTTCTTTTGCGCGACCCTGTGTCTAGAACTGAACCCTGGACCAATCGGATACTCCCATTTTGCGGGCGTCAGAGCAACAGTCACGTTCAGCACACGCAGGCCGTATAAATGGTACAAATAGTCTCTTAGGTCCAGCTTGTTGAAAGACTTAGGCACCAGAAATTTGGCCTGGTATGGCGTCTGTTTGGCGTTAGGTCGTAATAATGTAATCCTTGCTGATGGAAAGTACAGTTTCTTGGCACCCACAGTGAAATGCGGCTCGTCGTTCTCGATCGCTTCCTTTACCAATTGGACGATTCTTTTGGATTTCTTTGCACGCTCCTCTCTCGGAATGGTCGGCTTTTTCTTCTGAGCAAAAGGACGCAGACGGCCCATGATTATGGTCCGCTGCGGCTGGACGATAGTGCGCTCGAAAAGCCCGCTGCTGACCGTTTTGAATCGTGCAAACATGGCGATAAAAAGGTTGGGAAAAAATATTCAATATTGACCCCGTTGAAAATTCCCATCTCGTACTTGTGTCCGGGTAATTTCGGTGAAGGCTAGTTTTCGTTGAAAAAAAAAAATTACTTGAAGGCGAATACTCCTAGATAAACATCTTGTTTTCTGGTAAACACTTTGTCTGAATCGTTGGAAAGTGTTCGCATTCACCAAGTCTAGTGCGCTTTGAATTTGGAACCGTTTGAGAGTTACTTCCAGCAATTGATATTCATTAAAGTGTATTTTTCAGCATAAACATGTCTTTCGACGAAAGTATGTATGACGTTCCAGATTACGAGATGATCACGACAGAAGACTGTTGGACAGTCATCTCGTCGTTCTTTGAGGAGAAAGGTCTTGTCTCGCAGCAGCTGGACTCGTTCGAAGAGTTTATCGAGTCGTCCATTCAGGAATTGGTTCTTGAAGATAAAAAATTGATCCTTGATCAACCAGCACAGCATATTACAGAGGACGACGACGTGAACAGAAGATACGAGATCACATTCGGAGATATTTTTCTTTCTAAACCTTCCCAGACAGAAGCCGACGGTACCACCAGTACTCTCCTCCCGCAGGAGGCAAGATTGAGAAACCTCACCTACTCTGCTCCTTTGTACGTTGAAATGAAAAAAATGGTCAAGGAAAGTATAGATGACGATGATGTGGTGACGACACAAGTTGTTTGGTACAGAGAGGGCGAAATCACCAGATATAGAAACGGTGAGATCGAGCAGGACGAAATGGTCATTATGCCTCCTAACTTTGACGATGACAGCGACGATATCATAGAAGAGAGACATGGCATCAAGGTGCATCGGTCTGGTGCTGAGTCACAAACGATTTTCATAGGTAAGGTGCCGATTATGTTGAAGTCCAAGTTCTGTTCTCTGTATGGTCTTTCGGAGGACGAACTTTATGAAATCAGAGAATGTCCATTTGATATGGGAGGATACTTTATCATCAACGGTTCCGAGAAGGTTTTGATTGCCCAGGAGAGATCTGCGGCCAATATTGTGCAAGTTTTCAAAAAGTCTGCTCCGTCTCCTGTGTCCCACGTTGCTGAGCTCAGATCCGCGTTGGAGAAAGGTTCGAGGCTCATTTCTTCTATCCAAGTCAAGCTCGCAAGAGGAGGTGCTTCCAACTTCAAGAGCGGTGGTGTGGGGAGATCGATCAAGGCTACTCTTCCATATATCAAGGCTGACATTCCGATCGTGATTGTGTTCAGAGCTTTGGGGGTGATTGAGGACGGAGACATTTTGCAGCACATTTGTTACGATGAGAATGATTGGCAGATGCTTGAGATGCTGAAGCCTTGTATCGAAGAAGGATTTTTGATCCAATCGCAGGAAGTCGCCCTGGATTACATCGGAAGAAGGGGAAACTCGATTGGTATCAAGAAAGAGAGACGTATCCAGTACGCCAAAGACATTTTGCAGCGTGAGTTCCTTCCTCACATTTCGCAAGATTCCGGTTACGAAACCAATAAAGCTTATTTCCTTGGTTACATTGTCAACAGACTGCTTTTGTGCGCTTTAGAAAGAAAAGAACCAGATGACAGAGATCATTTCGGTAAAAAGAGACTGGATCTTGCTGGTCCGTTGTTAGCCAATTTGTTCAGGATTCTATTCAGAAAATTGTCCAGAGACATTTACAGATACATGCAGAGATGTATTGAGAGAGGTGACGACTTCAACATCGTCAGTGCTGTGAAGTCCAACACCATCACCTCTGGTCTGAAGTACTCTCTCGCTACCGGAAACTGGGGAGAGCAGAAGAAGGCCATGAGCAGTAGAGCTGGTGTCTCTCAGGTGTTGAACAGATACACGTACTCTTCGACATTATCGCATTTAAGAAGAACCAATACGCCTATCGGAAGAGACGGTAAGCTGGCCAAGCCACGTCAATTGCATAATACACACTGGGGTCTCGTTTGCCCTGCCGAGACTCCTGAAGGACAGGCCTGTGGTCTGGTGAAGAACTTGTCGTTAATGGCTTGTTGTTCCGTTGGTTCCGCTTCCGAGCCTATCACTTACTTATTGGAGGAGTGGGGATTGGAACCGTTATCTGACTACGAGCCACAGGAGCATAAGAACGCAACGAGAGTGTTCTTGAACGGAAACTGGGTCGGAACTCACAGAGACCCTGCCATGTTGGTTGAAACTATGAGACAACTTAGAAGAAGTGGTACCATTTCTCCAGAGGTCTCTTTGATTAGAGACATTAGAGAGAGAGAGTTTAAGATCTTTACCGATGCAGGAAGAATCTATAGACCGCTGTTCATTGTCGATAACGATCCTGATAGCGAGCACAAGGGTGAATTGAAGTTGACGAAAGAGCACTGCCGTAAAATCCTGGACAGAGAAGTGGAAGAGATCGTGCAGGATGAGGAATTCGACGACGAGGGCCAGCCTTTGGGTCCTGTTCAAAGAGTGTTCGGTTGGGAATCCTTGCTGAGCAACGGTATCATCGAGTATCTTGATGCAGAGGAGGAGGAGACGGTTTTGATTGCCATGTCTCCAGAAGACCTGATCTCTTCTGCCAGCGCAGAAGTACAGAAAGCCGGCCGTGACTTGGATCCTGCGAAGAGAATCAAGAACGTTGTGAAGGCCCACTCCTTTACTCACTGTGAGATTCATCCGTCGATGATTCTCGGTGTTGCTGCCTCGATCATTCCGTTCCCAGACCACAACCAGTCTCCAAGAAACACCTATCAGTCTGCGATGGGCAAGCAGGCCATGGGAGTTTTCTTGACGAATTACAGTGTCAGAATGGACACTATGGCGAATATCTTGTACTATCCTCAAAAGCCGCTAGCAAAGACGCAGTCTATGGAGTACCTGAAGTTTAGAGAGCTTCCTGCTGGACAGAATGCCATAGTGGCCATTGCCTGCTACTCTGGTTACAATCAGGAAGACTCGATGATTATGAACCAATCGTCTATTGACCGTGGTTTGTTCAGATCGCTCTTTTTCAGATCTTACATGGATCAGGAAAGAAGAAGCGGTATATCTGTGGTGGAGGAGTTTGAAAAGCCAATGCGTTCCAGCACCCTGGGCTTCAAACAGGGTACCTACGAAAAGCTCGACGATGACGGATTGATTGCTCCTGGTGTTCGTGTTTCCGGAGACGATATTATCATTGGTAAAACCGTTCCTATTCCACCAGACACAGAGGAGCTTGGGCAAAGAACCAAATACCACACAAAAAGAGACGCCTCGACTCCACTGAGAACAACTGAGAGCGGAATCGTTGACCAAGTGCTTTTGACCACCAACGCCGAAGGACTCAAGTTCGCCAAGGTCAGAATGAGAACGACCAAGGTGCCGCAGATTGGAGACAAGTTTGCCTCTAGACATGGTCAGAAGGGTACCATAGGTATCACGTATAGACATGAAGACATGCCGTTCACGGCACAGGGCATTGTTCCAGACCTGATCATCAACCCGCATGCCATTCCTTCCCGTATGACAGTCGCCCACTTGATCGAGTGTTTGCTGTCCAAGGTGGCGTCGATGAGAGGTTACGAAGGAGACGCCACTCCATTCACGGACCTGACTGTGGACGCGGTGTCGAAACTCCTCAGAGAGAATGGCTACCAGAGCAGAGGTTTCGAAGTGATGTACAATGGACACACCGGTAAGAAGCTCATGGCGCAGGTGTTCTTTGGTCCTACCTACTACCAGAGACTAAGACATATGGTGGACGACAAGATTCACGCCAGAGCCAGAGGACCATACCAGAACCTAACCCGTCAACCTATGGAAGGTAGAGCTAGAGATGGAGGACTCAGATTCGGAGAAATGGAGCGTGACTGTATGATTGCGCACGGTGCGGCCGGATTCCTGAAGGAGAGACTGATGGACTCGTCTGATGCTTTCCGAGTCCACATCTGTGGTATCTGTGGTTTGATGAGTGTCATTGCCAATTTGAAGAAAAATCAATTTGAATGCAAGTCTTGTAAGAACAAGACCAACATTTACCAAATCCATATCCCATATGCTGCCAAGTTATTGTTCCAGGAGCTGATGAGCATGAACATTGCGCCAAGACTGTACACCCAGAAAAGTGGAGTTACCACCAGATAATGTGCCACTGAGCTGGGTCAAAAAAAATAAAATATGTAAATTAAGATGGAGATGAAATTCAACTATTGTTAAGTGTGTTGGTCGTATATACACAAGTAGTTATGAGCCGCGCTCTCGCAGTTATATTTTTCTTCCGGCCATTTGCTTCTCGTACTCCTCCAGCAGCCTGGTCTTCTCTTCTAATTTCTTAACCTTTTCCAGGACGATTGGCTGTTGGTCTGCAAATGCGATAAGATTTTGCTTGTACGGGTGGTCTGAGCCGTCAAACACTTTAAGCCTATTGAGTCTGGTCCACCTGTGCTTGTTCTTAGGCAGCATCTTGCTCACCGCTCTCTTGATTACCTCTCCATATCCGTAATCCTTAATGATCTTCTTCATTGGAGTCGCCTTGCCCGATCCCGGCCGAGTAGAGTGCGACCAGTATGTCTTGTCGTTCAGTTTATTCCCGGTCACACGCAGAAACTGCGCGTTTGACACCACGACGTAGTCTCCAGCGTCCTGGGTCTCGTGCGGGATAGGCTTGTGTTTTCCTATCAAAGTGATTGCGATCTGCGAAGCCAAACGTCCCAACGTTCTTTTGTCCTCGGCAAGGTCCACGTGGTGCCACACCCGGGTGAACCCGAGTCCCGTCTTGCCTATTTTATTCGACATCTAACAAACACTTTCAATTATATCTATTTTTTTTTTCCACTTCTCGTCCAAATAAAATTGCGTCAGCGAAAACAGCCATGAAAAATAATTCAGAAATAAATCCAAACCAACCATGTTCTTTATAAAAGATCTCTCGCTTAATTTGACGCTGCATCCATCCTACTTCGGTCCGCAGATGAATCAGTATCTTCAACAGAAGTTACTGACTGACGTTGAAGGAACATGTACCGGTCAATTTGGATACATCATCTGTGTTTTAGACAGCATGAGCATCGACGTGGGGAAGGGAAAAATCGTGCCCGGTCAACAAGGATACGCCGAGTTCGAGGTCAAGTACCGTGCGGTTGTTTGGAAACCATTCAAGGGAGAAGTCGTCGACGCAATTGTCTCTTCCGTCAACAACATGGGCTTCTTTGCCGATGTGGGACCCCTATCTGTTTTCATATCCAAACATCTGATCCCCAAGGACATGAAATACACACCTTCGCACACTCCTCCAGCTTACATCAGCGAGGACCAGGTCATCATGAAAGGCTCCAAGGTCAGAATAAAGATTATTGGTACGAGATCTGACGTCAACAGCATCAGCGCAATCGGAAGCATAAAGGAAGACTATCTGGGGCCTCTGTAGCTCTTATGCACGGATGGGTCTCCGCGTTGCGGTTCTCACGTTTGTATATTAGTCTGGCTTGAACTTTCCGTCTTTATCGGCACATCTTTACACCGGTTGAGGCTCCGCCTACGTAACGGAAGGCCAATAATTTATTACAAAGATATTTTTAGTCCCAAAAAAGCTTATCATGTCAGCAACTATCAACCGCTCTCTGACCACTGTAAAGACCGTAAGTGCGTCGCACGTTAGCTCTAACACCACAGGAACTTGAATTCCTCGCAGAATCCAATGTGATCACCCACAACTTGATGAATCAAATACTGAGCTCCCTACCAGATAAATATATAGAGGGGATGCCGCCAAGGGACGTGGGATCGGCAAACAACTCACAGCCAGCCGCCCCACCAGCCTACACCCAGTCTAGTCTATCATCGACCCCAACCGAGTACGCCGAAGCGCTCTATGACTACAAGCCTCAACAGCCCGAAGATGTGGAACTCAGAGCAGGAGACAAGATCACGGTGATTCAGAAAATGAGCACTTCGTGGTGGAAAGGTACCGTTGGTGGCAGAACTGGAATGTTTCCTGCAAACTACGTCAGGCTTCTTGGACCGGCACCGTCCCCTGCCCCGATCCCGCAGCCATACCAACAGCAGCCAATTTCTCCAATGTATGCTCCACAACAGCAGCCGCAAGAGTATACGCCGATGTCCGTCGCTGGAGAGCCCCAGGGAGGACAGCACAATGCCATGTTTAAGAAATTCGGCTCGAAGCTCGGGAATGCAGCTATCTTTGGTGCCGGTGCTACAATAGGAAGTGACCTGGTCAACTCCATTTTCTAACGAGCCCCTTTATGATTTCACTACTTGCTTTCCAAACCTCATATAGTAATTATCAAATACATACGTCACATACGTATACTGATTAGCATTTTCTAACTGTCTCTCAACAGTACTAAAATTGGTATGGTGTTTCACTATAATACACACCCTCGTCTATGCTGGTATTCTTCCCCTTTGTGTTTACTTTCTTCTGAATGCGCATCCCTCAGACAGCTTGGCCTTACCTCCAGTTGGCGTGCACAACACAGTGGTGCAGGAATCGCAAGTGACGGCAGTTTGGGCGTGGGAGAAAACAGTGGTGATTTGCAAGCATCCTGGACACTTCACGTCCATGAAAAATGATCTTGGCTCTTGCACGAGAGTCTTGAGCTTGTGCTTCTTGGCCTCGGAAGCCGCGCTTGGGTGTAGCAAGTCTTGAACTAAAACCATGTTAAATGTAAATGTCCAAAGTGTGAGTGAAAAATTTTTGAGCTTTTTCTGGACAGCGGCTTCCAAAGGTTTCTTTTTCGCAGGGGAAGGTTTACATTACATAATCTGTGAACAAATCCAAACTCTTTCCTAAATTATAAAAATAAAAAAAATATAAGAGACGGTGGAGGGAATAGCAGAGATGCTTACCCTGTGCTTTCTCACGTGACCTTGTTCGAAATTAGGTCCTAAAGATATTGCTACCTAAGTATATAGTGCCCGTTTAGTTGATTACCCAACTGATTAACAATATTTCATTGACAAACTAAATCACAAATAGGTAATAAAAAGTATAAGTGGGCTTCGATGGGACACATGACAGTGGCTTGCTCATTCCTGAACGATGAACATGTGGATTGCGACATAGTAAGCATCAAGCTTCTGATAATCATTTAGTAGGCTTCTTCTTGTTTTTCGGAGACTGGACCCCTGGCGGAGGCTGTGTTCCGTATCCGTATTTCTTCTTTTCTGCAGGTTTGAGAATCTGGAACGAGCACAATAAACTCTCGTCAACGCTCATCATGGCACCAGCGTTATCGAACTCTCCGCAATAGTTTGGAGCAGAAAATATGGTGACCAGCTGCCTTTTGCTGAAGAATTCGTATCCGTCTTCCACCACTTGATGCGCTCTACAGATGAGATCCATATCATGTTTTTGTAAAAACCTCGAAACCACGTCTGGTCCAAAGGTGAATGAGACACCTCGATCGTTCTCACTCCATCCAGTTATATCTTTGTCTGGGTCAGACCAGAGCAGGTCGCACAGTAGCCCCACATCTGGGATGTCAGTAGGTCTCATGACTCTTCTAATTTGCTCCATGGTGTTCAAATCTGGTGATAGTCCCCCATGCATCGTGAAGATCTTTTCATCGATGATAGCCGCAATAGGCAAACAATTGAAACAATCTGTGAAGGTTTTCCAAAGTTTGATATTATAGCGTCTCTTACACTCATCGTAGAAGCCGTAGATTCTGTTGATGGATGCACATTCGTGGTTCCCTCTAAGAATAAAGAAATTCTCTGGGTATTTGATCTTGTATGCTAATAATAAACAGATTGTTTCTAATGATTGCTTTCCTCTATCAACGTAATCTCCCAGGAATAAGTAGTTTGCCTCTGGCGGGAAGGCACCGTATTCAAACAGCCTCAGAAGGTCGTAATACTGCCCATGAATATCACCGCAGATTTTGATTGGGGCCTCAAGTTCAAGCAAAATAGGTTGTCTGATGAAAATTTCTCTGGCTTTCGTACAAAGGTATCTGATCTCAAATTCGTGTAGTTGGACCTGCTTACCTGGTCGGGAGCCTCTCACGTCGAGAAGCCTGTCGATGATGGATTCAATATCTGCTTCTTGTTCAGCCATAGTTAGGTGGCGGAGGCGTTAATTGCAGTGACAAGAGGCGATGGTTTTTAGCAAATATGTTTGTCAATGTGTCAAACGCGTGAATTGGCCGGAACGGACAAAGGTTCGCTAGTCTGGATAAAGGTTGTTATTTTTTTCCTTTTGTATCGGAACGTAGTGGCAACGCGTAAAAATAGTTACCCGCTGTTACTGATGGCTGTTAAAACTCGGACCACCGGTGTTGGAAGGTGGGTGGGATACACAAGGGTCTCGAAAGAGTGATTTAAAACTGTTTTAACAAAAACAAAGCCCGCTCCGTTGCTCTTTACTTGTTTTATTTTACAGCTTTCCCAATAAAATGGTCGTTGCAAAATTCGCCTTTCATCTGTCGGCCGGGTAATGTTGATATTTTTATCCAGGTGCGACACAACACGCCCTGTGCCTCCGGGTTCATCGCCGGACATGTATGCTTATCATCGTCCAGTTCTTTGTTCTACGCCAGGCACCTCCATTTCACGCAATGGCACACGGCTCCTTAGCCAGCGCGCCATCAACGCCATGTCGCTTATCTTTTCTGTCCTGTCGTGTAAGTTACAACTAAATTTTTTATATTCTCGACATCCCTTTCATGCTGAGAAAGACGCTAAGTGCTTTGCCGATTGCTCGCCGCGCATTCAGCTCCCGCGCGGCGTGTCGCCAGGGAGAGCATGGTGTGAACAATCACTCGGATCCTGTGGGAACAACGATCATTCTTCCGTCCCTGTCCATAGTGGAGAACTCTGAAAACGCGGGCCTCCCTGGATTGTTCAGTGATTCTGTCCTTAAGGACATCTGGACCGAGCAAACCGCCCAGAAATTGGACGACTTGAAGTATGGGATATCGGAGTCACCGCTCAGAAGCACTTTGGAATCCGCTTTTGTCGAATACAACTCCAACAAGAACGTTTTTCTCAAGGGACACAAGACGTCTGCTGCGAACCTGATGGAGGACTTTGCCATAACGACTAATAACCCCACCATAGACAAATACTACAAACTGTTATCCAAGACGGCAAAGAAACCTACAGAGCAGTTTGTGTTCCAGAATGCGTCTGCCATCTACAACCTGTACTACTTCCTCTCGTCCCTCAAACCTAACCCCGATAATACAGTTGCCAAGGTTGGAGTGGAGGAGCTTTACAAGACGCCGGACGTTTTCTCTGAAATCAAGAACGCCCCTCGTCCAGAGTTCGAGTCACAGATCGAGGCCTCTTTCGGCTCTCTGCAGGAATTCAAGACTCTTTTACTGTCCACCGCCAAGGCAGTGAAAGGAAACGGATACACCTGGCTGGTGTACAAGTTCAGACAGCCCGAGCTGGGGCAGGAAACGAGAGACCTGTCGAGATTCTCGTCGCTGGCGATTCTGAACACCTACAACCACGGCACTCCTCACCATTTCAGAGCCGGACAGATCTCGAATGCCAGGGCTTTCAAAAAACAAAAGTCAGAATCGTCCGAGGAGGATGACGGTTCTTTTTCCATGTACAAAATCGACATTCCTTCGTTGGAACAGGCACAGGACACATACGACCCGTTGAAATACGTCTATGAGCCGCTCATGGCCATTGGTAACAATCCATCCTTCTATCTGAGAGACTATGGTGTGTTTGGAAAGGCTAGATACCTTGAGAACGTGTGGAACTGCATAGATTGGAGCGTCGTGGAGACCCGGTGGGCCAATAGAGCTCTGTCTACAAGACGCTAATGTATATAGATTATGTCATGCAAGGAAAAAAAAATTTAGAAAAATTGAGCTCTTGTTGCTTACTCTAACCGGCTCCAATGAAAAACCTTCGAATCCTCAACATTGGCCAGGTGGCGCCTGAGTCCAGAACGTACCCGGATCTGGAGGTTGTGGACTCTGTCTTTGACGTCGTCTCCGATTCCCTCACCATTGTGATGGGCTCTGAGGAAAGCCAGACATTGGAGGTCCAGCAGTTCATGAAGACGGGCCAGATCAACATTCTGGCGTCTCTTCCCGTTCGTGAGTTTGACAAGATGGTCTCTTTTGTTCATTTTGCAGACAGCTGCCAGCTCGTGGTCATCTTTGAACAGGGAGATATCCTAAGTGCCGTGTACGACGCAGCCAGCCCTGATCCCGACTCCACGGTCATAGAGATTGTTGGATCTATAGATAGCGGGATTAAGTGTGCAAGATGGTCACCTGATGAGGAGACTCTTGCGGTTTTGACCGGGGAAAACAACCTGGTGCTGCTGACAAGGACACTGGAGCCAATTGCTGAAAAATACCTAAATCCGAACGACGTAAACGCCACAATGCAAGTTTCTGTTGGGTGGGGAAAGAAAGAGACGCAGTTCAAGGGAAAAGGTGCAAAACAGTTGGAAAGAGAGCGTCAGGCACTGAAAAATGCTGGATTGAACATCGACAGTGACAATGCTATATTGCACGACCCCACCCTCGCAGAGGTGCAACACGGCCATCTGTCGTCGTACGAGACTTACAAATGCTCCATTTCATGGCGTGGTGACAGCCAGTATCTCTCTCTAAGCACTGTGGAGGAAATCGAACCAGGCCACGAGCGCAGGGTAATCCGTGTCTATTCGCGCGACGGGGAGCTCGATTCCTGTTCTGAGGCTGTTGACGGCCAGGAGGAGCCGCTGTCGTGGAAACCGCAGGGCTCTTTGATTGCCTCGACGCGCCGTCGGTTCGAGGAGGAAATAAACGAGCAGGTGTTGGAACTGATTTTCTTCGAGAGAAACGGATTGAGACACGGCGAGTTCAATACGCGGCTAGAAGGAAACGCCAGAGTGTTGTCACTGGACTGGTCATGCAACAGTGAAATGCTTGCGTTCCGTCTTTCGGACCGTATATTGGTGTGGACGACCAAGAATTACCATTGGTACTTGAAGCAGGAAATATACACTGCTGCCGGCGAGGAGATCCAGTTTATGAAGTTCCACCCGGAAAATCCGATGAAATTCATGTTTGGCTCAAATAAAAGAATAGAGATTGTCGACATGGCGTACTCGATGGGTCTGGGCCCAACGTGTCCGCCTACAGACGTCGGCATGGTCTTGGTAGCAGACGGAATAGAGTGCAAGATCACGCCGTTGGGCATGGCCAACGTTCCTCCGCCGGTCAGTCTGCGTGAAGTGTGGGTCGAGGAGAATTTGGTGGATGTTGCCAGCGCGCGCTCGAACTCGGTGTTTGCGCTTCTGAGCAACAACAGTGTGAGTTTTGCTACCGTGGACTTGGAAAATATAATTAAGAGCAGCGAGCCCAAAATACGCAGCACCGTCACCAAGGGTGCCTTTGCAGGGCCTCATGATCGCCCACGACAAGTGTGTTGTGCCGGCGATAACATGGCGGCTGTGCTATTTGACACGGCGCAGTGCTCGAAAATCGCTATTTTTGACATCTCAAACACAGACGAGCCGCTTCTGGCCTCTGTGGTCGACGCCGGCCCGCCCAAGCCGGTCCTGATGAAACCCACCGTCGACTTCGAGCATCTCGCGTACGAGACGGCCGACGGATCCGTGTACATACTTGACCTGGGCACGTTCGAGGCGTCCAAGATCACGCATTTCCCGCAGCTATGCACGGACTTCTGGGTCACCGACGTTGACGGCATACGTGTTTGTTTTGGTCTTTCGTCCACCGGAAAGCTGTACGTGAACTCTCTACTGGCATGTTCTGGAGTGACCTCGTTTTTGGTCACCGAGTCTCATCTGCTATACACCACGGCCAAACACCAGCTGAAATTTGTCCATCTAGACAGCAACATCGACCAGCAGCCGTTTCCAGAAAACGAAGATGACGAGAGAACGAGAATGATCGAGCGTGGTGCTCTTCTGGTGACAGCTATTCCGTCAAAAGCCAGCGTTGTGCTCCAGGCTCCGCGTGGCAACCTCGAGACGATCCATCCGCGTATCATGATTCTGACGGAGGTCAGGAACTTTATCAAGAATAGAAAGTATGCAGAGGCCTTTGTGGCGTGCCGCACGCACAGAATTGCCCTCGATATCCTGCATGACTACGACTCCGAGCTGTTTTTCAACAACGTGGAACATTTCATCAAGGAGATAAAACGGCCCGACTATATCGAGCTGTTCATGTCCACGCTGCTCGAGGAAGACGTTGTTGAGACAAAGTACAAGGAAACAGAGAAATCTGCCACGTCCGCTTTCGAGCAGCTGCGAGTGTCGGACTATGTTAAGCCCCGGGGAAAGGAAAAAATCAGCCGGATTTGTGAGGCTCTTCTTGCTGTTTTGCTTACTCCGCCATACAAGAGCAAGTACTTGCAAACTATCATCACCGCCTATGCCTGCCAGCATCCGGCAAAAACCGCACAGGCTCTGGAACTGATTGGCACGTTCAAGAACGACTCCGAGATCGAGAAAGCCGTGCAGCACCTGTGTTTCCTGTTGGATGTGAACAAGCTATACGATGAGGCGCTGGGCATCTACAACGTGCCGCTCGCGCTGGTTATAGCCCAGCAGTCGCAAAAAGACCCCAAGGAATATTTACCGTTCTTGCAGAAACTACATGTGCAACCGGAGCTGCGCAAAAAATTTATGATCGACAGCTACCTCAAGAAATACGAAAAAGCGCTCGACTGGCTCGTCCAGATCTCTCCAGAGGACTCGCCGGACATCGACACCGAGATTGTCGATTTTGTCATCGAACACAGTCTCTACACGCACGCTCTGGGCTTGTACAGATACAAAAAAGACAAGTTTGATGCTATTATGAGAGCGTATGCCGATTACTTGCACGAGAATAGAGACTATGCGGACGCAGCTTTGGCTTACGAGACGCTGTCGCAGAATCAAGAGGCCCTGGAGAACTACGTGCTGGCCAGAAAGTGGCAGCAGGCAGTCACGTTGGCTATCCATGATAAACAGCTGCTAACAGACACTTGCACACGTTTGGTCTCCTTGCTCACTGACAACCACGAATACTCTGCCGCGGCCTATGTGGAGCTCAAATTTCTTGATAATATTGAGGAGGCGCTCAAATTGTACTGCGAAAACCACCAATATGAGCAGGCCATCATGCTGTGCTACCAAGAAGATAAAAAGCAGCTGGTCGAGTCTGTGGTGGACCCGGCTCTTGGCGAGGGTTTTGGTGTGATTGCAGAGCTGCTTGCAGACTGCAAGGGTCAGATCAACTCACAATTGAGCAGACTCAGAGAGCTGCGTTCGAAAAAACAGGAGGACCCATATGCCTACTACGGTGAGATGGGAGAGACAGAAGCCCCGGACAACGTGTCGATAGCTGCCTCTGAGACCTCCACCAGAGAGTCCTTCTTCACCAGATACACAGGAAAGACGCAAGGAACGGCCAAAACGGGAGCTTCTCGGAGAACTGCCAAGAACAGAAGAAGAGAGGAGCGGAAAAAGGCCAGGGGAAAGAAGGGAACAATCTACGAAGAGGAGTATTTGGTCAATTCTATTGGTAGGCTGGTGGAAAGATTGAACCAGACGGAACCTGAGGCTCTGAGACTGATAGAGGGTCTTGTGAGACGGTCAATGATGGCCCAGGCATACGAGATCCAGAAAAACTTTGTCGAGGTCAGGGAGCTGCTGAAGTTACACATCCACGAAATCTACAACATCAGCGAGAAGGACCGTGAACGAGTTGACGAAAACGGCATGGTGTATCTTGTTCCTGAGATCCCAGTGCCGGAAATCAAGAGTTTTCCAAAGCGGAAGCTCTTGGACTACTAGTGGTGCAAGGGTGTGCTCGCCAAATAAAGATCCACTTTGTAATAAAAATACGTAATTACTTTTATTGTATGAGTGCTCCTTTTCTGTCGCTATCGGAGGTTGCTGACGGGTATTTGGTGACCACCGTGGCACGTGGCAGCGAGTCGCGTGCGCTGCTGGTGACCAACAGTGGAACAGTTGAACTCGTTGACGTGGAAAAACATCTAACTGACAAGAAATCACAGCCTATCTCAGGTATAATCGGTCTAATCCATCTACACAGTTGTCATTATCTGCTAGTTGTCACCGAGGCCTCAGAGATGGGTCAGCTGTATGGGGGGAAGAAGGTGTTCAAAATGACCTCGTTCAAGATGCTTCCTCTGAGTCCTACCAAGTACAACCTTGACGAGGACGAGACCAGGTACATGAAGCTGCTGGAGTCCCATCTCCAGTCTGCCTCGCTGATGTTTTCGTACGACTATGATCTGACGAAACCGTTTGTCAAACAGGCCGAAAACGGCTACGATTCAGAGTACATGTGGAACTACTTTGTGTCGCAGGATCTTATCAAGGTTGCGAACCAATTTGTATTGCCAATGATCTACGGATACGCCAAGTTTGTACACACAACTTTGAATATGAAGCCTGTCACGTTTGGTCTGATCACGAGACGGTCGCGTCTGAGGGCGGGCACACGGTATTTCCGTCGTGGAATCGACTCTGAGGGTAATGTTGCCAATTTCAACGAGACGGAGCAAATTCTCGCTGTTCACACTCCCGAGGGCGACAAAGTGTACACTTATTTGCAGACCAGGGGCTCTGTTCCCGTGTACTGGGCGGAAATGAACAATCTTAGATACAAGCCGAACCTATTGCTCGGGCAGACAGACTATACGCCTACAAGACAGCATTTCAGTCGCATGATTGAGAAATACGGCACCACCTATCTGGTTAATCTCGTGAACCAAAAGGGCTACGAGGAGCCTGTTAAGCTAGCGTACGAGAACGCGGTGACTGCACTGAACGATCCAAATTTGAAATACACCTACTTTGACTTCCACCACGAGTGCAAAAATATGAGGTGGCACCGTGTCAAACTTCTGATCGACCATTTGAGAGCAATCGGTCTTTCGCCCCAAGACTTTTCTGTGGTCAACGTTTCGGAAAAGTTTGTGGTCCAGCGCAAGCAGAGCCACACCGTAAGAACAAACTGCATGGATTGTCTCGATAGAACCAACGTGGTGCAGTCTACACTGGGCAGATTTTTCTTGCAGCAACAGCTGATTGAAAGCGGTGTGATAAGCGGTGCAGAGGACTGGGAAAGGGTGGATCCGAAGTTCAACTATGTGTTCATGAATATTTGGGCCGACAACGCAGATGTCGTGTCGAAGTCGTACTCCGGAACCGGTGCTCTGAAAACGGATTTCACCAGAACGGGTCGGAGAACGAAGTTGGGTGCATTGAACGATCTCGTCAACTCCATCACAAGATACATCAAAAACAACTACAGAGACGGTCCCAGACAGGATGGCTACGATCTGTTTCTTGGCAATGTCCTGCCATACGAGATGGCTACGTCGCCGTTCCAGGACCTTAGACCAGCGTACACTCAGTCCATTCCTTACGTTCTTCTGGCTTCGCTTTCTCTGCTGGTCATTACGTCGATCTATCCAAACAGCTCCCTTTCGCCGTTCAAGCACTTTGTCTTGAACGGTTTCTTGGTGACTATTGCTGCGTTTTCGCTCAAGTACATCTTTGACAACGGAGTGCAATACGTGAACTGGCCTAGACTGTGCAGTTTGGACTATCTTAGCCCTAGAGAGGTTCTCAACGACGGCAAGTTTGACGGCATTGTGTTCGAGAAGTCAGACCTGTACAACAAGTTTTCGGAGGTTGCAAAAAAGGAGTAGAGAGTAAATACAGAATAAATTTTGGTTTGGGGCTGTGCAAGATTCCGATATATTTTTCAAATAAATTAATTATTTGTGACTCTTCGATATTATGTCACTCGAGAGAAAAGAGCCAAATTATTTTGGAGCGGGACCTGCCCTACTCCCAACTAGTGTACTACAACAGGCTGCTCGGGACTTGATCAACTTCCAAGGGATTGGTCTTGGCGCGGGAGAGATCAGCCATCGCTCGGCTGCTGGTGCCAATATTATAGAGAGCACTCGCCAGCATCTGGTCGAATTGCTCGACATTCCAGACACCCACGAGGTTTTCTTCATGCAAGGAGGCGGAACCACTGGTTTTTCGTCTATCGCAACTAATCTTACAGCCTCGTTTGCCAAGAAGACCGGGCGCAAGGGCACACCAGCTTACGTCGTGACTGGAAGCTGGTCGAAAAAGGCTGCCGAGGAGGCCACAAGACTGGGTTTCAACCCGGACATAGTGCTGGACTCGAAGAAGGTCGACGGCAGGTTTGGCACTATTCCGGCCACCGACAAGTGGAGCATTCCTCAAGATCTGTCCAACACTTCGTACCTGTACTTCTGTGATAACGAGACCGTCAACGGTGTCGAGTTCCTAGAGTTTCCATTTGAAAAGTTCCCAGGCGTTGAGATTGTTTCAGATATGTCCTCGAACTTTTTGTCGAAAAAGGTGGACGTTTCCAAGTACGGCTGTATATTTGCAGGTGCGCAGAAAAACGTTGGTCTGGCCGGTATCACGGTCTATATCATCAAAAAAAGCCTTCTGGACCACCCAGCTGAGGACGATCTGAACAGGCTTAACATCCCGTTGAGCCCTATCGCATTTGACTTCCCAACTGTCGTTAAGAACAAGTCGGCATACAACACTATTCCAACGTTCACCGTACATATCGTGGACCTTGTACTGCAAAACTTGATCCAGAAAGGTGGTCTTGATGTCCAGCAGAAGGCCAACGAGCAGAAGGCCAAGCTTCTGTACGAGGCTCTGGACGAATTTCCTAGCGTGTATAAGCTCCCTGTGGAAAAGTCGGTGAGATCGAAAATGAACGTGGTGTTCACGCTGGCAGACGGCTCAGACGCCGAGTTTCTGAAAGCTGCAGAGCAAAGAAACCTCACGGGTCTAAAGGGCCACCGTTCCGTTGGGGGCATGCGAGCTTCTTTGTACAACGCTGTGTCCCTGGAGAGTGTCAAGCTGCTATGCGACTTTGTGAGAGAGTATGGAGCAGAGCACGCCTAATTAGTCTGATATCCATTTAGATAATAAGCAATATCGCATTTCTGGTCCATGTCGATGTAGCAGTGTAGGATCCCGCCCTGTGTGTGGATGATGAGAGACATTGCGTCACACAGTTCCATCAGCTTCGCACCAACGTTCCAGTGCTTCAACTTCACTTTCAGCGACACCGGTCGTAGCACGCTCGAGTCCCAGCTTTCGGGCACGGAGTCGTCGTCGTCGGGCAGAACGTCCAGCTGCCCTTTCCATTGGACCATTATTTTGCGTTGTTCTTCCTCTATGACAAACTTCAGCTGTCCGGTCTGATTTCCCACAATGGAGATCAGGTCTGACGTCCGGTAGCGCTCCAGACGTTTGAGCAAAGGAGCGATCTTGACCGGCAATTTCATGGCCAGCTTCATGCTGTCCATTGTCGGCTCTACAATGCGCAGATCGCTGTCCATTTTCAGCAGGCGCACAGGAACGTTAAACGAATGGCTCACGTTCGATGTCACTGAGATCTGTTCAGTGTAAAAAAGCGCAAGCGACGCGGCGGCTTTGTTTTTGATCTCTCCACCATTGGAGGGCCTTCGTTGCAGGCGAATCACCAGACTGCTGGAAACGTTGGATTTTTCGTAGTTGCGTAGCACCTGTAACAAAGGCTCGATGTTGATCTCGAACGGTATCACGTTGTTGCGTGCGGAATCCACCTCGTAAAGCTGAAATATGCTCGAATCAAGCTTACACCAAACAGTGGGTTCGTTCAATCCAGAAGATATTATGATCAGTTGCTGCTCGGTAAAGCGAAACACGCACATCCGTCGCAACGCAATGAGAAACGAGAGACATTTGCGCAGCTCGACCGGCTTTTCCATTACAACCTTAAGTTTCATGGAGAAAAGAAATACCCGAATTAAATATCTAGTCTTTTTAGGATCAAAATTAAATTTCTTTATACATTTCTTTGATTTTATATCACAACCCATAACTCCGTTTCTCAGCCCCACTCAACTTCGGGAAGAAGTTATTAGGAGACGTCACCAACCCCAGGGCCCGGATTCCGATCGTGTCAAGGTTCTCAAGTCCTATTAAATACCCGGCATTCACCCACCCAAAGCCTTCGGTAGCCACACCCTTAAAATCAGAGCCTTGGTTACCATATTCCGCATCGACCTTGTGTGGCCTCTGTTCAGACGTGGCATCGTACTTCTCAACGACAATGCCGTTGAAATCAACAAATGCAAGCGTGATCAGATAGCACCATCTGTACGAAAGCCTCTTGGCAATGGCTGCGTAGCCGTAGTTCTGCAACCCCTTCCACGTCATGATCTGGTGTGGCGACCACGCATAAGGATAGTCCCACTGTCTCGAAGGCTTGTTCAGCCCAATTTCGCCTCGCGACTCTTTCGTTCCGCTCACAATGCCGCCAAACACCTCGAACCGTGGAAGCGCTTTCTCCACCAAAGCTTTGGCCTGGTCACGTGACGCCAACTTGGCCCACAACGGGTAGAACGTTGTGGCCGATTCGTACAAACTCTGCCTGTGTGTCTTGATGTTGTAGTCAAAGTACATTCCCTTGGACTCATTCCACAGATATTTGTCAATGCGTTTCTTGCGCTCAGCGGCCAAGAACTCCCACTTTTCAGCAGTTTCAACGTTTCCATTTAATTCCAAGTGGTTGTCGAAATATTGGCCAATGATGAAGGCAATATCTTTCTCGTATTTGTATAGCAAAGAGTTCAGATCAACAGTGGCCAAATAGGCACACACGCCTTCCAACCGGTATGATGTATCGTGACCACTTTCTCTGACAGCACGGTCGTGGAGAAAGTACTCGTCGAGCTCGGGTTCAACAATTTCACCATCATTGTATTTCTTGGTGAATTCCTCGAAAGACACGCCGTATTTCTCACAGTATGGTCTCAAGACGGCAACAAAGTGCGTGGCCTCTGTCTCTGGAGGAATACCTTTGCCTTCTGGATGGTAGCAGGAAAGACCGGTCTCCGGGTCTAGTCTTGGCGGAGCGCACCAGACGGTATTGTATTCTTTGATTGCTGCCTTGACTGTACGCTCCAAAAAGCCAAGGTCTTGGATTCCTGTTCGGTCCTCAAGATAATGGAACACATGCAAAGCCATATCGGTCAAAAATGGGGGCTGCGACCTTCCCAGATAGTATGACCTGTTCGCGTTCAGGATTTTGCGGTAGTTCTCGATCTCAAAAATAAAGTTCTCGCACATCCCGATACATGGATCCACGATGCCGCTGAGAAGAAGACCGAGGGTCTCAAAGTATGAGTCCCAACCATATTGCTCGTTGAATCTTCCACCAGGCACGACGTACGGATATCCCTCCAGATCGCCATATTCCTGGCTGCGTCTGCGCGTGGCCAGTGCCAAAAGACCCGGCTTGTGGTTTATAGACTTGATATACTCACCATCGATGTGCTCGGGCAAGTATTCCACCTGCAGGTTATGTTCTGGACATTTTTTGGCGAGTTTTTGGTAGTATGCGTAGAGCTCGTGTTGATTATGAGGCACATAGACACGAGGAATCCGAGCTTCAGGGGTATCGATCTTGGTGTCTGAAGCCATGTCTATAATGCTGTGTTCGTCAAGAATCCGGGTGAGGTTTTTCCAGAACGCGGTAGAAATGACTCGCTTCAATCTGTTAACGGGGTTCTCATTGAGCCGGGCCTCATCCAAAATCATCTGCTTGCGGCCCATCCGTTTGGCAATCGTAAGCTCCTGCAGCAAGTTCGAAAGCATATAAGTGCCACGGATGTCATACTGCCGGTAGCCGTTAGAGTTGGCCGTGCCGAGCTTCAGCACCTTGGGTCCACTATCCTCAATTGTGATCTGGTAATTCTTATCTGTGTCTTCATTTTCAAGCAGCTCCTCGAGCGTGGCGTCGATGTCGCTGATGAAAAAACGCTTGGAGTTCTTCATGCTGGAGGAGTCATCGGCCGATCCGCGACGCCTCAAAGTCGCATTGCTGCCGGCAGAGCTCACGTTTCCGGATGATATACCAGGCAAGCCATAGAGCTTGTGTGAGTTGACAACTTCTAAATTGTGGTCCTTCACCAAAGACGACGTGGACTCGCTAGGAGAATGGATGGCGGATCCAGCCTCTGACGGAGTAACTGAGACCGCCGAATCGTCCTCATCGTTCGAGCTATGGCCCACATCAAACGTCGCTGGTTCGTTTGGTGCTGGCGTCGCAGTTGGCGAAGGCGTGAGCTCGCTATATTGGAACAACTTTCTGTTAGGGATGACAGCAGACATGGTCCTTGTTCTGCCGTATCTGGACGCCTTGTTGGACTTGGAAGGGTCGGTCTTGGGTCCGTAGTACAAGTCTGCGGTCGCAAATGGGTCGACATCGTCTAGGGACGACTGTCTTGCGTGAGAGGTCGGCATCACTAAAGTGTAGGTAAATAGAATGTGATAGATAAATGCAAAACAGGGGGGGGAGACCCTAATGAGGCAATGGGGTCATGTGTTACGTAAGCATAGAGAGGACTCGAGCACGCCACGCGGGAGGCGGTGTGGGAGGAGCGGGTATAGGAGGTCCCAGAGAAGGATGGGACGGGTGCCAACGCCACTGTGCCGGGGCAGCGCAGTGGCTAACGTGTGGCCAGCGTGCCGTCGAGTTTGGACCAACCGAGGCGGTTGGTTACCCTACGTGACAAAAAAAAATAAATGGCGAAAAAACATAGATCAACTTAAAAACAACATGAGCGAAGACAAGAGTGTTTCCGGCGTGCCTAAGACCGAAGAGCCTGCTCTGAAGCCGCCAACTGCGAACGTGTTTGCGATGTTTGGAGGCGCCAGCGCCAAGAAGGAGGAGAAGAAGGAGGAAAAGGAGGAAAAGGAAGACAAAGAAGAAAATAAAAATGGATCCAAAGACAAGGAGGGTGACGAGGAGGAAGAGGTTCCGGAAAACGACGATATCCATTTCGAGCCTCTTGTTCAGCTGGAGAAGGTGGAGGTGAAGACCAATGAGGAGAACGAGGACGTCTTGTTCAAGATCCGGGCCAAACTCTTCAAGTTCCACCCAGAGTCCAAGGAGTGGAAGGAGAGAGGTACTGGAGACGTCAAGTTTTTGCAGCACAAAGAGACCAAGAAGGTGAGACTGCTGATGAGAAGAGACAAGACTCTCAAGGTGTGTGCGAACCACATCATCGCTCCAGAGTACAAGTTGACTCCTAACGTTGGCTCGGACCGTTCGTGGGTGTACAGCGTGACTGCGGATGTGAGCGACGGCACACCGGAGGCACAGACTCTGGCGATCCGGTTTGGCAACAAGGAGAATGCAGAGAAGTTCAAGGAGGAGTTCGAGAAGGCCCAGAAGGCGAACAAGGCCTAAAAAGTAAATACAGTGTATTGGTGAGCTTAATACATACAGGTGAGCTAGAGTTAGTCGTCCTTGCCCTGGCTTTCGAGTAGCCGCTTGCTTCTGCGTGCGCGACCGGCCCTGTTCCACCCCCATTTAAACAGGATCCACAGCATAAGCAAGGGCGTGAACTGAGGCCAGAGCACAGACAGGATCTCAACGTCGCAGTCCACGTCGACGGCCTCCCACAGCATGAAGTCGCTCAATCTGTACACGCCAGACGTTCGTATGAGCAATTGCAGCTTCGGAACACCGCCCGTGTATAGGTGTTGGCTCACAAGGTCCTCAGTGATGTCTTCTGGGTCGTAGCCCCTGGCTATGATATTTTTTATCGAATGCGTGATATCGTCCCTGGATGTGTACGGACAACAGATGTTGAGCACTGCGCGCGTGTTGTTTTTCGTCATTTCCTGCGCCTCCAGCAGCGACTCGCGCACGTCTGCGGGCAGCAACTTGAGATTACCCAGAATGCGGATTCTGACGCCGTACCTGTGGCACAGCTCGCCATTTTCCACCAACTGTTTCATTTTGGACTTGGCCAGTTTCATGAGCCACTCGATCTCGTACTCGCTGCGGCTGAAGTTCTCGATCGAAAATGCAAAAACGGTCGCTGCCTGCACGCCGCAGTCGTAGCACACCTCGAGCAGCCGTGCCATGGTGTCGAACCCGGCACTGTGGCCCTCCTTGGTCTCCATCTTGTTCATCCTGGCGTATCTGCGGTTGCCGTCCATGATGAACCCGATGTGCTGCGGCACACTTCCGCTCCTCAGCACCTGGCACAGCTGTTTTTTCGTGTACTCCAGCACATGCCGTGTCACTGGAAACGAGGATATCCACTCCATGGGTATAAAATAATTAGCGAGTATATTTTATTTTATTTCGAACAAATCTTGCATATGTCCATTTTGCGGCCAATTTCCCTCGCTAGACGTTATTCGTCGTTTCTCACGGCCGTCGAGACGGCCGAGAAAATGGTACAGCCCCGCGTGAGCTCCAAGTTCGACCCCTTCAGCATGGTTTCCGGTGAGATGCGCGTGCTGGCCAAGAACATTGCTACTCTCATTGGCTCTGGTCACCCAACGCTCAACAGAGTGGCCTCGTACTATTTCGAGGCAGAGGGCAAGAACGTGCGGCCGCTGATTGTGCTGCTGCTGTCCAAGGCGCTCGCCAAGATCCCAGAGTCCGAGAGGACCCGCATCGCGATCGACCCGTACGACGTCAACGAGCAGGAGGAGTTCAAGGGGACCCCGAAGGCGTTTTCGTTTGCGGGCCAGAACCCGCTGGACTCGATCAGCCCGCTGCGGGTGCTCCATGGTATCAATCCTAACATCATTCTGAACCCATTGTCCAAGCCAATGATGGACAGAGAGCAATACAAGGCGAAGGACGCACAGAACGGCATTCTGCCGAAACAGAGGCGGTTGGCAGAAATCACCGAGATGATCCACACGGCGTCGTTGCTGCATGACGACGTGATCGACTTTTCCGACTCCCGGCGTGGCAGAGACTCCGGGAACGTGGCGTTCAGCAACAAAATGGCCATTCTGGCGGGCGACTTCTTGCTGGGCAGAGCGTCGGTCTCGCTGGGGCGGCTGCGGAACAGCGAGGTTGTGGAGCTGATGTCCACCGCGATAGCGAATCTCGTCGAGGGAGAGTTCATGCAGTTGAAGAACACGGTGATGCAACCAAACATCGGCCAGATCGAAGACGGCGGCGTTGTGAAGCAGATCCCCGAGCCCACGGGGAAAGTCCCCGTCGAGGTGCACGAGTACTCTGTCAAGACGCCGGAAACCATTTCTCACGAGGAAAACGTCGAGGCTGCGTTCCAGTACTACTTGCACAAGACATATCTCAAAACTGCCTCGCTGATGTCCAAGTCGTCGAGGTCGGCCGCCATCCTGGCCGGCTGCAATGAAGAGGTGATTGAAAATTGCTACCAGTTTGGAAGAAACCTGGGTCTGTGCTTCCAAATAGTCGACGACATGCTAGATTACACCACCACGGCAGAAATGCTGGGAAAACCGGCTGGCGCAGACCTGCAACTGGGGCTTGCGACGGCTCCTGTGCTGTACGCATGGAAAGAGAAGCCGGAGCTCGGGCCGATGATCGGCCGCAAGTTCTCCAAGCCAGAGGATATCGAGATAGCAAGAAAGGCCGTCGAGGACGCCAAGGGAGTGGAAAGAACGCGGGAGTTGGCCGAAACGTACTGCACGGCCGCCCTTCGCAACTTACGCACCCTGCCGGACTCGGACGCGCGAAACGCTCTCGAAATGCTCACCAATTCGGTTCTCACCAGATCCAAGTAGCTGTGTACATAGATATAGAGGCGTCGATCGACGCGTCAGCAGATAGAAAATTTAGATATTTTTATTTTATTTTTATGTTTAGTCGAAGACTAGCAACCTCTAGTATTCCTCGTCTTCACCGCATACCAACCGCTTATCGAATGGCGCCTCACAGATTTCACAGCATTGTTCCCCGCGATCTGGAACTTGAGTTCTCGAAAACCCTGCAGGCTTTGCCAGCGGGAGCGCAGATGGCTTCCGAGGGTGAGGTCGCCGCGGGCACGCTCTCGGCAGCAGACGCACTGGCGCTCATTAACACGCGAAAGTACAACCTTTTATCCATAGACGTGGAAAATTACGAGTGGAAACAAGAACATTTGTTGGAGATCGGGCTCTCAATCTATAAACCATCGTACCAAACTCATGCCCTGTTCCCCCATATCGTGAATTTTCACATCATACTGGAGGAAGGGCTGAAATTCACCAACAAGAGATTTGTTCCTAATAACCGCCTCAACAACATCACGGGCCAGTCGATTATCGCTAATAAAGTCCAAGCCCAGACTATCATGCAGAAAGTGTTTGACGATGTGGACCTGTCCAAAACGATCGTCGTCGGACACGGCTTTGCGTCCGACCTGCGCCTGTTTAAAAAATGGGGGCTGGAATTCCCGCAACACGTGAAAATCGCCGACACCATGAAACTGTGGTCCTCGCTGATACCATCTGGAAAGAAAGGCTCGCTGTCGTACATCCTAGACAAATTGGGTATCCCTTATGCTTATTTACACAACGCGGTCAACGACTCGTATTATACGCTCGTGGCATGCTTGATGCTGGCGTCGCCAGAAACTCGAAACAACCTGGTGATCGAGGAAAGACAGATCGACCAGGAAACAGGCGAGGAAATCACGACTCACCGCGTGCGGTGCTCTCCTCACGACCAGGACCTCGAGCTCAGAGGCCCCGACCGCAAATCGAAACGACGCACCCAACAGACGTATTTCCACGCTCCCCGCCAGGGCTTTCCCGTGGAGTACGTGGAAAACGTGTTAAAAGAGTTCCCGTGAACTAGGCCGTCAATATATCTCTATTCTGCATAGAGATGGACTTGGTCATGTTGCTGACCTTGTATATACCCACCAGCTGCTGGGCAAGCTCGAACATGTTGTTTCTGAGGGAAATAACGATGAATTGTGCGTTTTTCGTGCGCTCCTTAATATAATTGGCCACAATACTCACGTTTCTGAAATCCAGAGCAGCGTCGATCTCGTCCATCACATAGAGTGGCGTGGGCTTGTAGCGGTGTAGAGCAAACACCAGTGCGAGGGAAGAAAGCGTCTTTTCTCCTCCAGACAGATTGCTGATATTTTTCCAGGACTTCTTGGGAGGCATCACAGAAAAAAGAATACCCTCCGAGAACGGATCAAGCGAGTCCACCAGCTCCAGCTCGGCGTTTCCACCCATCGTGATCATCTGGTACATCTCTTTCAGCGTCAATGAAATGGTGTTGAAACCCGCCATGAACTCGTCAAGACGTCTCTTCTTGAGATCCTCGCACGCCTGCTTAAGTTCATCTCTTTTGGCCACCGACTCGTTCAAATCTGCTTTCCGCTCGTTGAACTCCTTGTACCGTCTTGCGTACTCCTGCAAAATGTCCAAATCGACTGTCATGGACTCTGTTTGTTTCTCAAGCTCCTCGATCTCCGACGCTAAGGCCTCGCAGTCCACATTTTTCAGGTCCTCAGACGAAAACTGTGGAGGCGGAGCCAACAGCCGCTGTTTGGTGTCGCAGTACTCCATCCAGCCAACAAGAGTCTCCAGATCGCGTGTTTCTGCATGGCCCATTTCGTCGGTGATCTTCTTGATGTTGCGGTCGCACTGGCTGATACTCTGCTCGCACTTCTCGATCTCGGTGACAAGCTTTATCTCTCCTTTTCTGAGATCTGCAATCTTGGACTGCTTGAAATTCAGCTCCTCCTTGATCTCGTCGCACTTCTCCAGAAGCTCGTCCATCTGTGAACTCAAATCTTGCAGTTCCTTTTCCGAGGCCTGGAAGCTTGCAAGACTCGTGTCATAAACCTCACGTATCTGGTTGATGGTCTCTTCTGCCTCCTTAATTTCAGCCTCGTTCTCGCTTATCTGGTTGTTCAATCGCGTCACCTGGTTCTTAAGCTTTGTGAGCTGTAACGAGTCGTTGGACTCTTTCTCATTGAGAATCTCCAATTTCTGCAAAACAGAGTCTACCTTCGACTTCTGCATTTTCAACTTCACACCACCAACTTGCATGATTTTGTCCTGGAGCTCTGCAATCTGGTCTTCGAGACCTTGCGACTGGTCTTTCAGATCTTGCTTCTCGGCCTCCAACTTCGCAATTGCCTTTTCCTCCTTGATCATCCGATCTTCAGTACTGGCAATTGCCTTCTTGTTGACAGACACTTCTTTGGCCCGCACTTTTGCTTCCTTGGCCTCCTCCAGGTCCATATCGATTTCCAGTCTCAGTTTGGAGATTGCCATTTCGATTTCAGGCAGCCTGTCCTTGAAAGCAGCCAACGCCGTCTCCATTTCGTTAAAAGCAGCCTGGGCCTTCAAAAATGCATCTTCCTTAGTCTGGACGTCCTCAGACATCGCATTGAGCTCTACCTCCGAAATCTCGCCTGCCTTAGAGGTAGCAGACTTCAACTTCATGGCGCCGCTGAAAACCCGAGACCCTCCTCCAGACAGCGTGCCGCTCACGTCAACCAGCTTTCCATCAAGCGTGACCACACGCCATCTCTTCGCTCCAAAAGCAACTTTGTTGGCCTCCTCCAAATTGGAAGCAACCAGCGTGTTGTACATGGAACTGTAGAATGCCGGCGCAAACTTTGGATCGCAGGGCGTGATCAGGTCAAACAACCGTGGAACGTTGTTTGGCGTAGGGATTTTGGAGAGATTGAACTTTCTCAACTTGTCCAAGACAATAAACTTTCCGAACCCAAGATTGTTCTTTCTCATGTAATTAATACACTGTTGTGCAGTCTCGACGGAATCAACAACCATATCGTCCAACGATCCACCTCCCGTGGACACAGCAACGTCGTATTTGTCGTCAATGACACCCAAGTCACCTAGACGGCCATAGAATCCTTGTAATCGCCCAGAGTTCTTTAAATGTGTCAGTGCCTGGAGAACCCTGTTACGAGACTTTGTGCTGGTGACTCTGCTTCTGGCATCATCGACCTTGTCTCGTAGCACACGAATCTCAGATTCCATAGCCTTTAGTTTTTCCGAAGCTTCGCTAACCTCGGCCTCTCCAAGCTGGATCTGCTCAGACACGTGGGCCTGCTCCTTTTGCAAGTGCTGGATCTGTTTCTCCTTGGCCTTCACAAGCTCCAGCTTCTCGTCCGCCTTGCCCTCTATTTCTGTAGTCTCCTTCAATAGCTCTTGATGCTTTTGTTTCAGCATTTCCAACTGAGACGTCTTGATATCGATCTCAGCCTGCTTGGCATTGATTTTGTCTTTCCAGGGCTCCAGCTGCTGTTGCAATTTCTCAACAGACGCAGACAAATCCTTGGTCTTGTCAGAAAGCTCATACTTGATTGCCTCCAGCTGCTCTTGCTCCTTCTTTAGGGCTGAGTGGAGCTCCTCCAGCTGTGTCTGACTTTCCTTCTGGCTTCTCTCCAGTTCGGCAATATTGGCCTCGGTCTCGCGCATCTGGGAAGAGCTGTTCTGTAGGGCTTTGACGGCTTTTTTTTTGCGGTTCTCGTTGTGCTTTATTTTCTCATCCATCGATATCTTTTCTCGCTCGATTTTCTTGTGTGCGCTCTTAAGACTGGCAACCTGTTTCTCAATGGCTTTCACCTGTGAGCTCAGTTCGTGGTGATGCTTAGTCAACTCGTCAATCTCTTCGTTGTGCCGTGCTGTCTGTTCTTTTTCCTTGGTCAACTTCTCCTTCAGCGACTCCAGGGCGGCAGTCTTTTTCTCAAGCAGATCTTTATCCTTTAAAAGTCGATACTGCAAATACAGCGACTTTTTGTCTGCCAAAGCCTTTTCCTTGCGAAGATACTCTAGCGCATTCTCTTTGCCGCCCTCCAGATCCTCCTTGGCCTTCTCAACAATCTCGTACCTGTGCGCTTTCTGCACACATATATCATTCAAATCGTCAATCTCGCGAAGGCTGGACTCAATGGTGCCTTTGTATTTTGCCGTGCCAATGATATCCTCCAAATACTCCAGCAACCCGTCGTCGCTGTTACCCTCAGCCTTGGGTTTCATCTGCGCAATGCTTTCGACCTCTCCTTGCAAAATCAGAAACCGTTTGTGATCTAGGTCGATTCCCTGGTCGCGTAGCAATGCCTGCATGTCTGCATAGGTGCACTTTTTGTTGTTGATGAAGTAGTCGGATGAGTTGTTGCGGTAAGCTTTTCTGGAAACTACAAGATCGGGAACCGACAGATACTCTGTCTGGAGCTCACCGTTCTCGTCGTAGCGGTCCAGAACCTTTTTAAACAATATGTCGACCTGACAAAAGCTCAGATCCGGGAAGGCCTCTGAATTGTGGATCAACTCGCTCAGTTTCGACTGCCTCATCTTGGTGGCACGGAACCCAAACACGAAAAGAAGCGAATCGATGACGTTGGACTTTCCGGACCCGTTGGGCCCCACAATCGCGGAAAAGCTCGCATTGAACGGTCCCACGGTCTGTCTGCCCGCGTACGACTTGAAGTTGGTGAGAACAAGCTCCTCAATGACCAGCCGGGGCTGAAATTCTTCCTTCAAGTCGGGCTTCTGTTCCTGGGCGTACTGGCTGTGCACAAGGGCCAACGGCTGGTGTATAGTTTGCGACGGCGGCTCTGGCTTAAGAGCTACAACTTCAACGCCCTGCTGGTTCAGATCGCGCGGCCCCAACATCTGGCGATTGCCTTTATTTTGATCCATAAACAAAACACGAAAAATATAAAAACCCAAACAATTTCTTACCTAAGCATATAATTCAAATTATTTATCAAAAAGCGGAGATGGCCCACGAATTCCCTGAATTGCGTAAGTTTGCTCCATAACTGCCTAACGCCAGTGTCGCACGAACAAATGAAAGAGCACCGGATCCCGCTGCCATATCGAGACAGGTGCGCGGGGCTGCTGGTGCCACTGAACAAGTGCCGTCAGGAGGGGTGGTTTCTGCCCTGGAACTGCGTCCACGAGAGACACGCTTACGAGGAGTGCCAGTATATGGACTTCAAGAGACGCGTCAAGGAGCTCGAGGAGCTGAAGAAGGCCCGCTCGAGCTGAGCGCGATGTGTCCTGTCTATCTATCTATCTATTTATAAGTGCTCCAATGCGATTCTATTTGGTGTATGGATGTGCGGCGGCACCCGGAAAAATTCGCTTTGGGAGACCGGCAAAACTCCCCACAGATTGTACCCCACGAAAGGCTATTGTCGCGCAAAGTTTGTCCGCACTTTTAAAAATTTTTACAACACGTTCTTAATGTTCGGCTACAAGCTCTTTGGCAAGGACGGCCGAGATCTTTACAAGACTCCTCGGGAGTTCCATGTGCGGGCCCGGCAGGACATCCAGCGTCATTTGCAGAACCTACAGGAGAAATCCAGCACAAAAACACCTGACGCTGTCCAGCCGGCCACGGAACAGGAGCCGTCGCTTACGTACGGCTCGTCGCCCCTCAGAAGGGCCATCACGGTGTCGTCGCAGGACTCTTCTGACGACGCGTCCACAGAATCGGAGCCGGCGCATCTCCGGCGCACCACGACCGTCCAAACGGCCGACTCGTCGCTCTTCAGCCACCTAACTCAAATATACACTAACACAACGGTTCCGACACAGGTTTCTGAGCCCGCAGGAGTCCCCGAGGGATGTGTATCGCTTGCGGACGCGCTGCCGCACGACTTCCGAGATTATTATTCGCCCGATTTGCAGACGTTGCGGTTTCCGAACGGACGCCCCACGTTCACCAAACGAGGGCTGCGAGACTGGGAACTGAACGACCTGCGTTCGCTGTTGATAGTGGACGCGCTGCGGCCCGAGTGGCACGGCAAGGTACCGCAGGTGGTGTCGCCGTACCCGGCTATCCCGCTGCGGATCCAGGTTCTTCCGCTGGACGCCACCGACGCAGAGTATGTGCAGCTGCTGGCAAGCTCGGACATTTACAAGGAGAGCCGGTTTGACGAGGATTTCCGGCACAAAACGGCAAACTACATTGTGCAGCAGGCGCGGCAGCGCCACGCAAGCCAGTTCCAGAGCAGCGAGTTTCTAAAATACGAGTGGAGAAATATCGTGGAAAATTATTTACTCAACCTGGCAATCGAAAACCAGTGCCGGTACGAGTTCAAAGTGAAGATCAGCGGGCTGAAAAAGTTGAAGAACGAGGGCACCCAGCGCGAGGAGGTGCTGTACAAAAAAGCTCTGAAAAACCGCATCGAGCTGACCGACGAGGTCAAGTTCCAGGTCTGGCAGGAGGTCCAGCGGAGCGTGTACAGGAGTTTAGGCAGTGTATGAATAGTGCGAACGGGAACGGTTAATTTGTATAGAATGGAAAGAGTATCTATTGGCGGATTCTAGTTGTCGGTTTTTCTTATCGCCTTGATGAAAGCGCGCTCCTCGCCCAGCACGCCGTACACTTTAAGGAGCTGCAATTTCTCGTCGCCGGTGGCGGTCTTCAGTTTGCTGTCCAGCACGCTCCTGAGCTCGATTTTCATCCCTGCGATCTTCTTGCCCGCCACGGCCACCATCTCGATGCTCTTGTACTTGAGCAGCGCGCTGTAGATTTTGTTGGTGGACAGATACAGCGCAACGAGCTCCTTGACGGCTGCCGTGGCGATCTTCTTGCTAAACAGCGTCAGCTGCTCCTCCAGCACCACCAGCTGGTTGATGACCGCCCTGTACACGCTCAACTTCCGTTTATAGAGCAGCAGGGAGTCCACCGTCTCGAGATCGGCGTCGATCTTCATGTTGGAGATGGACAGGTCTTTGATGTAGCCGTTGAGGTCGATTTTGCAGTCGTGTATCAGGTCCACCGACCCGTCGATGGAGTTTCCCAGCTCGATGAAGTGCAGATAGTCGTTGTTGACCAGGTCGATGAGTTCCTGGTCGATCTCGTGCAGCAGCGACCCCAAAGACTTGATGAGGTCGTCCAGCGACCAGTACTTGTAGCTCTGCACCAGCAGCTCCGAGGGACTAAACTGGCCTTCCGGAAGCTTGGTGAGGTTGTACTGGAACGATTCCCGGGTCAGCGTCGAGTAGAACTCCAGCGAGTCATCCGAGTATATGGATTCTGTCATGGGAATAAAAATAAAATAAAATAAAATAAATTGCAACGTCTGGTTTTGTTTTTTTTATGCTCCCACCAGAGGTTTGGAATATAGTCTGCGGCCAATTGTCCCAGTTTGATCTCTGCTCGCTTCTGATAGTAAACAGAGATATCTACGAAATAGCATTGTCCCACCTGTACTGCTCCATCACCGTTGACTACCACTACACCCAGTTCGACCCCGAATATGTCCAGACCGATCCCTTGCTGGGCACGAGACAGACGTATATCCGAACTAAACCCAACATCACAGCGTTCTTGAAAAGTCGCAAAGGAGCCCTTCTTAGCGTCCGTTCGCTCCAGGTCGTGCATCTTCCGCAGGAGTTTATCGATTTCGAGACAAAGCTAGCTGAAAGTCTGCCCAGGATGGTGAATCTGGTTTATTTGAGGATCCAGCAGCCTGTTTCACTCGATCTGCTTCAGAAGGCGGCCGCAAATATACAACATCTTGCTCTATTGCTGAACAGCTTCCGTGAGTCGAAATACCAGTTCGCGACGCTGCCCCTGAAAACCCTCTCTGTTGGGCCTTCCAACCAGCCCGATAGATTACTTTCGAGCCTGGTCAAACACCCGCAAAAACTACAAGGCCTCGAGTATGTGTGGCCGCACCGCAAAGTCAAGCTCCGCGACTTGGTGACCTCCACAGACTCGCAAAGGCAACCGCTCGATGCCTATGCCAATCTTGCACACCTCAGTCTAGTAAGCGCAATCATCTCGCCGGAGGACCAGTTTCTTCGGAAACTCGAGTCCGGCCTCGAATCTCTCTGTTTGGTCGACATCAACGAGATCGGCCAGTCAGGGTCCATTCTCGACACGTTCAGTCCCACAGGACTCAAACGCCTGGGCATAGATCTGCGCCAGGGATGCAAGGACTCTGTGGTACCCTTCCTCAATAGACTGTCCCCAAGCTCGCTCCACGAGCTCCATCTTGTTATCAGGTACAACAGTTTGAAACGGGTACCGCTGGAAACGCTTGTGGACCAGTACATCGCCGCCATCGAAAGACAATCCGCCAGTCTACGCAAAATATCGCTCGAAATCCGGTTCGAAAAAGAACTCGTTGAAATTCAGGAACAGCTCTCCGAGGCGCAGGTCAGCCGACTCTTCATGAGCAACGCCTTTCCTGCGTTAGAGTCTCTTCGCATCCAAGCGCAATTTGCATTCATTTGCAAGGACAAACTGACGTTCTTCAAAAACCTACCCAGACTCCACAAATTATGGATCCTGGGTAGTAACGCATTTGAAAAACACTGGGGACTGGGAAACGCGTATCCAGGCGTGTTTGACAACTGGCTCAGGATCCAGCATCTCCCTATAGGACTGGTGAACAACGAGCCACGGCCAGAAACGTCGCTCCGCTACATCAAACTTGACGATTGTCTGTTCGAGATAAAGGACAAACATGACGCCAAAGAAGTTATCCCTAGAGACTCCATAGACAGCTGGTTTGAGTCTCAGACCCAGGTCCGCGCTGTGCGTCCATTGAACTAGTATATACACGAAATACATCGCATGGTGACACTTATAATACCCGTGTCACATCCTCCGTAGGATTGGGTTTTCTCTCTTCCTTGTGGTCACCCATAAGAGTTTGCGAATTCTGGAACTCCCTCGCAGCGGCCTGCACTTCCTGGACGTGGCCGTCTGTGTCCGCCACAATGACAAACTTCTCCTGGGCACTGTTCTGCGGCCTAATCAGCTTCACGGCATGCTGCGGCAATCCAACGGCCCCACTTTGTAAAATTTTGCTTAGCTTCCCCCACGTTGCATCACTGACGTTGTACGTTTCCGGTCGAAAACCTTTAGGGTCCTGTCTGTACTCTTTGATCATTTTGGTCAACAAACTACTATCCAGTAAGCCCTTGTCTGCTCCAATAAATGATCGTCTAGAGCCCTCCACTTGCGTCTTGACATCCACACCATCTTCCTGTCGTTTGCGGTTCTTCAAAAGATCCACCGATTCGTGGTTTTTGGCAAACTGTTGCTCGCTCACCTCCACAACTCCTAGCGACATTGCTTTCTTCACAAACTTGTCATTTTGCTCTACTTTTGGGGCGATGTCTCGCTTCACGTCAATCACCTTCCCAGGCTTGAATGATCTCGCCGGCCTGGATACCTTGGATCCCATGAAACTGGAAAAAAAAATTGTGGGGTAAAAATATGGACGAGACCGGAGTCGAACCGATGACCTTCTGCTTGCAAGGCAGACGCGCTACCAACTACGCCACACGCCCTATATTACCTTCAAACAGCAGGAGGACACTATGAGTAGAGCGAGTGCACGGTATCCTTATCGCAAATCTCTTTAGATTTCCAAATTTGACAAGTCCATCTCTGAATATGCACCGGAATAATAATTTTGTATGCATCTCGCATTCCACTGATTGAATCCCATATCTTTCAATCCGCCAGCCTATGATCGAAGGACGGCCTTGCAGATTCCAAACTTATCTAGATAAGCATGGCGACTTTCCGCGGAAAATGATTCTGCCAAGCTATATAATACACAGACTCAGTCCAATTCCTCCCATCCAAGATGAAAGAAAGCAAAGAGGACGAGAAACAGATCGGGATCATCGAAGTTACCAGCCATACGCCGGACGACTTTGTCGACTTCACGGAGGAAGAGGAAAAAAAGGTTGTGCGCAAGATTGACATGTACGTGCTGCCAGTCATGTGTCTCGTATTCTTCGCTCAGTATCTGGACAAGCAGTCGCTGGCATATGCTGTGATTGTGGGGCTGCGTGAGGATTTGCACTTGAACGGCCCTCAGTACAGCTGGTGCACTTCTGGCTTCTATCTGGCCCAAATGGCCTCCCAGATCGTGTACATGTATCTGCTCAGTAAGTTTCCGACCAAGATAGTGACAGGTATCTGCGTCATTATTTGGGCGGCAGTGTGCATGTGCCTTGCAGCACCTGCTACATTTGCAGGATTTATCACAGTTCGGGTTTTTTTGGGATTTTTTGAAGGGTGTGTGTCGCCTGCGTTTGTTATCGTCACCAGCTCGTACTACAAGAAAAGCGAGCATGGTCTTCGGACTGCCGCGTGGATCTCTTGCAACGCCATCACACAGGTCCTGGCCACGTATCTGTTCTACGGCCTGGCTAAGGGAGAGAACAATCTGAGCATGGCCGTGTGGCGGGTGGGGTTCCTGGTGTGTGGGGCATTCACTCTCGTCGTTGGTCTGCTGTTCTACTTCATGGTGCCGCTCTCACCTAAAGAGGCCTGGTTTTTGACCGAACGCGAAAGGATAATTGCCGTTCACCGTCTATTGGCCGAGGCGGATCGTGGAGAGAGAAAGTCGTGGGACTGGGACCAGGCAAAAGAGTGTCTGACAGACTGGATTGCTTGGTCGTCTTTCCTGTTTGGCCTGATCACCACCATGTGCTCCTGTCCGATCGGGTTCTCGACCATCATCATCAACGGCTTTGGTTATGACAAGTTCAAGACCATGGAGTACAGTTCACCGTCCGGCGCTGTGCAATTTGTGATGATCTGGATCGGCGTGGCCATGATCAAAATCGCACCGAGACAGCGGTGCATTATCATCTGTCTGCTGATCCTGGTTCCGCTGGCAGGCAACATCATGCTGTACAAAATGCGTTTCAGCGGCGGATGGGGGGTTATAGTTGGCGGCTGGCTCGGTTCCTGCATAACCTCGTTCTACTCCATCAACCTCAGTTTGAACGCCTCCAACGTCCGAGGAAACACCAAGAAATCGATCGTCAACAACCTATACTACCTCGGCTACTCGCTCGCCGCCGTGGTGTCCGCGCAGTGGTGGAACTACACCGCAGACCCAACGTTTACGGCAGGCATCATCGTGGACATTGTGCTGTGGATTATCATGATTGCGGGCATGCTACTGTATAGGTGGAAGTGCATTTCCGAAAACAAGCGGCGAGAATCCATCATCGCCAGCGGCCAGGCGGACAACTTCGACGAGTCCCGGGACCTGACAGACCGCCAGGACGTGTACCACAGGTATAGTTATTAGATTGCAACCGCTGCCATATAAATTTTCGCGCATTCCGGTGCCGGCGTAAATTTTTCAATTTTATGACTCTTTAAATCTTAGCATGTCTTTAGCAGATTCAGTATCGTCTCTGAGCTCGCTGCCGTCGGGCTGGATAGTGCAGAAATTCGGCGGAACCAGCGTAGGCAAATTCCCCGAGCAGATATGTGAGGACATCGTGAAAGCGTACAACGAGAGCCACCAGGTGGTGGTGGTTTGCAGTGCCAGATCCACGCATCTCAAGTCGGAGGGGACCACCACGCGACTGCTTCTGGCCGCCGAATATGCCGCGGATGAGAAGAAAGAGGAGTTTCTGGAGGTTTTGCGGCTTGTGGAGGCGGACCACGTCAACAACGCTAGAGAGAAAATTCAAAACCCTGAGCTTAGAGAACGGCTCATCAAAGAGACCAAGGAGGAGATCGAGCACGTGACGCGGCTTTTGGACGCGTGTTTGATCATCGGCGAGGTCAGTGCCAAGTCGAACGACGTGGTCATGGCCTGCGGCGAGAAGTTGAGCTGCCGATTTATGAGTTATTTGCTGCAGGACAGAGGGGTCAAGGCGCAGTATGTGGACCTGTCGATGGTGGCGTCGGACATGGAGCTTAGCAACGGGCTCGACGCGCACTCGTACAAGATGCTGGGCGAGCGGTTTGCCGCAGAGGTGCGCCGGCTGCCTGAGGGCACAGTGCCTGTAATGACAGGGTTTTTTGGGCTGATTCCCGGTGGGTTATTGCGTGCTGTCGGCCGCGGTTATACCGACCTGTGTGCTGCGCTCACTGCTGTCGGGCTCGCTGCCGAGGAGCTACAGATCTGGAAAGAAGTGGACGGCATCTTCACGGCAGACCCGCGCAAGGTGCAAAAAGCCCGGCTGCTGGCGTCGGTCACGCCCGACGAGGCTGCAGAGCTCACCTACTACGGGTCCGAAGTTATACATCCGTTCACTATGGAGCAGGTTATCAAGGCGCGGATCCCGATCAGAATCAAGAACGTCATGAACCCGCAAGGGGACGGCACCATCATATATCCCGACAATATTGGTAAGCGTGGCGAGGCGACGCCGCCCCACCCGCCAATCTCCGTCCAGAACATTCCTGCGTCCGTCTTCACAAGCAAAAAGACCGCCACAGCCGTCACCGCCAAGTCGGATATCGCCGTGCTCAATATGCACTCCAACAAGAAGACGCTGTCGCACGGCTTTCTCGCCGGGGTGTTTACTGTTCTGGACAAGCACAAGCTCGTGGTGGACCTGATTTCGACGTCCGAGGTGCACATTTCGATGGCGTTGCACTACACGAAGGAGCTGAAACATAACTTTGGCAAGGCGCTGGAGGAACTGAGAACATTCGGCGACTGCGACGTCACCAAGGACTTATGCATCGTGTCGCTCGTGGGAATCCACATGAAGCAGCTGATCGGCATTGCGGGCGCTATGTTCAAGATTCTGGCCGATGAGCGGATCAACATTGAGATGATCAGCCAGGGAGCCAACGAGATCAACATCTCGTGTGTGATCGACAGCAAGGACGTGATCAAGGCGCTGAACGCGCTGCACGACCGGCTGCTGCTGCGGGCGTTCACGGGCGGCAGCGCCGTGGACCAGCGGCTCGAGAACCTGAAGCTGGATGATGTGATTTAATAACCCAAATATAATTTATTGGTAGCCAGTTATACAACGCTAGAACACAAAGATCTGGTCGCCCGCCTTCGACACCGGCCGGGCCTTCTTGAAGCCCAGCTCGTGCGCAGCCTTCTTCAACGCGCTAGTCATAGGCGGCGGACCACACAGCAGCACCTGCACGTCGTCCGCCGCGGCGGCTCCGTGCTTCTCGAGCAGCTCCTTGGTTATGAATCCGGTCTCGCCTGTCCAGTTATCCGGAGCGTTGTTCAAAACATGCACAACTCTGATGTTCGGGTGCTCCTTCTCGATCAGGTCCAGCTCCGCCTTCAGCAAAATGTCCTCCACCGTCACATTGCCGTACAGCAGCGTCACCTTGGTTTTGTCCTGCGGGTTGTTGGTGATGGCCTTGATGATCTGGTACATCGGAGTTATGCCTGTGCCGCCTGCCACCATAACAAACTCGCGCACCATGTTGGGCGTGTACGTGAAGAATCCTTTCGGCCCGCGCACACGGACGTTTTCGCCCAACTTGAGCCCGTCCACGTGTTTGGAAATGTTACCCTTCTCGTACACCTTGATCAGGAGGTCGAAATAACCCTTGGCGTCCTCATCGAGCGACATTGGCGTGTACGAGCGCACAATCTCCTTGCCGTCGATCTCGGCGCCAATCGAGATGTGCTGCCCGACAGGCAGGCCCAGCACGTCGGTTGGTCTTGGGAGACCAAAGCGGAAGATCGCCGAGTTTTTGGACACAATTGTCTTCTGAATCAGCGGAAATTCCTGGAACTGGTCCGCCTTGAGGACCTTGCGCTCGCGGGTGCCGAGCGAGAAGTAGCCCACAAGCGCAGCCGCCAGCGCCGTCAGCGCAACGAGAATCAGAGTGTTGTCAGCCATGATGTTTTGGACGGGTGAAAAAGTTTATATACTGTTCTGGCTTACGTCAGCCGTCGGAAAATTGTTGCTGCATTTGGTTAAACAAACCGGCATCATCAGGGGCTGCTCTGAACGGGTGTGGGGATGCTGCGACGCGCCGTTGCCGTCTGCAGCCTGGGCCGATTGCCGAGGAGAGGCCATCTCGTTCGCACAGAGGGGGACGGAACGAACGAGAAGAGGTGTAGGCCGATCGACGCAAACTCTCCCCCCTCCCTCCAGCATCGACGCGTCTGTGGCGTCCGCCATTCAAGTTTTTATTAAATCAATTTCAATACATGGGAATATGAACAACCAAAGCCCTGCAGACGGCCATCGCACCACCCAGTCGGTGTCTGTCGGGTCGCACACGTCGCGTTCCAGCATGGATCGGCTGCGGTCGCTCGGGCACAGACTCTCTTTTTCGAAACATTCGCTGCCGAACCCTCCTCCGCACAGTAACCTGTCGTCGTCGCTCAAAGTGCAACAAGTTGCCGAGCAGACGCTGGAGTACAACCCGGAGGACCTGTTGGAGTCGTCGGAGTCGGACTATGAGGAAGAGAATCTGAAGAAGGAGGAGGACGAGAAGGACTACTGCGAGGGCGGATACCATCCGACCTACGTGGGTGAGCGGTACGGCACGGAGAAACAGTACCTAATAGTGCGGAAACTGGGCTGGGGACACTTTTCGACGGTGTGGCTCGCTTACGACTCTAAGCACCACCGGCACGTCGCGATCAAGATCGTGCGGTCGTCCAAGAACTACAGGGAGGCAGCCCTCGACGAGATCAAGATTCTGGAGAAGATCGCGAGGGGCCCGGAGTCCCATCCGGGCAAAAAGCATATTGTGCGCATGCTCGACCACTTCGTCCACACAGGCCCCAACGGCGAGCACATCTGCATGATTTTCGAGGTTCTTGGCGAAAATATGCTCAGTCTGCTATTACGCTACAAACAGTTCCAGAAAGAGAAAACCGAGGAGTACAAAAAAAACTCCATTTCGGACGATGAAAACATGTCGTCCGCGTCTGTGGAGCAGCACATCCACACCATCAACGATCTCACCATCCTGAAGGAGAGCTACGGCGGGCTCCCGTTGACGCTTGTGAAACAGATTGCCAAGCAGCTGCTGCTGGCGCTGGACTACCTCCACCGCGAGTGCGGCATCATCCACACCGACATCAAGCCCGAAAACGTGATGGTGGAGATCAACGACGTGGAGAAACTTGTGCAGATCCTGGAGAAGGACCGCAAGGACAGGCGTCTGTCGCGGCTCATGACGGCGCGCAGCCACCAGAACTCCGATGTCGGCAAGACAGACCGCTCGCGCTCGGTGTCCCACCGCCCCAAGCCGATACGCTTGTCGAAGCCGCTTACGTCGCCGATCGAGACTCACGGCTCTGTCGACAACTTCTTCCGCTCTTTCTCTTTCAGCCAGCGCCGAACAGGGTCCCACGACTCGCTCCCCCACATAAAGAGCGAGTATGCCCCCGCGCTAAACTCGACCCCGGTGGTACCGTTGCCTGCCGCCAGCCCTGCCCAGATAGCTCCATCACCCCAGGCGATCCCTGAAGAGGAGGAGTCGTCCGAGGAAAACGAGGAGTTTGTCGACGCGGCAGAGCTGCCCGTGCCCTTCCCAGAACCGTCTGTCTCGACCCCACGGCGTGCCACGTCGGTCAACAACGACTCGCACCAGCCCGTGTCCCGACGCGAGTCCGTGCTGTCCACCGTGTCGCGACAGTCCTCCACCGCCACCACAGCCGTAGACTTTGACTCTATCATCTCGGTCAAAATCGCCGATCTCGGAAACGCTTGCTGGACTAATTTGCATTACACCAACGACATCCAGACACGCCAGTACAGAGCGCCCGAGATTATCTTGGGGGGCAAGTGGGGGTGCTCAACGGACCTGTGGTCGTTAGGATGTTTGATATTCGAACTGATCACCGGCGATTATCTGTTTGACCCGAAGACAGGAAGCACATACAACAAGAACGACGACCATCTGGCGCAAATTATCGAGCTATTACAGATTTGGCCGTCCAAGGACTACTTGAAGAAGTGCAAGTACTCTCGCGAGTTTTTCGACAAGTCCTTTCAATCGCTTAAAAACATCTCAAAGCTCAAGATCTGGACACTTCATGCTGTGCTTGTTGAGAAATACCACATCGAAGAACCGCTCGCTTACGACATATCTAAGTTTCTACTGGCAATGCTTGAGTTTGAGCCCAAGCGGCGCATGGACGCAGGGTCGTTGAGTAATCACCCCTGGCTCGCAGACTGCTTGGCAGAGGAGCATGTGGACCGCGAATTTGGGCTGCGAGGGCAGGACATCAAGGGATGGGCCAGCGAATGGAGCGAGTAGGGTCCAATAGAAGTGATATGCATAAAACTAAATTCTAAATTATTTTTTACGTATTTATAACTTTTAGTTATGTCTCTGGAGCCTGCCACATCGGGAGCTGTTCGATGGAGGTCGATCAGGGGGCCAATGGAGGTGGCTCTATTTGCCAAACAGATACCCAATGGTACACGCACGTTTGCCGAGCATGTCATGCACGGCGACCAGATGACCATCACGAGGGTCACCGAGAAATACATAGAGTTGACAGCCTCGGGCGGCCAGATCATTCCGAAAGAGAGCAATTCGCGAATCCGGTTTTCAAAGCCTTACATGGTGGCTGCAGACACCACAAAGCCGGGAAGATATGCCATCACGCTCACCACACAGGTAGGAGACGAGCTGGCCGACTGGACCATCCTTGGCAAGGTGAGAGGCGACGCCGTATACTGGCTGCGCAACCTAGCTGGATCGGGTACAGTGAAAGACGAGGATGGTGTTCTGCAGTACGCGGTGAAGGGAATTGGCGGCGAGATTCTTGAAAATGTGTGGAACATCCAGGAGGAAAAACAGGAAGCGATCCATAATACGGAGGTGAAAACTGCTCGAAAACAGGTGTTATTGAGTTTTGACGAGGACGAAGAGGAGGACGCAACAGACGTCCAGATACGAATGCGGCCGATTAAAAAAGTGAAGCGTGCGCAAAAGAAGGAGAGGGAGGAGAAGGACAAACCTGTGACCAAAACGACTACAACGGTGCCAGAGACTGTATTGCCAGCAGGGAATGCGCAAGAGCGTTTACAGGACTCTGCTGTAGATGCTCCAACCAGCCACACAGACCCCACGCTAGAGAAACTGCGCAAGTTTCAGGAGTCTCTACGTCAACCCAACCGTTCCACCAAAAAAACGCCAACTCACAACAACGCAGAAGAGGGGATCGACGGGCTAAGTTCAGAGGACGAAGATCTCGGTTTTCTTAATCATCGCTGGAATAAATAAACAAATAAAGTTAATCCTTCATGTTGAGCAGGTCGAAGTTGTCCTTTGGTGTGTTGACAAACGCCCGCAGCTTGAGGATCTCGTCCCGGTCGTACACCGTCCTGTTTAGCGACTGTGAAGACGCCAGGATGTGTGGCTTGACGTACTTGTATAGGAAATCTGCCAGCTCGTCAGGAACCATGTCAAGGTCCTCGAATTTGAGAGCGTTAGGGTCCAGCTGGTGGTTCATGTCGGATCTAACATAATAGTCGTAATTGATGGCTGTTAGGTTAGAGTTCAGTTTCTCGTTGAGCCAGCACCACGCTTTGTACACGATCTCTGGTGTAGGAATTGAGTAGCCTGCTGCTGCCGGGAAGTAGCCATACATGCCAAGATGGCGGATATAGTTCAGCATTTCCCTAAGCTCTGCTCTTGAATACGGCTCGTTGCCGTGCAACTCGTACACTTTTCCCGTTGTGGAGTCGTCAAAGCCAATTTTCTCCAGAGCAGCTGCAACTTGCAACCCGTGCGCAGGATACACAGTGCTTCTGTACTTGATGTTTTCTCCAAATCCCTGCAGGGGAAGAAGGTCGTTCAAAAACGCCGAGTTCCGGCCGTACATCGGTCCAGGACGCACAATCGTCACGTCTGGAAACGCCTCTCTGGCAGCGATCTCCGATTGGCCCTTGGTAGCAAAAAACTGAGACTTGGAGTTCGGGTCCGCGTTGTAGCTCGAAACGTGAATCAATCGTGGAACCTCATACGCAGTGCAGAGCTCCGCAATGCGTCTGATGGCCTCCACGTTCGCGTCCTCCATCGAGAAGTTCTTGGTGTTCTGGTCCGACCCAATCAGGTTGAACACTATATCTGAGCGACAAACGCTCTCCTCCAGCGACCGCAGGTTCCTGATGTCGCATTCTATGTAATTGACAACTCCCAGGTCTCCCATTGGCTTGAGCTGTCTTTTTGCCATCTCGTTGCGGAACGGGCACACCAGGATTGTGCCGTGTTTGGCCAGTTTTGAAACAAGGAGCCGGCCCAAAAACCCTGTTGCTCCAAAAACGGTTGCCGTGAAGCCTGTTCTGGACGAGCGGCCGCCCGAGCCCTGGAGAATCCGCACCTCGCCCCGCCGGGTGATAGAAATGTCGCTCTTAAAGGGAAAACGGTGCACGCGACGAACAAAGGACAGGGACATGGTGATAATTATTTATTTCTCTACTCCACTTTTTATATCGACACCCTTGCACATGTTTTTTCACACGCCAACGATAGTCAGGAGCGAGCCACCCTGACAAGATCCAGACAACTGCTCGCAGTCACATCCACCTGCGGTGCCTATTTCGCCTCTATTCACAGATAACCCCCCTTCTCAAAAGAAGATTCTCAACACCTCAAGGACACCGCCACCAACAAGCAAGAAAACAAGCAGAACTGTTGTTAGTACGTGGTGGTGAGCTTCACTTACCAATCCAACCCGTCGACAACGGGAGTTGTTTTTTCTTCTGCAACTGTTTAGGCTTGCCAGCCCGCTTTTCGTTCTTCTTTGCAAACTTCTGGTTCGCCTTTCTCTGCTGGGGAGTTTGAAGAGCCTGGTGTTAGCTGCCAGCAATGGCAAATAGTAAAAAAGTGTCACTTACCATCTTTTGTGCGCTGGTAACTTAATTAATTCGAATTATTCCATGTATTTGTTCAAACAAAAAAATATTATTTTCCATTTTATGACCATCACTTTCTCCTATCCCCGGGAATTCGACACTTTATCCCTCGATCCTCCACACTTCCGCTCGTCACTACTTGCGTGGGATGCTGACGGAACGCGTATTGCGTGCGCCCGCACCGACAAGTCGATTAAAGTCGCCAAATTCGACCATATCCGACAGAAGTTCGACGACCCGGTCGTGATTACCACAGCCCACGAGTCCCCTGTGGCTGTCCTCATATGGGAGTGCAGCAGAAATGCCCGCCTTACCGCCATTTCGACAGACTTTACCCTCAAAGTGTGGGAAATCAAAACAAAAGCCCACAAACTGGTAAGATCGCTCAAACTCGCCAACACGCGGCCCAAACTCGCCAAATACTCCCCAAATGGCAGATATCTTGCCATTGCAGACAATGACGCTAACCTGACATTGCTGGACTCGTCCACTCTGCAATTGAGCACTGCTATCTCCATAAAGATGAGCTCCCAAATTGGCGACCTAGACTGGGACGCAGACTCTGAAACCCTCATTTGTGGACTCACAAATGGCTCCCTGCAACTATATAAGGTCCAGAATAACAACGGCCTCCACGCAATCGAACTTATCCAGTCGCTGCATCTTTCAGACTCCCCAATTGTCTCCATAAAATACATGGCAGACCGCAACCAGATCCTGACAGCAGGCCTGGACGGCCAGCTGCTAGTGGTGGACGCGCAGCTGCTAATCTGCATAAAGAGCCTCTACAATCTTGACGACGCTCCCGTTTGCATCGACACCCTTACACCAGCAGTGGCGATCAGCTACCAAAATAACAACGTTCGTATATTCGATATAGACAGCGGGGAGGAGGTGCATGAGGTGAAGAACAGCAAAGGCGACAACGCGCTCGCCAAATTCCACCCGCAATTCCGCGAAATTCTGGCCTACATCGACGGCTCCGGCAAAGCTACCGTGATGGTGGCCAAGAAAAGAACGGGGCCTGCCCGAGCCCTGCCGCGGCCTGTGTCGTCAAGAGGCAGGGCGTCTGGTCTATCAGGGTCGTCAGGCCCCTCCAGAACGATTCGCTCCGACAGGTTCGAGCGGCCCAACGCCAAACGTCCGAAATATTAAATTCTAGTGCAGTCTTGCTGGTTCTGGTAGCACCACCTGGTCCAGCTGGTCCAGCTGGTCGCTGGAGTCCAATGGGATCACTAGAGACTGCTGAGACGGCATGCTGTTGATGTCGTCGTATGGTGGAGGGGACAGAGCCCCCACTGTGTTATAAGTTGGCGGCACCTCGTCGTCCCACGCGACTCCGAGCCCGGATCTTTCTGTGAGAACCAGGCGGAACTGCATGCGCAGCACCCTGGCAACACCCGTGGGGATCCCTGTTGTGTGGTTGAGCGGGTCGCTGCGGTTACCGCTCACGTGGTCTGGTCCCGTGCCCCCGTCGTTGTGTTTGGCGTTGGTCGAGTGGTGTGTTGCGCCGGGTCTGTTTTGCGACGAAGTTCCTGCTTGCACGGGGGCGACTGTGACGGTGCTCAAGTAGGCCGATGACGGAGTGGAGCGGATCGGCTGCACATTTGTAGCGTGCATGAGCTCTTCTGCCACAATCACCTCCAGCACCAGGTTGTGGTGGACAAAGATGCCTGTTTCGTGGTCTTCGATGTCGCACGCGCAATTGACTCCACTTTGGGGCTCCAGACTGAAAATCGGAGACTCGCAGTTCAGCGAGTTGATTGCGGACAAATTGGTCAGCGAGACGTTGAGTCCCATAGAAACAAGGTCCATTAGCGAGATGTCGGCCACGATTTCGATTCTACCCTTATTGGAAAAATCACTCTTCCAGCCCGACTTGAGCTCGCCAGACTTGATCACACGGATCTCCTCCACGTACAGCGGCGTGTCTGTGGTGGTATGGTGCGGCTGCAAGTCGTTACTAGTCGCTGTCGACAGCGACGGCGCCATCTGCGGCGTGCTCTGCTGCGACACCTGCGGTGCCAACGCCTCGCTTCCGGCCTGCACCGACCACGTTGACGCGACAGGCACAAGGTCTGGAGACGCGGTGGGCGACGTGTTTTGCGCGGTCACGTCGCTGGGGTCCTCGTTCTCCTCTGTCGTGTGTCGACGGGGCGGGTGCTCGAAATAATAATTGTACACGGGTTTACCGGGACCACCGCAATTCTTGTGCGCTTTCTTGCCTCGCCGTGCGCGTTTGGTGTTTTCCACGGTTGTGGCGTACTTGTCCTGGTGATTTACGCAGTGGTTGGCCCGCACACGGATTATTTCCTCCAATTTCCAGTTCAGTTTGCGCATTCTCCAGCGTCGCTCCGGCGAGCACACGTTGTCCATGCGGATCTCCACAGGAAAAGTCGACTTCGGATACGCAACGTTCGGAATCACAGCGGTGGCAGTGACCTCTGTGGGCGGGAAAACCCTGAGCGAGTTGCGATCTTGACCTCTCAAGATCGATCGCCGGATCATCACCGGCAGCGCGATATTAATGTGGTCCGGTCTTCCCTGCTTGTTGATGAAGCGCGCCTTGCAAACCAGCTCGTAGCGAATCGACGTCAGCGAATTGGACAGAACAGATGTGGCAGGAAGCGTCCCAGGCACCAGATGGCTGAACGGGAAGGCATGGGACGAGCCTTTGGCGAAACCTGTTGGCCGCGAGAGAACGTCCCAATGTGCGAGCTCTGTTATCTTGCGACGACACTCGCCACATGAGTCTATCGTGGTTGAGCCGGCGACGAACGGTTTTCCGTAGTCGATGATCTGTATAAAAGACAATACCACTTCTTTAACCTCTGCGTAATTTTGTCTGATATTGGTTGCGGCAGTGCTCAGCGAGATGGTGGACTGGATCGATTGCGTGGAGACAATGCCTTCGTTCTGTGGCTGGCCGATCTGGTCCGGAAATACGTCGAGAATCACCAAGCCGCTGAAAATTGCGCCTGAACTGTGTTCCGGCGGGCCGTATAGCATCAGAGGCGGAGATTCTATCTGGATGGACAATTTGAGCCCTGCCAGAGGATTGGCCTTGTTTATGATGTCTGTATGGTACGGGTCATTGAGTCTTGTCGACGGCGAGTGCGAAGGTTCCTGTTTGACCGCATTGCTGATGCCAGAAAAGAGCCTGGTAAATGAGGGCATGGGCTGACAGTGAGATTTTGCGAGAAATAAATATTTTTTTTTTTATTTAATTGATAAAGCCATTCCTGCGCCACATGAGAAATAACCGGCTTGTGGCTATTGCGACGCGTTGGGGGATCAAATATTTATATTTATTTTCTATACCACCTCTTTGCGAAAAATGGCTGTATCCAAAGGGCTTCAGACTCTGAAGTTCAAGGGCGCGCTAGTGTCCACGATCGATAAACCTGTTGCCACCAAGGAGCTAATTTCGCGCCTTCAGGACCTGCATAACGAGCTATCCTCGCTCGACCAGGACAAGGTCGACCTCAAGTCGCTGGAGGGGATCAAGGACTCGCTGATCAACAAAAAGCTGCTCAAGCACTCCAACAGTGGTGTCCAGGCGTTCTGTGCCTGCTGTCTAGCCGACGTGCTTCGTTTCTACGCCCCTGACGCCCCCTACAACGCTTCCCAGCTGTCGGACATGTTCAAGCTGTTTTTCTCGCAGTTCAAGCAGATGGACAACCCGGACGGCCCGTTTTACCACCAGCAGACGTATTTGCTGACACGGCTGGCCGAGACCCGGTCGATCGTTCTGATCACCGACCTGCCCAACGCAGAGACGCTTGTGGAGCAGCTCTTTGACATTTTCTACGGTCTCGCCTCGTCCGGAACGTTTAGCAGCAAGCTAGAGCCGCTTGTGTGTGAGGTTTTGAGCGAAGTGATTGCAGAGGCGAGTAAGATTCCCACCAAGACGCTCAAGCTGGTGCTGAACAAGTTTTTGGCCAATACCATGGTGATGAAGAAGGGACATACAATTTTGCCAGGGTTCAAGTTCACTTTGGAGGTGTGCAATGCAAATGCAGACAGAATGTCGCGTTTATTAACCCAATTCTTTTCAGAAACGATCTATGAGGCCACTAAGGGCAAGGAGAACGAGGACTCGGAGGACGACAAACAGGACGCGTCTGCTTTGCTGACGCAGCTCAAAAAGCTGCATACGCTGGCATTGGAGCTGTGGAAGTACGTACCCGAGATGCTTTCCTCGGCTATGGGGCTGATTGAGAACGAGCTGGACGCCGAGGACGAGAAGATCAGAATTACCGCTACCGAGACGATTGGCAAGATCCTGGCGGTCAAACAGTCACGGCTCAACTTTGCCTCCGCGCACACCGACACCTACACGAACTGGCTCAAGAAGCCGCTCGACAAGTCGCCCCATGTCCGCAGTTTCTGGGTGAGATCTGCCGTGCAGGCCGTCAACGCGAACCCTGACCTTGCTGCCGAGCTGGCGAGTGGCCTGATCAAGACGCTTGTTGACAGCGACGAGCGCACGCGGCTCACAACGGTGCGGGAGCTGTCAAACGTGAGTCCAGGCGTGTTTGTCTCGAAACTGGCCAACAAGACCATCATGAACACATTGTCTCAACTAATCAGAGAAAAGCACGCCGAAATCAGAAGCTCGTGTCTGCAGCTGCTCGGCTCGCTGTACAACGCCCAATTTGATGAAATATACAAGAACGACGCCGTGACAGAGCTCTTAGGTTGGGTCCCAGACGACGTGCTCAAATTGGTGTACATCAACGACAAGACCGTCAATGCACAGGTCGACCACACGCTTTTCGAGCTGCTGCTTCCATTCGAGCTGGACGACGCCAGGCGCGTCGACCGTCTGCTGACGGTCATAGAACATCTCTCGGAGAAGGGCAGAAACTCGTTCCACGCGATAGTCAAGCGACAGCCGCAAATGGCCAAGGCAGTGAGCCAGCTGCTCGCTCTGGCGGACATGAAGCCGGCTGACGACGTTTCTTCGAAAATTGACAAGCTTATCAGCTGGCTCGTGGCCTCATTCCCAGAGTCGGTGGACTGCCGCGCTGCATTGAAGCAGCTGCTCAAGCTCAACAATAAGCGATACTTCAAACTCATCATGCTGTGCAGCGACATCGAGACAGATTACAAGACCATCACGAACTGCATGAAAGAGCTTTTTGGCAAGCTGAACGAGCTGAAAAACATTAAGATCGAAGGAGAGCCCAGCGTGGCTCCGCATGACATGCTGTTCACCGTCAAGCTGCTGGTATACCGTTCGTCTGTGATTTTCTACAATCAGAGCAACGTGGGCGAGATTCTGCGGATCAGCAAGGACTTAGCTCACTCGCACAACAGCGCGGCCCAGGACGTGCTGGAGAACATTTCCACTGTGGTCCCAGAAGTTCTGCGGGCCAATATCTCGACGCTGACTCAGGAGACCAGCTTAGGAGGACCAATCGGCGTGAAGGACCTCAAGGCTATTTTTCAGTTTGGCAAGAAGTTCCCGGAGGTTATCGTTACAGAGAATTCTGATGATTATGTCGCCAGTTTGAAAAGACTAGCCGTCCGCGGCTCGCCCGCCGAGGCGAAGTACGCCGTGCGGCTGCTGGGCCAGTTACCGCGAACGGCTGCGCGCAACGCGGCTGTTGCAGCGCTCGTTGATGAGATTTGGCCGTTGGACACGTCCAAGGACAATTTCAACGCGTGTCTGGCGACTGTCGCCGAGCTTTTCTTGACGGATCTAGCTCTTCTGGACGACAAAACCAAGGAGATCAGCTCGTTGCTTGCATCGCAGATTCTGCTCAGAAACAACACTATTGGCGACGAGGACGAGGACGAAGACGAGGTGAATGGGTGGATTGATCGAGACGAACTGGAGACCAACAAGAACTGTTTATCGAAGATTTTGGCCGTGCGAGTGTTTGTAAACTGGCTAATTGCGGTGGAGACGGCCGAGAACGCCGCGCAGGTGGCCGAGCCCGTGCTCAAGCTGCTCACGTCTATCATTGGCAACGGCGGCGAGATTGTATCGCCGAAAACAGGCACGTATCCAACGCCCAAAAAATACCAGTCGCGTTTGCGCCTAGAAGCCGGAATTAAGCTGCTGAAGCTTGCCAGATACTCGCGGTACAACTTTTTGATCCATCAGGACCTCGTGAACAAGCTGGTGCTGCTGATCCAGGACGAGAATGATCACGTGCGGACGCTGTTCATGGCAAAGCTCAAGAAAAACCTCACTCTTGGCCTGATTTCAGAACGGTTCTATGCGCTGGTGTTTTTCATTGCACACGAACCCCAGGACGCTCTGCGCGAGGACACCAAGACATGGGTGCGGTCGATGCACAAGCGCAAGCTGAAGGCCAACAAAAACGAGCTGCTATTTGAGAAATCGTTTGTCAGAATGCTCAGCATGCTGTCGCACCACCAGGAGTTTCTAGAGCTGCTGGACTCTGCCAAAACAACTTCAGACTACACTGCCGTGCTGAACTTTGCGCTTACCTACATCGGCCTTGCGCTCGATCTGATTGCCAACATGAACAACGTGTCGCTGCTATACTATCTTGCTTCGCGAATGAAACAATACAGAGACAGACTTACTCCAGACCTTTCCAGCAACATGTATCTGGTTTCAGATCTGACGCAGTACACGATCAAGGCTCTGGCTAAACACAAGAACTGGAGCTTGGCGACGTGGCCGGGCAAGCTGAGTTTGCCGGGCGATCTATTCGAGTCAATCGGCGACTCTGCGCTGCTGCACGAGCTCGCCGTCAAGTCGTTCATCCCGGAGTCTGCGGTCAAGACATTGGACGACCTGGCGCGCGACAGGACACGGCATCTGGCCGGCACAGCTGTCCCGGTCACTACAGACCGCAAGAGACCGCACAACTCCGAGAAACCACGGACCAAGAAGAAACTGGCTGTGGAGCCGCAGCGGCGCAGTGCAATCCAGCGCGCAGCCGTGAACTACAACGAGGATGACGAATTCTAATTTATGGTACATGCTAAGGCCGCTACATTACGACCGAAGAAACTCCATCAGCTTGTCGTGGCCTTTTAGCTCCATCAGCTTCTTTACAATCAGCAGCTCGTGCAGCTCCTGTTTTGACAGCTCGCTGTGCTCGAGCCGGTACTCGTCGTCGATCTGTTTGAGCAGCTCGTCCAGGTTCAGTTTTTTCTGCCGGTTCGTGATGATCGAGCGCTCGCTCAGCTTCGCGACGCCCAGCAGGTAGTCACGCAATTGTGGCGCAGCGCGCTCGTACAGCCGCAAATTCTCCAAGTCTCGCACCCTCTGCTCGTCCTGCTGCTTGTGCTTAGTGCCCTTGATGAAGTCCAGAATGATGGCCTCTTCCTTGACTTGGTACGTCACGTTCTCGCTCTCCTCGGCCTTGCTGATCCTCACAAGGTCCCTGCTGAGCTTGTACGCGGTGCCGTTGTCGGTGCTGCGGAACTGGAACACAGGGTCTGGTGGGAACGTTTGCTCGAGCTCGAGCTCGTCCACGCTGTAATCCTCCACGTTAATAATGTCAATATTCGCATCCCGCGGCGCCTTAAAATCGCGCGTCATCGCGACCGCCACCTTCGGCTGGTGTCTCAGCTTGCGCCGGCTCTTGTTCACCGTCTCCACGTGGTTCGGACACATCCACTTCGACCCCAGCATTTTCGCTGACGTAAGCGGCGGGTCGAGACAGTCGAGGTGCCACGCCAGCGAGCAATAGTCGCACCGCGTGAGCAGCCGGCCGTTCAGCCCGGACTTCTCGCACTTGTAGCAGAACAGCGGGTTACCCTCCTTGTCGTACACGTTGGTGAGCGGGTCCTGGGCCTCGGCAAGCAGCTGGCTGTATGTCTTTGGTGGTTTCATATTGTCGTCCTCAAAGTCGCCGTCTTTACTCATTGACACGCCCTCGAACGCCTCAGCCACTTCGCGCGGAAGCCGGAACGCGAGCGGGTTGTGTGTGTTCAGCTCGTCCAGCAGCACAGAAAATATGCCAATGTGGCTCTTTTTGGGCTTTTGCCGGCTCGCCACGCACTCGTTGCAGTACCAGTGGTCCGGCAGGTCGTCCTCGCTCGCGGGCGGGTTCAGACATTGGAAGTGGAACGACCGTGGACATCCTTCGCAGCAGATGAACAGGCCCGGCAGCCCGCACGCGGCGCAGAAGTCCTGGTTGTGGACTGTCGGGTCTTCGTCGGGACTCGCGATAGATTCTGTCGTCGCCACTAGCTGGCCGTTAGTCTTCTTGCGCGGCGTTTGTTTCACGCGTCTCGACAGCACCTCTGCGTTGCCCTCCGTACGACGGCCCCTTTTGCGCGACCTAGGCCGCGACTGTCCATTCGTCTCTACGGGCTCCTGCGGCCGTTTCGCGACAGGACGCAGCGTCCTATGCGTAGCGTCGCGCTCCGTGCTCAGCTGCGTGAGCTCGTCCGACCGCCGCGTGCTCAGCCCGGCTCTATACTTTCGTTCCTCAGCCTCAAACGCCTCCTCATCCTCCTGATCCAGCGAATCTGGTGTAGAAGACCGTTTCGGTCCTTTCCCCTTCCCGCGGCGTCTCCCGCCAAACGCCTCCTTGCGCACCTTCACCGATGGCGGCTCTTCCAGCGGCTGTCCTGTGACAGAGCTTGCCGTCGTCGGCGTCTCGTCCGTGGCCCAGTCCAGCCCCGATCTGCTGGCTTCGTCCTGCAGCTGTTTCTCCGTGTAGGGCGACGCGTTTGGCGCCGGCGTCGCGGCCGGCTCCGTCTTCACGGCCTCACTGGGCGTCCTGTCCCGCAGTTCGCGCCGCACCACGGGCTTGTCGGTGTTGGCGCCCTGTATCCTGATGCGAGAAGTGTATGCCATGGGATTGAGGAAGAAAAAAATGTTTGAAAAGTTGCGTCGATCGTCGCAAACCAACAAACACTGATCGCTACGATCGGGGACGCAAGTGCTCATATCGTGCTCTCCGCCGTCGTGGTGGCAGATCGACCATCTACGCCCAGCACGTGCCAGCTACAGGTTCGGGTCACGACAATAAAAAATGTAGCACATCATTTCTGACTCACCTTTCATATATTTGAGGCCCAATGCAGTAATTTTCAGGTATGCGCAAATTCTCTTCAGCTTCCAAGATTCTAGATAAGTCGCGGTTTGTGCCGTCCTCAGGCTCATATCCGCAAGGTTACAAGGTGGGGGCGCTTGCCACGGGCGTGAAGAAAAGCAATGCGCTCGATCTGTCGATCCTGGCCTCGTCTGTGCCGGCCTCTGCGGCTGCAGTGTTCACCACCAACAAGTTCCAGGCCGCACCGGTGCTGGCGTCAAAGGACATCCTCAGCACGACGGGTGGCCAGAACATCAGTGCGATCGTGATCAACAGTGGCTGTGCGAACGCCGTGACCGGCGAGGGCGGCCTGAAGGACGCCTACACGATGGTCGAGACGGTGGGCCGTGAGCTTGGTGTTGGCTCGCGGTCTGCTCTGGTTATGTCGACAGGGGTTATTGGCCAGCGGTTGCAAATCGATAAAATAACCAGAGGCATAACCGAGCTCGTGGGCCCGCAGCTTGGCTCGTCGCACGAGCACTGGCTATCGTGCGCGCGTGGCATTATGACCACCGACACGTTCCCCAAGCTTGTCTCCAAGAGATTCGAGCTCGACGGGGTGACGTACTCTTTAGCTGGGCTTGCCAAAGGTGCAGGCATGATTTGTCCCAACATGGCCACGCTGCTCGGGTTTTTCGTCACAGACGCCCCAATAGCTGCTCCGGCGTTGCAGAAGATGCTCAAACACGCGACCGACCGCTCGTTCAACTGCATCTCAGTCGATACAGACATGTCTACGAACGACACGATTGCGGCGCTAGCCAACGGCGTGGCCGGGGGAGAACTTATAACTGAGACGCACCGGAACTACGACGCGATACAGGCGGAAATCACCGCTTTCGCCAAGCAGTTGGCCCAGCTGGTCGTCAGAGATGGCGAGGGCGCCACCAAGTTTATAACTCTCAAGATCCAGGACGCCCTCTCTTACGAGGACGCCAAGACAGTGGCCCACTCCATCGCCAACTCCTCGCTGTTCAAGACTGCGATGTACGGCAAGGACGCCAACTGGGGCCGAATCCTGTGTGCCACGGGTTATGCAGGCGTCGAGGTCAACCCGGCAAAAACCAGCGTCTCGTTTATACCAGCCTCCGGCCCAGCGCTCCAGCTGCTGGTGAATGGAGAGCCAGAGACGGTCGACGAGGCCAGGGCGTCCGAGATCCTCGACCAGGAGGACATTGAGGTGCACGTCAACCTGGGCACTGGCGGCGGCCATGACTGTGAGTTCTGGACATGCGACATGTCTCACGAGTACGTGACAATTAACGGCGACTACCGCACATAGAGTTGGTTATAATTTACCCCTTGAAAATAATAATAAATAATATTTATCTTTTTTTTTGTTATGTTCGAGGGCTCTTCGGGCGGACAGCCGCCCCCTCAACAGCAGATGACGCCACAGATGATCATCCAGAATCTCATGCGGATGGATCCTCAGCAGCGGAACGCGGTTATCATGAAGAACCCGCAATTGCAGATGTTTCTCCAGCACTACGAACAACAAAGAAAGGCTGCACTCAACCAGTCGATGAACCCCCAGATGCAGGCAAAAATCATCCAGCAGCAGCAACAAAGACAGATTCAGCAACAGAGACAGCAGATATCTGGCCAGGTTCCGGGCCAGATGCCGCACCAGATCCCAACGCCTGTGCCAGCACCACAGATGGCCCAGAAAAACCCCGGCATGCAGGCCCAAAAACGTATGGTTCGTAAACGGAGCTCTGCAAAGGACCCGCTCGACGCTTCTGGAACGCCTGTTGGCTCGCCTGTGATTTCTCAGGGACCGCATCCTTCCCAGAACATGGGATATCCTCCAGGTGCGCAATCTGGGCCAGTGCCCCCTCCAATCGCACAGGCTCCGCCACAACCGGTTGTGCCTCTCTCAGAGAGGATAGAAGACACTCACAAATGGTCAAAGACGTTTGAGAACGAGGAGAAAGAGGTGCCTACGTCAATCAAGGTGTACGAACAGATTATCGAACGCGACATGGACTACGACCGTCGTTCGGTGGCCGAAACCAAGAAACCTTTTAATGCAGAGCAATTACAGGCAATGGCAAGAGATCTCAAGTTTTACCAGACCGTCAGAGACTCCCGACTCAAGGCAATAGCGCTGACCGAGGCCGGCAAAAATGCAGAAAGTATTTGGGGCGACGGATACTCGGGCTATGGAAACGGTTTCAGCGCGGGTAAGACCCGGCTAGTGTTTCCCAGAAACCGCAAGAGGCCTTCACGCGTGCCGGAGGATTACATATCTCCCGAGGCGTACGAGAAACAGGCCAATAAGCCAGAGGAGCTGGTTCCTATCCGACTGGAGTTTGACGTGGACAGAGACTCATTCAAGTTGAATGACACTTTTCTATGGAACTTGAACGAGAGCACCGTCTCTGTGGAGCGTTTTGCACAGATTCTAATGGAAGACTACAAATTTCCCCAGGGACAGGCTTCGAACGTGGAAAAGATAGTGAGCAGCATCAAGGAACAGATTAATGAGTACCATCCAATGGTTTACGGCGAGTTCAAAGGTGCTGATTTACGGCTGCCCATCTCTGTTGATATAACCATCGGCAATAACCAGCTGGTGGACAAGTTCGACTGGGACCTAGCCAACCCGGATAATGACCCAGAGGAGTTTGCGAGGGTAATGTGCGAGGAAATGGCTCTTCCAAACGAGTTCATGACAGCCATCTCTCACACAATCCGTGAACAGTGCCAAATATACGTCAAGTCGCTATTTTCCGTTGGATACAAGTTCGACGGCTCGCCGATCACCAGTGACGAGTTCAAGGACCTCAACCGTTCGCAGATCGACAAAGACTCGGTTGTTAGGGCGCGCCACCACTTACAGGAGTACACACCGTCGTTGCAGGAGATCACGTTCGACGCACTGGAGAAAATCACAAAGGAGAGAGAAAGAGAATCACGCAGAAAGAAACGCGGCCAGACCCGTGTTGGCCGTCGCGGAGGAATCGTACTGCCCGATCTCCACGATCTACCCAAGACGTTCCGCACTCCGGTGCCTTCATCAGTTCTTCCGTCCGGCGTCAATCTTGGACCGCCCGTGGACAGCTACATCGACTTTCCGTTGCAGGTGGAAATTCCACAGGAGCAGCTACAGGCCCTTGAGGAATTCCGCGCACAAGAGCGGGCGCAGGCTATGCAGGTCGACCGCGTGGGTCCCGTGGTGGCCAGCAACGGCGTCGCTTACCAGATTGACATGCAGCGTGCGATTGTGAGGATCAAGCTCAGAAAATAAATAATGGGTTGAGATAAAGTAACTTTTTCGGGCTGTTCGGAGGCGCAGGGTACAGAAATATTTTATTTTATTTACTTGTCTCCAAATAAATGGCTAACAATATAGAGCTAGACACTATGAACGTGGCGGATCGCGTTCCAGAAACCGAACCGCGCGACTCGCTACTTAACTCTTTCAGCCCTCAGGGCCCCGTGGAGGCTGACACGCGGCTTCAGCAGCCCCAGACGTCTACACAGGAGATTACGAACAACATCGAAAATAGACTCACTAGTACGGAATCCAGCACCGGCGGCTCCACCCTGACATATGTTCGAAACCAGTTGCGTTACATGCTGACGAATGCGCCGCTTTTGCGATTTGTTGTCCCTGCTAACAGATACAATTCTCTGCGAACGACCGCCCCGATGGTGGGCCGCGGCCAGGATGGCGTTTTCAGCAACATGTCTGCCAAGCCGAGCGTTCCAACAGGCTCAGAGCCTTCGTACCAGCTGCCCTCGTACGAGGAGGCGTCGCAGGACCCCACGCCGCCCTACTGGGAGGCGTCCATCATGGCCGGGTACGAGGACGAGATATTTGTGGACGGGCTGCCTGTGGGCAACACCATCAATTTTCTGTGGAACATGACGGTGAGCATTTCGTTCCAGTTTGTTGGGTTTGTGATTACCTACTTATTGCATACGTCGCACGCTGCAAAGAACGGCTCACAGGCCGGCTTGGGAATCACTCTGATCAGTTTCGGCTACTCGTCGATTCCTGTTTCCTACGGGAGCCAGTCGTCGCACGAGGGTGAGAAATTCGAGCCGTCGTCTCCAAATGCGATCGACATCGACTCCTCTAATGCCGTCGACGGCCACATAGACAAGTTCACTTCCACGCTGCCGCTGCTCGAGACGTCCGACCTGCCGGACACCACGTACCTCAATTCGACGCCGATTTTCTCCTACGCGCTGATTTCGTTTGGCATCTTCCTTATATTCAAGGCTATATTTAGCTATCTGAGGGCCAAGAAGGCGGAAAGGCTCATTCTCGAGCCCCAGCAGCCTGTCTGATTGGCTATTTGAGAATCACGAGCATTTTTTCATAGATGGTGAATACGATTCCTCCGCTCAAAATCAGCCGGCCCAAACGAGGTGTGGCTCCTTTCCAAAACGTCATCAGTCCTTCCTCTTTGAAAATCTTCACAAAGCAGTCTAGCGTGCCCGTGTACAGCTTGTCTGATCCAAGACCTTGCATCCGTGTCTTGACCGTGTCGATCGGCATCGTGGTGTACACGGTCACGACACCAGCAAAAGCCCCAAGCAGGAACGTCAGCTGGCTGCTAAGAGGTTCGTTTGGCTTTGTCCCGCTGGCCTGCTGCAGGAGCGTCTTGAAGCTGTTGTACGCTCCCAGTCTCACAGCAGAGTTCGATCCTTGTCTCAGGGCCACTGGCACCACTCCCTGGTAGAGACCTTTGAAACCAAGGTCTTTCAGAAGTCGCAAGGTTCCGAACCCATGCTGGTACTTCGGAGTCGCGCTCCGTTTGTCGTCGATCATAGCTGTTTTGATAGCCTCGGCAGGCGTCACCGCGACCACACTTTCTAAGAGTCCGGCCCCCAAGCCGGCAAGCACTCCCCGAGGACCGCTGAGCTTGCCGTCCTGGTCTGCGAGCTGTTTCTTGATCGCGTCAAACCCGAGAAACCGCACCGATGCCTTGGCTGTGTTTCCGATCACAAATGCCGGACACCCAACGTACAATGCGCTGGGTCCCTGAGTTTTGGCAACGCTGTAGATAAGCACGAGGGGATTACGTGACATCTTGGCGCTCTTGTCCACCAACTGGAGTCTGGTCTTTGCGAACTCAAAAGGGTAAGTGATCACGCCCTCGACGGCTCCGGCGACTCCTCCCGCGATAAATGATTTGAATGGGTCTGGTTTTTCGGACATAGGGCTAATGAATGAATTAATATTCGGTATCGATTATTTCAATTTTTCAGATTTTCCACTTTTTTTTTTTTGACCCTGTTCATTTCTCTCTATGTATTCATCATATATTATCTAAGTTCTGGATCAGCCGTTTTCACTCCATATCATCCTCAAACATCGCGTCGTCAAGATCCTCGTCATCCTCTTCGTCCTCCGCGTCCTGGTTAGCACGTAACTGCGCGTAGTACGCCTCCAAAGCGTCCAGCTCCTCGGCCGTATCGGCAGTTCCCGGCCCAGTAGCGTCTGATCCCGCCATTTCTGAACCACTGTAGCCAGCACGGCTGCCCGAGTCGGTCTCTGACTCCTCCCTCTTGATCTGTTTCTCGATTCCCGTCTCCGTTGTCTCCTTTTTGACACTTGGTATTTCCTGGCCCAGGCCGTTCAACAACGACTTGCCAACCGTACTCTCCATGTGCCAGGACGGTAGCGCGTTTTGCTTGAGCGTCTCGCTCTTCTGTTCCTTCGACTCGCGCTCCTGTCTCATTTCTTCGTCGTCCGCCGTGATGGACACGTGCACCGTAGCCTGAGACTTCTGTGCTGCGTTCTGCAACGATTGTGAAATACCGCCCGGCTTGCCATTGCGCGGCACCTTCGAGCTGACCGTGTACGATGCGACCGAGCTCGACGAGACAGGGATGGCCTTGACCAGCGAGGACTCAAAGTTGTTGTCCTCAATCTTCATGTTGTCGATCTTCTTCAGGGACTCAATGATCGGCTCAATCTGCGACATGAGCTTCTCCAGCTTCTCCTGGCCTTTTTGTGCTTCCATGCCGGAATCATCCTCGATCAGCTTGTCTCCGCAGACAGAGCATTCGAACGACGCCTTGTCCTCGCTCAGTAGCGACGCCGCGTCCAGAAGCGAATATTTAGTCCGGCACGATGGACACACATAGCCCTGAGGGTCGCTGAGCTGGTCCACCTCGTCCTTCACCATTTTCACTAGTGAATGGATCTTCCACTTAATGGCGTCGATGGCCTCAACCCAGCGCACAAAAAAATACGTCATCGTCATCATCCGGTACTGCGGAGAGTCCTCCTTCTGTGTATATGCCACAATAAGCCGGTCTTCCAGTAGCCGATTGCAGTACGACCGAAACACCTTGCGATGCATACAGGTGAGCTTCAGCATGTCTTCCTCGTACACCACTGAGTGAAAGAGAAGGACTTCCATGATCAGCGCGCACGGCACCGCATAGAAAGCCCTCGTGACAAGCCGTAGAAGGTGCTTCACCTCCTTCTCGGACTCTTTGGAAAGCGACATGGAGACAAATAAAGGAAAAAACAAAAATTCGTCGATCGGTCGATCGACGGGACTCGAAGGTGCCACCTCAACACATCATCCAAACACTTACCCAGATGGTTACCTAGATGAATAACACCACAGGCGACTAGCACAAAGACAACGCAAAAGTCCTGTCACTCCTGCCACGCGTCGATCTCGAGATGGGAGCCGGGAAGTTTGGCCGGTAGTGAAGCTCCCCCCCTGATAATGCTCCAAGGCCCAGACCGCTGGCACCACCTTGGCTACGTTACCCGCGTGACTAATTCTTGCTGCCGCCTGTGGCGCACATTCGTTAATTTCACACAGCTTATCACGTCAAGCTTATCAGTCGTGCCCCTGCCTTTCCCGTTTGGGATTTGCCACCCAGAAAAATAAAACACTGCCTACGTGAGCAATTTACTTAGTTTCTTTATCTACTTCTCTTCTTTGGTCGTTTGATAGGACACTGAAGAGCTTATTCCCTACTTATTCTTATTATCCAACTGCACCATGAAACACGCAGTTGCCGTCTCTCTGCTCGCCGCCATGGCAGTGCAGGGTCTTGTTATCCCTCACTTTGATAACATCCCTCAGCAGTTCTCGCTTGTGAAACAGACAAAGGAGGCCGCAAAGACCGAATCGCCCGCTGTCAACCTGTTGGACGAGACCAACGCCAGTCCGCTGATCACCACGCCAGTTGCAGTGGAGAACGTCATTCCAAACTCTTACATTGTCGTGTTCAAGTCTGGTGTCTCCTCAGACTCTATTGACTTTCACATGAGCTGGCTGCAAGATGTGCACTCCCAGATCGTCAACGAGCTGGGATTGAGTCCAGAGGAGGCCTCTGCCCAGGGCTTCAAGTCTGACATCCTCGATTTGACTCACGTCTTCAAGATTAGCGACTTCTTCTCGGGCTATACCGGTGTTTTCCCAGAAGCTGTCGTTAACCTTATCAGAAGACACCCAGACGTTGCATTTGTCGAGATGGACTCTATGGTGTACGCCAACGAGGCTGAGACTCAGACAGGTGCTCCATGGGGATTGTCGAGAATCTCCCACAGAGATGCACTCAGTCTCGGAAACTTCAATCAATACCTATACGATGACGTCGCTGGTGACGGCGTCACAGCATACGTCATTGATACAGGTATCAATGTCAACCACAAGGACTTCGGCGGCAGAGCCAAGTGGGGAAAGACTATCCCAACCGGTGACGACGATATCGACGGTAACGGTCACGGTACCCACTGTGCTGGTACCATCGGCTCCGAGCACTACGGTGTTTCGAAGAACGCCAACCTTGTTGCCGTCAAGGTTTTGAGATCCAACGGCTCTGGTTCGATGTCTGACGTCGTCAAGGGTGTTGAGTTTGCTGCCAACGCCCACATTGCTGAGGCTAAGCAGAAAAAGCCAGGCTTCAAGGGATCCACCGCCAACATGTCTCTTGGTGGTGGCAAGTCTCCTGCCTTGGATATGGCAGTCAACGCTGCAGTCAAGGCTGGCTTGCACTTTGCCGTTGCCGCAGGTAACGACAATGCCGACGCTTGCAACTACTCGCCAGCCGCCGCGGAGAATGCTGTCACTGTGGGTGCCTCGACCTTGTCCGACTCTAGAGCCTACTTCTCGAACTACGGCAAGTGCGTGGACATCTTTGCTCCTGGTCTCAACATCTTGTCTACCTACATTGGCTCCGATACCGCAACTGCTACTCTTTCTGGTACTTCCATGGCTTCTCCACACGTTTGTGGTTTGCTTGCTTACTACCTTGGACTGCAACCAGAGAGCGACTCTCAGTTCGCCTCGTCGTCTGTTTCTCCAGCTCAGCTGAAGAAGAACATCATCAAGTTTGGTACCAAGAATGCTCTTTCTGACATTCCAGACGACGGCACTCCAAACGTCCTGATTTACAACGGTGCAGGTAAGAACTTGACTGAGTTCTGGGACGCGGATTATGAGTACGAGTCCGATAGTTCTCTCAAGGTGGACTTGAACCGAGCTCTAGACATTGCTTCTTCCGTGGAGATCGACCTCGACGGTTTGAAGGAGAAGTTTGACGAGATCCTCAACGAGGTTCAAAGTGAAGTGAAGTCTCTGTTGAACTAGCAGGACTAGCCGAATTGTATGAGCGGGTTCTTTGTTTTTGGGTTTTGTTTTTGTTTTTGTTCATGAAATGATTGCTTTCATTGGGTTTGACTTGCTTCGATAAATACTCTGCATCGGCGACACCTTTGTTTAAGTAAAATGCATACATATTAGATTTTACCAAGATAATATTTGAGTTAATTTCCAAAACGGTTGCAGTAGCGCAGCAACTGCCAGGTAAATCCTGTAGATTATCCTAATGATCCAAAGGTAAGCGAGTATTTCCACTATGAGCACACCTTCTGGAGGTAAAATCGGTACCGAGTACAATATTCCAAATAGCTGGAATACCACACCGACAATCGGCACAAATTGCAGCGAGCTTTGAATTGAGTCATGTATGCGGTAAATATTAGAGTGTAGTTCGGGTCTCCTTGTTTGGAGCTGCCCCTCGCGCTCTGTTTCTGTCCGTTTGCGTCGGTTCTCTAGTCCCTTCTTCTTATTTGGATATCTCACTCCGTTGTTGTACCACATATAGTCTTTTAAGTTTTGGTCAAAGTTATTCCCAGTGAATTTGGAATCTGCATGGCTCTTGCGTTTAGGACGGTCCACTTTTATTCTGGAGCTGATCTTCTGCAGCCAGTCGGAATGGTCGTTGTCGGATCGCTCAACAAAAGTTTCTCTGAAAATCTGCTCTTCGTCGCCATTGGCACGCCTGATTTTGCGCATTTCCCGCTCCATCTTTCTTCTTGAGTCCTGTAGTGAAGCAGTTTCGGGCTCCTCTACTTCCGGTGGCTCTGCAACCATGCTATTCTGTCGTTCTCTCCATTCGTCGTTTCGGCGTTCAAACCGACTCACCATTGGCATCGACTTGATGTTTGTGCCCGAAATCGTGAGATCTAGGTTTTTGCTGCGTCGTTTTCGGTTCACCATGGATTTGAGCCAGTTGCTCTTCTTGCTGGTAAAAAGCTGCTCCCCCACAGAATCCACTTCGCCAACGTTCCTGTCGTGCCGAGAGGCGTTAAAGTGGTAGTACTGGCCTGGAGACTCGATATTCTGCATTGCTATCAAAAAGAGCAAAAATAATCGGACAAAGAACAAACAGATGCTCCTGCAGTTGGTGATATATCACAAATATCATAATAAATAAATCTCCCACCAAGAGTTACCCTGCCACCACTCTTTTCGTGTCGCGAAGGAAAACAAGTAAACACCGTCCAGAATTCGAGTTGTAGCGGTGCAAGGATGGAAGCTACGAGAGCTGCTCCGAAGCGTGTCTTTCAGTTTGGAGAAGTCGCCATAGACAGTAGAAAATGCCCTTGTTGACTTGTCACAAAGTGTGTGCACAGCCAAGACCGGTTCCGAAACTCGGCGGGAAAAAACCTAGACGTTCCCCAAGCCTCTGTGCATTTCTACTCTAACTTGTAAATAAATGCAGGATTAACGTAATTTAATATTTACTTCCCTGCAGACCCGAGATATATTTCAAGCTTGCCCCCTGTACAATTGCCACTTGGAGCAGGAAGCCACTCCCCAACAGAAACTGACAGCTTGTACCTTTGAATTGACAGTTTTTGCTCCCTTACACAGCCATTATATGGACTCATCCGAAGACACGCCTACCGGCCTCCGCAACTCCTCTAACATAACGACATTTAATAATATAGGCCCCGACCAAACCATGACTCAGATGAATGAACCGACTACGCCGTCTTTAAAGAAAAATGCAACTTTCGATGCGGCCCCCTTTCCCCAGACTCCCGAGCGTACACCGCATCAGTTGATGCCCGAAGGCACTCCTTTATTGTCGCCCACGCACGTGAATTCCGGGGCTACCCCCTCAAAACGACGAAGCACAGACTTCTACAGCTTACTCAAGTCGCCAGATGTCAATCGGAACGATGTAGACCTGAAACGAAGGTCGGTCGAGCTCAACAAGATTCTCAACAAATCTCCCGAAAGATTGAACAACTATGTTTTCCATGACAGTCTGCTCAAGTCTCCCAAGCGTCAACCCGGAAGCTCGCCATTCCGGGTGCACAAGAAGAACGACAACGAAATTAAAGAGATTTCGGAAAACCTCAAGACGAGGCTCAACTACGCCAATGTGAAAATCCAGCACGGATGGTCAGCCAAATCGATTTCAGAGCTGGAGAAAAACCTTGAGGAGGAGAAGTCGCGAAAGATGCTCACACCTGAGGACAGGAAACAACAAGACAATTTTTGGAACATGAAGACCGACCAGCTTCCTACATACAATCAGCCAAAAATGAACGCCGAGCACAGAATTGCAGCTCCGTCCAGCCCTACCAGCTACGCTATTCCTGTGCGCCGCAAAACATCGAAGCTGAAGCTGGACGAACTGGCCAGTAAACAGGGATCTGCTGAGTCTGCTTTGTACAAAGCACTCTCGCCCGAACGACCAAACCTGACCATCGACTCACGATCAATGCTGCCTCCTGCCAGCCACCGGCGCTCTGCTTCCGATAGCAAGCTTGAACAGGAGGCCATCATGTCTCTGATATCGCTTTCTTCGCCCGTCAAATACTCTGGCTCGCAATCTCCTTCGCCTCCCCGTCCCGTGGGGTTGCAGAAACCGCCACTTTTGTCCTTTGACAGACGACGCAACGCTGAAAATGAGGAAACGGACGAGGAAACAGAGCTAGAAGACGAAGACAACGCGAAAACCCATATTTTTAAATCTCCCCAACGGAACGGACTCAGAGGGCTCGGGCTCACCTCGAAGTCTGCGGCAGATGACGACGACCGCACAGCGAGCGATTCCTCTGGCTGAATCTGGTCCTGGGCACTTATACATAACTTTGCAACACTGTATATGAACACGTCGATCGACGCAAATTCAACCTCGAGTCGAAATACCGATAGTATATTTTGTTTTATTCCATTTAATATCTCGTCTTATGAAAGACACTGTCAAGCCTTTCCTGACCCAACACGAGGACCTTGTGCTAGACGTTCAGTACGACTACTACGGCCGCCAGCTGGCCACGTGCTCTGCGGACCAGCATTTGAAGGTGTTCGATCTGGACACTGAGAGCTCGTCCTGGATACTCAACGACTCGTGGAAGGCGCACGATTCCACCATAGTCAAGGTCGATTTCGCCAATCCCGAGTTCGGTCATCTGCTGCTATCGATCTCGTACGACCGCACACTCAAAATCTGGGAAGAACGGTTTGAGGAGCCTGCTGGATCTGGAAGAAGATGGAGGCGTCTTTGTACAATTGCTGACTCTCACGGACCGTTATACGATGCCTGCTTCATGCCTTCGCATCTGGGCCTTGGTGTGGGTACCATTGGATCAGATGGGAAGCTTCGAATCTACTGTTCGTTAGACCCTGCAAATCTCAAGAGCTGGACCCTAGTGCACGAAATAAACGTGCTCAACTCGTCTGTAGCTTCGCATTTGCAGAGCGACTTTTCGCTGTCATGGTGTCCTTCGCGATTTTCGGCAGAGAAGCTGGTTGTGAGTGCATTAGATCAAGCTTACATATATTACAAGGACGAGGCAGACAACAAGTTCCATCAGGGTGTCGTGCTTCCCGAACACAACGGGCTGATCCGGTCAGTTTCCTGGGCGCCCTCGATGGGTCGCTCATACCATCTGATTGCCACGGCGTGCAAAGACGGGTTCATGCGGATATTCAAGCTTGTTGAGAAACGTGACAACGAGTTTGAGATAGAGCTGCTAGCATCGTTCAATGACCATAGGGGCGAGGTCTGGAAAGTGAGCTGGAACCTCACAGGAACGATTGTAAGCAGCTGCGGCGACGACGGCCGAGTCAGACTGTACAAATCCAACTATGCCAACAACTTCCAGTGCATGAGCGTCATAAGTGCTCAGTCGTAGTGAGCCGCTAGAAACATTTCTCAGTGATATATTTGAGCAGCTGTTTGAACCGCTCGTCGCTCAGCTGGTCCCTCATGCGGTCCAACTCCTCCAGATGCAAAACAGACTGCTCCACTGCCTGGAAATTCTGTGCACTTTCGTCGTGCATCTGTCTCACCTGGCTCACCAGAGCGTCATTCTCCTGTCGCAACAGCTCGAGTTTGTCGCTTAGGGTGCTGATCGACCGCCGTTTAGCGTCTGCGAGTTTTGTCTGCACAATTTCTCCGGCGCTGAGCCTGTGAATCAAAAATGGGGGTTCGTTGCGCTGTTGCCGTTGTCGCGATTCAAATATAATCTCGTCGAGCTCATTGAGTTTTTGTTCCAGGTCCTTTTCCAGAAAAATTCCTTGGAACTCGTCCAAGGCTTTGCTGGTCCACATTTCGGTGATTTGCTGATGGAAATCTGTCAAAGTCTCGCGATCAACCCCGGGATAACACTCGACGAGCTTCTCAACGTTGAATTTGTTGACGGTTTCCTGAAGCGAAAACTCTGCCGCCTTGCGCAGACCGTCGAATCGCACATACTTGAGAGTCTCGGGAGGCTCCGTGGCCGTTTTTCTGGACTTTCGGTTGTTTCTGGTGCTCATTCAAAATAAATATTGTATATTATTTGTTTACAACAAACACAGCCTTGAGAAAAAAAATTTAGAGATTTTTCAAATAAATCATGAAGCTTTTGGTCTCTGCCGAGGAGTTGGGTGCGCTTAAGGAGGTCATCTGCGTCAAAGGAACAGACACTTCAAAACAACAAGCGCCCCAGCCGACGTCGATAAAAACGTTTTGCCAGGAAACAAGGAACACCAAGATCCAGCATTTTATTCTATACAAGAATTATGTGGTAGCAGCTAGACAAGGGGGAAGCATATGTATATACAACTCTGAGGATGAGTACGCAGAAGTGAAGAAAATTGGCAGTCTTTCTGCCTCCGCAGAGGACGCTTTTGTGTCTCTATTCGAACTTGGCGAAAAAATATATGCTTGTACGGAAGCTGGCAACCTGAGCATCATCGAGCCCGAAAACTGGGTACACACATCCACCAAGCTTAAGGGGCCAATCAGCAGCTTTTGCGGAGACGTCTCAAGACCAGGAATTTTTGCATATGGCGGAAAAGAAACCGATCTCACTGTCATCAAGCTGGACACCATGGAGGTTTTGTTTCGGGGCAAGAATGTTCCAAATAACAAACTGGACTTACGCGAGCCAATTTGGATATCCAAAGTTGCGTTTGCTACAAATCCACAAGACGGGCCGGACGTCTACAAACTGGTTACCGTCACAAGGTACGGTCACGTGAGATATTATGACTCGACCAAGGGACGCAGGCCTGTTCTCAATTTCAAGCTTTCCGACAAACCGCTGATCACCATGGCTAAGCTCAACGACTGCGAGATTGTTTGCTCCGACACCCACGTTACGACCGCGAAATTCAATTTCAAAAATGGCAGCATGCTTGGGAAGTTCCAGGGTGCTGTGGGATCGATCAAGGCTATCCATGTTCAGGATAACGTTTTGGTAACTGGAGGCCTTGACAGGTATGTTCGATGCTTTGACATTGGATCCAGAAACATTATAGCCAAGGTGTATATGGGCACTCAAATTAGCGATGTCTGCTTGGTGGAAGCAAACGAGGAGCAGCCAGAAGAGAAGCCTCAGGATGTGAAACCTAAGGCCAAGGAACGTAATGATTTGGAGGAAGAGGCTGAAGATGACGAGTCGAGCGACGAAGAAGAAATGTGGCAGAGGTTGCAAAGCTCATTAGCTGAGAAGAGAAAGAAACGGAAACTTAAATAGTGGCATTATTTAATAAAATACGTATATTAATATGCTAATTGAATTGTTTAGCCATTTTGCGGTCATGGCCTACCTTTCTGTTGCTACGACCGCCTCTGAAAGATTTCTTGGGCTTCAAGCCACTTTTCTCATTTTCCTGGTGCTCGTCCTGCCGAAACTTTTTGCGACTCAAAGTTCCGTTCAGCGAGCCACCAACATCCAGCAATTTCTCTTCCAGCAGCTTGAAGCGCCGCGGATTGCGCTCAAGCATGCGCGCCCAGCCTTCTATTTGCTCGTCAGTCCATTTGAGCTCGCTCTTCAACTGGTTTCTGTAGTCTGTGTGTCTGGAGCTGCGGTCAAAGGCCTCCGGATTAGACTTGAAGACCTGCAATAGCGTGAGGTCCAGCGATTCCATGCTCTGGTCTCTCTCTTGATTTGCATGTTTGCTCTCTGCAAACTCCTCGTCCGACTCATAATCCTCGTCTTTGGCGAGACTACCTGCTCCTGTGGTGAGATCCTGGTCGTCGTACGTATCATCCGGCTCGTCTTCAGCTGACTCATACAGCAGACGCAGCGCGTTTTCAAGCGTTTTCTTTTTCAACTGACGCTGGGTCTTGCTATCAGCTTTCAGCGAAAAGTCTTTCTTTCCAAACTGGACTTGGGCTTTCTTCTTTTCCGTGTACTCTTCGACTTCTTCTCCCTCCAGCACCTTGTTCATCGCCTCTTCCACGGTTTTGTACTTTTTCAAAAGCGTTTTGCACTGAGCCTCTGTGAGTTGCGGGAAAACATCGAGCAGACTCTGTATTTTGTGCTGATCGAACGGACTCTTGCTTTCAAAGAGCTTGGTCCTCAGGTCCGGGTTCATGTCCTGGAACTTGCTCGAGAGAACTACGCGCGCCACCAGAGGAAAGTTTCTGATCAATTGGGCCCTCGAAACAACTCCTAGGTCTTTCACTAGATTTATTATCTTGGCAGACGTCAGACTGACAAACGAGACAATCGCAATCTCAAAACACTGCTGGGCATGCAATGAGTCACCTCTGTTGTAAAGCGTTTCCAAAATGTCAATCCAGTGAGCGTTGACGAACCGCTCGCTGAAACTGTCCTGCTGTCCGCGTCCGACTGAGACGCGCTGCTTACTGCCTCCTCTGTTTTTGATTTTCTGCCCAAGAAGCATACTCAAGGTCTCTAAGTCAATGCGGTTGAATTTGGTATCGCTGATCCGCAGCCTCAAATAGTCCTGGAGAGACTTGACGAGCGAGACGTCATCGGATTTGGACGTGATCTTCGACCTCACTCTTCCTTCCACGAGATCTCGCACTAATTCCACACTGATCAGCGACTGGTTCACATTCATATTCTCGTATGCAAGACGCAAATAGACCTTGCAGAAGTCCCAAACCGACTCGCCCGCGAGCTTGAGGTTGACCAGGTTGTAAATCTTAACGAACTGAAAAACGACCATCTTGAGCCGTTTCTGGTTTCTGACTATTTCCGGGTTGATGGCCCCAAGTGAAAAGATCTTTGTGGTTTCCTCGCTTGTTTCGGAAAGATACACCTTCATGAATGCGGTCAATTGCTGCTGGCTCTTCAAACTAAGCTTCACGCCCTTCTTGGTCGAGATCACGATAAGTTTCTGAAAAAGATCGATATAATTCTCCAGCAAATGCTGCCAGATAACAGGATCCTTGTCGATCAAACTAGACCGCAGCTTGAACGGCGGATACGCCACTATAGGAATATCCAGATGCTCCATAATATCCGTCCTATCAATTTTTTCAGGCCGATCGTCGTTTTTTATCGACCCAATATATATCCAATTATTCCATGCTGTCCCTCGCAGTGTCTGCTGTGTCCCTTGCGCTCATCTTCACCAATGAGTCATTCCAGCCCATACAGGCAGCCATAGGGTTTGCCATCCTCGGATACCAGATGACCACCTCGCTGATTCCGGCTGTCAGCACTGCATTTCTAAAACGTGGCCTGGGAGGTAGAGACCTGTCCAAGCCGGGGAAACCGCTCATTCCAGAGACAATGGGTATCATCCCTGCCATCACATACATGTTTGTGATGATCCTGTTTATCCCGTTCATGTTTATCTTTGGGTCTGACCAGAACGGTCTGTCTGGAATGTTCCCCCATAAAATGCTTTCGACGTATTTAGGCTGTCTGCTCTCGCTCATGTCGATGATCCTACTTGGCCTGATGGACGATTTATTTGACATCAGATGGCGCCACAAGTTTCTCCTGCCTGCCGTCGCCTCGATTCCGCTGCTCATCGTGTACTACGTCGACTTTGGAGTTACAGCGATCCTGATCCCGCATTTCCTCCAGCAATGGCTACACTTGGACACGAATTCCGTCGATCTGGGCTACTTGTACTACTTCTACATGGCGTCTGTGGCTATTTTCTGTCCAAACTCTGTCAACATACTGGCAGGTGTCAATGGACTGGAGGTTGGACAGACAGTTGTCATTGCTGGGCTTTTGCTGCTCAATGATTTGTTTTACCTGTCCATAGGAACTATCCAGTCGCCGAGCTACTCAATCCACCTGCTCAGCATGTGTTTCCTCATCCCTTTTGTTGGAGTTGCTCTTGGTCTGTTCAAGTACAATTGGTTCCCGGCCAGAGTGTTTGTTGGAGACACCTGGTGCTACTTTGGAGGCATGGTGTTTGCCGTCGTGGGTATCTCGGGCCATTTTGCAAAGACCCTGATGCTGTTTTTTCTGCCGCAGATCGTCAATTTCGTTTACTCGGCTCCGCAACTCTTTGGACTCATACCGTGTCCACGTCACCGGCTGCCAAAGTTCAACGAAGAAGATGGCCTGCTTTACAACTCGTACACGGAGTATGGGCAGGTAGACGCTACGAGCGAGAAGGGCAGGCGAAATCCACCGCTAAACTCAAGACTGGTCCCAGTAGTTCTATTTCTCGAGAGATTAAAGCTCATTGGAGTGGTCAAAGAATACCACGACGGAGAATGGGTGATTCATAAGACAACCAACCTCACCATCATAAACCTATTTATTGTGTGGACCGGCCCAATCAGAGAGGACAAGCTGTGCACGCTTTTGCTGGCCACCCAATTTGCAACCGGCTTCTTCATGCTCGTGCTTCGACACACCCTTGCACCTATGCTATTTGGTTTCGACAACTCCTGGAGCATGCTGAACAGATATAATTAAGTGTCTATGCACCCCAAAATGCTTTCCGCTCTTCCAGCAAACTGTCGGCGAGGCCCTGGATCTCTGGATGCTTGATCAACGCCCGAGAGCGGAAAAACTCATCAAGAGACTTCTTCGTGGCTTTCTCGTACTCAAATGCCTGGATCAGCATCTCGTACTTGTCAATGTCCTTGACGATTGAGGCTTCGAAGTTGCGCTGGTCCTCATAATCAAGCCAAAGTTGCACGATTTCCTCGGAAAAGGCCGCATTATATGGCTTGATGACTTCGCTCAGATAGAGAATCGTGCTGTATTCTCGTCTGTTTTTCTCTTTCTTATCAACGTTGGCATCGTGAGGGACGATATCACCAACCAGACTCTCTGCTATGTCATGCACAAGCGCGATCTTGGCACATTTGGTCAGATCAGGCTTTTGAGAAAATGCATCGCCGTTTAGCGACATCGCTATGATAGACATTCGGTACATGTGATCTGCAATACTCTCAGGGTTGGGGACCTGGTGGTCAATCCAGCCAGTCCGCTTCTGTTGCTTCAGTAGCGATGCGATCTGATAAAATGCATTGATGTAGTTGTAATTCTTTCCGTTCGCTTCGGCCGGGGTCAAAAGTTTCCGAATATCAGCTGGGAGAGCATGCCGCGGGTCCCACTCAGAAGTCGTCATAGTTGATAGTGTGCGAGCCGCCGGCTTGAAAGAGCGACAAAAATGCGAAAGAATGTTGGAAAAATAAATATATAAACAATGCACGCGGGCTTACTAACGTCTCACGTAACCGTCTAGGTGTGAGGTGTAATTGATAAGTTGCCAAACCCTTACCAGCTTCAGGAGCTGTAGGCTCAGGACTCGTTCGTTTTTGTCCTTTTGAGTTTGGATTACGGGCAAGACTATCTTCAAGGCTGTGTTCGCCACAGCTACTGGGAATTTCCTCTGAAATCCTGGCTGTCATTACATTAACACCTTGTAGACGCTGTTTTAGGCAAGAGTTATAGCCTATAGCACAGCGTTGATCAATGACATACAGCGTACCTCAAAATCCACTTTGAAGCCAGAACAAAATTAGCAGTACATAGCTCCCTATGACTGACCTGGCCTACCTACTATCTCTCCTCATGCTCATTTATTATTCGCATACTTAAGCAACAAGCTCAACAACACCTCCGACAGCACGGATCTTCTCCTCAGCCAACTTCGAAACGTATCTGGCCTTGACAATAACTGGAACATTTGGCAGTCTTCCCTTACCCAAAACTTTTCCGTAACCAGAGGCCAATGTGTCGATGACAACGGCAGAGTCCTTGCTGCTAGAAGCAAGCTTCTCATCCTTGTTTTCCACCAACGACCAGAGCTTCTCCAAGTTGATGACTGGTTTCCAGAAATGGCCTTGTTGCTTGTGGAAGTATCTCATACCGACTTTACCAAAGTAACCTGGGTGGTATTTGTCCAAGTTGGTTCTGTGGTGGTGTTGACCACCAGCCATACCTCTACCACCTGGGTGCTTTCTGTGCTTTCCAACACGACCTTTACCGGCCGAGACGTGTCCTCTGTGCTTTCTAGTCTTGGTTAATCTGGTAGGCATCTTTGGTGGAAGAAATTATTTGACTTTACCAATTTTCACTATAATTTTACTCTCTGCCATTTTTCACCGCGCTCACAAATCGGGTCAGTAAAATATTTTTTCAGCTCGCACAACCCTCGAGCCCGCTAACCAAATCACGTGGACAGAAAAAAAGACATATCAGTATCTGTCTCCAGGGATATCCCAGACCTCGGCGTAGGTGCTCTTGCCCTTGGTTTCGGGTACCACCGTGTAGATAAACGAGTAGAATGCTGCACAGACAGCTGCAAACAGCAGAAACGTGTATCCTCCTATGGACGAGTTGAGAAGAGGAAAAAGAAAGCCGACCGCAAAGCAGCTGATCCAGTTGCAGTCTGTTCCCCAGCTTTGCGCCAGGTCTTTGATTTCCACCTGTGAAAACTCGCTAATCATCAAAAATGGGATAGGTCCGCATCCGATAGCAAAAGAGCCGACGTAAACGAAGACTCCAAGCAATGTGAGTGCAGAGTTGCCAGAGATAATGCCGACACTAAGTGACGCCGAGGCCACGCCCATGATTGCCACTGAGGAAAGCAGCATTGGTTTGCGGCCCACCCTGTCCAAAAATAACGATGCGGTGAATGTAATGAGCATGTTCCCGAGGCTGATAAGACAGTTGATTGCAACAGCATGTGCTGGGAACAGTCCTGTCAGGATCTTGACTCCATAAAACACAATTGAGTTGATTCCAGCAAGCTGCTGTCCCACCATCAGCACCGTCGAAACCATGCGCGAGTTCCTGTAGTTTGGGTTTGTCAGATAAGTGTAAAACGACAGTGTTCTGAGCGACGGGTTAGACTCCATGAGCTGCGCGTGTTTTTTCTTCTCTTCCTTCCAGATTTGAGCCTCTTGCGCACATTGTAAGGTGTTGTTGCCTCGGAGCTTGTTCAGGATGTGCAAGCCTTCGGTTTCGTTGCCCTGATTGAGAATGAGCCATTTGGGAGACTCTTCCAGCAGCAGCAGCGAAAGAAGCAGCGTAAATGCTGCCAGAACCGCTCCTGACCCCAAAATGAGTCTCCAGCTCAGTTCTGTAGCCCACCGGATGGCTAGCACCTGTGCGAGCAGAATCCCCAAGTTGATGCTGACCTGGTTCATTGATCCCAACACGCCCCGCAAAGAAACCGGCGCAATTTCGTTGATGTACAGCGGAACCAACACCAATGCATACCCTGCACCCAGTCCACTCACAAACCGTCCGAACAGCATCCCTAGATAGGTCTGGGCCTGGTACTCCAGATACGAGCCTATAGTGTAATGGACACCTGTAACGAGAAAGCTAGACCTCAGACCGAGATGGGAGCTGATCTGACCAGCAAAAGTGGACGCTATCAGGCCGCCAATGGAGAAGATCGAAGTGAGCAAGCCTACTTGTGAACTGTCAAGTTCCAGTGCCTGCTTGATGAGCTCCTCAGGAGCATTGAGCTCTGACATGTGGAATCCGTACTGGATGGAATTTAAACAGACAAGCCCGACAGAAGTGACCAATGCGGCCGTATAGCCATCCTGAGCAGCTGGCAAAACCAAAGGAGTAGCAGGGGAGGCGGTATCGCGGCTCATGCTCAGAGGGAACAACCTTCAAAGATGCCGTCTTATCGTGTACACCTTTGCACGGGCCACTGGAAAATTCAACCCCACAATGTCTTCCACCACAGAAGAGATCGACAACCTTTCGGTACGCGACGCGGTGGCAGAGGTCATTGGGTCGTCCCAGAACGAGCGATTAGGCCTGCCGCCTGGAATTCGCGTGCCGTTGCTTGTTTGTTCGGCAGCCCTGATGGGCGGGCTGTCGGGAATGGTGTTTGGGTACAGAGAGGCAGGTCTCCGGTTTCTGGCTAGCAATTCACATCGGCTGCCGACAAACAAAAACGGCTGGTTTATGTATCACAAACGGAAGGGGTACTACTGTTTTGCGCAGTCGTTTGTGCTTGGAGCCAAGACAGCCGGCAAGATTGGACTGTTCACTGCCGTCATGTTTGGAACAGAGGCGCTACTCGACGAGGTACGCCAGCTGAAGGATTTCTGCAATACCATGGCTGCGACCACATTGACCGGGTTTTTCTACGCCTGGGCTTTAGGCATGAAGCCTGTGCAGGCCAAACAGTACATTCGAAAAGGTGGAAAATACGGAGTAGTGCTCGGCGTGGCCCAAGACGCAGTGGCTTTCTTACGTGGGGGTTACGTGTGGTATATAAATGGAGTGTTTGCGATCGAGCCCAAAAAATTGCACGAAAGATTCAATCAGCAGACTGTCGAGTCTTCTTCGTCATCCAGGTTCGGCACAGGATAGTTAAGGATCACCGCTATTCCGGTCAGCTGGTTTAACTGCTCGCCACTGTCGTGCAAACTGGAGAAAATGACAACCTCCCCGCCATGCTCTTTTACCTGTTCCGTCATATGGATGTATTTCTTGCGCTGTGCAATGTCATCACTTTTGAATAATGTGTCTGTGATCATCAGCGTGCGGACTGCTCCTTGCAGCTCTATTGCTTTTGTCACCTCTGCCTCTCCATACCACGCCTTCCCCTCGTCCTCGTTCAGCAGCTTACTAAACTCGTCAAACAGCATCACACTGTGCTGAAACTTGGTGTCGGAAAGCTGTTTTTGGAGCTCTGGTGATTTCAGTGCTTCTTCGAGTCCCTGTAGGTACCCTGTGGACGAGTGAGCCACAACAAACTTAGATTTTGACTGAATGAGGGACTTGTCCTGGTTGCTCACGGCGATGCTGAATATTTTATCATACAACTGACGGGCGCTGAAACCCGGAGAAACAAGCAAGATGGCCTTCAACTTGTCGGTGTTGAAGTTGCGGATCACTGATTCGGCCACTGTTTCCATGAATTTGTTTAGAGCCTTGTCGTGGGAGCTCGAGTCTCCTCGCTTCTTCTTGGGTATCGACTTGTCGATCTTGGACCTTAGAATCGTCATGTTCTCTGTGATCAGGCACAAATGGGCAACGCCTTCCTGTAATACCACTGCGCCAATCTCAGCTTTGGCCTCTATCGAGCACGATTTGTTGACCAAGTCCAGAGAGATGTCGTCCCAGTCGTTTTTATAGAGCGTGAACTTTTGATTGAACTCCAACTCTGCAGTGTGGTAAGAGCCCTGTGGAACGTCTTCGTGCTGCTCCACGGTGCGTCCTTTGATCCGCATCACCTCATCGCTGGGTGTAAAGTCAACACTCTCCACACTGAGCGAGAGAGTAATAAGCTTGCGCACTGGTTTGTCAGATGGAGACTTTTTGATATTTCTATGAGTTTTCAGCCGCACCTCGTCATCCTTTGCAATCAGATTGTATAGTGTCCACAGATCCTCACAGTCCTGGGGAACAAGACTCACAGACCCGCTCTTGTCCTTTTGGAAAGAAGAATGCACCAGCTTCATGAATTAAATATAAATTAGTTTTTTTTTTGCAGGCTGTGTACATATATTACGCATTTATCTCACGGTAGCACCAACAAGAGAGGCGGCCTTACAGACCTTACCGTCCTTGGTGACCAATCTGGCATCAGGCTTTCCTTCTTGCTTGTAAATAACCTCAAGTTTGTCGTTGGTGCTGAAGTTAGGCTGCACCTGCTCAAAAATCTTCTTTTTAGGATTGAGCTGCTTTTCTGGAGTGCCGTCAAAACCTTCAAAGAAAACCTTGTCTCCTGCCTTGGCACCCTCTGGTGGGTTGATGAACTCCACGGTATCGCCCTCAGAAGCACAGAGAACCATGGCAGACGACTTGATTCCTCTCATTGTGACCGGCTTTAAGTTGGCAATCACAACCACATATCTCTGCTGCATGGCCTCCAAAGGATAATATTTCACCAGCCCAGAACAAACCGTCCTTGGGCCCTCTTCGTCGCCCATGTGGATGGTAGAGACGTACAGCGCGTCGGCGTCAGGGTGCTTGATGGCCTTCTCGATGAAGCCGACTCTGAAGTCCACCATCGAAGGGTCTGGACCGGCAGCAGCAGCCTTAGCTGCATCGGCCTCAGCCTTGGCTTTGGCCTTAGCGGCCTTCTTGGCCTCTTTGGCAGCTTTGGCAGCAGCAAGAGAAGCTTCGTCCGTTGGCTTTCCTTTCTTGGGCTGCTCCTTTGGCTGTTCTTTTGTTGTACTTTTCTGCTCGTCCTTGGAGTCCTTAGCATCCTTCTTCTTTTCCTTAACCTCTCTTGGCAATTCAACAGAGTAGTCGATCTTGAGTTTATTTTCAACACCGAGCTGGTTTTGAATCAGATCAATCCATCTGATAATGTGTCTGTACTTGGCCAAATCCTCTACGGAGGTCCACTTTTGTGCGAGCGGAAAAACGTGCTCGAAAACGGCGATGTCTGCCTCCGATGGTTTCAAACCAACGATGTAGGTTTTCGTTCTCAAAGAGTCGTTGAGCTGGGTCAAATTCTCTTCAATACGGTTGCTGAGGGTGACCCATTGATCGCGTAAGGCAAGCTCCTCGGTCGAAAGGTCTTGAGCCACTTTAAGGTTGGCAAATTTATCTGTGAGAGACATGGATTAAAATTTTTCGAAATAACTTAAAATATATATATGCCTTGTGGAAACGAACTTCAAATGACCAAGGCATAAATTTGTTCAGTGCATGTTTTTGTCTTAGGTTTGGCATTTCAAACTGTTTCTTCTAGTAACACCTTTCAGCCGTTGAATTTAAGCGAATTATTTCCTTTCTCGCTCCAGTAATAGCAGTCTGAGGGTCCCATCTTCAAAAAAAATAGCAGGTCTCCTTATCAATTTTGGCAACGACCTAACAATTCAGTATAAGCTTTCGAGCAGGTAGTCATTGGGTCGAGTGATTGCAATTCTCGGGCGTATCTCTCACCTAGTGCTACATAAAGAAAAATGTCACAAGAGACGTCTAGCTGATCGCCGCCAAACACGATGTCACGATCCACCAAACGGCACAGCTTGTCTTGGCCTTGATTACCACTTTTGGCTTTTCCTACTTCGTGAACCCTTTATCGGTCCGGCCCTTGTCAATGCAAAGTGGTGAACACTCGTTACTACTTTTGAACTGGTTCCGTCCATTTTGCTGAACGCGATAATTAGCATTGTCCACAGAAAATTGCAAAAATGCGCTCCTTCAATGTCCAGTGTCCAACGACTAGTATCCGGATAACTGGTCGTTGAGAATGGACGACGAGCTCTCGCGAAATGGCGGCTGGCTACTCCGAGAGAAATACTGTGTAAGGATGTCCCTCATAAAAAATAGACAAAAATTACATCGTACCTCCGAACTGTTATTGTCATGTATCTGATCTAAAATGAGCACGTCCCCGCCCAAGAGAAGACGCAATGTCCGGAAGAAAGTGTCCAGAGCGTGCAACCATTGCCGCAAGGCGCACGTGACGTGCGATGATGGCCGTCCCTGTGCACGGTGTATAAGCAAGGGTACGGCCGAAACGTGCATGGATGCCCCGCGAAAAACGAAAAAGTATCTAACGGGCGAGACGTCCGGATCGGACCTGCCGCCCACGATGCGGGAGAAGCGCAGACCATTTATGTCATCGGCAGCAGACATGGAATATGCGACATTGGGCAACATCATTAATCAGGATTTTCTTAGTCCAGACAACCAACAGTCGAGCCAATTTTTCAGCCCTGCCGTCAGCAATTCTGCGTCTGAGGACACCAATGACAGCGTCAACGTCCAGAACCCCATGTACCAGAATCGCCACATGTTTGCGCCCGACTCGAACCAGATCGCCATGTACAAAATGCACACCATGGGGCCCCAGTGCGACCCGATGACCAACCAGTACTTTATAGGGGCTCACATGACCTTTCCACAGGTGGTGAAGCAGATTTCGCAGTATCGGCAAGTGAACCCCCTGCAATTCAACGAGCGCAATCAGCAGTCGGCCATTTCTTTCTCTGTCGCGGTGTCGCAGCCAGAGGAGCACCAGCTTGCCAGTTCACCCTGTGGGCTGCAGTTCAAGGAGCCTTCAGAGATATATTCCAAGATTACGGCGCCTTTCAACTACGTTCAGCCGTACCACGACCTCAACCTGTATCTACGAAAACGATTCGATAAAAAGCACCTGGTGTCAATGTCCAAGTCCATGTCGGAGTACCGGCCCTCTTTCATCGCCGGAATGATCCATTTGAAGGGAGATGATCTTATTTTCGCGGAACAGTGCTTTCAGCGCACGTTGCTCGAGTACGACGCGTACATAGCGATCTCAGGAACCCCGACACTCGTCTGGCGGCGCACGTCGCAGATCGCCTACGTTGGCGATGAGTTCTGCGTGTTAACTGGATGGAGCAAAGAGCAGCTACTGCGGAAATCGACTTTTGCAGTTGAGATCATGGACGACAAATCGTGTGTCGAGTATTTCCAGCTCTTTTCCAAAATCGCGTTTGGCGACTTTCGCGGTGCCACAATGACAGAATGCACACTGCTCACGCCCGAGGGTGAAAGCATTCGCACATCCAGCATATGGACGCTTAAACGGGATGTTTTCGGTATCCCGATGATGATAATCGCCAGCTTCCTGCCCATACTGACATGACGATTGTAATATAGGTATAAATCGATAACAAAATTATATGAGACCTATTGAGCAAGGATGCTCTTGACAAACTCAACGTAGTCGACGGTCTGCTCATCGGTGACATTGACACCCTTGAGCAGCTCGTCAACCTCGTTCTCGTTCAATTTCTCGCCCACAGATGTCAAGATGTATTTCAGTTCTCCGACGCCAATGAATCCTGTCAGGTTCTTATCGAAGATCTGAAACGCTTTGATGTAATCTTCTGGCTGGCCAGCCTTCTTAAAACCGCCCTCTCTGTTCACCACGTTGAGAAACTGCTCGTAGTTCAGTTCGGATGGAACAGACTCCTGGAGCTCGCTAATCTCCTGCAGCGTAGGGTTTTGTCCAACCGCCCTGAGCAGGTCGCCTAAGTGTTCGCTGGACACTTTTCCGGTCCCCTTCTTGTCAAAAAGAGCAAACGCGTCTTTATATGCTTTGGTGTCCGACTACAATATTAGCACTGGCAATGATGTTCTTGCACTTACCATCTTGTTTACTTGTTTGTGATTTTGTTTACACGAAACAAATATTTTAGTGCAGTCGTGTTTGACACACTGATTTTTTCAGCCAGAGAGTCATGTCGTCAGTGGTACGTCGTCTCGTTGATAAGGCCTCGTTGCCTCCCTGTGCGCTCCGCATTCACCCGTCAGACCCAACGGCCTTCTATATCGGTACATACAAGCTTGTGAAAGATAACCAAAGGTACGGAACAATCGAAATATGGAAATGCACGCAAACGCTGCAGAAGGTAAACGAGATCGCAGCAGGATCGGCGATCCTGGACCTCAAGTTCGACCCCTTTGACGAATCGCGGCTGATTAGTGTCCACTCAACAGGAAACCTGAAAATATGGAAATTAACAGACGATCATCTGCATTTGAGAGAGACCTTAAATTATCAGGCATATGAAGAAACTACGCTAATAACCGCAGCCAACTTTCATCCAACAAGACCAAACGTGCTCACACTGAGCACCACAACAGGAGTTTGTTCTGTTGTCACACTGGGCGAGAAAATAAACCAAAGGAACTTCGACACGACTCATGACCTAGAATGCTGGTTTTCCACGTTTGGCTGTTTTGACGGCTTGCAAGACGTTATATTTTCAGGGGGAGACGATAGAAACCTGATCGCACATGACAACAGAATGGCAGACTTCCCCGTCTGGAAAACAGACCGCTTACATGACGCAGGAATTGTCTCAGTGCTGACTGCCACACCATCTTGGAACAGTGCACATCCTTACACCATATGGACAGGGAGCTACGACGACCATCTAAACTTGCTCGATTTGCGCGTCAGTCCACCCAGTGATCTGATTCCCGGGGTCCCGCCAAGAGTCTTACTACGAAAAGACCTTGGCGGAGGCGTGTGGAGGCTAATTCCCGGGCCCCACAATGACGGCCGCGTTCTGTGTTGCGCCATGTATGCCGGTTGCAGAATGCTCAAGTCCGCTGACGGCACGATCATTGTCGAGCAGGAGTTCAAGGAGGATCACGATTCCATGGTGTACGGAGGTGACTGGACTGCAGGCAACATGGTGACGTGTAGTTTCTACGACCAAGTCATTCAGGTTTGGGATCGGCAATAATTATTTTTCAGCAGCTTGCGATTCGACCCATTTCTTAAGTCTCTCGTAATCCACCTCCCCTTCGGGATTTTCGATAAGCTTCTCGTCCACAAATGTTCCTTGGGCAATCTGGTTTCTCAAGCACACGATGGACGGAATTTTGGTAACCTGGTAGTCAAGTAGCAGGCCCTTGTTTCCCGGCTCGTCGCACTCCACATCAACCATACTGACAAGCTTGCTGTCGTCGATGTCGTAGGCCAAAATTCTCTGCAGAGCCCCTGTCTGCTTGTTCGACGCGGTATCCCCCCTGAAGACAAAATTCATCAGCAAAGGAGAGTGCAAGGCCACTATTGGCTGTAGTTCAGACCTATTTCTCACAGGAAGGAGAATCCTATTTTTTGTGGCCGACTGAGGAGGCCAAATCACAGGCTTCGGTTTCACCAGCGGGTTTTTGGATGATTGGACGTACACCGCAAGTGCACCAAAAACCAAGGTTCCCCCAAGAATCCATCGTTGTTTCTCTGTCAACGGCATCAAGTCCCAAATATATTATTGCGTCTAACTATTTTCTGCCGCCTTGCACCAGCCTATAGTTTTCTCCCCTCGATTCAGGACGCAGAGAATATCGGGCAAACTAGGTGATCCACAAACGCTGAAAAATACCCGACACATACTACATAATGGACGCTCAGGATGTTTTCCAAGATATGCCTCTCATATCGCCCACTATATCGCCCAGCAGGGCAATATCGATAGACGGTAATGGAATACAAGGTCACAAGCTTGAGAGAGAACAACTACCGGAAACATTGCCCTCCGTGGAGTGTGTGGCCCGTGCTAGGATTCCAACTACCCAGGGCCCTGAGATTTTTCTGCATTTGTACTCCAACAACGTCGACAACAAGGAACATTTGGCCATCGTCTTTGGAGAAGATATCCGATCGAAATCGCTATTTAAACGTCGACCAGGCGAGACACAGCATGACAGAATGACCAGAGGAGCATATGTCGGCAAGCTCCGGCCTGGCAGAGACATTGCAGACAGGGACGATGTGCTCGGGATCGAGCTGAAATTCGACGAGGACGGAAACATGGTCAACGAAACCCAGTTAAAAGAGCCGGTTTTGGTCCGTATTCACTCGGAATGCTACACAGGAGAGACCGCCTGGTCGGCGAGATGCGACTGTGGCGAACAATTTGACGAAGCTGGTCGTTTGATGGGAGAGAACGGCCACGGATGCATTGTCTACCTGCGACAGGAGGGCCGTGGTATAGGTTTGGGAGAAAAACTGAAGGCTTACAATCTGCAGGACCTCGGAGCAGACACTGTTCAGGCCAATTTGATGCTGAGACACCCTGCCGACAAGCGAAGTTTTTCACTGGCTACCGCTATTCTGCTCGACTTGGGACTTGTCGAGATCCAACTTCTCACTAATAATCCCGATAAAATAGTTGCCGTAGAGGGCAAGAATAGATCTGTCAAGGTGGTGAAACGGATACCTATGATTCCGCTCGCATGGCAGCAGGAAAATGCCGGAATCAAATCTAAGGAAGTGGAAGGCTACTTGCGTACTAAAGTTGAGAAGATGGGCCATCTGCTTACCACGCCCGACGTTTGAATATAGATCGTATAGTGATTGCATTGGGTGTTGACAAACAAACAGTACTATTATTATTATTGATTACTATATTAGATACAATTAGGACGCACTTTTTGGCTCTTTGAGCAAGCTCTCGATGTCTTCGGAAATCTTGGACGGAGTTTTCACAGAAGAGTATCTGCGCACCACATTTCCGTTTCTGTCGATCAAAAATTTCTCAAAATTCCACTTGATACCCTTGAACCCTAGTAAACCCGGTTTTTCGCGCTTCAGCCACTCGAACACGGGGCTCGCATTAGGACCATTCACGTCGACCTTTTTCATCAATGGGAAGTCCACACCATAGTTTCTGCTGCAGAACTCCACGATCTGGTCGTCTGTTCCTGGCTCCTGATGTCCGAACTGGTTGCAAGGGAAGGCAATAACAACAAACCCTTGGTCCTTGTACTTCTGGTAGATTTCTTCAAGCTCTTTGTACTGCTTGGTGAACCCACACTTGGAGGCAGTGTTCACCACAAGCACGACTTGGCCCTTGAGGTTCTCAAATGGGAACTCCTTTCCCTTATTATCGGTGACGGTGAATTCGTAAAACTTTGACATTTTGTAGATGACCCCCCAACGGTGCAATTTTTGTGCCTTTTATACGTATGTCTCGTGAATACCAAACTTCTGGTGCGAGGTGTTGTATTATCGCAGATTTGGTAATAACGTTGTTCGGTCTAGAAAATTTTAATTCCAAGCCAGGGTACATATAACATGTATGACATTTAACGTCTATTTTTTCGCCGAATACAAACTCGTATTTTTTGGGGCTCGCTTCCATACGCGTTATCTATTTCCTTCGGGACTTTTTTGCCGCAGACCCCACAGCCTTTGCTGTCGGCTCTCGCTTGCTGGGAATGCTGCGCTCGTATTCCTTCACGACACAGCCCAGCAATGTCGCGCATCTCCGGTTGATCTCGGTAGCATTTCGGCTCTGGAAGAAGAAATCAAACTCAAACATTGGGCTCAGCCTAATTTGCTCCAGAATACGCTCATAAACGTCCTCAGTGTCGAGTCCCAGGCGGTATAGTTGCACTAGCAGGTACCGATCTTCTGCTTCGCTGAAAACTCTCTTTGACGACGAAAGAGACGATGACGGAGGGAACTTGAGCGTGAGCTCCAGCAGCGGACAGCTGGTCTCTGCCATCTTGCGACGCAGAGCCTCTTTTTGGATTTTCACCTTTCTTATCTTCTCTTCGCCCGCCTCGATCTGGCCAACATACCTTTCGTAGCCTTCGATACTTGCAATATTGTTCCAGAACGCTTGGGCATACTCCTTGACTTCCTCATATGTCTTGTCCTCAAACTCGGCAGCTATCGATGAAACGGCTGTGCGGCCGTACTTCACGTTCAAAGAAATGAATTGATAGAAATCGCGTCTGCTCCAGTTGTGGAATCCTTGTGTAAGCAACTCCTGCTTCAGCTGCTCTTCTTCGTCCGTCAGCGCCCTCGAATGATCTATCTCGAGCTGCTCAAGCTGCTGGTTGAGCTTGCGTTGTTCAGCTGTGCCAGGGCCCTTCGCCAACTCCGCTGTTTGTTTTGTTTTCCTCTTGTAATAATTACGCTCCAAATCGTACAGCTCCCATAATTGTGCCGGGAAAAATTGATGGTCATAAATTGGAGTTTGTTTGAGTGGCTTGACGCCCGGGAATTGAGGCTGGGCTGAGCCAGACCGGTGGCCGGGGTTGAGAACATCTCTATAATAGCTGTCGATCGAGTAATTCTCCTTACGTTCTCTTTTTGAAGGGTTGATCCATGTGTACACGTTTCCAAGAGGCCCCGCAACCGTTGGGTCCTTTTTCTGGAACGTCTTACCATCCCACTCATACAAAGAGTCCGACGCTGTGGTGAAATTCTGCAGGTCATCGAGTCCGAGCTTCGAATACTTGTTGTTTAGCTCTTGTGTTTTCTTTTCCGACTCCATCAAAATCTTGTCTATCTCGTCATCATCCAGCTGTTCTTTTTCCTCTTCTTTGGAGCTCTCAAGGTTCTGGCTCAGGACATCGGCAGCACCATATTGAATCATGTTCAGCAGCTCGTCTTTGGAGTTGGCCTTTGTTTTATCTTGCTGGACATTCATCTGTCTACCTTGCTGGATGACTAGTTGATCTAATCTCAGCTTCTGAGAAGCCCTCTCCAACACTTTTTCCTCAATGGCTTTTTGGGTCACGAATCTAAACACCTGGACCTGTTTCGTTTGCCCAATACGATGCGCACGATCCATAGCTTGCAAATCTGCCTGAGGATTCCAATCAGAATCGTATAAAAAGACGATGTCTGCGGACGTTAAGTTGATACCGAGTCCACCGGCTCTTGTGGTGAGCAGGAAAATAAACTTTTTGGAGTCGGGAGCGGAATACTCGTCAATAGCCCGAATTCTATCAACATGGTCCGTTTGTCCATCAATACGACAGTACTCAAACCCTCTGAAGGAACAATAATCTTCCAAAATGTCCAACATTCTACTCATCTGCGAGAAGATCAACACTCGGGAACCCTGCTCTTTGAACCGTTTTAGCATCTTATCCAGTACCTTCATTTTCTGCGAGTTGTAAATCAAGTGCTCGTCTGTTGTATATGGAGGACCCGGCTCTGCTCCTTCAAAAAGATATGGATGGTTGCAGCACTTTCTCAGTTGCATGACTATGTTAAGCAATCTGGTTTTCGACTCGCGTTTTCCGTTCGCACCATTAACGGCGTCTATGTCTCTCTCTAGAAGCTTTTGGTACCACTTTTTCTGCATTTCTGTCATTCCAACATACAAGTTGAGCTCTTTTTTGGGTAGCAAGTTCTTCTCGACATCTGACTTTATTCTTCTCAAAAGGAATGGCTGCAAAACTTTATGCAATTGGTTAACAATTGTTTCGTCTTTCTTTTCCGAGTCACCTGAGGAAAACCAGTCATCAAAGGTCTCCGAATCTGCAAAAACGTCTGGGAGCAGAAAGTTGAGCAAAGCCCAGAGCTCGTGTAAATTGTTCTGTAAAGGGGTACCGGTGATGAGCAGTCTATTTCTTGAGTGGAAGGTTCTAATAATTTGTGACAGAAGTGAGTCTTCGTTCTTCAGTCGATGGGCCTCATCAACCACAATGTACTCCCATGCGAACTTTTTCAATGCCGTCTTTTCTCGGATGACTATCTCGTATGAAGATATAACAACGTCAAACTTGCATGTCATCAGCCCGTCTTTGATGATTTCGTTTCTCTGTTGCTGATCTCCGGTCAGAACCAACGTTTCCACCTCGGGAGTCCATTTAGTGAATTCTCTTTGCCAATTCTCCAACGTCGACTTCGGAACAATCACGAGATGAGGTCCTGCTATTCCCTTGATGTATCGAAGATAACCAAGAAAGGCAATAGTTTGCAGCGTCTTTCCCAAGCCCATCTCGTCTGCGAGGATTCCCGACAGATTGTTCTGATTGAGCGAGATCAGCCAATTAAGTCCCTGTATTTGGTAGGGTCTGAGTGTCCCATTGATATATGAAGGGCTTTCGGTAAACTCAAAATTATCCGATTGCAATTCCTCATCTTTCAGAAGCTCTGCATCCTCCTCCTTTTCGGTTTTTCGATGTCTGTGATCCCGGCCAGATCTGTTTGTGTCTGTCTTTTCCTGTTTCAGCAATTTCCAAACTTCAGCAAACTTCGGGTCACTGGTAGCCTTGGATTCCAAAAAATGCTGAAATAGACTAGTCAACCCCAGCAAATACCTGAATCTCGTAGCCGTCTCTTGCACGTTGAAAGGTTTCTTGTCACCCTCAGCGAAATACTTGGCTTTCTTTGCCTGTGGTGTTAACGGCTGGCAATTATATGTTACCGGCGCTTGATCCGTCAATGGAGGAGCCGGCGTGCTCTCCAAAGAGGCGTCAACGCTGGAGCTGGGTGGTACTTCGGCCATGAAATTGCAACAGGTAGTTTTTTTCCTTGCAATTTTCGTTTTGTACGCGTTTTGCCAACTAGCCACCGTGCACCGCCTCATGTCCATTCTCAAGATAAATTACTAATCTAGAATAAAAAATCATATTATTTTCCAAGATGTTGACTGCGACTGCCCAACGTCTGACAAACACTCATCTTCCCACACCAGAGCCAGAACATTGTCCCGGTCCCGAAAGTGAGAATGCTGGAAAGTCGGACGCTTGCGCTGGATGCGCTAACAAAGAAATTTGCGAGTCTCTGCCCAAAGGACCGGATCCCGATTTGCCCTTGATAAACAAACGTCTTGCAAATATACACCACAAAGTCCTGGTGCTGTCTGGAAAAGGAGGCGTGGGGAAATCTACTTTCACGTCGATGCTTTCGTGGGCACTTGCTGCCGATCCAGGGTTAGAAATAGGTGCCATGGACCTGGATATTTGCGGGCCGTCCCTGCCCAAAATGCTTGGTTGCGAAAATGAATCCATCCACGCGTCGAACTCGGGATGGTCACCTGTCTACATTAGTGACAATCTCGGAATGATGTCTATACAATTTATGCTTCCGAAGCAGGATTCCGCCATCATCTGGAGAGGTGCGAAGAAAAACGGCCTGATAAAGCAGTTCCTCAAGGACGTGGACTGGGGCCAACTCGATTACCTGGTCATTGACACGCCCCCAGGAACCTCGGACGAACACTTGTCTGTCACGAACTACATGAAAGATGCTGGAATCGATGGAGCATTGATTGTTACTACGCCGCAAGAAGTTGCATTGTTGGATGTTCGCAAAGAGATCGATTTCTGTCGGAAGGCCGGCGTGAAAGTGCTGGGAATTGTGGAGAATATGTCTGGGTTTGTGTGTCCGAATTGCGGTGGCGAGTCCAAGATTTTTAAGCCAACCACAGGAGGTGGAGAACGGCTTGCCAAGGAGATGGGACTCAAGTTTTTGGGCAGTGTGCCTTTGGACCCCCGTATTGGACGAAGCTGCGATTCAGGAGAGAGCTTTTTAGATTTATACCCGGACTCGCCGGCTTGCGAGGCCATTCTCGATGTCGTCGACGCGCTTAGGGACGAGATTGAATCCGATATTAATTAATTAATTGCATCTATCGTTATCTATTTATTTAGCAGGAAGTCTGCTTTTCAAGTAGTTCATCTCGCTGGACGGGAGATCCAGGCTCAGTAGCTGCTGCTCGTTGTAGTCCAGCGACAAGTCAAATATGAGACGAATCACCTCTCTGTACATCAGGGTTTTTGCGATTCTGGCCTTTGGATTAGACTCGCGTAGAAGAACCAATCCGTTAAGAAGCTTTTTGGTGTGAGTCTTGATAGCGTTCTCGTCACTATTCTTCTTGAGTTGGATATACTCGTAGTATATCTGGGCACCGATCACCCAGTCGGACAAGGTCTTGAATTTGACAAGCAGTTTCTCCAGTTCGTAGAGGTTGGCATCGGCAATGACAAATTCCGGCGCAACGTCACTCAAGGTCAGTTTGTGCGCCTCCTCCATCGATCCGGCCTCCACCAGCGCCCATACAGCCCTTACGGAATCCCCATCCTTTTCAAATCTCCTGGACCTAGCCTGGTGAAGAATAGACTTCGGAAGTCTGTATGTCTCGTGCAGAGTATCGAGTCTCATGTCGTTATCCAAAAATCTAAATGAGTCAATATTGAGTTTGATCAGGCTAGAGATCTCGGACTCGGAGAGCGCATCATCACTCAAATGTTCCAAGACGAATAAGGCCTCTTCGTAGTATTCCTGCGAGGCAAGTTTCTTGCTCAATTGGAGAATCACGTTGTCAATATTTGGTAAATTCAAAATGCTGTTCAGTTTCTTATAAAGCAGGAACTGCGTCTCGTTGTCGTAGTGGAGAAGAACGGTAGAGGGAGACTTCATAAGCTTGAAGGCAGAATAGTACTTGTCTTGCGCACTTGGCGCAACCCATAGCTTTGAGTCGTGGTCAATTACCTCGTTAACCAGTTCACTGATGCTGCGGTTTGTGTCTCCGTATTTCAGTTGCATCAAAAGAACGGTCGGCCACGAAAGTCCTTTCAAATGCGGCACAATGTCGTTGGATAGTATGTGTCCTGCCAAAAGCTTGTAAACTTTCAGCACGGGAGCAGGGATATACTGGAGTGTAGAGGTGGATTCCCATTCCTTTAGCTGTGCTTTTGATAATCTTCTGACTGATGGATCGTTTGAGTCTATTAGGGTCAGAAGAACAGATAGGTGGTTGTTTGAGGATTCCATTGCTGTCGTTACCGCTTTTAGTATGTCGCCGGAACAAATGTGCAAGTATGTTCTTTCAAGAGCATCTGATTTCGAGGCCTCTAATAGCTTGCTGATTTCTGGAAAGCTGTGATCGTGCAGCCAGTCAATCAGCAGTTCGCGGCGTTGCAGGTCGATAAATGTCTTTCTCAGTTGTGGCTTGCCTGCATACGCATCCAATTCTGCCTGTCCTAGGAATGACTCACAGTATTTGTCATCGAACAGTCGCGCAATCAGATCCCAAAATTTGAACTCGCTTGAGTTCCTGTAAATGTTGAGAATGGACTGTAGCGAAACGTCTTCATCAGGCTTAATCAAAGGATATGAGTTTTCTCTTGCTATTACTTTCATCTGGCGCATTTCGGCGGCAAGAACACTTTTCAACGTCTGCAAATCCTCAGAGCGTACTGACTTCATCTCCACTCTTTTGCGTTTGTGCGAGTCCCTATTGAAAAACAGTTCGTTCACACTTTTGGCAGACACGTCCATTTTCTTCGAATAGTCATATTCGTTGCTGAAGACAGACTCAAACCCTGACGCCAGCTCCAACTGTTGGCTCCAGTTATCGCTAGTCTCAAACTTGGCCTCCTTCTTGAGAACAGTCATATCGATCTCTTCCAGCTCTGGCTCGTATGCGCGCACATGCACCAGATCTTCGAACATTGGTTCCTCAGGAAGATCGTCTTCCATGTCGCTGACGTCCTTGTCTGGCTCTGGCACGTCCACTTGAATGTAGTCTTCCTGGCTGAGGTCTATGCTGTCCTCCATGTTTGCATCTTCTGGCACTGCAGTCCATCCGCCAGGAACAGCCTCTAGATCGCCGGTGTAGGAGGATATGCCTCTGAATGCCTCTTTTTGCTCAGTCTGTTTGCGTTTCTCGCGCTCGTTCTCACTCGCCAATTGTTTTTTGAATCGCTGCACAAGCTGTGGATCGTCTTCGTCCTCGTCAACCAGTCCCCAGATACTGAAATGGTCCACCTTGAAAGTGTACGTTCCTGTGATTGGATCGTAGTTGACGAACGCCATTCCCGGAGTACTCTTCAATCGATTTATATGCGCAGAAACTTCGGGAGCAGAAGGATCGGTAATTCGCGTCTTGGTCGCTTTATCAAAGGGATAGCATTTCTCCAGACTTATCACGGCAGGTACATTCATTCCATTCCCAGGTGAAGGCTTATCTGTTCCGTCTGGATAGACTTGCACTATTCTTGGTCTGAAAACAATGTACGCGCCTAAAAGCTGATCCAGTCTGCTGTGGAATGCTGACAAGTCGACAGGATAGGAGAACGAGACCTGGCCGAATCCTTTGCATCCAGCGGTGAAGTTCTGCACATGCATCAGGTCCTGCTGTGTCATTTTTGAGAGCTCCTCAATGGAAGGCGAGCACCAGTAGCCTTCGGGGATTTTTGAGGAGCTAGCGTCCTGCTCGGCTGGTACAGGCGATTTCAACAGCTTGTCTTCCTGTCTGAAAAATGAAGGCTTGAAGTTAGACACAACACGCATGAAACCGTTCGGCCGTGGTGCTTCCTTGCCAAGAAGCACCTCGTCTGGGTTAATCTCGTAATAGTTTTTGTGTGTTCCTTTAGGATTTCGAATTACCAGCTTTCTGAAATCCGACTTTGGCAGCGAAACAGAGTCCTCTGAAAAAGGGACAGGATCTCTTCTGGGTCTTTTGGTCTCGTGCGTCTTGTCGGACGTGAAAATACCCGTCACCGTCTCCATTGGGTACTTGAGAGTGCCAGAGAACGGTTTCGAGAGACGGCCCAGAAAAGACAGAGACGAGACGTGCTCCTTAGTCTCGTACGACGCTATCGAGGAGGCAGACCTCCTCCGTTTCAGCTGCGTGTCTGTGTGAGGAACACGTGATGTCAACGCCCGCGGCATCTCAGTTTCCTCTGCGGACGCCGATGCGATGTTGACTCCATATGGGCTTGAGGACGGCTGGCTTTGCTGGTTTTGCTGTGTCTGCTGAGTCTGCTGCCCCCCAAAAAGCGCGTTGCTCGTTGTCTGCCCCGTGCTCTGAGAGTTCCCAAAGATGTTTGGTTTTGACGTGCTGCCAAAACTAAACCCATTGGACTGGGTGGTGGAGCCGAACATGAATATTAAAGTTAAAATAATGTTTGTTTATTCAAAAATTTGTCTAATTATTTTTCTACACAGAATTGTGTGTGGCAGAATTTTCATGCAACTGGCATTTTGGCCATCACGTCGAAGCTGCCGGTTCCGACGTTGTTGAGCTTTCCGATGACGATCCGTGCAGAAGGAGACTGCAGCTCCTCACGGTCATTGTCCAGGACCGCCTTGGTCAGGAACTGACACGTTGTCTCGTACGACATCTTAGTGAAAGACGATGTGGACGAGTCGATGCCCTGTCTGTTGAACGCAAGATACGTTCCCTCTCTCGTCATGTAGTCGGCGATCAGGTCGAGGTGTCTGGACGAGACAGAGATGGCGTACCGTCCAAACACGTTGTTGACCTCGTTGACAATGGTGTTTCTGGCTGCCTCGACACCGTACGTGCGTAGCACGGCAGCAATGTCGTTGGAACGGATGTCGTTGACGTTGATGAACGCGTCGTGCTCCCACATGGCGCCGAAATTGACACCCTCGGTGACCAGAATCCGCTTGCCCTGCTCGTTTTCTGGATGCAGACATCTACCGATGCCGCTCACCTCGCGCACCACCACGGCCTTGCAAACGGCCTCAATGATGTTCACCATGAGCAATTTCTGCGTGTCTGCGCTCAGCTCGAGCTTGAAGTCGCACCACGAGCCGTGCTCGTCGTCGTAGTTAAACTGGCTCACAAAGTTGTGGTTGATGATCACCTCTTGCTGTCTCTCGCGAGCAGCCTTGGACATGATTTCCTTCACAAGGTTGGACTTGGCCGCGTCGACGTCCATTTTGTCGTCTTCGTCGTCGGACTCGGACTCGGACCCCGACGAGCTGTCGTCGAGCAGCGACTCGTCGTCGGACTTCTCTGCACGACGCATGGTCTCGACTTCCTCGTCATCCGGACCGTCGTAAGAGACGGCCTGCTTCGTGTTGCTCTTGAGCTTTTCGTCGTCGGCGTCCTCGTCGACAACTGCCGTCGTCTGGGCGCCGAGCTCTGCCTGCGAGCGTGCTACGGCCTGGCCAACGGCCGGCAGCGACTCGCTCGTGGCCCGTTTCTGCTTCTTCACCTCCTTGATGATGGCCGTCTCGAGCGCCTGGATGAACTTGGTCTTGATCACGTGCTCCAGTTCCTCCTTGGTGACGTCGTACTCCTGCTCGTAGTCGGAGCAGTCGAAAAAGCGCATTTTGATCTCGTAGGAGCGTGCCGCTTGGGCACCCGTGCTGCCTGTCGTCTCCACCACAGACACATCGCTGATGAATTCGGAGAACCTGATTTTGGTGATGGACTTGCAGAACGCGTCGGCGGCAGCGTCGTCGACGTCGTCGAGGATCGGCAGCGTCATCTGGGGCGTCTTGATCGACGCCGATGCCGTCATAACGATCTCTCGCAAACGCGGAATACCGAGCGTCACGTTCGCTGCGCCGTGGCCCGCAAAGTGGAACGTGTTGAGCGTCATTTGCGTCGACGGCTCGCCGACCGACTGCGATGCAACAATGCCCACGGCCTCGCCCGGGTTCACGAGCGACCGCATGTACTTGAGCTGCATCAGCGCCTTGAACTTCTTCTGCGTCAGTCCGCCTCTGGTCTTGGCGTCTTTGCCCGAAACAAACAGGTGCTGGTTCTCCTCGATGAATTTATCGAGCTCGTCCTCGAATTTGTCCGAAACAGAGCCCAGATACTTGCTTGGGTTGTACACCGAGACCGTCGGGTCGTACTTAAGGCTCTGTGCGTAGTGCGGCAGCGCAGCCTGTTTCTTGAGCTGCTTGCGGAACTTTTTGTTGTACGACACCGCTGTTTCGGTGTCCAAATTGTCGATCGATGACGGGCTGTATTTTTGCAACAGCGAGTTGTAGTTCTCGAGGAAGAACTTGAACTGATGCATATATGACTCCTTGGTGACGTCGATCGAGTCGCCGCCGTACAGGAACTGGATCAGCGTGCCGTCGGCGTTTCTGATCGTGTTGTCGTACGAAACGTGCACTCCTTCCAGCTGCTTGGTCAGACAACGCTGCAAATAGCCTGAGTTGGCCGTCTTGACAGCAGTGTCGATCAGACCCTCTCTGCCCGCCATACAGTGGAAATAGTACTCCTGCGGACGGATTCCCGAATAGAACCGGTTCTTGATGTAGCCGCCGGCTCGCACATCGGTCTCGAACGGCTTGAAGCATGGCAGCGTCTTGCCCGACACCATCACCGGCACTCTGCGGCCCTCTAAAGCCTGTTGGCCCAAAAGACACATGATCTGCGACACGTTCACATTCGAGCCCTTGGCTCCCGACAGAGCCATCGTTTGCATGGCGTTTGCAGGGAACTTCTTCATCGTTCCTGCCGGCACACACCGCGACACCACCTTCGACGTGACTGCGTTGACTTTGGACTGCGCGACCGCGTCCAGAATCGCCAACTTGCCGTCGTCGCGCAGAATCTCTTCCATCCGTCTTAAAAACTCGGGGTCGTCCACCCTGACCTCACGGTCGAGGTTCGTCACCTCGGCAGCGGCAACACGGCCAATATCAGAGCTCTCCTCCAACAGACTGCTTCTCCACTTGTTTCCGTCCTCAGTCAGCTTCAGATCGTCCATACCACACGTCAACCCCATCATCATGTTGTAGTTCGTGAACAGTCGTCCCAGCACAGATAGCGCCTTGCCTGCCACCGTCGGGCCGTAAACCTCATGCAGCGCGTGAATGAATCCGTACTGAGACGCACCGTACTGCGACTTGTCCAGGATTCCGCACAGAAGCTCGCCGTTCTGGAACAGCACCTCGTTTTCGCAAGACCCGTCCCCCCAGTACTCGTTCTTGATCTTATTTTTGGACCTGAGATTGATTCCCGGCAACTCCTGCGGCTTTATGTTGAGCAATATCGTGGTGATTACCTGCTTCCCCGTCCACAGCGGCTGCGGCTTCATCACGGCAGGCGCCACCGTCACAAGCCGCGAACCGGTCGAGTGTCCGTCCTCGGGGCGTACACACCCGTACACCAGCTGCTGGTACTTGTCTCTGGTAAAGAAGGTGTCCTTGCTGGTAAGCCAGACACCCGCAGAAATGTGGTCCTGGATCAGTCCTCTCACGGGCGAACCTGCGGTCGGCGTCAGGTACTGCGAGTCGGTGTTAGCGAGATTGAAAGCCTCGGCACGCGCATTTTCGTTCTGCGGGAAGTGCATGTTCATCTCGTCACCGTCAAAGTCGGCATTGTACGCTCCGGTATTGGCGTAGTGCAGCCGCAGAGTCTTCTCGCCTGGCAGCACTCTGACCTTGTGGCCCATCATCGACGCCTTGTGCAGTGTTGGCTGTCTATTCATGATCACCACGTCGTTATTTCTGATGTGTCTGTACACTTTTTTGTTCACCACGTCCGAGCCGCTGGACGGGGTGAGCAGCTGTTTCGCAATGGCCGTTCTCTGCTCCAAACTCATGCCCACCAGAGACACGAGGCTGCCGTCCTCATTTTGCACTTGCAGTGCTCCAGGCCATCTGTCTGGCCCGTTAATGACAGCCTGTCTGAGCTCGGCCACGTTATGGACGGTAACTGGCTCGGGATACGTCAGTTTTTTCGCGAAAACAGGAGGAACGCCGATCTCGTTGGTCTCGATCATCGGGTCTGGAGAGATGACCGACCGCGCTGCGTAGTTGACACGCTTGCCCATCATGTGCTTTCTGAACAACCCTTCCTTCTTCTCGAGCGCCTGCTTGATTCCCGGGTGCGCGGTGTTGCTATTTTGGTTCTGGTTCTTGGTGGAGTCGAGAAATCCGTTGACGTCGTTCTGCAGCGTGACAAACGCATTCATGAGCCGGTTGAAAATGATCTTGCGGTCCTCCGTGCTGATTTCCTTGCTCATGACCGAAAACTGCTCGTTTAGGTCTCTGATCAGCAGAGAGGTGGTGAGGATTTTCGACAGCAGCTCGTTCTGGGAATTCTCGTGCACCTCGTCGCCTAGCTTAGAGGGAAGACGGAAGCGCGTTGGCGGCACCACAAGAGCGTGGATGAAGAACATGTCGGCGGAGACAGGCGACCTGCTCAACGGCCGAGAGTGGAACAGCAGGTCCATCACTTTCTGCTCTGTCTTGAACACTTTTCTCAGAATGTTGCGGACCTCCGTGGACAAAACATATTTGGAGCCCTCCCTTGGCTGAGAGTAAGGATCTGTGTCCGGTTGCTTGTCTTTAGACCCGTTCTTCAACATATCCTGTCTCTTGACCCCCTTGATTCTATTGTTGGTCAGCTGCTTGTCCTTAAGACCAAGCTCGAAGATTTTCGAAAACCCGTCTTTTCTAAATGGTGGCGAGTACATCCCACAGTTGTCGCATCTCGGCCTGCTCAATATATGCTTGTAGAAATCGTGAATCAGAGTTTTTCTCTCTTCTGCAACCGTGGCCGTCATGACGCCCCTCTCCGTAGTGCGGCCCTCAGAGAGCGCCTTCGCAATGCTTACTTCGACAAACTCTTGTCTCTTGTCCATCAGGTCTTTGTCAGACTTGCTGTTGACAACTACTGGACCATCGTCTTCAATAGCCTCATCCTCATTCAAATCGGCATCCGAGCGCATGTTGTCCAGCTCCAGAGCCTCTAGCAGCAGCCCATACTGGATCAGTCGCAGCTTACATTCGTACTTGTGCACCTCCGTGGCTCTGAGTCTAAAATGGTGGCAGTATAGACAGGAAGACCTCAGAAATATGTACATTTGGTTGAAAAACAGAGGGTTGTAGACAGGAATGGGCAGCTCTATGTGACCCTGGTGGCCCGGACAGTACTTATCGTCCAGCCCACAGGTAGCACACAGGTTCTTGAGAAAGGCTCCAAGACTCAGATCGTACAGACCCCCAGGCACTGGGTGCCCTAGATTGTCAAAGACCGTGGGATTGGTGATCTGTTTGGCAGACAATTTGCGAACATCGGAGGTGGTGAGCACCCCAAAGTCAACCGACTCTATCTGGGACCCAACTGGCTTGGCAATGTTCATGATGATCTGCCTTTTGGAATCCTGAATCAATAGTTAAAAAAAATACAAAAAATATCTGAAATTTTTTTATCATCTAAAAATTTTCAATCCGGGTAATATGTATTATGTTATAAACGCAGCAGAGACTTCGTAGCAGGACTAGTAGCTCACTGGATATCCAAGGTATTCTTCAATTTCTTGATCAGCAGCCAGTCTTCTCTAGGAACGGAGTCTCTGAATGCTGGGTCTTTCAAAGTGTCGATCGACTTTCTCGAGATCAAAGAGTACAGGGGATCCTTTTCGTCAACATGTCTTCCCCAGGTAGGCTGCTGTCCCGAAGGAGCCTCCAATCTCATCGCCACGCCGGCATTGGTCTGGCCCTTTCTCACAGAGTCTCTCGACTGGTGGTTAACCTCCAAAGAAACAACTTTTCCGAGTGGCAGCGGAGCGTTTCTTCCGGTAGCAGGATCTGGTTTCACCACACAGATAGGAGTTCCAATTTGCACCATGCCTTCCACAACGTCCACACCAATGATCATTGGGTTTCTCTTGTTGATGATCTGCAAAGTCTTCAGAACACATGGGTATATAGCATACTGCTGATTCTCCTTTCTTCTCTCCTCCAGCAATTTCTGTTGGTAGGCCGTGAACGAGTCGAACAGATGGTAAATGATATCGGCGTTGAAGATGGTGACACCCTGCTCGTTGGCATATTGCTCAGCCTCTTTGTCGATTTTGACGTCGAAACAAAGCATGACCGCATATTCCTTGGCCTTATCCAACATGGCAGCGGCTTTCATGACATCTCTTTTATAAACAGGACCCAGACCGATAGACATCACCGGGATCTTCATGTCTTTGAGGAAGTCCAGCAGGGCTTCCAACGAACCAAGCGTCGAGGCCTGGACTGTGACTCCTCTTCCGGAGGAGTCGACAGAATCGAGCAGTCCTGTCAAATCGTCCATCACTTCGTCCATGAGCTCGTCCTCGTCGTCGTCCTCGCCCACAACAAGCAGCCTGGAACCAGCAACGGCTTTTTCAAGGTCGTTGGCGGCAATCTTCACACCCAAAGCGGCTTTCACCTCCTTGTGATGCACGTACTCGGACTTTATACGCAGCTCTCTGGCCGGCGGAGGCGTGAGCAGAGCTCTGATATTCGTGACAATCGGACCGTTCATACCGCAGAGAACAATTCTGTCTCCTTCTCTCAAGATACCATTCGAAAGCACCACATCTATGGTGGTTCCGAGTCCCTCGACAACCTTGACTTCAAGAATGGTTGCCTCCACATGCGAGAGATACTTGAGCTGTTTGCTCATTCTCTTCTGAGTCAGCTCCAGAAGTAACCACAGCAAATCAGGAACACCTTCTCCGCTAACAGCAGAAGTAGGCACAATCGAAACGTATCTGGACAGGTTGTTGTTCTGGAAGTAGAGCTCCGAGTTCAGTCCTTGTTCGGCCAGTGCAACCTTAATGGCCGTGTACCTGGTCTCAAATTCCTGCTGCACGGCTCTGGTCTGCTTGGCAAAAGAGTCACGGAAGGAGTTGTTAGGAATAGCCTTCCAGTCGTAGAGTCTGTCGATCTTGTTCAGTGCCACCACAAACGGAGCTTTCCTGTCTCTTAAAAGCCTGATGGACTCCAAAGTCTGCTGTTCCAAACCATGCATGATGTCAATCACCAGAATGGCAATGTTACACAGAGAGGAACCTCTGGATCTCAAGTTTGTGAACGACTCGTGACCTGGGGTATCGATGATTAGCAAACCTGGAACCTCGTAAACCATCTTCTCGTATGGAGCCATGACAGCAGTTTTCTGCTTGATGGCCTCCACAGGGAAGTATGTGGCACCGATCTGTTGCGTAATACCACCAGCCTCGCCTCCTTGAACGTTAGTCTGTCTAATCTTGTCCAAAAGCTTGGTTTTACCGGTATCGACGTGACCCAGAATACAGCAGATAGGAGAACGCAAATTTGAATCATTGTTGGTCTTGCCGTTCTGCTCTGGGGCAGAAGAGCCCTGTTTGCCAGTCTCCTCGGCCGTCGTTGCAGTGCCTTTTTGCTCTTTCTGTGCTTGCGGCTCTTGCGATGACTCTTTCTCAGTCTCGTCTTCCTGTTGCTCCTCGTCATCCTCTTTCTCTTCTTCGTCATCCAAAGCAGCCTCCCAGTCGGCAGCAACGTCCTCGTCGTCATCCAGGGCCATTTTCTCCCAGTCGTCGACCAATTCTTCTTCTTCCTCCTCGCCATTTTCGGTATCCTTCTTTTCGGCTAACTTGGAGGCCTGCTCGGCTTCAACAGCCTTGGCAGCCTCTTCCTCCTCCTGTTGTTTCTTCGAAGGCTTCTTCTTAGAGCCGTACACAACCTTCTTCGGTTTCTCCGACTTGTCAGACTGGTTCATAACGCCCGGAACAATGATATTGCCGGCCTGGAGCAGCTGTTGCCTTCTTCTCTCCTGCATCTGTTTCTCCTGTTTCTGCTTCTTGGTCAGGTACTTGCCCTCTTTTTTCAGCTGCTCCCTCTTGGCTTTTTCCTTTTCTTTCTTTAGTCGCTTGGCTTCCTCCTTGGCCTTCTCCTCCTCTTCAAGACGTCTCTGCTCCTCCTCTTCTCTCAATCTCTCTTCCTCTTCCAAGCGCCTCTGCTCCTCTTCGGCCTGTTTTCTGAGCTCCATCTGCTTCTTCAGTGCTGCAATACCAGCAGCCATCTTTTTAGCCTTTTTGGCTCCCTTGTTGGCGGCAGCAGCAGCTTTGTTTTCCTCTTCCTTCACGGCCGACTCCTCTTTGGCTGGCTCTGAAGCTTCAGAGCCAGGTGCTGGAGTGGTCTCCTTGGAATCATCCTTTGGAGCCTGAGCCTTCTTTCTCTCAGCAAGCTGTTTCTTTCTCAATTTCTCCTTCTCCTTTTTCTCTCTTTCTTTCTCCTTCTTACTCTTGATAATAGGGCCCTTCTGCTGTGGGGCCTGGGCTTTTTCTTCTTCCTCCTGCTTGGCCTTGGCCTGTTTCTTGTTCTTGGCACGCTTCAAGTTGGATAGGAAATCGTCAGCAAAGTCCTCTGCTGCCGCTGGAGTTGCCTCCTTGCTAGACTCTGCGGTCTCGGCCGGGGATGGAGCAGAACCTAATTCTTCGGCTTGGGGCATTTCTGCCTCAAGCTCTTCGTCCCAGTAGTCTCCGGCCTTTTGACTCTTCTTTCCCTTCTTCGCCATTTTGATGGTGTTGTTTGTTGTATCTGTTTAATGAATGTATTTGACTAGATCAGATCTGTCCGAACATACGAGAGGCGTAATTGTGTAGAGATGTATGCCCATCCGTTTGCCTCTGCAAAATTAGTACAGTAAACTGCAGGTGTGAGTTGGTTATAGTACAATACAGGAGGTTAAGGTCCTATATCACTAGCGTTTAGTTTGAATGACACTTTAATTTTACACAAGGGCTAAAAAATTTTCAAGAGACACCACAGACCATACCGCCGCGTCGCTACTAGTTAGAAAAAAATTATCCTAAGATTTATCATCTTTGTTCATCATGACTACCGTCGAGAAAATCAAGGCCATCGAGGAGGAGATGGCCAGAACGCAGAAGAATAAGGCCACAGAGAAGCATTTGGGTATGCTGAAGGCTAAGCTCGCCAAGTTAAAGAACGAGCTACTGAAGGACGCCAACTCAGGCGGAGGCGGAGGAGGACCAGGATTCGACGTCAAGAAAACAGGAGAAACCATCGGATTCATTGGATTTCCATCTGTCGGTAAAAGTACTTTACTGTCGAAACTCACAGGAACACACTCAGAGGCAGCAGCATACGAATTTACCACGCTTACTACGGTCCCCGGTGTTATTAGATATAAGGGAGCCAAGATCCAGATGCTGGATCTTCCTGGTATCATCGAAGGCGCCAAGGACGGCCGTGGTAGAGGTAAACAAGTTATTGCGGTGGCGCGGTCTTGTGACCTCATCTTCATTGTGTTGGACGTGAACAAGCCTTTGCAGCATAAAAAAATCATAGAGAGCGAGCTGGAAGGTTTTGGTATACGTTTGAACCAGTCGCCGCCAGACATTTTGCTCAAGAAGAAAGAGAAGGGAGGAATCAATATCACAAGCACGGTGCCATTGACCAAGATCGACCACGACGAGATCAAGGCAGTGTTGCAGGAGTACAGAATGAACTCGTGCGACGTCCAGTTCCGTTGCGATGCCACCGTCGACGACTTAATTGACGTCATCGAGGCCAGGAACAGGAGATACATCCCGGCAATCTACGTGCTGAACAAGATCGACTCGTTCTCCATCGAAGAGCTGGACCTGCTATATCGAATCCCCAACGCCGTTCCTATCTCTTCGGGAAGCGGCTGGAATCTTGATGAGCTGCTAGAAATGATGTGGGACAGACTCAAGCTTGTGCGGGTCTACACCAAACCAAAGGGTAAGCTGCCAGACTTCAATGACCCGGTGGTGCTTCGTGCCGGCAAAAGCACGGTAGAGGATTTTTGTAATAAGATCCACAAGTCTCTGGTCGACGATTTCCGCTCGGCTCTCGTTTTCGGCACGAGCGTGAAGCACCAGCCGCAGTACGTGGGACTGAGCCACGTGCTGGAGGACGAGGACGTCATTACGATTTTGAAGAAATGATCATTCAGGAATCTATGTATAAAAGGGAGTTGCCGTTTCAAATATAGTAGGCCGCCAGCAGAAATGTGAGGATGAAGGTGATGTTGAAACTTGGTTTTTCGAAAATCATCTGCCTGACGTCAATTAAATGGGAGCCCATTTTAATGTAGCGAGTCCAAGGAATAGAAACGATTCCCCTTGAATTAAGGAACTGGACGCCCAGGTAGAAACTGAGGGACAAAAACACGAAAATGGAGCTCAATTTTCCCACAACCATGCCGCAGACTAGGCCACACATCGATCCAATGGACAGCTCCTGGTAGTCCAGCTTTCCCCCGAGAGACTTGTCATATTGGGGTTTCTGGGCGATGTCCTGAGCGGCACTTTCTAGCTCGAGCCGTTTTTCGTCGCCAAAAGCCACCTCGTTCTTGATTTGGTTGTGATAGAGCCAGTAGCTCGAGATACTTAGCACGCCTATCGAAACACCAAGTTTGGGCGCCAGCGGTCTGGCCATTGGTCTGGCCAACAGGTTAGAAATCAACCTGGTCCTAGGGACGGCCTTGAAAACGAATTTGTTTGTAATTGGGCTTGGTCTGAGGAGAAGTCTGGAAAACATTAGTGGAGAGAAATGTTGTGCTTGTTATACATAATTAATTGCTACCGCGCCCGACTTTTTATTCAATATAAAAAAATATCTGTCATAGTTTCACTTAATTCAAAACAACGTCACTGATAACAGGTCTGTGGTCCGAGAGATAATACGAGTCGTCGTACCAATTTTCGCCAACCTTGTATCTGACAGCTTCCCAGTTGCCTGTGTTGCTGCCGAACTGGAAGTCGATCCTACTAAAGGAGTCGACGTTATTCTTGAAACCGGTGAAAGTAGCGAGATTTCCAAGCCTGTTCTCCACAGGAGTTGCCTCGATTAAATCCAGGAACTCAAAGCCGGAACTCGAATGGTTGTATCTGGCCACAAATGTCGAATTCAGCCTGTTAGTAGGAAACTCCAACCTCCCCGTTGTGATCTTGTACGCTCCGCTGGTTTCTCCGCTGACCTGCGAGTTGAAGTCTCCGACCAAAAATACCGGGACCTTCTTCGTTTCCTGCTCGTATGCGGCTCTGTGCTTGATCAGTGCTGCGCCCAGCCGTCTCTGGTCGTCTGACTGGTCGTCAAGATGCGCATTGATCACTACAAATTTGGTACCTTCTTTCTTGGTCTGAAAATAGCCAACGCTGCAAGAGCGGTAGGAACCGGCACCAGGGTACTTCGAGGGCTCAAATGGCTTATCGCTCAGCCAGAATGTGTCGTTTGAAAGTAGCTTAACAGACTCCGGGTTGTAGAAGATCGCCTGGTATTCGCCCGCCTGCGCTCCGTCGTCCCTGCCCACACCGATGTACGGCATGTCCAGGAGCTCCTTTAGGTCTTCAACTTGTCTATGGAGGCCTTCATTGACGGTGAACAGATCCACTTTGTTAAACAGAACCTCATTTTTGATGCCGATCCTGCGTGTTGACCATGGTTGCTCCGTGTCATCGGAGTAATACTTAGTCTGTGTGTCAATAGGAACGGTCTTGTTTAGAGCTGCAATAGTCTCGTCGACGGTGATAGCGTTTGGCATGGAGTCGTATCTCAGATTCCAGCTTTGAATTCGAATTGTCGCGCCTGTCTGTGCAGAGCGGGGATAAACCATGATTAGCACAACTATCAGGGAAATGAGAGCGAGTATTTTGACTCTAGCGGTAGAATTGGCCGTGGTGATCATTTCGCTTCATGGGACATGTGTGTTTATATGGTACATCAATGAGCTCTGATTGTCTCTTTACCCTCTGCAAGCGATATGGTTGCACGTTTTCCGACACCCGACACGATTAAAATGATAATTATTTTGTTTTTTTATTCAAAAAAAAACTTCCACGTGGAAATCTTCATCTCTAGCCCTATTTGGGAACACTGCGGGACGCCACACGGGCTTCTACTTGTACAATGAGCACACAGACCACGGCATTTTTGGACACGAAAGCCGGAACGGCCTCTTCCTCGGGCCAGAAAGTGACCAACGGCCAGGACATAACAGCCGCATCGATACCATCTAAAGAAGACATACAGCTGGAGTTGCTGAAGTTGGAGAAGTCGTTGCAGCAGGCAACGTCTCTGCACCAACTAGTGAGACTATTAAGGCAAATTGACTCGAAACAGCAGCAACTAGACTACATTCTTCACAGATTCACAAACAAACAGTATGTGGCCCACGGCTCGTCAATTCGCGCGTTGGAAATCAGCAGAGTGGAGCTCTCGACCACGCTAAGCCATTCTCGGTCGCTCAAGAAAATTATGGAAAACGCGTCGGCGCTGAGCTCGAAAATCACCGAGAGAGTGAGACTGCTCGACTCGGAAAAATCAAAAATTAAGGCTACCAAGGATTACGTGGAAAACGTGCGAACACTGAAGTACGAGGTTCAAAAGGCCGACGTAGCAATCAAACAGCAGGACTGGCTGGCAGCAGCCTCATCGATCAACGCCGTCCGTAACCTCCCTCCTGGGCTGATTGACGACGAGTTTGTGGAATTTATTGTCCCCACTAGCGACCTGCCAGAGATGCCGAGCGTCCTGCTCGATTCTTGGATTTCGGAGCTAAACGACATATTTTTGAGCGAGTTTAACGAGGCTGCTGCCAAGAAGGACGTGCAAAGACTCACCTATTTCTTTCAACTGTTCCCCCTCATCGGCAAGAGCGACGTCGGGCTCAGCTGCTACTCGAGATTCATTTGCAATATTATAAGCGACCAATCAAGGACCAACTTGAGAAGCGTGCAAGGAAAGGACGTGCATTCGAGCTTCTATGCGCAGGTGTTGTTCCAGCTGTACCAAACCATTGCCGATATCGTTCACCAGCATTCGCGCATCATCACCAAATATTACGGAAAAAACGTGCTTCCAAAAGTTCTGAGCGCAATACAGACCGAATGCGATCTTCAGAGCGGCCTGATTTTTGACACCTTCTGGGACGCAAATAACCTAGATCGAGCGATCAGCGATATCACTAACTACGGGTATCCGATTCTTGTCGGGTCGATTCTGAGTAATGTTCAGACAGACGAGGAGCTACAGGACGACAATGTGGTCATTTCTCTTTCTGAGGTATCAAATCTGATCGACGAGCTTTCTGCAATGCTGAACCATTGGGCTATGTACTGCAAGTTTTTCGTCGTCTCCTGGAACGACGCCAGCGACACAGCTAACCACGCGAACGCTGTTTATCCGCAACCTTTGCTGTTGAGTACGTTTATGGAAAAAATTCACAAAAAAATCACCAGGAGCTTTGACCAGCTCTGCACATTTGCCATCAGAAGAACTATAGAAAAGGCGTTTCTTCTAGAAAACCTCCCCGACATTACTCCACAGCTTCAGCTCTGTGTGAGGTACTTAGCATCAGCCACAAAGGCCAACGCATCCACCAATCAGTCGCTACTCTCCCTCACTCCAGAGGACCCGCCAGTGACATCGATGGTCGAAGATATCACCATCTCGTTGAACCTGATCATGCTGCAGACTATCACCACAGGCGAATTTTTCACGATTAAAAACATGATGTCCAACACGAGGAGAATTCTCGAGAACGACTTCCTTAATATCATGAAGAGGAAACTTACCGATTCGCAGCCGAGAGCAAACTCGGTATTGCTCACGGCTCAAGCTATTCAGTCCCTGCATACCAATAGCCGGACAAATCTGCCTATCAACCAAAAGGGGGGATCTTCGAATCTCATGACTCCAAGAAGCGGCACTCCGCCAATCGGAGGGAAGGACATTAATTCTGGAAACCTGTTCATGAAAAGTGCTACTTCCGCATTGAACGCAGCCATCAATTTGAGCGGCGTTGAAACAGAGACTTCGGACAAGTTGCAGCAATTTGTCATTGTGCTCAACTCGATCAGCGTTTTTCAACAATATTTGGACAAATTGTCCAACAATTTGGTGACAAAGCTCGAGAATGACAATCTCTTGATCGTGGACGACCAGGAGTTCAGTCAAGTCCGTGCATCCATGGAGAGAGACCCCAACACGGATATACAGCTTCGTGTGGATCTTAACAACCGTGAAGGGACCGAAGATAATCCGTCAGTTAGGGACAGGCTGAAATCGGTGGTGATGACGTTGAGCACATCCTTCATTGAAAAATCAGACGTTGTGCTCAAAGAGAACATAAAGACAATTTTCAACCAGAATTTCCGGGCCAAGCTGAGCAGAATGGTCAACGATGTGCTGAAAGAGACCGACTATCTGATCTCCTCCGATATTCTGGCTCTGAGCTCTACTTCGGAGGTCATGCTCAACTTCATCAAGGAATGGAACTCGTTGATCATTCCGTATCTCACCATATTCACCAGAGCGAACTTCCAGGCCTTGATACAACTGGTGGTGTCGAATTTGGCATCGGCAATGGAAAATAAAATCTGGGCCATGGAGAGAAAATGCAACGAATTGGGAGCAGCAAAGCTGGAAAAAGACGTGTCAACCATTATCAGCGAGGTCACAAAATACGACTACAGTCTACGGGACAATTTCATCCGGATCACCCAGATAGTCATGATGCTGGGGCTGGACGATGACGACGAGGTGGAGGAGCTCAATGATCTCGAATGGGCCCTGACTCCCGCAGAGCGGAGCAGGGCAAGAAATTTAAGAATCGATAGAAAATAATGTAATATTGTACAATGCTATATGCTCTATATTTGCAATCCGTCGTGATCGTCCGTCTTTTCCGCTTCGCGTTGTTGCTGTTCAAGCTTGGCCTTGCGTCCCGCGATGATCTGTTCGTCTGTTCGTATCTTAAAGCGGCCCTGAATCATGGCTGGGTTGAATTTTGGATGGCTCAGCTCGCACTCTGGGCCCTTGGGACAGAATCCGGTAAGATACAGCGGACACATGACTTTGCGAACATGTCTTCTCTGGCACTTGGGCCCGTCTGGACAGTATCCCAGGTTCGAGTAGTTGTAACATTCAGCGATCTTAGATTGTGGGTCGACGTGGAGATAAATGCACTCGGGCGACTGTGTGCACACACCGTTCTGCGAGTAGTACGCGCACTCGGGCATACGTTGGAGGTTATATTCGTGCAAAAAGTCGCAATCGTCGCCCATCTTGCACAGTCCCCGTAGCCAGTACTTGCACACGATCTTGTTGTTGAATATCTTGGACGGATGCTTATTTTCGCAGTCGTTGCCGTTGGGACACTTTCCCGACTGCAGCCAAAATTCGCAGATCGGTCTGTCTGGATTGAGACCAAACCCGTACTGTCTGCGTAGATACGGCTCAAACTTGAAAGTTGCCTTGTCAGACCCCACGTTAAACATCCCCAACGCAGGCATCATCCCCAGCGGCGGCATTATTGGCGGTGCCTGGGGCATCGACGGGTTCTGAGAGGACGCCATCAGTGATGAAAATTGAAATATATATTTATTTCATTTTCGCCATTTATCTCGTCAAGGGTCGTGCAAAAACTCAAACTTTATAACCGTACTAATACACCGTATCCAATATACACTCGCACAAATCTCTTGCTCTGGTCAATGTCGTCTGAAAATCTCCCAATACTTGTCCACCATCGTGCAGCCTATGAATTTGCCCAAGCGCACAATCTTCTCCTGTCTGCTGAGCCTGCCAGCTTGCGAGCCCTGGCTGCCCAATAGCTCGTAGTTGACCAGGTACTGGTCGAGGGCCGCATTGGTGCAGTTAAATAGCGCGTAGATGTTCACCAGCAGCGGCAGACCCGCCTCGTCCTCTGCAGGGTCGACTCCGTTCGCGAAAGGAATCAGATCGTACGCCTGCTCCAGCCCTGTGCCCCTGTTCTCATTCAAAGATCTGGCCAGTCTCTGCTCGATTCGCACAGCCGTGCGGGCCTGCTGTCTCATCTGCTGGTACAGAATCTGCTGTGTCTGAACGACTGTTTGCATCACGTGCTGGACCTGGTAGAGCTGGGGCTGGTGCGCCGCGATCTGCTGCACCATCTGCTGGGCGCTGTACAGCAGAGCCTCGAGCTGATCGGCCTGTTTTTGCACCGACCTCTGAGTCGTTCCATTGCCCTGCATGTCCAGACGGTACAGCGGAGTCTGGATGGCGATCGACCTCGAAATCGAGTCAGAGTAGTCGTGTCCCGAGAGAGACCCTGCGTGTCCGTTAGAGGACGCAGACGAGGTGGAGCCCCCACCGGCCGAGCCCCCGCCATTGTTGACCATGATGCCGTTCCCCTGGAGCATCGAATTTGGCGCTGCATACCCAGCGGCTCCTAGGTCGGTTGGCGTTGTGAGACCGATGTCCAGCGAGCCTGTTCTGTCTGCAGCACCAGAAGCAGCGGACTCTGTGCTGGAGTCCTTGGTCTGCGACGGCGACTGTTGCTGCTGCGCCATGCGGGACCTCTGTGAGTCGGCGTTCTTGACCAGGTCGTTAGGTGCAGCCCCAAAAGGCCGGCGAGTGATGGCCGATTCGGGCTGTCCCAGACGGTGGGTTTTGTTTATATGCCGTGCCAAATTCGTGGGCCCGTTCCTGCTGGAGTACCGGAACGTCTTGTCACAGTGCATGCATTGAACGTTGGAAAACCCGTTTTCGTTCGAAATGTGTCTGTAATGCTGCCACACCCAACTGTTTGGAGGCCGAGGCATGGTGGGTATGGGTTAGATGATATTTTTATTTTTCAGCTAAAAAAATTAACTAGGCACGATAAATGAGAAAAGTTTAGTCGCTCTACATCTATCGATCTTTGCGCTCGCGCACCATAATCTTGCGGCGGCGCATTGTCTCCTTGTTCCAGAACTCGTTTCTGTACAATTCCCACTGCTCGCGGATGTCGGTGCTGAAAACGCGCGGATTCAAGACAACCTTCACATCGGTGACGCCGGCGTTCGAGGTCGCCAGCTTGATCTCGAGCTCCACAAGCCAGTTGCGGAACTTTGCGACCGAGCTCACTCGCACGACTTTCGAGAGGTACACGGTCTGCATTTTCAGCGCGCGAATCGGTATCAGAAAGCACGACTTGAGCACCACCAGCAGAGCGTCGTACATCCCGACGCGCACCTTCACCAGTCTGATGTTGAGCTGTCGCAGGCCCTTGTTTGTGATCACCACAAACTTGCGTGGTCGCACAATCGTCCGATGGTACTCTCCGCTAAGATAGAAGAGCAGCAGCGTCACAACATCGATGATGAACACGATTTGGGTAGCAAACCGGATGTAGCTGGAGTCGACCGTCGAGAGCAGTCGGTAGCCGCTCAAAAACAGCACCACGATCATGCTGATGAAGAAAGAAAAGTACTTCCGTCGCAAAAGCTTCTGCTCCACGTTCTGCTGCCGCAGCGACTCCTCCAGTATGAGCAGGTTCTTAAATATTTTAGCCGTTTGGGAAATTTCAGACCCTGTGCCAGATTCGGGAGCACCGTCTCTGGTGCGTGACCGCGACGACCCGGACCGCTTGTTCTGCGGCGTGCTGCTTCGACGGCGGCCAGGCCGACTGGGCGTCTTCGTGTGCTCGTTCTCGCTCTCTGTGTAGTTGCTGTAATCGTTGTTCGACTTCAGCGAGAGGTCGCTGGCACGTCGACTTTTCTTTGTCGAGAGCGGCGTATCCAATGCGCGTCCTCGCAGCTCGCCAAATGACTCTCTGTGCTGCGAGAAGTACGAATCCGACGAGATCGTGAAAAGCTCGGGAGCATTGATGTCCCTGTCTGATCCGAGCGACCAAACGTCTGAGTCCGACGAGCAGGCAATATCGTCTTCCTTCTCATTAATTCGCGGCAGCAGCGACGGCGACATTGTCGGTGAGCTCGGCGGCGACGCGACAGGCTCCATATCAGACGGTATCTCCGCCACGGGCGGGTCCTGGCTCTTTTGGTTGGACATGGAAATAATTATGAACTTTTATTTTCTACTTGTTTCCTATTTAATATTTCCGTTCCATATTTTTTCCCATCTTGTGCTCTAGATGCTAAATTACATGGAATACATACAAAAATGCTTTTACATCTCGACTCTGTGGAATTGCGACAATTCTTATGAGAGATTCCTTGCCACGTCCAGACAGGTGTTGGACTTCCCGATACCCTCCGGGTTTAGCATGACCGTGTCCTCGAAGAATACTGAAAACAGCTTCACCTCCATGTCCATCTCGCAGCTCGGAGAGCTCGCAGGCTCTCTCTCGTACATGTACAGCTCTGTTGATCTTGCTTCCGTGTATAACGACACAGCCTCTGTTTCGCTGCAGTCCATGTTTGAAGGATATCGTTTGCTTTCGTCTCCCAGGATTTCCAACTATAGCCAAAGACCAACACTGCTGTACGGAAAAATGTATTTCCCGTCGCAATTTCTGGAGGGCATGTTTATCAAAAGGCTCTCTGAAAACTCTCAGCTGCTGATCAAGTTCATCAACACGCCCAAGCTGAACAAGCTGTACAACTCTACGACCATAATGAACATCTGCTACCAACGCCAAACACCCAAGTCTGCGCAGGAGTACGTTTTCTCCACCAACGAGGCGCTCTTTGGCCTTCGCTACATATACAACCTGGGCGCACCCACTCCTGCGGCAGACGCGTCGCTATTTTCAGTTGGCTGCGAGTTGTGGTGCGCTGCCCAGTCGCTGGCTCCAGGAATGTCGACCGGACTTCGCTACTCCACACACCTCACGTCCTCTGGCAAACCACTCACGATGACTCTGGTAATCAATCCGCTGTTGGGTTCGATCGAATCCACGTACGCCATCAAGACCAGCGTTCTGTCAACCTTTGTGTCAAAATACAACTTCAACGTGTACTCGTACGAGAGCGATCTGTCGCTAGGATGTCATCTGTGGCGACTGTCGGACGAAAACAAGTCTGTGACGGACGAACGCTTTAACAAGCTGAAAACCGAGCAACAGAAAGAACTGGTGGATAGTTTCATGCACATAGATCCAGCACACATGCTGTCGGAGACTAACTCCACCAGATTATTTATCAGCCAGCACCAGACGTCGGACTTTAGCAGCAGTCTCAAATGCGCCACCAGCTTGAACAAACAGCAAGTCAGTCTCCTCTGGGAGGGGCGTTTCAAAGATTGGCTGTTGTCGACAGGCGTCAAGTTTGACTACAAAGACATGAATCCCAAAAGTCTTGGGTACGGACTAGAACTCCAATTTTCATCTTAATATACACTCTATCTACTCGGGGAACAACATGCTCTCCACGGCCTTGGCCGCCTTGTCGTCGTCGCCAGACATCATCGAGTCGTCAAGCTGCAGCTTGTTCTGGGCCAGTTGCAAAATGTTCTCCTCGATAGTGTCTCTGCAAATTATTCTGTAAACGTTGACCGCCTTGGTCTGGCCGACTCGGTGAGCACGGTCCTCTGCCTGCTTGTCGTCATGGGGGTTGAAAGACTGGTCGAAAATGATAACGTTGTTGGCACAAACCAGATTGATACCAAATCCACCTGCCTTGGTACTAAGCAGCATCACAGGCACATCGTCGGCCTCGTAAAATTTGTCGATGATTCCCTGTCTTTCGTCAACGGAGGTCTGTCCGTCCAGTCGCAGGAACTTGATCTGGTTCAAACTGAGCACCATTTCTAGGATATCAAGCACCTGGGTAAATAAGGAGAAAACCAGCACTTTCTCTCCCTTCTCCGTCACCTTGTTAATAAGTTGCAGCATTTTTCTCACCTTTCCGCTTTGGTAGTACGCCTCGTTGTCTAACTGGAACGATGCCAGCTGCTTGGAGTACGTGTGGCACAACCTATTGAGCTCGAAATCGGACATAACTTGCATGTCCTCAAAAATGTAGTCTCTATTGGCGTTGTAATAATCGTCGCTCTTCATGATGTCTCGCGCCATCTTCTTTAATTTTGAGTCCTGATAATGTGTTCTGAAAAGCATCGGGTGCAAAGCAGCCTTACGCAGCTGCATCACCACATTCGACGCCGACAGCGACATCGTTGTCTTTGACAATTTCCGTAGTTCGTCCGGACTCATCAGCTTCCGTCTCTCTCTCTCAGCCTTGGCCTCGCGAGCCTTCTGGATCTCCTGCTGATAAACGTTCTTTTGATACTCATCCAGATCACAGTACTCAATGTGGTGATGTTTGGGAGGTAGATGCTGCATCACCTGGTCCTTCTTTCTTCGCAGCACAAACGGTGCCATCATGGCACGGGCGTTGGTGATTGCCTGCTGCGAAAGTAGCGGGTTGTAATTCTCCTCGTCGTCCGCGTCACCGTCCTCGGTCTCGCGTTTGTGGGTCGATTTGGTGGACGCCTTTTGATCAAACAGCACTAGAAGATCCTCGCGCTTCTCGTGGAATATGCCCGGCAAAATAAATGCAAGCAGAGAGATCAGCTCTCTCAGGTTGTTCTGCAGTGGAGTGCCGGTCAAAAGTAGCCGGAAACGGGCACCCAGCTTCATCAGCTTCGCATATCTATCAGAATTCGAATTTTTCAGCATATGGCCTTCATCGTAGACGATAACGTTGAAGTTCCTGCTTCTCAAGAAGGACTGGTCGTACTTATGGCCGGTGGCAAGCGTGTATGTTGTCACCAAAACGTCGTAATCCCCGTTATACATCAGCTCCTCCCTCAGTTCTGCTCTCGCGCTTTGGCTGCCATAGTACGGTATCACCTTGAGAGACGGAGAGAACTTCTGAAACTCTCTGAGCCAATTTTCCAATGTGGAAGACGGAACAATCACCAGATGCGGGCCGTCAAAGGACTGCTGTTTGAGATACGTCAAAAATGCAATCACCTGCAACGTTTTTCCCAAGCCCATCTCATCGGCAAGAATGCACGAGAGTCTTTTTTGGTACAACAGGTTCAGCCAGTTCATTCCCACAATCTGGTAGTTTTTCAGCTCGAATCCGTCTGCCATCAATTTTGGCTTGTGCCTGTAGTAGTCAACTTTAACCAGAGGCGGTCTTCCGCGCGGTCTGCCGCTTGATTTGGACATTTTTAAAGTGAACTCCCTGTCCTCCATATCATCGTCAGAAGTGAGAACCTCGTAGCTTTCGTTCTTGCTCTGGGAATTCTCGTTGGAAAAAAGGGTCTTGTCTGACATGTTGTCGTCACTCTGTTCGCTCTTCACGTCAATATCCACAATCTCCAGCTCTCCCTTCTCGTTGTAAACCTCTGCACCCCATTTATGGATGGCGTGGGTGATGCTGTTTCCATGTGTTTGGCACTTCTTGATCAGCGAGTCTACTGCCGCATACCCTTTCAGCTTTTTAATAGTGGTCTCCAGGATCTTCTCTCCAACAGCCTTCTTTTTCACCACTCTTTTCTTGTTTGTACTTGCAGAGCTTTCTTTTTCTGCGAAATCAAAATTCTCCACCTCCTCTAGCGACTTGAACGGCCTGCTGTCTATTAACGCCTGCGCAATCGAAGGAGGGACACCAGCAATGTCAACGACGTCCCGTTTGTCACCGGTGTTGAGGAAATGCAGCACCTTCTCATCAAACTCCAGATCCACAGCTTCTTCGACTTCAGACTCCTCCATGCTCTCGTCGTCAACTTCTTCAGGCTCCTCATCATCAAGAACAATCGGCTCATGGTCACTGTCTGACAGTGACACCGCTCCACGTTTGGCGTCTCTGGTTCCACGCACAAGCTTCCGTTTCTTGGCAGGAACTGGCTCCGGTTCCCTTTTCGTTTGAACGTTTCCGTATCTCTGTAGAATACTAGATGCCTTTTGTAATTTCACCTTGGAGGAGAGCACATCATTCTCTGGCTTTATGGGCGACGATGAAGAAAGCACTATTTTTTGAGGAGAGACTATCTGTGCCACGCCTATCGGGTAGCCGTCTGAAGGCTTTGATCCAACCCCCTGTGGCAGTGAACTCAAGTATGCGGCAGCTTCCCTTAACGACCCTTTTGTCTTGAGGGCCGAAAGCACGGTTGCCTGCGACAAATGGGGGAATTTATTTTTCAGCGCCGTGAAACTGCGTTTGAGATCTGAAGAAAGCGCGCCTTTAGGAGGAGCAAGCGGCTCATGCGAAAACTTCGCGCCTAGCGAGCTGTTGGGATTATAGGAGAATCTCTCTCTCAAACTAGGGAGACGAGTAGTTATCTGGATAGGAGAGGAGGCCGGTTCTGTGGACTGCGATCTAACCCTGATGGGCGAGGAGTCCGGGACCTGGACAGGAGACTCCTCAGAGCCCCTGGACAATTCCCGATTGGTGTTTGTGTCCTCTATAATTATGCTGTCGTCGGTCATCGGTCGGTCTGGACGAAAAGCGACAAGAAACTCTGGATGTGGTTTTTGTTAAACGCGATTGAAAAAACGAGAGCAAGACGCTTTTTTAGTTAGATTAATTTTTTTTTTCTCTCGACGCGTCGATCCCTATTTATCGCGTCGGAATCAGCTAATGACCTATCGTATCTACGTCTGCGGCTCCAACGGAAACTTCCAGCTCGGGCTCGACGACAATGAGGACCGCCACCAGCTCGAATGTGCGCAATTCCAATTTGAATTGGGCCGCACGGTAGACCTAGACATCAGGCCCGTCAAAGTTGCCTGCGGCGGAAACCACACGCTAGTGCTTCTGGAGAACGGACAGGTTTACGGGGCCGGCTCGAGCCGTTATGGGCAGCTGGGCTGTTTCCAAGAATCGTTGCCAATTTTTCAAAAGCTTAATCTCCCGTTCAAGGTCAAAGACGTGGTAGCAGGCTGGAATTACACCGTTTTTATTTCTGCGTATGACGAGGTATATACTTGCGGACAGGGCTTTACAGGCGAGCTGGGGCTCGGGAAAATCCATCTTCAGTCTCTGCCCGCCAAAATAGAGCTGCCATACAACGGCCGCATTATCAAGGCAGGGTCGTCGCTCCATAACGTTGTTCTTCAGTTTGAGAACGGAGAGCTTTATGGCTTTGGAAATAATAAAAAAGGCCAGCTGCTGGACGGACCCAAAGTGCTGTGGACACCCACAAGGCTTGCTATATGCGCGCGCGAGTTTGCGCTGGCGCGAGACTTTGCTGTGTTTTCCTGCGATGGGAAACTACTGCTGCAAGGCAAAGACCAGTACGGAATAGCAGAACGACTCCAAACTGTTGGCAAAATAGACCGCATTTGGGCCATGTGGAGCTCTGTTCATCTTCTTTCTAGCCGGCAGCTTATCTCGTTCGGGAATAACTCGCACGGCCAGCTGGCTCCGGTAACTACAATCGGCACGCCCGCTAAGATTGCCATTGGAAGCGAACACGGTCTTTTGGCTGAAAAATTCAAAGTATTCGCCTGGGGATGGGGAGAGCACGGGAACTGCGGCCGACACCAGAAAGAAAAATCAGGCGTCAGGTTCGACTACATGAACGAGATCTACACCGAACAACATGTCGTCGAGGATGTCTTTGCCGGCTGCGCAACGACATGGGTGGTCGTTCGGTGCAGGGAGAATGCGTAGCTGTCTCCTCAGATTCTTTCCCATATTCATCTATGTTTTGCGAATAAGGCAAACGAAAGATGGAAAATATGTTCTGGGATGTTATTCTAGGAACAGTTGTATCGACGGGCGGAGAACAGTAACCCCCGTCCATCTTCTTTACCATCCATGTAAAAAATTAAGGAAAAAAATTCATGACAACAATCTATTCTAAAATACACATGCAGTTCACTCCTCCATTCTGGCCGGCGATCTGTCTCTATTTTTCAGGAAGTCCGGGAACAAATCTTCCTCGTCGTCGCGATTTCCTCTTCTCGGTTGCAGTCTCTCTCGGTATCTCTCACGACCCCTTTCGTTTCTCCCTCTTGAGAAACCCCTTGGCGGGCCTCTCGATCTTGGGCCGTTCCATCTTCCAGAAACCTCCAATTTTCGGTGGGAATCGCCATCCTGCTCGTCCACAGCCCCAGTGTCCTCACCTGTGATCAGGTCGGGCCCTCTGTTGCGGGCTCCACCTCGTCCTGCTTTGTAGTTGCGATATGTTCTCTGTCTCTGAGCCGGCTCCGGCTCGCCGTGGATCAGATAGTAGCGCGAGTAGTTTCTGGCCCCCTTGACCTTTCTGTCTCCCCAGTAGCTCTGTCTTATCGAGAGTCTGACGTTCTGGTCGTTGAAGCCAGGGTCGTTGCTGATGTATTCCATGGCGCCACGTTCCTGTTCAGGAGAAAGACCATCCGACACTTCAGACAGCAGGCTCAGTGCCTCCAAGGCAGCGTCGGGCTGTTCAAACACAATGTTGATTTTCTTGTCGTCCACCCACTCGAGAGTGTAGTTAAACTTGGCGTATGCTTCCCTGTTCTCGAATTTGAGGTCTGGCTTCAGAAATGAGTCGATATACAGCTTTATTGCCCTCGTGTCCAGCTCGTCCACGCCTGAAAGAAGCAACGACCCCGGCCTGAGCTCGTTTGGGTCGTGTTCCTCGGGCTCCATCGAAACGCGTTCAGGAGATGCTGACGGTGCTGTCTGCTCGGTCTCGCCGATGTGTGCAAGGTGTGGAGGCAATTCTGCGGTCTCGACGTCCATTTGGTCGTCATCGTGCACCACAGTGGTCAGCTTGGTTGCGAAGTCAGACATGAAAGATTAAATGTTTTTCGGATTGGAAAGTGCACGACAAAGAAGAGCCTCAGAAGCAAGGTGGACGCTAATGGCTGGCATTCAGCTGCAAAGGGAACAAAGAGCTAGGCAGCCGTAGAGTGGCCAGAAACTTCCGGCTCAGAAAGGAAACTACAAGGCGTGGCCGTTGTCGTCGTTCTATTCATCTAGTATACAGTTAATTACAGTTTATCTCACTCTGGCTGCTCGTTGTCCTGTTTCTCGCCTACCCACAAAACGTTGTTGCACCGCACAAACAGTTCATCACCAAGGTCCGTGCTCGTTTCGGCGGCGGTGTCGATCTCCTTGACGTCTTTGTCCAGCAAAAGATTCATGTAGTTGTCGATAGAGAGCAGCTTTCCGTGGTACTCTATATTATTGAACTTCAGCTTTATCACCACAGGCTTGCCGACAAGCGACTGTAGATAGGGTTTAGGATTGATGGGCTGGAAAGACATGGTACAAAGTAGTTGGATTTTAATTTTTTGCACTGATTTTTCAGCCATATTTATAAACGGGTGTAAATTCTGCTATGTTACTGTCTTCTATCTTTTGATTAGTACATCTATTTGGCACCCTCACAGCTCGTCAGCGTATGGAACAGCGTCGACGTCACCAACAACAGCCAAGTTGAATTTAGGAACGGAAACAGAGTCTTTAGCAGCAGAAATATCGACAGAGGAGCCCTGGGCGGCCTGGTTGTAGGTAGCCAGAGCCTTGTACTTGGACAGGCCCTTGGCCTCCTTGAGGAGCTTGGCAGCCTGGGAAACCAGAGCACCGGTCTCAGCACCAGATGGAGAGGTGATGGAGATGTAGAACAGAGCAGCACCGTCGTATGGGACGACCTTGGCGTCAACAGCGGCAGAGGAGCTGGCTGGGAGCGAGGACTTGGCATATGCAGCAAGAAGAGAGTACGTAGCAACGTCAGAGGCGGCCACACCAATCACGGCGGCGGTTGGGCCGGCCTGTCTGATTCTGGCGTCCTGGCCAGCCACAGATTTCTGTGGAGCAGGCGAAGTCTCACCAGCAGGAAGCTTGGACAGAGGAGATTCAGAAATGAATTTTTTCAGGTCGGCCTCGACAACGTTCGATCCAACAACTTCAACATTGCCGTCCAGAAACACAGACTTGGCGTATTGGGCAACGTCCTCGGATGTGTACGATTTGGAGCCGTCGTAGAAAAGTGGCTTACCCAGGCCCGTTCTAAAGGTGATGGCGTGCAAAGCTTCCAGGGCCTTGAAGTCAGGGCTGCTGTTGGCGACCGCAGCCTCAGTCTTGGAGTATGGGAGGGCGATCTCGGTCAGTTCGTGAGGTCTGAACAGAGTTCCGGTCAAAACGTCGCCAATGGCGTTGACGTAATATGGCAGAGCTTCCTTCAGGAACTTGGCCTCAAGCACCAGCGAGTCTCTGGTAACAGTGGCCTTGTATTCTCCTCCCAGCAGTTCGGATTCTCTCTTCAGTCTCAAGCCGCTTCTGGCCTCGGTGTTGAGGAAGCTGGACGATGCAAGCAGGTGAGCCAGACCCGGTGCACTAGCCCTGGAACCTGCGTTTTTCACAATCACCTTGAGAGACGAAACTCCCGATCCTGGAGCCTCGACAGTGGTCACCTTGACGGCCTTTGGCACAGTCGTGGAGAAAGATCTGATCGACGTTCTTGCAAACATTCTTGCCCTGTTGTACACGGATGGAAAACTTTTTTAACTTAAATGTTTGTTATAATTTCTAGCTAATTGGTTAGCCTGAAAAACTACACCTCTCCCGGTGCGTCGTGGGGAAGATATTTTTTTACCACGGGATCACGGCGGCCAAAAGATTTTGGGAGCTGGCCGCCGGGGCCGGCTCGCTTCCCAGGGCTCTACATCCTACTTCACGTATCAAGCGCTCGTGTACTATATCTTTCCTGGCACGACACACTCAATGCAGTCATTGCGGGATTGGGCTTTCCTGTCCATCCCCTTGATTCGACAACTTGAGTGCTTTTATAAATTCTTCTTCTGTGATTGGACAGTGTGAATATTGTGACATCCGTCCACCACGACTGGGTCTTGTCCCATTTTTTCCCTCCTCATCCGGGCAGTGTTCTCTCACGCTTATGTAAGGTGTGCTCTTTTTTTTTCATAAATTTTTACCTATCTGAGATCACATACCATGTCGGCTCGAGAAGGGGCTCCTACAGAGCTTCCACTGTCTATGAAGACTAAATCTCCCGAGTCGTTCTTGTTTACTTCTCTTTTGAAGCTGGTTCTCGGAGAGCAGGCGGCATACGTGTTTGGCATTCTTCTAGATCACAAAAGACTTACGCTGCCTCAATTGCACAAGATGTGCAAGATGAAGATGTCGGCGGTGAAAAAGTCGCTTGTTTCTTTGCTACAGCTGGAGTGTGCCGTCTACTTTGAAGAAACTAATTTTATCACCGATAAAACGCAGACATACTACTCGTGTTCGTTCTCTGGCTGCTACAAGTTCCTGTATGCTAACGCGATCATAAATGATATCCATCGCGACTACAGTGAGCTCCATGCCGCCATTGTCCAACAGGTGCTGGTCAATGGGCATTTGACTACCGGAGAATACCTCAAGAATGTGGACGGGGCAGCTCAGACGGAGACAGAGAAGGCGTTCTCGATTCTCGTTCTTGAAAAGTGGCTAGTTCCAATTGACGAGATGCATTTCCAGAGCAAGTACGATCTTTTCCACAAAGTGTATCAACAGCAGACGGCGATTTTCAACGCGGAAAATAAGGGAAAGGTGATTTCTCAGGCAAAAAAGCTTCAGGTGATCAAGGAAGAGACCAGAAGAAAACATCAACAGCTCATGGGCGAGGACAAACTGCGTTCGCGGCTTTTTCAATCGGACTCGAGTTCGATGTTCCAAAAAGTCAACCCAGATATTCCGTTGACGTTCAGTCTCGATAGATATTTGAAGAGATTACGATCTTTGCATTTTGCCTCAGAAGCCAGACACAAAGTGGGCGAGATCTCTTCTAGAATCTATGCTCTTATACTCAATCGGCTGGAAGCCAAGTCGGCGGATGTCGAGAACCCAGAGCTTCGGCTGGAAAAATATCTTGCCAATGTTGGACAGTCAGGAGTGGGCCTAGATCCTCGTGTAGTGGAGCAAATCCGTGGCAGATACGAGCTGAAAGACCAGGAGAGGGGCATGAATATAACCGTCAACGAGGTGTACAAGGAGCTTGTGAGGAACGGTGAGAAGTTTGGCGTTACTGTCGCCAGCATGAAAAATACAATTGCTGATCCATCGTTGGAGTTTGGTCGCAAGAGGAAAGCCGACGACCACTCCAATGGGTTTCCTGGTGTGAAAAAGGTCAAGATCGAGGTGGACGAGGTCCTAGAGAGACTCGGATCTCATGAGTCGGACGACGAAAATCAATATGACGACGCCGATAACCCGGATCCGCGCATCATGTCCACCCTCATGCAGCATCTGAAGCTTCTGGCCGCAGACCCCAAATTTCCGTTTCTTGCCGAGACAGACCTGGGACAGTTCCATGTTCCTTACACTCGGCTGTCTCCAATTTTGGCCAAACATGTGTTCAAACAGTATGTGAAGGCCATCATAGGGCCGGACGCACTAAAAGTCTTGAATTGCATTGAAGACAAACGTCTTACCGACGAAAAGGCGGTGAGCAAGCTTGTGCTAATGAAAGAGGCCTCAGTCAGGAACATCTTGAGTCGCCTACTCAGGTTCAACATTATAGAACTGCAGGAGATTCCCAAAACACAGGATCGGTCTGCGATGCGGTCCGTGTATGCATTTAGATTCAAGCCACAGCCAGCGATTCAAATGTTCAAAAAGTCCATCCTGTTCAATATGGGCGAGGTTTTGGAAAAACTTGAGCAATACAAAAAACAAAACAAGATTCTGCTGGATAAAGTCAACAGAGAGGACGTGAAGGGCAGAGAGCAAGAACTTCTGCTTCCGTCCGAGCTCAAGCAGTTAGAACAATATTACGAGTACGAAAGCACCTGGATCACGAAACTTGGCAGACTCCGTACTGCCATTGACGTTTTCGAGTTTCTAACGGCATAAGCATGATAGTCATAATAGTAATTCGATGTACACTACGATTTTCGCGTCAGTCCGTAGATTAGATAAAAATGTTTTTTTTTTCGTAAAATAATAAGCCATTCTTTTTTTATTTATAATAAGATGACTGATTTGAAGGCATAGCACTGTACTTGTCTATAAAGAGGAATTAATTCATTCAAATCAGCAGCGTCATACATTAGTTGAATCAGAAACATCAGCACATTTTTTAGTCATCAAGCCACACGGTTTGCAATTACTCACTGCCAGGTCTATTATTGTGGGTTTTCTATCCAAGTCTTGTGGGTTTGGTTTTCTTATCGGATTTGCCCTCAAATCAATTTTTTGATCAAACACTCACAGCTTAATTTCGCCTTCTCACCACTCCATTACTGCCCACTGTTGCTACAATTGATCCTACTGTGGCTTGTTATTGTAAATTAATCAGCAATGAGCTCGGCGAGAAGACCTTCAAAACTTTTATCTGAGAAGCAGTCAGACAAGCTAGCGCAAATCATCCAGAACTTCTTTCTCAAGGCGGCACATGTGATATTCCATTTTCGAGTTGCGTTCCCGTCGGTCGTGTTGCAGCCAGATGATAGTTACGGCGCGATGGGCGATACCTTTTCGCAGTCCAAATATAATAATAGATGGTTCAATCTGGACCTCGGCAACTATGAGATTCCGAGGACCGAGCTTTCTCTCTGGCGAAACAAAGACATACTGTCGCTTCCCCCGCTGGTCCTGGAAACATTTTTGGACTTAAGAGGGCTCAGCTCTAATCAAACACTCATGCTTGATGACGTGATCGTGAAAACAAGCAAAAAAAGTGAGATCGTGTTGGAGAGATGGCTCATTGAGTTTGACCTCAGTACCTTCGACAATGAGGTAATGGAGTTTCCGTCCATTTATAAGAAAATCATCATTTTGTTTCGGTCTTTGTACCTGCTGGCGGGTCTACTTCCAAGCTATAGATTGCGGGACAAACTGGTGAAATCTAAATCGAAAAACAGCGCCATCCATGTCTCATGCCGCATATTAGATGGCTCTAAGCCAATCACTTCAAAGGGAAGAATAGGACTGAGCAAAAAGCTTCTGAGCGAAGAGGAGCACACGAGCTCCAAAAAATTGCAACCTGTCTTGACTCCAATAGGAGCATTGAGAGTGTCTGTTTCCTATCGTACCAATTGCAACTTCCAGGTCAGCGACACTGAGGAGGCTCTTTCATCTCAGTTTATGCTGGACCATCTCCCATCCGTTCGCACTAATTACGACAGTGATGGCAACAGTCTTACGTCTCCAATGGACTATTTACAAAACAGGGTCTCATCTGCATCGATCCATTGGTCTGACCAGTCACCAAGACGGAGGTCGTCGACCAGATCGGTCCAGCTGTTCAAAGTGGGCTCGATCAACTCATCCTCTTCTCCTCCCCCTGGTGCCACACAGAGCAATCAAAGTGTGTCTTCGTTCTCGACATCGAAGCCTATTCCTGTCACTTTGAATAAAACAAACTCCAGCGCATCTTTGGTGCCTATACTACGGCAAAATAAAGATTCGCTTCCCAAGTCAATCGGGTCTATGGTGCAAAATCAGATGCAAGAAACAGGGCATCAAGTGTCCTCCAACTCGAGAAGGTTTTCTTCGTCGTTTGGATCCAGATTTCGGACAGTTTCGAGTAGAAATAATAGTCTAGACGGCCAGTTGGTTGTCGCTAATCAGCCCTTTTCAACGCCGAGCAACAATCCTATATTGCATAATTTCCGCTCAAGAAACAAATCTCCCTCGGTGTCGTCCACTGAACTGGGCCCCTCGAGCTCTATTTACATGGACGACGACCTTGATAGTTTCATGAAGATGCTGGACTCGAAACCGGATTTGAGATTCCCGTCGAACTCTCCGTCGGTGTATGAAGATCCTCTCGCAAATTTCAAGACTTTCCAAAAATCCAATGACTTCCTCGCGTTGGAACAGCAGCAGCACGGCTCACCAACGTCAAACCAGATCATGATACACAGCCAAAGTCAAACCTCCCAGTCTCAGGTATTCAAACGGACGGTCTTCTCCGACAGGTCTCGCAGAGGATCTGTTTCTTCGAACTACTCGCCTTCCTCACAAGCGCTAAGGCCCGGAGCTTCTGCGCCAATGGTAACGCCTTCGGTGACATATGGGAAATTCCACGCGTCGTCTGGCTCGCCATCGAACTCCTCGCTGGCACAATATCTTCGGCACAATTCGTCGCCTCCTGCATCGGCAACAGCGGTGGCTACAGTCCACAACAGTTTACGGAGGCTTACTAGCTCTTCACAGCGCACAAATACAAATTCCACAAACAGCAGCACCCGGCCAGTCAATCCAGAGCTGCTCAAACTCAAGTCCTTCAACGAAGACGTGTTCGAGTCGGATGACGACGAGCACGATGAACACTCACCTCGCTCCACAGACACCAAGTCAAGAAACACAGGGCCTTCTAGTGGACATGCTGAGGACGACGAGGATGATTTGTTATTTGCTATGAGTGACATGACACTAGCCAAGAATAATCAGGAGTTTTAATCTATTATAGTGTACTAATGCATGTCATGAACATCCCTTTAGTGCAATGTAGCCGTCAACGTTGCTTGGATTAAGAAGAAGAGAGCGCTGGATCGCCCGTAGCTCGCCTGTCTCAATGTATGCGTTGCTCAACTCGCCAGCGTCCACACTCTTCGAGTTCAGGCAGACATTTAGATGCACGTGTCTATCCAGTTTTTTCCAGGTATATGCGTCTGCCGGGAACATAAATGCGTTTCTCTGCCAGATGGCAGCCGTTCCCGTGCCCATTCTTAATTGCAGCTGCTCAAGGAAAAATGGCACGCTGCTTGCTGTGTCGTCTATTCTCTCTTTCAAAGACAGCGACTCCAATTCTTCCTTGATTGCTGGATAGAACTCTTCAAGGTTTTCGACTAGCGAGATGGAGGCCAAAGTCAGTGCAACGAGCAGCGACGTTCCGTAGTTCTCAATGTGGTTGAACAGCTCGTCAATGGCAGCCTGTTTAGTATCCTCTGTGTTGCAATCATAAAGCACTTGAGCAATCAGAACAACTATTCTTCTCGAGTCTGGGAAAGAGTCCAATATTTTCTTGAACTCGACCAGCGCCGCGTCGAAGTCATCCTTGAAGAAACTAGACAGTCCCAGCACAGCCAGTGACGAGAGCATGATTTTCTGCACGTCTTCAGTCAGTTCGTTTATCTCTTCCAGCAAGTCCATGGACTGCTCGCTGACCTCGATCGCCTTGTCGTACTCCTGCGAGCCCAGATACATTCTTGAAAGCTGGGCAAGGGCGGTGGATAGCGCCACGGCTATTTCTGGAGAGCTTTCCTGCTCATATTTTTCTTCCAGTAAGTCACAGAGCTGCTGGGAGTAGCGAAGCCCCGTTTCAAAGTCACGCACTCGCTCAATGATCAAAGTGGCCACTTGCAATGCTAGCCTATCCTTTGGATAGTATTTGAGGTAGGTCAGAATGGAAAGATTGGCCACATTGAGCTCCTGGACAGAGTCCAAGTTCTGCTCGTCGATCTCGCTGCCAATAAGTGATTTCACGACGGAAAAACTGTACAGAAGCATCGACAATGGGCTCTTTCCGTTGGACATGACGTGTGCGTGCGTTAGCAGCTGCGAGGCCGACTTGTTGTCTCCCTTGGCCTGTTCAACAAGCGCTCTTCCAGTCCAACAGGCTGCCTGCCCCGGAGCAAGCGACTGCACCCGCAAAAAACACTGGTTTGCAAGGTCAAGGTCGCCGTGATGCATGTACAACACCGCCAGATGAGTCCATGGGGCCGGGTCACGTGGCGACAGAGACGAGGCCTTGATGAAGCAGTGTTGAGCCACTTTTGGGCTCTGCACCAGAGATACAATTCCTAGCGAGTTCCAGTACTCCGGGTTGTCGTTTTCGAGGATGATTGCCTTTTTGAACGCCTTGATGGAGCACTCTTGGAGACTAGATCTCTCGAGCCGCAGAAATGCCACCAGATAGGCCACGCCGAGGTTGTACGTCACCGAGGAACGCAGAAGCCGAGCTGCGCCGTCACCAGTCACGGAAAGTGCTACGCGCGCGCTCTCGATCATGTAGTAGCACGTTTTGTCCACTTTGCTGTTGCTTGTTTTTAGTTTTTTGTAATGGTCGTCCTCGCCCATCTCCTTGAGCAACCGTACGCTGCTCGTATCCGGGGCTCGGCTCATGATGAATTCCAGACTGTCAAACGGAATGTGCTCGATGTGCGACTCGACGGTCAGCAGAAGTTTCAAAAGCTCCGACAGCAGACGCCAGAGACTAGGAGCATGTGGACTCAGATCTGCTGCTTTTCTGAGAGCCTCGAACGCCTTGAGTGCCGTGTCCATCGACCGTGCTATGTGGCTGTTGCTGATTTCGTAATTGGTCTTCATAATTAGCGTCTCAGCGAGACGATTGACAATGCACAGCTCGTCTGGCCTTGTGTCGGCAATTTTCTCCAAGTGGAATATGCTGTCCTGGAATTCTCCCATCTCGCCTAAAACAACCGCAAGCAAGTATATGCCGTGCCAGTTATCCGGCTCCAGCTCCAGCGCCTTGTTGAAAACTTTCAGCGCGGCGTCCAGCCGTCCACGAGCAAGATACCCTTCGCCCAGCCCGATCCACGAGTCCACGTCCAAGGAGTTCAGCCGAAGACCGTTTTGGAACAGCTCGATCGCCTTGCTGTCGTCCTGGCGCTCGAGAGCTGCACATCCGAGCATCCTGTACGGCCAGGACCCGTCTTCGTCCAAGGACAGCATGGCCAAGCGTCCCTGTTCGCTGTCGATCACTCTTTGACAAACAACCTCCACCATCTCCCAGTCTTTGTTGTCACTGAAATAATTGGCCAGCTCCCGCGCAGCAAGCATGTCGCCGGCGTTCAGCTCGAAAGCTTTGGTCAAGCACTTCAAGGCCCGTGTCTGGTTGTCGTAATACGTGAGATAAATGTAACCCAGAGAGCTGTAAGGCGCAGAGAGCGATTCCGACTGTTTAAGGGCCTCGATTAGCAAGTCGAACGCCGACTTTACCAGCCCAGCAGCAGTTTCCTCGTCTGGGCTTTCCAGACTCTTCAATTCCATCAAATAAGACTCAGCCATGCGCCAGAGCGTGGTGCCACGCATTTCCAGGGAATTGGGGTCGGTACCGTCAATAAGCTTATACGCCTTTTGCAGTCCCTCGCGTCCTTCGGAATAGCGACCAATTTGGATAATACTCCAGCTGTACTCAAGATTGGCTTGTAAGTGGTCTGGTGCATCCTCCAGCACTTTTTCCAATAGCTCTGAAGCGGCCGCGTAATTTTTCTGCTCCACTAATATGAGGCCCTTGCCGATTCTGGCCTGGATGTCGGTTGGTGAGCTGGCTAGGACAGAGTCGTAGAGTCTCAGCGCCTGTGAAAAGTGCCGTGGAGGCTCGTAGTAGGTGTATGCCGTAGCCAGAGACAGCAGAGAGTCCTTTTTGGTGTTCTTGAGCTCCAAAAGCGTCTTTTTCTGCTCTTTCGAAACGAGAGTCACGAGTTGTTTGGCATACTCAAGAGCACTCTCGTACTCCCGCAGATGCAAATAGTAAGCGACAACTATGCGGTGCGCAAGAATCGACTCCGCTGCCACCTTGATGCCCTGGATCATCAGCTCGAGCACATCGGCCGCAGAGAGGTCCTCGGAACTATTTCCCTGCTCTGCCTCCTCCAGGGGTATAGTGGACTCGTCGTGTGGGTCGTCCTCGGTATCTTCTGTGGTTTTGATGTTTTTCAGGACACGCTTGTTCTTTCTGTTGTGTCTTCTTTTCGATTTTTTTTCAACCTTGAGATACTCCTTGACTCTTTTTCTCTCAAAGGGAGAAATGTCCGAGGAAATAAAAGCATACAGCACTGCGCCCAGCCCAACGTTTCCAAACAGCTTGATATAATCGGCAACGACGATGAGATCCAAAGAATCGACCGATTTCAGGTCCAGCCAGTCCAAATAGAGGTCCCACGCGTGCTGAACAGGATTATTCACAACCACCATTCCATGGGCCATGTCGAAAACCTCTGTAAACAGTTGTTTCTTCTCTTCTGGGGGCGACGCCTTCAGAAGCTCGTATTTCTGTTCCAACAAACGCGACTCCATTTTGCGGCGATGAAAGTCGTCTGTGCAGATATCGATATATCTCTGGCACAACTCCGACAGTTTGAACTGCTTATGTGCGGTCACAATCACCTTGTTGTACGCCAGCTGGCTTTTTTCAGACATGTTTGAGATTCCGGTAAGCTTGTTCTTGAACAACTGCGACTTCACGTAGTTGTTCTGCTTCTCCTGTACTATGTTAATCAGTTGGTAGAGTGCGATTTCCGGTTTTTCAAGCATCTCTCCCATCAGGTCGCCCAACTCTGAGCCAGGGATGACCTGGCGATAGTAGTACTCTGTGAGCTCTGGGATCTTGCGCTTGAATTTTTTCAGATAATCTCGCACCTCCGTCACCACCTCTGTCAGAGGATCGTTCTTAGCAAGCAAACTGTTTGCCAGCCCGGTCACCACCGCAAAAAACCGCTTGTAATCGGTACTATCTCGTTGCAACTCAAGCATTCCCTTCCACGCAAGAATTTCATCCGAGTTTATCTTTGCAGCCTGCTCGTAGGAGGCAAATGCCTTGGCATCGTCCTTCAGCATGTGTAGCGCCTTGCCTTTGAAGATATATGCAAAGTAGTTGTTCTTGTCGTGTTCCTCAATGATCTTGTCGCAGCAGTATATCACGTAATTCGGGTCGTCATCTTTGAATGACTGCTTGGCAGCCTTCAACAGACTGTTCACCGACATTTGCAGGGTGAATTAATTAATCTTCAAAAATAAAAAAAAAAGGTGCAGATTATTTTTGTTTACATTAGATTAATTATCATGAGTGTAAGTAATGGAGAAAGTGTGCAAGAATCTGACAAGTAGACAGCAGAGTGGAGCATCAGTGCGCTCTCAGGAGAGCAGGTTGCTCATTGGAAAGGAGTTTTTGACGTGATCGACCAAGATCACGACGGAAAGATCACAGAGGAAGATATCAGAAACACGTACACCAGCCTCGGATTGAAGGACGAGGGAGAGGCCCAAAAGATGATGGCAGAGGCTGGTTCCGAAGGGCTGGTGTTTAACAATTTTTTGAAGCTGATGGGCTCGAAATACGGCGACTTCAGCGACCGCAGCGAGCTGAAACAGGTGTTTGCGACCTTCAAAGACGACTCCAACACTGTGAACGCCACGGAGCTCAGGGAGCATCTCGCAAACGTGAGCAGTGCAAACCAGGATATTCATTTGAGCAAGGAGGATATGAAAAACGTGCTAAAGTCGTTCAGTAAGAAGAGCGATCTTACGGGAAAAACCGCCTTTGCAGCCGACAAGTTCATCGACACAGTTTCACATTAGGCAAATACAGAGCGAGTCAATGATACATTCAATTTCTATGCCAAACGATAAATAAAATACAGGTCCATTATTGATCAATAATCAGCTCGTCGACACTCCAGTCCTCGTATGAGCCGTCAGGCAGGTATCTTCTGATGATTAGCGGGATTTTTCTCTGCGAGAGTTCTTTGAGGGCGATTTGCAACGGGTCAGTCTCTCCCTCGATATCGACCAGCACAGGAGCATTCATGGAGATTTGTAGAGCTCTGGTACCCAATATTCTTGCTCTTTCGTATTTCGTCATGTATGGCGTGGTTGTGCGCTGGTCTTTAGGAATCGCGAGGTTCTTGCCCTTCTTGTGCGTGCTCCCGTTGGCAAAAGCCTCGGCGTCGTCTGGTCCCAGGCCTCCTTTCACGATAGTCTTTCCATCTTCGGTTTCCAATGGCTCCTCGTCACTGAACCGTTCCTCCTCGCTCAGCTCTATGTCCTCTTCAAAGTCGTCGAACTTTTCGTTTTTGAATCCATCATCGTCATAATCTGCCATATTGCGTCTGTTGGAGGTCTATTGAAGACTAACAAACAACACCGTTATTTTGAAAAATTTTTGCTAAGACAAGGGCTCCTTCCGGGTAACAAGAGTAAAAAAAATATAAAAATATTTAATTTAGCATCTGATAAGGAATGGCTTCTGGAGATTCTTTGGCGAAGCGAAAACTAGACGATCCCGCGCCACTAGAGTCGTCCAAAAATCCGAGAATTTTAGATGCTCCTCCGGGAATACTATCGCCCGACCCTTCGTCCAGAAATTCTAGCCGGAGCTCCTCGAGATCCAGCTCCCCTTCTAGACTGAAAAAATATTTCTGTCACTATGAGGACTGCGGCAAGGCGTACGCCAAGCCATCGCTACTAGAACAACACATACGCACGCACACCAATGAAAGACCATTCAACTGCTCTTCTTGTGGTGAGTCGTTTATCAGAAAAGACCATTTGCAACGACATATGCTCAAACACACTGACGAGGACGCCAAACCGCTGCATTGCTCGATCTGCGGCAAGGGGGTGAACACCAACCAGCATCTGCGGCGACACGAAAAAACGCATTACAAGTCGTTCAAGTGCAGTCATGAAAATTGCACCGAGTCATTCTACAAACACCAGTCTCTCAAAGCACACATCAATTCTGTACACAATGCTTCGCGACTAACGTGCAAAGAGTGCGGCAAGAGCTTCAGCCGTCCAGGAAGACTCTCCGACCATATGGAAAAACACCACAGCGCCACGCCAAAGCTCATTTGCGAGTATCCTGGCTGTTTCAAGGCTTTCAAGGTGTGGTCTGCTTTGCAACTGCACATAAAATCCGAGCATTCCAAGCTCTCGTGCGATATCTGTGGGAAGCGCTGCGTGGGACCAACAGGATTGGCCAATCACATGAAGATTCACGACGAAATGACGGCCGTCAAGATATGGAGATGCTCGCTCTGCGACGAAAGATACCAAAAAAAGGAGGATCTGGCACAGCATTACGAAAATAGCCATCCGGACCACCAGAGCAATGAGGAGCTCCAGTACGCCTCTTCGGTCGACTCGCCGATCGACGAGGTGCTTGTCTCGAAGCCAACAAAGCAGACGTTTCAGAAACAGCTCAAGAAGGGCAGAATCGGGTCTGTAATCAGCCTGTTAGTGTCCAACGTGAACGAACGCACCATTTTGTGCCATCTGTGCGGCAGAGGGTTCAAGAAGGACTACGATCTGCGCAGACACCTGCAATGGCATGAAAAAAAGACCACTTTACAGTAACTAGATTCAAGGTCCTTTAATATATATTGTGCGCCTGGGTATTAAGTGTTGTTCCATACTGGATGGATCCTCATCAGAGGAGGACGTAAAAGAGCACGGTGAGAACACCGAGCAATGCTGATGGTGCTTTGGAGACGCCTTTGCCGGAGTAGATGGACAGGCCGGCAGAGTGGGAATGGCTTCCACGAGACGCAGTCACCGTGGTAAGCGTCTGGCTGCCGTTGGCATCTGTAGTCAAAATCGCAGAGGCACCGGCTGGCACGCTGGTTGTGACCAGCAGCGTGTTTCCTTTGGAATCAGTGCCCGTAATGGTTGTTTTGTAGCCTCTAGAGGAAATCGTGGTCGAGTGGCCGCTTGCGTCTGTGGTCACAATGGCTCCGTTAGACGGGCTGACGGAGGAGCCGCGGGAGTGATTGGATGATCCACTGGAGGATTCGTCTGTATTTGAGGTTGCCGTAGCACTTGCTTCTTTCACGGTGATGTACACAATGTCCCCGTCAGCGTTGGTGGTGGCTGTGACATAGCCGTCCGAGCCAGAGCTATAAGATGTGGCCAGAACTGTATTTTCTGCTCGGTCAGTCGTCAGGTACAGAGCGACGCCCGAGGCAAGACTCGTGGTGATCACCGTGGTGTCACCGTTAGAGTTCACACTGGTGACCACTGTTTGGCCTGCTTGTGTCGCGGTGGTTTTCGCGTTATTTGCGGTTTTGGAGCTGGTTGTCGAGCCACTTGTTCGGCTCGAAGATGTCTTGATGGTCTCGCCGTGAGGGTCTGCCTTGCTGGTAGTCATGGCAGACCCGTCGATGGATGTGAGTGTGTCGTCGTCATCAGACACTACACTGGTGACTTTGGCAACGACCGTAGTGACCACAGTGGTCTTGCCGTCGCTATTTGTAGTGGTGAGGACCTGGGTTGTTTGGGCTGAGGACTCTGAAGAGCTGGGCTTAATCACGCCGCTGGAAGACGTGGCGCTCAGCTTGATGGTATAGTACCAGGAGTCGGCTCTCTTTACTTTGGATCCAGACGCAAGCGAGATGTAAACGTCGACGGAGCCCGGCTTCGTGTTGTCTGGCTCGTGTCCGGTGATTTCGAAGCTGGCAGCTGAACTGCTCTGCGGGATGGTGCCCGAGCTGGCGCTGTCGATTTCAAAGTTGTCCTCGTTGGAGGTGGAATACGACACAGAGCCGCGTTCCATGATGCTCGAAGGAATTGAGAAATCTATGAATATTCTGTCTCCTTCGTAGGTGATGGTGTAGGTAGGGGCGTCTGTGGACGAGGCTGACGCTGTAGAGGAGCTTGAGGTGGAGGACGGAGTTGAGGTAGCCGTTTGGGTCAGAGAGACGGAGGTGCTCAGATACATTGTGGTCTCCGGGTCGGTGAAAGTGAAGGTGGCATCGTAGTCGCTCTCTGCTCTTTTTTTCAGGACCTGGTTGCTGTCGACCGGCCTGATGGCAAAGCCGACGTTGTAGGCGCCGCCTGGAGCATGGGTAAGAGGATAGGACATGTCGATGGAGTTGTTGGCCAGATTGGAGAACGAGCCGTTCACAGAGGACCCGTCGTAGTCGAAATGGTAGTACTGGTCGACAAAGACCCAGTTGTTCTCGCTTTCTGCGCTGATTCCAAACGGCGTGAAGTTAGACGGAACGTGGATCTCGAAAACGCCGTAGCCGGTGTCGTTGTCCTGGAAAGCTGAGATGGTGGGGTGGATCTCGACAAAGCCGGACGCGTTGAGGAACACAGTTCCGGCATTTTCGGTGTCGAGTGTGGCGTTAGCCTGGTAGCTGCCGGTGATGACGTCCATGGCGTAGAACGAGGCCAGGAAGCCAAAGTCTGCGCTGACAAGGTCATCTACACACACGTCTGCTCCGCTGGCGGCTGTTTCGGCAGTATAGGACACCTTCCCGTTGCTGAGAACGATGTCTGCCGGGTGGAAGTGGTCGCTGTCGAATATCCAGTTGTCTCCCTGGTCCATTTCAATGGAGAACGAGCCGTAGCTAGACGGGACGTAGATCCCCCAGTAGTATGTCGAGGACTCCTGAATAAACTTCATGTACGGAGTAGGGGTGCACGGAGTGGCTGAGGAGAGTGATGGAGAGAGAATCGTCGAATCGGACAGATCTGGGGAGCGAATGGCTGAAGAGGACAGGTCTGTGGATGGAGACGATGCGGTCTGCGACGGTGGTGGCTCCGATACCGAGGCCGTGGATGGCACGGACACTGTGGCCGCCGATGATGGCGGCGATGTTGACCATGGTGGTGTTTGTGGTGAGCGTGTCTGCGATGAGGACGACCGAGACGTAGCCACGAGAGAATCCGTTTCAGTTGGGGCACCCGGTGGAGGCGGAGCAGACGGAGAATCCGGGATATCAGGGAGCGATGGTGGTGTTTGTGAGGAGACCGTTGGGGGTGGCGGGATTTGAGGGCCCGACACTGACACTGACACTGAGGGCTCGTGGTCTGGGATTGTGAGAGATAACGAAGTAACTTCTGGAAACGATAGCGAAGGACTGCTTGGACTCGCCGTGGGTACAGTTGGGAATACGGGGGAGACTTCTGGAAGAGACAAGGAGGGAAACGGAAGGGATGGGAAGGAAGGGCCTTCTGGAAAGGACGCCGAGGGGACGATTTCGGGGGTCGACAAGGAAGGCAAGGTGAAGGAGTCGTTGTGGTAAAAGCTGGACCTGAAAGTGGCCGAAGTTAGAGGGTCAACGCTGTGGGAGGAATTGGTGTATCTCCCAAACTGGTAGTAGCCTCCATATTCAGGATATGTGGCCACAGCTTGCAAAGCGAAGTATGACGCCCAACCGACGGCACTAGCTATGTTCACCATGGTGGAAGACGCTAGTGTTACAAGAAAAGACACCAAGGAATTATCAGTAAAGTTTTCAGCTCCTGTGGAAAAAGGTTCTTTAGGTCCTGCGCTGTACGACAGTAATAACGCTTCCCAAATTAGAAAATTTTTGTTTTTCGTCGCAGATGCGCGGAAACGGGTGCAGGTAATTAGTGGCTGTATAGGCGCAAGCAGGACTAGGCGGCCTGGTGCGGGTGGGCTTCATGCACGCTCCTGCGGACTCGCCCAGGTTTTCGGTTTGGCGAATTGTTGCAAGTCGGGCCGAACAGCGTGTGACAATGCACAAATGCGGGAAACTTTCGGCTTGCATACTGCAGATCTCAGGGCCGTTTCCGACCAGAGTTATGATTTTCCCCGAAGGGGAGAAAGGACATTCGGGCTACAGATACCTCGTGCAAAAGCAGTGTCGAAAGCCACCAGGTGCGCACTAGGTCGCTCATGCTGGCCTCTCGTGCTGCAAAACAGCGGCCCTGGCCAGCTAACTCTGTGTCGAATTCTTGCTGTCCGTAAGGCTGTGCAAATGTTAAATTCGGCTGTGCCAAAATAAAAAACTCTCACAAACTATGGAACAATTGGCGTACGCCCCAGCAACGTCGCGCTCGGTCTCGGAGAGCCTGATCCGCCGCGCCAAGCAGTCTCTAGACCACGAGATCCCCCTCTTTGAGTCGAATCGCCAAAGAGACCGTGCCGAGTCGCTTGCAGAACTGTACTCCATCATAGTGGCAATTAACGTTCTGGAGAAATCTTTCATCAAGGACAAATTCCACGACAATGAGGACTACTACACGAACACAGTTATGCGACTGATTAACCAGTATAACCTCATTCTCAAGGACGACGAAATCAAGAAAGAATTCGACGACCTGGATAAATTCGTACAACGTTTGCAATTGGACTGTCCCCTGGCCGTCAAACGCATCCAAATCGGCCTCCCGGCAACCGCCACCCAGTCGCACGGCTCTTCAGCAGCCGTGAATCTCGCTCCGTCCGCCAGCGGAAGCGAGATCGCGCTCAAGGGCAAAGCAATTGCCGAGGCAACGGGCTCTTTTATTACCCTAATGGACGCAATCAAGCTCAATTACAACAATAAGGAGCAACTCCATCCCTTGCTCACTGACATCGTAACCAGCACAAACAAGGTGTTTGGCGACTACGACGGTCGCGCCAAGCTCGTGCAGTGGCTGATCAAGCTCAATAATTTGAAGCTTAATGAGTCGCTCACCGAAGAGGAGCTGAAGGAGTTTCTTTGGGACATCGACGTGGCTTACAAGGGTTTCTTCAGTTTGCTCGACTGAATCAGGTCACGACACATCGTGTGTCGCGTTGCGACAGAATTCCAGTATTCTCTCTGCTCCACGCTGCCAATTGTCTACAAAATATGTCCGTGCACGCCATGTAAAAATAGGGCTCCCACCTCGCACCGTGTACCAGAACAGGATGCAAATCTCTGATATTAATTTGTGGAGATCTAAAAAACAAAGAAAAACAATCTTTTGACTTAGCTCTTTCGTTTGCCTCCTAACCTTCACTCGTTTCGTTGCTCTAGCTACCATGTTGGGATACAGATCTTTGTTGAGCGTTCTTTGTTCGCTTTCTGTCGCCAGTGCCATGATTCCTATCGAGATAATTGGAAACCGGTTCATCAAGCCAGCCGTGGACGCAAGCGACGCCGGCGAAGTTTTCTTTGTCACCGGCGTCGACTACCAGCCAGGCGGGTCTTCAGACTACCAGGACTCCAACCCCACCGACGTTCTTTCCGATCCAGAGGCGTGCTACAGAGACGCTTACGTTTTGCAGAACCTGGGCTCGAAAGTCAACGTTATCAGGGTTTACACTGTGAACCCTGAGCTCAACCACGATGAGTGTATGTCGATCTTCAATTCTGCGGGCATATACGTCATGATAGATGTTAATTCGCCGCTCTCGGGCGAGTCTCTGGACAGATACAACCCAAGCAAATCGTACACTTACTCCTACATGGAGAGGGTGTTCAAGATGGTTGACGCTTTCAAAAACTACCCTAACCTGCTCGGATTCTTCAGTGGTAACGAGGTCATCAACGACGAAACTTCGGCTGCAGTCGATCCAAAGTATCTCCGTGCCGTTCAGAGAGATATCAAGCAGTACATCGAAAATAACGCCAACAGAACCATCCCTATCGGCTACTCCGCCGCCGACGTTTTGGAAGATGGGCTCAGAGAGGCCACCTTGGCGTACATGCTTTGCTCTATCGACGGCGATGAGGACGATCTTTCCAAGTCCGACTTCTTTGGTATCAACTCTTACGAATGGTGTTCTGGCGTGTCCGACTGGGCTTCTTCCGGCTACGGCGAGCTCAACAAGACCATTTCGAACTCCACGATCCCTGTGTTTTTCTCCGAGTACGGCTGCATCACCAAAACCCCAAGAACTTTCGACGAAGTGAGCGAGGGTGTCTATGGGGGACTGGTCAACACCCTAAGTGGTGGTCTGATTTACGAGTACTCCACAGAAGCTAATGACTACGGTCTGGTGGAAATTGCAAGCAATGGTTCTGTCACCATCAAGAAAGACTTCGACAACCTCAAGTCGCAGCTCGAAAACTCGACCATTCCAACAATCTATTCTGACGAGGTGTCGAAGGCCAGAATCGTCACATGTGACAAGGATTATTTGGAATCGCTGTCTTCGGTTTTTGATGCCGACTTTGATCTGCCTGAAGCCCCAGACGGAGTTGAGGATATGATCCTGTATGGTGCCAACAACTCGAATGTCGGTAAAATCGTGGACGTCGATATTAGAGCCTCGAATTACACTATTTTTGATACCGATGGCACCGAGATCACTTCTGCGGTCATTTCTGTGGCCTCCACCAACACCATCAACAGTCAGACCGGCACGTCCGAGTCCGGCAGTGCTCACCATCCTTCGACAACGTCGTCTGCCTCGTCCTCGTCTGCCTCTTCAGTTTCGCCTACGTCTTCGTCCTCCAGGGGGCAGGGTAACCGCAATGCCCAATGTGCGGGTCTGCTTTCGGGCCTGACAGTTGTCCTTTTGGCCTTGTTGTAGAGACTTGATATTTTTATTAAATGAATTACTTACGCGACATAAAATATGTTGCGACTTGCCAAAACAAAATTAAATCCAAAAATATAATCTCTTCTCAATGACAAAAGCGTCCGAAACCGCGCTCGCTATATTTACTCTTTCTGCAATCTACTTCTCACTTCTAGTTGGCGTCATTCCATTACCGAAAATAGTCCAGCAAGAAGTGTTGCCTGTGGTCCCATGGTGGGCTCTCGTGTCGTTTGGCTGTTACGCACTGGGCACGCTGGGTTATGGAGTCTTCACCTTCAAAGACAAGGAAGACAAGTATCATGAACTGCTCGGCGAAATTGCTGAGGCCAAAGAGTTTTTGAAGAAAAATGGCGTCGATATCGAATAATGCTAGAATATATCGGTAATACATATCAAATACAACGGGCCTATGCTTGCGCCGCTACTCTGGAATCGGATTGCTGCCGGTGTTTTGCTTTCAGCTTTTTTTCCAGCTGTGTAAAAACTTGCAACCCTAGTGGCATCTCCACATGCCGCTCCTGCCTCACGTTCTTTTCCTTGAGTTCTTCAGGAATGTATTTTGCAGGCAGATAGTCGGGAGGTGGATCAAAGCCTACCGGCCACTTCTCCTTCACGTCGTCACCCTGCTCCATGAGTTTTTGGGCAGCAAGCTTGGTGAGCTGTTTCCACTCCTCCAGGTCCTCTCCATAAAGTTCCCACACGCAGTTCACGCAGCCACTCATACAACAATTGTCCGGCTCTATGGGGCGTTTCGGCACCATCACTCCAGCGATATTTCTCTGTATGCTTCTATACGAAACGTCTCGTCTGGAGGACTTGTCTGACTTATTCTTTCCAGAAAATCCAAAGATCTTGTCTATATCGGCGTTATCAGCGGCGGTTTTGGGTCTAGTATCAAAGGTCAGGGACATGGTTCGAACACTTTCGTCGTCGGATTTGGCTTTTTGGTTGCGCGACTTGGCCATCAAGCGATAGAAGTCCATTTTATCAGACTGCAACACATGCAACGAGGACGAAAACAGTCTCTTGTGGCATATTCGTATCATTCTATTTCATATCAGCACTCGGGGCGCACTTAATTTTTTCAACTTTTAACATTTTTTGTGGCAAATATTTATAAATCCATAGAATGTCATTGGTAGGTACCCGACACCAAGAAAGCCCTAACAGCCAGGTTCTTAGATTCAGATCCAAAGATGGCATGTTTCGTCTGAACACCAGCCAAGGTGCCAGTTTTGGCTCGGTGCTCGACCAATTGGCCTCAAAGTTGCCCCCATTTAAACCAGAATCACTAAGATTGGCCTCCAGTCCCAGTGATCAGGGACAGCTGGCGTTGGATATCAAGGACCAGTCAGTCCAGGGACTAAATCTCAAGCACGGAGATATGCTTTATTTGACTTACGAGCCGGCTGAGGCCAGTAAGACGGTCAGCACCAGGGAAGTCAAGGAAACAAACACAGCGGCCAGACAGCTGCCTATCGATGACATTTATGACAGAGAGGAAGGTCTCATTCCAAGAAAGAGGACCCCGCTTTGTAAGCACACAGATAAGGGTATGTGCGAGTATTGTTCGCCATTGCCGCCATGGGACAAGGGATACCAGCAGGAACATAACATCAAGCATATTTCATTCCATGCTCATATCAACGAGCTGAACTCCTTGAAAAATAGAAAAGAGTCAGGATCGTCGTATATCTCGCCACTTTCAGAGTCCAATTTCAAGATCAACAAGAATTGTACGGCTGGCCATGATCCTTGGCCAAAAGGAATCTGTTCCAAATGTCAGCCTTCCGCGATCACTCTTCAGAGACAAAACTTCCGAATGGTAGACCATGTGGAATTTCAAGATAGCGAGATCATCAATGAATTTATAAACGCCTGGAGATTATCCGGAACCCAAAGAATCGGCCTAATGCTTGGATCTTACGATAAGTATGAAAAAGTGCCTTTGGGAATCAAAGCAAAGGTTGAGGCCATATACGAGCTTCCTCAGGTTGACCAAGAGGACGGCATTATACTTCAAAATTGGGAAGAAGAGCAGCAAATATTGTCTCTAATCAAGAAATTAGATTTGCAGCCAGTCGGCATAATATTCACAGATTTGCTTGACGCCGGAAGCGGGAATGGATCTGTGATTTGCAAAAGACACAAGGATTCCTTTTTTCTCTCTTCTTTAGAGGCAATTTTTGCTATCAAGTGGCAGCTCAAGTTCCCCAACATATGTAAATGGTCGGACTCGGGGATATTCTCATCCAAGTTCGTCACCTGCGTGATCTCCGGGAACACCAGTGGCGAGATCGACATAGAAGCATATCAGATATCTGAGAGTGGAGAAGGCCTGGTCAAGGCTGACCTCATCAGTCCTTCCACACATCCAAATGAGGTTTACATCAACGAACAGAATGACGAAAGATATGTTCCTGAGATTTTTTACCAGAAAATCAACGAGTACGGGCTACAAGTCAAGCAGCACGCCACGCCCAGCTTCCCTGTTGAATATTTGCTGGTATCATTAACTCACGGATTCCCTGAACGGTCGTCACCGTTTTTCAAAGGGGGTGCTTCAAACAAGTTCCCTATTGAAAACAGGGCCTATATTGGAGAATCCGCTTCAATGCCTGATCTTAAGAACTATTTGAGCTCTATCAATGGCGATGACATGAACGTTTTGGCAACGCTTCTCAGCAACTTTCACTTGCTGGTGTATTTTACACTGAACCAAGACATCTTGAGCGGCCATGAATACGAGCTGCTGGTGGAAATTGCTCGCAAAATGGGCAAGGGCGAAGAGGCCCTGCCCGATTGCTACAAGCTGGTTGATAGCGACGGGTGGAGGACTCTGCAGACGATCTTGCAAGTCGGCTACTAGGGCCTTGTGGTGACAAGAAATATCCAAGTAGTGTAATTTCTAGAAAGTTCCTGAAGTGTACACGTAAAAAAAATAAAGTGTCTTAAAATTTTTCAAGGTTTAAAAAGTTGCTTGTTAACAAGATTAATTATTTATTGATCAATCATGTCTACTCCATTTGGTGTTGATTTAGGAAACCATAGCGCCGTTGTCGCTGTTGCGAAGAACAGAGGTATTGATATTGTTGTGAATGAAGTTTCCAACAGAAGCACCCCAGCTATCGTTGGGTTTGGCGTGAGAAATAGATCCATTGGTGAGACAGGAAAGACACAGCAGACATCCAACTTGAAAAACACAGTCGACAACTTGAAACGAATTCTTGCTTTGAACGCTGATTCGCCTGATTTCGAAGTTGAGAAGAAGTTTTTTACCTGTCCGTTGGTCGACAAAGACGGATATGCTGCAGCACAAGTGAGATATCTTGGAAAGGAAGAGCAGTTTACATCTGTTCAGCTGGTTGCCATGTACTTGAATAAATTGAAAGACATTGCTGCCAAGGAAACCAAGGGCAACATCACCGATATCTGTTTGGCTGTTCCTGTCTGGTACACTGAGCAACAAAGAAGAGCGGCAGCTGATGCTTGCCACATTGCCGGCCTGAATCCGGTGAGAGTCGTCAATGAGGTCACCGCTGCTGCTGTGGGTTACGGTGTGTTCAAGACAGATTTGCCGGAGGAGGAGCCAAAGAAGGTTGCCTTCGTCGACATTGGCCACTCCTCCTACACCGTTTCCATCGGTGCTGTGAAAAAAGGAGAGCTCAGGATTCTGGGATCGGCATACGACAAACACTTTGGAGGCAGAGATTTCGACAAAGCTATTGCAGAGCATTTCGCTGACGAGTTCAAAGAGAAATACAAGATCGACATCAGATCCAACCCTAAGGGATACAACAGAGTCCTGGCCGCTGCTGAGAAATTAAAGAAAGTGCTGTCCGCCAACTCGCAAGCTCCATTCAACATTGAGTCTGTCATGAACGATGTTGATGTTTCGTCTCAATTGACAAGAGAAGAGCTTGAGGAGATGGTCAAGCCATTGCTTGACAGAATCCACGTTCCGATCGAGAAAGCTTTGGAAGTTGCTGGCCTAAAGGCCGAGGACCTGGATTCCGTCGAGGTCATTGGTGGATGTACCAGAGTTCCATCTGTGAAGACTAGACTTGCTGAGGTGTTTGGCAAGCCACTGTCCTTCACTTTGAACCAGGACGAGGCCATTGCTAAGGGTGCTGCCTTCATCTGTGCTATGCACTCTCCAACCTTGAGAGTCAGACCGTTCAAGTTTGAGGATATCAACAGCTTCTCTGTCACCTACTACTGGGACAAGGATGCTGAAGACACCGACCACTTGGAGGTGTTCCCTAAGGGAGGCGTTTTCCCATCCACCAAGCTGATCACCTTATACAGAACCTCTGACTTTGAGATTGAGGCTAAATACACCCATCCAGACCAGCTACCTAATGGTACTCGTCCAGAGATTGCCAAGTGGAAGATTTCTGGCGTTGAGGTTCCGGAGGGACAGGACTCTGCCATCTGCAAGCTGAAGGTCAGAAACGATCCATCCGGCTTCTTCACCATCGAGTCTGCTTACATTGTTGAGGAGAAGGAGGTCAAGGAGCTTGTGGAGAACCCAGAAGCCAAGCCAGAGGACGAGCCAGAGTACAAGATTGTCAAGAAACTCGTCAAGACCAAGGATCTGAACATTGAGTACGAAGGATTAGCCTTGCCAAAAGACGTCCTTGCCGAGTTTTTCGAACAAGAAGGAAAGATGGTTGCCGAGGACAAGCTTGTTGCAGAGACAGAGGACAGAAAGAACGCATTGGAGGAGTACATCTACGAGTTGAGAGGTAAGCTTGAGGACCAATACGCGGACTTTGCCTCTCCTGAGGAGAAGGAGAAGCTGTCGAAACTTTTGATGGACACAGAGGAGTGGCTTTATGGCGAGGGTGACGACTCCACCAAGGCCAAGTACATTGCTAAGTACGAGGAGTTGGCCTCTATTGGCAACTTGATCAAGGGCAGATACAACGCCAAGCAAGAGGAGTTGAGACAAGAGTTGAGAGCTAAGCAGGAGGCTGCGCAAGCCGCTGCGATGGCCGAGAAGCTTGCTGCTGAGAGAGCAGCTCAGAAGGCTGCAGATGACGAGAAAAAGACCGAGGGAGAGAGCCAGGCTAAAGATGGAGACGTTGACATGGCTGAGGATCTAGACTAATTGGCTTGCGACATAGATATCTTTGTGATGATATTGATCGTTTTACTTGCTAAATTCATCTAATACATAGTACACAGGCGAATAATGCGTTTAGTTTGTATTTTGGATTTTAATTGTAGCGGCGATCGACGGACGCAGAGAAAATTAGGGTATGGGAAAAAAAAATAAATGGGTACGCATTATTTTAGAAAATCAACCTCCCGCTTGATCATTAGCAAAGGAGGCCATTCATAGTGTTTGGATTGGCAGATCCTGTTAGGAGAATAAAGCAGCTGTTTTGGCGTGGTGCTGTACCGGAAGAAGATTCAGGAAACAAGAAAGAGGCGGTCTAAAACCAGTTACAATTACAATTCCAACCAAGAGGGGTCAGCATGTCCTTCCTGCCCTCAGAAGAGAGCACCAATAACAATGAGGCACCGAAGATGAACAGGAACAAGGAAAATGCGTCTACCGAACCAGGAAACCCAACAACGTCGAAACTATCGCTTGCGTTGAAAGAAGCTGGCGAGGAATTGCCGGACCCACACGAGCACCATTTTGAGCACGAAGAGGAGATCCTCAAAGAAGTGACACAGAAATTGACAAACCTGAAAGATGAAGATCTTACCAAGGCCAATCCCCAGGCTACTACGACCTCCATAAAGGAGCACGTTGTGGAAGGAGAAACTATCAAGGAGCCGACAAGTCTGAAACAGCTTCTGCAAGCACAATTGGGAGAAGACGCTTCGAACGATTCTGACACAGACTCAGAGGTGGACCCGGCCAACGAGGAAGATATGGAGGACTACGTTCCTGGCGGCTATCATCCGGCTTATCTCGGGGAAACATACAAAGATGGCCGGTACGTTTTGGTGCGAAAACTGGGATGGGGCCATTTTTCAACCGTCTGGCTTGCCAAAGACACACAGGAGAATAGACATGTTGCTATGAAGGTTGTGCGGAGCGCCAAATCCTACAGGGAGACAGCGATTGACGAAATCAAGCTTTTATCCAAGATCAATCACACCGACCCGCAACATCCAGGCCATAGGCATCTCATCAAATTACTGGACTACTTCGACCACCAAGGACCTAACGGAACCCACATTTGCATGGTTTTCGAGGTGTTGGGCGAAAATCTATTGAGTCTGATCCGTAGATATAAGCACAAAGGTCTGCCGATCAAGTTTGTGAAACAGATTGCCAAACAAATTCTGCTGGCGTCAGATTTTCTACATCGTCAATGTGGCATAATCCATACCGATATCAAACCAGAAAACATTCTTCTGGAGATCGAAGATGTGGAAAAGCTGGTCAAGTATCTAGAAGACTCTCAAAGAGAGAGGAAGCTACTAAGAAGGGTATCGTCCAAACTCAAAGAATCTGGCGGGGAGGCTAGTTCTTCATCGCTCGACGAAGAGAAGAGACAGATACCGTTTAGGAAGAGCCGTCATTCAAGACGACAAACGCTAGTGACAGGGTCACAGCCTCTTCCGTCGCCGCTGAGATCTAAGTCCAGTTCGTTTTTCGTTTCACCGCTACAGTCTTCAATTTCTACCTTTGCCGGTAGAACCGTCGGAAATATTCCTATTCGTTCGGAAACATCTCATCAAGATCTACAATTTCTGCTTGACAAGAGTTTCAAGGAGTCTGACCCGTTCTCTGCTGAGCCACCTCGGGAGGATGAGCTTGACGATGATGACCTGATCACAGTGAAGATAGCAGACCTGGGAAATGCATGCTGGGTTCATAGACATTTCACCGACGATATTCAAACCAGACAATACAGGGCTCCGGAAGTGATACTGGGGGCTAATTGGGGATGCTCATCTGATATCTGGTCGGTAGGGTGTTTGTTGTTTGAGCTTCTTACAGGAGACTATCTTTTCGATCCTACTGAGGGTCCGACGTTCAGCAAGAACGACGACCATCTGGCGCAGATAATTGAGCTGGTTGGCCCCATATCGCGTCACGTCTTGGAGGAAGGTTACAACACAAAGAGATATTTCCATTCCGACATGAAGACACTGCGCCAGATCAAGAATCTAAAGCCATGGCCACTTGAGAGCGTACTTATGGAGAAGTATAAGTTCAGCGAGACGGACTCACGCGAGATCAGCGATTTTCTCGGCTGCATGTTGATCACCGATCCCAAGTTCCGGATGGATGCTGCTGGGCTATCTAATCACTTTTGGTTGAACGACTGTGGCTCATTCGGGTATATTGACCGCGAGCCAGGGACGAGGGGGGAAGATGTCGGTGCTGGGTGGTACAGAGAGGTGCGCAAGCACCATTAATTCCGTGTATTAATCCGTGTATTAATCCGTGTAATGTTTTCTGAAATTAATTCTTCACTAAAATTATGTCATTTGAGGATGCGGTAGACCAGTTGCGCACACTTCTGAAATCTGGAGAGGACGATTCGTCGTCTCTGTTTTTCCAAATCGGTACCTATCTCAGGGATGAGACTAACAGGGCTAGCGGGGCCCTGAGAGCGCTGGTTCCCAACATTATGGAGTATACAATTTTGAAGCAAGAGGTGGCTCCGTTGGATGATATATACAGATTATTGGCAAACTTCGTTGCCGACTCGATGGCTAACAGACAACTAGTTTTGCACCAGGCAAAAGCAGAGCAGTTTTTTACATTCACACGAGACCATCTCGATGGATCGAAACACAGTTTCTTTATTTTGCATTTTCTGAATAATTTGCTTTTGGACTTTCCAGAGGCATCGACGTTTCTCAATGCTAACGGAAGCGCTTTGAAAGTGGCCCGTCAGAGTGTTCCTGATGATTGGAAAGACGTTTGGAACAGCGTATTGGAGGAACTGACGAACCAAAGCACATCTTGCGAGCTTTTTAGAGCACTTATGAACATCGACCACCGTAATCTGATGCTGCATATGAGCAAAAACGACATGGATCTACAAACTGACACACAGCTGATGCACGACATGATTCAGCGGGTGGCAGAAGACGACGATCGGCGACTGTTCGAAAGCGTGATGAATATTTCTGCGAATCCGTCCAACGCAAATAACGATCTAGAGAAGTACCTTCAACTCATCGATACCGATAATATGGCACTTCAGGCATTGGGGATGATAATTTTGGGAAATCATATAATGTCTCCGGAACAACAAGCCGCGGTAGCTGCGAAAATCAAAAGCGTCGAGAAATTGGTTGATATTCTGGCCAGCTTTGCCGCATCTAGCAAGATGGAGTATCTTCAGGCTGTTTACCTACTAAACAAGCTTGTGGGAAATAGAGAATTCAGAGAACAGTTTCCCAAGAAATCATACCTAAAAATGCTGTTTTTGGTTGATACTCTTTTTGAGAAGCGACTTTGCGAGAAAGAGCACAAAAATGTACTAAAACTGAACCTTATTTTCCATTGGAAATACTCATATAAGCTTAGTGAGGATGAAGCGGCGAGTTTGGAAGAGCATATCGTGAGATGGAAGTCTTACAATTATCGCGACCACGACATCAATTCCGAGCTTCAGAAAATCGTGTACAAAATTATAGAGCATAGGAACGACACAACATTGGCAAACCTGGCATTTGACGGTTTTGCCGCCGGCCGCGTAATGGAGCGCCAGCTTGATCTAGTGCATTTACTGGAAAAAGTCAAAACTTTAGGCATTCTGATATCTAGAGACAGCTCAATCACCCAGCTACCGTGGTTTTCTGCTACAATGGAAGAAATCAAAACAGCCGTAGACACGCTTCACCAACAGCCTCACCTCGAACACGACCCTAGGCTGCATTTGCTCGACAACAATTACCGATACATCTGTGCTAAAGTGGGAGAATGCGAATTATGCTAGACTCTATAACTGTCACATTACTCATTTTTTGGCTTTTGGAGTTGTACCTCGGCAAATATTCCATGCCACACAAGCTTGTATTTGTCTTGCTGATCGGTCATCCACGTGTGTAACAACTGGTTGTAAATAATAAAGTAATAGACTCCCAGACCGGTGAAAATGTGCCACCATCCATGGCCCTCGGTCAGAACACCCAATGGAATGCCGAGAATATTACGACGCCAGTCTATAAGATTAGGACATAGCAAGAAGTCCAGGTTCCAAATGAAGAAGCCAAAAACAAATAAAGACACTGCCAATACAAGCATCTTATACATAGTCTTTCTTGCATTTGGATCTGTGACCTTCAATTGGATAGTCCTGATCGTTTTGTAGATCACCCCAAAATTGAGTATAGCGTAAAACACTTGATGAAAGGCTGGATCCCTCTGCACATATATATAAATGTAAGTGAACAGCGCAGTCGCAGCAAAGGTACCAACTCTCCAGGCATATTGTACGGGGCGGGGCTGGTTCCAACTGAAAATGTAGCCGAACGGGAGTGCCGTGACATAGACCATGGGTAGCTCATCCATCAGCTGGTACTCGTAACGCAGGGTCATGTGGAACAGGAATGAGCCGATTCCGACTGATGCAAAACCGATGGAAATAAAAACGTAAAGACTGCCAAAGTTGTTCTTGTATGTACTCCACAGATGGCCCATTGCCAGGGCCACAAAGATGAAATTGGTGAAGCTATTTACCACTTCGGCAATATACGGTGTGAAAATGTAGTTTTCCTCACACCAGTCAATCGTGGCGGTGACAGGCCCCCAAAATCCAACATAGGACTCCGGAAGCTTTGCCGGATAATCAAAATATACCATCTGAAATATTGAATGGAAGCAACGGATAAATTTATTTGATTACTCCACAGAAGATGAATCTTTGGACTTTATGTGCGTCGATCGACTTTTGTGATCTAATGTCTATTTAACGGTCTTTTTCTCATCTTTCACCTGCCTAGGCGATGTACTCTGTTTCAGCCTAACCTCAAAAGGCATGCCTAGCTTCCAAACCAGCTCATATTGGTCCTGAAGACCATGGTACCACACGTTAAGGAGCTGGTTGTAGAGAATGAAATGGAAAATCCCCAAAGAGGTGAGAATGTGCCACCACCCATGTCCTTCCAGCAACAGTGCCCCAAATGGGAGGCCGACAAGTCTCCTGACCCTAATCAGTTCCGAGCAGTAGAAGGTGTCGAGATTCCAAACTAAAAACCCGAACAGAAACTCAAACAGGGCAAAGCCAACGAATTTATAAAGAAAGTGTCTCTGGTTGTAGTCAGTAACGTGGTTTTTCACCAAGGATAGTGATTTAAACACTATGGCAAAATTGAGAACTGCATAGGAAGCCTGGTGAAGCTCTGGATTTTTGTACACCGAGCAATAGATATAAGTTAGTGCTGCGATGACGACCGCAGTGAGTCCATAAATTGAGAACCTCTTCACCTTGGACTCTGTTTCCAGCCCAAAAATGTAGGCAAATGGAATAGCTGTGACATAAATCATTGGGAGCTCGTCTAATAATTGAAATTCATATTTTAGAGTCATGTGGAACAACCAGGAACCGATTCCAACGATACACATACCGATGGACACAAAGACGAACATCAGTCCATGCTTGTTCACAATAGCCGAACGCACCAGGTTGAGCGAAAGAAAGTAGAACGAGAGATTCGTGGTGGCGTTAACAAGCTCTGCAAAATACGGAGAGATCACATAATTTTCCTCACACCAGTCGATTGTTGAAGTCACTGGACCCCAAAACCCTTGCTGAGGCTCCTTGTATTCAAATGGAGACAGAAACTTCAATGGCGACATTTATGGCTGTGTCTAGTTTAATCGCAACTAAATAATCGCTCTCGGATTAAATTTAGCTTATAAAATAATCGCTCTCGATTTAACTTTAGCTTATCAATATGCACGTTTGATTTATTCTGTAGCAAATGAGGCTAGAAGTGTAGACAGAAAAATAATACCTGCTGTTCCCGATGATTATTCGGCTTTTGCCACAAGATGTCATGTACCCCACTGGGAAGATCCGAGCTTAATGCCCTTATTTGCATTTAGGGTGTAAGCTGAGCAAAGCAGCCAATTTCAGCCATCCTGCAAGCTGACTAAGTAAATCTGAAAGCTGCACTCTAGGAAAGACCTGAAAAATCACATCCTCCCAATTTACCCGACCGTCATGAGCCCAAATTATCTAGGCTGATCGAATCACCACCCCACAATGCCAAGGCCGGACGTGAAAAATTTATTGAAGGCCAAAAATCAAAAATAAATTGATTTACATGAGTCGAGGTCTCAATGTTGAGGAACGGCTTGAAAGATTGAAAAAACTGAAACAGCTCAAGGAGCTTGCGCTTGAGGAAAATGAGAGGGAGTTGCAACGGGAATTTAAGCAGCTGAAAGAGGAACAGAAATTAAGGGCCGCAGCTGCTCAAAAAGAAGCAGAAGTAGAAATACAGGAGACAAAATTACTCAACGAAGGGTTAGATAGCGAACGTCTCCGAAATTTGCGGTACACAATTGAACAAGACGAAGCATGGCATGCGAAACTCGAAGCCGGCAAAACGGCGGCTGAAGACAGAGAGTTTCAAAATTTCAAGCAACTCGCTCGTCAGACATACACAAAAGGCCTGAAAAATCTGAATCCGCTGAATTCAGAGCAATACGAGGCCCAGAAACAGATATATTCCGAAATGAAGAAGGAGGGAAAGTCTGACTCCGAAATCATCAGTTCTTTGACTAGCCGAGAAAAACTCAACCAGATGGTAGATCAACTAAAGGAGCGCGAGACTACTACGGTTAAAAGGCGGAAAACGGCGCAGGATCGTCAGAATTTCATCAATGACCAAAACAAGCAGTTCAACGATAAGCTTGACAGACACTATGACGAGTATCTTTCCGATCTGAAGGAGAGCATTCAGCGAGGATCTTCACTCTGAGCTACTGGTGCACGGATGCTCATTTACTAGAAAACTTTCTAATCTCGCTAGGGTTATTACCCGGCACCTAATCCGATTTAATATTTTTAAATAAAAATCGCCCAGTCAACCACAACGTTTACCTTGTGCAGGTTCGCAGAAATACATCAAGTAGACAAGAGGCTTTCATTGAGCTACGAGTTGACACTATGTCGGACCGTGAGAGCAGCATTGTTGCCGAGGACGATAACGAACTGAAAACCGGCAAGGACTTTATTGAAAATGTAGCCGAACAGGATGCTGAAGACAACGCAAACGACGAGGTCTCAGCTCTAGACTCCTCCGAAGAGGACGAGGACGAAGATGAGGACGAGGAAGCTTTACGCAAAGTGCGGGAAGGGTTCATCGTGGACGATGAGGAGAGCAGTCAAGAAGACGAGAGCATAGATGAGGACGAGCGCAGGAAACGTCGTAAGCACAAAAAGAGAAAGAGGGAAGCCATCAGGAAGCTTGAGGAGGATGACGAACTTGATGAGGATGACTTGGAGCTGCTCAGAGAAAATGCTGGTGAGCTACCCCGTCATTTAGCAGAAAAAACCAAGTTCAAGCGTCTTAAAAGAGGAGGTGACGATGAAACGTCGGCAGGACCGACCTCCAAAGGCCTGACGGATATGTTCTCGGATGAAGAAGGTGCTGGGGAAGAGGACGCCGAGGAAGGAGAAGAACAAGAGGAGGAGGAGGAAGATGATCTGATGGAGACCTCTAAAAAGTTAAGACAGCAACGACAGCAAGATCTTCTCGGGGAATTTGATGATTTCATTGAAGACGACGAGTTCTCCGAAGATGAGGAAGAGAGAGATGAGCGTCTTGCCAGGATGAGATCGGCAAGAGCCAAGCAGGCAAATCTAGCTTCCAACTCGCAATTCGACCAAGACAAGCTTGATGAACTTTACGAAATATTTGGTGACGGAGAGGAGTATGCATGGGCTTTGGAAGCCGAAAGTCTCGACGAAGAGCCGGAGATGGAAGACGAGGTCGATGAGGAAGGTTACGCGGTTAAAAAAATTTCCAAGGAGACTCATGCGCTGAACAAGGTCTTTGAATTTGAAGAGCTGAAAGAGCATCTTTTGACTGACAGAGATCAAGAAATCAGACTAACAGATATTCCAGAGCGATACCAGTCTTACAGAGAGCGGATAACTAACTATGATCTGAACGATGAAGAGTTTCAACTCAAACAAAATTGGGTCTCTAAAGTTTTGCTCGAGGAGAAAAAGGCCTTCTTTGTTGGAAAAGAAGATCTCGTTGAACCATTCCAAAAGGCTGTTGCCCAAATTGTGTATTTCGTCTCAAAGGACAACCTAGAAGTTCCAAGTATATGGAATTGCAGAAAGGACTACACACTTTACACTTATCGTGAAGATGGACAGTTACGAGTCCAAAAACTGCTGACCGAGGACGATCTCTGGAGAATCGTGCAGCTCGACATAGACTTCTATGCCCTTCTGGAGAAAAAGAAGAACATTGAAAAGCAATTCAAGTTATTGGACACGGTCGATACTCTGTACGATGAGTATACTGAGTCTGCCAAGACAGTGACTGAGTTGCAGGATCTTCAAGATTATCTTTCTTTTACATACAGCGCAAGGCAGCGCGAGCTTTATCCTGAAGAGACGAAGGGGAAGCAGAAGTCGCATTCCAAATACAAGATCTTTGAGAGAATCAAAAGCGATCCCATTTACGAAGTGATTGATAAAATAGGTATCAATGCGGAGAAATTTGGAGAGAACGTCTTTTCGAACAACAAGATTTACCTGGTTGACGACATCGACAAAAAAGCTGACGACTTGATCAGAGAGTGTGTTGAAAAGGATTCGTTTTTTGACACCGTGGAGAAAGCAAGCAACGCTGTGAAACACATGTTTTCTGAGCAGCTTTTCCACAATCCAAAACTCAGAGCGCATTTGAGACTTGCATTCCAGAGCTATGCCAGCGTGGATATAAAGCTTACCGAAAAAGGAAGACTCAAAATCACTGACAGCTCTCCTTATGCTGACTTTAAGTATGCTATCAACAGACCTCTGGAGTCGTTCACCTTGCAACCAGATTTGTTTTTACGCATGTTGGAAGCCGAATCATTGGGGCTTGTGAAAATCGACATCAGCCTGAAAAACGCCTTCGCAAACTTCGCTGACCACCTATTTACGTTTTTGTCTTCGGATGGTACCTCTGATCTGAGTAATTCATGGAACAGCCTAAGAAGACAATGTCTTGATCTGGCTTTGAAAAAACTGATTCCATCGATTGTTCTTGATGTCAAAGAAAAGCTAAGAGACACGTGTGAAAGATTACTGTTTTACGAAATCAGACAGAGCTTTATGGAGAAGGTGGACCAGGCTCCGTTCCATCCGCTCCCAACCGCCAAGGGCACTGTTCCAAAGGTTTTGGCAATTACTAACGGTGATGGAAAGCGTGATTCTGCAATAATTGCTGTTGCGATGGACTACGATGGAACAGTTTTTGACCACATAAAGTTCGAGCAAAATTACAGACACGGAGACTTTGAGAAGCAATTTTTGGAAATTGTCAAGAATTTTAAGCCAGAGGTGGTCGCTGTGTCGAGCTACAACGTCGAAGTGTCTCATCTTTTCAGAAAGCTTCAGGACATTGTCAGATTGAACAATCTCACCGTTGAAATTGATGTTGAAGAGGAATACGAGGGCGACCCAATCCCACTTCCGGTTATCTACGTTCCAAATGAAACCAGCAGACTTTATGAGCATTCCGACCGGGCAGCTGAAGAGTTCAGTGACAAGCCAGTGGTGGCCCGTTTCTGTATTGGTGTGGCAAGATACGTTCAGAGTCCATTGTTAGAATATATGGCTTTGGGGGATGCGGTGACTTCTATTTCTGTGCACAGACATCAAAACTTGCTTCCAACTCATAAGGTGAAGGAAGCAATTGACACGATCTTCGTTGATGTTGCCTGTCTGGTCGGCATTAAGATCAACGATGCCGTTAGGTCCCCTTACCTTTCTACCATGCTGCAATACATTGCTGGTCTGGGCCCTAGAAAGGCCAGCAGCTTGATCAGAGGTATCGAAGCCAATGGGGGCTCTTTGCTGAGGAGAGACGAGCTGATTGTGAGAGAGCTGTCCACCAAGGTGGTGTTCATGAACTGTGCTCCGTTCATTGAGCTGCCAGTTCCTGACAGGCCAGACAAAGACATTGAGCTCCTGGATGCCACTAGAATTCACCCTGAGGATTATGAGCTTGCTAGAAAAATGGCTAGCGACGCTTTGGACCTCAGCGAAGAAGAAAAGCAGGAGATTGAACAGGAAGAAGGTGGTGTCATTTCCAAGCTGTACGACGAAGGAGTCGAGAAATTAGATGACCTTCTTCTTGAAGGTTATGCTGACCAGTTAGAAGAGCACGGACATCGTAAGAGAGCAACCTTGGAAATGATCAAGGAAGAGTTGCAGAACAACTATGAGGAGCTCAGGAAATCGTTCCACATTCTCAGCGACGATGAGGTTTTTGAAATGCTTACAGGAGAATCGAAGGAGCTTTTCCAGCGCGGAAAACTAGTTTCAGTTATTTTGCAAAGGGTCGACAACAGATTCATGCTGGGCGTTACTCAGTCTGGAATTTTGTGTAACATTAGCAGATCCAATGCGCTAGAATTCGGAGACAACACAAATTTACTGACGAAGTACCAGAATGGACAAGCAATTCAAGCTGTTGTTCAAACAGTCGACTACGCGAATTTCAAAGCAGAGTTGTCCTTGCTGAAACGTGACATTGAGGGGGCCAGTCGCGGAAAGAAGGTGGACAAGTTCCAAGGTCTGTGGGACTTCGAGGCTGAACGTGAGGATCTCGCTAAGGAGCAGGAAAAAGAGAAGAAAGAGAACAGCACAAAACGTGTCATCAAGCATCCATACTTCCACAATTTCAATGCCCGTGAAGCAGAGGACTACCTTGCTTCCAAGAACAACGGAGAGTTTGTGATTAGACCGTCTTCTAAAGGCAACGATCACCTGACTGTCACCTGGAAGATTGAAAACCAACTTTTCCAACATCTTGACGTGCTAGAGCTAGACAAGCTCAATGATTATACAGTTGGCCGCACCCTTCAAGTTGGAGAGTTCCGCTATCACGATCTGGATGAACTGATTGTCTCACACATCAACAACCTGTACTTGAAGGTGGAGGAAATTGTCAACCACGATAAGTTCAAAAACGAACCTCTCAATGACACGAAGGAGTGGCTCATCAGGTATTCCAAGGCCAACAAGAACCGGTCATGCTACTGTTTCTGTTACAACCACAAGTCGCCAGGATGGTTCTACCTGCTTTTCAAGCTGAACGACAAGAGCGATAAGCTGTATACTTGGAACATAAAGGTTCAGCCAAACGGTTATCTGCTACATGGAAACCTTTATCCTGACATGGTCCACTTGTGCAATGGTTTCAAGAAACTGCTACAAAACCAAATGAGCAGCTCAAGAAGCGGTTACACCAGCTATGGTAGATTCTGATGTATAGTATAATTTAGCTAGTATAAAAGTAGAGTCACTTTGGGTAAAGACCGAGGTCTTGGTCTGGTGTATAGATGTACCAAGACCTTATATAATTTGTTATAACTTTATATTCGGATCCGCTAAATGGCTTGGTTCAGAGGCCTGACATGGACCATTACACTGATTTCAGTGTTGCTGAATCTCTACATTTATACATATCCAAGCTTCATCCCTGAGAGATGTTCGTGGAATCATAGTTATGAAAATGGCAATGATCTCCTTGGGGAACGCGTCAAAAATATACCGTATTTCGGTGATCTTTACAAAACACTCTTTATCAAAGAGTCGAGCGAGAAACTTCCCGAGCCCCGTGATATACGGATGATGGCATTTGGCGATCCGCAGATCAACGGCAATTGGCCCTCCACTCCTTATATCAAGCGGTTGGACAATTTTGGCAACGATTACTACCTTGGTCATATTTATAGAGTGATGAAAAGCAGGTTGCATCCCACTCATGTCGTTGGGTTGGGGGATCTCTTTTCGTCTCAGTGGATCGCTGATTCAGAATTTTACAACAGAACTAGGAGGTATATGACACGTCTTTTCCCAAGACCGGAAGAACAGACCTTTGCCGAGCTCGACTTTATAGCCGAGCATAAGGACGTGGACTGGGTGAGCCATCTGGAATGGTTTCAGAAAAGCCTTGAGGATGGTTTATTTTTGAAGCCGGAGTTCTATCATTATGAAAATGTTTACGACTGGTCCTCTGCCAACCTGACTCACGAACCACTATTCATCAACGTTTCCGGCAATCATGACATTGGCTACGGAGACACGACTTACCAGCATATGACTAGATGGAGAAGACTTTTTGGCAAGGACAATTACTGGATAGAATTTGATAACGATACAGATCATCCTTGGCGAATAGTTGTACTCAATTCCCTTGCCCTGGACGGACCTCTTTTGCAACCGGAGTTTAAGGACTACACATGGCAGTTTGTTGAAACGTTGAAGCAAAGAAATTATAGTGGCTCGTCTATTTTGCTCACTCACATTCCAATGTATAAGCCTGAGGGTCTTTGCGTGGATGGCCCGTTGGTGGAGTATTTCAACGAAAACAACTGCCACCCTGGCGGCGAATACAGAATTGGACTTTTGAAATCCGAAAATCATCTGCAATACGACACTTCTCAGGCTGTGATGAATGCAGTGTTCAAGGGGAACTACTCTGGCATCATTGTAACCGGACATGACCATGAAGGATGTGAGAATTTCTACAATTATAACTTCACTTCAGGAGAGTGGCAAGCGTCCAAGAGCATAAATTCCCCAAAGTACATAAAAGAGGTTACTGTCAGATCGATGATGGGTGACTTTGACGGAAATACAGGACTCATTACGGGGCATTTCAACCAAGAGACGAAAACTTGGGAATTCAACTATAAGTTATGCCCCTTTGTTGTTCAGCATGTGTGGTGGGCCGCGCAAATTGGCATTGTGCTTAGCATTTTGTTCCACTCGATAAACTTCTTGCTTTAGAACTGAGCCGCATTCTTTATCCTACATAAAAAGAATTTCACCCAGCTAAAAATTTTCCCATCGAAAGTTTACCTCCATACTATTTGGCAAGCTACCAGCGTGTTTGGTGCCCAGAATTGGGAGCTATTCCGCCAAGGGGTTGCTGTTTGGCCATCGTCGTGGTCGGTGTCATAGCTGACCGGTATTGTCGCCTATTAAGTTAGGGACGATTTCTAGATGTTGGAATGAGCAGTATTCACGATGTTAGTAGCTTGTTGAAATGTATGGACAGAAGAATGTGGCTTCTAAGAATTCGTCGTTGACTCAGACAACGGCGGATCCCGTATGGCCACAACATTACAAGCATATAACACAACACCTATTTTTGTCGTGTGTGGCTGAGCATCTCGTTATCAGCCTCCTTGGCGTAGTTTCTAAATTTGCAGTAAAAGTAAAACATAAAACAGACGATCTACCTGTTTAATTGCTGGAGAGATATGACCAGTAATATTTGATTTTCTAAACACCGCTTCGTTTACTCCAGTTCAAATTCCTACTCGTTTTTGTTTACCACACTGGCGCTCGCCAAATACAACACATACTATTCAATCCCTGTTCAGTTTCAGCTGAGGGACTAATTTAATTGGTGCATCATTTGTTAAGATAGTTTTATCATACCATGTTTTCGAGAAAGAAGAAAGAACCAAGCCCGCCGCTGCCCAGGCTGCTGGAAATTTACAATGAGATCGCCAACACGTCGCTAACGAATCTAAGTTTGGAGCAAAATAACCGTTCGAATGAGGCCCTGAACGGCTGGAGAACACTTCATCAAGTCGCAGCTCTAAAGGTGGAAGCGCTTGAGAAGAGTATTGCAGGGGTAGAGTTAACGGACGAGGAGTCCTATATTTTGGATGAAATCCACATTCTGCAGGCACAGGCGGATGACCATATGGATAGACTGGAGAACAAACTGAATCCTCCCCTTCCCATTCAGGCGTCTAAAGTCTATTCCAATCCTCAACATTCCTCCAGTTCTGCTGGTATTAAGATATCACCTCCTGGCTCCAGATCCAACTCTGTGCGAGCGAACGTTCCCACCTTGAGATCCTCAACTCCTGTAACGATGAACTCTAAAAGACCAGTCAACAAGCCCCTGATTAAGTCGCTCCGTCCCAATCAGAACATAGCTAATAACAGTTCTAGCGTAAGTTTGGGCAACTCCATCTCGTCCCAAGCCACGGCTAAGCATGCTGCAAACTTAATATGGGCGCCATCCAAAAGTTTATCTGCCAACAAGCCGTACTCATCGAACTCACAGGAGGACTTATTTCAAGACTTTGATGGCAACATTGACGAAGAGGAGTACCATCACAAAGAAACTCTCAGACAATTACAACAAAACGCTCTTGCATCGAAAACCGCTAGAAGTAAAAACGATGAAGACCTAATTGACCTCGGTGAAAATCTGTCACATCTGGATATTCGTCAAAAACCAACGCTTCAGCAAAAGCAGCAAGTGCAAAAGAATCATGCTAAGTCTTCAGCAGAGAGAGCAAGGGCGGCGTTGAAGATTTCCTCGCAAGTCAAACTTCCTCAAAAGGTAGCCCCCACTGCTGTTCGTCAACCTGCCCGTCACGCATCGCCTGCAAGAGTTGCCAGATCCCCACCCCGATCGACAAACGTACAACTCGCCAAAACCCAAAACCGCAGAGCTAATCTTTCTCCTAATCCCCCTAAACCTGTTTCAACGCCTCAGTCTGGTTCCAGGAGAGCTTCACCAGCCGCTAAAGGATCTACGACAAGTGCTCCTAAGGTGCTTGCTGATAATTCTACAAAAGATACTGAAACGTTGGACAGTGACAATTCAGTTGAAGACGACGAAGACAAATTAATAGCCTCTATGCGAGGTGTGGATCCTGTTTCCGCTAGACAAATTCTCAACGAGATTGTGGTTCACGGAGATGAAGTCCACTGGGATGATATTGCGGGACTCGATGCGGCCAAAAATTCCCTCAAGGAGACAGTGGTTTACCCATTTTTGAGGCCAGACCTGTTCAGTGGCCTGAGAGAGCCTGCTAGAGGAATGCTGTTGTTTGGACCTCCCGGAACAGGAAAAACTATGCTCGCGCGCGCCGTTGCAACGGAATCAAAATCAACGTTCTTCTCAATATCCGCGTCTTCGCTGACCTCGAAGTATCTTGGTGAATCCGAAAAGCTGGTTAGAGCGTTGTTCCAATTGGCCAAAAGACTTGCTCCTTCAATAATCTTTGTGGATGAGATAGACTCCTTATTGGGAAGCAGAAATAATGAGGGCGAAAACGAGTCTTCAAGGAGGATCAAGAACGAGTTTTTGGTTCAGTGGTCTGATTTGACCAAGGCCGCAGCTGGAAGAGATCAGGGAGAAGATCTACAAAGAGTTTTGGTGCTAGCGGCCACAAACTTACCATGGACAATAGATGAAGCTGCAAGAAGAAGATTTGTGAGGCGGCAATATATCCCGCTTCCAGAATATGATACCCGGAAAGCCCAACTACAGAGGCTTCTTTCGCATCAAAACCATACATTGACGGACAAGAACTTAGAGGAATTAATAAAATTGACGGACTCGTTTTCGGGATCCGATATCACAGCTTTGGCAAAGGACGCAGCTATGGGACCATTAAGAGAGCTAGGAGACAAATTGCTTCTAACATCCAAAAACGAGATCAGGCCTGTCTGTCTTCAAGATTTCATCAATTCTCTCAATTACATCAGACCAAGTGTTTCAAAAGAAGGTCTTAGACAATTCGAAGAGTGGGCTAAGCTGTATGGATCCTCGGGTGTTTGAATTTTAATTTGGAAACAAGCTCCTTTTTGTGTGCTATATAGCATGTATCTAAGATACTCTCGGCCGTTCATTTATAATCTATCTTCACGACTATACAATTATGGGTAAAATTTCCTTACATTAATAGTATTAACCATAGTTGTCAGCGGAATCTGGAGAATAGACCTTTCTTATCCTTTGACAGCTTCGAATCACTAGCCTTCTCCTCAGGGGCCGTTTTGATCGAAGCGCTTGGAGTTGACGTTGGAGGAGATCCTCTTGAAGACAGAGCCGCCCTTCTTAGATCTCTTGCCTTCACCTCTTTACTCTCCCTCATCAGTTCTTCGAACATCTGCACTTCGTTCTCGTCGTCCGGGTCTCGTCTAGCGTTCTTAAACAGGGCACCCATTAATACAAGTAATTCAGCTCTCATTTTTCTCACCTCCAGTGGCACGGTTTTATCATTGAGGACTTTCGAGCAGACTTGGTTCAATGTGGATTCCATTTCAAATTTAGATGACACCCAGGCAACGGAGATGAACTTTCCTGTCATAGCTCTCTCAAACTTTGCTCTCTCGTATTCGTCCATTGCGCTTGACTCATCCACCTGCAGTTTTTCCATAGCCTCCACAGCAGATTGTGCTTCTGTAGCAGTTGCAACCATCGACCAGACATTCTTCACGGTGTTGCGGCTCTGCTTCAGCGAGGAAGACATTTTGTGGAACTTGCCAAGGAATGCTTTTTGAGACTTCAGAAAAGACTGTCCTTTGAAAAGGTAGACTTTACCAATGGTATGGCAAATATCAACACCAAAGGACTCATTTTTCAAGTCCTCAATTTCCTTTGCCACTTTGCTTTGGAATTGGGTGGTCGACTCGTTGCTGAGATATCCATGACTAGAAGCATCTATAACTGGTTGCATTTTCTCGATCAGTTGCCTAGCGAGCTCCTCCACTTTTTTGGCTTCCTCTTCTTGTCTTTGTTTCATCTTTTCGATATCGAACTTGTCCTTTTTCGAGTGATGACTTTGGCTGGCGTTCGGATTGTGAGCTCCAATCTCCTGGCTTTCCGAAAACTTTATATCCTCAGGTTCCGCCTCAGGGTCCGCTGCCATTTCCTCAAACATAGCTGTGAGAAGTGTAAGCTTTCCAATGTACGGTTCAAATCCTTCACCTCCGAACATCATGCTGAATAGCTCTCTTGGACCAAGGTCCTCAGCGGCTCCTCCAGTTTTCGCTAATTCATCTCTGCCAATCTCATCGTATAGCTTTCGCTTCTCCGGATCACTCAGAACTTGATAGGCTTCGGCAATCTCCTGAAACTTCCTTTCCGCATCTTTGTCGTTGGGGTTTTTATCTGGGTGGTATTTGAGGGCCATCTTTCTATATGCCTTCTTGATCTTGACCTCATCAGCATCCACCTCGACCGCCAAAAGGTCGTAATAGAATGTGTCTTTCACCATTTCAGTTCCGTAAATCAGGTACACGTTTTTCTAGAAATACACTAGCTTATGGGTGGCGTCGGCACTTGTGCAAACTATAATTTACCAAATATAAGATCAAGAGTGAGAATTTAAAAGAAGGCTGTGCTTCCGGAGGTTGATTTATCAAAAAGAGGAGGCCGAATTATTCATCACAGCGCACTGCATGCCATTTGCACGTCAGTTGGCTTCCCGCCGAGTTTTGAAGTCCCACAGTCCAGGGCTACAGGATGTAAGCTGAAATTTGAGAATTTTAAATTTGGGTCATATTAAATTCAGTATACTAACGACTAGTTCATTCTTAAGAACCAAATCACCAGAACTTATAGAGACATGTTGCGCACGATTCACAGTAAGTAATGTTGCTTAGAAACTAACAAAAGAAATACCAAACAAATCCTTACAAGTGGAACTAAGAACCTACTTAAAGGAGGAATTCAGATCCAGTAGTCAAGTGACGGATTACGATACTCGGAAGTCTTTGCTTACGGGAGCAATCAGACAATTCAAAAGCGTTACCAGCAACTTGGGGTTATCATTACCGAATTTCAAACTCTGATATTGAGCTCAATATATACACGCGATCAACGTTTGACCCAGGTTGGAGACTTTCTTGCCTTCAATTTACCAGGTTTCTTTCTCTCCACCGATCTCGGATCTCTGTACAAGCAGCCTGCCTTGAGCAAAATGTCCTCGAATAGTGGGTTGTGAATGACAAGAGCCCTAGCGATGGCCAACCGCACGGCATCTGCCTGTCCTGTGCTACCGCCTCCTCTGGAGAGAGCAAAAATGTTATACTTGGTCTCAGACTCAACAATTTGTAACGGTTGTAGTATTCTAGTTCTGTCTTTCAAGTTCTTGAACTTTTCATCAAATGGCAAGCCGTTGACCAAAATCTGTCCCTCTCCTTCCACAACATAGACTTTTGCGCTCGAATCTTTTCTTCCTCCAGTAGCCACAGCTCTTCCCTTACTGTCCAATTCCTTTATTTTCTTCTCCACGTCCCTCACTGTCTTCGAGACTTTGAAGAAGTCGAGAACTTCTTCGAGATCAGGACTTCTAAGCTGCGGATCTATAGAATCTAACCTAACGAGGGTCTGTTTTAGCTTATTGTACTCTGCCTGTTTGCATTTGGCACCATTCCCTTTTCTCTTGTAGTCCTCAAAAGATAACCAAACCGACTTTTCGGAGTTTTTCTTGCTATAAGGGAGAGAAGCATATTTGTTCATCATATCGAGCAAACGTTCCATAACATCCTCATGGTAGGGGTTTCTTGCAAAGACCGTTGGACTTGGAGGAATGAGTCTCAATTTCTCTAACTGCATATCTCGTTCAATAACACTATCAGAACCGTAGTGGAAAACAGGCTCAATTGTCCGAGGTTTGCCACCCGTCAACTGACGTGCAAAAACACGGAGAGTGAGACCTGCCCGGGCTTTCCAAACTTGTCCTGTGAACATGCCGATACAATCAACGATGAAAAAATTTACCTCTTCAATCGACGTGAATCGACCTAAATTATATACTTGCGCCGATCGACCCCATAGATTAGGATTGACTTGAGTCGCTAAAGGGCTCATCGCTATCAGAAATGGGCTGTCTTCTTGTGTCAGCAGCGACTGTAGCATGATTTGCTTCTGCGTTCAAAGATTCCAGATACTCCTTCAGTATATCGCGTAACGCATTATTCTTACGACTCACCATAAGAAGATCCTCGGGTATGATAGTCTTTCTTCTTGCGTGCTTGGCAAACAGTTCCAAATCCTCCCCAACGTCGGTTAATTGACGGTAAACCAATTCAACCAGAGCAGCTGTGAATCTCGGCGTAGCACTTATATCAGTTCCCGAGTCTTCAGAGAGCTTTTTCGTTTCTTCTTCCACCATCTTCGATACGCTGTACCAGATACTAGCCTTTAGGTGCTGATTTGTCAGATCGCTTTATCTGCCTATACTTACTGTTGCTATCTCCTTTTCTTCTGACGTTAGAACTCTCATATGTTTTACAATAATATCACAAATTATTTTGTCGCGTCGCGTTAATTTGATCACTTAAAATTCAACCTATATAATATACAAAGCAATGACAATCAGCACCGTTTATACCCCAAAACACATATCCCCGTCTCATTCAAACAGATTTTAGGTCCATAAGGGCTATCGCCGCTATCTCCTCATCACTCTGCGTCGCTAGGGCTGGCCTCAATGGACTTGATATATCTGGTTTGACCATTTTCACAGATAGTGGTCTCGGCGAATTGTGTTCCACTGCGACGTTCGAAGCAGGCACAGTCACAGCAGACATGTTATTTTTCCTTAGCGTGGCAGGTCCCATCGCCTCCCAGTCTTCCTCATCCGTGTAGTTTTCCAGGTCATTACGATCTTGATCATGAAGATTCTCCATAGATGACACGGTATTAAGCGTTACGCTGCTGTTTTGATCATGCAACATGACTGGACCGTTTGAAGGGGATATATTGGTTCGTAAGAAGGATTGTCGCGTGACACTGGACGAATTGGAAAACGAGACTCTAGGACGTCTTTTGGAAATCAATCCATCTGGCATGGACGCGGAATCCAGATTACTATTTTCATCAAAAACAGCCTCGATCGACTGACTCGTGAATGAAGAGCGTGGCTTTCTTGGCTTGGCAATACCCGCAAACGACGGATGCCTGTTCGTGGAGGACAATGAAGACGTGCGGAGGATGTGCTTTGCCTTTTGAGCACCGTTGTCTCCTTCAAACGTAAACATACCGTCATCGTCATCTTCTTGCGAGTGAGCTAAATTCAGTTCGTCATCGTCATCATCGTCAGAGGAAGAAGACTCGATAGCCTCGTCCAAAGAGTATTTTCGTTCCTTGAATGAATTTCGCAAACTCTGTAGAGGTCTGAGATTTGGCGAAATAGGAACTTTGGTGCTGTGTAAATCTGTTGCTGAGTTTGTGATTGACTCTCGTCTATAGTTAGCTCCAAGTCCTCTTGCTTTCGGCGAGACGCTTAAAGCGGAATTACTTCCTCTTTTTTCTTTCCGCCTGGCCCTAGTAGAGCCGTGATTATCAGGAGGACTTTCAGGAGACCTGTCTCTGTTGCCGGTCGATGCTTGTGTATTTCGCTGGATAATTTGTTCGTCAGAAGCTTTCCTTGCCTCCCATTGGCCCCACCCGATTTTCTCGAACACGCAGCCAGTTTGCAAGTCCCCCATTTCCAAAGCAGCCATTATCAAACGTCTTTGTTTGGACAGCGAGAGATGTCCGAAAGCTGGGATTTGTGAAACTAAATGTGCAGTCAAATGCCTGATTGGCAACGGTCCCTCGCTGAGCAGGATATTGGCAATTCTGTTCGGCGTGATTTGGGAGGCAGCTGCAATCCCTTCAGGTGACGACGTCGAAATGAGAGATTTATGCTCCTCGGCCACATTTTTCTTCCAGCTCTTCTTCTTGTGCTTGCCATTGATATGAGTCACAAAAGATACTGACTGGTGCTCCTCTTTGTCCGGAAGAGATGGAGAGCCATCATGGGCATTGGCATTGAAAATGGAAGACACCTGGGATGGACTCGCCTTAAAATTGTCTTTTGGAGGCGAGATGTACCGATTGCCAGTCTCGTTATCGGCATCCGGGGTAATGTTTGAAGCGGAGGAGGTGGCTGATGCAAGAGCCGAGTTCAGTGGAGAAGAGAGCTCCCTTTTCACTGCACCGGATTGGTCGGCAATGTTGACCATTGATTGAAGCATGGGTAATAATTTAATTTAAACAACGAGCGCTGACACCGATGTGTAATTATAGCACGCGTTTATCTGTCTGGTCAAATGGGCGGAAACGCAATCTTCAGCGACAATGGTGATATCAACGCTGATTCTGACAGTCTTGAAGCAAAATTGATCGTTAAATGCTCGCTATATGTATGGCTTATAATGTTTGACAAATAAATTATTCAACAAAGTTTCTAGAAGTCTAGCACGGTAACATAAAGAACAATAATAATTTGTGAGTAGGATAGTTTTGAAAAATGAAAAATCGTGTGCTGGGACGCAATACAGATAATAATTTAATTCCCAATTAATGGATATATTATTTGTCGGTACAAATACCATACTGATCCACCAAAATCATAGAGCTGGGAAGTTCTTGTCGTTAAGTTCGATCTTTGGAGCAGCAGATTTAGGTGCCTTACCTCTTGGAGCTCTTCCTCTACCTCTGGTATTGTTGGATCTAGCTGGTCTCTCTCTTGGCACACGAACCTCATCAGCAACGATAACGTCGACATCCACGTACTGCTTAGCCTTCTTGGCTTTTTGCTTGGTTTGCTTGACAGAGGTTGGCGGGATAAAGACCTCTCTTTCCTTAACAAGCAATTCAGCGTTAGACCACTTGTCCTCAGCACCGGCGTTAGGAGCTCTTTTCGGCTGAGCAGCAAGGCCCTCCTGTTGCAATTGCAACTCACTGAAGTAGTCATCAAGAGTTTTGTAGACTGGCTTCTCAGCCTCTTCTTCCTCCTCTGCAGCCAATTCCTCAGCAGCATCCGCCTCGGCCTCAATCTGAGCCTCGACTTCATCTCCAAGCTTGGTCTTTTGAGACTTAGCAGTCTCGGTCTTTCCGCTCTTGGAATGTCTGTCGTAGTTCTTGCTCTTAGCAGTACGACGCTCAGTGGACTTTGGTGGCTCAACTTCAGGATTCTTGTTCTTGAACTTCAAACCGGCCTCGTTACCAGTGACAGATGGCTTCTTGTTCTTCTTAGCCTTGGACTTGTCAGCTGATGGAGGAGGAGCGTCAACCTTTTTGGAAGAAGTGGTCTTCTTGACGATTTCCTTTGGTGGAAGGATTTCACCCTCATCGTCGGACACATCATTACCCAAAAGGGCGTAAAGGTTCTAGCGCATTAGTGAATGGTATTGCTGGACTTGGGTGCTCTATATCAATTGGTTGTGATGCTTCATGCCGCAGTGAGACCTGCATGCTCCTTGCTTCCTTTACTCACACAGGTGGACATTCTCATCCCGGTAGATTCAGATTACACGCAAATCCTTTTGCTGTTATTAGACTTACCTTGTTGTTGGACATCCTGCAAGCTTAGTGATGCGAAATTACGCTCAACCTCAAAGCTTTGTACTATTAGAAGTTCCAAAAGTGTGTAACTTTTCGAGCACTATTTGAAAAATTTTTGTCGTCGAACTGCCGATGTTCTTTCTTATTTGTCGTGTCTTTTCTGAAAAATTGCTAACTTGAAGCACCGGATATTTTAATTAGTGCCGTCTAAAAACAAATGCTATATAAGGATTCTACTCTTTCTTCTCCAAAACGTAAGCGTCACCAACTCTTGTCAGAAAGTCCTTAATAGCAGCTCTCAGGTCTGCCATCAAATTCTTATCGAAAAGCTGCAAAACAAGGTCGTACGCAACCGGGCAGCATCGTAAAAAGTCTTCATGATCCAGCTCACTGTATGCTTGTAATATCTCCACCACAACGGGTCTCCAGCTTTGAATATTTCTTGACTGCTCTGTCTCATTCAAGCTCACATACCTTTCGAGGATTGTGACGCCCATTGGGACCAGGATCCCAACAATCCTTTCCCTAGCTTCCTTATTGACGCGACCAGAATCACAGTAAAGACGGAAGAGTATGCTAATGTAGACACCGGCCGAGGAAGTTTCCTGCTTTAGAAGGTTTGGAAGTTTGTCGATGACACCTGCATTCCACAGACGGACTCTCAAATTGTAATCCTCGTTAAATTCTCTTGCAAATTTGTAGCTATGCTCCAACAAGTCTGACAACTTCAAAAGGTTAGCAACAGGAATCGTTTGGTAAAACTCGTCAATGTCAAACAGTTCCGAAAGAATCTGTATAACATGGAGTTGAAGAACACATTTGATTACAATGGTTGATTTCTCTCTCGATTGGTTTAGGGGAACAGGGAGTTCCAGATCTGACTCGCTCGCTGGACTTTCATGCAACTCAGACTCCTCTCCGTCGGATGTCTCCTGCTTCTCTCCGTTCGACAGTCTCAGAGGATCGGCTTTGAATAACTCTTTGGCCGTGGTCAAATCAAATAGTTCAGCAAACGAGTTATTAACTAGCTCCCAGTGTTTTGCATCGAATTTAGTCATATTGTCTAGAATAAGCTCCTTCAGACACGAAATACCTATTTTGGAGATGGTCTCATTCTGTTGACAAATGCACGAAACAAGAAGCTTCAAATACCCCTCCATCTTCCCGCTCAGTGTATCAAAATAATAGCCGAACAGAGCAATCATGTTTCTCAAGGCCTGAATTAAAGTCGTAGAAAGCCAGACAGAAAGATCATCTTGGGTAGTGAGCTCCCAACGATCTCCCAAAACACCGAAAATTGGGAATAGTAGCTCTTCGCAAATCTTGTCCCAAAACTTTCCTTCAAACTGGCCACCATTTTCGACTAAGGCATCAAAAGTAAAGCTCAGCGCTTTGGACCTGACTTCAAGATCTTCTCCATTCATCACAACATCGTGGAAGCCAAACAAAAGAGGGAACCAAAGATCTTCGGCCGAATATATATCCCCGTGTTCCTCCAACGTCTTCGGAATCGTCTTGGTCAACTTTTTCATTAAATTGAGCGACTGTAAGCTGGATTTTTGGAATTGTTCGTTCTTTGCATATTCAGTTAGACAAACGACCAAGGATGAGAAAGCATCAAGACTCAATATTTGGTCAAAGTGTGACTTCATAATCATGCTCGTGTATGAGAGGCCTTTTGCAACAAACTTCTCATTATTGTCTTTAGCTGCATTTGTGAGAATCTCTAGTAACGTTTGCCAACCAGATTTGATGAGATCAGCTTTCTTATGGATCATATATTGCACACAATCCAAAACCATTTCACGGACTTGCAAGTGTGGACTGTGCAGTACGATATAATTGAAAGGTTTAAGAAATTCTTTCTGGAACTTGAAATGAGAAAGCTCCTCGATGGCAAAGAATCTCTCCGAGAGCTGCCGGAGAGAGTCCAGTGCAAAGAAAGCGATCGAGATATTCTGATGACAGCCGAACTCATTGAACTTCTCGTTCATCACCGCCCAAAGCGCGGACCACTGAACTCTGATTCTACCCATGTTATAGTAGCAGACATCAACCATTTTTTGTAGCGAGAAAATCCGTGGGTTCTGACTCTGTCCTGACGACTCAATTTCTTCGTGTGCCACTTCGCTAAGTGCTGCAATGAAATCGAAGATACCGTTTCCCTCGATTTCAGAACTTTTGGAAAACACCTTATCGATTGCGACATCCAGGTCTGTCGAACTGATACGAACAACCATTTCTGAGCTTAGTTTCTGACTGAAATGGTGCTGGGAAGTTTGTTCCGCAATTGTTTGTTTTTTCCCGAAGGAGAAGAAGGATAGCTGATTCGAATTATGCGATCTGTAACTCTCAGTGGAATGTCTGCTTGCTAGTCTAGCGTTGAGCAAATCCGGAATGCTTTCAGAGTCGACTCCTTGGGACAGCAATTTCAATCGTTCTATCTGAGAAATTGAAGTTAAAATACTTTTCCAAGATGAGCCAAGCTTGGAGTTTTCGTCCACGGCAACCTCCAATAAGGCATAAACAGCATCAATGTTTTTGTTCTTGAGTTCTTCAGGATTGTTCAAATTACAGAATTGAACCAGTGCCCTAATGAAGGAGGTTCTTGCATAGTCCAAATCAAACATGCAAGAAATGTGAATAGACACCTTAATTCCTTCGAGCAGGATTCTCGAAGTTTCATCGTCATCATATTCCTTGAAAGGCGGCGTAAGACCGGCCAAGATGGACATCCAAAGATTGTCAAACATAGACCTCACATGGTCTGCATTATTGCCAACGTCGGCTGTATAGAACACAACTTTGGAGTTTTTCTTGTAGGTGTTTCTGATACTTTTAACCGCCTCCTCTGTCTTCGAGGACATCTCTTTGGATGCTTTGGCATACGCCTCTTTGGCCAAATCTCTGCCACCAAAGAACGATGGTTGCATCGGATGAAAGTCACTGGATACGAGCGCGGCGTGCTGCTCGCTTTTTAGCATGATCTCGTCGTTTTGAATGTCCGTATAAATTTGCTCGAGCACCGAATGATCAAGGTCTTTGCCATCATCAATGCCTCTATTGTTGTTAATGAAATCTTCCAAAGTCATTCGTTTTTTCACCTGTGGCGAGTGCTGATCTGTGTTGAGCATGATAACAGAGTAAGATAGAACATACACTGTGTCGGCATTGGCAAATGTGGACGGATTATCGTTCACGTATTTCTCAGCAAATTTCAGCATGAACCGGTCAATTTTCTGCGATTCACCAGGCAGTCTGAAATGTTGCAAGAAGTATCTCAAAGCATCAAGGAATTTCTTGTCTTTAAACTCCATCAGGTCAACAAATTCATGCATGATTGTCACATTCTTCTCATCCCCATCTCCCAGGAATTCTCCCAATGCCGTTTTATCCAGAATGTCAGTCTCCAGCAGGAATTTTGCAATATCCCGAGGAGAATCCGAAGAAATGAATCCGTTATCTAGCAGACTTTTCAGTCCCTTCTTCGGATTGTAGTTGAACAATCGTATACTGTCCAGGAACACGTTCTTTCTCTGCTTGATGCTATCAAACTGAGAGACAGAGGTCTCTTCGTTGGCAGAGGTAATAGTATCACTGACAGAGCCATTAGTAGACTCCTGGACTGAAGCTTGCGATAGCATAGAACTACTCGTAAGAGCTCGGTCCCGGTGAGAATATGGTGCATTGTCTCCTTCTGCAGCGATTGTGGTGACCAAAGGTTTTCCACTCCAAGAATTGAGTGACTTCAAGAACGCAAGAATGCAATCAATTGAGGTCATTTTCAAAGCGTACTCGATCGGGAAGTTGAGGGAGGCATCGGGATTTGGCGGGTGTCCACTCATCTTTGAAACATTCAGTTGCGGGACATCAGACAAGTTGTATGTGGCCAGATTTCTAGTCAAACTCTCTCTGTAACTGACTTTCTGCGTTGGTGTCGCGTCCACTCGCATCAGCGCGAATCTTGCCAAGTAATCCATAATAGCCTCACACAAGTTCGGCATAGAAGTGTCACAGTCATAGTTCAGGTAGAGCTCGATCAAAATCTTAGGGGCCTTGCAGATGCGGTGAATAATCGAAAGAAGATATCTCTTTTGGTGCGCCGTGGATGTCTTCATTTCGCTAACAGGGAAATAGATCTCGTCAAGAAACACGGGAATTTCCGACTTAAATTGATCTCTCATTTTATCCACCATGATCCAAAATATCTCGAGGCACACCTCGTAAACCGGAGCTAGTTGGGAAGCAGCATTTCTAGCTAGCACCAAACAGAGATACTTTCTAATGGCATCAACCAAACGTGTTTTTTCATTTGTGGTCCTGTTGATTATTGTGCAGTCTTTATCCAGGAAGCTTTCGATATGATTTTTGAGTATCCAGTGTATGATGTGCAGTGATAATAGCTTCGATCTAATCGCATGGGAGCGCATATCAATAGACTCATTTTCCATCACCTTGACTGACAAGTTACACATCGATCTCAAAATCAGGAAAGCGTCCCTGACTACCAGCTCTTCTTCGTTGCCAGCAAACTCGTCAGGGCTTATCTGGACGTCGTCGTTTTGGACGTTCTGTTCCATTTCGCGAAGCGTCATCTTGGTCTGCGCCGCGGTCGGCGTTCCGGAAGCCGCAGGCCTCGAAGTGGATACAATATCCTCCGCGTGATCGTTGACATCGACATCAGAAGGTCCTTTCTTTCTCGTGGACGAAACTTTCTCGAAAACGACATTCACGACCTGGGTGAGAGTTGCCTGTGCAATGCCTTGATTTACAGGTGACAAGGAGAGCAGGAAAATATTGTACACTTGTCTCACGGCCTGCAATAAAGCTCTTCCGTGGAGCGGCAACGTATCATTGAGAATTGCACCTGTCAACACGCGGATCACCTGAAGCTCGACCCTCTCATCTGTACCTTCTCCCTCAAAACACGAGCTTATTACTTGGACCACCGCCTCAATGAGAGGAATTGCATGGACATGGCCAACCTCAGTTTCTGTATTAGTTTCCATATCAGCATCCGTGTGTATGTCAGGTTTCGTTTTCTTGTAACTTATAGTCAATGGCTCGTGAAACACGCTGAAAGTGAAAATCTTGCTGAGACAGTCAAGAGCGACTATTTTTGCTTCAGGACTGGAGACTTCGCATGCATTTTTCAGCACCTCAAAGAGATCTTGTTCACTAGGCAATTCGCCGGTATTGAGAACTGCAATTTGCTTGTTGAGAAGGTCTACCAATGGCCTGTGCTTTTTGGTAACCTCCTTAATCTGGGCCAATTTCTCGAACGACGATTTGATGAAAGAGACGGTTGCCGATTGGTTCGCACCAGATGCTGAGCTAAGAGCACGGCTGCGTGCCGGACTTGTGGGATTGGATGTGGTCGTTCCATTAGTTTCGGAATCATGCGCTGTCACCTTGATAGAAGGCTGGCTCACAGTACCGTTCGTGTTATCTGTAGAAACAGGGGCATCATTTGCAGAATCGTCTTGAGTTGGTATATCATTCACTTCCTCCGCGGAAGATGTTTCCTGCTTGGTCGGCGCAGGAGTAGCAGTGTCGTCTTTCGCAGCTTCGCTCATGCACTTGGAATTATATTAGGGACAGGTGGCGCACGTAGTTTGTGTAACTTCCACTTCCTCTTTGCTGACAACACACAATGAGAAGATAAAGGATAACGCGTTATAAAGCCTCAATGGTCTGAGTTGGGGCAAACAAAGTCAATCAGAAAATTGCTGTAGATCAAATAAGGGAGTTCTTGTTATCTCCGAAGCTAAAATTGTAAACGGGCCAACAGGTCGTTATTCCTCTGTGATTTTGTACTTGGCTTTGTATGCGCCCCTACTCTGAAAAATAATATGAACAGGGCTCCAAACCGGACCCGGTAGAAATCTCGTACTTGGACTGATAATTATTACATTTGGAGCTGCATAGCATATACAGCAGAGCATTGAGACTTCTTAATTTTCTTTATTGCGGTCTACTTAGCTGAGGTCATCCCATGTACGTCCACGGATGTTTTTCAATTCCTCCTGTGTGTAGACATGGCCATTAGTGAAGTATCCGGAGGCAATTTTGGCGTCGATCTCTACACGGGAGTCGGCAGGGAGCATCTCGTCAGGGATCTCCACTCTTTCCACGATTTCAATTCCTTGACCAACAATTGCATCGTGCTTCATGTTGCTCATTGAAAGCATGCGGTCAATTCTGGTGATACCGAGCCAGTGCAAAATATCTGGCATCAGTTCCTGGAATCGTGCATCCTTCACGCCTGCTATGCATTCTGTTCTTTGGAAGTAGGCATCGGCGCAATCGCCTGCACGCTTTCGAGCATTGTAAACGAGATACTTTGTGACTTCTCCCAGCGATCTGCCTTCTTTGCGGAAGTATGCAACCACTCCGTTTCCGCCCTTTTGTGCCTCCTTGGCGGCTTCTCTGATCCCAAAGATCAAGTAGCATCTGCACGAGCAGATGTCCGAAAGAAAGACGTCTGAACCAGAACACTCGTCGTGGACTCTCAGAGCCAGCTTCTTGTCAGGATTAGGAATGTCCTCGGGATTTCCAAATATGTACACTGTGGTTCCACCAATTGGGGGCAAGAACGTCTTGATATCGGGTCTCGTGATCAACTCAGGGTACATGCCATTGGTGTCTTCAAAGAGCGCACGGCGGAGCTCGTTCTCTGTGACGCCCAACCTTTTGGCCACGCCGGGCAAGTACCAGACAGGATCAACAGCTATTTTTGTCACAGCCATCTCGCCCTTCTCATTCAGCACAATCTTGCCGTCAGGCTTCAGGTTGCCCTTCTTGACTTCCTCCTGAATTTCGGGAAGAGACAAAATGGCTTTGGTGATGGACATGGATGGTCTCACTTCAACGTTTTCGGCCCTCGCCACGTCTCCATAGAGCCAGGGAGCCAAATGGCCAAGCGGATCAAGCGAGACAATCTTCTCGCTGTTGTACCATTGTGGCTGAGGAGCAAAATCAACGGGAGGCTGTGCATTGGTATAATCGGGAACGTGTTTAGGGTCCAGCTGTCCTGAAACAACGCTGAGGGCATGGTACAGAGAGTAAGGACCAGCGTGTGCGCCAATGGCGTTGTGCTTGGTAACGCCATCGCCACGGCGAGAACAAACAACAGGACCTCTTTGTTTCCAATCTTGGTTGTACCAGTCAAGCTTGATTGGATGGACATCTGCGTCACCAGAGACGGTAGCAAGTCTTATTTGGTCGCCATAGATATGCTCCAGACAGTGGCTGATTGGCTTTTCGTCGTCCTTGAAAGCGCTGGAATGGTGTGTGTGCACGGCAGATGGTTCGCACAAACAGCTGTGCTTGGCAATTATAGGGGCTGGGACCATAATATGAACGGGCGTCTATTTGGTATAAACTTTTTATTCAACAGTTTGTGCTCTTACGGTTGGATACGGAGGCCTTTTATAGTCCCGTACCTTATCTTATCACTGATAGATGGAATTGTTTCTGCACACATCTTGCCCGGCCCGTGGTGGCTCCAATTGACGGCTGTGCTTCTAAAACCGACGGTGGCCGGCTATACAAAATTGGCTGTGCAACGGAAGCCGTCGGAGAACAATATTAGTTAATTTATTACGATAAGAGCTTTTTATAAAATCGACATTTTAGCGATCGCAGCTTTTAGTACTGGTGGGTGTGGATAGAATCAACGTGCTCGACCTTGATCATCGGTCTGTAGACGGGTTTCCACATTTGCGACTTGACCCAGGCCAGGCATTCTTCAAACTGTCTAGGAACAGTGACCTTGCCTCCATCTGGAGACTCTTCGTCCTCAACCCGGGCAACTCCCTCCTCCAAGGCGCGCAAAATCACAGCAGTTGCGACCTTGGCGGAGGTCTCGTCGATAACCTCGAGAGGGGCCAGAAGTCCAGCCTTGGCGTTGTGTTTTGCCGGAGAACCGTCGGCCAACTGGTCGACTGCTGCAGATATCATGGAGTCAGAGATAGTGGTTGCTCTCGAGAGCACTGCACCCAGGCCGATACCAGGGAACGTGAAACAATTGTTGTTTTCCGAAATCACGTAACCGTTAACCGGAGGGAACGGCGAACCCGTGGCCACCATAGCGTTGTAGTCTGTCCATTTTAAAGCGTCTTCTGGCGTACACTCGTGGAGTCTTGTTGGGTTAGAGAGCGGGAAAATGATTGGTCTAGGGTTGTGTTTGTACATCTCCTTGATGACTTCCTCATTGAAAGCCGATGCCTGTGTCGAGCAGCCAACCAGAACGGTAGGCTTGATTTTCCTTACCACTTCCACGAGAGATCTGGTATTGACACCTTCCCACTCGTCGGCTGGGTCCGCGTATTTCTGTTGAGCAGGCGTCGAAGTACTGTGCATAGAGTCAAGAATAAGGCCTCTCTTGTCCATGCAGTGAATTCTTGCCCTTGCATCCTCAGGAGTGCTTCCGTGAATGACCATGTGGTTCACAATTTGGTCGGCGACACCAAGACCTGCCGATCCAGCACCGTAGATGATGACCTGCGAATCCAGCAGGTTTCTCTGGCTAACCTTGAGAGCCGCAGTCATAGAAGCCATGACAACAGCACCAGTTCCTTGGATGTCGTCGTTGAAACATGGCAATTCTTTTCTATATTTCTCCAAAATTGGTCTAGCAGTGGTGACCCCGAAATCTTCAAAGTGCAAAACGGCACTTGGGAATCTCTTTTTGACGGCCTGAATGAACTTGTCCACGAACTTGTCGTATTCCTCTCCTCTAACTCTCTTGAATCTGTTTCCCATGTAAAGATCATCATTTAAAAGTCTCTCGTTGTCGGTACCAACGTCCAGAACAACGCTCATCACTCTTCCTGGATGAACACCAGCACACAAAGTCATAAGAGCTGCTTTGGCAATGGTGATACGCACACCTCCCACACCTTGATCTCCTATGCCCAAAATTCCCTCTCCGTCAGAAACAACAATGTAATCTATATCTTTGGCCTCGCCGAACGCGGCCAGTCTCTCGTCCACGGAATCGGGATCCGTGATATCCAGGAAACATCCTTCTGGCTTTCTGAACCTATTCGAGTAGGCCGCAATGGCATCTCCTTCGGTCGGAGTATACACAATCGGCAGCAGCTCTCTGATGTGTCTTCTCACCAACTCGTAAAATAACACCTTATTCTGCTGTCTCATGGAGGTACAGAAATCGTTTTTGGCCAGCGGGGTTTTGAGGAAATGAAGCTGGTCATAGGCTCTCTCCACTTGCTCATCTAGAGTGTTCACCACTGGCGGCAAAAGTCCGGTAAGCCCAAAGGCCTCTCTTTCCTCGACAGTAAAAGCAGAACCCTTATTGAAAAGAGGTGAATTGAGCAATTGGAACCCATGCAAAGAGCACTCAATTGGCCCATCAACGGACAATCTGGTGTATCTTGGAGCTCTCAGTTTAGCTTGCTCCCCAACTGGGGTCTTGATTGTATGTGAATGAACATGCGACGTGACAGAATCACTGATGATCGATTGGTATCTCACAAAACCACTTGGTTTCCACTTTCGAGCGATACAAACGGACATCTGTGGGAAATCGGGAAATAAATCTATAAAATACCTCGAACAGCAGATTTTGCTTTAATCAAATAGTCTACCTAGGAGGGGCGAATATTCTCTCCATCTATGGCTTTATACAGCCATATAAAAAAAAAATATCGCCAAAAACAAAAAGCCGCAGAAAGTGAAACCTGCATTGCTTCCGTAAAAACACGGTGAAAACCCCGTTTTTGTGAAACTCCGCAAAATCAACGATTCAGAAGCTATTTACCGAATTTCAGTTCGCATCACGTACAACCACACCCGGATGCCATACACTGAGTGTACCACTTTCTGATATCCAAAACTAACATACTTGGAATCCTGTGCATGCCGCAATCGCGCTTTCTGCTGGAAACACGGGCTGTGCAAGGGTTATGCAGCGCGGACTATCTCGGAAGAATTTCTCCTCCCTGAGTGTTTTCTAAGGAATACAGTGCTGGCTTCCTACTACGGCATTGTTTACGTAGCTCACATCTCCACGTATTGTCTACGATTCAGATAGCCCCACCTCTACTCCTCTTCTGTGAGACTTCTGTTTGAGTGCTTAAAGCCTTAGCCTCACAATCTCCATTTGTCCATACCCCACGAAGACATACTAACAACATAGTCGTGCGTTAGGCACAAAATTTATGTCCGTTACAGGAGAACAAAGCTTTATTGGCTTGGATTTTAATTAAGTACGATATCTAGCTTATTGCCGTTAACTGGCCGGAGTGCACCTCCGTGGTCGCATTTCGAGATCTCACCACGTTGTATGCTGCACGGTTGATTTGCCGCCTCTCGAAATAGAATTTTGGGCAACTAGTACCGATACGGAAAAGCACCTTTTGTACCTGGCTTTGTGAACAAATGGGATTTGGAATTTCTGGGCTGATTTGCTTTCTCGCGTTCCATTGTATGAACTGAGATTTTCAGCATTTGGGTGTTATTTGGTACAGGATGAGATTTACATAACAATCTTTATTCAAAAATGAATTGACATCGGCATATCTCCAGGCAAACAGCGCATGGTGTCAAACAGGGGTTGCAAAGCAGATAGATGCCTTAGTTTTAAAAGTTCCTCGGCATATCCAATTTTTTTTTGAAAATTTCTCTCTAATGAGTAATTCTCAAGATAAATAAATAGATGAATATCTTGGCTTGATATTTATCGAATGAGCGCTGATAAGCAACGAATTTTGATTTCAAAAACCCTTTCAAGGCTGCTCCGGCACCAGGCGGTGAAGGAAAACTTATCCATTGATGAAAAGGGATTTGTACCTCTTGAGCAGATTTTGAACCATCGTTCTATGAGGTCACTTAAAGCAACACCTGAAGACATTTTCAATGTTGTCAATCAAAACGATAAAAAGAGATTTCGGATTGTATCTCGAGAAGGAGAACAGCTGGTCGAAGCCCCAGATTACAAGGAAAATAAATCATACTATATTTGCGCGCTACAAGGACACTCTTTAAGTTTTGTGAGTCAATCTTACGACATGGTTAAATTGACCCCACAAACATTTCCTGAAGTCATCGTGCATGGAACATATAGAAAGAATTGGAATGATATTAAACAAACTGGTGGCTTGAGTAGAATGAAAAGAAATCACATCCATTTCGCTAAAGGATTGCCCCGATGGCTTTCCAATGACAATAATGTTATCAGTGGCATGAGAAAAAGCTGCGACCTGTTGATCTATTTGGATGTTGACAAAGTGAAACAGAGCCCTCTCACTTTTTACGAGAGCGGGAACGGTGTAATTTTAACTCCCGGCGACGAAAATGGCATTGTGGGTCTACAATATTTCAAGAAAGTTACTGACATCGAAGGTAACACAATATGTATTTGAATCCGTGCTAAATGCACAAAAGTTCGTAAATTAATGTTTAATAGAACTGGAATCGTATTTGAATTCCAGAAGCTTGGCCAGCTCTGCTGTAGGACAAGCTTTTTTGAAAAATCTGTGCTGAAGCAGTTCGTCGGTTCTCGCCCGATACTTCACTTCGACACAGAGGCAAACGCTCAGAAAATCCATAAACTCACTTGAAAGGGCCTCGGGATTCTTCAGCGTTGGCGTCCCATTAGAAACAATCAAATATAGCGCCTTCAAGGGCTCCTCATTGAGATAAGGAGGCTCACCTTCCACCATTTCGATAGCCATGATACCGAGAGACCACACGTCCACTTTCTCGTCATACTCTTTTTGTCTCACAACTTCAGGGGCCATCCAATATGGTGTCCCAACCATTGTTGCACGTTTGGATTTTTCTGTGGTCAACTTGGCACAAAATCCGAAGTCTGTGATCTTGACATTTCCCTTAGCATCCAGGAGAACGTTGTCAGACTTTATATCACGGTGAATAAAATTCTTCTTGTGCAAGTGTTGCAGTCCCTTAGTAGTCTCGTAGCAAATCGCGGCGATTTGTTCTTCACTTATTTCAGGATTGTTATCAATGACGTCGGTCAAACAGCCTCCCTCCATGTATTCCATGATGACCCATAAGTCGGCAGACCCGTTCAAGTAAGCCTCAATGAAATTGACGATATTGTCATGTTGAGAGTCTTTCATCACCAGGATCTCGTTCACAATCAACTCTTTTCTGCTCTGCTTATTCAAATCAATCTGCTTGATAGCAACCTGCTTGTTGCGCATTTTCAACGACTTTGCAAGATACACTGAGCCACTAGCACCCTGTCCCGCTTTTTCAACCACTTGGAAGTAGGGAGCGGGATTCGTGTTGATGACAACACTTCTCAATTTGGCCATGATCTGCGAGTCTGTCATTGTAGATATACGTTTGTCCTTGAGACCGGCCTTGCCGACTGGGGAACCTTGTGCCAACTTATTTTTAGTCGTAAGAGGTTGTCCATTGGAAGCTTTGCTCGAGATGGCGGCAGTTGATGCAGCAGCGACGGCCAGTTTATTCTTTTGAGAAGGCACCATTTGCGGCTGTGGATATGGCACCGGATGTTTGTGATAAGCAGGCAGTTGACGCTGGGAGTTCGGCGAATAGTGGTTTTCAGGGCTATATTTGGACCCAGGAGTTTGTTGGTCGTAACTTGGGGAGCGATGTGAAAATGCCGAATGTAAAGAGGTTTGCGAATGTTGATGAACCAGAGAATAGTTCACAGGCGAAGATTGTTTATAAGACGAAGGCGAGTAGTGTCCTGTAGGGCTAGGAGTTGCCATGCTGGTGTTCAACCTCAAGTTTGAGTTTATTTTCTTCGATGGAGTCACATTCGAAGCTGGAGCATACGGGTTTTTGACGTTGCTTCTGAATGTCGGCGGCGTTGGTGGAACCTGTCCAACTGGCTTTGAAGGTGATGTCGAACTTGGTTGCTGAGGAGTCTTGGTCTTCGTATGAGGAGCTTCCGGAGCTTTTCTCACAGGAATATACTTATTGTTTGTTGGGTCTGTTTCGCTAGCCTGTGCGGCAGGTGGTGGGGGTGGCACTCTTCTAGGCTGAAGATATTTACCGTCTGTCGTTGAAGAATAGGGTTTGGTGATGTCGTTGATAAGCTTTGACGAAGCAGACATGTCACCATCTCCAAACGGCACAGCAGAAGCCTTGTCCTTGACACCCAATTCTGGGCTCACCATTTCCGTGTAGGTATTCAACACATCGATGACGGCAGTCGGGTCATTTGCGACGTCCTCAGATGTGATATTGGAACCTTTTAATAGTGCCATCCACTCTGGAGGAACCCCTGTTAACTGCCCGCTCGACGGATCGTACCCAACATGAGTTTCATGAGTGACTGTCAAGGGCTTCGAAAAGCCCTCCTTGGGACACTTTGCCAGTATACAATCGATCCACATGTTGAGCTCCTTTTCGCTTTTCACGGACACAAATGTCGACCTTGATCTGTGGACTATTTCGAAGCAGAACGTTTTGATTTGGTTCTTGAAGCAGCCTGAAATGTGAAGCAAGGGAATGCGCATCGAGAGTTCGACTTTTTCGTCGTTTTTGTAGAAATCCAGGCTGGATTCGCTCAAAACAAGAAACTTCTTTGGCCATCTAAAAGAAATTAGCCCGTCTTCTTTCACCTGCACCCACCCACTCTTACGGTAGATGGTGGCATGGATACGGAGCCGGCTCATTGACAAATCGTTTGGCGTGTTTGCATTGGACGTGGAGCTTGCTCCCGACGAAGCACTCGAGTTCTTGCTATGTAGCGAAGCACCCGACGATGTCAGTAATTGGGGAGGCTGGGGAGCATGACCAATTTCCGTGAACGCGTTTCTGCCCATTGCTTCGGTGGTCATCTTTGACATCGAACTTCTGTGGGTATAGAACGCGACGAAAAATCGTTTTGGTTTCTCGCTGGTGCTGAGGATCGGTTGTGAAAATTCTGCTTCTTCTGCAAAAGAGTTGACAATACAGAACAAATAGCCGAGGATACGTTCTTCAAGAGTAGACGAATACTTGGGGATGGGCCTCAAGCAGTATAACACTGTGTAAACAGAACGAAAACAATTCTGGTTTAATTTTTGAGAAATCCTACTCGAAACACTCGATCTGGAAATATATTTTTGGGAACGCGAATTGCAGCTCAAAGGGGTCCTTTGAGAAAACGAGAATGAGCGACAATTTTAAATGCTAGAGCCCAAATTTTGACGAAGAAGTTGTTGTGCCAAGTCTATGGAGTGCTACAAGACTGTAGATAGCAACATGCTCAGATACAAGCGCTGGTGTTTCGTAATTTTAGCTTCGTTTCAAGCTGTGAAACCGCGTCAGATTTTTCGCGACTCCTGTGCAGTGTGGATTTTTATTTAGTTGTAGTTGTTTTGCATGTAATTTGTCGACTATTGTTTTAAACGTGAAGATGAGGCGGTACACTTGTATCACGATAGAAGTGTGGTGGAGACTGCAGAATTGAGTAGTATGAGCCTTGATCATCTTCATCCTCATCGTCAGCATTGATGCTGGACTCTAGCGCTTCTTGGGAATGATGCTCCAACGACACGTTCGTGAAAGCCGATATGTAGTTGAGCGTGCGTGATGAGCACGGCGCCGATCCTTCGTCTCCCATTGGAGGTTCTATCGATCTGTCCGCGCGCAGCCCAGAGGTGAGGTCTGATATTAACGAATAAACACTTGTGGAATGCGTTTCCCGGGTGTGTGGCCGCTCCGGCTGCCCCTCCTCGTTCGACGTGGACCCCGATCCCTGCTCAATGTCGGCCAGTGTTCGTGAGAGACGTCCGTAAAGTCTGCTGCTCCGACGACTCGAAGCATTGAAAGCAGTGATGGAGTCTCGTCTGATCGGCACTGTCTGAGATCCTGGAATCACCAGCGAAGCCATCGAATAATTATCGTCGCTGCCATTTGTCGATCTAGGCCGTGCAAAACTAAATTGTCTGTTAAAGTCACTGTGATTATCAAATAAATCCCCTCCAATGTAAACTTCAACAACCGATGACGGATATCGAATTACCGAACTATAACGTGACAGAGATCTTTGTTGGGAAAGCAGGACCGATTCCTCGCTTCGCCTACTTGCGCGACTGATTCTGCTGAATCTATGAGTTAGGGAGTCTGACCCACCTTGAACCGCTTCTTGCTGTGTTTCTTCGGTAAACGTTGTCTGTGGAGGATGAACACCTAATATGTCGTCTTTTTGTGCTTCCTCTGGTGATAATCCGCGGTGACGAACTGTCTGTTTTTTGAAAGGGCCTTTCAAGCTCTCTCGAAGTTTATAGTAAAATCGAGAGACTTTGTGTTCTCTAGAGCGCCCTATGTGCTTTATTGGTATGTCTTGATTATTCAGCTGCTGTAGATATTCCTCCACAGTCGGCGATTTTTCCCCTTTGCAAAAATCTGGTTCCTTTGTATCCTTAAGTTTTTCTAACTCCTCCTTTAGATTTTGCAAATTCTGCTTCACTTCATCCCTATCAGCCGTTATCATGGTCGACCTAAGAGACAGCGATCCCTGAAACATAACTATAGCTCGGGTTCCGACTTGCCGAAAAATAAATACTCTGTTTTCTAAACGCCTCTGCTAAAAGGGTAGGGATCCTTTTTTTTAGGTGTGGGGGTGACCGTCATATTATTTGGATTCTGGTGTCCTGGTACTATGGCAAGTGCTATTTCTCTGTGATTTCACCTCTCTCAGCAAGTTGTGTCATTTTCTAGCATTAAAAATGAATTATCCATCGTCGTATATTTAGATTTTGTCATTTTATAAAATTTGGGATTGGGATTGCGACTTAAACTTTTGAATGATAACTCCTCTTTTTCGCATCCCATTCAGAGATTACCACCCTAACTGACCCGCTAGACCAGGATGACAAGAGAGGACTGCTTATGCGGTCTTGATTTTATTGCAACGGTCATCAGATTCTGATGTCATCGATTACATAATATATTACCTTCCGAGTATTTAGATTTTGCCTTTACATATCCTGCTGCGGATTCCATTTTGCATAAAATCAAGCAACAATAACACAATCGATCTCCTGATCAAATACTTTGGGTCAAATAAGGATCAACCATCATAGAGCCTGTTTAGAGCCGGTTCAGACATTGTACAGAAATATTTGGTGCAGCTTCATTTGCAATAAGCAAAAAGCAACAGGTGCCCTTTATTCACAGTTCGCACTCTAAATGGAGCAAGAGTTTTGTATTGATTGATCACAACACAGCACTTTTACCACAGCAGAAAAGTAGCATTGAACCTTCCACACTTCTCATTCCATCGAAATAGATCTTGACAGACTGTATAAAAGTCCCCGCGAAAATGACGTCTAATTTCAATTCCAGTCGATCAAATACAATATCTCCTAATCAACCCGCCATTTCAGACTATTCAGATCTTTATGATGAGTATATGGCAGACGAAAGCCGTTCGAAGCCTTCTACAATTAACACCTTCATGGAACAAAACGCTAGTGTTGTTCGGTCAGAGTCCTCTGATTTCATTCCTTATACAAGAGAACAACTTCTGGAGAATAATCTTTATCAAGGTCCAGGAGATGCAGTTGTGACATCAGATGACGAGGAAGAATGTTTGTCTTCGAGAGAAGAGATCCCAACTCTGGATAGAGATCGGATATTGATTCCAGAATCATCTCCCGAGTGGCAGCAAAAAGGCGCAGCTCAAATTCTGGAGAAAGTGAGGGCCGCAGATGGAACTTCGGTAACCAGGGTTGTTAGGAAATCTATCAAAAATTTTAAATTAGGAAAAGAATTAGGTGAAGGGTCGTACTCGACCGTGGTATTGGGATCAGATCTGTGCACGGGACGAGACTACGCGATCAAAATATTGAATAAAAGACACATAATCAAGGAAAAGAAAGTCAAGTATGTCAACATCGAGAAGAATGCCCTCAATAGATTGGGAAAAGGCCATGGTATTATTCATTTATTTTATACCTTTCAAGACGAGCAAAATCTTTACTTTGTTCTGGATTACGCCCCAAATGGAGAGCTTTTGTCTTTGATTAAGAAGCACGGTACTATGGACGAGGAATCTGTTAGGTATTACTCCACTCAACTAGTTGACGCAATTGATTATATGCATAGAAATGGCGTTATTCACCGAGATATCAAACCAGAAAATATCTTGCTAAATGCTGATATGAAAATCAAAATCACGGATTTTGGCACGGCCAGAATTTTGGATCCGAATGACGATGGGGTCTATCCTTCAGACGTGAGAGCTAATTCTTTTGTTGGCACTGCTGAATATGTTTCTCCAGAACTTCTGAATGACAAATACTGCGGCAAGGCTGCAGACGTTTGGGCTTTGGGCTGCATTATATACCAAATGATCGCTGGAAAACCACCTTTCAAGGCAACCAACGAGTACCTCACATTCCAGAAAGTGCTCAAGCTTCAATACGCTTTTAGTGCTGGATTCCCAATGGTGATTAGAGACCTGGTAAAACGCATTCTGGTATTGAAGCCGGAGGACAGAATTACAATCCAAGAAATAAAAAAACACTACTTCTTCAAGGATGTTGACTGGAATGACATGCATTCAATTTGGTCAATGCCTCCACCAGAGCTTGGTCCCTACAAAATGTCTGCAAAGTCAATGCTTCCTGTTCCCGAACTTAACAGAAGTACACAGAACTTGTCTCCAGCAGGGACCAAACGGATCGGCAGTGCTGGAAGTAGAAGTGCTTCAACTACCAATATCTTGAATTCCAATAATCTGGTTTCTACTGCCGCTTCAACTCCTACTTCTACGAGCACTAATGGAACCATATTCGGTTTGCCAAACCCTATGGAACCAAAAAAGACAAACTCCTCACCTGTCTTGCCGACCGAGAAAACGTTGTACAATCCCTTGTCCACCGCAGCTGCCGTTGCCACGACCAAAAGGCTGGTTTCAGAACCCATTAAAATTCCATATCTCGCAGGTCCCAATCAGTCTCACGGAAGAACGGGTCGTTTCGAGGCGTCAAAGGCTAATAGTAATCTTCAATATTCAACTTCAGGATCCAAACAGAACTCGACATTGAACAACGGCGGATCTGCTCAGGAAATCAATACTGGGAGGCCATCGCCTAATTTGGAGGCACCTCCTGCCTTCAAATCAACCGGTTTGACCAGTTCTTCTCCATCTTCAACTTTGTCGAATGTTTCGATTCAACAAAAACAAGCTTCAACGCAGAATGTTGACTTGATCCCAGGTACCAACATCCCGAGACCCGTTCTCAATACTCGCATAAACGCGTCCAATAGCTTTCGCAAGACCACTGGAGTACAGGGATCAAAATCCAAACAGCCTTTTATCAATGGCGTTAATTCGGATGACATCCCCCCTATGTCTGTCCTTGATCTCACCTGGGTCAACTTTCTAATTCATCCTGACGAAAGGGTATTGAAAGCGGGGATTGTGCAAGTGAGCAAGTATACGACAGAGTCATTTGAAAAAAAATATAAAGGGATGTTAGCAGAATCACCGTTGGGCTACAAGAACAAAGAGCTACTGAACTCCTCGAACCCTGGAATGATAGGACAGGCTTCCTCCTTTAGAAAGAAGTCAGCCGCATCCATCCAAAGTTTAGACAATGCAATTACATTCATTGAGCTCGAGACAACAGAGAATCATGAAGAAGAGGATTCATCGAAAGATGTTCCATCCGAAAGAATGACCAAGCTGAAAAACTTGTTCCACAAGACTTCAACGGATCCGGTAGCAAAACAACGAATTCTGGTCATTACCACCTTTGGCAGGGCAATGCTATTTGTGGAGAATCATGATCGCAATAAAGAAAAGTATCAGTGCGTCTGTGAGATCAACCTCATCAATTCCTCCGTGCATTTTAGAGAAGTAATAGGGGATCGAAGATCTAAGAATGCTTCAACGGGTATCTTCGCAATTGTTTCCAATGACGTGAGTCTGGCATTTGAAGTAGACAAGCAAGATCTTTCTGCTTGGACCAACTCACTAGCTAAATCCAGATTTATGGAACAGGAACGACACATTCGCATGCTTATGGAAAACGATCCCGCAGGTGACTCGGGTATGGCTACGGGAAACCAAGCCGCCTCTCGTGCAGCCAATATGGCAATGTCATCTCCAGTTGAAACTTCTCCCAGACTTTCTGCTGAGCTGCCGTCAACAGGCTCTGATTCTGATGAAGGTCCTCGAGATATACGGCTAAGCATGGAAACAGGGCGCAACACTGCTCGTTCACCATTAGCACAACCAGCAAGCAAAGCCGGAAGGAAACCTCCACCAGTTGGAAGTCAGTTTCCTACATCTATGAGGCCCGATATGGAATCCAGTTCTAGTAAGTCACCAAACCAACAACGCCAGGATCCAGGAACTCGCAAAATGTTGTATGAGAATTCTCCTATGATATCGGCAGCTATCAGCAAGGCACTCAAAAATACAACTATCTCCTCTGAAAGTGATCACAATGGGCTATCAAACACCCGACACTCGAGCTTTACACATAAATCTGCTGGCTCGGCGGCCAAGACTGGCAACACCGGTGGCAAAAATCACGGTTCAAGTCCACGTTTGGTGACGTCCATGAATTCGAAACTTCTAGCACGGACTACCCGAAAGAAACGTTAATGTATTTTAGTTGAATGTGCATCTATCTTCCCCAGATTTGTCTACATTTAGTACTGTGGTTTCGTATTAGCTAATCATCTAAACTTTGTGACTGCGTTTTTTAAATTCTACCACAACAATCGGGGGTTGTAAATAAAACAATAGACGTCGTGCGAAAACAGCACACCGCATTTTTTGACCTCCCCCGGTGGAGCTGGAATATCTCCCGTGCAAAAAATTTAGCCCCCGGGCAACAAAGCGGGCTAAAAATTTTCTGCGGGTAGAGAACACAAAATTTTTCAGTTCAAGAATTTTCATTTCCTAGCTACTTTTTGTATCTGTGCTTAATCCTAGAACAAGAAGAGAATAGAAATGGCTAAGTTCATCAAAGCAGGCAAAGTTGGTATGTATAGTCAATTCGAGACCTATCAGGTAATAAAAGACCATGTGAACCACTCAACAGGACGGAATATTGCACATAAATTTCCACAACACCTTTTTGATTTATAACGACTGTGCTTCATTGCGAAAAACCTACGATTTATCTTTGAAATACATGTGCCGTCAGTATGAGTACACACTCCTTTGTGCTTGATAGGTCAGGTTGTTTAGTGCTAACAATTTTAGCTGTCGTGGTCAGAGGCAGATACGCAGGAAAGAAGGTCGTCATTGTGAAACCTCACGATGAGGGTACCAAATCCCACCAATTCCCACACGCTATTGTCGCCGGTGTCGAGAGACAACCACTCAAGGTGACCAAATCCATGGGAAATAAGAAAATTGCTAAGAGAACTAAGATCAAGCCATTCGTGAAAGTCATCAACTACAACCACTTGATGCCAACCAGATACTCGTTCGAGGTCGAGTCTTTCAAAAACGCTGTCTCCGTGGAAGCTTTGTCTGAGCCATCCCAAAGAGAGGAAGCCAAGAAGGTGATCAAGAAGGCATTTGAGGAGAGACACCAAGCCGGCAAGAACAAGTGGTTCTTCACCAAGCTTGCCTTTTAAATCATACTAAATAGTGCTTAATCATTGACTTAAATCTATAATACCTTTGTCGTATAGCGCAAAGAGTAAATAATTCCCAGGCCAGACTTGCGGTGTACGGATGTGCAGCTATGACGTTTTAGGTTCGGCAACCGTTTGAATACCGCAATTCTGTCAAGATTTTGCTTATTTTTTAGGTCTTACATCATCATTACATGACTTGAAAGGGAAAGTAGAGTAGTCACAATGTGAAGCCATGCTTTTGGAAGAAGCACCCTCTTGTAGAACTCGTAACTGGTCCAATAAGCTCTCAATCCTAGAGTATGGAATCAAAGTAGCTCCCTCTCCGGCTAGGCGTGTTTTAGTGTACAAAATCAAAAAAATCCACAAAAAACGTTAGGCCCAACTGCAGACTGATTAATTTAAAAAAGAAACCAGTTGGATTCTCTGTGTGTGGACAGAAAGTCACGCAAAAATATACCTCATTATATAGAAGTTGATCCAATAGCTTCCTAGAACAGAGAAATTCATTATGTCATCTATAGTACAGGAGGCCGATCAAACAGAAGGGCCAATTGAGTCAATAATCGCGGCTCTCTATGCCAGAATAGAGAGCATTTTACCCATCAAATCTGGCATGAGCGTTTCGCAAATTGAGTCGGACCATAACTACAAGGAAGCCAAGAATCATCTCTGTAAGGTGGCAGATAGCATGTGGATTAACGACATTGCTGCTTGCACGGCGAACACTATCGAACACATCAATCAATTTGACAACAATGCCCCCATAGAGGAAAGGAAACCAACATCGATTGCATCTTTAGAACTGATACTGAGCTTGCTAGTTGACTTCATAAACGTCATATGGAGCAAACACCATTCGAATATGGACAGCGACAAAGAAACGTCAAGTGAAAACTCGGAACTTGCACTCTCACAGGCAAACATTTCGAGCCGATTATTCTTTAAACCGCGCAAGATATCTCGGCCAATAGCCAAAAAACTAATCTCGCTTCTGAGTGATCTGAAAACCCAAACATGCTGTATACAGGCTGTTCAGATCCTGACATCAAACCAGAGCTATACCGCCAAATTTTCTGAATACGAGCGCAAAGATATTCAGAAAATAGATGGCTACTGTGATGACATAGTCAAGTACCTTGCAGCGAGCAACGCATCTGAATTTTTTGAATTCTTGGAGAACAAATATAGAAGGATTGGCTTCGAAGCTTTGTTTGTGCCGCGATCAGATTTCATTGGTCTTGCCTACTTGGATTCAGACAATGTTCTGGCCTACCTAAAGATAGTGAAAAGCGTTATTCAGTTAACTACTCGTCAATCACAGCAGAACCTTATTCTATATTGGTCTTCTGAAAGCATATACAACTGGGCAGTCACGCGAACGCGTGATTTTTTGACGAGCACCAAATCAATGAGCGTGAACACCCAGGCTGAGTCGCTATTTGACTATGTTTACAAGTTCGCGGAAGTCAAAGCGTACTCTCTCTCAGTCTACCGGTTTTTGGCGACTGTTCTTCTTCTGGCACCAGTGGCATATGAAAAATATCTCGATGAAAGACAATCAAAGTCTTCAACACTGACATTTAAAAGATCTGTTGGGCGTTTTAGCTCAAAACACAGATTTCTAAATGATCTGACTCAAATATTCCAGAAATCCCCATCTTCAACTGATAGCTTGATCAAAGTCATGCTCGTGGGATCTTCTTTAAGTCTGTACGAACCACATCATCCGCTAGGCAAATTTGCCTCGAACACTTATGACCAACTGAGGCTCGATTTAAGTATGGATAATATGCAATATTATCCGAGCAACCTAGAGCCCGAGCTGGTAGATAGCTATAGAATTGAAGTCTATGCTGCCGGCTTCATGTTAAGACCCAAAAAGTTGACTTTGGAAGCAATAGATGCATTTCAGAACTATTCCTCGAAACCAATCTGCTTGTCAAATATAACTGGGGGTATCAAAACTCTTGTCAACAAACTCACTACGGGTAAATTCATGGCTTACCTAAAGACCTTATTCCCTTACATGCTTTCAACTCTGCAAAAGCTGTCCATTCAAAATACCACTGCATATGCGGTACTTGAGACAGATTCATTACCGAGTAATGACTCGAGTGAGTCGGTGGTGGATATCAGAGATGCTTTGCAACAAAGTATTGTTGCCAAAAGTGCTCAGACAGAAACGGAATTTCCAACCACCCCCACCACGGAATCGGAAATGGACGAACTATCCGCCTCAGCATCAAATTTACAATCTCCGACTGCCAAAGAGGTCTCTTCCAGATCTATCTCCACCACGACTCATGCAACCGAGCTAAATTCTACAATGCTCAAGAACGTTTACAAAACTAAGAACTTTTCTTCTAAAGTTATTGCTCCTCTCAAGCATACCCTTTCAACGTCATCATCATCTCTTGCTATGGCATCCATATCATCTGCTCCATCATCAGTACCCTCAACGTATTCAACTACATCCGGTCCAGTTTCCACCAAAGACATCAAGGGCGCAGGGTCATCTTCCCGAAGATCTACACAATCGTTGTCTACTTCTAGCATTATCACGAGCCATAGCAATGATGATGCACCCCATCTTATCAAAATGAAGGTTAATGTTCTTGCTACTTCACGGCAAAGTCTCATCAACATCTTGCAAACCCTCAAATATTGCCCCACAATATTCTACCATGCTTTAGCTCCTGACCCTGAGAATGATAGTCTTTCTGTTTTTGAAAAGCAATTCTCTGTGGCAATGGCTCCTATTGTAAAACTCATATTGGGAGATGATCCCTATGTCACCAATTCTGTTGAAGAATTTTTGATTAGCTTCCCGAAGAGTGCTGCCAGCAGCACTAACGAGAACGCTCATATGGGCCATTTGGCGTCAATAATCATTCTTGATTTAATTTCCAAAATGTGTATTTCCAAACACACAACCAGGGATGAACTGGAAAAGATGCTTTTCCTGTTGGCCGAGTTCGCAAGCCTGAGAATGGAATATTTTGACTATAAGAACTTCAGCCTCTCAAACCCAAAAATTCTTGAATTTCACAAATCAGGGAAATGCTCCAAATTGTTGCAAAGTTTCGAAAAGGCAGTATATTTGGGACTATTTTCAGATAATGCGGAAACTCACAGACAATCTCGCTTTTTGCTGAGCAACTTTCTGCAGATGGTCACAGGAGGGCATCACCTTCCCACCTGCTTCCAAAATACAGCATCTCACTTGGCGAGAGCAATTCTCTCAGATAAGCTCCCATCTGGAACTATGGCAATGAGAAAGAAGCTACGCGATCACCTGACCAACTTGGAGGCTCCAAATGAGATACTTCTCGACATCTGGAACACGATGTACGAGAGACTCAAGCTTTCAAATGCTCTGGAGTCTGGATCGTTAAAGTCCTCTTCATCGATGTCTAATTTTGATCAGGACCAATACGAAGATTACGCAGATTACTTAGCATCCCTAGGAGGTATTTTGATGTCTCCAGATTTTGAAGAGGATCCTCGTCACTATGTGTTTCAAGAGAAACTGAGGAAATTCCTGAATTTAAAAGTTATTAACCTTTTCTCATCAGATCCCAAGGAGCGAGAAGAGGCAAGAGAAGTCCTTTGTGTTTCTATGCACCCCTTTTTGTGTGGCGTTTATTTGGATCTGCTTACAAAACATTTCTGGAGATTCGAGTCAGCGTATGAAAAAAAGGATTATCACATATGCGAGGTCGTGGTAAGCGTTTTGCGGACTATCAGTCAAATTGACTATGAATCCTTATTTTTCCATACAGGGGAGTTTTGCGAACTCAACATGAAGATGTTAATCATGATGGATTCTGAGATTGATAATGACTACTCATTTTTGAAACTCAAGCTTAAACTTTGCAAATTGCAATCATCGTTTCTGCCTCGTCTTGATGACTTATCACTTAACGGGAACATTTTGAGAAAAAATCAGTATGCCAAAATTATCGCAAACTACCTCGAAAACTCATTCAACTATCGTTTCATCCAAGAAAAAGAAGACGAGAACAAGCGGGTTCTTAGATTTGAATACAAGACTCCTAACGCAAGTGTATCCAGGACACAGAAAGCTTTGCAACAGGACTTGAATGATATTCACTATGACATAAAAGTTGAGACATCGTTGATCCTCAAAATCATTCTATTTGGTCTTCCCTTGGATGCTTCCAATGGCGGTATGCATGGAAGGGTTCACGGTAATTTGGCAAACGAAGTGGCATTTAGCAACTATTTCAATTTGTTTGTAAGAATCCTCGAACACCTTGATGTTTCCGACCAATCTGAAGGTATGAACATGGCAGATCGTCATAGATCCTCAATTATTGTCAAAAACATTATTCAGGCACTCATCAATCTACTTAAGTCAAATTCTGACCTTGGGCTCAAACATTCTCTCCCATTGGGGTATCACGAAAACATTTTACTGAGGTCATCTTTCATAAACGTCTTTACAAGCATTGTGAAGAATCTCAGCATACAAATGAATACAGACTCAGATTTTCAAAGAAAGGAAATAATGACAGAAGGCCTTGGCCTCGTCGCCACCGACAGATTACTGCTATACTCGTGTACTCAAGTCTGTCCTACTTCAGAGGTTGACGATTTTGCCAAGTCCTTGCTTACACTGACAAACGATAAGGAACTGGAGCTTTCAATGATTACATCCTTACTTCGTGCGGATATACTAGACACGAGTGATTACGTTGAGATTTTAAGATCAAATACCGTGGCGACCCGGATGGTTGCCCTTTACTCGCACAGAGTTGCCAAAAATTACCTGGTGAGTATATTCAAGCCGATTTTTTATGAATTGCAAAACTCTGGCGAATACTTCGAAATCGAAAAGATCAGCGTAGACGACGAAAATTGTGAAGAAAACTTGCGCCTGTTTATGAAATACTTCACCATGATAGTTGACGCCATTACGAACTCTGTGGACCAGATTCCAAAAGGCCTAAGATCGATATCGAAGACAATTTATGATACGACATCTATCACATTTCCAGAATCTAAGCTTTCGGTTCTAGGAGCATTCTTATTCTTGAGACTATTTAATCCAGCAATTGTGTCCCCAGAAGGCTTGAATATTTTGCCGTTGATCTCTGTTCCGATGAAGCGCTCATTGATGCAAATTGCACGTATCCTGCAGTTGCTTGCCAATGAAAGTTCTGTCTCTGTTAAGATTCCACTTTTGCAGAATAAGATTGAGGACCTAAAGGAGCAAAAAGCCAAGATCAACAAATTCATGGTAGAGGTGACTAATGTTTCAGATGCCGCAATGCTGTCAGACGAGTCAGAGAACATCATAGACGAGAGTTGTATCGAAACCGAATACAGCTTCTTTCATAACTTTTTATACGACCACTGGCTTGATGTTCGCATGATATACTCTAAACCGTCGCCCATTTTTGATGTCCCTATGGAGGAACGGTTTGTAATGATTAGAGAAATTGACAACTTTCTTTCGAGGTCGGGAGTTCCCAAAAGGATCACTGTTTATGAAATTCCCGAATCTATCAGGAGAGACCAGTCCGAACGAGGAGTCCAATTGTACGATTTTATGTCGCAAGTTTCTTTGCCCGACAGACAATTCAAACCTATGATCAAGGAATCTATTACGAGGGACGGTTTTCCACTTGTAATTGTGGATATGTTCCAAATTTATTGCGAAGAAGAGAAGCCTTCACCCGAAATCTTGTGCTATCAGCTATTTCTCACAAGCAGCAAATACTGGGAAAATCCGTATTGCATCTTAATCGATTGCACGGCTTACAACAATGATACCTTATTGAGTCCAGTATTGGATTTGATGTTCACTCTTCTCGCTGAAAAATACAGGAAAAACTTGAAACGTCTATATTTTTTCAATGTCTCTCACAGGTACTTGATCTCTCTCAAGGAGGCAAAACATCATTTTGAAAATGCGAACATGCTGTCCGAATGCGAGGTGTTTTTTGTGAGCGCAAATGAAGACGAAAAGGCTTTAGCCAAACAGGGTCTTACATATTATACCAATGCCGTGACGAAGGATGCTAGAGTCACGTTCCATGATGTGAGTCTTTATCAGGAAAGCGTCAAACGGTTTGTTCCTGTGAACTTGAAGATTGGGAACAAATTCCTTCAGATATTTTCTGCTCAACCTCAAAAACTCAAATTTGGTCAAAAAATGAAAACGCTGTACCTTGTTGATATATATCCGATCACGACACTATCAACCATGAGTCCATCTAATTTTACAGGGGTTGCAAACGAAATTTCTACAACGGATACTATGACAGATTTTAGACTCATATTGACATCCTCCAAAAAGGCAGAAATCATGCGCACAATCTATTTCTCTAAATCCAAATATTCAGCGGAAGTTTTGGATAATGAAGAGGACAGGTCTATCGAAAAATCAATTGGAAAGCTTCTAAATATAATATTGACGGGTCTTCTTTCCCAATTTGACGAAGTTAGAAACGCTGCGTTCCGCTTACTCACAGCCATGACAGACTGTTTCAGCCTATCAGTTGGAAAAAAGATTGTTAGCAGTGATGCGATGGAGTTTCCGTATGGTGATGTGCAGTATATCTTTGCTCTATCTGACCAGCTTGCCGCTAATCACCCTCAGCTGACATACGACTTTTTGTCCGGATTTTTTGATACTCTTGACTATTGTCAGGAGCAAGAACAAGATGCATATGTCATATACTCTTCGCCATGGATCAAGAACATATTCAGATACGTTTATTCGGCCGATTCTATAAGGGGTCCAAGAAGAACTTCCGATTTAATTCGAAAGTTTGTTAGAGCAAGCAGGAAGTCCAAGTCCACGACGCTTGCCTTTGCCTTATATATATGGGGAGAGTTGTGCCTGGAAGATCGGCTGGTAGAAATTGTTATTGATGAAATTATATCTGCAGCCATTGATCACGAGGCCGAAGGCCACGGATGGGAGGAAATCACCAAATATTGGCCATTGACGCCCACGGTGGAAATATGTGGTTTACTGATTCATAGACTACGAGAGAGGTCATACTTCATCAACAATGACGAGTCGGAGTTGGAGTCCCACACAAGATGGATTGAAACGACAGTTTTGACGCGTTTTTTAACGTTTCTTGTTTTCGACTCCATAGTTTTTGTTCAGATGTATATCAGTGACATTTTTTACCTCGTGACGATATACATGGACCAAGGGCCATTGGAATTTCGTACATCCATTCTCCGTTTGGTAATGAGAGCATTCCATTCGTTTCTATCTCGTGAGGATTTGACTCCCGCTCAAATCAAATTGATTCGAGAGAAAATAGAGCTTTTTGAAGGAGCCAGATACCGAATGTTGTTTGGTTTAACTCGCTACGATGGAATCGCGTCCACTACAACCGAACAAGCAGGAATTGAGATGGTAAACAAATCCCATTCGATTGCTACAGTGACAGAATCTTTGATATCATTTTTAAAAGATCTTTGTGATCCAGCGGACTACGAACTGCATCTCATCAAATGGAATTCTTACGTGCTTAATATAGCCTTTTTAGAGGAAGCCCAACTTCAGGGACGTGCGATGCTCGTGTTGGGCAGTCTAGTCAGGGAAGGTGTCAGCTACAGCATTGTCACAAAATTTCTCAAGGTATTGGCAGAAATGCTTACAGTTCAGGAACATAAAATTCAGCAAGACAATGACAAGCTTTACATGATGATTTGTGTGCTACACTCATTTACGAAACTTACCGAAGGGGTTCCGTCTAGCTCTCCTTTTGCCCCACAATTCTTCTGGATTGGATTTGCTCTGTCTTTGTCCGATAATGTGATTTTTTATCAGTATTCGATAAAAATTATGAGTGCTGCACTGAAGAAGGTTGCCAATCATTTGAGTGAAACTGACGTCGAAATCAGAGACTACCTATTCAATCACAGGGCGGTTTTCGAAGGTGTTCTGGAGGAACTCGAATCAGTTCATGATATCGATGTCACCAAAGAACATTTCGATGTTTTGATGACAAGTGTTTGCTCTAAAGGCCTCCAAATCCCTTTCGCAACAGACCCTACATTTGGCTGCCTTGAGACACTTTTATCAGCCAGATACAGAGAAAGCATGAAGTTTGTGAAAAAATACCACAGGCAGTTTGATTTAAACACAATATCGTATGCCTTCTACCTATTTGTTTTCTCTCAAAATGACTCTGAACTTATGAGTACGCTGTACGAATGCGGCATGAGGGAGCTTGAATTGGTGAGAATAAGTGACAGTTATCATGTCCCAAAAGTGTTTCTTGATTATTTCGATTCAGATACTCCGGATGTTTATGTGAACACACTGAATTTATGTCGTTGCTTCAACGTTCAAAAAGGGGATGAAACGATTATTTACAAATGCTTGAAGCTCTACGATGTAATCACTCAGAGAAATCCTAAAATTGCTTGGCGCGCATTCAATTTTATGATCAAAACAATGAGAAAAGTAGCCGAGACTTCTTCATCCACTAGGCTGTTGCACACTACTCTGAATACGATTTCGGGTATGATCACACGTCAAGAATATAATAACAGAAATACTTATGCGGAAGAGCTTCTACTAAAGGTGGACGAGGCTGGCCTTAGCGGAGTAAAGGCCTGGGAGTTCACGTACTCAGATCGGTCATCAGAATTTCTTAGTCCTTTGGAGGCCAAGCAAAAATCCAAGAGAGACAAACTCATTAGAAAACTGGTGGAGAAGATCACAGCAGCTCACATACAGGAAGAATGACGTTTTGGCAATGCAAATTCGAGGTGGCGAATACATTAATTGTCTTATATAGAGCGAGTTCACATTATGCGTCCTATGACAAAAAGCTTCTGTCACTTATGAAGTTGTCGCGGTTTCTTTAATATAGTTTCGAACTCGGCTTTCGCAGACTTGTAGATCATCATCGTGGCCCTAGCATCTTCGACAGATGAGTGCTGGCCTGACTGGATCTCAACACCGAGAATCTCTTTGCTAAGCTTTTTTAATGATGGTGTTTTGCCCGCTGCATACTTTTTTCTGAAAGGTGAATGTTTCGCAGTATCTCTTATCATGAATCTTGGATGAGAAAGCATCAGGGCATCCAAGTCATGTCCTACATCATGCCCCACCAAAATTTTTCCGTGTAGTAAATCTGAAACCTTTTTTTGGGCTTCTTTAAAGGGAACAGCATCTTTCATATGCGCGGGAGTAACACCACTCACATGGGTTCGCCAATCTGTCACTTTTTCGGTTGGAAGAACGAAAGTGTCGTAAACAGTTATCCCGTGATAGTTTACCAGCGATACCCTAGCCAAGATCGAAGATTCCCCTTCTTCTCCGGCCCCCACAAACTCACAGTCCATGGCCAAATACTTGCCGACTTCTCTTTTCCTATGCGATACATTATTGGTAGACTCCGTGACTGTGAATTTCAGTGAGACACTGGGTTCTTTATCTGAAAGTGCAGATGCTTTGACAGATTTGGACACCATAGCAGCAGCTGATTTGGGTCGCTTTTTCGCTATTCCTTTGGTTTTGGATATTTGTTTCCTTTGCAGCTGTTTCCAATTGGAAGACAGTGAAAACCCCATTTTGATCTCTTCCAGTTTGCTGACTGGGGATATTCAAAATCTAATGATAATGAGTGCGTTAAATGTTAGTACATTTTAATTTTTACCAGGGAGGCTTCAAAAAAATTTCTTAGCACTGCCTTGAAGTTGTCATGCCCTCGATTGGGAAGCCGATTGATTACATAATGCTACGAAAAAAATGATTTTCATAATCGACAAAGATTAACTGTTTACTATCAACATTAGTTACAAACCTTTTTGCAAACATAGCTGCTTACATCGAAAGCCTATTCACCAATTGACAAGAAGATTGTTCAATACTGAAGACATTCTATAGCTCTAAATCTTCTTGACAGAGAAGCTCATTGCTCAACAAAACGAATGGGTAGTCAACTAAACAATTATTGTTCAAGTCACATTTTACTAGCCGCTACATTCAGCTACAATTTTCACGACGCAGAGTAATCCAGTGGTGTGAACTATAATTGACGTTCTTTTAAAGCTCATTGTAACACCAAAGTCCTTATACTTTCTATCATGAATACAGCTTCTCAATTTCAGCAGAAGCTACAAGCACAACAGCAACCACAACAACAATTTCAATCACCTTATGTTTATCAACAGCAGCAGCAACCTTTTGCTTCTTTGCAAGATGGTTTTATTCAGCGTCAACATCAAAACCAACCACAATCAGAGGGTTTAAATCCATCAAGCTTCTTGGCTCAAACCCTTTATCAAGGTGGATACAGGCCTTCTAATCAATCAGGCCAGCAAAGTCAACTTCAAAGCTTGCACCAACAACTTCAGCAATTACAGCAGCCAGGAACTCCGCAGCAGCAACAACAACAGTTGTTTTCCTTGCCAGGTCATCAACATCAGTTTCAACAGGCTCAGTCTCAGTTGTCAAGCGGACAGTTGGCCACACAAACCGAACTCAACCCTATTCATGTTGATGCTTCCGTATCAAGCCAGATTCACTGGCAACACCAGATGCAGCTGGCAGTTGTTGCCAAGAACTCCAACTTGCCTCATTTCTACGCACGTCAAGCCGCATCGTCGTCGAGGAAACTCATAAGCAATCCCGATATGTCGAGTAAGCAAGGAAACTCGCTTGTTGATATAACTAAGTCCCTTTTGGCCAGCGTTCAGGAAAGCCAACAAAGCCAGGATCAACAGCAAACTAATGAAGGTTTGATGCAACACAAAAAGATGAGCAACGACACTTCAATTGACGAAGAAGAAGAAGATCAGCGCATAAGAATCAAAGAAAACAACACGCAGCTCTGGACTGCATTAGATCTTAGTGGTCAGATGATAACAACCATTTCACCTAAATTATTCCATTATGGTTTCCTTAGAAGATTATATCTCAATGGAAACAACTTGAAAAAAGTACCAGAGGCAATTTTACAATTGAAGTCTTTACGTGTGCTTGATCTTTCGTTCAACATGTTAACGGAACTTCCTGGAGAATTAGGAATGCTTTTCAATTTAAAATATTTATACCTTTTCGGAAACGATTTGAAGGATGTTCCATATGAATTTGGAAATTTATACCAACTTGAGTTTTTGGGAGTGGAGGGAAATAAAGATTTCAGTCAGGAATTTGTCAATATCATTGCAAAGAAGGGAACTCGTGGCTTGATAATTCATTTGAGGGATGAAGCACCACGCTTGCCTCCTCCTGAACCCCGTAAATGGATAGAAATTGGAGATGATGGGGAACCTAATCTGAACCCTGAGGAGCAGAAGCCGGCAATCGAATGTGATCTCTCTTCAAACGGCTCTAATTCGTTCACTTTGATGAGCTACAACACTTTATGTCAACACTATGCCACTCCAAAATATTTCAAGTACACCCCATCGTGGGCGCTCGCTTGGGAATATAGAAGGCAGAAGCTTACAGAAGAAATACTTTCGTACAAAACAAACATCATTTGTCTCCAGGAAGTTGAAACCAAAACATATGAAGAATATTGGGTTCCGATAATGGAAAGCAATGGTTATAAGTCTGTTTTTCATTGCAAAAGTAGAGCGAGAACCATGAATGATAAGAATGCAAAGAAAGTAGATGGTTGTGCTACGTTTTTCCAGACCTCAATGTTCGAATTGATCGACAAAAAAATCATCGAATATGGAAGAGTGGTAATGACTCAAGACAAATATAAAAAGACTGAGGACATATTCAATAGGTTCATGAACAAGGATAACATAGCCTCCATCTCTATATTGCATCATATTCCCACCGGAAATAAGATTGTATTAGCAAACACACATTTACATTGGGATCCAGAATTTAATGATGTGAAAACAATGCAAGTTGCAGTCCTCTTGGAGGAATTGCGCGTGCTTCTTCTAAAATATACGAATAACAAAGATGAGTTGAATAAAATCCCATTGGTGATATGTGGTGATTTCAATTCTCAGAGAGACTCTGCTGTATATCAACTGTTCTCTCAAGGTTCAGTGAAAGAGCATTATGATATCAAGGGAAGGGATTACGGAAAATTCACTTCTGAAGGATGCACGCACCCATTCCATTTGAAGTCCGCCTATGGAGCTATCAACGAGCTTCCATTTACGAATTTCAGTCCTACCTACACGAATGTCATAGAATATATCTGGTACTCAACTGGAACATTGTCTGTTAGAGGTTTGCTAGGAGAAATGGATCCCAACTATGCCAAAAGGGTCATTGGACTACCGAGTGCAGATTTTGTTTCTGATCACTTACCATTGATATCTAAGTTCGAGTTCAAGAAATCATCTTCAGCGAAGAAAGTTAAGGCTGATTTCCGAGACGGCAGTTTTTCCAGAAAGACTTGAGTCGTTAGTTTTCTACTTATTTACGTTTACTGCTATGTGATTAGCTATTAGTCGTATTTTTGTGCACTTTATCTTATTGTAAAAAAATGGCATTACAATAATTTATCAAAAATGAAATCCGGGGAAACACAAATAAGATTTTTGAAAATAATCTTTTGATGAAGTAATGAGGATTGTTACAGGATTTAGAAAATATAGGCCTGTAAGTCGATCATATTCAATCACCTTGGACAATTCTATAACTAGGAGAAGAAATTGGTTTGATGTCAGTCCTTCAAAAAGACAGTCTGGAAACGAGACCATCACTGTGTCTACTTACAACCTTCTCTCTCAGCAATACATGTGGCCAGAAGTTTACAATCACATACCCGCAAAATTCACAAGCTGGCAGTATAGGCTAGCTCTTATAAACAAGAATTTAATGGACTTATCACGGCTAGCAGATATCATGTGTTTTCAAGAGATGGAATTCAATGTTTATCAGAAAACGTGGAAACCCTTGTTGAAAGATCAGGGTTTTGATTCCATTTTTCAAAAAAAGAAGCCCCCTGTTTACTGGATCAAAAGCGAAGACCAGTTGGATGGTGTGTCTATTTTTGTCAACTCCAATAAATTTGACCTCCTTGGCTATGAGCCAGTCGAATACTCTGAACACTTTCAAAATCCCGAATATTTCACTCCAACTCGCGACTTAAGAGAACGTGCTATGCCTAGAAATACTGTTGCTCTCATTGCAACAGTAAGACACAAGAAAACAGGAACGATCATATTTGTGACGAACACACACCTATATTGGTCTCCTGAATTCCCCGATGTCAAAGTTCTGCAAACATACCTGCTCGTTCGTTTACTCAGGAGAACAATGAGAAATTTCTATAAAGTAAATGACCACCAGCTCAAAGAGATTATGCGCATGGGAGAAGCGAGTGCTCTTTTGGTTGGGGACTTTAATTCCACTCCTGACTCCATGGTTTATGAGTTTCTACAAAACGGCTCGCTCGACATTGCTAAAGACACCCGGTTCAATTATGACTATGGCGAACTGGATGGTGACATATTGGATACGGGTCTTCTAGGATTTGAGTCCCAGTACAGATCATTGGTAAACTCCTCTGAATTTCAGTGCCGTAAGCATAGTCAACCCTTCAAAAGATTTATTGATTACATTTGGGTGAACAAATACAGCAAGAATTTGACACCTCTTCGAGTTCTCGGGGACATAGATATTGACTCTGTGAATGAGTTTCCATGGTTTCCTAATGAGTCGTATCCAAGCGATCATCTTCCCATGCTAGCTCAATTTGGAATAACTTAAGTTACATTATATAACACATCGGAAACGCGCACATTATGATTCACCGTCATTATTGTATAACTCTATTTTTCAACAGTAGACTTTAGAAGTGCCCATTACAATTGTCCTCCCATTGAAGCGCATAGGATAGTAATCTGTAATCAAGGGTGCTTTCTCTAGTCGAGTACGTGAGACTATCAGCTTTACTTCCTAGGTCAGGAGCATTGGGAAAGTGGTTGAAATCTTAAATAATTCATAATATAGTTCGCCGTTACCTATCTACACCAAAATCTGCTTAGACAGCTGCCATTAAAGATCTTTCCTGAACAGCTATTTTGCGTGATCACCCATAAGAATAATACAATACTCTGAATTTCAACATTTTTTATCTCAGAATAAAATACGAGTTTAGTCAGGTTTTTGCGTGGGAGTGAATTATTTTTTCCAACGGCCCAAATTATGGTTACTAATGGCTGATCTATAAAATCTTGATAAGAAATACTTAATACTTTTTTGGAATGGTATTGAAAAAAATCAAAGACGAGCTTGGTCCCAGCTTGTACTTCACTGAAAGACAAACAAGGAGGTCAAGGCTGACTGCAAGTGCATCAAAGATTTCGACTGCTGATGAGACTAATGATGCAAAAGAAATGTCTGAATTTGAGAGCAAAGAATTGTTAAGTAGTTCACCGCAATCAAATAGGCAACACGATCTAATGATTAGCAAGCGCCGAAGAAGTCAATTTAAGACGGAGAACGACTCAAAGGATTGGATCGCAGCAGCTAAAACCAAAAAACAACGAGTGTCACGAGTGACTTCCACAGAAACTCTGCCGACGCGACCTCCGCCACATTTTTGGCCCATGTACAACCAAATCAAGAAGATGAGAAGCAGGATTAAAGCACCCGTTGATGAAATGGGCTGTGCAAATGTTGCGACTGCGGTCTCTGGTCTTTCCGATGGAAAAGTGTACAGATTCCAGTGTCTTATATCGTTGATGCTCTCTTCTCAGACTAAAGATGAGGTTAACTTTCAAGTGATGAAAATATTACAAGATTATTTCATTTCCAAAGGCTATGAACATGGTTTGTCTTTGGAGGCTATACTTGACATCGACGAACTCGTCTTGGATCAGCTAATTTATAAGGTTGGTTTTCATCGCAGAAAAGCGACATATATAAAACAAACGGCCATCATTCTTCATGAGAAATACAATGGAGAGATTCCTCGAACAATCGAGGAAATTACTTCATTTCCTGGTGTGGGTCCAAAAATGGGATTCTTGTTGTTGCAAATAGCCTGGAATATCAACACTGGTATTGGAGTGGATACACACATGCAACGAATGGCGAGAATATTCAAGTGGGTACCTGCAAGCAAGAATATGGATCCTGAATATATAAGGCGATGTTTTGAAAGTATGCTTTGGGACCACAAAGAGGAATGGTCAAGAATCAATCCCATATTAGTTGGTTTTGGTCAAGTTGTTTGTTTACCTCAGAGGCCAAGATGTGATGTTTGCACTTTGTCAAGGACAGGTATCTGCCCTGCAGTCGATAAAGCGTTGTTGAAGAAGGCCGATATGGACAAAAAAAATGGTATCAAGATTGATTCAAAAAGCAGAGGTGATCTTACCAATTTGATCAAAGACATCGAAGACCTATGTTAAGATTGAATCAAGCCCGTGTGTTTTCTCCTCATATACTGTGTCCATTATGTCTATGGAAACTACTTGGACATTTGCAGATAGACTGTGCAATTCATCATGGGAAGACATAGGTAAGGTATAGGTCAGAAATGCTCCTAACAATAATTTGAGCATAGTGTTCAAATAGCAGTATCTTTCTCGTCATCCAATGAAACACCTTGATAATGAAACCTTTTCCTGGATTGAGGAATTTCGATTTGACCGCATGAAACACTCTCGGGTCTCTCCGTTGTGTGCTTCAATTTACAAAGCACTTGCTGAACTGTTGATACCAAACCAAAAACATTTGAACAGCTATTCAAATTACACTGAAAATTCAAGGGGTGTGACTGACCTGAAAGATTTCTGTAGATGCATGTTAGATTCGAATTAGTGATGATTAACATAAGGAAGCTTGTTGCTCAGATACCAATAACCGAGCATTTTGCTTTCCGCCACCAAAAGGACATCAATATCCTTGTTCTAATGAATAAGTCTGGTAGATTCATAAATCTAATAAGGGCTTCCCGTCAAAACATAAGAATTCCCTACCTTACCACAATATTTTCCTCCATACTCACTTTGAGGGAAGTCAAAGAACCACCATGTTTTTTGAGGGTGAATAATCAGAAGGTACCAAGAGGGAAATTGATGTCAAAAAGGTGTATAGCATGAAGACATCATCTTGAAACCCTGTAAAGTTGCATTGTGTCTATTATGACTTTTCTTGTCGTCCTGCGACGAACTATGATAGGTTGGTATGCATTGTCGGCTAATTTCAAGTATCATGTCAAACTGTTCGAACATTGCGGCGCTATATACATAGTAATAGAATATTTGTATGGAGTTCGCGTGAAGAATCATCCATTCTCTGGATTTTGCGTACATCCTTTACATAGATAGGACTCAGCTTCTGAAAGCTCAATATCTTCATCCGGCGTGTTTTCATCGACAGTGTTTCATCGATTAACTAGAGATCGGATAACCAACCCCCTCAGTTGCTACTTGGTCAGGGGTTTGCATATCTGGTAGCTTGAAATAACACACAGCTAACATTATTGCAAAGCTTGTGATACAGTGTTTTCACCTGTGACACAATCCTCAGAAACCTGCTAGTTAATTAATTGATTTGTCCGTATATTGATATTTTTTTGATGTATTTTGAAGATATAAAATGTTTTGGTAATTTTTTTCAGGTAAAAAATGGCTCACGTCTTGATACATAGGCGAGAGTGAACGTACTTCATTTACAGTGTCCTCAATGTCCAAATGTCTTTGAGCTGAGGATTTCCTCTACCATTTGGGTTGCTGAGAATTGGCAGCGTCACTTGATAAATGCAGGACCATTTAGATTCAGATTCTCATCATTTGCAATACCTTTCTCGTAGTTGAGCTGTCTCGTCCTCCTTGGTTGGGCTTGTAAGATTTGAAAGTAACTGAGACTGGAAAAACGAGGTCTACCCGGGCACCCCCGTGTTAAGTAGCACTTGCGGGAAACCCACCAAATAAATGGGCTCTTGATCCCTTTTGTAGATCTTCATGGTCTGATAGAATTTTACTATTGAAGCGCAGACACTCCACGTTTTCTTTATGCTCACTAATTACAATCGGCGTTCGTATACTTCCAAACTTCGGAAACTCGGTTGGTCATATCGTGTACTGAAAGGCCTAAGGGTTTTTTGTTTATAGTATAAGTAATAAAGCATATTTTGACAGAATTTTTAGGGCCTTACTTATCTTGATCATGATGTCATTTCAAATCATTTTATTTACAAGTTTCCGAAATGCTTTGTTGGACTCAAATGTTCACTAATTTGCTCCACCAAGATCTCTGATTCACATCAATATTACATTACTCCATTTTAAAAGCAACACCTTGAGCATACGTATACTACAACAGTCAAGATTATAGGTAACTGCACTGTTCAAAGGATTTCAAGGCATTATTGTTTGCAAGCAAATCTTATCAATCGTATACAAGCTCTTCTTTGTTTTTATTATGATACTTCTCCATCGCATAATCTTTGGATGATTTCTTGACTTCTTGGGCAAGCTTTTTTCCCAGCTCACCTTTCTCGTTCTTTTTCCTTTCCTGTTCGTATCGATCTTTCGCAGCTTTGGCGGCAAGCTCTTTGGCGCTTAGACCGTTAGCTTCATTTTCGGTAGCACTCCCCAGCCGTCGTCCTTCATTTTTAGCTGCTTTTGCTTCCATCTGATTTTGAGGAAAAGCTGGATTTCCTGGTGTCTTTGGTGCCTCCTTCGATCCACATATTCCCATTTTGGAGAGTAATATCAAAACTTTGTAGAATGTGAGCACAGATCTCGTCAACAAGTACTCTTCAGTACGGAGTTGGAATACCTCTATCCGAATTGGTCCTCTACAGTAAAGGTAACCAATAACTTCAGAATAATTATAAGAATTTGGGAATTGAGCCGAGAAAGTATATACAAATAAATAAAAATGATAAAATTACACTTCCTTTAATTAACCTTCAAACTTATCTGGTGGTCCTTGACAAAGAAATCCAGTTGATTCAATGTTATTTCTTCAGCATCTATTTTTCTAATGTTGTTGAAGATGTGAGAGTAGGCAGCATTGAGTTTCGTGTCTTCTCGCTGATACGAATAATAGTTAGATGGAGTTGCAAAATATGGTGAGCATTTTTTCCAAAGCTTGAAGTACAAATCAACTTTTTCTTCCGATACTATCTTAGAGTTGATTGTTGCATCCCTTATAGCAAGCCAGTCCGCATTGGCAATTTTTCTGTAGCCCATGGAAACATTTGCTGAAAACAACCTTTGTACCAAATTGATGATCTCAGGGGCCTTCAAATTCACTGAGCCAGAGGCCTTCAAACAACAACGATAGAAAACATTGGTTTTCGGGAAATTATATAGGTCTGCTGCTTTGACAATAGTATGGAACACTTCAGTATTATTCCAAGCTGAAGCATTTGTAAGTAGGCAATTGAAAAAGGGCTCATCCATCGATCTGACGTTTGAATAAGCTTCAATCACCTGTTTGAGATGTTTGACACCATCAGGAGTGCAATGAGGGTATCTTGAAAAAAAAATCTTGAAGAAGAGATCATTCAGCGATGATGACATAGAAGCATTAGATCGATGGTGTATCTCGTTATGTTTCCACGTTCGTTCCCAAACTTTCTGCACCGAATGCAAATCATAAGTTGATTGCCAGAGATTCATCATGTATGGCTTTATGTAATTCACTTGTAGAGGAGTAGGGTATGGTAACTGACCGTTCGCAGCGCTTTCAAAAAACATATTTGAGGTTGCAATATCGGACGAATAAGCAATAAATGAAAGATGTGCATTCGTCATATAACTCAGCGTTTTCGGTGATGGAGTTCTATTCAAATTTTCGCATTCTTTGCAGACATCAGATGTTATTTGTTGGAATAATTCCCCAGCGACATCTATTTCACCTTTCACAAGACAAGCTTTAATCATGCCAACTACTAACTCTGGGTGAATGTCAGATTTCCCTTTATTCAGCTTCGCCTTTTTGCTTTTGATATGATCATACAAATCTTTGACCTCTTGCAAGTCAAAATCACCCGTATCAACCAAGAAGTGGATGACGCTACCTAAAACTGGCTCCGAATCAAATATTGGTTTCAGTCTATTATTAGTCTTCCCTTGCTCCCAAAATTGTACAGCTTCCTCAACAAAGCCTAAGTCCTTGTAAGCTTTGAATATGTTAGATATACCTGCAGGGCTGACCTGAAGCGTAGGGTACTTCAATATCTCGTTCGTTACCTTTCTCAACGATTCCGTCAGGTAAGTTTTGGTGCTTTTTAGCGAGTGATCCAAGTCCTTGTCCAGATTCTTCTTTTGCTTGGCCAGCTCGTACCTGTGTATTCTTAATCCATTTCTTAGAAGAGATATCAAGCTGTCCATCCTGTCTTCTTTTAACTCTCCTGTATGCACAAGATTATCATACAAAGGCATAATTTTATGTATACTTTGCCAAAATGCTTCAAGTCCACCAATCACCTTTCCTGTCCTGCTATCATATGTGCAATTTTGGGATGTACATTCGTCGAATGCCACCAGCTGTTTGTAGTATGGAAGTGATTTCTTTGGCAAATGAGAAATCATATTTTTGAGTTTTGGAAGAAGTTCATTGAAGTCCTCTGTGTGGGTAGCATTCCCCACTTGAGTATGAGAATACTGTCTGATACGAACCGGATGCCGTCTAATAGTGGTGCATACTCTTATAAACCCACGCGATTTCCAATTCATTATGGAATTCTCAGAACAAAATAACTTTTTTTTTCCATATATTTAGAGCTGAATAAAAAAAAGATAAATCTGAGTTTTGGGATAAAGAAAATTGTTTTTAATCTAAGTTTAGCCAACTGATTTGCATTGTTAACTTGTTCCGTACTTTACTAGAACTGGAAGTTCTTGACCGTTTTAATGGCGCCATTACCTCCACTGACAGAATCTCTTGTTCATTTTCTAGATCCATACCTGCCACGAAAAGTCCCGATAGCATCATTAAATAGATCCGATACTGATGAAAATCTTCCGTTTATTACTTTAACATTTGCACAATCAATCGATTCAAGGATTAGTAGCTCTCCTGGAGTCAGAACCTCAATTTCACATCTAGAAACTAAAACCATGACCCATTATCTACGATCGAAGCACGACGCCATACTCGTTGGAATCGGTACTTTCTTGGCTGATGATCCAAGTCTGAATTGTCGTTTCAAGATAAATGATGACGACCCAAATCATTTGATAAGACCTGTCATTATTGATCCCACATTCAAACTGGGCCCTTTTTATGAAAATTCTAAACTAAGACAAGCTTACTTGGAGAAAAAAGGTCTTCCGCCAATTGTTTTAGTGAAATTGTCCACGATCAATTCAAACCCCGAAATCGAAAGCTTTTGCCTTCACCATGATATTGTGCTGCTTCCATTAGATAATGAGTCAGCACCCAGATTTCAATGGATGGTAGTTTTCAGAGAATTGAAGAAGCGATCCATCAGGTCAGTCATGGTTGAGGGAGGCGCATCGGTAATTAACAGTTTGCTTTTATCCAGAGATTCGAGTAGTGGGAAGCCCCTGATTAATTCATTAATCATAACCATCGGTCCGGTTTTCTTGGGCAAATCAGGAGTTGAAGTATCCCCATGTAAAGAACTCCACCTTACAGACGTATCTTGGTGGACCGGGGTGCAGGATTCTGTGGTATGTGGTCACCTGAACTGATAGTATTTCTCAAGAGTTTTTAGCTTCAAGTTACTTGAGTAAATGCTAGATTGATTGATTAATTTCGTTCATTGGGACGTATCTTTTATACAGCGATCAACCTTAAAGACAAATTCTATAGGATGCGTATCTTCCTGACGTCTCGGATCTTCTAATAATCTTGACAACCTGTCCCCGACGGAGTCCCAAGTATCGAGCAACAGGGTCTTCTCTTTGAATTCTGGGTAACTGCGATTCTTTTAATCTATACCGCGCCAGCAATTCTTTTTTCTCCTCAGTCGACAGTCTGATATGTTTAGGAACTAATTCATGGTGAGTGATGTTGACTATGATGTCAGCTTCCTGAAATGTCTCGATAATGGCTGGTTCTGCAACCGCGATCGCTTTTGTGGCCGAAGGAGTCATGTTCTGCTGATAGATAAAAATACCAGTAGCAAAATTCTTGTCTGCAATATGCTGGCAGAAATTCTTCATAGTAGTTATTCCGACAGAAGGCTCATCGCAGAATTCAACCCATAATGGTCCCAAGTCACCGTATTTTTCAGCAGCTTCTTGTGAAGCATTTGCTTGAAATGACATAAGTTTTCTTTGTGGCATTCCCATGGAATCACAGATCTTTTCTCTGAATTGGTCAAGAGATATATCAATTTCCTCTTGTGTTATGTAATACCCGCGATCTCTCACCATTTCCTTCACAGTCCTATAAGCCCTCCACAATCGAGAGGTAGTGCGCTCAATATCATCCATGTTTGAGCGTGTTTTTTAGTAAGGATTGGGAAAAATCAGTGATATGCTTCTCAACTAGCAAGCACAATATTGGAGTATTCCAGATTGACACACACCCACGCCTTAACAAGTTTACAAGGCCGATTTAAACCTAACCAAATTCACCGAAACGAGAAAAAACTTTTAAAAAATAATTATACATTGTCTTCCGGGTAACTAGTAGATCAGCTTTCAAAGTTGAACACTAATTCAGTGTCTGCACTTGTCCTCCATATTCGAGTCTTCACCGTAATTAGAGTCATGCGAGGGTCCAGTTTCTGACCCTTACACCATAATTCAATTTTCTTGTCCTGCAATGATTCCGGTAGCTTTTCTTTGACAAACTCACACACTCTTGCAATTCGTAATTGTTGATAAGCATTTAGGCGGTGTGAATCAAAACCTTCCAGACTTTCAGCTTTAATCGACGGATGGGGAACAAGTGAGAACACAATTTTTGGAGTTTCTTTGACAGTGGCGTAACCAAATAGCAAGTATTTGAGAGCCCATAAAGGCATAATCTTCTCCAGTGCTTTATAGTTACTCGCAATTTCTGATTTTCGGAAACTAAACAAAGCTTTTGTTTCGGTCTTTCCCTTTTCGCTTATGACTATAAGAACATCATTGGACTGGGTAACTTCAGGGTTATGATCAACATCAATTTTCGGCTTAAGTTGACCTGAAGCAACATAATTTTGCAATTCACTGTAGCTGCTAACATTAGTCAATATGTCTGCCTGTGTCAACTTTTTGGGTTGTTCAGCGGAAGAAGCCTCATTATTCGAGGGGAGAGTCGTGCTAGGAGAAGCAGTTTTGACCTTGCTGAAGAACTTCCGTTTTGACTTTTCCTTGTCCGCTTCGGATGACTTCTCACCAATGGAGTCATTGACACTTGCCAGGGAAACCAGATTTTCTTTGTTAATGACTTTCGTTAAAACATTCGATGAACTCGTGGAAACGCGTCTAATAGTAGCCTGATTGCCAGAGAAACTTGCACTTCTCGTCCTGAGAGAATCTCTCTCATAATCAGCAAAACCAAGAAATAAGGATTTCAGTACCATCTTTCCAACATTCACCTTTGTCGATTCTGGTTCCATGTTTTCATCATAGTCAAACCTGAAATTCTTATATTCCATCTCAAATTCGTCTAAGTAGATATCGCAGCTAGCATAATTTGATTCCTCCATAGTGATCACCAATTTCCCAGCTTTTGCATGAGCGCTACACCACATCGGAAGAGATTCCATAGTTTGGATACTTTGAATAAATTCATCAAATAGTGTATCAATGTCCATTTGTGCCCCTTTGTTATCATGATCAAAAAAGTGTATCTCTCTTTTAAGCGAGCAATCCACGACATCAAAAATGTACATCTTGCCACCATCATCCAGAGCGGCCACATGTCGGCGATTATTCAGCATTCGGCATTTGATGATTCCATGTTCTCCACGCAAAACCTCAATCGGCTTGGAATTGTAAGGAACAACAGAAACGTATCCATCAGGTAGTTTTTGAAAAAGGATGTCTAAAGGTTTTTTGTCAAACTTATTCCTTATTGTATTGTGAATTGAATCCTCGTAATCATCACTGATAATGAATTCGAAGCTTGGACCCCCGTTTAGATTGACAAAATATGATTGGCGTCCATCATCCAATTCTGATTCGCTTTCCGAATCGTTCGTAGTAATATTTCTCAAACCACTTGCAGCGGATAAAGGGCCCCCAACTTCAAAGGTGGGCCTGTGTAATTTCATTTGTGATTTCAAAGCATCATCAATATAATCCAAATTTTCACTTGATAGTTGACTAGCTATGTCAAGGTTTTCCGCACGGGTGGTTTCGAGTGAGTTTCGACTCGTTATATTCAACATCGACAGATTTTTGTTGAGCTTGATGCCTTGATAGAGCAGGAATTTGTCTGTCTTAGGAATAACCCAATTAGTAATGAACCCTAAATCATTATTGGCGCTAGATGCCCATATAGAACTGCTAGAGCCTGTAATACTGAGAACTCCTGCTTTATTATATTGTCCATTTCTGTTCGAATTGAGTACAGAATGGGAATTCAAATCTGCAAGTGCGGTGGCTATGCCAAGATTTTGATTCATTCTAGAATTCAAGTAATCCTCGTTGAAAATATCAAAGTCGCATAGGTTGGACGATCGCAAATCCGTTTTGATTAGAAGGCCGTTCTTGTCACCTGAATAGAAAATATCAAAATCTGATTGCTCTTCGGGCACATAAAGCGACCAAACAGACGATTCATGTATATCTAGATTCCTCATTATCCTGTTTGTCCTTAAGTCCCATAGCTTTATCGTCGCGTCAGATGACCCTGAAAGTATTCCACGTTCTTTCAGGCATATACTGCGAACGGCATCTGTATGACCAATAAATGATCTTACTGGTTTTTTCATACTCCGTTTGTCAAACAAGTAAATAATATGCGAAGGACCCCCAGAAACTATCAAATTTCCGTGACAACCAAGTGCATACACAGATCTGTTCTCTTCTGTCGCCGTGAAAGATGCAGTTTCTTCTTGTTTCTCTATATCCCAAAGTCTTATCGATCTATCAAGACCTCCCGATACAAGCTCTTTTCGATTGAAATTCATTGACTTGACATAGTCATTGTGAAACCCAACAGTTGAAATAACATTTGTCTCATAATTCCAAATTTTCACTGCTGAATCATGCGAACAAGATGCCACTAAAGAAGTTTGTGGAAGGACACACATATCAGTAATCCAATCTAGGTGCATCTGAGCCGACTTTATTGCTCTGTAACAGGATTTTCGAGGCCTCACGTATTCCATTCCCCGGCGAATACTTTCCTCGAGAGATAAGATGACTGGTTCGTTGCTCAAATTATTTTTAATGAAGCATTTGACTTCGGATGCGGTGAGGTCCAGTTGATCAAAGTCGTCGTGATCTGCATCTAATTCCAGCTCTTCAGAGGGAGAATGCATCAAAATCATGCCATCTCTTCCACCCGAAAACATAACCTCTCTGTCCAGGTCGTATTCAAGTGAGTTTACACCCAAAGAATGCGTACGATAAGTATTCGAGTCGATGACCGCTGTGTCTAAAATGTAGCTGATAGTGTATTTGGAATCCTTGAGTGAATTCATTGCAAACCTTGGTAAAGCTTTAACTTTTTTTACACATAAGTTCTCTCAAAGTTGACTGGATTGCGCACGTCGTCTCTAGCTAGGTCGATTGAAAGTCGCGAACGTCAATTAGAAATATAACATGCATCCAACCTTACAAGCAAATACATCAATCAACAACTTTTCAATATTTTATTGCCACCCCGCCTAGTAACTTTTTCAGTATGTCGTGGGCAGCTTCAAGTGCAGCAAAAAAAAAACCGAGCCTTTCCGATAATTTTTGAGGTGACACAGAACGATCTCCCATAATCTACGTTCTTATTGATAGTGAACCTGATCGGGTTATCAATTATCGCAGATATCTAATAGTTCCCGAGGCTCTGAAATACTCATTACCAGTTGGACTATTCCTTAGCATAGGTGGCGAAGCATCAAGAAGCACCCACAAACATTAGTACTTTACTTTGTTCGCGATCGCAGACTTCTGAGTTTCCTTAACTACAAAAGTATAGAGGCTTGAGCTTAGGTGATAATGGGCAATACACCAGCTAAAGAAACACGTTCTCCATCGGGATCATTTTCAAAAGACAATGTAGCATCGCCAAAATCTTTGGTCGGCTTGTCTAAAAGAAAGAAAGAGAAAGATAGGGAAAAACGAAGACAAAAGGAACAGCATATGCTGGATCTAATAGTTCGCTATCAAGAGAATGTAGATGGAGGCTATTTAGCACCATATGGAAACTATAAAGATGGTCTGAATTATAAAACAGATGTTGTTCGAGAATTAATAATTGAGAGAAAACTAGCACCATTTTATACACCACTGGAAGATTTTGACGAAAACTGGACAGATAGTGAACTTCTAAGTCGCCTCAAGCGTCTTAAGTTGCATGCACCAACAAGTGAATCATTTTTAGATGAGGATGAAGATCCAGATGATCATAAAATACACCAAAGTGCTAGTTCCATGCGAAGAAAAGAACATAAGGCATTCAAACGTCATCTTTCCGAGATGGCAGTAAAGTTCCAGCGTGATGCAGAGTCTCGATTTACTAGAGATAAATCAGTCAGTGAAAGCGGAATCAAATCTTATCCGAATATCCCCTCAGACGACCTTCTGTTGACGCTTTACCGGAATGCTGTTGAGTGTCCCATATGTTTTCTTTATTACCCTCCGAACCTCAATTTGTCGAGATGTTGTGTTCAGCCAATATGCACGGAATGTTTCGTTCAATTGAAACGCTTAGATCCGCATCCGCCTCACGACGAGGGAGCTGCGCCTAATAGTTCGAGTGATTCGGAGAAAATTGCTGAAGAGCTTATAAGCGAGCCAGTGAATTGTCCATTTTGTGCAATGTCTGATTTTGGCGTGACTTACTCGCCGCCTAATCTATGGACTGGTATCGGCGGACGACCGCCGAGAGATTTCAATTTTGCACCACAAGTGATTCACGAAGATCCCGAAACCAACCAGGGTCCAAGTCGTTCTCGCGAGTATCAAAGGAAAACTTCTCTTAACTATGCGATGACGAAATCTCACTCTGCATCAGGCACTCCGCCCAAAAAGCCTGTTATATTCTCGGAGCACAGGACGAACCAAGGTCAAAAGAGTTTTGACGACTCAGTGTCCATAAATTCTAAGAATAGTGATAATAGTTCTCAAACCCAGAATGTTGCAGGTTTTGATCCTGCACGGAGAAGAAGAGGTTCTTTGCCTGCGACGGCGCCTGGAGTAATAACAGTGGACCTCATCCATCCTGATTGGGAACAAAAATTACTGAATGCGAAGTCAAAGCTGGCAAGGAGATCTGCTGCTGCAACTGCTTTGCATGCGTCATCTTTAATCTATGACCGAGATGAATCTCAGCATACGTATTCGAGCAGGTTCGAAAGGTCGTATCGGAGAAGCGACAGCTCTAATGTGAATGATCACAATAGTCATACAAGCGTTGAGGAAAGAATGATAGAGGCAGCTCTCAAGTTGTCATTGCTTGACGAAGAAGAAAGAAAGTTGAAAGAGCGTTTGAAGAGATAAGGGCCAATTTATGTTTGATGCGTTTTCGAGAATGAAGCTACGATATAACATTTGTTTAATTAACTATTTATGAAATCGAATTTTGTACACTATTTTCTGTTTCATACTTCGTGATTGATTATTATTGGGTCAGGACAACCAAATAAGGAGGACCCAAGCACCACCATATCCCTAGATCTATACCCTTGATACGCGCCTCAATTCCCGCAGTTATTGGATGGCGCTCATTTGTGGACCTCGTTTTAGCCATCTTTGTCCTTGAAAAAATAATGGCATGATGATGTAATAAATATTGCTCTATGCTCACTACCATAGTAAAGCTTCGGTTATAATCAATCATAAAAAGTAATTTACAACTTTTTAACAAATTTTTGGTCTCTTAGAAACTTTTCTTGACAGCCTATACTTGTTATTACAAACTGCTGCTGGGTTTCTTGCTGTATTCACACTTTTACTTTCAGCTAAAAGCCGTTAGTTTTTTTGAATTAAAACTTTGAGATCTAGCAAGCGTTGGTCAATGGAAAATGGAATCGAATTCAATATGGGACATATACATGTCAGCCAAAAATATATTGCCACTTTATCCTAGAATAGAAAACAGAAATTTGAGGGAAGAGAACATCAAAATACAACAGAGGCTTAATGCCAAGCCAGGTGATAAAATCCAAAGTCAGATTAACGGAACTGCCCTTACCCCAAGTTCAAACTCACATGTTTCGTCTTCACCTATCGCAATGAAGAATGATAGAAGCTACAGTGGCAAGCAAGAGCTTACAAAGAATGCCCTCGGAGAAGAATTTTCATCCGATAGCAACATGAGTTGTTCTAATTTGATAACACCACCAAGTGACCTTCAAACGAGCGTTCAGCCTGCAACTTCTTCTCCAGCAACGAATTCAAATTTTGTCACACCTATATCCATGTCTGAAAGCCCCAAAGGTGTGCAGAATAAAAAGACGAGGGAGCTGAATGATATGTTACAACTGAATTTAGATGATTTGTTGGACCTTAGAAACGACAGAACACTTTTTTGTGATCATGATCCTGAACTATTCAAAAAGTACTCTGGTACACTTTCGAACAGTCTAAACCAGTTCAAGTCATCCCCGTCCGTTTCATCGCAAAATATGACCGTTTTTTCTCAAAAGCCAGAAGGTTTTGGAAGAAACTCTTTTGATTCAAAATCACAATCTTCGAATGCTGAATGGGATAATTCAACTTCTTTAGCATCCAAGCCTAAAGATATCAGCGTGATGAAACAGGCAACCAGTAGTCGACAAACTCATTCAGATAGATTTTCTGTCACTCCTCCATCGAAGCCTCTCTCCAAGTGTTTTAATTGTGGGACTACTAAAACCCCTCTTTGGCGGAGAGACTCCCAGGGCAATACTCTTTGTAACGCTTGTGGCTTATTTCAAAAGCTTCACGGGACCATGAGACCCTTATCACTTAAAACGGACATCATAAAGAAGCGAAATTCGAAGCGGCAATCCTTTAGCCAAATTCAACAGGGATCTATATTCAACAAGCAATTTGGTATTAGTCCTTCGACAACGACAACTCAACAAAAAGTTGCTTTTCAAGGTAGTCCACAAACGCTGACCAATTCTGAGATGTTTGGGGCACTTCAAGCAAACACACCTCAAGCAAGCATTCACCCTAGTTTGATTGCCAATCAAAATGTAATCTTGTCTCAGAACCACGTTGACTCATCGAGCTATATCCAGAGGCCAAATATGGATTCTTCATACGACACTCAAAATATCCCTTATTTTGGATCACAACCTGGGCACATTTATCATTCAGCAGGAAATAAACATACAGTTCCTTCAGTGAACAACAGTCGATCAAGAAATGTCCCAATTCTTCCTAAACCGTCCAACAGATTTCCGCAATCACTTTCGAATCCGAATACTCCACTAGCTACCACTCCTATTGCTTCTCACTCTCCAACAAGTTTCTCTCCGACAAATTCAGGATCGCTTCTTTACTCTGTCAATCATTCTCAGCCTCAAGACATACCACGATTCAAGAGGCTCAAATCCAGGAGTTGTTTGTCTGCTATGTCTGATGCATCATCTCCTCCTACGGCCCCCATGCTTTCTAACTTTTCATCCCGACAAGGTTCTATGCCCAACAACCTCTATCAAGACATGCAAGCCAAACGAGGGATTGTTAGTCAGGAATCATTTACTGATGATACTTCAGTCCGCTTGAATTCTGTGGTTGATGGTGATATGAACTTTGGGAGATCCAAATATTACAAACACGCGTCTTATGACCCGTCTATCGTCGACACTAAAGATGAAAGTTGCACGTTCAAAGATCTCGATTGGTTGAAGTTTGATGTTTAAAAGTCAGCCAATGTTTTTGATACAGAATTTAATGGGTATATATCGCTTTTTTCAACTTGAAGACCTGGTCTTTTGGAGTGGGCACTCAAGACAGTCTTGATTCTCATCGCGCTTTGAGTCTTGCTGCAGTTCTTGCTTTGTCCATGAATCCTCCTCTCTCGTTTCTGTAATAGATACGGATAATCTGATTTGAGTCCTTCTCTATTTTTAGAGTTAAATGTTTAAATTCTCTCTTTTAAACTGGCCTCTGGGCTTTTTTAATTATCGATCCATAAACTTGAATTGTGACACTTTTTCTAATTTTTTTTTTTGTTGGTTTGGAGAGCATTGACATTAAAAGAGGTGTTTGAAAGCTCTAATAACTGAAAGTCTCACCAGGTTGATGATAACTGCTCTCCACGACTGATTAAATCTCTTGAGATGTTCCAAAATACATTTGGCCTAAATGCAAGCAACACGGGAAATCAGCATAGTAGTTCGAATTTGTCACAATCAAATTCTGACTGGACCCAAAACAATGGAATACTCGTGGAAATTACGGGTTGGACAAATGCTGATGAAAAGGATCTGTCGTCCTTCATTCATAGGAAAACGAAAATCAATATTAGGATCATCCAAGCAGATCGTAAAACCGGCATATTAAAAGCGTCGGTGAAAACAGATGGAGATGCGAACACTTTGAGCAAGTGCAATGGGATCCGATTTGCAGGCAATATTCTAAGAGTAAAAATTCTCTCTTCGCCGGGGACTACATCGGCTGCAGGGGGGAATAGCACTGTGGCATTAATCAAATCTGCTCTTTCTTCAAGGTATGACTCTACATCTAAATTACTTAATTTAGATGGCATACGCAATGATGTTAACCCTGAGCTGCGTGGAGTTCTCACAAATTCTCAAACTGCATCCAAGTTCTTTTTAGCAATGCTGAAAATCGCTCTCCAGGAACAATATAAAATTGACTCGTTGAATCTATCCAACAATAATTTAGGAAACAACTCTAGAGATCTCATCGAAATGGCAGCTTCTTTACCAGATTTGCAAAACTTGGCATTATCGAATAACAACATCACCAAGCTTGACGCCCTAGAAAAATTGAAGAATAAGTTGCCTCGCTTACGGGAGCTTTGGATAACAGGTAACCCGGTAGATAATCCTACATCGACTGGTGAGATCATCAAAATTTTTCCCCGTCTTACCATACTCAATGGGTTACCTGTGAGAGACGAAAATAAACTCACAAAATTGCTTTCTTTTCCTATTCCGAATCAGAGTTCGTTTTTTGAATCGTCAGATTTGCAAAGAATCTCAATAGAGTTCACAACGACTTACCTCAGGTTATGGGATAATGATCGCACTAGCCTAATTAGCCTATTTACTCCAGAGTCTCAGTTTTCGTATCATTTCGACACTACTCAAATTGTGGATGCTCCTAACGCCTCCATTGATCCTAAGGTGCCTAGGATGCCACATTCCGTCGCCAGCTCTTGGGGCTCATATATCTCCAATTCCAGGAATCTGATGCGAGTTTCCGGATTGAGGCCCCGGATGTCCAAAGTATTCAAAGGTGGAGAGCAAATTATCCAAGCCTTTCGATCGCTACCTGGATCAAAGCATGAACTTGAAGAAAATCCACAAAATTATTCCATTGAGGTTGTTTCAGTGCCCACTTTAAATGCCATGCAAATATCGATTCATGGTGGGTTTAAAGAAGTTTCGCCTCCAGTCACTACTGGTAAAGACTCTTATTCTAGGCAGGGGAATCGATTTGGAACTCCCAGTGCAAGTTCTCGCACTTCTTTGGAAACACGCTCTTTCGATAGGTCACTTATGGTAATAGCTGGTCCCAATGGATCTTATGTTGTGGCTTCTGACATGCTATTGCTCAAGCCATTTTCAGGTTTAGGAGCTTGGTGCCCGAGACTTTCTCTCGACTCAATTCCATCTTTTTCGAGTCCCTCGAACGGACAAGTTGTAACAAATGCCGTGAATCCAATTTCAATTCCGTCAAACATCGCGGCGAACTTGAACATCACACAGCAACAACTTTTATGCAAAATTATGACCGAAACTAACTTGGTTCTGCAATACTCTTTATTACTTTGTGAGCAAAGTAACTGGGATTACGAAACTGCTTTGATGAACTTCCAAAATTCCAGATCTCAAATTCCAAGGGAAGCTTTTCATTCATAGATGATTAATATATTTCTTCCCAAATTGTACATAACAAAATTCAGTAAGTAAAAATAAGCGCAGATTTTAACTCACTCATTTTGGTAAACACTTCAATTTGACTTCAAGAAATCATTGAACGCAATGACTGATGAGCGCACCTGATTTTTACTCAGAAGAAATTGTGCCGGCTGAAGAGCCTGAAATTCTAGAAACCTCAAATCCAGTATGCTTCGATGAATCCTTGTCGTCGTCTGAATTGATTCACCCATGCGTGTCGTCAGGTATTACGCCTTATACGCCTAATCAAGAAGATTTGTCAGAACTTGAAAGTCGGTTACGGTTCAGACAGTTAGAGCAATCCGACGGATGTACGCCAAACACCCTTATTGACTCCGAATTACTTGTTGATGAATTCTTGAACAAGTTACGCGAACGTGTTATCTTGTCAAAATCAGAAAGTGAATTACAAGAGTGGACTTCAATCACTGAAACTCTGAAAGAAAAGAGTCGATTGCTTCGCAATTCATATGCGACAAGGCATAATAAGGTGAACCATGATGAGCTTGAACTAAATTTAAATGCCGATTCAGAGACCGTTTCAAAAATTCTTTTATTATTGGAAAAAGTGGAAATGCTGGAAAACTTGACAGGAACTGAATGCAGGCCCATTGAAAGTGGTAGTGTTCAGTTGCAACTTAATGCTCTGACTCAGAAAATTGAGTTTCTGATGGCGTGCATGTCCCAGCAGAGCAAGAATTTGCCTACCAAATTAGCCAGTGCTGATAGCTTGCTCTCGAATGAGAAAGAGAGTTCTCTGCTTCAGAAGATCGAATACCTGTATGATAGGTATGCATCATTGCGCGTACCCAACTTGGAGAAAGTCAACACTAAATTAAAATCAATTGGTTTAATGGCAACTTCAATTGCTCCTTCAAGCGACTTTCTCAATAACATACACAGCGAATTCAGTGCGATGCGACGACAAATTACAGACTTGGAAAACAAACTTTCTGATTTTGAGGCGCACATGGCCGACAACCGCAAAATGATTTGGGAAAACCAATCTCAAGTGGATACGTGGATCAAAAACCTAGAAAAAAAGTTACACAATTGATTCTAGGTTTCATTTTGTAACTATCGTTACCACGTCCTGATCGTGGACTAAATGGTTCAAACCACACTTTTGGGGAGCCACTCCGAATTTGGAAGATGACCCCCAAACCAAAGCGTACTTAAAATTGTCTTTTAAGTCCTTGTGGATTGAATTGCAAACATCTTCGATTGTCGACTGATTGCGGACAACGAGTGGTTCCGCAAAATCAGGTCTTTCGTTCTTTCGCTTTGTGTACAGTCTCAACAGATCTAAACGGTACCATATTTCTTCTACCACATCATCAATCGAAAGCTCCATCTCACAAGACATCACTGTGGTATTAGGCTCGCGTGCAATTCTATCCACTTCCTCCAGCGAAACGGCATCAATCTTGTTGTAGACGTAAAGACAAGGTATGTAAACCACGTGCTTCTCATTGATCACATCAATCAAATCGTCTACAGTGGCATCTTTATCTTTCAATGTTACATCCGCGTTGTGTATTCTGTATTCCTTTAGTATGGAGGACACAAGCTTTTCATCTAAGTAAGATGGAGGGTTTAACGAAATCAGCTTTATACCACCGGACTGCTTGTATTTTATCACGATGTCAGGCTTACTCCTGTTCAATCTGATTCCAATGGCTTCAAGTTCTTTTTCTAGGTTCTCACGCTGATCTGGGCCTTTAGTTGCATCAAGGACCATCAAAATTAAATCTGCTGTCTTCGCGGTTGCAACAACTTGTCTTCCTCTGCCTTTTCCCTCGCTGGCTCCTTTGATTATTCCAGGCAAGTCGACAATTTGAATTTCAGCTCCTTCATAACGTAAAACACCAGGAACAGAAGTCAAGGTGGTGAATTCGTATGCCGCGGCCGCAGACTGAGTTTTTGTAACTTTGGACAAAAAAGACGATTTTCCCACAGATGGATAGCCAATCAAGCAGACTCGAGCATCTCCACTCTTGCTAACCTCGAATCCTTGACCTTTACTTCCCTGGTTGGAGGAACTATCTGGATCCAAAAGCATTCTTCGATATTTTGCTAGTTTTCCTTTCAAAAGTCCTAAGTGGTACTCTGTGGCCTTATTTTTTTGAGTTCTCGACATTTCATCTTGAATTTCCTTGATCTTTTCCGATATATTCACCATTTTGTATAGTAGCTGAAAGTTTAAGGCTCAGTGAATATCAAAAATTATTTGCACATGAAAATTAGTGGGAAAAAAATATTCCTAATGCTTCTTTGATTATTTATTTACAGCCAGGAGTCCTATTTTGAAGCCATCTTTTATTAATACTCTCTGGTGCCTCAAGACATTCCCGCTGTTCGATGCGTATATGGGAATGTTTGCCTGGTGTACTACAAGTATTTGAACCATTTTTTGACCTTTCTTCACATGGTTCGATAACATGTTTCATCGTGGTAGCGACAGTGTATTTGGCCCCCAAATCTACCCACATCTGGTTGAATTTTGTAATTTGAATTCTGTCTGATGTGAGAGTTTTCGACCACACCACATTGTGGTCGAACTCGCAATCATACAAAACCAATGGGAGTGGACTGGCAATTGTGTAATTTGGACGACCTGGAAAAAGTTTAATGTCAAGAAGCTTTCTCACTATTTCAGGCTCCTCTAGTTCTTGGCCGACCAAAAACAAAATAGACATCATGGATCTCACCTGATGCCAAAGGAATGCTGATCCCTTGAGACTAAAAGCGTAGATGTTCTCTCCCAAATTTGTTCTTTCGATGGACGAAGAAATGATTTTCCGTTTGTAGTTGACGATTTGCTTGGATCCGTCCACCTTGCAGAAGTTACGGAAATCCTGCTCGCCAACGAAATAAGACGCAGCTTGTTGCATCATCTTAATATTCAAATTTCCTTGCTCAAAGAAATATTTATAGTGTCTCGATAGACAGGAAAACCTAGCATCAAACCCCTCTGGTGGTCTCAAACAAATGGAATGAATTCTTATATCTTCCGGAAGAACCTTGTTCAGAATCTTCACATAATCAAGCTCTTTTACGTCGTTGAGAGGATCTGCCAATTCGTCTTGAGTCAAATTCGATCTCACCACCAAAGAAATTACTTGGTTCATCGCACTCACGCCTTTGTCAGTCCTGCCACATCTGCTGAAATCACAGTCAGCTGGGTCCAAGCTGCGGATCAGCTTTGTCTTTTCTAAAGCTTTTAAGATAAACATTTCTACGGTTGGAATGTTCGATGTATCACTTTGATAAGCGAGTCCATGATAATTCCAACCCAAATAAGAAAATTTGAGGGCTATCCTTCGCTTATTGTACTTCGAAAAATCAAATTCTCTTCGTGGCCTTTTAGCGTTCTCCGATACGTGATCACAATCACTTGATATTTGATGAACAGATTTGTTTTGATTAACTCTTGAGTCATATTCCTGTAATCGTTTAATTAATGCATCTTTGGTCCATCCGCTGTAATCTGGCATCTCAGGCATATGAAGTGCTATATAAGTATGGAATTGTCTTGGATGAGATGAGATTAGTTTTCCTAATTGGTGTTTTATGGTTAGGCTAAATGTGTTCATACAACGAAAAATCAGATAGCGAACTAACGACTTTTCCCACTTTTGCCTTAGATTTATCGCATACAAAAATGCTTTTGAAGGTTGAGAGTATTAGTTTCCTTAGACACCTTTTTCGCAGTAATTCGCAAAAACACCTTCGCACAGGAAAAAAAAATTTAAAATTTGATTTCTTTCAAAATAAGTTTGTCTTTGAATCAAGTTCCTCTATGGCGGCAGAAAATAAGCTAACATGGGACTCCTTGCCTTACGAACTACTTCCTTGGCTTCGGGAGGCTTTGGTCTCGAACGGTTATGAAAGTATGACTCCTGTTCAGGCCTCAGTAATCCCTTTGTTCTCTGGGAACAAAGATGTTGTGGTGCAAGCTGTGACAGGCTCCGGTAAAACATTGGCATTTGTTATTCCAGTTTTGGAGAAAATATGTCACTTCCTACGTGAAGAATCAACATTCAAAAGAGGGCATTTTGGAGCTCTAATTATATGCCCTACGAAAGAACTCGCATTTCAGATAGAAGGAGTCATCAACAATCTGGTTGAATTTTGTCCTGATGACAGCTATAAATTAAAAGCTCAAGCCGTTCTTGGGGGGGTGGGAACTGTATTGACAGATGTACAAAATTTTATGAAAACTAGAGCTCAAGTCATCATCGCTACTCCAGGGAGAGTAGTGGAATTTTTGCAGCATTCTATGGTGAAGACATCCAGTTGTCAAGTATTAATTTTGGATGAAGCTGATCGATTACTTGATCACAATTTCAGTTCAGAAATGTCATTAATTGCCAAAATTTTGCCTCGACAGAAAAGGGTCGGAATGTTCTCTGCAACTATGTCTGCAGTGATCGATGATGTATTCAAGCTTGGCATGTCCAATCCTGTTCGGATCACAGTGAAATCTGATCAATTAAGCAAAAAGTTGATACCGTCGAAGCTGAGACTATTTTATAGCATCGTCCCGGCCGATCAGAAAATAGGACTTCTTTTCCATCTGCTGGAATCATATCAGTTCAAAAGGGCAATTGTTTATTTTCCAACATGTGTGTGTGTTTCTTACTTCTATATGTTGCTGAATCATCTCTTGTCTTGTTTATATAAACAAGGCAACGATTGCAAAGGTATAAGGCTACACTCCTTGCACGGGAAGCTGCAGTTGGAAACTAGGACAAAAACGCTGTCTCTTTTTTCCGGGCTTTCAGATTATAAGAACGTGCTGCTCAGTACAGATGTCGCCGCCCGAGGCTTAGATATACCTGATGTCGATCTGGTCATACAACTCGATCCTCCTACGGACCCTGACGTCTTTGTTCACAGATGTGGTCGCGCTGGTCGCGCCGGGAAATCCGGTACTGCTGTGGTGTTCTTGACTCCAGGCCTTGAAGAAAACTACGTTGATTTCATGAGTTTGAGAAAGGTGGAATTACACGACCTTGGCAATGTACATTACGATCCTCAAAGATTTGAGCTGATCCATCAGGAGTCACGTACCTGGTTACTTGCTGATAGAGCTAGACACGAAAAGGCGACAAAGGCGTTTGTGACTTACATCCGACATTACTCGAAACATTCTGCTGCATCTATATTCCGACTTTCTGCCTTGGACTATTGGGGACTCGCAAAAGAGTTCTCCCTTTTCAGGTTTCCAAAGATGCCAGAAAACAAATTTATCCATGATTTTCCTGAGGGCGGATTCATTGACAAAAGTGTGACTTTCGAAAATCAATCCTACTCAAACGCACAGAATGAAAACGAAAGATTGCAGGAATTTTGTTTATCCTCGAAAACAGTACAACCCAATGATGCAATTCTCGATAGAAAAGCACGGAAGGAAAGGAATTCACCCTGGAGTAAGAATGCAAAGTCTAAAGTTAACGAAAAGCAGTCGTCATACAGCTCGAAAGAAAACAAAAAAAAACGGCTATTATTACCAGAAGCTGAACTCCGGGAAACTCAAGAGGATTGGAAAGATCTCGTGAGATCTAATAAGAGACAAAAGGCCCGCGAAACGACGAATTTTTTTAATGATTTATGATAAAAGCTTTTGTATAAATAAGCAAATACTAAGTATTTAGAAGACCCTTCAGGTCTGAAGGGGCATCAAATTTGAGAGCTTCTTTCCAAAATTTGGACAAATGTCTGCTTCCTGAGTCGCAAGCAATAAAAACTATGGTATCGCCTTTTTTGGCCTTCGTAAAAGCTACCCTAGCAGAAGCTACCGCATTCACGCAAGAACTCGATCCAAGAAAAAGCCCCTCATTCTCGTTGAGATATCGAGCCATCAAAAGAGCCTGTTTGTCGCTGACTTTTTCCGCCGCATCAATATACATCTCTCCCCGTGAGAAATTATTAGTAATTCTGTTCAATCCAATTCCTTCCACTAGAGTGTCAACTTGATGCCTTCTTCTGGTTCCTTCTTTCTCGACTGTGTCATACATTATACCATACTGAACTCTATTGTAAAGGCCGGATCCTTGAGGGTCCGCCAAGATTGTCTTAATTGCGGCATTCTTCTGTTTGAAGAATATCGAACAGCCTGCAATTGTGCCACCCGTTCCTGCGCCTGAAACGAAAAAATTTAACTTTCCACCTGTTTGCTCCCATATCTCTTTTGCGGTAGTTTCATAGTGAACTTTCCAGTTGCACTCGTTCTCGAATTGGTCTGCAAACACAGCGTTATTATCGGAACCGGAATCACTAGCAATTTTATCGGCTCCACTTTTGGCTGCATTTACATATTGATTTGGGTCGACAATGGATGCTGGTTTCACTTTTTCAATAACAGCTCCATACATTCGTAGGAGATTCACTTTCTCATCCGAAGTGTCATCAGGCAGGCATATATGTGCTGTGTAGCCCAAAGACTTGCAAAGCATAGCTATTGAAATGCCCGTAGACCCTGAAGTCCCTTCAAAAATGACATCGCCCCTGTTGGGTTTAATCAAATTTCTATTTTCAAAGTCCTTAATAATCGCCAGAGCAACTCTATCTTTCGCCGACCCCCCTGGATTGCATAGTTCCATTTTTGCATATATCTCACAGCCCGTAGCCTCGGAAAGTGAGCGTATTTTGAGAAGAGGTGTATTGCCTATCAAATCTGCCAAACATTCAGCTTTTGTTTGTTTTCCTCTGAACTTTTTGAGGTTTTTCAGCCATGGATAGAAGGCTGCGACTAGGGATAAAATTAAAGCTGCGTGAATCCCTTTATAAATTTGAGACATTCTAATTTAGCTACAGTTAAAATTCGTACTTATACTCGTAGCGATTTTTTCGATGTTACTCAAATTTAGTCCGATAAAACATTCTTGGTAGATGATGCCTTCTTCGAAAGAATTTGAAGTTCTGGAGTCTTTCAAAAGATGTATTCTGCTTTTTCACACCAGAATATATGAGCTATACAATAGCAATGATTTGACAAAACAATTGCTGGCTTCGAATTGGTCAAAATATATAACATTAATTTTTACTTACATGTTTATCGCAATCATGACCCATCAAGTACTCATACTAATTGGATGCCATCTGGGACTAATATCTAAACAAGTGGATTTATTCATTGAAACTCCAACGCATTGCTCGCATGTATACGTTTCAGCCAACATTATCCAAAAGAATGGCAAACTAAAAAGAGAGCTTTTCAGTCGGCCGATAGTATATTACATCGAATTTGGTCCTGATGATTATGAAGATCCGGACCTCGGAACAACGCTTGGATTTCTGCGCGGGAAACTTTTGGCGCTTTTACGAGAGAATGAGCTTTTGAATAAGCATAATCAACAGCTGAAACATATTCAATGTGATCAATTGCAGATCTTCAAGAAAGAACGCTTACTGACTGATGATGATGAATTCCTCTGTAATATGGATGTCAACACGGGAGATAAGCTAACTTGTATCGCTCAAATTTAGCTATCATTAAATCGGGTGTTGATCATTAACAAATCAGAACTCCAGTTCGTCCCTCTTAGGCATAGTTGACAATCTCAAATCTGGAGAAAGTTCGCCAGGCGTTATCATATCATTTGAGCCCTCATTTATTTGTCCTGGCTCGGCCGAAACTACCTTGGAATAGCCTGTGTCATTGTTTCTTCTGTGACCTCTATGCGCTCGTGTCAACCAATTATAGTTACCTGCGTAAATGTCAAATAATCCCATTCCAAAGTTTTTTATCACCAGAAACAGTAAGACCATCAAACAAAGTAGAAGTACGCTTGTTATAGCTCCGAAAGCAACGACTGATTGCCTTCCAGGTAAATCTTGATAAGTTGAATGATAGCGAAGATACACCCTCACAATCTTGAATATTATAAATCCCAACCCAATGGTACAGCACATTGAAAAGATCGTGGAAGTTAATTTCTTTTCTCTTGACGTGGAGTAATCTGCACCAAAAATAACAAACACCGAAAGAAACAAAGCAGCCAGTGTCAAACCAAACTCTGCATCTGATTTGTTCGGTGCTATAACCACGGCTTGAAGAAAGTATCCTGGTGCAAAGAATAAAGCCAGCAATAAAGCATCGCGATGTAAGTTGAACACTGTATTCGCGTAGATCATTTTCCGATTGTTACCAATAGTTTCTCCCGTGAACTTTTGAAACTTGTCTTTCAATCGAAACCCAATTCCAAACTGAATCACACAAATCAGTGACGCAAGGATAATCACCGCAATAGATAAGCTTTTGATGTGAACTTTTGCAGCAGCGGTCCCAGACCCAAAAGCATCAGATGTGGAGGTAAACAGTTGATTGTATGCTGCAAAACTAGTAATTGTTGTATTAATCTCGTTATACTGAATGCCCGCATATATTGCCATTGCAGCAAGAAACAAAATTGAGGATACCAAGTGGTAAACATTCCTTGTATAGAGAACAATTAATGTGGTCAGTATCTGGTAAAGTTCCGCATAGATGTAAAGTGCTAGGTATGCACCCATAGCATATCTCTTTTGTTTGAGATAGGATCTGTAATACCCGTAAATTGCTAACACCGGATTAAAGTCGTCACTTTTTGACTCAATCAGCCTGAAACTGCTAAAGAACAATCCACATATAGTGCACTCAATCGCAAGGATCACAATGGCTGATATGAAAGAAGCAAAGAGAAAGAGCTTTATCCACGCATTATCGTTGTCTACCACATTCTCACGGAATTTTATCCAAAAGGTCTTTTCCAATTCTTTTTCGAGATTTCGTTCTTCCGGATTATCAAAGGCCATTCTCTTCTCTGGTGCTTGCAAGCCTGTAAACGAATAATTGTCCACAGAATCTCGTAGATTGAAAGATCCCCTATTCGAAGCCGAACGTGACCTTGAGCCTGATCTCGAAGTCGAAGTCGAACTTCTACCTGAGCCCAAAAACGATCTACTCCCTGATCTGGTTGACCTCGTCTGGCTAGCACTTCGCATATTCTTCAAATTGTTCATTGAATAATGAGCGAAGGGGATGAGTAAATCAGTGGAGGAATCTATGGCTCCAAAATATTTTGATTACAAACCAAAAGTTACGTTATGAGTTGAAGCAACCTAGACAGGTCCAATTTTTATCTGAAGGTCTGTTTGCGATACTAAAGCTATTATTATTAGACATTCGTGTATCATTATTTCAGTTGTAGTCTGTCAAGGAAAGGCTAGCGCTTCTTGTTATTCAAACGAGTCTTTGAAATTTTCGAAATGTCGTGACTCTTGTGTTTTGGTGCCTGAGGCTGACGGTTTAGAGATCCTTTTTGACTTACGAGAAAAATTGGGTCGTTTTTCAGCAATGTGCTGTCAACACTAGTTGCTGGTTTTTCGAGTGCAGGGCTCGATGAGTTATGATGAATATCACTTAAGCCTTGTGAAGTTTTTCGGTTGTTTAGATGTTTTGGAAGTTTATTAAGATGGTCATTTGTGCAACTATTTCCGTCACCGCCCGGTTGGTGCTCAGCAGGATTTTTGTACATCCAGTCTATCCGCACTGATTTAGATTGATTATATTTTGCTGGCAATTCTTTGTTCGCATTTTCGTGAGCAGTCTCATCTCTTCTCTCTGAGAGTAACTCCCGTTCTTTTTCCCACACTTTGGTTCTATTCTTCAGTAGCCTTGGGTTCCAAGATTTTTTGAGATTGAGGTCGGAAACCATAGATAAAAATTATATTGTTTGCCTTGAGTCAAGAAGTGAGAGAAACTGTTGTCCGTCAAAATAGGCACCTTTGCTGAAGATATACTTTTACAGTGTAGTTGTGTAACGGAACGGGAAAAAGTAGTTTTTCTTAACCAAAAGCTAGCAATATTGTTGAAAAAGCCAAAATAATTTGACATCCATATATTTGAGCGAATATGTAGAGATTAGATCATCAGGACTACAAAGCAGACTTCAGCTTAAAATCCGTGTATTTTGATATTTTTCTTTTGAAGACCAAGCTGCTGAATTAAGAATTCCATTACTTTCAATCTTTGATCTCCCTGTAACTGAATCACCTCCCCTAGATCGTCGTCTTTGACAATGTTGCCGTTACAAGCAAAATCCTTCTTCAGCACCTTCAGAATCCTTTTCAAGTCATATTCTTCGGGGACTCCTTGAACAGTTGTTAATGTTTTCCTTCCATTTCTTTGTTGAATGCGGATATGGATATAATTTGTTGGTTGGGTCTCAGCGTCTCCAGTATCCGCAAAAGGATCTAAATGTTAGTACCTTAGTAGACTTGTGAAGCCCTCAGAATCCGAATGTAGAAGAACACCAGGAATGAGTCACTTACCAAATGATTTGAGGTTTTCAATAGAGCTCATTAATTGGTTGTCACTGTAAAGTATTAAATAAAGTTTATGTATCCAAAAAAATTTTCCGGTTTCTGGAATTCACCATAGGTCTTTAGGTTTATCAGATAACCACATATATTGTTATGCGTACTGTACTGCATGCAACGTTGACCGCGTTTCAGTGAAGATTTTGTTCAAGCTCCCGAGTACATAAGATCTTTAGCTACTAAAATTTGACATAGTCGTGGAGTTCGCACCCTACTGTTTTTGGATAACGATCGTTAGCAAACAAACGATATTCATAGTTTCAAGTGAGGGTATTAATTAGCAAGGTTTGCGTGTTCATACCGTAAGAGCTCGATATTTAAAGTAGCTTGACGTATATCTGATTCTCTTTTTTTTCTTTTGAACACCTAATAAGTAGTCTCAAATTCAGAAGAAATTCCGCTCTCTTATTTATATCACCGGTGGTAAAACGAAATTCACATTATGCTTAGTTTTGGAGGTCATTCCAATTTGGACATTCAAACAAGTTTGAAAAAGGCATGCACTGCAGACGTGGCTGCTCCGAAAAGAAAACATGTTAGAGCCTGCATCGTTTATACTTGGGATCATAAGTCGTCTCGGGAGTTTTGGCATTGTCTTAAGCTATTGCCAATTCAGTCAAACGATATTCAGATATTCAAGACATTGATCGTTATTCATAAAGTCTTGCAAGAAGGTCATCCAACTTGCTTAATAGGAGGGTTCAAAAACATCAGTTGGCTCGAAAGTCTCAGCCGATTCTCTAACAACGGTACTTCGGCAGGTTACACGAGATTGATCAAGGAATATGTTTTCTACTTAGAGCAGAAGCTGAAATTTCATCACGATCATAGGGGATTCAACGGAATGTTTGAGTATGAAGAATATGTCTCATTGAGAACTGTTAGTGACCCCAACGAAGGTTTTGAATCCATTATGGACTTACTCTCTTTGCAAGATTTCTTGGATAACCTACAGAGAGTAATATTCTCCTCTATACGACATACTTCGGAATCAGAGTGCGTGATTAGTTCACTCGTTCCAATTATCGCCGAATCTTACGGAATCTACAAGTTTTTGATTTCAATGCTGAGAGCTTTATACAAGTCATCCGAGACTGAGGAAGTGATTGCGCCTTTGAAAGATCGGTTTGACGTTCAGCATCATCGTCTTTTTGAGTTTTATGCTGATTGCTCTTCCATCAAGTATCTGACAACTCTTGTTACAATTCCAAGATTACCTTCGAGTCCCCCAACTCTTGAAGATGAAGAGGACCCACAAGGGTACCCCTTAACGAGAGAAAGATCCTCAGTTAGCAATTCCGAGGAATCCAGTATACCGCGTTCTAGTAATATTCAGTCTCAACCTACTGGGGCCATGGTTGACTCGTTTGAGAGGCAGCAACAAGAGTTGGAAGAACAACAAAGAAAGGCAGAAGAGAGAAGGCAAGCTGAACTTCTTGAACAACAGATGTTACAGCGAGATCAAGCGCGTTTTTGGGAGGAACAGCAAAGGCAACAAGCTGTATCCCAGGAGCTTGCTCAGAGTCAGCTGCTAGCCGACCAAATGCAACGACAAGCTCAAGGGAAGTTGGCTCAATTAGAACAGGATTTGTTGACTCTAGGAGGGCAGCATGAGAGGGACCAATTGATGCTCGAACAATACGACCAGAGGGTAAAAGTTCTGGAGAACGAGTTGAGGATTGTGACACAAACTGCTGAGGAACAATTAGCAGTCAAGACATCACAGTGTTCTCATTTGGAGGAACAGGTTCAGTACTGGAAGAATAAGTATGAATCACTTGCCAAATTATATTCCCAGCTTAGACAAGAGCATCTGAATCTTTTGGGCAAATTCAAGACTGTTCAACAAAAGGCTGCGTCAGCTCAGGAATCTATAGACAAACGAGAGAAACTTGAGAAGGACTTGAAAGCGAAAAATATTGAATTAGCAGACTTGATTAAGGAAAGAGATCGCGCAAGACTTGACTTGGCTAGGATAAAAGGAAATGATTCCGAGCAGGTTCAACTGTTGAGGACCCAGCTGCGGGACATGGAGTCCAAGTTAAAGTTGCTCGAAGAAACACATTCTCAAAACCTAGCATCAGTTTTTGCGCAACACAGCAAAGAGATTGAGGAAATCAAGGCAAGCGCATCTGAGCTCAAAGGAGGTGAATCAAACGAAGCTGCGCAACAAGAAGTACAGATGTTGCAGCAAGCAATGGATGATACTATGCAAGAGTTGGCAGAGCAACATCAGGCCATTGAAAAAGAAGCTGAAACAAGAGTTCTTCGGTTGATAGACACATTGCTTAAAGTAAGCACTGATCGTCTTCGTGAGTTCGTTTTCAACCTTGAGTCTCCAGTGTACTCTAATACTGACATTCCAACTGCAGAGTACCTAGGTACCATGTTGGAGAAAGTTTCCCACTTGAGTACTCAGTTTTCCACCACCATGACAGATTACATCGCAGATAATATGAGAGGAGACAGTGAAAGTGGCCTCATCAAAGCTATCACAGAGTTTACTGATTCGATCGGCAATTTGTTCTCAAATGTTAAGGCGGTTCTTCGTGATCGTAAGGACGATGTGCAGGAAATTCTTGTCGAGGGCGCAAAAGACCTTGCTCACATGGTTGAGCTATTTTTCGAATCGATGCTTAGCGACCACTTGTTGAAGCTGGAAATTCATGAAAGGACCGACAGAGTCATCACTGGCAACATCAATGTGCAAGAAGTCATTCAAAGCTTGATGCAGGTCGTCGAAGTATTCAGGGACCCTGGTAGGAAAAGCCCCGTTTCCTCTGACGAACTTGGCTACTTCTTAGACAAGGAGCTTGCAAACACACAAGCAGCAGTTGAAAAGGCAGCAGACCTACTTGAGTCAATGTCAACCCGACACAAGCTTGAGGTCCAGGAGGGTGGTTCCCTTGAGGTAAATGAAGCAATCATCTCTTGCGCTAGTGCTATCATAAATGCTGTCAAATTGCTGTTGGAAGCTTGTATAGAAGCACAGGAGGAAATTGTATCTCGTGGAAAGGGGTCCTTGTCCAGAGCTTTATTCTACAAGAAAAATAATCGCTGGACCGAAGGTCTTATATCGGCCTCAAAACAAGTTGCTTACGCAACTGGTATACTCATTAGAATGGCAGACGGTGTTTTAGCCGGAACAAACTCGAGTGAGGAGCTAATTGTCGCATCTAACGAGGTTGCATCGGCTACTGCGCAGCTAGTCTCTTCTTCCCGTGTTAAGTCGGATCTAATGTCACAAAGCCATTTAAATTTGGAGGAAGCATCAAGGAAGGTTACATCTTCCTGCAAAATGTTAGTCACCAAGGTTAGGAGTCTTTTGCTCACCGACGAGAGCAATAAACGGTTGATTACTCGCAACTCACCGCCCACGAGAACAGAACAGCTGAGCTCGAACAGCAGGTGGAGATACTCAAACTCGAAAGTGCACTTTCTCAGGCTAGGAAACGGCTCGGTGAAATTAGAAAATTCAGCTACAGAGATGAAGAATCCTAGAATGCTTCAATCTTATGCTCTTGACTTGCTCCTAGCTCGCTTGTTGGTAAACCACACCCGGACCTGGAGTGGGCTAATCCCGCACTCTCTTGCTATCCTTTCCCTTTCCTTCGAATTGGGGAATCGTTTCACTTTGAATGCCTTTTCCAAAAGCTCTTTGCTCGATTCTGGTATATGTCTTCTCTTTTTCTTATCAAAGCACTCTGAAACTAAACACTCTTTGTAGACGTCCAGTTCCTCCGTATTCCTCATTTCCGTCTCCACTTCAGCTTTCTCAATGGCAAACCCACAACATAGACTTTCGTATTTGTCGTTGGAGCGTATCTCCATGATAGCCGCCTCCCAGTCATCCAAGAGCTTCCTATAGTGTTGCTTAACCCGGTCTGCTGCACCTCCCGCCCCGATAGCAAGCAAAGCGTTTCTCTCAGATCTCAGAGAATCCTCCAAGATCCTCACGCCTTCTTTTCTAATGTCTCCAAACACGTAATTTTCGGAAGCAAGGTCCCCTTCTCTCCTTTGGCTATCTAAAGAAGGTTCGTTCTTGTTGCCTATCAGGCTGGTAGTCATATCATGCAGCAAAAGAAGTGAGTTCAATAGCAAACCAGACCCCATGACTCGAAGCACTAATAATCTCTCGCGATAGAGCAGCCAGTAAGTATTTTATGTGGGTGTATCACCTTTTGGCAGATACGGGTATAAAAATGTTTCACTCCTGCAACCATTTCCTGGATTGCCTCTGCGCCTTATAGAGGTTTCAAGTCACTATATATTGCAATCTAAGCTCTAGAGATCAAAGATAGATCTTCAGAAGTCCAAATCAATAACGAAAATATCGTAGTCAAATGGAGAGAAAGGCTAAACGAGCTATTGGGAAACCGAAGAATAGATTTCTGATTACAAGGGGGGTTGTCAATGGAATATTGAAAAGAGAAAGCGGCCAACTGGATTTTAGGTCAATTTCCAAAATAGCCTCGATTGTGAGTACTTATGTTCAGCAACTAACAAGTAGGTATGGAGCAAAAGAACTCAAAAGTTTGATCGCTATTTTAAATATTTGGAATCAAGGGAAAATCAGCTATCGACCCAGTTTCTACGAAATATACTTGCTGGAAACGGTAGCGCGGGCGTCCAAATCCTCTCAAGATCTGACATCGAAGGACAGGAAAAATTGATAAATCACGCACATGACCCCGAAGTATATCTGATGGATTTCAAGGTGAACAATCAAAGCAAGCCGATCATCAAATTTGAAAAATCACCTTATAGTAGGATGCGATTCAAGAGTTTCGAGACGGGTAAAAACATGCTAGGGAACCATTACGATAGTAACACTAACAGACGACGGAGAATTAAATCTAAAAATGGCTCAAACAGAGGCTCATCACAGTATATTCGAGTGTTTGCTACGCCCTTCACTGATGCACAAATTGAGGATGTATACGTAAGCTATTGCTAATCCAGAGCGGGTAACTATTATATCACCGAAAGCGTTTCACTGGATTACGTAATAGTGATGGACAATTCTCGTCAAGCAGGCATTGATTGAAATTGTCAGCGATTAAACCCCTTCTCGTTTTGCAGAAATGTTGCTACACGACTTTCAAGGAGTCGACAATTAAATCCTTTCTAGTTACCCTACCCAAAACGTACTTAACAAATGAAAAATGTGTCTATGGTATGGAATGATCAAGTGGATTAGGCCGTCACTAGATTTAATGCAAGAATTTCATCTCTTGACAAGGTATCGTAAGGTTGGTCGCATGTATTATACACTAAAGGTGAATCAAAAGGAGATTCTACCTGAGCAAAAGCAGCCGAGATCGTTGGTCAGTGACTTGATGGATTTGCTCGAAAAACCAACCCACAAACGGGCTATAGATCAACATGTAGAAAACAAGTTGACAACGGTCAGGTATATTGAAAGTCTTGAAAAAGACCACTATCAAAGAATATTGCACGAATTAACCTCTGTGTTGCAACCTCTGGGGAAATCTAGCAATCAAAGCCAGCCCATAAGTGCCTGTCATTCGTTCCTTGGATCAGAAGTGAAAGCAGTAAACCAGTATATACGGAAGTTGAGAAAACAGTCAGACATTATTTTTGTGGCAGATTATTTACTTGCGCATGGGCGACTCAATACAACCTTTCTCGCATCTCTGGTATTCAAAATGAATCGGGCTACTTTGGAGGGTTTTATTAGCACAGCAATCAATGACGGCAGGTTTGCATCGCTGGACGAAGCACTGCTCTGTAAAGCGTATGTGATATTCTGTTACCGTTTAAGGCAACTGGGAATGATGACTTTGTCTGATGATCTTATTAAACAACAACTATCATCACTTTGGCTACCCTGCATCCGTCGTGAACAATTCACAAACGCAAAATATCTGAGAAACCTTATGTCGATATTGGTGGAAGCTTTAAATGAGAATGAGTTGATATCCATCGTAAAATCAGCCAAAAGTATGCACATGGCCTATATTTTATGGGAATTGAAACCACACAGATACAGAGAGATAAGAGAGGCATTTGTTGTTAGTTCACACCATCCAGTCTCAAATCGCAATCTATCAGTGCATCAGAAATTGATTCTTTATTTATTATCGAACCCAGGGGTTTATGAGGACGATCACTTGCAGATCAAATTACAGGCGCTTTCTCGACGGCATCGACTTTCATATGGCGAGTGCGTTTCGGAGAACTCGTTCTTCGAATCGCTAAAATCTATCATTATATCCCAAAATATCGTGCTTTTCTGTTAGTACTTACGCCGGGGATGGGTCGAAGTCAAAATTCGGGGAACAGGTACCCAAAGTCATCTGGGGAGCTGTTATTTCCATAATCATAGTCTTCTTCGGGATATAACTCGAACTGGGAGCTGTCGCCTACGCCATTGGGAATATTAGGTTCATACGGTGTTTCAATATTCCCACTCAAAAGATTTTCCCACACGACTTCCTGAAACCATGGATGATTTTTTATATCTTCAACTCCATGGCGAAGATTACCTAGCCTGAAAGTGACGTCTTTCATTATTAAACCTCTGATGAGAGACCTTGCATCTGGTTCGACGAAATGAGGAACCTCATATTCACACTTGCTTATTTTCTCATAAATCTTTATTGGTGATGTGTCGTAGAAAGGAGTCGTGCCAACTAGCATTTCATAAATTAGAATGCCAAACGACCACCAATCGACCGCTTTGTTATACGGTTGGACCGCGATTACTTCCGGGGCGATGTAATCAGGTGTACCACACAAGGTATATGTGGCCGTTTCAACTTCCTTGGCAAAACCAAAATCAGTTAATTTTATGTGTCCAGATCTTGTCAATAATATGTTTTCAGGCTTGAGATCTCGATAGACAATATTTTTGGAGTGTAGATATTCAAGAGCGAGCAAGACTTCTGCAGCGTAGAATTTGGCCACTTGATTAGGGAAAACTTTCGATTTCCTCAGCAGTGAAAACAGCTCTCCACCTTCGATGTAGTCCATTACCATAAATATGGATTTTGTGTCTTGAAAAGTTCCCCACATCCTTGTGATGAATGGATGTTGTAACACGGACAAAATTCTCCTCTCATCGTTGGTGTGCTCGATTTGCTTGGATTTGACTATTTTCCGCTTCTGGAACACCTTCATCGCATAATATCGTCCATTATGGTTTGACCTAACCAAATGTACACGTCCAAAAAATCCAGTGCCCAATGTACGTATAACTTTGAAATCGTTTATAGAATACTTTCCTTTTGTCTGCTTATAAGGAAGATTGGTATGCCTGGTGACATTTTGAGAAGTTGAATTCATTCCCTTGTTGAAAGAGTCTTTGGCCATGTCAGGATGATTTGACAGAAAACTAGAATTTTGATTAAGGGTTGTTTCACTAAAAGATGCTTGCTTGCATTGGTATTGATCTTGTATTATTAGGGATGATGGAACACGCTGAGATTCAGATGACGATAATTGTTCAGCAGAAACTGCTCCTTGGTGCACCATATGAACTTGATCAGAAGAGCTCATGTTTTGATCCAGAAATGCCCACTGATTGAAATAGTAGCTCTCATTATGAAGCTTGCAATATGCCAGTAAATTTAATAGAGTTAGTTTACTGACATCAAAAAAACTATTGCGAATGCAAATAGTTATTCCAATTTAGCTTACGTAATAGCTTTTATACTGTAAATTTGCATGAAAATGATTTGTAAAAATTTGTCTGAATGGAACTTCGGTAAGCTAGTTCCAAAATAGTTTTGGTTTCCTATCCAGGGCAGCAAGCACCCCTTGATCTGTATTCTTGGGGTTTGATGTATATTAGCGTATATAATCTTTTAAGCACCTGACTTTTGGCTAGTCCGAATCTCGAGATTCTTGGCTTGAGTACATCAAACCTGTCAGCTCGCTCAGGACATTGTACCAAGTCTTGAGTTCGTCTTCAGAGGATGCCTCCAACACCAATGTTTTAGAGCTCTTGATGAATGCTGATGACAAATCTTTGCCATGAAGTTTGAATCTGTAAGGGCCTGAGTCGACTAAATCTTTGACAGTGCATTCAGGTAGGAAAAAGACATGATTTGGTTGGGTGTTCGAACAGACCCTGGAATTGAACTCGAAGAGAAATCGATTTTTGGTGATAACATAATAATGTGATGACATCTTCGAGCTAAACTTTCCATCCTTTCTTGCCAAAACTCCTTCCAATATGGGAACTGTTGAGAAATGTCGTCTATTTGGAAAAGTCACAGTTTCGAGATTTCTTTCATGAGGTTCGGGGATCGAGTCTCGGTTAGAAGAGGGATGTGATAAACCAGGCAAAGTTTCTGATGTTGAGGCTAGTTTGTTGTCGTATACTTTTAGAAATCGTGACCATTCAAGATCATTTGGGATGTCCTGAAAATGTGAATTTAACTTTTGAAAGCTTTTACTGTAGTCTTCGTGAAGGTGAACCAAAATTGATGAGAATAACTCGAAGACTTGCTTCAACTCCTGCATAGTTTGGATTTCGGCTAATCTCAAGTCAGTTTCACTTTTTTGTATGAAATTCAAAAACTTCTGCTCAGACTGAAGCTGTGCGTCTGCCTGAGACATGAGTATTCTTTTACTGAAATAAGGGTCATGACGAAAATCCGACTTTGCATTTTCAGGCAACATTTCGGACTTCGAAATAGATAACTCAAAATGTTCCAATTCCTTCATCGTTTGTTGTAATGCCAGCTTGTATTCCTTTTCATGTGTGTGACACAAGTGACTGAACTCTTTTTGCTTCGTACTTATTGACGATTGAAGTCCCTTCAGTTGTGGAATGACTTGACTTTTCATGGTAGTTTCTGCAAGGCTCATTTGCTTGATAAGTGATTCCGTCTGGTCTTGTAAAAGGCGGAAAAAAGTGTTGATATCATGGTCATGAGACCCAGCGTGCTCGATTTCCGATGTCTCAGTCACCTGCATAGAACCCTCTGGATCAGTTTCAAACCTTACTACCGAGTCAATGGAAGTACTTTTACGTAGCTTTTCGTGTGATTTGATACTTGTGGTGACAATAGTTAAGTGATCGTGTATATAAGCCTCCATGCAAACAACTAGCTGTCTATACTTTTCAAATCGTTCAGAGATGAGTGGCAACGAATTTCTTATCGGGCTGGTGGTCAACCCCAGAGAATTCTCTGGGTCCGCGGACATGCTTTGATAGATTGATGTTTTAGTCTTCGCTAGGCTGCTACAGGAGTATTGGTTCTATAATAAGGACTATTGCTTATCTTTAGCTCTGTGAGGACGAAATTTTGCGTAAATCGGAATGTCCGAGTTTTTTCAAATTGTCTACAATACAGCAGCAAGTTTTCAACAACGTTTTTTGTACTTTTGCACAGCCTTTGAAAGCTCAACAATTCTTTCAACAAGTTTTAGGATATTTAAATTTGAATTGACCTACTTATTGATTTTTTTCTATACACTATAATGAAGCCGGAGATCGAACAAGAATTATCTCATGTTTTGTTGACTGAGCTTCTGGCTTACCAATTTGCCTCTCCTGTGAGATGGATCGAAACTCAAGACGTTTTTCTGAGAGACTTCAACACAGAACGCGTTGTTGAAATAGGGCCTTCCCCTACTTTAGCGGGTATGGCTTCGCGTACCATAAAGGCGAAGTACGAGTCCTATGATGCAGCACTCTCCTTGCAAAGACAAGTTCTTTGTTACTCGAAAGACCAAAAAGAAATTTATTACACTCCCGATCCTGCTGATATTGTGACTGCTGCTGAGGAGTCTCTTCCATCGTCAAAGCCATCCGACGAAACCGCTGCTCCGGTCAGCCCTTCTTTGCCTGTCGTCAGTCAGCAAAGTACTACAGAGCCAACGCAGGTGGCAGTCAACGTTCCTGATGAGCCTGTTAAAGCTTCGTTGGTTCTGCAGGCATTGGTTGCCCACAAATTGAAGAAACCCCTCAACGATATCTCAATGGGGAAAGCGATTAAGGATCTTGTCGGTGGAAAATCCACTGTCCAGAATGAAATTCTTGGTGATCTAGGTAAGGAGTTCGGAGCTACTCCCGAGAAGCCAGAAGATTCCCCATTGCAAGAGCTTGCTGAGCAGTTTCAGGAAACATTTCAGGGCTCACTGGGAAAACAATCTTCCTCCCTTATTGCAAGATTGATGAGCTCTAAAATGCCTGGTGGTTTTTCTGTAGGTGTGGCCAGAAAGTATCTTCAATCTAGATGGGGACTTGGCCCTGGAAGACAGGATTCGGTTCTATTGTATGCTCTTACAAATGAACCGAGCCAAAGATTAGGTTCAGAAGCTGACGCTAAACAATTTTTGGATTCCGCCTCCAACTCTTATGCGTCTCAAAATGGGCTCACCTTATCTCAAGCTGCGTCTCAAAGCTCAGGTGGTTCTGGCGGCTCTGCGGTTGTCGATTCTGCCGCTCTTGATGCTGCAATGAAGGAGAACAAAAATCTTGCTCGTCAACAGCTAGAAACTCTGGCGAGATACTTGAACTACGATTTGATGAAAGGTGAAAAACTCTTCCTCAAGGAGAAAGAAGCGACTGCTCTTCTTCAGGCTGAACTTGATTTGTGGGCCGAGGAGCATGGTGAATTTTATGCCTCGGGGATTAAACCTGTTTTTTCATCGTTGAAAGCTAGATCCTATGACTCTTACTGGAACTGGGCAAGGCAGGACGCGCTATCCATGTATTTTGATATCATTTTTGGAAAGTTGACATCTGTGGACAGGGAGACGGTCACTCAATGCATTCAAATCATGAATAGAGCTAATCCAACTCTGATAAAATTCATGCAGTACCACATTGATCACACCCCGACTCAAAAAGGTGAGACATATGAGCTCGCGAAGAAGCTTGGACAACAACTAATTGACAATTGTCGTGAAGTTCTTAATAAGAGCCCAGTTTACAAAGATATCTCCTACCCTACCGGACCAAAGACGACTGTGGACGAAAAGGGACGTATAATTTATACAGAGGAAGTGAGACCAGCTGTTAGAAAGCTGGAACAATATGTTCATGAAATGGCATTGGGTGGTGAATTAACGAAAGAGCCCCAGCCATCCATTAAAGATGACCTTTCCAGAATATACAAAGCTATTTCCAAGCAGGCTTCGGCTGAAAGCAAGATTGAATTTCAAAAACTCTATGCTAAACTGCTAGATTTTGTTGATCAGTCATCTGAAATTGAGGTTTCTAAATCCACAAAGGCTGTTCTTGGTGATGAAAGTGTCCCTGAATCCGATAGTGACACTGATGAGATTGCTTCGCTTAAGGATTATGCAGAAATTCATAAGCCTGTTTCAAGTATTATTCCACCCGAAACGATACCGTTTTTGCACATTCAAAAGAAAGACAGATTGGGCTTTTGGAGATATGATAAGCATGCTTCCTCGTCATATTTAGATGGTCTCGAAAAGGGTGCAGTTAACGGCATAACATTCAAAGGAAAGTATGCTTTGGTGACGGGGGCTGGTGCAGGTTCTATCGGAGCTGAAATTCTTCAAGGGTTATTGTCGGGTGGTGCAAAAGTCATTGTCACTACGTCAAGATTTTCCAAAAATGTCACCGAATATTATCAGCGGATGTATTCCAGGTACGGTGCTGCGGATTCTACGCTAGTGGTTGTACCTTTTAATCAGGGATCAAAGCAAGATATAAAATCACTTGTTGATTATATCTATGAAGACGGGAAAAAGGGTGGACTTCAATGGGATTTGGATTATGTGATCCCGTTTGCTGCGATTCCGGAAATGGGAATCGAGATCGATGCAATTGACTCCAGATCTGAATTAGCTCATCGAATCATGTTAACTAATTTGTTGAGATTATTAGGGGAAATTTCGTCAAAGAAAAAGGATAGAAATATTCAGACTCGCCCAGCTCAGGTAATCCTCCCTCTATCTCCCAACCATGGCACTTTTGGATCCGATGGTTTATACTCGGAGTCCAAGCTTGGACTTGAGACTCTCTTCAACAGATGGCACTCAGAGTCGTGGTCATCCTATTTAACCATTTGCGGAACAGTAATTGGTTGGACTAGAGGAACGGGTTTGATGTCGGGCAACAATATCATTGCAGAGGGAATCGAAAAGTTAGGCGTTCGCACTTTCTCTCAAAAAGAGATGGCATTCAATATTCTTGGTTTAATGACTCCGGAAGTCGTGAAGCTTTGTGAGGAAGCTCCAATTATGGCGGACCTCAATGGTGGACTCCAATTTGTGGAGAATCTCAGAGAATATACGAACAAATTGAGATCGGATATCAACAGAACATCCGATGTTCGCAGAGCCGTTAGCGTGGAAACTGCAATTGAACATAAGATTGTCAACGGATCTGGTGCAGACGACCCCTTCAACAAAGCAGAGATCAAACCAAGGGCTAACATGAAATTTGAATTCCCAAATCTGAAGTCTTACAAGGAGCTGAAAGCGATGGCTCCAGATCTTGAAGGCATGCTTGATTTGGAAAGAGTAATTGTGATAACAGGCTTTGCCGAGGTTGGTCCTTGGGGAAGTTCTAGAACTCGATGGGAAATGGAAGCTTGTGGTGAATTCTCTTTAGAAGGTTGTATTGAGATGGCTTGGATTATGGGATATATCAAATATTTCAATGGCTCCATCAAAGGAAAGCAGTACACTGGTTGGGTTGATGCGAAAACCAATGAACCTGTGGATGATAAGGATGTCAAGAAGAAGTATGAGGAGGACATTCTAAAACATTCCGGTATCAGACTTGTGGAACCAGAACTGTTCCATGGCTATGATCCAAAGAAAAAGAAGTTTATTCAAGAAGTGGTTGTACAGCACGATCTTGAGCCGTTCGAGACCGATAAAGCTACTGCAGATCAATACAAAGCTTGGCACGGGGATCATGTTGAATGCTTCCCAATCGAAGGCGCTGAGGAATACTCTGTCAGAGTTTTAAAGGGGGCCAAACTTTACATTCCTAAAGCTCTGAGATTTGATAGGCTAGTTGCTGGACAAATCCCAACTGGGTGGGATCCTCGTACATATGGTATTGATGATGACATCATCTCACAGGTTGATCCGATAACACTATATGTTTTAGTCACGGTCGCCGAGACACTCCTGAGTTCGGGTATCACTGATCCATATGAGTTTTACAAGTATGTTCATGTGTCTGAGGTTGGCAATTGTTCTGGCTCGGGAATGGGTGGAGTTTCGGCTCTCAAAGGCATGTTCAAAGACAGATTTTTAGACCAACCGGTTCAAAATGACATTCTTCAGGAGTCGTTCATCAATACCATGTCTGCCTGGGTGAACATGCTTTTGTTATCCTCGTCTGGCCCAATAAAGACCCCTGTCGGAGCATGTGCGACAGCATTGGAATCCGTTGATGTGGGAATGGAAACTATTTTATCAGGAAAGGCGAAAATTGTGATTGTGGGTGGCTATGACGACTTCCAAGAAGAAGGTTCATATGAATTCGCAAATATGAATGCTACTTCCAATGCAGATGATGAGTTTGCTCATGGACGCACGCCTGCTGATATGTCGAGACCCACCACCACTAGCAGAAGCGGCTTTATGGAAGCTCAGGGTTCAGGATTGCAAATTTTGATGACAGCAGAATTGGCTCTTAAAATGGGCGTCCCTATATATGGTATCGTTGCGATGGCATCCACGGCAAGTGATAAAATTGGAAGATCTGTGCCTGCACCTGGAAAAGGTATCCTTACCACTGCTAGAGAGCATCACGGAGATTCTAGGTTTACATCCCCTAAACTGGATATCAAGTACAGAGCAAGACAGCTCAAAGCCAGAACCTCCCAGATCAAAAAGTGGGTTGAGGAGGAATTATCTTTGTTATCGGAGGAAGCCAGGGCTCTTGCAAACCAGGATTCCTCTTTTGATCAAGAAAGGTTCCTGGCTGAACGGGCTGAAGAAATTCGAAAAGAAGCCAAAAGTCAAATCAAAGAAGCCCAAAGAATGTATGGTAACGAGTTTTGGAAAAACGATCCCCGCATTGCACCAATAAGAGGTGCGTTGGCCACATTCGATCTAACGATCGATGATTTGGGTGTGTGTTCTTTCCACGGAACATCTACTAAAGCAAACGATAAAAATGAGACTGCGGCCATAGATAAGATGATGAGCCATTTAGGACGTACGGAAGGAAATCCCGTGTATGGCGTTTTCCAGAAGTATTTGACTGGGCACCCTAAGGGTGCCGCTGGTGCGTGGATGCTTAATGGTGGTTTGCAAATTTTGCAAACGGGTGTGGTTCCGGGAAACAGAAATGCCGACAATGTTGATAAAGTCCTGGAAAACTATGATTATGTTCTTTTCCCTTCGAGAACAATAAAGACGGATGGAATAAAAGCAGTTTCTGTAACCTCATTCGGTTTTGGACAGAAAGGTGCTCAAGCGATTATTGTGAATTCTGACTATCTTTATGCGGCTCTTTCTGAAAAAGAGTATGAACAGTACCAAAAGTTGGTCAAAATGAGATATAAGAAAGCTTACCGTTACATGCACAATGCCATGTTAACAAACTCTCTCTTTGTTGCTAAAACGAAGGCGCCTTACACAGATGACTTAGAGGAGTCAGTGTACCTGGATCCTCTTGCACGCGTTACGGCTACCAAAGAAAATAAGCTAACTTTCAAAGAATCCGAAATTCAGTCCTCTAAACTGTCCAGTGAGTTCTCGACAGAAACAGCTGAGATGCTCAAGAGCATGGCTAGTAGACTGACTGGCGAAAAAGGCGTTGGTGTTGACGTGGAGTTACTGTCCGCCGTTAATATTGAAAACGAAACGTTTTTGGAAAGGAACTTCACAGATACCGAGATCCAATACTGCACATCGTCTTCGTGCCCAAGGGCATCTTTTGCTGGAACCTGGTCTGCTAAAGAAGCAGTTTTCAAATCCTTGGGCGTCAAGTCCAAAGGGGCTGGCGCATCTATGAAAAATATTGAAATTATTCGGGATATCAACGGAGCTCCATCAGTCAGACTCCATGGGGAAGCCGGTGTTGCCGCTTCCGATCAAGGGGTAAAAGCAATCAAGGTTTCCATCTCCCACGACGATATTCAATCTATTGCGGTTGCGATATCAGAGTTCTGATTGAGATGGAGCTATGAAGTCCCGAAATAGAAACTGTACAGAAGTATATAGCTTTAACAAATATAGAGTTTCTGAATGGCTAAGCTATTGTTTACTATGAATGCAGATTGACATTGCCAATGTCCATTGATATTGCCTATGTTTTCTCATTCGGGCGTCGCGATTTTTCCATCAACAGATTGAAAGTTTTGACAATAGCTCTGGATTCCGCCGCATTCGCCGCTTCCAAATGGTATGTCTTTGGAGCTTCGTGGTTTTGCTTCATGACAACTATCTTGAAATAGTGAGGAATGCGGGGGTTTTGCTTCACCTTAATGATTTGATTGAAATCAAAGCTAGTGGTTTTTGACTCGTACCAAGATCCTTTTGATTCGTTGAATGGCAAAATGTATATTTGATGTCCATCTATTACAAGAGATTTGGGATACCTGCCTCTGAAAGACATTTGTTGGCGCCGCCAAATAGTCCATCTATAATATGTGCCTGAACCCAGATAACCTCGATCTTTGGTAGTTTGAGAGTCTCCATGATACGTTCCAGAAATATGGGGCTCATTTCCATTTAGACCCGTCAATTGAAGCAAGGTTTGGAATTTTTTCTTTCGTTTAGACACATGATGTATTGAATTGGCTTGCAACGTTTCATTACTTGAACCCACGTCATTGCCCATCAATGCATTGTTTGAAGCTTTTGTTATTAATGGTTCAATTGCAGGCCCCTGTTGACTATGCCTCCCGGAGGCAAGTCTTCTTGTATTCGAATCAATGAGTATATGGCTTTGATTTTTTTTCTCATCAAAGGTAATTCCTGAACCATCGGAAGTAGCATGCAATGAGGAGTTCAGAGAAGCAAGTCTCTCAGAACCAAGAGTTTCTACAGATCTGGGTCCAGCGTTGGTACTTTCTTGCAAAACACTCGAGGTGGCAACCTTCGGATGTTCAAAATCATTTTGAGAGCTGTCATCGTTAGATTTGTAATCTAGAACAAATTCGTCAGCACAATAAGAAACTAGCAACCGATTTCTCTCAAGAGGTCCCATGTCGTCGTCGATCTGGCCATCGTCGTCAGCTAGATACAGATTCCACTGCTGCGAATTTAAATCGTCAGCAGAAATGACACTTTTATTTCGACTTATTCTCCTAATTTGTGTTAATGAAGCTTTAATAACATCCTCCACAGCAAACGACTCATCTACCTTTATTTGAATCGCATTTTCAAAACCAATGGATAGTCGAGGCACCGTGATCAAACACCGCAGGGCTTTATCACTGTGTACAGCATTCGACAAGTTGTTTTCGAGTCCAAAATCTTCCTTTAACAGATTCGTAAGATTCGAGTGATGTTTCACTGAAAAGGAGCCAGGTTTGCCCTTAGTGAAAAGTGTCTCGCCACTTCTTTTTGAGTTCAAGCTCGATTTTGAGTCGGCAATGTTCAATTTGGAATGAGTCGAGGGGCTGGAGTCAGATGTCGCATCCTGGCGCCAAGAACTTTCTGCATACAAAGCTAAACTTTGCCGCGTTTTAGTGCTCAAACCATCATCATCAGCCGATCTGGACATTTCTGAATCGGTTGAGAAATAATCGTCAGAGTCCAGCTGGCTTTGGAAACCAAAAACATCCATTTCTTTGTCCGAGGGCACCGTGTTTTTAAATAAGAAGCTTTTTGTGCGAGCAATACTGGAATCCAAAGAAACAGATTCCAAGTCCATATCACCACTTCTAGACGCATCTCCTGGCATAAGAGAGCTTGTAGTTACACTGGATTCAGTGGAGAATACGGTGGAATATACGCCTTGTCCCAATGACCTGATGCTTTGTGGCCTAGGTGAAAAGCTATCACGCGAAACACCACTCATCAAGTCTTTATCATCGCCTTCGAGCGCGTGATTTTTATCACTAGAAACTTCGTTTATATCTCCAGTGTGATCATCAGAGGCTGCAGCGAAGTCGTCATTTCCCAAAACCTTCCTGCCCTTAGACTCTTCATTTTGATTTTGACCAGCTTGTTTTAGTGGGACGAGACTAGTAGACGATGTCAACGGCAAGTCTTCCACTGGATCAGGAGACTCGATTGATGGCTTGCGATCTGAATTCTTCAAACGGGAAGGCGTCCCGCCGTTTAAGATAATTTCCGCATTAGCCATCTCGTTTTCTGACGTGCGAACTAGTTCAAGCCGAATAGCATTGAGAAGCGTCTCCCTTTTCTGACAAAAAGCCATGATGCCTTAGTAGGTTCATGTGGCGAAACTTTTGATCTAATAGTCAACAATTCTAGGTTAGCATCAACAAGCACCGAGAATAATCAGCTTAAGCCTTGAGATTTGACATAGATTTCTTCGATTTTGACTCGAAATTCTGCAAAGCTTGCGGATTGAATTTTGTATCTAGACCGAATAAGAAATTCTTATGTTACCCTCCTTATGTTTTACGTTAATAAGTTAGTCGAAAGAAAACATTTTCAAAACTTGTTAGGTATCTTCAAATGGCAGGCGCTTACACTCTATTTGGAAAGGCAATTCCCCCACATCATGTATGTATGAATCACACTAGCGTGAAAAACTAACAACAGCTCGCTATTGCGACTATAGGAACCGTCGTGGCTCTCGTGGCTCCAAAACCGTGGTCACCAAAAGTCAAATTGGAACCAAAAATCGATGCATCCTCTCCTGAGGAGGAAAAGTTCATCAAGGAGTATTTGGAAAAGCACCTCTGATTGCGATAGCATTGCTTTACTGATAGTCTATAACTCATAAGCAGAAACAACTATATCGAATCTTGTAGAGGCAATCTTTGTTGAGCATCTGACTCATGAGTCGATTTATTGAAGCTTTAACTAAACATACTTTCATTCAAGTAAAAAGATCGTCGCCCGCCAGAAGTTTGGAGCCGATTTCTTTTCCATGCCGTGCAATTTTCGATCGTTCTTGCCGAAGAACAGCTTTCTTCGCAGCATCAACTTTCAACTTCGATCTCACAACATTAGGTGAAACGTATTCTTTATTTTCATAAATCTTGGGACCACAGAAAGAGCCCTCTAGTATAGTTATCAAAGTAAGAACAAATCTAGGTCCAATTTCAATCAACTTCATTTCCTCCAAGTTCGCTTCTGCAGCTTCGGCACCCACGGGCTCGCTGATTTGATAATTGCGAATCCATATTTTCCCATCCAAGATAGCAAAAGTCATGAGATGATCAATGAAAGGCTTTGATTTTCTTGCCCTTGGAGGTACTCCAAATTGGTGAATGAACATTTCTTTAAGAATCTTCAAATGAATATCACTATCGAAAGCTCTATCAAACGACAATATCGGACGCGACCCTTTTAAACAATTTCCAGTGAAATTGAGCTCCTCCATTGTATGCAAATTCTGAATATGAAACTTTATACTTGGACCGTTAGGGGTTTTCGAAAGCCACATGTAAAGATCCTGGTGTTTGCGACTTTCGAAGTACATAATATTATTGCAGTTGTGCAGCTCTGCAAGCTCGTTCAACTCAAAAAGATTCTTTTTAGTGTCCAGTTTTGGTTCCTTCCTTGACTGAGGCAACATTGATTGCAAATCATTGATGAAATGTCTATGTCTTTGGATTACACCACGAGAAGAGATAAGTAAGCACCTTTGACGATTTTGCCTAACCTTTGATTCTCTATTATCACTTTGGGGTTTGCTAGTATCCTTGTCACGTTTCAGGGCACGATATATTGCTGACATTGTCGGGAATAAACTTTTAAACCTTATAAATAAAATTTATTTTTCACTACATTTATGAATTCTGCACTACCTACTAACGTAACGATTAAAACTGCAAAGCGATTAGACCTAAATTCAAACAACCTCCATCTAATTTACTTTTCAGCTAACGCATATCGTCGGTTTTCCCTTTTTTCAGAGATTCTCAGATTGAGCTGAGAAACAATCATAAACTTTCCAGATTACTGTTTGACTTCCAACGCCATGGATTTAGCCAACTCATGTATATTTTCAATTGTTACCCTACTTTGGAGGCATTTCATGCGAAATCAACATAGTTAAAGTATTCGAAAAAATGGTCGGTCATGCCCTTCTTTGTAAGGAAAGCAAAACGAATAAATCCAAAATTCACTTGCAGGCAACACGATGATGCCAAAACAACCCAAATGAAGAAATTGGATGAAGAAAGTGATTCAAACTCTATTATTGTCAACAGACACCCGCCATCTTCGAACACTGACGTGGATTTCGAGCTATGGAAGCATAGGGAGATTTGTCGTCTTCGGCGAGACACACTAAAATGAGCTTTTTATGGCATCAAATCAAACAATGTGTTACAATAGTCTTGTTTTCAGATTACAAGTTTGCACAAGAATTTACATACTTAAAGACCAATCTTTAACCTTCTCAACTCTTCCAGAGCAATGAAAGTCAAAATTGTATGTGGCCCTAATCTAATGAATGCAGGGGTCCACCCTCTAAACATGAATCCCAAGCCTTCTCTAGATATAGCGTCCTTGAGAATACCGAAAGAGCTTTGACCAGTGCCAGAGCTGTTCATAATTCTAGTCTTCAGAACATCCGCTGGTGAGCAGACAGTGGTTGCTACTAAACCAGCAATTAATGATGCAGAAAAATGGGTTGCTTTAGTTTTGGGGTCCATGCTCAAATTTTCAACAAGCAGTTTCTTGGCCACGTCGTAAGAGACAACTTGAGAAGCCGTCATCAGAATGCCTCGTGCCAAATTCGGTCCAAGGCCCCTAAATAGTGCAGTGATGTTTTCTTCTCTCGTTATTTTAAGTAAGCCATCCAATGCATGCTTGTAATGTCTTCTTTGGGACTCCGGGAGACTATTATCGTTTTGCATTCGAATATTCACAACGTCCGCAGGGTTTCCAACAACACCACCAACTGCACCAGCTATCATAGATGCTGCAAGTAATTGGAAAGTGGATGCCTGGCCTTTCGTGGGGTCTGTCATTATCCCTTTTAGCTTCTCATAAACACCAAACCGTGCGGTTGAATATGTTGCCTGTCTTAGCAGCGACGCAGATAACCCCGCATATGCTGCAAGTACTCCCTCTGTTTTTACAATCTTATACGCTAGGGACACCAAACTATCGCCAGGAACCTTCGCCGTCTGGAGTCTGACTTTGGCCAAATCCAAAGGATGGGTAAAGAGACATGCGAACATGGACGCCGCTCCTACACCGTTATCAATCGACTGAGTTGTGATACATACCTCCATACCAAAATCTTAGATGTTAGCATTTGACACACCGGACACGAAGCACTCAAACTTACGGGAAATTTGCCGAAGGGCCTATAGACTTTGTTGACTTATCTGACTTCATGGACAGCGTTTCTCAACTCCTTTGTCTCTCTGCCTGCAAAAAAGAAAAATTTAACTTCTGCACCGCCATGTTTTCAACTATTTCTTCCCAGGAAAGGAAGCTTACATTCGTGATAGTAGGCGATCCGGAGCGTTCACTATACTTGAACATTCCTAAAGGTTGATCAAAATTAGCATGGAACTGTTGATATAATGAATGTGTTCATTCTCTTTTAGTGTCAACGTAGGAAACCCCTGAAACGCATAAATATTACCACAGGCGAAACCATATCCAGGGCTTTCTCAGGAGGACCGTCTGAGATCTGTGTATTCGCAAATGCCGAGCTAACCACTTTTTCCATCCTCAATTCCGTTCTATAATCGACGACAGATTTCGCGCGTTTAGTGACTAAAGTCGCCGATTACGTAACTATATAGTTGCCCCAATTATCCACATGCTGTGGATTGTTCGCGTATCTAGAACAGTGAAACGATTTTTTCATCCAACGCTATTCCTACGAATCACGTGAACAAGTACCGGTGAGCGAAGTTGCATGATCTCCCAAAACAGAAATGTCCTTCTAACACCATCACTTTATTTCTCGGGCGGGTAAATCGATGGCCTTTTCTTGTGTCGCAATACCACTCCTGACACCGAGCCAGTTTGAAGGCTGTAGCAACTGCCACCACGATAGATCCGCGGTACCCTCCAAAACTTATTTGGATAATTTCCGTCCACGAATAGTATTGGAATTGAGCACACTTAATTCAGCATCTACTTATACCTCATCGATGTCACCCTACGAAGAACAGTGCTTGTAGGTATCATTCTCGGATGAATTCTAACCATACAGAGCCCCAGATGTTCTGTTACTTCTGGATCGGTTAATCGACTCGATCACAGAGTCAGACCTTTCACTCGACGACGAGTTGTATTGGGACTCTCATGTGCACTCTCTCATGGCTGTGAGTATACGACTCTCTGCTACTAACAAAAGGTTATCACACATACTGCAAGCTCCCGGTCAGGGAGTCCCATGGATGATATGCTGACCAAAATTCAGGAACGAACTAAGTGCTTGATTTATATCTTAATGGAACGTCAAATACGAGCAGCCAGACTTGAACAGTTACTATTAGATTACATATCATGCAAACCTCATGACAAATTGTGCAAGTCTTCAATGGAAGGTTTCACTACCGAAAGAAGTTTAAAATACACACGGGATTGCCCCCAATATGCCGCCGTAACGACTAGCCAGCCACGATACAGAATTGAGAAGCGCTCCAAACGATTTCCAAAGACTGCTCAAATGGAGCTAGAAAACTGGTAAGTACGTGGGTATCCAACTAACAAAAGGTATACTGAGAATGAGGACAATCCGTATCTATCAAAGAGAGATTTACAGCAACTAGTTCATAAAACTGGACTTTGTGCCCCCCAAGTGAGGAATTGGGTATCAAATAGACGAAGAAAGGAGCGAACACTAACCATTTCAAAAGAGCTCTCAGACCTTTTGAATCAAGATACACGCTGCTCTCCCAATGATGTAGTATAATAAAAATGATGTTTCATGTTCTTTGCTTTTTTGGTAATCGCACGAGTAGGGTTGCAAACCTCTGCTTGCAACTAAAATTCCCTCCTCATAATGATTCACCGAAGATGGCGTTGGATGAACTAAATTTGTCATTTCTGACACACCTTCCCCAGATTCCAACTACGTCGCCCTTACTAAAGCGCTTGTTAACCGAATATGGAGCAATTGATAATGGAAAGGATAGTTTAAACAAGGTAGCACCGAAAAAATCAAGTAGGCACAGAGTTCAAAAGGAAAAAAAGCGTTTGAATGGTTTCATGGCCTTTAGATCATTTTACTCTCGTAACATTGCAAACTACAATTCACAAAAAGCTCTTTCCCAAGATCTTGCAGATGCGTGGAATCGTGAAAAACACCAACAAATATGGTCCTTGTATGCCATTCAATATAACCATTCAAAGAGCAAGGAACCGTTTTCAAGATGGTTAGAGATGAAGCTTAGTAACAAATTAGGGAAGTTCAACTCAGATGATCCCACCACTAGGCGGGAAATCAATGTGATGTCCCATATAGTAGTCGAGGATGTATTTCAGGAATGCAGTTCACAATATTGAACGAACCTTCTTTAGATAGCCAAAGGAGAGAAGGGGACCTTGCTTCCGAAAATTACGTGTTTGGAGACATTAGAAAAGAAGGCGTGAGGATCTTGGAGGATTCTCTGAGATCTGAGAGAAACGCTTTGCTTGCTATCGGGGCGGGAGGTGCAGCAGACCGGGTTAAGCAACACTATAGGAAGCTCTTGGATGACTGGGAGGCGGCTATCATGGAGATACGCTCCAACGACAAATACGAAAGTCTATGTTGTGGGTTTGCCATTGAGAAAGCTGAAGTGGAGACGGAAATGAGGAATACGGAGGAACTGGACGTCTACAAAGAGTGTTTAGTTTCAGAGTGCTTTGATAAGAAAAAGAGAAGACATATACCAGAATCGAGCAAAGAGCTTTTGGAAAAGGCATTCAAAGTGAAACGATTCCCCAATTCGAAGGAAAGGGAAAGGATAGCAAGAGAGTGCGGGATTAGCCCACTCCAGGTCCGGGTGTGGTTTACCAACAAGCGAGCTAGGAGCAAGTCAAGAGCATAAGATTGAAGCATTCTAGGATTCTTCATCTCTGTAGCTGAATTTTCTAATTTCACCGAGCCGTTTCCTAGCCTGAGAAAGTGCACTTTCGAGTTTGAGTATCTCCACCTGCTGTTCGAGCTCAGCTGTTCTGTTCTCGTGGGCGGTGAGTTGCGAGTAATCAACCGTTTTATTGCTCTCGTCGGTGAGCAAAAGACTCCTAACCTTGGTGACTAACATTTTGCAGGAAGATGTAACCTTCCTTGATGCTTCCTCCAAATTTAAATGGCTTTGTGACATTAGATCCGACTTAACACGGGAAGAAGAGACTAGCTGCGCAGTAGCCGATGCAACCTCGTTAGATGCGACAATTAGCTCCTCACTCGAGTTTGTTCCGGCTAAAACACCGTCTGCCATTCTAATGAGTATACCAGTTGCGTAAGCAACTTGTTTTGAGGCCGATATAAGACCTTCGGTCCAGCGATTATTTTTCTTGTAGAATAAAGCTCTGGACAAGGACCCCTTTCCACGAGATACAATTTCCTCCTGTGCTTCTATACAAGCTTCCAACAGCAATTTGACAGCATTTATGATAGCACTAGCGCAAGAGATGATTGCTTCATTTACCTCAAGGGAACCACCCTCCTGGACCTCAAGCTTGTGTCGGGTTGACATTGACTCAAGTAGGTCTGCTGCCTTTTCAACTGCTGCTTGTGTGTTTGCAAGCTCCTTGTCTAAGAAGTAGCCAAGTTCGTCAGAGGAAACGGGGCTTTTCCTACCAGGGTCCCTGAATACTTCGACGACCTGCATCAAGCTTTGAATGACTTCTTGCACATTGATGTTGCCAGTGATGACTCTGTCGGTCCTTTCATGAATTTCCAGCTTCAACAAGTGGTCGCTAAGCATCGATTCGAAAAATAGCTCAACCATGTGAGCAAGGTCTTTTGCGCCCTCGACAAGAATTTCCTGCACATCGTCCTTACGATCACGAAGAACCGCCTTAACATTTGAGAACAAATTGCCGATCGAATCAGTAAACTCTGTGATAGCTTTGATGAGGCCACTTTCACTGTCTCCTCTCATATTATCTGCGATGTAATCTGTCATGGTGGTGGAAAACTGAGTACTCAAGTGGGAAACTTTCTCCAACATGGTACCTAGGTACTCTGCAGTTGGAATGTCAGTATTAGAGTACACTGGAGACTCAAGGTTGAAAACGAACTCACGAAGACGATCAGTGCTTACTTTAAGCAATGTGTCTATCAACCGAAGAACTCTTGTTTCAGCTTCTTTTTCAATGGCCTGATGTTGCTCTGCCAACTCTTGCATAGTATCATCCATTGCTTGCTGCAACATCTGTACTTCTTGTTGCGCAGCTTCGTTTGATTCACCTCCTTTGAGCTCAGATGCGCTTGCCTTGATTTCCTCAATCTCTTTGCTGTGTTGCGCAAAAACTGATGCTAGGTTTTGAGAATGTGTTTCTTCGAGCAACTTTAACTTGGACTCCATGTCCCGCAGCTGGGTCCTCAACAGTTGAACCTGCTACCATGCACCCCGCAGAGCTGCTACCGTGCATTTTCCCTACATAGAGCACATGACATGTAATCACGTGAAATCCCGTGACTATAATTATTACTAATATTTAGACATCCCTTTAGTTTCAACATTGACATATACAGAGTAATATAAACTTGATTTTACTGCATGTATAAGAGACCACTCAGTTTTCCACTTCGTATTGTTAAGAGTTTTGAAAACCACAACCCCAAATTTAAAAAGCTCTCTATCGTAAAAAGATGAAGAATATATAATACTCTAATTTTAATAATAGTGCAGAGCAGAAAACTAGAATCACGTGATCATAAAGAAATATCCACACCAGAGAAGTACGTGATGTGTCTCGGTACAGTGAAGCAATTTGGTGGTTTTACAATATCTAATGTTAGTTGTAATTTGAGATTTGCTACAAAAAATCTCGAAGCTTGTCCAGACGGGTGGATATTATACTATGGTATCACCGTTCTTGAGTGGCAGCCAGATAAATACGATTACGTAAGATATATTAAGCGGATCATTTCCCATGAGTGGTCACAATTTAGCTCCGCTTCGACTCTCAGTAAATGGCTAGTGCATACTACATAGTAGAATAATGATATACAACAGAATGGATAGTTCAAGGAAAAGTAGGTTGTGATCATGCCCGTGAGAATGGGATCCTGAATCCTGAATCGAAAGGTATGCGACTCATGAATAACAAGGATTCACGTGGGATGCTCTTAACAAAACTACCCAGCAGTAAGTTTTCCAAGCATGCAGCTACAGAGTCATTACCATCTCATCAATACAGAGAGTGTAGGAAAGTAAGATACAGGAAAGCTTATAAGCTTATACCATTTATGTAATCAAGAAAAATATACCACACGTAGTAATGTCAGGCATTTGCTGGCAGTCGAATTGACTATCTTTCTATACCGTACCTATCGGATTTGAGCCATCTTCCAACAATAAACCCTACATTTGTCCGGCTTCTCTCCAATGGTCCATACTTACATGAACAACCGTACGAAACTTGCTTCTACCAACGAACAGATTGTCTTCATACTGGACCCCTGAAAGATTATTGTCGGTGTATTGCCTAACCAAGCCAGTATACATAAGCTCGATCCTCAACTCAACCTCTTCATCAATAACAGCAATTTGCTCACTAGGTGTACGCTAAGAAATTTGGTTTTGCTTTTCGATAACATGGAAAGGTTATAGGTACAGGAAGCATTTAGGCTCTACAGTCTGTGTTGTAATTGTAGCATAACTTGCTCTTCAGTGCACATGTTTTTTAATGATACTAAGTGAATTTATGCTAACTGGTATACATGGTAGACTTCAGATCAAAAAATTGTTCGAATATCAAGCTGAGAAATGCTCCAGCACTTATAGTAGAATCTGTAACACTTCTCAGACAACATTGAAACAAGATACTCAAGTCTCCATTATCATGCATATAATCCCATGACATAGTCTCGACTAACATCTCGACAGTTTGTCTCAATTTCGTCCCAATTCCAGGATAACTTTTACTCTCTTATCTTCTTCTCCCTTATTGATTCTTGAGGAGGCTTGAATTGGTGACCTGAGTGACCTTCGATTTGTGAATAGGCGTTGCAGAAGAAATAGAAGTGGTTCGGTTGGCCTACGACTCTGGTGCCACTTGGATCATGCATTTCAAGTAGTATAAGTATATGCTTGACTTGCATTCTCTTCGGATAAGAAAAACCGCAGGTCTCTTTGACATTTAAGTTCTGAAACACAAACATAAGCTAACTAAGAAATCTTTTACTGTCACAGCTATAGTCTCATCATGGGACATAAACTCACCAAAAGATTTTAATTATATACAATTGATTCCGATATTAGACTTACATTTCAAGTTCAACCTGGATTGAGAGACTCACTTTTGATAAGTGTAATGTCTACTGCTGTTATACTTCAATAGTGTAAATTATGCATCTGATAGCTAAAACTTTCGGTACACCTTAGTCCCTCACCTTTAAGTTGGATATGACACACCTTTATCTATTATTTGGTTTGTAACATTTGGATCTGATGCACACACATACTACGCATCTGCTTAAACCCACAAACCTTGATATCAGGATAAGCCACACAGCCAATGATAAAATCTATGACTATTTTCTCATCTCAACGAAATTCTGCTACAGACCTTCAAGTCAACTGCCCCAAGCAGGATATATCAGCTAAATCCAGTACCTATTCACGTTGACTACACTAAAGTTGTTAGTATTGCTGATTATTTATTTAACTTGTACTTCAGGGTGATATGATGTCTAATATCAGCTACCACTTGAATTTCAAACTAAAATAAAGGAGAATGCATAATTGGTTGGTTGAAACCAAAAATTATTTGGACTTTGATATGGACTTATGTCAGATCTGTCTATGATTTACATCTTATAACAGAACTGTCATTCTTCGGGCATCATTAAAGTGTCTGGAAAAACTGATAATATCTTCAGTCATTACTCGCTTATATGGGGTCAATTTATTCAGTTTTGTTGAGATATTAGTCTATAATATGTCACGTGACTATGCAGAGATATGCATCTCCTGCATAAATATTATGTGAAACAAATCCTAATCAGTTAGGATTAGAGATAAGTTTCAGAAAGCACACTAAAGATTTAGAGTGGTATTAGAATCTACTATAAATACAGTTAGATTCTCCCTCATCTTAAGTGAACATTCAATTGGTAAGATTTACATATAAATCTTATAAATATAAGCTTATACAACTACTGATATAAGGTAGTAAAAGGTATATTAAATTATCCAAAAGATGACAACTTCAGATCAGTTAAAGTTAGCATTCCAACAGGTTATGAGCCCTGTCAGCCACTTCCAATTAGCTAATCCATTTTCAGAAACATGGAAGCTTATGTCATCCAACAACTATCTGGAGTGGAAAAGAAGATTTGAAAAATATCTACTTTTAGCAAGTGAACATATTTACCAGTACTATAAGACTGGCCAATTGAATGTTCAAAATGACGTCCTTATTGATGAGTCCGTTATTCAAGAATGTGATATTGCCTTGAAAGTGCTCCTATTGAAAACTTTGTCTCAAAATGTTATTGACGTCCTAGATCAAAATGTGATGTCCGGATTTGATCATATAAGAGCCATTGACAAAACTTACGGGAATATAAGTTTGCGTGGTTTATTACTTAGGTACAAGAAAATGAACAAAGATTCCCCTTCTCCTTTAGAACATATTAGAAACTTTAGGATGCTCGCAGAAGATCTGAAATTTATTGCACCAGATTTAGAGACTGTTGAAGTTCTATTGTGCCTCTCAACACTGAACGATGATTCTCTTGAAGATAAGTTGTTTGTCAACAAACTAGAAAGACTATCGTTCATGGATTTACAAAATGCATATGCTGAAAATGAGTTAAGACCTTCATTTGCGTATACAATCAATCAATCTAAGCAAATGCAAGATTCAAAATCTTCTAAGAAGAAAAAGATCATATGTACTAGATGTCAAAAGGAAGGACACAAGTCTTTTGAATGTCGTGCTCCTGCTCCAGTCTCTAAGAAGTCACTTCTAAGTGATGAAACTGGAAAAGATGATGATACTTATGGCGAAATCTTTGTTGCTGAAGCATTTAGAACCATGGGTGAGGTATACACAGCGAGAAACTTACCCCTTCCTCATATTGATGATGCTTATTGGTTTGACTCGGGAGCTACTTGTCATATTTCCAACAACAGAAACCATTTCAGCAGTTTTGAAAAATATCATGGTTATCTGCAAGGTTTATCTTCAGGATGTCAAATTGAAGGAAAAGGAACTGTCCTACTATATCACAATGGTAAGGATATTACTTTAACAGATGTCTATTATGTTCCTGAGGCCGGAAAGAACTTAATTGCTTTCTGTAAAGTCTTTAAAGCAGGAGGAATTCGCGTTGATGAATCAGGACTATTTGTCAACAATAAACTGTTTGCTACTTATCAACCAAATAGACTATTCAAATGCATATTCTCTCCCCAGTACTGTGCACAGGCTAATCTAGTTATGGACTCTCATTCTCATCAACGGTTTGGACATCCATCTGAAAAGACTTCTCGCAAATTGGGTTTACCTATCTTGAAAGAACTCTGTGCAAGCTGTCAGTTTGGACGAAACACTGCAACATTTCCCAAGGTTTCACGAACAGTCGTCAAAGCTCCTCTAGAACTACTACATGTTGATGTGTGTGGCCCATTTAACACAAAAGGTACACAAAATGAACGATTTTTCTTAACCATTGTCGATCGTTTCACTCATATGGTGGCCGTTTACCCATTACAACATAAATCTCAGGTTTCTCAGCTATTGAAAGAGTATATTACTTATGCTGAAAATCACTTTCATCGTTTCCCTTATAAGGTCATGCGAGTTCGAAGTGATAATGGCACTGAATTCTGCAATAATCAGTTACTGACTTTCTTCAAACAAAAAGGGATTCAACATGAACTTACTAATACTTACTCCAGCTATCAAAATGGCGTTGCTGAGCGTATGCATCGGACTCTCATTAGTCGGGTTCGAATTCTCTTGGCTAGCTCTGGTTGTCCTGACATGTTTTGGCCTCAGGCACTGAAATTCGTTGCTCTCATTATCAACCAGGAACCTTCATCCTCTATTCATGGGGACATTCCTCATATGCGCTGGTTTGATTCTCAACCAGATTATACAATGTATCATCCTTTTGGATGTCAGGCTTATCCTTTAACTCCCAGTGTTCATCGGTCTTCCAAACTTTCTCCGGTGTCCACTTCTAGCATCTTTATGGGAGTGAGCGCCCGCCGCAAAGCTTATATCTTTTATGATCCTATTGCTGACAGTTTTACTGAATCTCAACATGCAACATTTTCCGACTCTCACTTTCCGTTTTTACACCAAACTCGAAAATCTGTGGGTGTTCCCATTTTTGACCTATCCGAGT